AAAAATAAAAAATATATATTCAAATAATACTCTAATTAAAGCTATAAAGCTCTTGCGCATTTTCCATTTCCTTCAGTAATCTATACATCGCCAATCTAAAAGCTCTTGGGAAGTCTCACTCACGAACCCGACCAAGAATCATTAGGCTAGTAACTTCTGACGAACATTAATTCTTGAACTATCTTGCTGACCCTAACAATAGGAATCTTTGTCACGAATAATTGAAATCCATTTCTTACCATTTTGTAGCTTAATATTATGCTATGCTAGATATTCATCCGCAACTTGCTATAATGTTGCTCGGAAGTGAATAAGTTGTATCTAAGATTTCTAACAAGAAGCCATTAGCGTTGGATACTCAGTGTTATATTTAACTTTTATATCTAGTTCTGTTCGGGACTAGGGATTACCATTGGGATTCGGTGGCTTGGATAGCTCTCGCTTTATGTATCTCTTAATGGTTTCGTTCACGTTATCGTATAGGTCGATGGTTTGCGCATTATTTATATTGAAGTTGGCTTTAATGTTCAATCTATTAGGATCATTAGATTGGATATCGGACTCGTTCTCGAATTCGAATTTTATTGAAATCGTATCCTCGTGATCATAATCTGATGCGTTCTTGGCTTTAGTAGACAGCGTGGCTGTCCTGTCTAATTCTCTGTGGTGCTGCTTTGCTTCCTCGAGGTTTCTAGTTTTAACTAAAGCTAACTCCTTACTCTATATTTCTGCAAGCTCTTTTTGTTTTTCACGATTAGCCATAGTCCTAAGACCGTCTAACACGCCAAGACGATAGCTGAAAGTGGGTGCTCCCCCTTTATAGGCACACGCCTATTCTAAGATTAAATTGTGGGACATTTCGAAGGCTACTGCCGCAGCAACTATATTGCTAGCAATACTAAAGAACGACCATTCCATAGAGGTACCAAAATCGGTTAAAAAGCTTTTGCAGTCAAAAAAGGTATATATTGCTTTAGCCACTCTCTTAATAAAAGCCTCCTTTATAACCCTCCGCGATGAATCTATGACTTTTTTAATACGAACGATGCTCCGCCCGCTATAGCTCGCTTTTTTGCTTCTATCATCGTCGGCCATAAGATTAGCTTAAGTCATATTGTGTTCACTTATAAGTTTCTGAGATATAAAGAGCGCGGTCTTAGCTTCTGCTTCCGACGCGTTAGCGTGATAGGTATGGCCTAGACATTTTTGAATTTTGTCTAGAACGTTTTTGTCGGCTTAAGTCGTTGTCTAGTTTTGATGCTCATAAGTAGTTATGATGACAATTGCCCTCTGAATAGGCTTTTTAGGTAGCATCCTAGGCCCTAGTGCTAGAAGACAAGGCACCGAGAATTAATGGACTAATTGAATGTGAAAAACATATATATTATCTTCCTCCTTGTGACTACAATTATATATAATCCTAGTGATTTGTCGGTCTTGACTCGTATAAACTTTAAGATATATCGGCGATTAATCAATGAAATAAGCCTTATTACCTTAATTTACTATTCTCCCTTAATAATCTAAATACTCTTTTCTTTCTTTCGTATACCTAATTAGTCTCCTAGAAATAAATTAGTCTTATTGCTACTATTTGCTGCTAGAGAAGTCTTCATCGTCTGATTTATAGGGATGTTAATTATAACTTATAGCCGCTTGCTAGTCGGATTATATTAATAGTACGCTCTTCCCTCATTATAGCCGCGAACTAGGTAAATTTAATATTTGAACCATTTTGCGAATGGTGAGTCAAAAGGATCTCGAGTCGCTTATTTTTTCTGAAGTGACAAAGATCTAGGGCGCTATAATCGCCGTTAATTCATAGTGTCTAATTGTAGGGCTCCTAGGTCGCTCTCTAGCATTATAGGGGTTTAGGAAGGATAGGGCTAGCTTGGAATCGGCGTGAGCCAGGAAATCCAGAGTATATATGGCGCGTAATAGTTAGCCAACTCCCTATAGCTAAAAGCGTATTTTGAAATTCAAATCCTAATCTCTTATATTACTATAGTGAGGTAGTAACTCGATTAAGAATTACGTTAGTAAGTCGAGAGAGATATAGGTTCAACCACACCGCTAATAGCAATATATCCTAGACCTCGCTTCGGGTCGGGTTTGGGTCCAACTTCAGGACCCGTACCCGCGGGTCGGGTTCATACCCAATACCCAAAACCCATACCCGTAGACCCGTGGGTTCTTGGCGGGTACCCGCGGGTTACCCGCCAAGAACCCGTTTTGGCATAAATATCCTAATTTAGTCTACGCCAAGACGCACAAAACTGCTGATTAACCTCAATAAAATACCGTTATTTACATCTGTTCCGGTCACCTCTGTGGTTCTAATTAACAAAACCCTCTTTCCCTTATGAAAGATTAAGAAATTAGTCTATTTTCTAATTAATGAATAGCAGTAATCTTATATATTTCGCTTTGAGGACTATATGATATTATTGGGGTTGTAAAAACTAATATTCATCAAAACTGTCATCAGAAGTGCGGAAATATATATAAACTATAGAATGCAGTACGTATATTTTTGCAAGGACAATATAATTCTATATTGTCCTTGCAATCCTATGGCTTATAAGGAATTTTTGATCTCACAACAATCAGTATATATTCATTAAGCTATACGTTAACTAATCGAATGCTCTTTTATCTTATTTAAGCTATTAAATGCGAAAAAGTGGATTGATTTTACCTTGATTGAAGACTTAGAAGGAAATTGTTTAAGGAAAACGGGTTACCTATGGGTTTACGGGTTATAAGCGGGTTACCCGCGGGTTACCTATTATATATATAGGCTATAAGCTAATAAGCATAGCTTTTATCTACCTATATGGGCCTTTGTTGATACATTATATTTTTCACTTTAGAAGAACAGGGTACTACGAGGCCCCAGAATCTACGCTTACGCGTTGAAATTCTTCTATAAGACTTTTGACTATCCTTAGCTAAGTGCTCGTCAATTATTATATCACTAGATGTCTCAATTCACTAATACCTACGCATCATCTTCGTATAATATAGACCTTTCAGATGACCTTCAACTCCTCCCATCGGGCAATCTGACCCCTAATCTGTCGATTAGCCAACAAAACTTCGCTTGTGTCGCGAGCTCTGTGGGCGATACTGATTTTATCCCACTAGGATTACCTTCGCCCTCGGTGCCTAGTTCCCTCGAGAGCGTTCGACCTGATCGTATCACTATATACGTGGTCTACTCTAAAACAATAAGTGATGACTATGTGTAATAGTGGCTACAAACGGACTTCGGAAGGAAGAAGCGTATACGCTAGGACTCGCGACACTCTTCCGACGTTTGGCACCACTTTAATCAGGTGGCTAGGGCTAGTGATAGCGCGCTGAAGGTTATGTGTAAGTATTGCAAGGCTATCCTTGATCACCTAGGGCTTGGAAATGGAACTTCCACGATGAAGAAACATACTACTAGCTATAGTAGGAAGCCAAAAAGCCAAAATATTAGGCAATTTATGCAAGCGGTAAGCTAGCCCGATAGTCTACAGGATATACACTGATTTCGACTACTTCTATAGGCGCGGAGCCCTCTAGTCGATACTCTATTTAGCCAGGAAAAATGGGAATCAAGACTTCTTCGATTTATTACTGAATCGAGGCTACCCTTCCAGCTTCTAGAGCATCCAGGGTTCCGTAATATGATATCTATAGCCCAAAATGCCCCAAGACAGCTTGATATTCCATCTACAAAGGTAGTACGGCGCTGGCTACGAAGTACGGTGCTCGAACGCCATCAGAATATACTGTAGAAACTTCCTAAAGATAGAAAGATTTCCATTGCCCTTGACTGTTGGATATCTCCTTTCCAGCAGGCATTTATGGCAGTTACGGGCTACTTCCTTGATGAAGACTGGAATTATCGGGAGCTACTTCTAGGATTTAAGCCTCTTCATGGAACACACTTAGGTATTAACCTTAGCGCTATTCTGTTCCAGCTTCTATAGAAGTACAATTTGACCGATCGAGTACTTACAATCACTACCGACAATGCATCGAACAATAACACTTTGGTAGTAAGCATCCAAGAGACTGTCCAGTCCCTTAATCTTAGCGATGATACCGCAATCATTCGCGTTCTATATATTACCCATATTATCCAACTAAGCTTAAAGCAACTCCTAGGTTAGATAAAGGCAAATCCAAAGAACGACACTGCTTAAATGCAATGGACTGAATCCCAGGACCAATCAATTCGTTCTAGACAACAAAAACGGGAGATCATTGACACTTTAAACAAGGCTCGTCACTATTAAACCTATTAAAAACCTACTTCTAATCTATTTTTATAGCTTCGAAGCTTAGCTGTCTTTATCAACGTAAGCCTATAGCGCCGTGAAGCTTTCTGTAGCCTCCAGATAGGTTCTATAGCTCTTGTTCCGATACAAGACGTTCGTACGCGGTGGAATTCGACGTTTCTAATGCTTCGTCGTGCTAAACGACTGCAATCCGTCTTAGATGAGTTTTGCTCGAAGTACGGCCATCCGCATCTTATGCTTAACCAAGAGTAATGGCGTTAGATTGACTATTTGCTCTAGATCACACAGCCGTTCTTCCAGTTCACCACTACGCTATCGAAAACTAAAGATGTCACCGTCTACCTTGTCTTTGCTATCTACAATAAGCTCTTCGACCATCTTGAGAAGTCGATTAAGCAGCTTACAAGAAAGAAGATAGCCTAGAAGAAGCTTATGCTTACCGCTCTCTATACGGCGGAGGAAAAGCTTAGGCAGTACTATAGTAAGACGGATGACATTCCTGGTGATCTCTTTGCTATTAGTATAATGCTCGCACCACAATATAAGCTCCAGTTCTTCTAGAGTAAAGATTGGGGCCCTGAGTGGCTTACTAGATATAGGCAAAGCCTTGTGGACTACTTTGAACTATATAAGCAACGTCTATCAGAGGAACAGACAGAGAACGGTGAAGGATCTTCTACGCAGAGTGCAGGCATAGACCTTAATCGAATGATTGGTCTAGATCAGACTATCCAAGCTAGCCAGCAGGACGAGCTTGCAAGATATCTCGATGGTGGTAAGTATCCTTATTTTATTAATCACTAGGCTTATACTAATATATATATCTTAGCCACCGTTTCTAGTATTCTAATACGAGCGTTCTGGAAGGAGAACCAGATTACATTCCCTGCGCTTGTAAAGCTCGCGCGTGATGTGCTCTTAATTCCTGCAACTGGCGCCGGCGTTGAGCGGCTATTTAACACTGCTCGGGATGTCTATCACTATCGTCGAGGCTCACTAAATGCTACAACAATCCAGGAGATTATGTTGTATAGATGTACGACGTAATTTGAAGTCGAAGAGGACGAAATCGCTTTTCGGAAGGAGTATCTTTCTGTAGGGGAGATAGAAGCGGATCATGAAGAGAAAGATGCCCAACAACAAGAGGGTACTGTCGACCCGATTAGTGACAATGAGGAGAGTAATGAGGACGATACACGGGTGGGTTTAGTCCTTGTTCAAACGCAATTAACAACGGAAGGTCCCTCGAAACGTGCTCTTGGAAAGAGAAGAAAGAGTGTTGCATCTGAACCAGACACTGAAGGCTATAAGGATAGTAACGAGGAGGAAGATATTCCTCTACCAGAGACACAACAGCGTGTCTCAGGAAGATCTAGGAAGCGGCCGCGGCATGATGATGATCAGTTCATAGTTTGTTAGTTTGGTTCTAGAATTGAAGACATTCATACTTATCCTTGACCTTATTTCTGCAGGAATACACTACCTGTAAGCTAGATACCTATAAATACAGCCCATAAATGCATAATATATACATATCACGAGGTTCTTCATGTTTGTATTGTTTACCAACCCGTGGGTAACCCGCGGGTAACCCGCGGGTTTAATATCTCAACCCGTACCCGACCTTCGGGTCCATACCCTCGACCCAAAACCCGCCAAGAAACGGGTACGGGTCGGGTCCAACCCGTCTACCCGCGGGTTTAGGCGAGGTCTAATATATCCGTTCCCCCCCCACTATCTTAATTTATATCTAGCACGAGGCTAAGCTTTGGGAGCTACGAGGGCTTTTGTCTCGCACCCTATAAGATACCTATAAGATAACATTTTTTATAACCCCTACCGCTAATTCTCTTCAAATTTTATTACTTCACACCAAGCTAGGTTCTATTCAGAGTAGACCAGAACTAAAAAATGCCTCTTCCCCCGTAAGGAACGTTCTAGATCGGTTGGATATATAACTGCCGATCGAAGCCGTCCTAGCTAAGGTGATGCTAGATGAAGTCTTCGGGACTCTTAGGGTTTTATGGCAATACGCTATAAGCTATATGTTACTAGGGTTATAAAAATATTATACAAATGTTATTAGATCGTGTAGTTGATATTAATACTAAGGTTGGTTTCTGTGGAAATCCCCTATAAGCGCTTATTTTAGAGGCTATAACAATATTGTGCGAATATTATTGATAAGTGGAGCCAATGTTAATGCTTAAGATAAATATAATAATTCCTTAGAGGCTGCTTGTTCTGCGCGATATAAGAAGATTGTGCAGCTACTACTAGAGTACGGAGCCTTTAACTCGTCACTCCCCTTTAATTCATTACTGTTTTCTCGGGCCCCACTATAAAGGGTTTAGCGCAGGTTAATCAGGCCATACCAAGTTAAGGGTGATCGAAAAGTGCGCCGTATACGGTACTATATCTCCCTCAATAATGTTCCGTAAGCGTTGCTTTATAGACTTTAATGGCCTAGGTCCTAGCTGAAGGGCATTTCACGGGAGTCGCTAACTCAACGAGGTCTAGTATATATTATTCCCCCCTAGAATTTCTCCTTTTCTTTCTATGTGGTATTTTTTGACAACCTCGAGCTTGTCACATTCTAGTCTCTCTTTCCGGTTATTCTAAAGATACATCCTTTATCACTTGCAATTTTAGTGATTATTCACGTATACACTTCTAGAGCCGGAACCTTTAAAGTCATAGATTACGATCGCTAGTGTTTGATATGGTCCAACGGCAACTATAGCTGTATAGGTTACTCTACATCTTTTGCTAAACTAGATGGAGATGAATGCCTAAGTACCTATTAACTACCACAATTAAAATATTATGCTGTTGCTAACAGTTTCCTAGAGCTTAGTAAGCAACACTCTGCGCTTAGTGTTGACGTATGCGGCACAGAAGATAGTTCACTAGTTACTTAGATATAAGTAAACCATATGGGTCTAGTTACTTTTTTCAATAAGAATGGTGATAGCTCGAGCTACGTACTCAAAAAGGGACTTAAGGCTGGTAGCTAGTGCATTACATCTAAATCAGAAGTATCCACATTAAAAATGCTCTTATATTCCGCATTATCAACTGCCCTAGCTTCTGTCACTAATAAGTCACTGTTCACCATTCCCTCTACCGCTACTCCCTCTACCGCCACTCCCTCTACCGCCACTCCCTCTACCGCTACTCCCTCTACCGCTACACCTTCTACTGCTACTCCCTCTACCGCTACTCCCTCTACCGCCACTTTATCTACTACCACAACGAAAAATGATCTTAATACTGTTCTTTGTTATGTTATGGTTTATCCATCATCTACAATAACCACTAGCTATTTATCCTTATGGTTAAGAAAGATTAATTGAATAGAAAACTTGACTATCGAAGCTACCTATGCCTTAAGTCTAAATATCCGCTTTCAAAATCTATATTATTAAATATAGTAACTATAATGCGGTGGTATAGCAAAACAGGACCCTATACCTAAAATATCGCTAAAGACCGCTTGCCGAAGGCATAAGATAGTAATGCTTAGTTCTCTACTTCGTTTGAATGGTAATATCTATAACTAGCCTAGGTCACCTTAGACCGCTAAATAAGAAACGGGCTAGGAGCAAGTGCGTATACCTTACTTACTACCCTATCCCTAGCGTCACGAAAAATAGAGTCTGAGAAGGGAATAAGAAGGTTAAAATAATACTAATAGCCAATCGTCCTACATAACTATAATCACGTATATCGACTATCTTCGTATATCCTAATAAATAGCTAGTTTCAGAATACAATTCTACCGACCACCGCCGTGTAAAACGAGAGATAGCGTAGGTATTTTGTAAATTAAGAATGAAATTTCGGTATTAAATGCCTACTACTACCTTAAGTAGTAATAACTTCGCTAATATCTGTCACGCACTAGTGCCCTAGGCGATGGGGCCTAGGGGAAGGAAAACAGTTATTAGGGAGGAAGCAGATTCGCTAATTACTATACTACCACTGCACTATAAAAGAAAGTATCAAGATATATATAGTGGTCGCCTATTATGCCTATGACGCACTAACTACGTCTATAACAATTCCTGTAATATCGACATCCTTCCACGAAGCTACGATAACGTCGAATTCCTATAGTCCTACTTGCTTCATAGCGTCTAGGTAGAAAATGTCCTCCTCTACTATATCTGCCGCTGGATTAATAGCGGTAAAAGCTTTCCATCGCCGCCAAAAGTACGAACGTCGATATTTGGTAACAATCTTTGTCTTAGTGAATGATCCTTATATAGTAGCCTTAGGCGAGTAAACCTTTCGTGCGTGAACTTTGATATCTCTTTTTCGTTTCAATTCTTGAAAGAGTTTCCGCGGATTGTTTTTCTCGGCCACGATAAAGGAGATAAAAGGTCGTTGCTAGTGATCGTAAAATTTGCCATTGTCTCCTCTATTGCGTTCACGTAAGTATGGTTGGCTAGACCACGTAAAAATCTACTAGTCGTGTAGTTTCAATAAAGTAGGAACAAGGCTAAGTGTTTCCTCCTTAATGGGGCCGTAATAATAAGGAGACGATGAAATTTCACCTCGAAGAAACTTCTTATTCAACTTGAGTAGAGCAGTAAAACTAGTTGAGTTATTCTAATATTGGACGTCTTATAGGAACTCGGCCATAGTGGATATTGTGTCTAGTATCAAAGAAAAAGAGAATAGAATAATATTTAAATAGCACTGAAATACCATCGGCGTCTATTTATTAGGTACCAACAGAATTATTAATCACCACTCTCCCTTAATTTATCACTCTCCCTCAATTCATCACTCTCCCTTAATTTATCACTCTCCCTCAATTCATCACTCTCCCTTAATTCATCACTCTCCCTTAATTCATCACCCTCCTTCAATTTATTACTTTCCACGAATATCCCGAGATGTTTCTAGAGTATCTTAGGTACTAAAGTAATAGTCACTATTTTAGACTATAAGAGAGGATTTCATTCTAGAGGATAATGTACCTTTGCCTATAATGAATATAAACTCTCGACAATTGTGAGAGTGATGAATTAAGAATCTAGCTAACACAAATCTATTATTGCGATTTACGATACTGGTGATGACGCTTAACCTAAGTCTTGTAATGGAATATGGATAGTCCGGTATTAAAGAACCTTATTTAAATAGCGACTATATATATCGCTACCAAGGAATTGAGCCTATCTACTAATATAAATGCGGACGGGACACAGTTGGTTAGCCACGTATACAAAAGCGTTTAGCTTTCGTGACGACGACCGATATATCTACGGCGAGCAAGAGAGCGTCACTCACGTTCTATTGGATTGCCCGGATCTAAGAGGTCTGCGACGGGAGCTACGGGCGAAAGTGGGCGACGCTTTCAGTAGCGTGTCGACCTTGTTAGGGGGTTCGGAGGAAGGAAGAAGAGGTAAGCCTATTTATGCCTCGCGTATCAAGACGGTGGACGCCGTCTTGGATTTCGCAGAGGTATCCCAGCGGTTTCAAAGTCGCGCGCCATAAGGGCAGCAATCACAAACGGCATCTAGGCCACGATAGGCCTCGGAGAGGCTCCAAGTTCGTCTAAGAAGTGGTACATTCTACCTATATATATATAGTTATATATAGTTGTAGTAGCCTAAATATCGCTTTCAATTTTGCGAGGGGTTAGGGTAAATGAAGTTATACATATATATATATAGACTTTGTATATCTTTGTATATAACGCAAGATATAATACGAGAAGTTGAGCTTCGCCTAAGATTTCGACAAGAAAAGGCTCGTACCGGACTAGGTCCTCTATTATGATGATTTATGGCACCTAGGCATTCTGTGATGATTGTTGCGTCCCTAAGCCTTGGAGGTTATTTCTAATTGACGGGACCTCTATAGCGCTTAATATTATTTAGCTCCTCACAATCTAGGATACGAACTTTAGAGAGCGAAGGTACTTTTGAAGAGAATAAGACTATATAGATAATAACGTAGAACTAATAAAAAGGCGAAACTGTGGTTCCTAATACTCGTCAACATTTTAGAGATATACTTGGAGGGAGTCTTGCGACAAGGAACCAAAGCTTCTATTAGATATTATTTAAGTAAACCACTACGTTAACGCTTTAATAGATAATCTGATGGTATCACCTAACTAGGACCAAGCATAAAGTCGATTTATTCCGCTAGTATAAGCTTATAGAATTAGGCGTTTGTTTGCTTTGGTTAGAGGAAAGGGTGCCTAGCTAGTTCGCCTGCTGTTTTTCTCGTATCTAGGTGCTAGATAAGCATTGCCTTAGCGAGGTCTAAAAATGCTTCCTTCTCCTCCTCTCAAGGGAATAAAGCTATATCGCCTAGTTTGCGGTCGGGGATTAGGTTTTCGTAGAGGAAGCGACCTAAGATATTTCGTGAGTTTGAGAATAATTCGACCGAGATAGGAACCCCGTAATACCTTTTTCGTCAAAGAATGGCCTATAGAAGTACTCTTCCGCGGTCTCGTATACTCTGCCGTCTTCTCGTCTAATAGGTTTCGGCCATAAATACTCTTGTATATATTGATACCTCTATATGACCTCTAGAGGAGGTGGACCTAGTAAAGCGATTATTTCGGCGATGTGTAGTTTAGCATCGTAGCGACTATCTTGATCATGAATATGCCGAAATAGCTCTTTACCTTCGATTATATCCTATAACTGCTCCGGCATTAGTGGATGTAATAACTTTGGAGAGGAATGGAAACCGACTAGGACACCAAGATTCTAAATATCCGTAGACATTTGCCATCCATTACCCAGTATCACTTCTGGTGCCTAATAGTGGTCTAGCTAAATAGGCCAAACGCCCTAGTCGTCGTCTTCCTCGAGTCTGGTTGCTAAGCTAAAGTCGATAAGCTATAGTATACTTCTTAGGCTTTTGAGAGGCCCAAAGTCATTATAGGATTGATATACTAGTCGTCCTACCGAATTAATCTTGAAAGCCATCGGTTTTGTAAGCTAGGAATCCATGAAATCAGCAAGCACGGTTAGATCCTTAAATGAGACTATGATATTCTCAAGCTTTAGATCTAAGCAGCCACTTAGGCTTAGTATTACTAACGAGAATAAAAGCCAAAGATGAACCTACCTATATAAACTGTCCTACAAACTTTATATAGATAATCAAGCCCCGTAAGAAGAGCACGAATATATATTTTAATGAGGGGCAGTGGCATCTTTCTATCGTCAAAACGCCGCTAATACACCGACAATAACTCCCTTATAGGCGGATATACAAGACATAGATAAGAACCTTTTGGGCTTTTAACTTCAAAAGAGTCTAGTAATGTTCGGATCAGTAACCGACCGCGATGTGATAGGTCTATCGCGGAAATATGCTCTTCAACTTCGCGCTTATAACCAATAGAACCCGCGTTATTATTAACAATTTTCATTACTATGACGCTCTCTGGCTCTTCGATATATCTATATATTTGTTAGAGACAGGGAGAGCTTCGAAATAGACAGAAATTATTGAAGGCTACCCTTGCAGATTACGCGCGAGCCATACTGTTGAAGACACGCCCTAGCCAACCTTGACCAAGATTTAGTAACGATCGGCGAGTATATCTCTAGGCTTTGCTAGGTAGAAGTACCTAGAATCGTATACTAGCGAGATCTCTTTATTAACGAGTATACTAGGCGATAAAGGTGGCTCGGGAGAAGGCATAGGAAACGGTTTCTTGCGAAGTAAGGCGGAGAAACGAGGAATGAATAGCTTTATAGTGTTTATTATAAAGTTACTTCCCGTAAGCTGACGGGAGAATATAACGTGAGTGGTTGTTGAAGAAGATCAAGAAGGAGCGCGGGCGCGATTAGTGAACATAATCACGTGGCACGATCCCTAGGTGACGAAATAAAGCTATTAGCTAATGAGATCATTAGACGCTTCTGATCTAGGAGAACGTATTGACTATACCCAAGGTTTCTCCTGCTTCCGTACAGTCTAACGGCGCGTTAGTGACTAGTGATTCTTCTTCTATTTTATAGTATTGCTATTAGTGGATACCGCTGACCAATAAGACGTCGCATCGATTTTGTCGCCGCTATAGCAACTCATCTAGCACGAGTAAGCGCCCGCTTGCAACGCAGACTGTTTCAGCGCCTAGCTAAGCCTCGGTTATAAGTATATAGACCGTGGATTATACTCTATCGTTTTCGGGATCATCGGACGGCCGAGACCTGAAAGCGATGGAGATGGATAGGTGGGGAAGGCGGCAACGCAACCGATGTAGTAGGTCAAGGGTTATTAGTAGATGAGCGAATAGCCGTAATCAGGAGCACCTATATTTAGTTTCAAAGATGTTTCGAGAGCGCGATACGCCTTATATCATTCCATAGCTTCTCTGCCAATCGATTCGGAAGTGCTCTGTGCATTCCACGAGAAAAGACAGCCAGGGTGAACTATAAATAGACATTGACATGGGCGGCCCATGGATATAAGGGGACTGAAAATCTGCCCATGGATGGTAATATATACGTATATTACATATATTAATCGACATTTCCAATAAATTTCATGGTAATTACATAAAAATCCAAAAATCTTGCCCATGGGCAGGAAAAAAGTGTCCATGGGCATGCCCATGTCAATGTCTAACTATAAACTAATTTATATCCCTCCTGATGAAGTATAAAAAAGAGGTGTATACCATAGCTCATCAGGATCAACACGGACTTGTCAGTTTACTTTCATGCTGCAGAACAATCTTCACAATTTAACCACCTTTTATATTACCTATATCTTTATCTACAAAAAGCAACAACCATAGCTTCGCGAGCAATCTCAAGCACTGCCAGACAGCTAAAGCAGCTTAACTGGACCCTCCACGGAACAACCGTCGATGTTAGCTAGTTGATCTAGTAAATCGAGCGCTCTATCGACGAAGTTCCGGGGCTAAGGGCTCGAATTATTAGCGCGTAGGTAATGTAAGACACTTGCACTGCCCCTCTTTAGGTTGAAGTATGAGTTCAGCTAATGTGGATAGCGGAAATCCTCACCCAACGCCTAACCGCGATGACCCGTATTATGGTTCCGTGGTTCTTCTAGATAAGGATGGTAAACGGGTTACATCCGCGTATGCCTATCTCAACGGATATATTAAGTTTTTAAAAGAGGCGACCTTCAAGCCTGTGAAGCTTCCTCCAATACCTAGGGCACCGGTTATTTCGCCGGAAGGAGTGGCGACTAGGAAGTCTGATTCGACGTCTATATCTAATTAGTCGACATCCAAGAAGGGCAAGAAATGATTGATGAGCATTAGGTAGTTACGCTAGATATAGGATCTATAGGCAGATATATAGCTGATTCTCGTTGTCGTTAGTGTATATATTATTAGCTTCTACTATTTAGTTTGTGTAACTTTGCCGGTGGGGTTGTCTATCGAAATATAATCTACATTATAATAGCATTAGAGGGGTAAATTTGAAATTGATTACGATTGGAAACTCTAGGTACTAGTGAATTAATCTACTATATTTGAAGAGGACCTACAAGCCTTGTAGTTAGTTCGTATCAATATTCGACCTTGTGTCTTCTTAGTCGTAATAATTCCAATTAGTGCTAAAACGAGATCGTCCGAGTGTCGACTATTGGGCTATTGTGAACTAAATTAGTATAAGCTTTATGAAATCCCTTCTGGAAGGACCGTCTTTTCTCTTAATGTCGAGTTTGTTGGGACGACCCCGTGGCGCGACCTATTGAGGGGGAAACTAGCAACGACCTCCCGGACAACTCGCCTCTATTACCTATCTTTCCTTTAATACTAATTTCTGTCAGCGGGTTGCCAACACCACCTGCATCGCCGTTACCTCTATCGAATAAGCGAGAGAAAACGCTATTTAAGCATAAAGAGGAGACACCTCCAGTGGTCAATCTAAGCGAGCAAGGAACCGACCTAACACTAAATCTTTGGTATTCGATCTATGGTCATAGACGAAGACCATTAAGGCGTCTCCTGGAATCACTAGGCAAGGTGTACACGGTAGTTGCATTGAATCCCGCGCAGGCAAGATAAGTCGACCCAGCGGCCTTCTATGAGGCCGTGTCAGGCCTAGGCTAGCTAGAATGGTGGTCCGCTATCTAGAAAAAATATACGTCGCTTCTCGAACACAGAATATAGGAAAAGGCTCTATAAGAGGACGCCCTAGCCAGAGATTATATGATTAGCTGTAAATGGGTCTTCAAGACTAAACCTAACGGAATGCGTAGCTTTAGGTAGACCACGATGTCCAAGATTTTCGTGCGTGAACTTTGATATCTCTTTTTTTTTCCACTCTTGAAAGAGTCTCTATAGATTGTTTTTCTTAGCCACAAAAAAGGAAATATAAGGTCGTTGCTAGTGGTCGTAAAATTTGCCTTCGTCTCCTCTCTTGCGTACACGTAAATATAGTTGACCGCTCCGCGTAAAAATTTGCCGTTTATGTAGGTTCAACAAAGAAGGAACAAGGCTATATATCTCCTCCTTAATAGGGCCGTAATGATAAGGAGACGAAAAGATTTAACCTAGGAGAAACTTCTTGCTGAAGTCGATTAGAGCAGTAAAATCAGCAGAGTGATTCCAATGTTAGACGTCTTATGGGAGCTTGGCTATAGTAGATATTATGTCTAGTATTAAAGAAGTAGAAAATAGGATGATATTTGAATAGCACTAAAACACCATTGGAGTTCGTTTAAGTATTAACAAAACGATTGATTATCACTCTTCCTTAATTCACCACTCTTCCTTAATTCATCACGCTCCTTCAATTCATCACGCTCCTTTAATTCATCACGCTCCTTCAATTTATCACGCTCCTTCAATTCATCACGCTCCTTCAATTCATCACGCTCCTTCAATTCATCACGCTCCTTCAATTCATCACGCTCCTTCAATTCATCACGCTCCTTCAATTCATCACGCTCCTTCAATTCATCACGCTCCTTTAATTCATCACGCTCCTTCAATTCATCACGCTCCTTCAATTCATCACGCTCCTTCAATTCATCACGCTCCTTTAATTAACCTCTCTTCCAACGCTATTAGGTATAGATCCTCCGATTGACTCTTATCTGAATTCATCCATTTTTTGATGGATAATTAATGGCCATTATGAAATATACATGCAATAATACTATGTCCGGGATTTATAGATGCCGGGCCACTTGATTAGATAGAATGATGTATACACTGGAAGCCAACGATCGAATATACCTATGGGGGCTAGTTAATATTTACTCTTTTCCATTTGATTGAAACAATAAGTGGTTTCTTGGGGGCGAGCGAATAATTGGAGCTGGGCGATGACTTAGGATGAATTTTGAATTGAGGGGCGACTAGTCAATTGACAATAAGTGATTGTTTGAAATTGAGGAACCGAGATAATGGATTAAGAATCAAGTGGCCATTAAAATAAATAGTAAAACGTTTCATGACGGAAACACACACGTTTTTGCCTTACCCAGCCCGATTCAAAATTTCTGAAGCTATGGCTCCTCGTAATGTAGTGTGGCTATGCTGTAAATAATATAGGTTCTGTAGGTAACTTTACATAGCGCATAGTTAGATTACTCTCCACATAACACAAGAAAAACACAAATGATTACAGTAGCCGGCCGACTATTTAATCTTACATCTTAGGCAGACCTAGATTTGCATTAACATTTTTATCTTCTGAATATTCTTAGACCAATTTGAGGTTTCAAGGTGGACTGAGAAGCCGTAAAATGGGATAAAAGAGCCTGTCTAGGAAAATAAAAGCAATAAAAGCAGCTCTTCTTTGAAAGTTTCCTTAAAAGGCTATCGCCTAGAATAAATATTTTATAGGGTCGAAATTAGGGCATATTTGAGCATGATACTAATAGCGTGCGTAAAGAGCGTGCTAGCCTACATTGGTAAAATCCCCTTGCTCAGTTAGCAGTCTCTAAGATAGAATTTTTAGCATAAGATATAGGAGCCGACAAAGCATCGTTGTCATTATATGGCCCCTAAAACCTAGCTACTGCTATTCCGTTAATGACACGAACGCCGCTATCGTAGGTCCATTGGATTTCATCGGACAAAGCTCCGATAGCACTCGGAAGCTAACCGTCCTTCTCATTACTTATTTGCCCCCATCGTAGCCGGCCTAACTTAGCCAGTAATCCATCAAAGATTTTCCGGTCTCGTTGCATTGCTATGCTATATCCTTTGATTTCGTAGGCGACACGTTTAGCCGCCCTTTCTTTAAGCTGATGTGTTTATTAGCTTTTGTTCGCGTTGATAATCGTTGAAAGCAAGGCGTTTTCTTTCTCCAGTATCGGGAACAATTCCTCATCGGAGATATTTCTCGAGGAGGAAAATATAACCAATCTGAAATAACTTAGTTAGCTAATATTTGCAAGAATAGAGAATTGAAGCATACAATATAGAGATTTCTATCGCTATATTTATAGTATCTTTCAAATGTCGTAACCTCCCGCTAAAAATTCGCGATTATATATTAACGAAGGCACTATAAGGATGCCAATCTAAGTCTCGTAGAGGGTCGTTAACGAAATGACTTATCTATTCTTCGAATACCTCCTAGTATCTTGTATAGGCATATTAGGTTGTCTGGATTGCCATTTGAAGGTGAAGCTAGACTTTATGACTGAGCTTACAAGAATTCGACTTATTGAAAGCTAATACAAACCTCCCTAATCCTTTGTTTATAGACGACAGTTAATGAAAAAGCTCTCTAATAGCTTCGCTCCTATATTTAGCTGCTTCGATGATTTCTAAAAGGGCAATGACACTACACTGTGCCGCTTTTGCGGATTTAGCAGTGGAAATTCTAGTGTTTATTAATTGGGCCATTATAAATAGGCTAGGATCGAGCTTAGTGGGCGTTTCTCAAAAGAGACCTAAGAAGAATCTTGCTATATTATCGGAGTGTGTGTGAATAGATCGTGATGGAAAGAAGGTGACGGCTATTTTTATTTTGTTTAAGAGAGGCAACGGAACACTTATTTATATAGATATTTGAAAAAAACGCTCCTGTCTCTGAAACGCTAAGCAATTATCTAAGGGGCCATACGCGGCCTAAGTTCCTAGGAACCTAGTTAACTATAAGCGAATAAGAAGATATTTAATAAACTAGATTGTAGATCTAAGAGCTATTGTTAGTTTAGCAGGCTCCTAGGAGCTAGAAGTTCGGAACCTTATAAATTAATATGATTACCTATAGATGTGGAACCTTATTAGTGTTAGAGGTGGGTTTGCCGTTAAATCCTATAAATATTGTCGCCAGTGGGCATAGACCCACAATAGAATGCAAGTATACGAGCAAATCCATCCAATTACCCTAGCACCGTTAGTCTCTATAGCCTGGTTAGGAGACCATAGGGTACTAGTAAGAGTGTTCCTAGGAGCATATAGTATAAAGCGTAATACTGATTGATTGATTATAGAGAAGGCTTCTTTGTGGCGCTTGGCCATAGTAGATTACTAGGATATATGGTTAAATTGATGATGCAAGTGCTTTTTTGATGGGGCAATTCAGTGAGGGAATGTGGCATGTGAGCCAGGCTAGCATAGTGCATTTTATTGAGGTAGCTTCGTAAGCTGCTAGCCCTGACGCTCAGTTTCTGCTCAGTAGGCGGATCAGAGCGCTCAGATAACGCTCAGAGAGCGGATCAGAGTGCTTATGTAATGATCACTGAGCAGATTAGACCGCTCAGAGGCGTGCTTAGTTCTGCTCAGTGAGCAAAAAGCGGCAAGGTCTGAGAACTAAACCAGAAGGGGAACGCCAAGAAATGGCAGAGAAAATCCGGTACTTATGTGCCTTATCTATCCTATGACTGGCCTTTATAGAACAATGGAGTAAGGAATTTAGCGTAAGTATCTTATAATAGAGTACTATCCTGCAAAGCATACAGGAATTTCCCTTAAATTGAGCGTAAATGCCATCGAGAACTAAGTGAGAGGCAAAGCTAAATCCTAGCCTTTTAAGTCGAATATCTCACCTAGTACTATACGTTTTCTATTCTATGTCCCTTTCAGAATAAGTTATACTGGACCTCCTTTGCGTCTCTATCACTAGGTCTAATCCGCTAGGAGACCTACAGCGTAACTAGGGAAATTATCCGCGGAGATACTACTGAGATAATGTAGAAGAGGACGTCATTAAATTCAAAGTAAACAGAAGCTAAAGCGAAATGATTCTATATCCCTATAAAGATCGGACAATGCGTTAGTGTTGGAACTCTATAGTAATAAATATTGTATTATTCAGTTGCGATGCGAGCCTCCCCTAAGTGCGACCTCGTATAACTATTCTATATATATACTTAGCATAATTTAGAAGCATTGTTTTTTGTTGAAGAGACCTATCCTCACAAACTTTACATACAACGCCTTTAGTTGGCTAAGGAGGGTTTATATGCTTCCGGAGAAAATGTCTAGTGAGCGAGCTAGGTGTTGTGTGTTCTATGATTCGGTCTTTCAACGAAAGTTTGGGGTTTCCAACACAAAGAAAGTAGATCCTAGGCCGGTCATTTAGGGACTTGATCCGTATAGATTCTATCGCTTTAAGAAGAACGATATTAGTATTATCTTCGGTTGAAATCCACGGCCGCTTTGTAGGAGACGAGGGAAGATTGTTAGTTATAGGGCGGCGACCCGATTTTTTCGAACGAGATATAGAGCGGCCTTCTTTAATATAACAGAACGTAGACACCGCATTAATCGCATTGATCCGACGCTAATACTCCGCCTCAATAGTGGCACCCAGTATAGTTAGTATAGTGTCGATGACTAATATAAACTCCGGAGTAATAAATCCTATATACTCTAAGGCCCCCATCACTTTAGTGTCTACTATTAAGCCTTCCAACTATCGTTCGAGATCGATTATAGGCTACTTATCTCTATAGCGCTGAAGATTCTCTTAAATACGCTTATTGCGCTATCGTTGTTTTTCGTTACGTAATTCACGGACCGCTTTATTGAATTTCCGCTTAGCATCTAGTGCCCGATCTTCAATGGCACACACCTTTCCTTGTAGCTAATATTGGTGCGTAGAGCTTGTTATATAGTGATTGTTGCTATAGGTAGCCTAGTGTGCCTAGGTGGCACGTTCTAAATTGGCTTATCGATAATCCCACTTTCGTTTGCGCTCATTCACCTTTTCTTATTATACAAGTACTATTAGGAGCTCGTTTATTAAGCGGGATTTATCTAGAGAGAGCTTAAACAGCCGATCTAGGTCGATAGAGGCACTTATAGAATAAGCAAACCGCACAAGTTCGGTCTAAGTTCCTATTTTTCGCACGATACCTTAGACGTCTACGTCAACGTCTACCGCGTAATGTCGAATAAAGGTATTGATGTTTGCGTGCTGCAATATAACATTCTATAGGCCATCTAATACCTCATCTTTCAAAGAAGTTAGCATCTATAGGCTTATAAAGCCTAGTGTCACTCGCCACTCTAGTTAAAAGCCTTTGCCCTAGTATATTAGAGATTATACGGCTTAGTAATGTCGTCTATACTAATAATTTCTCCTACCCATCGTATATAAGACCGCAATATAGATGTTGTTATTTGCTTCTCTAGTGCGATACGATATCTAGTGATATCCCGTTCCACCTAACAAAATACAAATTTATTAAGTATTTCTTCCTTAAGCTTTAGCTATTATTGTCCTAGGCCCTCTAGAACTCGAAGTCAGTAGAGATTTTCTAGATAATCTAGCATTGACCTAGTCGACGACCTTGTTTTGAAGCCTTTTATACGGAAGAGGATACCTAGAAGACAAATATATAGGCTCAGAACCAAAGTTGGATCGAATATGATCTTAGGAAGTTTGAATTCGTTCCTATATAATCAAGTTAGCCGTATAACCTTCGCCGCTCGACACGCCTATATTTAATATATATAGGGCCTTCTTCCTAAGGAACCTCTTCGTGAATTTAGGGGTTAGGAATATAAACAGCCGCGGGCGTCCTCCCTTAGGGTCTCGAATTAACGTTAACGAAATGTCCTAGTACCGAAGGCCTAAGAGTGCACTTAGACGGCTAGCGGTAATAGCTACGAGTTAGCAGAAAAGGAGAAGCTGAATTCGTTGCCAGCTATAGTCAAAGGTCGTCTCGGTGGTAGTCAGGAGGACACGCGCGAACTCAGCGATATCCTTAATGAATATATTCTTCTTTGGTCGCCGTATAAGCTCAAGGTGTTTTCGCTTAGCTATAATCGCGATCACCTACCGACAGTTAGCTTTACCGTTAGCATTAACGTATCTCTAGACTACTTACGTCTTGGATTTTGACAATCGTTTCTTGGTTTAGTCTAGATACGACCTATTATTTGAGAACGAGGTGCCACCACTTCTAGAATGACTCGAGTGAGCTCTTGTATCTGATACCTAGATAATGTCGGCCATTTTTACCGCGCCGAATATCACAGCGCTAGCTAAAGAATCTATATAGGAACTAGACTATCTTATCTAAGTCTGAGATCTATTGCTAATGCTTCACGGGATTAAGTTTCATATGTTTATAATATCTGGTAGCGAACTTTAATTAGCTTAAAAGATGACTTAAGCGTGGACCTAGTTATTACCGATTCTAATATTGAAGAGTTCCATCGAGTGCATCCTAGGTGTTATCACTGTACCGCTTTTGTCGAAGTCTTGAGACGTCTAAGCCGTTCGCTTCGGCTAAATAGTGTTCTGAAGGTAGCTGACCCTCGTCATTGTAAATTTCGTCATCGGAGAGATCGGAATCATCTGAATCCTCGTTATCAAGCTCTAAGTCGCTGCTTAATTCGCTCTCAGATTCACTATCTGAAAAGATCGCGCTTACGTCAGAGTCGGCATCACTCTGGCCTTCAATGCCATTGTCTATGGAGCCGACCGGTTTTCAGGGAGATAAAACGGAGGAGCAGGCTGTTGGGGGGATGAAAGTGAGGGGAAGTCTGGAAGATTGAAAAGAGTGTGTGGGAAGAAGGTAAGAGTGTAAGGGAAGGGGATTTAAAAAGGCCACAGTGGGCATAGTGGGACTCGGAACTAGCGCTAATATACTGGTGCAAGTAGGACCCGAAAATGGCGCCCTTTGAGACCTGAGTTTTCAAGCTTGGTGATGTTGAACAAAGAGAACAAGAAGAACAAAGGGCTGGGGTCGTGCGTGGAGATTAGCTGAAGGTCGTGGGAATTGGTACGGCGATGCCAAGACCGAGATTGGTTAGCGAGACTCGTAAAACGGCGGCAGAAGCAGCTCTTTTCGGCCACCATCTAACCGTCACATCGTTAAATGGAGTTATCTTTAAGGCTAAGCTATATAATCTAGCTTAGACTAATAGCCTTCCATATAGCTAGCGCTTTAAAGTTAGTCAAAATGGATAGACGACAGACGAGATAGGCCTTCGATGGCTTTAAAAACTATTTATACCGTCAACGAATAGCCGAACGCAAGGCCGATATCGATTATTAGTCCTTGATAGGCACGGGAGTCATTTAACTCCATAATTCGACTAGATTTGCTTAGAAAACGAGATAATTCCTATCTATATACTAGCGTATAGCTCACATCTCTTACAGCCACTTAATATTGGTTGTTTTGCGGTTTTAAAGCGCTTATACGGAACCTTGGTTAATCAAAAAATGCGGCTTAGCATCAACTATATTAATAAGCTTGATTTCCTCGCAGTATACCTATAGGCTCGCGCAGACGCTTTTAAAGTAGATACAATTAAGAATAGCTTCGCAGCAGGTGGTTTAGTGCCGTTTAACCCAGAACGAGTGCTTTCAAAGCTTAATGTCCGTCTTCGGACGCCTACACTATTAGGAAGCCGCCCAAACAGCTGATCAAGCGCTTTTACCCCAAAAACACTCGCGACCGTCGCGGAATTACTTAAACAAGGAGCGTCAATCCAAGCTTTCTTAAAACGACGCTTAAATAGCCCCCCATCGCCGTCGCAGACCGCGTTAAACCAGCTTATTAAGGGCTGTCAAATCGCTATGTAAACCGGTATATTACTTAAGCAAGAAAATAAGGAATTATAGGCTACCATCGCAGTGCAAAGACAAAAGCGTGCTCATACCAATAGGCGTATAGCCTTCGAAGCTGGTATGTCAGTGCAGGAAGCTCAGGAGCATTTATAAGCCCGTGAGGCTATTATGTAGCCTACGGCACCGTCTCCAGTAGCACCTAGGCAGCCTATTCAGCAGACGATAGCACCAGCGCGAGGGCGTCAGTTTACGTGTTCTTTATGTAATCAGATTGGGCATAGGGCAAATCAATGTAATCAGAGATAATTTAGTGAATATAAAGGCGTTTTGGTTAAAAAAGGGTGGTTTAAAAATATAGAGGATGGGTGGGTGCGCCGCTCGCTTATATGCGCCACTCGCTTTCCGATTACGTTATGTGGTTTTGAATTACGAGCTGCGTGGTTCAAGTGGAGTAATACCGTTGTTTTACTTTGCCTATCGCAGTTTGGCAAACAAAAATTATTCTTACCAAAACCTTTCGATATTCCGAGAACTCGACTAGCATATATTGATAGTTAAATAAAAAAACCAATTATTATATTAGAAGTGGCATACGATTAGGCTGTAGGTGAATTTCAAGTCGCTCAATATCCATATTAATCTGATTCTAACCTAAAAATTACAACGAGATCCCATCGTTGCACATAACAAGTTCAAATTTGGTGAGTTTCGGTCAAGGAAAAGACTTCACTGAGGTCGTTTTTCCACCTCCCATCCCCTAACAAGCTCCCGATCCCGATCATCCAAAGTCATTCCCCATGAGCCCTGGGCCTCTTTTGACCCAGACAGAGGAATGAACACGTTGGAATCAATCCAGCGATCCTCATTGTTCCAAGGAAGGAACCCATGGCCCCAATCACCAGCGCAACCCAGTCCAGAGCCAATAGAGGTTTGTCCTAGGAATGGCTGCTGGCCGTCTAACTCATAATCACACCCATTGGGGGTAGAAGCCGCGAACATTCGCACACCAACCACACCATACCAGCTAAAGACCTCCAGGATAGCCGGTACAATTGCCATCTTACCACGGACCATGACCTCACGTCGCGTGGGGATAAATCTGATGTGGAAATAGTGCGCATCCGGGCTTTCAGCCAACTTGTCTCGTACCGAGGTGGACTCAGCGGGCTGGTACTGTTTCCAGATCACAGACTTAGGACCTGGGGTACTAGTCGTCGAGCGAACATGAGTGTGGAAGTAGAGATATTTCTGGCCATCCTTGCGCTGGTGAAGGGCGATTCTAAGAACATCCAACCCTTTGCCTGTACCCGACGGAACGAGGGCAGTCAGGTAAGGGCGAATCATCTTGTCATCGCAGTATTCACCCTCGTCAAAGGCATTGCGTCCCGCGAGTGTGAATGCACTTGGGGCGGAAGACTCCATTGAGCGGCTGTATAGCTGTATCTCCGGGTTGTTATAGTCACCGCTGATAACAACGACTTGGTCACTGCCCACGCCGAGTACATCGCCAACCTGCGAGAATCGTCAGTACGGTATTTATCAATTCAGACGAAGTATTCTTACCAAAACACTGGAGCTTCCTTCTTCATCACTGCTAATTCTGCATTCCAGCTTGGAATGTGCGTCAATCACCTTGACTTGTTTGGGATCTTCCGCGCCGTCGAATTTGTACTCGTAGAGATCCAATTTTGAGTTGTTGCCCGAGAAATTGGCATTGCAAAGCAAAAGATTCTTTTGGCGATGGTCTTTGTTGATGGCCTTGGCAAAACCAAAGCATGAAGATTGAAGCGAATGGATAGAATTAAATGGCGAGTCAATCCACGCAATCAGCCGATCGTCACAGATAGCGATCTGTACCTTTTTATCGGGCAGCATCGACACAGCCATAATTTGTCGAGGCCTGTTGTTAAACATGCTTTCAGATTGATCTTCTTCCTCAGAAAAGAAGTTATCGAAGAGGAAGCGTGTCAAGTTGGCTGATGAGACAGGAAGGTTGCTGGATAGGGTGGTCATCTCCAGACCTGGGAAAGACCTAGCCTCCCACGATTCAGAAAGGTTCAGTTTCTGCCGTTCACCCATCTTCCCAATCCAGGATTGGAACCTGGTATTGCCAAAGGCGATACGGGCGTGTTTGCTGCCCTCGGTCACCCAGTAAAAGCCATACAGCGTGGTCTCCAACAAATTGGCGCTGTTCTGCAGAGCCCAGTGCAAAGGAATTGCACTGTCAGGTAAATTGCTGACATCGAAGACATTGATTGCGCGATTTCGAATAGTAAAAGTTTGCTGGACTTTTGAGCTGATCTGAACCAGCGCAGGATTCCAGAAGTTCACGCAAATCAATTTGCCGTCCTCAGGAGCTGCCACATTTCGGACTAGGTCCTGAACCTGTACAAAGCTACCCGATAACAGTCCGTCCATCACAGATTGTGTAGCAAACTGATCGTGCCCACGGAAGGGAGCATCTCGGACTCGCTTGCAAGCTTCATTTTCATAGGGAATACCAGGAAGGCCGGGGAAAAAAGTGCTCTGTCCTGCCGCTGCAGGGCTAGCATCCACACGTGCGAAGTTGGAATGATCGTTCACATCCTTGCGGAGAGTGAAGTCATGGTCGGCAACTCGGTCTTGACTATTTGGGGTGCCAGCTATCCATAGGGGTGCTGGGTTGTGCACATCACATTGACCCCATGACTCCATCCAGTTGCTCGATTTCACTGCTGTCATGGGTAGAGGCATCAATTTCTTCGCGACAAAGGAGGACGAATACTCCTCCCAGCTATTCTCGTCTTCTGGTGAATTGGTTGGAATTGGATTCCAGCCTTGCTGGAAGCCTTTGTTGTAGATTTCGTCGACTGACGCCTGAAGACAGTGTGTACTGCAATTTGAATTAGCTTTTGATCGACATTAACGGAGGAAAGAAGTTGCCCCCCGGGGAGGGAGTGGAAAGGAAGACCAACGCTCTCGCACGGTTCACGGCATTCTTGGGCTCGAAGAATTGTTTGTCTCCGTATGCAATCCACTGCTCACCCTTACCATTCCGCACCAATAAGCCCGTCGCACAGTCATCGTCATGCATCTGAATATCAAAGTTGTCAGTGGTGAGATGACGAAGTCCGTTCTAACGCAGCATCAACTTACATAGCGTTGTTGATAATCCCAGATAGGGACTTCTGGTTTTCCCCCAAGCTTGTCCCACTGCATCACACCTGCACCCGCCATCTCTAAACGATTCTGAGTGTGTAGGTAGCGTCGTGCAGGGCGCAGGTGACCGGCAGAGAACAAGTCTGTCAGATAATGGGCAGCGAAAGCTTCATGCACATAAGCCACTTTCAGCTTTTGGCATTTCTTAGTCGCGTCTTGCTCTTGGTGTGCCTCTGCTGCAAGTCGCAAGGCAGAAGCATGACCAACGCAGTACGCCTTGACAGCGTCGTCGCCCTATTTGGACTATTAGATACCATGCAATGAAGATTTGAAGGAGAAGGGGAAACATACGAAATGGTCCACATTCGTGTAGGCCAGCCAGGCGTACATGCTTAGCAGAACGTTATAACTGGGGTGTTTGAAAGTCTCTTGCCAACTATCCTGCAGGGCATCAAAATATTGTTTATCGCTGGGGAGCTTGCAATTGTCGGGATTGAAATGGTCTTCGATTCCTCCTTCGTGGCTAGAATGGGTGAGCTTTTGTGAAGTTATAACTCGTCACTAGGACAATTCTGAGGACTTACTACGTCTTTGAGATACTTTTCCCCAGATCTCTGGCATGATCGATCGTGCGATGCTCATGATCTAGCAGATCCATGATGGCTGACAAATAACCATCGCGGTCCTGGAGCAAGCTGTTCACCGCATTCTCAAAGCGTTTGAGTGGTGTGGTGTTTGACTTCTGTAAGGCGCCACAGATAGGGGCATAGTTCAGGCCAATGTCAGATCCTTTCGTTGGTTCACGGTTGGTATAAAAATCACCAGCCAAGGCAATGATGCGACCGAACGTCAGGGGAATTTTTCTATCCTCTTTAAACACGTGAATCAATTCCTCGGTGGGTGCTGTGAGGACGTCGTTGGTCTGGCGGATTTTCAAGTCCTCGGCGGTCGCTTGGTGCTCCGCGGCTGGCAGACATTAACGGGTGATTCAATCGACAAGGAATCAATAAAGACACACCTTCCAAGTAATCTAAGTGGTCCTTGAAGCTCGGACGCTCTGCAATTTCCAGGTCGCTCACGGGGATCTCAAAGGTTGATGGCTCAAGGTCATGATCTTGAGGAGGCTCAAGGTACCGGAGCGAGGCCACTGCTTCGGCAATTCCATCACTCGCACACATACTGCAGATGTTCTTGATTGACAAAAAAAGAGAAACAAAATCAGTGTTGAATAATTCAGGTCAAATATGCATAGAGCACTTGATAGCATTTAATATAGCTTTTCATGGGTCTTTCCGGTCGGTCGGATCGGCCCCAGTTCCCTCGTCGGCTGTCTTGACCCACCCGTGCAGACGCGGGGAGATATCTACGAGGAGAAACATGTCACAGCTGAAGAACAGCTCCACTACGGGCGCTAAAGCCAACTAGTCTGTTGCCCCCCGGTCTGGATCGAGCCTTCCATGCAAATCCAGAGCTATTTCTAGCGAGCTTGTTATTTCGGCCGTTTCCGTCCACGGCCTTTCCGAGGCGTTCAGTCTGATGAGTCCCATCCAGGGCGCTATAGACAAATAGCGTTTCGCCAACCCGGTCTCGTGCCTTTGATTTTTCATTCAGAGTCATATCCAGCGAGCTCGTTGTTTCGGCTCTCCCGAGCTGATGAGTCGGATGACTCTACTGAGCTCGGCCACACGTCGCTAAATATCACCCACCTTGGAACTTGGTGGCCATGGCGAGATGGCTCATTTATGTATAAAACCAGCGCCGAGTTTGTTAGTTTCGCATCAAAAACTTCTAGCCAAGCCTCCATTCTATCACCCAGAACTCCTATTTTGAAAATACCGCCACAATGGGTGAAGTGACTTTGCAGATTCCCATTGATACCCCCAAGCAGGTGCAAAAGGCCTGTGATGCTGTAATACCCCCATTATTCTCTCTTGCGTCTTCTACCGAAAGTCCCATCTCATGTTTAACGCCTTCTGTTTAGATGAAAGATGCCCCCACGATCCCTAGTGACCTTAGGAGCTACAGCCGACCGCTCTGGATGGTGCTCAAGAACAAGACCCAATTCTCTATCACTCCGGATGGGACCTACTTCTACTCGGGCTGTCTGCACGGCCAGTCCAGCAACACCGGTGCCTACAATGTAACCGGATTTGGTGCCCGTAATTCGTGGGCAGGTACTACCGGTGGAGCGCGTTTCAAGATCAAGTTGGATCAAAAGAACGAGGTCGTCTTCGTGATTGTAAGTTGCTTCAGCTCCTTGTTTTAAGATGGTCCCTAATGCTTTATGGCAAGGGTTTCTCCAATCCCGTCATCGGCTACTACGCAGCTCACATTGAAGAGTCCTGGGACATGGAGAAGGCTGGGTATGCCAAGGTTCAGGAGAACGGCAACAATATTGAATCCATCCACGTCTACAAGGGAACCTCCAGCAGTGGCTCCCCATTGAAGTTCAGATTGCGATTGTCCATCGTGTCAGGCCAAACCATGGACATTACCGTGGTCCAGGATGTCTGGGAGGAGGAGTGAGCATTGGAATAGGCCTTGATATCGAGCAGCTGCTTCTATTTTTCTCAAGTGCTGCTTTTCTCGCTATATACAACCTATCGGCCCCTTTTTTACGTTTTTTTGAATTCCTGTATCCAGATGTTTAGTTAGTGTAATCCAGTTTTCCAGAAGCACCCTCGCAATCCATTTTTTTCCCCAGATAATTTGATGATAGTCTGTATACGGGTTATTTAATGCGATTGCAAAAGTTATTTCTGAAACACTGCTCGATAATTGAATATGCTATTTTTGTACTTATGTTGTATGTTAATCAGGTACCTTTAGAAATTTTTGACTGGAAATCCCGAGGTTCACACATCCGACCGATAATTGTCCTGAGTCCCACCTACATTTATGGATGTACGTTCTAACATATGGAGGGACGGGCAGACGGGCCGACGGGCCGCTACCAGACAACAGTGTAAGCATGCACGTGGCGGAAGAATGGAATGACCTAATTTCCGTCACGGCTAGCATGGTATTTTGCATCGGAGTTCCGGCGGGTCGTTATAGTGGCGACACGCGCTTGTGTGCAGGTCGATTACGCCAATAGAATTTTTGATCTATTTTCAACTCGTGACTTGGAACTCTCCTACAACCATGTTCGCATTTGATGAGGTAAACTTGCAAGGAATATCCAAGTGCGAGCCAAGTGTAGGATTTTTGTGTTCAGGGGAGGTAATCTACAGTAACGTACTGTTTTTCAATCACTTGTTCAGCTAGTAGTAGTAACTTTAAGGCAAAAATAATTCAGCACTCAATTCAACTCCTGCAAATCATTCACAATATCGCAAACATTTAAATTGTTCCCATGAATCTGCACAAAACAGATGCCACTTGATTATTCAATATAGCTCCGTGGAAGGAAAATTGACGTGTATTGGTCCTTGTCGGACGGGACAAAGCCCAGCTCCACATCGCGCTGGGACCACTGCGTTCCAGACTTAGGAAGCTCTCCACCCTCGCCGAAAGAGGCTGTGACACACCGAGGTTGGCCACCACCAATAGTGTACACTAACCAAACTGTCTTGCTGCTTTCATGCACTCGCGCAGTGATCGGACCCGGCTGCGTGCTGTTGGATCCCAGATTGAAGCAGGCCACGTCCTGCCAGCCTTGGAAATCGGCCTGGTTTTTGTCCAAAGAGCCGTCCTGGCGAAGCGGGATATAAAATGCCTTGACTTTGCACTCTGTGGAGTCCGCGGAGTCCTTGGTGACATAAAAGATCCATAGTTTCCATTTGGACTGGCCGTTGTTTTGATTAAACAGCAAGCAGGACGAAAAGTTGCCGTCGCGGACCCCGAGACTGGCAGAGTTGGGAATTTCGACACTTTGCCAGAAGATGGAATTGTCGGGTGAAAAGTCCATGAAAAAGGTATCTTTCACTGAGTCGATGACCAAGGTCTTCTTCTCCGTCTGGCAGATATGGTGGACATATTGGAAGCTGCCTTTGGTTGAGGATCGAGTCACAAGCTGCGAGCTGATCGCCTTGGCGGACCGAGTGGCTTTCAAAGGCACTGAAGTCCATTTCGCATTTTGCGTCGATGGACGAATGAACAAAGAGACACCAGAAGGCGCTTCTTGTTGATCCACCGTCGTTCGGGAGACATAGGTCTGGTTCTGGTAATAGATCACACTGCTGCCACCGAGGTTCTTAGGATAAGCTTCGCACCCCGGTTCCGTGGCGCCAAGAGCGAAATACGAGGACAGACGATGGAGTGCCAGTGTGGAGGAACTCGGGATATTGGCGACTTTCTTCCATGCCGAGACGAGAAGTTCCATGTGGTTATAGTCAAAGGCGAGATTGGGGCACCGATAGATGCTGGGAGTCAAAGCGGGGTGTGTTGCTTGGTATCGCAGTTGGAGCTGACCCGTAGGATTCGGGGAACAGGTATAGAACTCCAGCTGCACATCCGGGTTGTAGCGAACCAAAACAAAAGACAAATCCATGATTCCTCAGGTCCAGAAGTCTACCGTCTTGTTCTCACTGGAAGAGCAGCATTCTTATGAGTAAATAATAACTTCTTGTCGGTCGAGGCCCGGTTAAAGTGGATCTGGGGGAAAGTGGGCGAAGTGCACTAGTTCGTCCACGCTCAAGGGAGCACCTGATCATCGGCCGCTCCGGAAGTCAGTTCGTCAGTTCGGTTCGAATTACTTGCTTTGTTTTTTTTTTTTTATACAAGTGTCGGCAGAGGCGATGCTTGTCATGCATCTTCTGCTCGGTAAAAATTCCGCTGTTGCAGAAGCGCGGGTCGCTAAAGCTGCCTTGGCCAACGTACGCCCCCGAAAGTCTAATGGAACCTCCTCAGCTGAGCTCTCGCTCGGTTTCGGGATCCGGTATTTGGCATAAGGTGATCAATTAAATGAGTTGGCAATCATAGGCGATAGATTGTGGCGGAATTTCAAGGGGAAGAGGAAATAGACAAAACGGGGATATAAAGAGAATCATCGAGTACAATTCATCATAATCAAAAGCACCAAATAAAAATTCCAATTCGCAAATCCCTTGTCCGAAATACTATGGCGAACGCAGTCACCTTGCCTGTTGGCAATTTTGACGTGGATGGCAGCGGTATCGCAAGATACTCTTTCCCCGTCAATACGCCCAAGGGTATCACACCTGGCAGCACTCCCCAGATCTCACTCGAGTATTGTCAAGGTGCTCCGAATGGTATCCTAGGTACAGGTTGGTCTCTTGGGGGATTGTCGACAATTCGCCGCCAAGCCGCCCGCCTGGCCTTGAACAGTCTCAATGCGCAACAAGACTATGATCGTACGGTACCCCGGCTGGCTCTGGACGGCACTGAACTGTTGTTGATTCAAGGGGATAACTACAATTCTTCCAATGCCGTCTATAAAACAGAAATCGACAGCCACGGGGAGACGGTTTATACGACATCATCTGGTTACACTGCTCGAGACACTCTCGGCGCGCGTCGAGAATATGAAGCGATTCTCTCCTCAGAACCCACTGGCCAGGCTTCTGAATGGCGCATACGGAGGCAAATTGATCGATATGGAAATTTCGTTCAATTCAATTATGATAGTCTCGCGGGTGACAATTCCTCCTATCTTACCAGCATCGTCTACACATCCAATGAAAAGACTGGTCTGGCTGGTACCCGATTGATTCTATTGGAATATACTCCAAGGGATGATCTCGTCGTGCACACATCTTATGGAGACAAAATTACCTCCGCCCATCGCTTAGCACGTATTCACGTTGCGGTCGGGACCCTGGAGAAATTTGTGGCAACACGTGTCTATGAAATGGAATACACCTGCTCGCCGAGCTCTGGATCTTCTTTGTTGCGATCAGTCACCGAAGTCGCAGGCTCAGGAACGCGCTTGATTCCAACAATTTTCAAATATACTGCCGCTTCTGAGCAGCAAGAGAGCTTCTCCGGCCTGGACGAGGAATCCCAAACCTTGACCCAAACCTCTGACAATGTCGCACTTCTTACTTTGAACGTTAGTGGGCGATCTCTCGGGGACCTGGGATGTGTTCGATACGACTCCAGAGCGGGGAACTTTAGCATCAAGACATACCTGGCGCAGCCTCGCAGAGGATCGCAGAAAGATCATCCTCCTGCCATCGAGTGGTCTCCATCGCAGGGACCTGGTGCGGAAGCTGCTCTGCCGTCCACCGCCATGGGCAAATCCACGCCAAATTTCTTGTCCGGCGATTTGAACGGAGACGGACTCACTGATATGATTATCCCTTTTGAAGACACGAATGGCAATCTTTGCTTCTCCATATCTCGCTCGACAGGTAGTGGCTACGAGGACTACATACTGAAGCCAACGGGCTGCAGCTGGACTCCTGACTCTCGTTTTCTATCGCTAGATCTGACCGGTAATGGCTGCACGGATATTCTGCAAATCTATCCGTATGCTGGAAAGCTGCATTTCCGGCTGTTCTCTGCGATTAATGAAAGGGGGACAGACAACTCTCGCAAACCCTATCGAGACAAGCACTACATTTGATTTTTCACACACAGTTGACTGGTTGCAGATGGCCACATATCGTGACGGCTCGTATAGCCTGGTCCGTGTGTGGGCTGATGATCAGGGCATGGGTGTTAATGACTTGAGAGCCACTACATTCACCTTGCGGCCACAATCAATGGATGCACCTCAGGGAACGCTTATTCCATCATCAGATGCGTCGCTTGGAGTGTTCAGAATTGACCAAACGCCAAAAATCACCGTCCTCCCATGTGATATCAACGGCGATGGTGTACAAGACCTCGTTGTATCTCTTGTGGAGACGGAATACAGGGGTGTTGACATCGCAATTCGCATGAACTTCACAACATTCCTCAACAACGGCATGGGCGGCTTCTCCCAGCAGGGTGAACCTCAGATATATTCCCACATCACCGAGCCGGGCCGTGCGCCATCAGGCAAAGGGGAAAATGTATGTGACGGATCTCCGAGGCACCAATTATCCATCACTTGCCTATGTGTATCAGGAGCTCCACAGCAACAATTATGTTTCCTTACTATCCCAAGGTTCTTCATCCGGTCTTATCAGACCCCCAAAGTGGTATCATATTGCTGAAAAGAGTCAACTGCCTATGGGCGACCTAGAGATAATACCAGCGGATCTCAACGGAACCTCTTTGGCCGATTGGCTTTTCTACGGCATTCTTAATGATGCAGTTACCGTCCATCCAATCTACAATACCGGAAAGGTCTGCGAAGACTTTCTGTCATCTGTTCGGAGCCCCATGGGACTGTCCACATCGTTCACATATGCTCCCATGACCAACGCCGACATCTATGAGTCTGCTCTGCCGCGGTCGCTCAATACTCAATCCGTCAAGCGAGGTGCGCATACTGTGAAAGGATCGCCTAGCTACGTTGTCGCTGAGATTCGGAGTACAAATGATCCATCTGTCAACAGCATCAAGTACAATGATATTGTTCAGAAAAAATACTATGGAGCCCGAGTGAGCCCCCGAGGTTACGGCTGGGAAGGTTTCTCGCGTATCGCGAGCTACCATCCTCTAAGCGATGACACCACGATCGATCATTATCAACAATCTTGGCCGTTTACGGGATGCAAACGACAGATCGATCAGATCCAAGGCCGCGAGAATGATGGAGTGTTGCTCCAATCGACGAATATCACCTATGAAGAAAGATCGCAGGAGCTAGGAGGCAAGAAAATCTTCCGGGTGAGCAAGACTGCCGAGGTCCAGACTGGAATGGACAATGGATTGCCTGCACGATCATTTAGTCGCACATTTGAGTATGATGCTCAAGGGAATGTTGCTTTGGAATGCTCAAAAGAACTGGACGAGCACACTCTCTGGACGAGATATGAATACACCACTGTTGGGTCTTCATCTGGTCTCCCTACTTCAAAAAAGATGTCCACGAAGGAGTTGAATGTCAACATGAGTTCATTTGAGAAAGGGGACTTGCGTCTGTCGCTCTTCGAGTACCACTCAGAACATGGAACAGTGAGTACCGCTCGAGAGTGGTTATCTGATCATGCATGTTTCGCCGAGCAACACTTCGAGTATGACATTTATGGCAATGAAATATTCAACAAAACCACATCTGGGTTGGAGGTTCGGACCGAATACGATGCTATGTTTCAATGCTACCCTGTCAAGATTCGCGAAACTGGGCCTGGTATAGACCATGTGCGTCTGTCAGGATACGATGCCCGGTTTGGTCATGAGGTGGCTTGTCGTGAAACAAAAGGTGCTCTCAAGATCAGCGAATATGATGAGTCTGGCCGTTTGCTCCGGTCTGGAAACTCTGAAGATGAATCAAATTGCCAGAACTCAGCTCAAGAATTGCTGCCAGCCACCCACTTTATTGCCGAGTCCGAGTTGACGACCCTCCTGTCAAGTGCACGGATTTGTTCCAATAAGTCCTTGCAATACGATCGACTCGAGACCCCTTCCAAATCACAGTATCTACGCACAATGACCAAAGTTCACTTTCGAGAAGGCTTGGAGGGGCAGGATACCGTCGAAGAGGCCGTGGATTGCACTGGACGTGTTTGCAAGCAGCGCAAACAACAGGGAACCTCTCTCCCGGTATGGCAGCACTTCGAGTATAACACTCAAGGCTACCTCACAACCCAAAGTCTACCACAGAAGCGGGCTGATAACGGAGCGTCTAACTGGGATTTGAATCCCACCCCGGAACAACAAATTCGATGCCAGTATGATTGCCTCAAGCGGCCCATCAGCATTTCAAAGCCCTCGCATCAACAAAATGGAAATTTTTCTGTCGTCTCCCGCAACATATACCAAAAGGGAGGGTCCCACGTTGCTCACGTGGTGGAAAGAATTCCTTCTAGCCTTGAGCAAGGACAGCCAGCAGCTACCATTTATCTGTCTCGAACGGAGAGCTTCTATACTCAAATTAATGGAAGCGAAAAGCTAAGCGCCAAGATAAACGAGAAGGGCGAGTGCACTAAGTTTACATACGATGCCATGGGCCGGATGGTGACCTCCACTGATGCAGCAGGCAAAACTGAAACTCGGAGCTACAATACTTCAGGAAAGATCTTGGAAACCCATGACCCATACCGAAACGTGGTCATTCGCACCTACAGCCCTTCCGGTGACTTGATCGGTGAGCGCAATAGTTTGAATGAATATACAACTCATGATTACGATGCCAAAGGTCGCCGTGTCAAGTCCGTCAATGAAAATGGTCGTGAAATATCATATGAATATGATAGGGGTTGCAGAGACGGCCTCTCTCGCGTGATCTTTGCAGCATCATCTGATAGCCAGATTAATGATGCAAGCTGGGAATACCGATATGATTCCCAAGGAAGAGTGACAAGATCCATTCTTTGCACTGGTCCAGATGAGACTTTCTCTGTGAATCTATCATATGACTGGCAGGGTCAGGTCATCTCCCGGAGCTTCTTTGATGGATCTTCACTGAAGACTTCTCATCAAGGAAGTCGAGTCGGACGGGTTGCATTTTCCGGCGACGAATGGAACGTGGAAGCTGAAATGCAGAGCTACAACGCATTTGACAAGCCTGAGCAGTGGTCTATTCATGGATGTGGCCTGAAGGATTTCCAGGGAACAATGCAAACGGACCAGGTCGGATTCCCTCTTACAAATTCCCTGCGCAATTCAGACGCATCGTTGGTCGAAAATCATTTCATCTACAATGATCTCGATCAGCTCAGTCGAGTTCATGAGTTCATCTCTGGAAAGACGTCGGACTATACGTACGAGGGTAGCCGGCTTGTCACCTCCCAAGGCCAGACCGGGCCCTTGACCAAGTACGCCTATGATTTGTCTGGTAATCTCACTCAGAAAGGTGATATGATTCTACACACCAGTCCTGAATGTATGGAGGGAAAAAATGGTGAGAAGTCAGTTGTTCGTGTTCAATACGACGAGGCCGGTCAAATGATCTCGCGCGAGCTGCCGCAGCAATCCAAGGCACATTCCTTCTCCTATGATGGATTTGGAAATATCGCCACCATCACAGATACAATCAACGGGAAGACTAGCCACATTCTATCCGATGGACAGGGCAATACTCTCATCCGAACTCCGGAGGACGGATCCCGTGAGATTCAATTTACTCGCGAGTTCAGCTTGTTGATTCGCCCAGATCGGTCCCAACAACTTCGTCGTCGGATGTTTGGTCCAGACAAGCGATTGCTGGCCACCATTATGACCGAAAAGCCATGTGAGAAAGATCTAAAGACGACTCATATTGCTCGAGTAGCATTCACAGATGCTAAAGGCAATGTGACACATCTATTTGGCAGCGACGGAAAGCTCTGCCACAGTATGGAATATGATGACTTCGGCAGTCTATCGCCGTCTGATGCTCCGCTGTCGTCAACTTACGAGGCTAACGCCATGGATGCCAATACATGCCTAATTGACTTTGGTGCACGCTGGTACGATCCAATGGTCGCTCGTTTTGCGACACCGGATGACATATTGGATGAGAAATCACTTTCGAACGTCGATGGAATCAATCGATATGCATTCGAAAACAATGACCCAATCAACCATGTCGATCCTACGGGGCACTGGGGCTCCAGTTTCTGGAGTGGTCTGCTTCTGGGTCTGACTTTATTGGCAGTCGGTGTGGCAATTGCTGCAACGGGAGGAGCAGGAATTGGGCTCGCAGCGTGAGTAACTCAACATGGATTTCCACCATTACCTATGATATTTTCCAGCTAACACAGATCTTGCTGCAGACTATCGGGTGCTCTGATCAGCGGTGGACTGGCCGCGGTTCAATACTCATGGGAACACCGAGAGGAGAAAGACGCGGGCAAATTCTGGGCAGGCTACGGAGCTACTCTGGCGGTTTCATTTGCCACCGGAGCAGCTTCAGGAGCTTTCGGCGCCTACATATCATCTTCAGCATCGTTGACAACGAGCTGCAGTCGTGTGTTTGCCAAAGGTGCCGTCGAAGTCATCAACAAGCCTGGGAAGATTCTGGCCACCTTCGTCATTGTAGCATCAAAAGCACTCGTCAGCGGTCTCACTGGTGCAATCGTTCAAATGGGCCAGAACCTTATTCAACGTGACATCTACGGAGCGAAAGTTGGACTGTGGGATGGAGTTGGCTCTGCAGGTCTAACCGGACTTCGGAACGGCGCGCTTACTGCTTTGAGTACCGCGTACTGGACATGGAAAGGCCAGGATCAACTCAATCGCGTCACAGCAACAATCAAGGGAACTTGGCAGTACGACGATTGCTTGAATCCGAATGTCTTCAATCCAGAGTATGATCACGTCTTCAAGCCATTTGTGTATACAGATCCAGTGGCGAACAATGTTTCAGCACAGGCTGGCAAGTCATTCTCCAACGTGAACTGGGAAAATCCATTCGGTCGATAGTTTCACTACCGGTCGAAGTTTTTACCGGTCCGCATGGTATGTTTTACGTAGATTGGTGAGGTGGCATGTCTTAGTTTTCTGTCAATTCAAGATTATTTTGCTCTTACAACTTCTTTTTCTTGTTGAATTGTCGATTTTCATTGGAATGGGACTTGCCTTGTCCCAAAGCCTCAACAACCCTCCTAGTGGCAGGCATATGTACCGGATAATGCCTGGCAATGGTTGACTTTCCTTTTCCGGTTTAGTGCTCACTCGTTGTCCCTTTTGATCACCGGGTAGAATTGAGCACAGCCTGAAGCGGCCTGCCAGTACAAGTACGTTTATTAGTGCAACGGTTGCCTTTCATATAAATTTATAACATCGTAAAAGAGTGACTGTGCATAGCATATGAACAAGATCATCGGACTACTACCGACAAAACCAGCCCAAATACATGATTATTCATCCCCAATCAACAACGGTGCTCGACCTCCAGGACCGAGTAATTCAAGTACCTTCTATAAAACACCACACGCTCAACTCAAGTCAACATCCATGCGTAAACACCTTAGATGTACTCCCAGGCAAGATGGTCAGAGGTGACGTTCAGGCTAACGGCAAGAGCGTCAAAGCCAAGGCAGTCAGAGACCTTGCCAGAAGGAACAGTAGCGTTCGACAGAGCGGCGTACACCTGCCACTGAGGAGCCTGGGATGAGCGACCAGCAGCGCTCATGGGGGTGGCAGTAGCCGAAGGGCTAGCCGAGGAGGACGAAGGAGCCTGAGGAACAGGGCAAGCCATGAAGCCCGAGGCACCCTGGCCAGAGTAAGTCCAGGTGCCAACCGGCTGGCCAGGAGAGTAGTTGAAGGGGCCAATGGAAGAGCCAGGAGGAATGTATGCCGAGTGGGGAACAGTGAAGCTCAGAGCGCCAGTTCCATCAACGTAGATCTGCTGGCCACCGGGGACAATGACGTCCAGAGCGTTGCCGCCGTAGATGATGGTGTCGTTCTGCTTGTAGCAGCTAGCTCCGACACCGGAGGGGCAGTAGGTCTGCGACTTTCCACCGAGCCAAAAGTGGCCGCCGGAGGCTGTCAAAGAGAGGAAGTGAATATCGGAGCCGGAGCGAGCGGCGGTCACGCCGAAGGGGCCGTTAGAGGACTTGGAGGTGCGCGAACCGGGGAGCGCGGCAGCCAGGGAAGCGAATGACAGAATGGCGGAGACCTTCATCTTGAAAGATTGTGCTTGTAGCGAAAGTGTTGATGTATGTCTATTAAGTGTACAGTTGTTCTAGAGGGGACTCCAGAGGGGACTGCGAGGAAGAGAAGCTTTATATCCCATCCGTACTCTGCCGGTACCCACTCAATGATCCCCATGTGCCAGGGCAGTGCTTCCATATGGCTCCATATCGGAGAGATCGACTAGACTACGACGCAATGTACAGGACGACGGACGGCAGGCTGATATCATTGCTTGGCGATGTTTACACCAATGTGGAGTCGCCTTGCACGTAAAGGTTTCCCGGAAAGTTCAGAGTTAGGAAGAGCAGCAGCTCGCTTCGAACAATAAAGCCGGACTAGTTGCCTGTTTGGTAGCTTCTCCAGGGTCGTCAGGAAAGCCAGCTACCAATTGGGGCAAGTGGTGCTAAACGGTGAGACACGCAGAGACTACGTGAAAGTGATCGACACGCCTCTTCCACAGGTGCCGGTGCCTGGTCTGGTGTATTGTCTCATCCCACCTCGCGATCGAGATCGAGATGGACAAGTTGCAGGTACATTAATCTGTGCCGCGATGAGCAGATTGACATTGTCGAGACCGCGCTGAACTCGCCGCTCGCGATCCGAGCCAAGACCCTGATGGGTGGAGGGTTTCATCGAAATCAAAGTGACGCAGAGAGCAGTAGGGATCGACGTAGCACCAGTGGAGCGAGGGACCAGGAACGAAAACCTGCGCGCTATCTTTGGTGTGGCTCAACCCGAGCGAGTTAACGGAATGTCTGCAGTTTCCAAGGGTCCACCGTGTCTCGGACGGCTTGATATCACGGAGGTGTGATGATCGAGACATCAAAGTGTAGGCAACGGCGTCCCCCTATCGCGAGCCCAGGTTTCTACCCGCGATCTGATCATCCATCGTTTCAGCGACAGCATATTTATTTCTTCTCAGGGTCTGCGGAGATCGGATGGTGGAGCCACCGAATCGTCTAGAAGCGGAATCAATCTATGACGAGACAGCGAGGTGACCCGCGTGCCAGGGGATCGGCGCCGCCATAGACGCCTCTGGGATGTGAAAAACAGCACTCCTTGATTTAGCCCGTGTCTTAGCTCTGAAGAAAGCCGGCTGTGGCGCTAGGCCTTGGATGTTTATTTTTAAGTTTACATCTGAGAAATCGAATTAGGCTACAACGATAGCTAAGGATATCATCACAGTCTATTATACACCCAAGCAGGTGCTGCAAAAATGCCCAACGCCTAATCTCTGTATAAATTACATCATAGAAGAAACAACAACAATAGAGGCGCTCAAAACTCCGCTACCAACGGCAAATCCCGCGAGCTCTTCCCAGCCCAGATACGGAACTTACCGTCAGTCGGCATAATCCAGTTCTGCGCCCGAACACTCCAGTAACTTAAATCCTTACGTGACAACGTCATATTCACCGTCCTCGTTTCGCCGGGATTGAGCTCAATCTTGGAGAAGTTCCGGAGAACGCGATCGGGGAAGTCGATTTCCTCACGGGCCCAGCCAAACCCGCGGTGTTCGAGGACGTGGTCCGGGAAGGAGACGTAGATCTGCACCACTTCTTTGCCAGGACGCGTGCCAGTGTTGGTTACGTTCACGGAGAGTTCGAGCATGGCTTCGTATAAAGATGGGTTCCCTCCGGGTCCGCCGCCTGCTTCTGAGGGCTTTTGCTTTTTCTTGTAGCCTTCTGGGTAGGGGTATGAGCCGGGCTTGGTCCCGGAATGGCTGAGGAGGTAGGGGTAGATGTATTTCCCAAGAAGCTTGAAGCCGTGAGGGACTATCGAATCACTGGGATTCCCGGGGTTTTCATCGTAACTGGGAGGGTTGGCTGCATCCTCTGGACGAGGTCCGGGGAGTCGCGACTTGTCCTGGATTGGCTGGAGCTTGAGCGATGAGAAGTCGAAAGTCGTGTATGACAGGCCGAAGCCAAACTCGTATCGCGGCGTGATGTTGTAATGGTCGAAATACCGGTAGTCGATGTACAGCCCCTGTTCGAAGTTGACTTGAGGAACGGGGTCCCCGGTCTCGTACAGCACCTGCGCGCCCGGGCCGTAGTCCTCCAGAGAGTGTCCGATTGTGTACGGCAGGCGTCCGCTGGCATCAACGTCACCGAATAGCACATCGGCCAGGGCATTCCCGCTTTCTTGCCCAGGGAGATTGGCGTAGACGACGGCATGAACACCTGGCAGGTCGATCCAGGGGTCAAGCACGACGGGGCCGATCGAATGTACCACGACGACTGTCTTGCCTCGGCCACCTCCGCAATGACGGGCCACACGCTCGATCAGTGCGATGCCATTCCTCTGTAGGAATAGATCGTTGCGGTCTCCATCGATGCCGTCATTCTTGATGAAGCCTTCACCTCCGTCAGAGTTGGCAAAGACTACGCACAAATCCTGTTCCGTCACGTCCTCCACGGCCACACCGTTGGTCAAATATCCCTGCACATCTACTGTCTCTGCTGACCATGCGGATCGTAAAGCGTCCCAGGGGGTTACCAGGTATGGAAAGTCGACCGCCCCGCTACCCCATCCAGAAGCAAGAGTACCTTGATTGCAACCCCGGTCAGGGCACGCGTTGGGTCCTTTGCCAGGACCAGCATCTTCCCCATAGATACCAATGCGATATTTTCCATCGGGTTTGGATACATCGCGAGAGAATGGAAGCGTATCATTGTCATTCTTCAACAGCACAGTGCCCTCTGCAGCCACCTTGCGGGCCACAACGGAGTGCGCCCGAGATCCACTGCCCTGTGCATCGACAAAGTGGTTGACTACCTCCTTGGTAAGATCGTCAGGGCTGCCTGGGTGCAAACCGCCGACCCTCTCCTTGGTCCACGAAGAGAAATTCGGGCCACCGTCACTCTCCGGCGGAGGCCGGTGCCAGTGATCCTGGCGGAAGTGGAACCAGGCAGCGACAATGCGGGTGACCATATCGTTGATTCGACTCACAGGAACCGATTCGTTCAGTACTGCGCGAGTTAAATGGGGACCCCAGAGCGGATCACCATCGGCCCAACGGAGGCCATCCCCGGGCATACTCATGTCGAGACCACTGAGAGCACTCTGCACGCCTGATCGTTGAGCAAGCCAATCGGACTGCACGAAGCCCTGGAATCCGAGCTCATCCTTGAGAATTCCATTTAAGAGTTTGCTGTTCTCACACGAGTGGCTGTTGTTAACCTGCTGATATGCGCACATTACGCTGGCAACATCAGCGCGCACGCTCTCGGCGAACGGCCAAACGAAGACCTCGTGCAAGGTACGATCGTCAATGTTCGACGAAAGTGCTGTGGGGATACCCCACTCGAAGGGCTGACGGAAGTGTTCCTGTTCATTCATAACGAAGTGCTTGGCTGTTGCCATCACACCGTTGCGCTGAATACCCTGAATTGTCTCAGCAGCAGCCACGGCTTGTAAAACAGGGTCTGATCCAAAAGATTCCCAGTTACGACCACCGGCAGGCATCATGCCTAGCGGACCCATTGAAGGTCCGAGGATCACGTTCACTCCTTTAAGACGGGCTTCCAGCCCCATAGCTAAACCACGCTCACGCATGAGCTCGCGATTCCAGGTCGCTCCTGTGGTGATCCCAGCAGGGAATGCAGTGATGTTCTGTGCATATCTCAAACCCAAAGGACCGTCCTGAAGGCACAGCGATGGGAATCCAGCCAGTTCAGCGGGACCTTAAAAGCGCATCAGTATCCCAAACTTGTAACAAATAGATAGATTTTCCATACCAGTATTCCCAACACAAAGACCCATCTGCCATCCCGTCCCAGTCGTAACATTGACCTTCTCCACAAGCGTCATCAGCTCCACCATACCCTGCGCCTTGGAATAACTCTCCTTCCACGCAGCATCCTTGCCTCCTAATGGAGTAGGGTACCAAGGTATAGATCCCTGTATCCGTCAGCAACCAGTTTTATCAAAAGAAGGATCCCACCCAGCGTCGTACAACAACAGCCAGTTCAGATCAGGAGGAACCATACATATTCCTTTCTAGAACTGTCAGCCTTCATCCAGGACAGGCCCTGCATCGCAAGCCACATCAATCCAATGGCAGCCACGCCCAGCGGAATCGCATGCCACCATTTCTTCAACGGGAGCAAAGCTCTTAATCCCGACATCCGGCCTCGGACCTCCTTATCTCTCGGTTTCCCTCTCGAACCTTTAACAAGGGGAATCCCGTAATCGTCATCGTCACTGAGAACAAAGTTTGAGTTCCCATCCTCCAAGTCCGTGTCAAACGACTCCTGAAGCATATCCTTCCTCTCGCGATCCAAAACCTGCTCAATGAAGTGGCCGACATCCACATCCTGTTCGTCGCTGGGTACATCCACAGTTGGGAGACTGGCACTCGCAGATGCAGGCTCGTGGTGTGATTCCGTTCGTTTCCCTCCTTTCGCAGACAGTAGGTTCACATCGTCCTCGCCCTCAGCTTCATCTTCAGACTCGCCACTGAACAGTCCAGCGCCTGCAGCTCCTTTGTCATGGCGAACTTCTTCAAAACTATCTTCCGAGACTAGCAGCGACTCGTCATCGGAAGCATCGTTCTGTACCGACTCGTAGCCCTTTCGACGCGTCGAGGCTCCGGCGGGGCCGTTTCGGGTCATTGTGCTCGTGTGCTTGGCGTGTAGAGAGATGTTTCATTTATCGGCGACAGGGGGCGTGCATGCTGCACGTTAAGGCATTGAAGGGTCGTTCAGGGCGTAGCGGTCGGTTTCCGGGGTCTGTCAGTAGATTTAGTGATATCGTCTGGAAATTTCGAGGTTCAAAGTAAGAAGCTCAGGGATGGTCAGGTGACCTCACGTAATGTCACTGCGGTTCCCGGCGATCGCACCTGGCGGGCTACGCGTAGTTTTTTAAGCCCAGCTTTTGGGAGGTAATTCGTACCGAAGGCTCGAATAGCGGGAAGAAAATTGTTACACAGGTACTGGAAGATTTAGATATCGATAGACGAAGACAGAAATCGTATTATAAACAGAACTTTTGCTCAATAGAACAGTGGAATATAACCAGCGACGGTACTATCCAAAGATGCGTGTATCTACCAAATGACAAAAACAAACCCGAACGCCGTCTATCTAGGTCCCATGCAAGCAACAAATGACAAAGGTTCTCATGCAACGAAAATATCATCAGTAAAGACCATTACGCATCAAATTGCTCTGCAAGCAAATTACTCTTCGTCATCGGTATCAACGGGCTTGGGAGTTCCCTTGGGGGAGTTGAGCTGTGAAATAATTAGCAACCGTTCGGGGGAAAAAAGTGTGTATAAATGAACTCACCCATTCAATGTGACGCAAACGACGGCGAGCCTCGCGATCTTTTTGCTGAGCACGGGTCATCTTCTTCTTCTTCTTGGCGCGGAACTTGAGCTCGCCTTCCTCATCGCCAGAGTTGACCGCTGAAGGAGCAGCGCTGGTGTTAGCCGAAGCGACGGACGGGGTACCGGCGCCAGAGGGCGATTTGGTGGCGCTGTCCTCGAAGCGGTCCAGGCTGACGGCGTTGTTGGTGCGGCTGACAACACGGCCGTCGGCGATGTGCAGCTGCTCGGGGCAGAGAGCGCCCACGAACTCCTCATTGTGAGAAATCATAACAACACCACCCTTGAAGTCACGGATGGCAACAGCCAGACCGCCAAGTGAGTCACGATCCAAGAAGTTAGTCGGCTCGTCAAGCACCAGCAAGTGGGGGTTGTTCCACATCGCACCGGCCAGCACGACCTTGACCTTCTGACCACCGGACAGACCGGAGATCTCATTGTGGTTGGCGATCTCGGGGTCGAGACCGATGTCCTCGAAGTGCTTGGAGATGATCTTGGGCTCCAAGACACGGAAGCCCAGACCTTCACGCGAAGCCTCGTGATCGTCGAACTCCTGGACCATCTTGAAAAAGCCCAACTCGCACAGGGTCTCACGAGAGATCATGGTGTTGTGCTTGGGGAGCAGGCCATACCACTTGACCTCATACTGGAAGGACTTCTTCCACTTTTGACGACCGATCAGAGCCTCGATGCGGCGTCCGCCACGGCCATCTCCTAGATCCACGGGCTTCTCCAGCTGCGCCTTGTCGGCCTCGGTCAGGATACGGGTCTGCTTGAGGAAGACCTCACGGTCGTCACCGTTGGCATAACGCCACTGCAGGTACTGGCTGGGAGTCTTCTCGAGATGCATCTCAACGTGCTCAAGGGCGTGCTGCTTGATGTAACCGATACGCAGGTTGGGGTGCTTCTCGACCTTGCCGCCCTGGGGAATGGTCTCACCGGTCAACATCTTGATGAAGGTGGACTTGCCAGCACCGTTTCCACCGATGATGGCCACACGGGAGGAAAGGGAAAGAGAAAGGGAGGCATCCTGGAGAGATGGCTTGGGAGCACCGGGGTAGGTGTACGTGCAGTTGCTCATACGTAGAATAGCGCGAGTGTTGGACTTGATACCAGACAGGATACCGGGAGGGGGGAACTTGAACTGCACGTTGGATGCCGAGAGGGTGTAGTAGCTCTTGCCCTCGGGCTTGACCTTGACGAAATCGGCAAGATTACCAGGGTAGCAGACAAGTTTCTTCTGCTCGTAGTGGTAGATGTCGGTGCAGACCTCGTCGAGGAAGCCGGAGTCGTGAGAAACAATCAAACTGGTGATGTCGGTGTGCTTCTTCAGGTACTCCTGTAGCCATTTGACGTTGGCAACATCCAAGTGGTTAGTCGGTTCGTCCAGTAGCAGGACGTCCGCCTTCATGAGCATGGCACGGGCCAGAGCGAGCTTCATCTTCCAACCACCAGACAGGGAACCGACGGGCTGGGACTGGCGACCCTCGGGGCCGTCGGTGAAACCGAACTCCAGAAGAACCTCCTTGATGTGCTCTTCGCCCTGGGTGGCGATCTGCGGGTCTTTGGAGACATAGGCCAGAATGCTGAGGTCGGCATCCTCACCCTGGTTGTGCTCCACGAAGCAAGTGCGGACCTCATCAGGCGGGGGGAAGCCCTCCAGCTTGTCATTGGCGATACTGCGCATGAGGGTCGACTTTCCGGCACCGTTGCGGCCGCAGAGACCGTAACGGTGACCCTTGACCAGACGCAGGTTGGTGTGAGACAGGAGGAGCATACCTCCGTATGCGAGAGAGAAGTTGGCATTGACAATGACAATCTCGTTGGGGTTGGTCTGAACAGGCTTGCCATAGATACGCTCATCCTCAGCGACATAGTGGGCCTGAACGGCAGTGACAAGAGGCTCTATCTGGTCATCCGCAAGAAGGCCACGCAAGTACGGGCCAAGGGAGGAAGGAATCCGGTCGTGCATGCGACAGTTGACATCCTCGCGGATCATGCCAGCAATGAAGTTCTTAGCCAGGTCGAGGAACTTGGCATCGCCGAAGCCAGTGAGGCCACCGTGCTCCTGGAACTTGGGGTTCAGAACACCGAGAACATCATCGACAGTAGTCTTCGAGATACTACCCATGGCAACGTCCTTGTCGGCCATGGCCTTCTCCATGACATCGAGTGCCCGAGTGGCCAACTCACGGACCTCAGGAAGAGAGGCACGATCCTTGACGCCCTTCACACCCGGTTGGAGTTTGGGAAGGAAAGTACGGGCCTCGGCGGGGTCGTGGACCAGCTTGGTCAGGTTCTCCACGACAACAACGGTCTGGCGGAGAGTTTCTTGGGGGGTAGCCGGGGTGTTGAGAGAACGCTCGAGCAGAGGGGTCAGGAGTGCGAGGACGGGGGAGGTGACAATAGCGACGAAAGTGGTCTGCGAGAGAGCGTGAATAGCCTTCTGAAGAGTTTGGGCCGAGGGCTGCTCCATGGTCTTGATCAAGAGCGGGATGCGGGGAGCAACGTCGTCGTTATCGAGAAGAGTGGTGAGGGCGTTCATGGTCTTGGTGGCCTGCTTCACAACTTCGCTCTTCAGGTCGTGCATGCCAGACTCGACGATGGGGATCAACTCCTTCAGAGTCTTGCCCATGGCCTCGCGCAGGACGTCCTTCTCGCGCTCTTCCTCAATAGCACCGGTGCCCATCTGCGCCTTCGCAGCCATCTTACCAAGAAGGGCATAACCACCAACGAATCCCTGCCACTTACCGGAGCCCTTGCTGAGATAGGACTCCAGGCACGGCAGAAGACCGTTCACCATAGCCTCAGGGCTCAGGCAACCGAACAGAGCGTCGACGGCGTATTGGGCAGCATCGCGCACAACGGCGCCTTTGTCGGCAAGAGAATCCAGGACCACATCAAGAATACCACCGTTGTTCAGGAGAAAGACAACCTCACTGAGAGGGTATTCGCGAGGGAAACGCTCGAATAGAGCGCCGATGATCAACATGGCACTCTCGCGGCGAGCTCCGTTCTTCTTATCGGTGGCGGCTTTCTTGACATCAGCCAGAACATTATAGTTCAGGAGACCAGCGCAGCCGGCGCCCTGAATAATCAGGTTGGCCAAGGCATAAGAGCCATCAAGAGACTGTTGGGAAGTCTCTGCGTTGAAAATAGAGTTGAGAACGGAAGAAATCTCTTCGGTGGTAGGGGGAACCCCAGAGGGGCCCTTCGCGACAACAGTAGGCATGACGGCGGAACCAGAGGGCGACTCGATGTGTGGCATGATCTGATGCGAGACTCGAAAGGTCTGGCAGTTTCAATAACCCAAAGGGCAGGATGAATAGGCCGTGCAAATCGAGGGGGCCTCGAACAATAGGAGGCGAGGGAAAACTCCCGGACCAGCAGGACAAAGAGGGGAGAGGCACCAAGTGAAGATCAGAAAAAGTGTCTAGAATGAGAGTATGAGGCGCACACGCAGCGACAGAATCAGACTGCTATAACCCGCCTGGTCTGTACAAGTATGGAGGGGAAAGGAGAGCAGCGCGGCGCCGATCGGGCTTATCCACACAATTTTTTTTTTTGTTTGGGAGGCGACGGCTGGCATGCGCCAATCAACGCCTCCGGCTTTGGCATGGGATGAGACTAACCTGATCGAGATAAGCCTTATCTGTTCCTGCCTCAGGTGTCATTTAATCCCTGGATAATGAGGCATCACATCATGTGATCACACCGATCACAGGCCAGCACGTGTTCACGAAGGTGCATACGTAAATCGGGCGAATTGAGCTCCTTGACCGGAATACAGATACAATGGAACCTACTCCAATCTCAGTGCTTAGGCCCACCCTTCCATCCGAGACCGCTGTTCCGTATGCCCTCGGTGCCCGAGGCCTAGGCGGTTAGCGAGCGGCTCTCAACAGATGGACTTGATATTGCCCAATTTCAGGATTTTCAACATATAACAAAACGAATAGATTGAGTAGATAAACCCGATATATTCCCGCTCAATATCTCCATGTATCTACGGCGTGGTTTGTTGAGAAAGGCCGATTTCGCTGTCCGCATGCAGCCGCACCGGGCCTCGGTAGAACGGTCGTGGAAGCCCCGCGCCCAACCGACGCTGCGGTCGGATGTTTCTTAGCCTTGGTCGATCACAACTACCTTTTTTCCCCTTCGCCCTGCTGCTTTCTTGACATCGGCCACCCTCTCCCCCACGAACATATACATATCGACCGTTTGGCATCGCTCCAGCCCTTTTCTGCTTCTGTTTGCCCCCGCAATTGACTATCCCGCCCCCACACTTCTACCCCGGACCCATACACACAATGGCCCTGAGCTTCAGAACCACCCGCCATGCCACCAGGTTGGCCCAGGTAAGTTTCAAAGCAGTTTGAACGCCGGAGCGTAGGCAGGTGTTACAGAAGAACAATTCCATTAACGATAACATTCAGGCCGCGCGACCGCTCTTCTCGGCCCGCCACTACGCGACTGCCGAGCCCGACCTGAAGACTGCCCTGAAGGAGGTCATCCCCGCCAAGCGCGAGCTCCTTCAGAAGGTCAAGGCCCAGAGCGATGAGACCATTGGTGAGGTCAAGATTGGCAGTGTCATTGGAGGCATGCGTGGCCTGAAGGCTATGCTGTGGGAGGGATCGGTGCTGGACGCCGACGAGGGTATCCGGTTCCACGGCAAGACGATCAAGGATTGCCAGAAAGAGCTCCCCAAGGGCACCACTGGAACCGAGATGCTCCCAGAAGCCATGTTTTGGCTGCTCTTGACCGGTCAGGTTCCCTCCACCTCCCAGGTGCGCGCCTTCTCCAAGGAGCTGGCCGAGAAGTCCTATCTCCCCTCTCACATCCTGGACTTGATCAAGTCTTTCCCCAAGTCCATGCACCCAATGACCCAGCTGTCAATCGCCGTCGCTGCTCTGAACACGGAGTCCAAGTTCGCCCAGGCCTATGAGAAGGGCCTGAACAAGGCCGAGTACTGGGAGCCTACTTTCGACGACTGCATCTCGCTGCTCGCCAAGATTCCCCGCGTTGCTGCGCTGGTCTTCCGCCCCAACGAGATTGATCTCGTCGGCAACCAGACCCTGGATGTTGCCCAGGATTGGTCTTACAACTTTGCCGAGCTTCTGGGCAAGGGCGGCGCCGAGAACAGTGACTTCCACGACCTTCTCCGCCTGTACCTGGCCCTGCACGGTGACCACGAGGGTGGAAACGTTTCTGCCCACGCTACTCACCTGGTCGGTAGCGCCCTGAGCGATCCTTTCCTCAGCTACAGTGCCGGTCTTCTGGGTCTCGCTGGCCCCTTGCACGGATTGGCCGCCCAGGAGGTCCTCCGCTGGATCATGCAGATGCAGGATAAGATCGGCACCAAGTTCACCGATGAGGACGTCCGCACTTACCTGTGGGATACCCTCAAGTCTGGCCGTGTCGTTCCCGGCTACGGCCACGGTGTTCTGCGCAAGCCCGACCCTCGCTTCGAGGCCCTGATGGACTTCGCTTCCACCCGTCCGGATGTTCTGGCCAACCCTGTCTTCCAGCTCGTCAAGAAGAACTCTGAGATTGCCCCCGGTGTTCTGACCGAGCACGGCAAGGTACGTGACCCCCATTGAAATGCCATTGAGCGACGCTAACAGCATTCTAGACCAAGAACCCCCACCCCAACGTCGACGCCGCTTCCGGTGTCCTTTTCTACCACTATGGTTTCCAGCAGCCCCTGTACTACACCGTCGCCTTCGGTGTCAGCCGTGCCCTCGGACCTTTGGTCCAGCTCATCTGGGACCGCGCCCTGGGCATGCCCATTGAGCGCCCCAAGAGCATCAACCTCCTCGGCCTCCTGAAGAAATAAGCTACACGTTGAACGTGCGGCGGTGTGACTATGAACATCATCTTGGTTGGTTTGATATGAACCGGGTGATGAAAATGATGCAAGCGAGATTTGATTTCTGTTTTGTTTCCTAGACTGCTTTTATCTGCCTAAATGGGTGATAGGCGTTCTTGAAAAGGGAGCTGTCCCTGGCAAGAACATATGAATAGACTCATTATGCCAATAGTACATTTCATATTCGAGTAAACTTGATTCAATTAGATGTAATGTGGAAGGACGGATACAGTAGCTTTCGAATTCAGTTTGACCTTCCCACTAATCCCACGCTGCCACTTCCCCTCGTTTTCCACCGAGTGCGCAGCCCTCTTGTACGCCCGCCAGTCATCACCCACAAGGCTGTGCGTGCGCCGTATAGAGCTAATACTGGTAGGGAAGGATGTTTACTAGTTCTCTATGGATTTTATCACTTGCAGCGCCTCTCATTCGTTACCAGTGAATGATATGTTCCAAAATCCACAAAGTCCACAGCCCGCGTCTAAATAATTGAATTGTGGATCAATTACTTACTCAGTCGGTATCTATAACCTTTCTCCAGCTCACATTTGTTCTCGCGAAGGAAGTCCTTTATGTATCATTCATGTATGGTTCAGCGCCCTGGGCACCACCGACACAGACTTATCTGATAAGAGGAAAAAGATCGTAGATTTCATCAATTAATCAAATTTATAACAAGAATTAAGAATAAAGCCTTCCATGATGTGATTCCCCTCATACTAGAGTCCCCCAAGAGGCCTTCCCGCTGCGCAATGATAGCTTTTCTCCGCGCCCTGTTCCTTGAGACGACGATGACGACCTAAGACTCCAAGCAGGAACAACGGCACATTGACGCCTCCATGTCGGGGCAGCCTCATCAGCCTGCTGTCTCTTGGACGCCAATTTCTTTGATGTTTTCCGTGGTGGTCCCTTAAATTGTTGTTCTGGAAAAAGTCGCCTGAATATGGGCTCTATCCATCCTGGAAGAAAGTGATGTCTTCCTCCTGAATTCTCCTCGGTCGGCTGAAGCTCCTCGGCTACTATCAAAATCTCCCGGCCACACGAATTGGCACTCACTTGCCTTACGTGCCATGCTGTGGTAAATGTGTCCACTATCCAGGCTATGTCATGGTCGTAATTTGAACCACTCGTTGTTATTGTTACATCTTCCAACTTAACCGATTCAAGGGGCTTAGCATCAGAAATGACTTGAAAGGTTTCACACGCAAGCTTTTTATCCATGATAGAGTCAACAATAATTTTTTCCACATGACCATTTCGAAGGTGACGCCCTTTGTAACGGGCCGTTCCGCAAGACTGACTCTGAAATTCGTCAAAAGATGGATCGTTGAGCGGCATGTTCGTACGAGATAGCATGTTCTCGCTTGATAAAACCATTGCCTCCCGTGAGATCTCATGAATCCGAGGAGGTAGGATTTCATAGTAAATATGCAGGGTGCTGAGATTTTTCAATGACCCCAAGGCCATGTATAAGAAGAACTGCTCAAATTCATCTTGACTGCGGTTGAGAGGAACTCCCAATTCTTCTAGCGACGGACACCCTCCGTCGATTAGCCGGATCTCCTCTTCATTCACGAACTGCCATGCTGCCGGATTCAAGAGCTTGAGCTTGCGCAAGTGGGACCCATAATAGGCGACGAGGGACTCTATACTAATAAGGGAGTGCCATCCTTCCAACTCAAGCTCAGTCAAAAGAGGCATAGAGTGGAGAAAGCTGTTCGCAGAGTTGTAGAACTCCGCTGATCGCAAAGAATCGGAACCGATGTTCAGGTGAAGAGCTCTCAAAGATGGAAATGAGAGTTTCGTCCGGCCCCATATATCGAACACGTCGTTATCCAATCGACCATGAATTTTCAGAGTTTGCAAGGTTGAAAAGTCTGTATAGTGACTCCACCCATATAACGTATCCCCATCAAACCCCAATCTGCTCTCGAAATGGAGGGCTTCCAATAAAAGCTTTTCAGACGGACGTTTACTTTCCAATGGTATGTCAGGGGTCCTTTCATTTCTCCTGAAGCGAAGCTCTTTGAGATTCGGCGCGCTAATTATAGATCGGAACAAAGACTCTCGTTGCCGAAGATCTTGGCAGGGAGGTTCGCAGTCCATACCAATGCTAATTGAGTGAATCGAACGCGCCCCATGCCACATGATATCTAGGTTTTCTCTCCAGACTCTGCTATACCATGGGTTTCTGTGATATTCTCTCCGTGTAACAGGGCTGTTGAAAAAGCAATCCAAATGGAGACGGCATTGCGGTTGATTTCGGTGTAAAGTATCAAGGATGCATAATGGCATACCATTAGACCAGGCCCAAATGAGATCTGTTAAGTTGGGAAGGATTTTGATTAACTTCACAACAGGTTTGTAAAGATCGTTCGAGAAATCCCGGTCAGGTTCCATATAGCGGCGTGGATGCCGACTTAAAGGGGTTTCCTGCCATTGTCCATATTGTGTCGTATGGTTGGCTGCCTGACTAGAAGATAACAGGGTGGACAGGCAGGGCGGTTTCCATTCATCTTCTTCGTCATAGGCTCTAAATTGCGACTCAAGGAGCTTGGGGTGTGCGACGAAAACCCGACGGACACAGTCAAAACCGTCAGCAGTTTTGAGTCGTTTAATAAGGCGATTCACAATTCCTTCGAGCTCTGCCTCTCGCCTGGGCCTAGGAACCGCTATTTTGATATCGTGGAATTTTATGGACTTGACAGCTGGCTGGATAGCTTGTTGACAGTAGGCGTAGTAGGTTTTGCTGGTCTTTGCCAGACTGAACACCGCTGCAGGGTCTTCAGCCACAAGATAAGCTGTGACTATATGTACAACCTCTGGCGGAAGATGGATGCTTGTGGGCTCCTTGCGAGGCATCGTGGTTCTGAGGACGATTAATACTTTTTTCCGTTTCATTGTTGCAAAAAAAGGGTCCTAGTGGGGTGTATTTAAATGGTACTAGTTTTGGCCCTCAGGGTCACACCCGAGAGCAGACCATGCTACTCGTGGACTAGGTTTTCAGATTTGTGACTCATTCCGACTAAAATAGTACCCTTGGACTGCACGCTAATTAAAACTTTGCAATAGGCCTCACTGTACAGCCAAGCGAGAGTTGCGCTGAGGCGAGGAAATACCAGCCAAGGAAGGCTTGTGGCTACGGCCAGACACACACTAGGTGGCATGTGTTTAGCACTTACGTGTAAAATACATCTCCTGGTGTCTTGCTACTGTAATGTAAGATACACCTACCAGTCTAGCGACGAGAGTCCTCGTTTTCTGAAAGCGGGGGTTTCAAGGCCTATCCAATCAGGATTCACAGCTGCTAGACATATTTTCCGGGAATCAAGTCGTAAGAGTGCAGGGGTATAACTGAATTCGAATATTACTGTAGGTGGACATGCTATTCGTGATTTAAACTTTATTCAAGTCGACAGATACTGAGATCTTAAGAGAAACCAATGCTCACAATTGGAGCAAAACCATACTCAAGCTTAGATCTTGGGTGTCTCCGTAAAAACAGTCTCAACTTCATCACCCCGATCCCAGCGCTCCCTATACTCGCGCATCAACAACTTAGCAGGAGGCGCATTCTCCACAAAGTCCCTAATCGCCAGCACGGGGAAGACATAATGCAGCCCACAGTAAATGGCAGCACTAATAACCAGGCCAGACAAGAAGCAAATGTAATACAAATGCATTAGGCCGATCGGTACAGTTATGCCAGAACTAACATAAGCGATGAAGCCAGGCAACGATGGGACAGTACCGCAGATCCACTAGCATAAATTAGCAAGAAGACACGTCCAAGGGGGAAAATCACGTACTGCGACAATAGCGCGCCAGTTTAGCCCACATGTATACCAGTAGATACTTGAGCTATCTCCGATGAAGAGATCGTCGACTTTGATCTTACGCCGGTGGACGATGAAGTATGATGAGATCATGAGACCTGTCATCGGGCCCAGGAATACTGAGTAGCTGCTGAGAACCGCTAAGAATGTCGTTGCCGTGTTGACTAGCTTCCATGGGTTACAGGCGACTGATATGGCGGCTGTGATGTAGGCGCCGCGGCGGATGTTGATGTATCGGGGGAATGTAGCTGCCAAGTCGAAGCCTGTTGAACAGGTTAGCAACGTAATTCCAAGAAGCCGTGAAAAGGTCAGAAGCAAAGACATACCCCCAGCCAACGCGTTTCCAGGCACATTAACTCCAATCTGCGAAATAACCAGCGCAGCACCACCAAAGAAGGCAGCGGCCCTAGATCTCGACCCTCCATTCTCAATAATTGCACCTAAAAGCGTCGGCAGATTCCACTTCGCCTCACCATACCGTTCCTGGGTAGCAGCAGTAACCAAAATCCCGATAACACAACAAACAATTGCATAAAAGGGAAAACTAATGACTTGCCCCAGGATAGCATCCCTCGGCTTGCGGGCAAAGCGCGCATAATCATTCTGGTTCAGGATACCAGCCGCAATGGAGCCAATAGTACTGATAATACCAAATGCAATATTCCAGCCTGGCGTGCTACTGCCCGCATTGGACATAGTTGGTCCGAAGCCACCGGGACCCATTGTTGCGAGGGACCAAATTAGAAGGACACTTTCGAAGACAAGGATTGTTACGGAGGATCCGTAGAATAGATATTTCAGCTTGAATGGTCGGATGTAGATTATTGGGAGCGAGATGATCATGAAAATGATGTATGAGACAAATGTTGCAGTTGTCGTGCCTGTTGAGGCGGCGAGTGTGTTTGGGATCCGCTCTTCGAGGTTTGGCCATATTGCTTGCAGGCAGACGTAGACGCATTCGCCGCCGATCCAGGCTTGGAAGCCGTCTTTATTGGGGTTAGCACTGTGTGAATGGGAATGGGAATGGGGCATGAGGGCTTACACCAGACTGAATGAGAAGCAAGTTAGTACAGATCTTCCTGAGATGAGGCCGCATTACTTACCGATCGAGAGCAGAATACGATTCCAGATCACAAACTGACTTCCGTACATTCCCCACACATATCGATTCACCACCGGGAACCCCACTGCAAGTGGTCAGCAAGCTTATCCATATATTTCTCGGTTCAACCTACAGCAGTAGTATGCCCCAGGAAGAGAGTTGAGCACCACCAAGATCGTGGAAATAATTTGCCCGACGACAATGGCGATAATCGCTTGCCACCATGTCAGTCCTAACGCGATCAGAGAACTTCCAGTCATGTAAGCCGATATATTAGAGTTGACAAGCACCCCTAGAAAGCGTCGATATTAGTCGCGACGATATTTTCTATCCGATCTGAAAACGTGCATACAGAAGTTATGAAAAGTCCAAAAGCCCCAGGTGCGACGACCCTCCTCGATAGGCTTGATATCATTGTTGATCCACCGGTTTGGCTCAGGGCCGCCTTCACTTTCGATCTCGAGTTTCTTTAGGAACGCTTCCATCGGTACGTAATAGAATGGAGAGATTCCCACTAATGGACAGAGGTGACAAGACTGGCACGATGCGAAGCAGAGCCGAAAATGGATAAACGCTTGAGTACTAACATCCGACTGAGAGCACGTCAGCCCAAAATTCCTGCTGCTTATCTACTCCGCACTTTCAAGGTTTCTTGGCCGATCAAACAGTTAACTGATCGGCCAACTAAAGATGATTGACCGCCTATCTTGTCTCGTCGCCAGATATGAACATGCAAACGGAATCGACAATATCGGCACATCCCGACTGATGGCTTAAGTTGCCCTTTTGGGTGAATAAATAGAGAATTGGCACCCTCGTGGCGGGCCTTTGCTTACACTAGCTACCGGGAGAAGAAGTGACATTTCGACATCCGGGATGTCAGGGTGCCATTGGTGGATCGCGCGACGCTTCTCCTCACCCTGCGATAAGCGACCCCCTCTCCGCACGTCGCCCGTATGCGCATTCCTGGATAGGTGTGATTTAACTTAGTCCCAAAATTCCGTGGTATATTCTACTGAGAAACCAGATCCCCATTCCTAAATTGAGTCTCATATTACCTTCAATCTTTTTAAGATACCAATTCCAGTGCATCCCCACCATGACCAAAACAAGCGGCCCGTACCGCATTGGCGTCGATGTAGGCGGCACCAACACAGACGCAGCAATCATCGATATCAGCGCAACAGACTTCGAATCACGCGGAGTATGTGCGTCAAGCAAGACCCCGACAACCACAGATGTCACATCCGGCATCCACACTGTGATTGAGAATGTCCTAAGCAAGACCGCCATTGAGCGACGAGACGTCCTCAGTGTAGCTATTGGGACGACGCATTTTGTGAATGCAGTTGTCGAGGCGGACGCTCGTCGGTTGAGCAAAGTCGCGGTCGTGCGGCTTTGTGGACCGTTTACGAAGCAGATCCCGCCTTTTTCGGATTTCCCGCCTGCTTTAAAGGATATAATGGCTGGTCCGGTGTTTTATCTAGATGGAGGTACGGAGAAGAGTTCACATTTAATCTACCACAGGCTGATCATTCCGATATTTTAGGACTCGAAATCGATGGCCGGGAAATCTCCCCATTAAACTCTACCCAGGTGAAAGAAACCGTGAAAAGCATCCAAGACGCAGGGATCAAAATGGTCGCCGTCGTGGGCGTATTCTCCCCGCTGGATCACAAGGGTCTACACGAAGAGGCGTGCAAACACCTCATGCTAGAACAGGACCCATCTTTGTCCGTGGTATGCTCGCACACGGTTGGCGGTGTTGGACTGCTAGAGCGTGAGAACGCCACAATTCTCAACGCCTCGATTCTCAACCTCGCACGGCGTACAGTCCGGGCATTTTGTGATGCGATGGTTAAATTGCGCTTAGACTGCACTTTATTCCTTACTCAGAATGATGGCACTTTGACGGATGCTTCCACTGCAGCCGAGCTCCCAATCAAAACGTTTGCTTCGGGTCCGACGAATAGTATGGCGGGCGCTGCATTCCTGGCATCTTTGGATCGCGGCGCGAACCGGGCGACTTCTGAGACTCAAGTCCTCGTTATTGATATTGGAGGGACTACAAGTGATGTGTGCGCTTTACTTCCTTCTGGATTCCCTCGGCAAGCTCCGAATTTTGTTGAAGTCGGAGGCGTGCGAACCGCGTTTTCGATGCCCGAAGTTTTGTCAGTTGGATTGGGCGGAGGTAGCCGGGTCTTTTACGATCCGTCTTCAGACCGTGTACACGTTGGGCCTGACTCCGTTGGACACTATTTGACAAGCCAGGCATTAGTATTTGGCGGTGATGTGATGACAACGACGGATATTGTCGTTGCTTCTGGAAAGGCGGATATTGGAGATGTCAAAAGAGCCCAATATATCTCTGGAAACGTGGTGAATAAAGCTCGTGCGGAGATCAAAAAGATCCTTGAACGCGCGGTGGAAGATATGAAGGTCTCCAATCTACCAGTTACCCTACTCCTAGTCGGAGGAGGATCAATTGTACAGATGGACGACCTGAAAGGTGTTGCAAAGTGTATCATCCCACCTCATCACGACTCTGCAAATGCAGTTGGTGCAGCAATTGCAAAGGTTGCAGGTGAAGTTGACAGAATCGAGATCCTAGCAGACCGCGATGAAAGAATCGTCCTGGAAGAGGCGAAGCGCCAGGCCATCGAAGCGGCTGTTGCCCGCGGAGCAGACAGAAAGGACGTCAAGATCGTGGCGATTGATAAGATCCCGCTGCAATATGTGACGAATAAGGCAACTCGACTGGTTATCAAAGTTGTTGGACGATTGGCTCTACCCGATCCAAGTGCCTCACAAAATACTGAGACTCGTACAAATGAAGCATCCACCGATAGCGCGATCGAAGAGCCCGAGACTGAAGCCAAAAAGCAATTCCACCAGAATTCAGCACCAGAAAAACTCCAGTCTTTAGTGAAATACTCCGCATTCATGGACATCGACAACTACAGCCCCGAAGTACGCAACGGAGTATGGTACATCTCCCCAGTTGACCTTGAATTCATCGCAACTGGCACAGGCGTCCTAGGCACCGGAGGCGGTGGCCCCTCATACCTCCAATACCTACAATGCCTCGAGAGTCTCCGTCAACCCAACGCCAAGGGCAAGATGCGTGTCGTGGCACCAGGTAGATTAAAACACTCCGATGTCGTTGTCCTCGGATCGTGGTATGGAGCCCCCAGTGTCTCAGGGGAGAGAATGCCAGCTGGAAGGGAAATTATGACAGCGATTGATCAAGCGGTTAAAACTTCGGGTTACACGCATTTCGAGGCGGTTATTGCGGATGAAATTGGGGGTGGAAATGGGATGTCGACTTTTCCGACTAGTGTCCACTATGATATTCCTGTTGTAGATGGGGATTTGATGGGGAGGGCTTATCCGACTATGGAGCATGGTTAGACTCCATAATTTGCGTTTTACTTTTATTTGTCTAATGGAGATACAGGTACGGCTTATGTGTATGGCGAGCCGATAACGCCTTGTGCACTGGCAGATGGGAAGGGAAACACTTCCGTTGTGCTGGTAAGCCATAACGGTGTTAACTGGATGAACTTACAAGTCTAATCATTCAACAGAAAGCAGAGTCCAACCGCAGAATCGAGACGATGATACGCTCACAGTGCGTGGACCTCGGTCTTAGCATCGCCGTGGCCTCCACCCCTTTGTCTGGTCGGGCAATCAAACGCTATGCAATCCCGAACACCGTGTCCCAGTCCTGGTATATCGGGCGTGCCGTTCACAGAGCCCGCCGCTCAAAGACCAACATCATCGATGCCATTGTACGTCCCAATCCTACGGTTTACTCCCCATGTACCAGCCCTGAGATTAACAGGAACAGTTCCAACCCACCCCAGGTCGCCTCTTGTATAGCGGCAAAATCATCGATGTCAAACGCGACGTAAGCCGCGGCTACACTATGGGCCATTGCATAATCGCACCTCTAAGCAACGAAGAAAAAGATTCGAACTCTCTCAGCCCTACAAACCTAGGTTCAGACGAAAGCCGCTGCCTCATGATCCCCTTCCAAAATGAATTCCTCTATGCCGCCTATGCCGACATCGCTAATCCCGACGACACATCCCGGCATGAAGTTATCTGCACAGTGCCAGACTTGATCTCGATCTTGGGACAAGACGGCGAGGCGATTGGTTCCCAAGAGCTGCGCTACGGACTGCGTGTCAATGTTATCGGGATGGCAGCGCATCCTCTCTGGACGGGTGACGAGCGAGGGCTTAAAGTTGGTGGGCCGGAGGGGTTCGGCTTGGATATGCAGTGGAAGAGTCTTGGGCCGTATCAGGAGCCGAGGAGTGTAGTGGAGGAATTTAATGTGGCTTCATAGATCAGCACAAAGCAAGTACCTGTTGAAATGAAATTCAGATCTTATTCACAGTTCACATCTAGCATTTGCTATATCGCCAATGATCCTCTACAACCTCGCAGACCCGCTAACAATCCTCTCCCACTCCTCCTTTCCAAAGGACGAATATTCCTGCTCGCCAGGAGCAATCCACAGGAACGTGTTACTCTTTCCATCTGGAACCTTGGTTCCAATAAGCGCCGGATCAACACCCTCATCGCGAAGAGGAACCTTGTTCTGCTTATGGTTGTGGATGTGTGAAGAGGTATCAACGACGCGCAGGAAAACGGGGACCGCGTAGCGCGGGAGCTTGGAGCGAGCGAAACGGGCAAGTGCGGCGTAGTCGAAGGTCTGGCGTGCCTCGGGAGTAATTTGCAGAGCAGCGCAGCCAGCACGGCCTTCGTGGTTGGGGAGTTTGACGCCGTAGACGTTTGCCTCGGCGATGCCGGGGAATTGACCGATTACTTCGGCGACTTCGGCGGTTGCGCTGTATCAATGGGTTAGTTGTGTTCATTTGAGATAGTAACGTGATACTTACACGTTCTCGCTCTTCCATCGGAATGTGTCGCCGAGACGGTCGAGGAAGTACCAGCGGCCGTCGGTCTGGCGGCGGAGGGCATCACCGGAGCGGTAGTAGATATCGCCCTTCTTAAAGACGTCGCGCAGGAATTTCTTTTCCGTGGCGGAGTCGTTGCGCCAGTAGCCTTGGAATGCCTGCTCGTCCGGGATGCTGACGATAATCTCTCCGCCCTCTTCGTAAGTCGCGCGGATGACAAAGCCCGTTTTGGGGTCTCGGAGAACATCACCGGTCTCCGGGTCAATGGCGACGGGAATGAATGTGTTGTGAAGAAGCCCGCGCATCAGCAAGCCGTGGTGACCAACGCTACCAGCTGTAAAGGGCCCGCGGTTATAGTTGAACAGGCCGAAAATGCCCTCCGTGCTGTTAAAGAACTCGCCCACTTCCGGAACACCAAATCTCGTGCGGAAAGTTTCCCAGATATCGGGTCGCAGACCATTTCCGTACATACAGCGCACCTTGTGGTTTTTATCCTGCGGTGAAGGAGGCGGTGCAAGCAGATAACGAGCCGTCTCGCCGACATAGACGAAGAATGTCGACTCGGAGTCTCGGATATCCTTCCAGAAATTGCGAACGCTAAATTTCGGTCCCAGGGCAACACTAACGCCCGATGTCATGCATGCGATCAAGCTGATAGCCGCGGTGCCGTGGTATAGAGGCATGCAGCTGTACCAACGATCACCATCCGGGCCCTCCTTATCACCCATCATGTCACGGCGGACGAAGAGCGCGGTGTAGAGTCGGGCCGCGGTAAACGCACAGCCCTTGGGCATGCCCGTGGTTCCGGAAGTGTAGAGCAGAATTGCCGGGAACTCGCCGGACATATTCTTTGCAAGGTCCGCGGGCGGGAGAGTAGTCGGCAAAGTGCGAATATGCGCCTTGAGCGAGTCATCCAAGTCCATCAACTTCATGTCCAGTTCGCCCGTGAGGGTATCCCGACATTCCTCCACGTGGGTGCGGCAGGTCGGATCCTCATCAACGAGCGTGAATTTGGCACCGCTAATCCTGAGACAGTGCACCAATGCGTCGCCGGTCAGGTTGTAATTGATCGCAGCAGGAGCGCATCCAATACTCCAGGTGGCAATCCACGCGATGATAAACTCGGCTCGGTTCTGCAGGTAGAAGCCAACCAAGTCCCCTTTGTTGACGCCCTGGGATAGGAAAAAGTGGGCGTATTGGCAGGCCTGTTCATGGACTTCTCGGTAGGTATACGACCTCTCTCGAGTCCAGAGGCAGATCATGTCGGGGTACTTCTTCATTGTCTCCAAAAACACATACCACGGATTCCCGCGGCCCTGCTCCACTGCAAGGAAGTCAGCGTATTGTGGCGACGGCAAAGCAAAGGCTCAACTCACCGGCTCGGGCATATTCGCGTTCGCCCTTTCGGAGGGTCAACACTGACGAGACGTCCTTCTTGATGTGAAATTTGGCGTTCAGGTATGCTGCCACCGTCGCGCCTCCGGCCAGGGCGGCTGCCGCAGTCCCTAGTATGATGTTAGAATGAACAGATCCTCCCTCGGCATATGGTAACTCACCTAGATCCATCAGATCCATCTTACTGCAGTACAAAGTCTAAACCTGTTGCTGCGGGGACCAAATCAAGATTAGAGTTCGCCGTCAGGTCACAGCAGAGAACACTCGAAATCAGAAAGCCACCGATGCAAATGTAATATGTCCAATACTCTACAGCTGTCGCTCAAAGGAAAGTGAAGGACTGAGGGGTGCGATATGTAAGGATGGGGTAAGAGAGGGTCTAGCATTGCCGCCAGCCGACCAACTCCAATGATCCTCGGCACAGCACTCGACTCCGCACGGCCCTGATGACGAAGGTACGAACCACCTAGTTTTGATCTTCTGTTGGGAGACTCGGTGGTCCCCGGTGGAACCGATGCGGGGAACATAAGAGGCCCACCGCAAGGCACAATCTTCGCCTCGGTTGTTCCTACAGTGCACAACGGCTTTACAGTGCAACCATCGCTCGGCATAAGACCCTCCGCGCCAATAGATTTATCAGCAAGTCAGTAGTAATTACTCAGCTCTTTGTTCGGCGTCAGACTGTCGTGGACACCTTTGGCTTGTCGCGACTTCTTCCACGCCCACGCGTCGTCGCGTTCGGCTCGGTTACTTGCTCCGTCTAGCACGTTGCCTACATATCGCCCGATCGTGGGAAGGAATTTCCAACAGTGGAATGAGCCCCCTACGGCCAGGTAAAGATTGGATAGTCGTGTGTCCGGGTGCTTGGTGATCAATGGGTGCTGGTCGGGCGTGATCGCATCCCAGCATAGGCGGAAATGGTCTACCTGGCGGTCGCTAGTGAATATCTGGGGGAGGCGAGGTCGGATTGAGCCGATGCATTCTTTCTGAAGGGTTTCTGGGACCTCGCGTTGGGTGAAAGTAGCTGGAGAGTCCCAGGAGGGTGGCACCGAGTAGCCGTCTTTGGTGTTTTTGAAGGATTGCGTCGTGGTGAACTTCAGCAGTCCCGTATCGTCCGGTGGAATAACTTCCCCTAGGGCGTGTGTTAGCCTCTGCGAGAATAGTATGGTATCAATCAGTCTTACCTTGCTCGCCGTAGACGTATACAGGAAGCCGGTCGTACAGCTTCCGCTCGGCGTTTGAAAGTTGAAAGTGTGCGACGCACACGCCAGCTGCACTGGCTTGACTCTCGACCCTGTCGGTCTCGGGCATCTTCAACTCATCCTCAATGGAGCTCATCAACTGGCTCGTCCAGGCTCCCGTGCATAGAAGCACCTTGTCGGCTGAATACAAATCACCCGACTTGATCTCCACGCCCTTGATCCCACGTTCACCCAACACAAGGCGAGTAGCTTCACCAACCTGATATCGCACTCCCATCCGGATAACTTCATTTGCCATAATTGTGAGGGCGCGACCGGCATCAGCCCATCCAGCCAGGGGGTTGAAGAAGAATGACCCAAAAGGACTCAAATCAGCATCCCTGAGCGCTCCGCCCCAGTCAGACCGCACTGCATCTTCAGACATCGGTTGCAATGGATTCGAACCGAAGATGTCTCCAAAGTTCGCTCCAATGCGCCCGGCAAGATCACTGCCTTGCTCATCCATCATGATCCAGCCAGTCTGGTGATAAACACCGGAATTCTTGAAGAGGGGGTCATTTTTCCATGCTTCGATAGCTTCAAGCCCCAGCTCCATGTATAAAGGGCTGCCATAGTCTGCACGGATTATTTTATTAATATCGGTTGATGCTGCATCTTGCGAAGGAGCAGGGAAACGGTCTAGCACGGTGATCGAGGCGGGATTGGACGATCGCTTGGCGAGATGATAAGCGGTGCTGATGCCGAAGATGCCGGCGCCGACGATAAGAATCTCGGATTCCATATTTGAGAATAGTCTTCGAAGGTTTGATGTAACTTGGCATGGGGTTGAGTTGTTGGTGGGGATAGGACTTCCCGCTGTTACGTTACGCAAGGCTGTTCTCCACTTTGCCTTACCATGCAAGGGCATGACGGAGTGTTGGCCTGCAGCCTCCAAGCATTCTACGAGTAGGTCACAAGGTTTCTAATCGATTTTGATCAATGGGATTCTAATTTCCTCGGATAGCTCTGCCCACTCTGCGTCATTTAGGACGATGGTAGGAGTGACTGCGCAACAGTGCATGAAATCCAAATCCGCTAAGCAGGCACCAACTCTTAGCTGCATTTTTGGTCTATGAATAGCCCATTTGGACTACCAAAGTACCAAACCAAGCCTCCCTATCCCCAACTGCTGGGTTTCCAATTGTGCTTGGATGGCGAACGAATTATCCAGAGACCGACGATATCAAGTCATGAGCAGTCCCAGCAAGGTGACGGTTTGAGTTCAGGTGTCACAGCTTATTTAGCATATCTTCAGGCACCAAACATCTCGCGCAGTACATTGGAGATCCGCGCTTGGTGCTTGGTGCGGCTGAAGCACTAAAATGTGGGGTCCACAGAGGTATGGAGTTGTGGCTCCCCCTCCGCCGAGAATAGGGCAAGCCACAAGAGAATGGACCCAATTTACGCCTGATGCCATTCCTGTGGCGAAGTCCCTAGCCAACAGGTTAGGTTGTGGCTATGATGCATCACGAGGGGGGAGAAGCTAAGCCTTCGCTTAGATACCTGGCAGGAAGCAGGCCTGCGTCAAGAGCATATAATGAGCGAAAGACGCCTCAGGAATGAGCTTGAATGTTCAACCTTGAGGCATCCTAGCCTTGCGACCTCCTTCGACTGGCGCCAATTGTAATTTCGACCCAAATCTTCATTTCACTTCCTTTGATCAAACACTCCACAATACCCTATACCCAATATACCCCAATTCCTTGCAATGACGTCTTCAAACACTTCTTCTCTGGGCGATATCATTCAGGTTCAGCTCCCTGAACATGATGATATCAAATGCTTTGGGAAGTCCTTGATGAGCGGAGGAATCAGGCCATGCAAACGCCGACTCGGTGAAGATAGACAACGTAATGCGAGAAATCTTCTCCGCCGGGAGGTCACCTACCAAGAACTCAGCGGCGGTCTAGTGAAAGGTCTCATCAAGGATCTTGCACAGCTGCTAGTCAGCCACAGGCACTCACTCGATGCCCGAGGAGACCTTGAAAGGCAATGGTTGGCCCTGCTAGAACAGCACCGGGAAGCACAAGAGGCAGCACAAGGTCCTGAGCAACTCCACGAGGTGGAGTCTTCTCAACCCTTGCCAACCCTTCCCGAACACGCCGATTTCTCTGCAAGCACTGTCCAAGCCCCCAACCCCGAGAGTTCTCCCGTGGCCCCCACCCTTCCTGAGGTGCCCCTTCTCCCTGAATCCAGGCGTTCAATGACTCCGAGGATCCAAGTCGCAAGACAAGAGACTCTGCCGCAGTCTCAAGTCCGGCTTCGAGTCCAATCGAGGAGTGTTGAACCAAATCAGCCCGTTTATCACCCCACACCCTTTGCACGTCGCATCCCCACGTACTCAGATGATTATTCGGTCAGCCTGTCACCGAATTGGATACTCTCCTACGTAATGAGTCTCGTCATGCAGGCAGGACAAAACGTTCTCGCCATGTTGCATGTGCAATTCGGTACTGTCTCCACGCGAGATGCGGCCGGTCAAATCACGAAGGAACCAGTCACGCACCTCAGGTTCCTGCTGGGTGTAAATTTCTCGATCGGCAGATCTCATCTCGTCTCGGGCGTATATGTTTTGCTATTTGTTGCGCTGGCTCGATTGGTAGTCTCCGTGTTTTGGCCATTGTCGGGGTATCTTGCGGGAATATATGTTATTCTTTTGGCGTCGGGAGTATGCAATCGCAGAATGGCCATTGAGGAGTAATGAAGAGAGAATTAAGTAATATTCATACGAATCCGACGATGCCAACTTCGATTTCAACGTTACTAGTAGGTAGAAGTAGATAGTGAATACATGTTTACCGGAGTACATCAGCACGGACCGAGACCCCTGTAATACACCGACGATCATTGGCCTGCACGAAGGGAGCGGAGTCAACGGATCCGGCGCAATGTGATGACACAACGAGTTCACCCAACAGAAAACGGCGCTGCGAAAACCGGAGAGGCACGGCTGCCAACCGTTCCTGAGGTGGATAAGCATTGACCAACCTCGCTTACATTCGGGGCGATAGAGTTAGGATCCTTGAGAACAGCGAGAGATCTCCGAGGGAAACAGATCGGAGCCTGGACGGGGCTGGGCCATGCGTTGTTGACCCCAACCAGGTCAACGGGACCAGCAACGGGGAAAAGAGGAGCCGCCCATTTCCCCCTACTTGTCCCGGGAAGTGAATTCTTCCCGGGTTGATGATGCCATTCCTCGGGAGCATCCAGGGGCCTGCAGAGGTTAAAGTTGGGCCAAAACCCAATGAGCCCACCGCAAGTGTTCCCCACACGATTGTCGTAACCGTCTAGCCCGGTGAATCTGCCCCTCTCTGCATGACTGCTGGTCCTTCTTTCTTCCCCCCTCCTTCTTAGATTCTTCACACACCCTTACACAATGTCTTTCCCCATCCCCCGATCTTTACCCCGGTTGGTGCGGTCCTACGGGACCGTCCAGGGTCCTCCCAGTGCTGCCTCTATCGCCGGTCGAGTGCCCAGTGTTCTGGTTGAAGCCACCAATGCCACAACCCCTCGTATCACCTGGACTCGCGAGGAAGTCTCTCAGATCTACAACACTCCCTTGAACCAACTGACATACGCCTCGGTAAGTTGCCCTGCTGGATACCATCTCCAGACTCTTGCGTCGTGCGTCAATTGCACGACTCGAAGACGAAAACGACGCGGGACACTAAGCTAACACGCCCCAGGCTGCCGTGCACCGTCGTTTCCATGACCCGTCCGCCATCCAGATGTGCACACTGATGAACATCAAGACGGGCGGCTGCAGCGAGGACTGCTCATACTGCGCCCAGTCATCGCGGCACCAGACCGGTTTAAAGGCCACGAAAATGAGCCCCGTGGAAGACGTTCTTGAGAAAGCCCGCAACGCCAAAGCAAACGGCAGCACCCGATTTTGCATGGGCGCCGCCTGGCGCGACATGCGCGGCCGCAAGACAAGCCTGAAGAACGTGAAGCAAATGGTCTCCGGTATCCGCGAAATGGGCATGGAAGTCTGCGTGACCCTGGGCATGATCGACCAGCACCAAGCCAAGGAACTGAAAGAAGCCGGCCTGACAGCATACAACCACAACCTCGACACCTCGCGTGAATTCTACCCCAACGTCATCACCACGCGCTCATACGATGAGCGTCTGCGCACACTGGACCACGTCCGCGACGCCGGTATCAACGTCTGCTCCGGTGGAATCCTCGGTCTGGGCGAGTCAGACGCCGACCGAGTCGGCCTCCTGCACACCGTCTCCAGTCTTCCCAAGCACCCCGAGTCATTCCCCGTCAACGCTCTGGTCCCCATCCCCGGTACACCCCTCGGAGATCGGAAAATGGTCCCCTTCGACCGTCTCCTTCGAACCGTCGCGACTGCCCGCATCGTCATGCCCGCTACCATCGTCCGCCTTGCTGCGGGTCGCATCGCCCTGACCGAGGAGCAGCAGGTTGCCTGCTTCAATGCCGGTGCCAATGCTGTGTTCACCGGTGAGAAGATGTTGACTACGGACTGCAATGGATGGGGCGAGGACCGCGTTATGTTCGAGCGCTGGGGTTACTACCCCATGAAGAGCTTCGAGAGACCCGAGCCTTTGCAGGCTGCCGAGACTACTGCCCCGCCTCCTGCGGCATCGGAGGCTGCTGCGCAGGTCGCAGCGAGCTCGTAGATGTCTCGACGATGTTGTGATTAAGTTGACTGGGACTATGTGGTAGTGCTAAAAGCGAGCCTTACGAATACATTGAGCCGTTGAGCATACGTATTCTCTTGTAAAAGTTGCTCTTGCGATCGTAGAAATCCAAGCTGGCTCGAACTTGGCCTCTGTTCTACCTCGAGGGTCGATCGATTAAATCTGTAAATGGACACATGATCGATAAAATGAGCAGTTTTGGCATAAAGTCTCTGCAAACTCCTTCCGGGCAACGGACAAAGACATGACATGAGTCAATGATCAATATTCAACGGTGATCAAAAAAAGCAAAAGGCAAAATAGACCATAGGCTATCATGCCGACATCGGAAAGTGCCAATTTGGTAACCGAACGTTTAAATTTCCAAGTCTGAAATCCCGATGGTATCCGCACAGAACGGATAAATGACGAATTAGGGATTTTCAAGACAATTACTTTGCAATAAGGTGTTTCTTAGAGGCCGTAGCACCTTTGAAGATTAGGCCCCGGGTACTACTGTAGTTAGTTGACCAATGTCAGGTCGCGTAATTCGTTTGGTGAAATGACCTCCCTATCTGGGACTAGGGCTTGTACCTTTTCCATACTAGGAAATTATCGTGCCTGAGTGTGCCTGAGGGAATCTTAACGATGATTGATGCGAGCAATAGCTCGACTCATCCTCAGCAAAATTATTTTCGCATTGCGATATATCTTGACTGCTATCATCCTATTAGATGGGATTTCATTCTTGGGTGAGAGCGTTGCTTGAAACAGGACTACTGTATGTCTTCGAAGCCCTCGTAGGTTTGCAAAGGGATTCAATTGGATGGCTTGTGCAAACAAAGTACGAAAATCAACTTCCATCCGGAATTCAACCTTTGCCACCTGGGCATGAAATCATCTCTGTGGGTGGTGGGAATCATATAGCCTATATAGTGGGAGGAAAGTCACCTGAACAATTACTGTTTAACCTAGGCCGGAGACTTAATACTATTTCGAGAACGCCCGATCAGATAACCGAATCAGAAAGAGTAATTATGACGAAGAAATAGAACACTGTCCATGCAAGTCCCTGACAGGGCCACCCCATATTGGCAGGCACTATCGCACAGGTTTCCATTTCGGTCGTAGTGGCGGTGCTTAAATTTAAGTATTCCGGACATTTCATTGGTGATGACCACGAGAACCAAAAATCGGCGAATTTCAGAGGCGGCGGAGGGCGTTCATTGGGGAAGATTGCCCCGGTCTTGGCATTCACGATGGCGCGCGAACCGAGGAAGAGTTTCGCACTGGTTCATCCCCAACATCGTCATTCCACCGTGTTCGCAGCAATGATCTACAATCGAAAATTACGTTTCCGATGCGAAACTTCAAGTCTCCCACAAGAAATCGTTGACCCGAGCAGTCCTCGGCGCTTTGTGCGGGGAGCACGCAAACTTCACATGTGGGATATGGGGGATCGCCTCTATTCCACAGTGGGCCAACCGTGGTCATCTCTCCATATGACGTGAACCCTTTTGTTGGGGAAACGAGATCCACACATGGATCATGAAATGATCCCCATTCACATGCCGTTCCTATTGCGGGGGCTGATCTCGACTGATATAAACCAAACATCCGCCGCTATGTCCTTCCCCAAGTTCTTACGCCTACCGTCAACATGGATACCAAACCGCCATCGAAGGATTCCATGAAATCCACCTGGCGCACAGCCGATCGCAAAGAATGGAACCACCATCACTGGGCCCTGGAGATCCTCAACGCTCATCCTATCGCCCTGGACAAAGAGGTCCCTGTTCATAGCAAGGATGAGAAGATCCCATACATGCCGTCGTGGTCCTCCCATCGCTGGGTGCTATTCTATTCCGCCATTCCGCTCCTCATTCACCAAACATACATGTCATACACAGGCCGCACCCTGGGCCCGATAACAACATTCAATCTCTACTTCTTCTTCTTCAACGCCACAGTCATCTACCAAGTCCACGTGCTCCGCCGCCTAGGTCACAAATTAGGCTTCCTAGACGGTGACAAACACGAGCGCGATGGCGTGCCCGATGTAGGCGTCGGCAAAGTGGTAACATCACTATACAAAACCACCGGCTCCCGCATGATTCTCTCCGTCTGGCTCTCCTACAATCGGAACATGCTCCCTTCCCAACTAAACTGGCTCTTGCTACCCCTTGAAATCGGATTGTACGGCATCGTCCTCGACTTCTGGTTCTACTGGTACCACCGCCTCATGCACGACGTCAGCTTCCTGTGGAAATACCACAGAACCCACCACCTGACCAAACACCCCAACCCTCTCCTCGCCGCATATGCAGACCACGAACAAGAATTCTTCGACATGGTCGGCGTGCCGATGATGACATACTTCAGTTTAAAACTGATGGGTCTGCCGATGGATTTCTACGAATGGTGGATCTGTCACAACTACGTGGCCTTTGCTGAGGTGTTCGGACACAGCGGCCTGCGTCTGCATATGACCGTGCCGTCGACGCTGAGCTGGCTATTGCAGATGTTTGAGTGTGAGATTGTGATTGAGGACCATGATCTGCACCACCGGAAAGGGTGGCGCAAGAGTCATAACTACGGGAAGCAGACGAGACTCTGGGACCGGATCTTTGGGACTTGCACGGAGAGGATTGAGTCTGTTGAGACGAATATTGATTATGGCAACACGGTGGATATGCCTTTGTTTTAGAGGATCTTCAGCGCCACACGGTGCTATGACGATGGAAAAATTTGGGATTGTCATTCGTTATGAGTCGATTTTTGAACATTAAATATACCACCCTCTACATTAGATTGATCATGAGACTTCTTTTTCTTCATTTTTCATCTTTGCTAAGATAGACGTGTATTGGAAGTTGTCATGAAGCAAAGCTTTTTCCTTCTCAAACGAAGTTCTTATCTCTACTCATCAAGTCGGAGTTGCTGGTCATCGTCGAGCATGATAAATCCATTCGGGTCAAACAGGACTAGAAAGCTTGGTGATCATGTTGGCTTTGTCTTTAATGATGATGTCATGACGGAAGCCATCTTAAAAGAACTTTACAACGAGCATGGGCGTAGGGTCGTTGCCAGTGCCCAGACTAGTTGCGTCTTTCGCGGTCTCGCGATCCCTTACCTCAACATGATAATTCAAGCCAGGCTATTATCGAAACAAAATACTAACCGAACATCTCAATCCATTTTAAAACATGTCGGGAATTTTATTGTTGAGGGAGAGGTTGACCAGTCCGAAAAGGAAAACTGGGGCCCTTCAGTGCGCTTCATCCATCAAGTACCGCATTTGTTGCTATACAGGATTCGCTTATCTAAGTTATCATAGCACTCTTAGTTACTATATAGTAAACTTTCCTAACCAAAGATTACTTTTCCGCATCTTAAACTTCTAGGGCTCAAAGATAGAAAGCCTTTAGTTCGTAATACCAGTCTCCTTCTTTCCGTCCTTCTATAGAATGTGTCAGTAAATTTATAATTCACTTGGTTCTAGTCATGAGACGCAAAAACAAGAGGAACTTACAGTACGCCAGTACTTGATGCCGGTGTTGTAACCACTGCGTGCGTCATAAGGCACAGGGCTGATATAGTTGAAGGTCGGCTGGCGACGGTTGTAGGTATCCTTGACAATATCCACGACACCATGACCAGCAGTACACCGATCGGAGGTGGTAGGGATGGGCCAGAATGGCTCGTATTTGGAGTAGATATTTTCAGACAAGGGGCCAGGGTAGGTCTCATTGAGCAGATTCTTGACAGCGGAGGTGTCAACCTCCCAGTTGACATAGCCGGTCTTCTCAGCAACAAGCTTAAGAATGTTGGCACCGCAATCCCAGCGGCCAAGAGAGGGAAGGCCCCAGTTGGCACTAAGAGAAGCAATGATGGAGTAGTGGGTGTAGAAAGTGTCATCGGTAGTTCCCTTAAGGTGTTCAGGGATAGCACCACCCACAAGAATACTGTAGACACGGTTCTCCCCGATGGAGTTGTTCTCATCGAAAGTAATCAAAACCAAAGTGTCCTTGGCGAAATACTCGTTTTTAAGGAGAGGGGGGAGGAAATCAGCAAGGAAATTTCCACCCACAGTGATGTTGGTATCGTGGCAATCGTTTGTCATGTCTGGGTTTATCAGTTCCAATTATGAAGGCGAATGTCGGAAAACGTACTAGGGGTGATGAAGGAGTACTGGGGGAGGCGTTCATGCTTGAGGTCCTCGTAGAACGAAGAGAAGTTCTTGATTTGACGGGGACGGAGATCGTCATTGGTGATAGAGTCGAAAATGATGAGAGGATCATGCTTACGCATGTAATCATTGGCATAAGTCTTCTGGTTAGAGAAGTTATAACCCTATCGAGCTATTAGTCAAGGGTCAAATGAGACGCAGCCTGAAGCGCGGATGGAGATTGAGCCACTTGAAACTGCGGAATAACTGACTTGATAACCAGCGTACGGGAGAGCCTCCTGGTACTGGCCCCATGCGATCCTCTTAGTATCGAGCAGATCGGCGATGGTAGACACATTGGCCGGGATTTGGTGGAAATCGTCATTGTCCATGCCAAAGTTGTCACCGGCAGCAGATGCAACATAGTTGGGTTGCGAGGGGTGGGTAGTGGCAAAGTAGTTTGTCAGGAGAATACCCTCCTTCGCGATCTTTGCAAAGTTGCTGTCGTCGGCAGTGGTTTGATAGCCCTTATATCAAAAGGTTAGAAAGTTAATTTGAAATCAGTTGAACTGACTGACTTGATTCTCGAACCAAATCTGGTGGAAGCGATCAAATGCCAGGCCCTTCACGTTGGAAACGGGAGAGTAGGGGACCACCGTAGCGGCGGCAGCCTCAACCTCCGCCAAACTGGGAACGTCATCGGAGGCAGGAATGGTTCTGGCAGAGGCCAAAGACAGGGTGCCAATGAAGGCTAAGAGAGTCTGTTTAGTGAACATAGCTTCTCTTTTGCTTATCTAGACCAGCCGATGGATTATAGGGGGAAAAGAAGACGATTCTGTGGTCTTCGCACTTGGTCTTATAGATCCTGTGAAGAAGACAATAGCCGGTCGGAGAGGGCTAAATTCAGATAATTCAAATGCAATGTTTCTCTATTCGCAGTATCTCCACAACAGCATCGCATGGTGCGGCACGTTGCGTTCGTCGTACAATTGACTGGCTGTTCCTCGAAAGGCTCGTGCCTGTAAGAATCGCACGCTTAGCGCCATGTTGAATTGGGACTTATCAATACGGCGAATGCGATTGACGGTACATAGGTATGGGCCTTGCCGTGCTTCGCACGTTTAGCACTCAAGAGCACCGACTGGCTATAGATGTGGATCCCTAAGAACACTGGGCTATAAACCTGTATCCGAACAACACTTATTCTTCTTCAATAAGCCGGCCATCTCGGCTGATTGCATTCCGATGCTGGTGTATGATTGGTTGTAGGGTTTTTAGTCCCGTTCTCCGGTGTGACATGCGGCCTTGTGGATCTAGACCTCCGCGCTCATTTCGCTTGCAATGCCGATCGGCATCAACTGACAGCCGGTTCTTGTGGGTGTGGCGTACGCAGCATCGTACAAATTATTTATGCCGAAGATTGTTATACTGTCGTCGGAAAAGGAACCACGTCTGAACTACTGAAAGAAGTCTCCCGTGAAGTGCAGGTTTCCCAAGTCTTACGGAACGCTCAAGGTTCTGCGGTTTCTGCAGTGCGTGCCTCATCTATAATGTCCGAAATGGACCAGGGGCCTAGTTTCATTTTCTCCTATCTCTCAGCCTCTCTCATTGGGTCTCGTCCGCCTCCCGATGCACCCACATCATGGATGTATGTTTGCAGGTTCCGCCGCACGTTCTCCCTGCATTACTATGCGCCTCCGCACGTGCGCGCCACAGATTTCAACAAGCCGTAAGGTGCGCCTCTGGGATGATTCTCATATTGCTCTCAATACTGTACGTCCTCTTCGAGTCTGTCTCTTCTTCCCTAGTCGGTTGCAATGAGGACCTTTGAATGAAGTCCATTGTCAACAATAGCCTGCGCGCCTGCACCGTGTTCTTCGTTTGGCTGAGACGACACGTTAAACCCCTGCTCTAAGCATATTTAATATTGACAAGCATTCCAGTCGCCTCGGGACGCAAGCATTGTGGGCGTCATGTCAACGAGCAAGCATTACAGTGGATTTTTAGTAATGTGAGTTATTAATAAATAGTTACTTGAAAGTAATAATCTACGTAAGAAGCAGTACACATCCAAGCCGACAGGGGTACTCCCGAAAAACTACAATATGGACTAGTGTGTCTTGGTGTTGTGGCTGGAGAATCAATCGAAGAGTGTAGGTGGTCGCACCAGCTTCGGGACGAACTGTAGGCTTTGTATTCATATAATATAGTTCTGATCCTCCTAAAAGGGTCTTTCTTTATCAACGGATGAATTTGCTAGCACCTTTCTGCTAACCTTGATATTGGTTTAGTCCTCGACCCTCGTGTTCACCGTCCTTTACTTATGTCTGCTAACAGCCACGATGGTCGCGCTTTGAATGGGTTGAATTCTCCCATTAGGAAAGGTTCAGGCCTAGTAGAACTCACCCCCAAGCCAATTTGGGATAGTGTCCTTGACCTCTGGGTTCGAGAGAGATGCTCAAATGTGTTCTTCTAGGTGAGCTGCGAGCATGGCCTACTTTATCCCGGTTACTTCTGGACACTGGTAGCCTGTGACCTGGACAGTGGCCCTTTCAGATGGCGTTTTCGAGACTATCTGCCTAACATGGACGCAGTACCTGGACCGAGGCGGACGTATGATCATAGATCGCCACCTTCCCCACCTAGATCGGAAAAAGTCTCAACAGATCGGGTCATGTGTTTGAAATCTACTTGACCTCGGCCTTCGGTTTCGGTTTATTATCACATTACTGCTTGTAGCATGTGTTGGAACCGAGGTCCGATTCGTGGGTTGAGCCTAAGTCGGCTACTTAGTGACTACACAGCCTTTTCTAATCTTTACAAGGATTCCAAGCTTACATTATGAATACAAAATGCCAAAAATCTCTCTATGATTCCAAATTGCTATAGTGCAGCCCAAAATTAAGTAGCGAGGATAGATCAGACCAGTAAGAAACATATTTTTGGCACTTAATCAATCTTCATGGTAGCAAACAAACAAAGAACCAGGGGAAACAGACCCGGCTCAGGTGTGTCTTCAATCCAAAACAACTATCCGCCAAAATAACTTTATGGGCCCCTTGTCCTTAAATTAAGACCACAGCTTCTCTATTATGATGTCAGTATGGTCACATCTTAATTTGAGTTACTTTCCTGCCTGCGTGTTGACTTCAGCACCTTTCTTTTGAAAGGGCTCCGACTGTGTGTTAGACCTACCAAAGATGCATAGTACAACGTAGTCTCCATTTCACTGTCTTTCTTTGAATCCCAGGTATACCCCTGAGGGTTATTCGGATCAAAGAGCTTACTGCAAGTTGCGTATTGTTTGATTTGATGGAGGAACCACTCCAAGTGGCGGCTTACAAGCGGGTTCGTAATCAACATGGCAATTCTTAGTTTTCATGTATCGATCAGCCAGGGATGTGGAGGAACTCGAACACTTGGTGATGGTTATTGTTGGAAGCCGCACTGGATAGAGTCCAGCTATCATTTGTCGCCACATGAATGTCGGCATCTGGTCCACGCTTGTATAGAAATATCATCACTTGTCGTTGCGCCGTGTCTATGAATAATCCACGGTGATAGTTATTCTTATTGTGAAATAGGTTCCCAAGTCTCAAAGTGAGATTAATTTGCTTGCAGGTCAATTCAAAATATAATGTATATCACACCAGCTACAGCGCACCAAGGATTTTGTAAATCTCCTTGGCATACAAATCGACACTCTCATTTCCCAAAGGGCGGGCACTCATTTTGTTCATGACATAGGCGATTGTCATCCGCCGGCCACGGTCCATAATGAGGAGAGATCCTCCCCAACCACCCCAGAAGCAAATATGATCATCCTCTGGAATACAAGGAAGAGTCTGTAAGGAAGGCAGTCCGACCCCGAGACCATATCGGGTATAGAGCAGAAGAGCCGGGTCTAGCCCTTTGGCCTGCTCTTCCATCATTTTATCAAGTGTACCGGAAGAGAGATACTTTTTGCCATCGACGACACCATCCAGAGAGATGACCGATCCGATGCGTGCTAGAGCACGAGCATTCGAGAAACCATTTGCAGCACCAATTTCGGACTTTCTAAAGCCAGTCTGATTTGGTAGCGTAGGGTCCATAGCCGACCCAACCATCGCTCTCACTACAAGACTTGCGGCATCGATACCATCAAGCGACACTGGTGGGGGTGGAACAATATCAGCCGTACGCGAATAGTCTTGTTCCGGTAACCCAAGCCGGAAATCGGCGCCGAGTGGAGTAGCGATCTCATCCGAAATGAATTGAGTCAGAGACTTGCCACTTATCCGTCGCACGAGTTCGCCCATCATATGGCCCCAGCTGATTAGATGGTATCCATGCTGCTCGCCCGGAACCCACCAAGGAGCTTGGTCGGCGAGTCGGTCCGTAGCTTTCTTCGTATCTTGGATCTCCTCGGCAGAGATCAATCCATCCCATGCCGGCACTCCAGAAGTATGACTGAGAATATGCGACACCTTCGCATTCTCCTTGCCGTTGGCGGCAAACTCAGGCCAGTAAGCAGCAACCTTCTCGTCCACGTCTATCAGGCCGCGACTGGCGAGAATTTGTACAGCCAGACAGGTAACGAGCTTTGTGGAGGACCACACTCCTGTGATGGTGTCTTCGGTCCATTCCTTTGTCTGAGCTACATTCATGTGCCCGCCCCAGAGGTCGAGCACTGTTTTGCCGTCCACATTGATACAGAGTGAGGCACCCAGCTCATCTCCACTGGCAATTCTCTGCTGTAGAATCTCACGGACCGGGTTGAATTTTGAATCGCAATAACCTTGGACTTCGGCCATGATGTTGCGCAGGTTGTAATGCTAGATCGAAAGTCGTAAAGTTCTGTTCCAGAAAAGCTTTCTAAGTCAGGGTAAACTATGACTCCATTAACTTTGAAATGTGCCCGGATTCCAAGCCTTATAACTATCTCAAGGATGTTCGTTCTCACGTCAGCGAGTTTGAGGCTACGGCAGCCCCGGGTCAAAGCGGAAGGATCGTAAATACTTAGGCCATCCTCTTTTGCATGGATGTCTCGGCTTGAAATGAATCTTTAATGGGCCTCATTCAAGGTTTTGCTCGAAAGCGTCAGGTTTCCCACTCGTGAGAGCTTGACTCTGGAAACTGTTTCCCTGGACTACGTGATAACTGGGCGCATTGCTAGCGTGAGGATCGGGGGGGCAAACTCAGATGTAAGCAAATAATGTGCTGCAGCTCAGCTGAGAAAGGGTACTCTCGACTGGTAATTGCTCCTTGATTGAGAAGCCAATCAATTTTTCTCCAGCAGCGGTCATCTCGTATGCATGCGTCATTGCTGTTAATCCATTTTACACGATATTTGACCTGCTCTGGAGCAGGATGCCGCGCCCATATTGAACGCGCTCATAGCTGGAGGCTTTGTACCTGATGGTGGATGGAACCACGTATTTGGGATTCTTGGGCGACTGAACCACATGACTCGGTGGATGTTTAGCTTCGGGCAGTGGATGCTTGGGGCTTCCGGTGCCGCCGATCTGTTGTGGACCATGCAGTGCTTTACCTTGTCTGCGCCGGATGGCTCCCGGTACCTGGAAAAAGTGCGCTGTCCGGTGATGGTGACAGGGGCACGACAGTCGCTGTACTCGCCGGGACTCGGGTTCAATGAATTCAAACACATATACTGTAACCTCGAGAGCGGAGAGGGACCAGAGTCAGGCAAGGGAAGCAATCCAGACTCGAAGGATCGCAAAGAAGCTGATGAGTCGCTCAGGGATCACGGGGCTGCTGGAACGCGGTAATCTGGATCAATGGTATAAATGCCTTAAAGCCAGGCACAGATGGAGCAGAGAACTGGGCTTAGTGCGCGATGAACTGGGAACAAGCAACAACATTCAGGTTTTTGGCGTAAGCCCCTGGGCATGTTGCGACCCCGACATGGCTACATCCTCCAAAGTCGTCCCTCAATTCCCTACTATATCCATGACCACTTCTCCAACTCTTGCAAGTGATAGCTATTATGAATATACAAGTGTCTGAACCGGCTGCTGGGTTTCCGGTCGAGAATCCGACAGAGTCCTACTGGCAAACCCCGCCTCTCCCTATCTCAGACCACCGCACCACTCCCCACCTGCCCCCTACGGCAGAATACTGCATTGTCGGCTCCGGCATCACCGGCGCCAGCATCGCGTACAAACTCTTGAATGCTAACCCCTCGGCTCAGATCCTCATGCTTGAAGGGCGCACCGCCTGCTCCGGTGCCACTGGACGGAACGGCGGGCACTGCCGGGCGGGACGGTACCTGTCATTCGCCGACAATTTGGCGAAATGGGGCGCAGAAGAAGCATGGAAGCTAGAGGCTCTGGAGAGGGCAACCGTGCGGAATGTGGTCCAGCTAGCGCGGGACTTGGATATACCGTGCGACCTCGTGGCGTCCGAGACGGCGGATGTGTTTATGGATCCCGTTCAATGGGAGGCTGCTTTGGCAAATATGAAGGCGCGCGAAGACGCCTTGGCAGAGCTCACTTCGGCCTCGATGCCAGAGGAAAGTGCACACGACGACTCCATACGGCACGAGTACAAGATCTGGTACGCGGAGGAGGCACGCGAGAAACTCCTGTTCCCCAAGGCTCTCGGTGCGATTGCGTTCCAGTCGTATACGCTTAGCCCTTATAAACTCGTATGCTCGTTGCTGGAGCACGCGGTGCAGCGGGGCATGAATCTGCAGACCAACACAATGGTGACGTCTATCGACTGTTTGCCAGCCTCCGCACCTGCCTCGCAGCGACGGTGGACAATTTGCACGGCGCGTGGCAATATTCAGGCGAACAATGTAATCCTGGCGACGAACGCTTACACAGGAGCACTCTATTCGCCCCTGGCATCGTTCATCATTCCAACCCGAGGTCAAATTGCTGTTGTACGCCCTGGGAGTAATATATCTGGCTCACCGGTGCTGAGCCGGAGTTGCGGGCTTGCAGATGTCGTCGCAAGCCCATATTACCATTCTCGAGCACCAGGACTGAGCGGTGAGGGCGATATTGTTATGGGTATGTCTTCTCCCGGCTGCTGTCTAGCTAATCCTTGATTGCTCGCGAGCAAGCCTCCCGTGATGTACAAGGGAAGGGTACAAAAAGGGTATGGTTGGTGGCTGACAAGGTCCCATAGGAGGCGGCCGCACCGTCGCACCTGGCCGTGAGCAGCCCGTCTTCGACGACTCGACCATCCACCCTCTCGTCTCGAAATACTTAACTACCCAGCTGGCAATCTATTTCGGAGCTGATACATGGGGCAGCAACCCAGTCGATCCCGTTGTGCAAGAATGGACGGGTATCATGGGCTATACGCGCGATACAGAGCCGATTGTTGGCCAAGCGCCGAGAAGAGAAGGATTGTGGATTTGTGCCGGATTTCATGGACATGGTAAGGCAAGAACTTTCAGAATTATATGAGGAACGTGGGTTGGCTAATGGAGAATCAGGCATGGCGCTGGCATTTCAATGTGCGGAAGCTACGGTGCAGATGCTGATGGGGCAAAGTGATGATGTTGAGAAGTGGTTGCCTCAGTCATATAAGCTGGGACGGGTGCCGGGAACGGGGTTTGAGTAGCTCGGTTCTAGACGGTGTTCGCAACGTGACATATGCTCATGTTCGCTTCGATTGCCAAATAGTGTTGAGTTAGTCTATGTAGGCTGGCTACCTAGACGAGGACGCAAACTAGCTGAGAAATTAAGTTACATTACTTTGGCAATGACTCATTTGTAGTTACCAGTGAATATGATACAACCCTATATGGATCACCGGGGGTAGAGCTTAAATTTACCTACCCAAATATCTACCTAACTTCTTCCAGTCATTAAATACTCCTCATTCCTCTACTGTTGATTATTTCTCATACTCAAAACGACATCCCCCATCAAACTCCTCGTCTTATTCGTCTGACTATCAAGTTCTACAAGGGCCAAGCTCGACAGGGTGGTGAGGGACATAATTTCGCCCGAGAGTATGTTGTTCAGACATCAAATCTGCACGCAAAACACGGAATTTATAAGTACCAGCAGGTAGATACTACGTTATCGCTCATATTTTCTGTTTTGTGATTTGATTATGCTGACACTGGTAGTGCTACTCTTCCCCAGCGTATCGCACCTTTCATGGACGGCATGAACCGCCGTAACAACCGCGGCTGGGTTATTGATGTACGATTCGCCCGACCCTTGTTCAGATTATGATTTTTTAGAAAGGGAAACTTTCCATCTAACATGCTATCTAGGATTATGATGTGACGATTGAGTTCTACTTCCGCAGGTTTGCCGAACTAACCAAGGTCAACAGCGACCCGGAATGATGAGCTGTTAGATCTATCTACTGCTTTGAGACCGGATGGTGTGTGGACAGCAAATGAAGAGGTTTCATGAAATATTATAAAATATAATGGTTGTCTACATCACGTACTAGAAGGATTGAGAGGAGCAGAGGAAGACTGCGGGGACTTGGTGGTCTCGTGAGTTTGGCTGCCTGAGAAGATGATGATCTCGGGAATGGTTGATGGTGGAGAAAGATGTCGATTGAAGGCAAGGAGGTCGAGACGTAACTTGAAACATTTCCTCATTCAATAAACATATTTTGAGCTGTCTTTCTATATTTGTTTCGATAACCAGCTCTCCAGTTTCCTGGCTGTAAAAAAATCTCCGACCGTAGTATTCCACTCCGGTGACGACTTTTGCGGTCGCAGTTAGGCCTATCGCGAAGCCAGTCTCGTCAAAGTTGTAGATATCCTCAGGCAAAATACCGTACGTGGAAATCGCGAGATCTACTATATCAAACTGCTCTCGAAAGATGAAATGGCACGATTAAACGCAAGAATACGGATGGGTGCGTCACTCGCTAGTGGATGGATTACGTTACGTCAGGTAAAGTCACAGGGATCTTATCGCCCGTGATGGAGAGAATCTGTGCTGGACCCTTTTAACGTCGCCACTGACAAATCCAAAATACGAGAGCCATCAAGCAACCCAGGAAGTCTATGTAAACATCTGGAGAAAGACTGCTTTGAAAATACTCCTGTCTATTATTCCGCGTCCTCCTACGAAACATGCCCACTCATTGCATAGCTCATCCCAAAATGCAACCACAAGCTCCGGGATCTTCGTCCGGTCTGTCCCAAAGTTCCCACGCTCGTTGGCTCGCCCTCACGCACCGCGACCGTTCTTACCACTCATCCTTTCTCTATGGCGTCAAATCCACAAAGATTTACTGCCGCCCTACCTGCTCTGCTCGTCTTGCGAGAAGAGCCAATGTTGTCTACTACGACACGGCAGACCAAGCGCGACGCGACGGATTTCGCCCGTGCAAGAGATGCCAACCAGACAACGCGGCATTTGTTGGAGACGGCGAGGAGGTTGTTACAAGATTCATAGAGCTTTTGCGGGTAAGGAGGGATAATTTGACGATGAAACGAGGCTTGAAGGAGCTGGCTAAGGAGGTCGGAGTAACGCCGAGCTATCTGTGCCGCGTGTTTAAGAAGAGAATGGGGATGACGATAGGAACTTACTTGACGGAATTTGAAAAGGAGTCGAACGAGGATGGGCCCGAGAGTTCAGCAACAATTCCCAGTCAATTTGGATCTGATGTGAGCTCAGGGACAAGGCTGACACCGCCAATAACGGAAAGGAGCTTGCAAGTGCCCGTCGATGAACTGCAGGGGGAGTGGTCGAAAGAAGAAGAAGTAGGAAATGTCGCGGAGGCTTTGAACTTGAGCTTTCATTCTCATTTTGACGATTGGTTCTGGAGTGAAGACTATTTGACTGAAGACTATTTGACTGAAGACTCCTGGATTGCAGGGTCCTGGAACGAAGGATCACGTTACTGAATGGACAGTAGCTAATGCCTAGGTAGTCAACCAGTGCTCTTATGGTAACAATATTGATATGGATTGCCCTTATTCAATGACACCCTGCACTCCACGTAGAATACCCCCTTCATTCAGAATATTTCTCATTCAGGAACGCCCGAGCGAAATGTACGTCTGGTACATTATAGGCAACCACGCTACAAATCATCTTTTACCTCATCTCCAGATATGCAGACTCTACAGATGTACTCTGGTAGACACGGTGTGCGATGATGCTGAAACAGAGGAGTTCGTGAAGACTGTTGTACTAGACTATGTTGAACTACTTTATTGGTCAAATAATAGAACTGTTTAAATACAAAGTTTTGAGAGACCCTTGCGTGTTTTCGGGGTTTCGTAACAGCGATAATTTATTTACCATTGAATCCTCCAATCCCATCCCTTGACTTTGATCCTGACCCATAGAAAAGACAGAAAAGCGGCCGCATAGCTCAGTCCAGCAAAAAGAGCGACGCCCCAATATTTTTCTTTTCCTGTCGCCTCCACCGCACCGAGAAGGCCTCCAGCGATAGGAATACTTACCAGTAGTCCTAAAGATACTACCGTGAAGCAAGTCGCATAATAACGTCCATATTCTTGTGTTTCGCAAAGCTGGCCAAGGCAGATTGGTGTCAAGCTAACATTGGAGCCGCTGCAAAATCCGAAAATTAGAATAAAGACGACAAGAAGTGCGGAGTTATCCAGGTTTGGTGTGACTATGTCTGGCAGCCAGAAGCATAGAACTGATACCGTGCAAAAGAATAAGGAAACAATCATGGTATTGTATCGGCCGAATCGGTCAGCCATATCACCGGCCACATACCGGCCAACGCACGAAGCAGCATTCAGGATCGCGAGAAGCTGATATGCAAACGCCGATGACCCCGTCAGGGCCGCGCCTTGAGAAAGATGCTGTCTATCGATGTAGTAGATTGGCGTGTATGTGATGGGAATGAAATATGCCAGATCAGTCAAAAGGACTCCAGCGGTTGTGCCTGCCATTGCTCCAGTCCCATCAAGGAAGATTTTAGGGTCCGGCAATGTATCTCGCCAGGTGGTTTCTGTTCCTTTCCGCGGTGGGACTCTGCTTCGGCAAAATGCCACGCTAATAGCACAGAGCACAAGCAGCACGAATCCCAGGATCCGTATCGACCATCCCCAGCCGACTTGAGGGAGGAGTGCTTGTATCATCAGCGGGAATAGGACGCCACCAAAACCACCTCCAATAAATGCTATTCCACTGGCAAGACCGCGGCGTTTCATGAACCAGTGGGCGACGCATCCCATGGATGGAGTGATGAGCAGGGATGAACCGATCCCTATCAATATAGAGAAAGACAGAAAGATCTGATAGTATTCTGTACCGCCATTAGCAAGAGAAAAGAACACCTGGCAGAATCAGGCAAACGGAAATCTCAGCTGAGGGCCACGAGAGTGGATATAAACGCGAGGTTATATATTATGGAACTCGGTCTTACCTGTAGATACGCTGAGCGTGAAAATGCCAACCAAAGTGCAAATGGACCCGGCAAGGATCAGTAAGCGAGGACCCATTGCATCAAACGTCGGCCCAATCTGCATCCCACAGACCCAGTTTAAGAAGGCGTAGACTGAAAAGATCCAGCCAATATTGGATGAAGAGACATCAGGTAAAAGTACTCTTGAGATAACAACCTCGAAAACCCCAGTTGTATTGTAGATGCCCAATGACGAGGTTAAGCCACACCACGCACCCAACACCACTAGCCAGGCATCACGCCCACCCTCGGGATAAGTAATCTCGGCGTCGAAGGGCACTTGGTCATCTGTGGCGGAAAGGTTGCCCGTCCCTTTTTCGATATCCGAAGGTGAGGAATGCTCGTTGCCAGGGGGTACGTTTTTGACACCCAAGGTGTCCGAAGTCCCTATTGAGGGCGAATTGTGTTCGAAAATTGGCTCCATCTTCCGTTTTGGTTTTCGTTCGGTAAGTCCTCCAATTACCCGTAGCAAAGAATGAGAAATGACGCGTGTTTGTGACTCGGAACTTTTCCATTGTTTTATATCTAAGTAAGAGGGGGGGACGCTCGGGGATTACGGGGCATCTATATCCAAGTTTACATATACTATGACGATTAAGACAGAGACAGAGACATCATCTAACCAGGAACAGGGCAGAGGAGCAAAGAACGCAGAATAGATGTACTAAAATTGGCCAATCAGAGCCGAGCGAACTCAAAGTGACCAATCAAAGCCAAGTTTTAACCGTGTACTCAAAATATCCAATCAGAGCCAAGGCTGGCCGCGTAGTCAATATGGCCAATAATTAGTTCAGCGTGTATATAAAGGAGGAATTCTTTGAGATGATACAGCACTTGAGGTATGGTGAATGATGATCTCCTATGTGAACCTACATAGTTCGCTCACGAGCCTCAGTTTCTAAAAGCTTTTAATACACTGGCTTTAGCCCATTTGGGATGTCTAATGGATGTGTAAGACATGCGAGGTTATATTCTTCTCCCTGGCCAGCAGCTTCCATGGCCAAATAACCGGGAGCATACTATTCAATATTCTCTCTCAATTGTTCACCATACTTATTGCTGTTGTATGTTTTCATTTTTTGATTATTTTGAAACAGCCGTGCACGGGTCTTGACTGTCATTTTTGACGTCTTTCTCGATGGTATTTCCAATCATTTTATATGTGTTTTCCGACTAATGTCCCGGCCTTCTTGTCGCTGTCTCTCTTAACATCTTCCGATAATTGAAGGATAAAAGGTGGCAGAGGAAAGATGCACCTTGGAAGGTCTTTACAGCGAATGGAAATCAATAAAGTAAAATGCCAGTAATGCATCCGAAAGCAAATCTATGAACAGGCTATTCTAAACAAAAAGCAAAGCTAATGTCGCATATCAACATATCCCATATACACAAAGTGGATGATATAGTACAGACATCATGCACATGAATCATAAAAATCGAAAACCAAGCGCCGCTATGCATTGTCAGCGCAAGAGAAGCTTCTGTTAGAGGCATCCTCATTAATCGCCCGACCAGAGACGTAAAGACCAAGGCCACACATGCAACCACCGATCACCACAATGCACATGTTGATAGCTGTGAGGAGGATCTTGCGAGGAGAAGAGAACCATTTCCCCCAGTTCAGGTGCAACCAGTAGACACCGGGGAGACCGTAGCTGAACCAAGAGGCGAACAGCGAGCTGATCAGACTCAACAGGTCGCTGAAGACGGGGATGGCGTCGGCAATAATCCAGGCGATGATCCAGCAGGTAAGACCGATTGCGACCCAGGATCCGAGGGACTTCAGGTCACGACGGTGCATGTTGTCAGTGCCGCGGAACAATCGGACGTAGATATACTTGAGACCAACGTGGCCATTTACCACACCGGCGCCAATAATAGTAGGGATGGCAATGCCGTAGGCAACCTTGCTCATCAAAGGGCCAGCGGATCCCAGAGCCGGGGAGGCAACAGCCTGTCCAGCATAGTAGTAGATGACGACCGCAGCCACGGTATAGAAAATAATCTCAAAGGTCTGCAGCATGTACAGAGCCTTGGGAAAGTCCCTTGGCTCACGCATCTCCGCAAGCAGACCGAAGAAAGCAACGTGGGCACAGTAAGCAAAGACAATGTTCGTCACGGCAGTGAAGGCGTGATACAAATCAGTGTCGATAGTGGCTTTCAGGGTAGAATATCCGTGGTCCTGGACACCAACTGAGACCATGGTAACGATAACAGCAGTCAGGATACTGGCGAAAGCTATAAAATGAGGGTTAGCATGATACTGTAATATTGGGAAGGAATTATCTCACAAGCACACGAAATGTAGGTCATGTTCCTCATTGTGCGAGGAAGAGAGCACACCATACAGATCACGAATCCAACAGCAGTGAAAACCATAGTACAGGTGCCATGATCGGTGACCGTGTTCATCATGACGCTGAAAGTCAAAAGGTGGCTACCCATAATGAAGATGGAAAACAACAGCTGTCCAATACCGAAGAGCTCACGCCCAAACGCTCCCATCAAAACCTCACCCGCATCGGCCAGGTTCTGAATGTGAGGGTAACGCTGGTGGAACTGTCCAATAACGTAACCAGTGTACGTGGCGAGAAGACCGAGACCGATGATCAACACAATGGCCGGCGCAAGGCCAAGGGAGGCGAGGGTAGCGGGCAACGACAAGACACCCAGCGAAACGGATTCAGCGATCATGACTGGGTTGCGTTAGATATTGTTCGGTCACGCGACACGTTACTCTCTTTCGCGACAGCACTTACACATTCCAGCTTGCCTATCAATCGCAAAGTTAGATATCGGATTTTTATAGTTATGGGCAATGCGCATGAACTTACCACCACTCCATAGTTTTGTACTTGATCTCCGCATTGGTCTCATCACCAAACGCGTCCTCGTAGCGCCGGACCCCATCCTCCTCCAAAGTCTTCTCCTTCCATCCTGACTCCGAGTCCACGTCAACGGGCTCGGGCTTTGGAGTGACTCCCTCGAGGATCATATTGTCGGTACGTTAGGTCGGGGAGGATGCGGGAGAACAAGACGAGAGAAAGAAAAGAAGACTCGAGCCGCAATAGATAAGTATGTGTGCAAAAAATTCCTTAGCTAACCGTGGGTGGAGCTCAACGTCGCATGAGCCAACCGAAACCCCCGCGACAGACTTTGATGGGAACTGGGGCAAGAATTCTGGGGCCCGGAACTTCTGGAAGGCGGGAGCTATCGGCCTTATCGTGAAGGGTATTTCTATTGCAATATTCTATTATGAAGGTAAAACGTGGTGGCCAGGGCCCGTTCCTGCACACAGATGTTCGGTCGCGATCAGCAAGATTTAAGGGCCTTCGGCCCACTCCCGAGCAACATTATGGACCCTTTTAATCCACTTTTATTTGGAGTTGCGCCAATCACGGCCTCGGGTCGGAGATCAATTAGATAATAAAAATCCCGGGTCCCGCGTGGGTGACCCGACGGTAGCCGGCTTCGTTGAATCCGATCTCAACTACTCCGACGCCGTCGGATTATTTTTGCACGTTCCGTTGTACACGGATCATGTTCGCATTCAGTACGCGAACGCGACTTTTCAAGAACATGCACTGGGGACAGCACAAGCTAGCCTACGCAAGATCTTCTCTGTAGAGATCGGCAGAAATTTTCTTACCAAAGCCAAGCCCGGGTGGCCACTGAAGTAATAGAAATGCGACTCCAACCGTGGCCGACAGCGGCTCGAAGCGCGCCATTGCCACTAACAGAAAATTTTAGTCAGGGCACCCGCATTAAGCTTCGGCCATTGACCGACTATGCATGTCCGACTAGCTTGGCTATGCATTGTATGACAAACATCTCTTTCAGGCGCCAATGAGCGTGCTCTAAGGTGGACCGATTTGCACTCAAGATAGCAACTACTCCATTATTCTGACATCTGGAATCGGCATTTTCATTTAGTGGCCCGGTCTCTCCGCATGTCGGCTCGTTGATTGTTTCCTAGACGGGGGAATTTTCTGGGGTCGAAATATATTAACAGTCCTAATGCCGAAAATGACCTGCCGGGGAGATGAAACGAATGACTGTATAGCTTGTATTATTGATAATGGAAAAGGGAGATGCCCGAGTCTATGCACATTGACGCTAGTTAGAGAAACATCCCAGATCCTTCAATGTCACCCTGTTGCAGGATCTCCAAACCTACACGTAATCTGGGGGCCAGACTGAACCCAACTTCCTGAATCATTCTGCTCCGCACTAATCCCATCTCGAAAGCATCCCGCGTCTCGTAGTTACTGTGGAGTTCCCCATACCCAATCATTGACTTATATCGCGTCATAGCGCCTCGCAAACTGAATTTCAAACATGACAATGCATAATCCATGCATCGGGTTATGCCTTTTGAAAGCAAGAACCAAATATCCATCTTCCGGCAACATAGCAATATCACATTTCGGCGGCTTCCTGACCAAATTCACCTTGCCACTATAAGTTTCACTTCCCTGTGCATAGCCACAAAATCATGTTCATGCAAATGAATGGGGTGGGGGACAGAAGACGCAGTTTTGGTGACCGCATAGATCCACCTAGTGTCGGGTCTATCCGGTCAACATGGATGGTCGGGGAATTGAGTTTCCGTCGGTAAAGACTGTCTCGATTTTCCCCAGAGAGACCGTGCGGATATGTTGGAGACGGGGATGGAGAAGGATTCGGAAACAATAGGGGTTAGGTCCGACATGTTCTCGTCCACGCATGAATCTGTGTAGCTATAGCCGGTGGAATGGGGGACGGAGGATAAGGTTCCATAACACACGACGTCCATGATGTTGGAGGGGATTTGTTTTCTAATCATGCTGTCTGAGGGATTGCGCGAACCTAGAAGTTCTTTGCGGCCGACGCCTGATCGGCATTCATGATGACATCGCACCGTTGTTCTGAGGAATAGGTTAGCACAAATCGCGTGTCCGATCGCAAAATTTAACCCATCCGTATGCGATGTTAAGCACATTAGACTTATACGACCCAATGGGAACAAGATAATCAGCGATAACGGTCATTGTGGGATTGTCGATCGAAAGCTCGGAATGCGTATCGCACGCCGCATTGACTAGACGAAGTTCGTATCGATGTCTATGAGGACTATCGCTTACTTAACGCACGAGCGCTGCTTAGCTTGTGGACCGGTGTCACGCACGACCTCAGCTACGCACACCAGAATCTAGAGCAGGAGGATGTGTCATATTGTAGTAACATCAAAGATAGTACAAAAGTGGGGAAAGTAAAGGAAGACAGAGAGACTGCCAGGCCCGAAATACCATCAGTGAATGATTTCAATTGAATACCAGTTGATTACACCCGGAGAGTTGCAGTCTTAAAATGAAGCCTAGGTCAGGTAAGAAGGTAATTATCTGTTGCATTTCCGGTTTTCATTTCTTAGGATTCAATGATGGACTTGATTTCTTCACAGTGGACCCAATATTGACCGATTCAACGTTGAAATTGGAGTGTTGATATATGAGTGGATACTACTATTTCATAGTTCAAAGTTGATGAGTACAAATACTGCATCGGGCGATCAGGGTTCCTTTTCTGTACTGCCACTCTCTTGTCAGAATTCGAAGACAGAAGACAGCAATAGTACCAACGTCGTTGATATCCTGGCAACACTTTCATAAAGACTAAGGCTCACAGCTTTACCGTAGAGCTGACACCATTGCTGACACCATTGCTTCCAGTTCTCGTGGGAACCATACCGCACGACGTCTGTCTTGATGTCTCCCAAGTCGAGAATCAATAGTCTACCGCTCGCGTATTCTATTCCGCAGCCTAGACGGCCCGAAAGGCGGCGCCAAGAGCCATCCTACCATCCATACCACCCTGTAAGACATCACTAACGCAAGTGAGGCCTAGACCGGCAAGCTAACTTGGATCGGTCCCTGCCAAGCCTACCAAACCGGAAATCCGCTTGGCTAGCGCGGAGCATGGCGGAGATTGACGCCCCCAAAGCCAAGCACTTTAAGCCTCATTCGAACGTCCGTGAGCACAGTACCAGCTCTGGTAATTTAACTATTCAGTTTTAGGTCATGCTCGCAAGCCACAGGAATCTGCACCATTATGGAGCGTGGACCCCTTAAAAACCATCTTCCCTAGTTGCCCGAGTCCGTTTTTTAAAGAAGATTAAACCAACACACTGAATTGAACAATTCTCAAACATGACTACCGTATCTGTCTTTGATGGTTGGTGGACCTTCTCCAACTATGGGCCCATCACCACAACATTCACCCCTGCGCCCAGCTGCAGCGCAACAGACAGACTCACGCTGGCCATGATCTACGATGACACGACCCATGGAGAACTCCAAGTCGGTTGTCCCACACCAACGAGTGACTGGGACTGTCTTCCGCCCGGCACGACAACTTCGGCAGCTTGGTATGACGTGCAGAAATGGAATGGGGCTGCTGGATACTACTCCCCGGGTCTGTACTGCCCGTCCGGGTGGGAGACCATTGGCATGGCCGCGCGCGGTGACAAGTCGCTGAGCACGTCGGGATTCTTGACTACATCGGTGGATAAGATTCCATATTTTGAGGAGCCGGCGACGTTGTTGGCGAGTGCGTTGCAGCCGAGTCAGACTATGGCGCTTTGTTGTCCGAGGTATGTCATCTTTCGTCGATGTCGGTTTGGTGAAACGGGAGCTTGGAGAACTAATCTATTTTCTAGCCACATGACGCCCGACGGCAACGGTTGGTGCAATGCTCAAGTCCCGAGCTACATTCCCAGCGTAGGCTGCTACGTCGACGTGGATAGCTCTTTTAGTTTTGAGACAGTTACCAGGACACATGTCGATGACCATACCACGGCGACGAGCACTTTTCAGGTGGAGTCGTTTATTAGCGCTACTACCTCGACTTCCTCGACATCACTCCCTCCTGGATCCGGGGATGTGTTGACGGCTATCTCCTATGTACCTATGGTGACTATCGTTCATCATCAGTCTGATCTGAATGCGCTTGGAGCTGCAAGCGGATCTACGGGCACCGGTCCCACTGGTACTGGCTCTACTGGGACTGGCACTGCTGGCTCTAAGGCTACGGGGACTGCCGCTTCCACTTCCAACGCTGCGTACAGACTCGGTCACAGGGCGTCTACGTGGGATGGCTTGGGTGCTATTATCGGGGGCTCGGCTGCTGCGATGGCATTGGGGGTGGCCATGATTATCCTGTGATAGACTTTTCATAAAGCAATTTTAAAGTATCATTCATGTTCGTTACTGTAGCGAGGTGCGGAGGAGCTTTTCCATCTCCTTCAATGAATCGGGCTTGGAAGTCACACTGGACATCAAGTATAGCACATTGCCCAGGACTCTGGAGTGGACATTGAACTGGTCGCCGCCAACGGCCAGCTTCTGCTGTAAGCCTTTAGCGGCAGTAGAGGTATAGCCTGAAACTGTTAGCGGTGATTCAACAATCAAAGCCTTGCTGAGATGTAACATACCTCCGCCTTGTGCATCGCGCAGCGAGATGCTCAGCACAGTTCCAATTGCAAAGACGCTCTCCACGGCATCGGTACAGGAGAGGTCCTTCAAGAGACCCTGCGACCAGACACTCCACACATCAGCACTTGACTCCTTGGCCGGTGCGGACGTGGCATTCCAATCCGCTCGGAATCCATCCCACGATCCATTCACGTCCATGTCAGACATGGTCTTCAGCGAGTCCACCGCGACGGTGCATCCGACTGCATGGGCCGTGTAGCTGTGGCCGTGAAGGAGGGCATCGCTCTTCTCGGGACTCGAAAACGTGTCGAAGATTTCCTGGCTTGCAACGGTCGTGCATAGGGGAATCAATCCACCGGTGAGGAGCTTGGCATTAACAGCAATATCGGGGTGCACGTCGAGGAATGACGCCGATGTTGGGCGTCCCAGGCGGTAGAGTCCGGTGAATACCTCGTCGAAGATGACGGGCAGACCGGACCAGGATGGCGCTGATTTCGGGGTGTTGTTCTGGGCAGAGAAGAGCTCGGGGTTGTCGCGGACGACATCTGTCAGGCAGCGCTGGAAGAGCGGATCACTGGAAGTTCAAACAGTCAGTAAGCTGAGTATCCCATGCGCCGTTGACTCACCAGAATAGCATTCCTCCTGCGCCAAGAATAACAGGTTCCAAGATCAAGGCACCAAACTTCATTCCTTGCTTCTGCACCAGATCCTCAATGGTGCGGCGAATGTATTCCTTGTAGCGCTGCGCAGCATCCGACTGCAAACGCTGATCGAGGTCAAACACCGAGTTCAAAGAATCAACCTCAACATCGGGGCCCAGATCAGCCCGAAGCTCTTCGGGGACTTCAATCTTCCAAGTCCCATTGACCATCTTGACCAGAGGGAAATCAAACCAGTGCCCCCGACCACGGTACCATTCGACCTTTTTGTTATAAGTAGATGGCTCAGAACAATCCATCACACCAATGGTATCACCATGGTAGCTGCCCTTGAGACCCAGAATGTTAATCTTCTCTTGACTAGCATCCCAACCATACCGGTCACATGCCACCCGCAGACCCATTTTCACAGCAACTTCCATTCCGGTGCTTCCGTTATCCGTATAGAAAACCTTGGTAAAGCGCGGATTGTCAAGGGTCTTCAACAGGCGATCAGCCAGAGAAAGCGCCGGCTCGTGCACTGCGCCCGCGAACATGACATGGCCGTACCGACCGGCGGCATAGGCGGCGGAGAGGGACAAGTCCGGATTGCCATGGCCCAATCCCTGTGTCCACCAGGATGCGGATCCGTCGAAGGTAGGACGAAGTTCACTATCGGGCTTCGTAGAGCTGCTCGACTTGAAGGTCTGGAAGTAATCATCGTGGGCGGAATCGATGACTGTGATATCCTTGGCGGACATGCCCTGGTGTTGAGTGAACGGGTACCAGATCAGATCGTGTGCCCGATCAGCCATTTCGTCTAGTCGCTCGATCCTTTCCGTGTTCTTGACGGACATTTCTTCGAGGAGGCGCAGGATCTCCGACTCTTGCGATACCTTTTGATAGTAGCTAGACATTGCTTCTTCGTCTCTCAATTGCGAATCGGCGTCCAGTTGCAGTGGCTTGGCAGGGGGTGCCGGCAAGGAAACCAGCGGGATGCTCTTATTGCGGAAGAAATCACGCAAGTACTCGTGGTTCTGGTAATATTCATCACGGAACAACAGGACAGACTGGATGTCGTAGCCGCGGAGCAGCAGGGACTCATAGGCAGAGACAGACGAGGAAATGCCTCCTAGCCGAGAATCCGCGACGAGGACAATGGGAAGTCGCAGTGGCCTATAAAGGTCGGCCTGGGAGTTGCCATTGGGCCCTGGCGAGTGGACGCCGCCGGCAGTTTCGACCAGGGCGAAGTCGACATCCGACCGGGCCCAGTCAGACAGGGTCTTGTGAATGGATGCGAGGAGATCATCATCCGAGATCTTTTCAAGTCAGACATGTTCCAAAAAAACAAACAAATTGACTCACGTTCTTCTGTTTCGCGGCGATATGCGGGCTCACCGGCTCATCGAATTGGTAGAGGCATTTGGTGAGAGTCCCGGCCCCGTACCGCTTCAAATGGCTGCGACCGGAGTCAGTGTATTGAACCTTTTGAACAGCTGCGTATACAACCTACCGATCATCTGCATCGTCCAATGCTCCGGTGGAGACGGGTTTCAGGAATGCCGCCCTCTGCTTCTGTTTTTGGATGGCATTGCAGAGCACGGTCGAGACGATGGTCTTGCCGACATCGGTATTGGCGCCATACACCTGTTGCGCGCGCAGGGTGCGCCAGAGTCCAGCACCGACGGGAGCCATAGTGAATAACGAGACAATGACCGGGAGCTCCGGGCGCTATAACACGCGACACTGACGGTGGTAAAGTCACAGTCGGGCGCGTTTACGTTTACCGGGAAGTTTGACGTCAATTGGCGAATCATGGATCCGCCGCGGCTCCACACCGATTACTCCTTCACCGAGGTTGAATTTCCCGTTGAGATCCCAACGGGCCTGGCCTGAGAGATTGAGAGATTGACCGGGTTCCCTAGGATGTCTCCGATCGCACACGACATCCCTGTTCTCCCCGCTTCGCCCCCGGATTCGTTCCCCGTTGCAGTCCGCTGTTCCTGAAGCTAGGGGTTTAAAGTGCGGATCCTTGACGGCCGTGCCCAGGAGCCAACCCGTGATTAACCGTGGACCGCCCCATGGACTGAGATACGTCGACATTAATTGATTCCCGCCCTGTAACACGGGCTGCGTCGATCATGTCTCTCCTAGACTCGCTGAACAGTGCCCTGGCCCGGCGAGAGGCCAAATCTGCGCGCCGCAGACTCACGGTCCTACCGCAGACCGCGGTGGACTTCTCTTCCAATGACTTCCTTTCTCTCTCCACGTCTCCAGCATACCGGAATCGCTTCCTGAGTCATCTAAATAATACACCGGAGTCGTTCCCCTTCGCAAGTGGGGGTTCCCGACTACTGGACGGCAACTCTGCATATGCCGAGGAACTCGAACGCTTCGTTGCCGCCTTTCACAAGGCGCCTACGGCCCTTCTGTTCAATTCCGGCTTCGATGCCAATGTAGGCGTCCTCTCCAGCATCCCTCAGCCGGGTGATCTCGTCGTGTACGATGAGCTCATCCACGCCAGCATTCACGAGGGCATGCGGCTGTCTCGGGCCGGGAAAAGGCAGATGTTTTCTCATAGCTCGCCCACGGCTCTGAGGGATGTTCTCAGGGCTGAGGTTGAAGCCGACCGCGAGGTTCAAAGCGGTACACGGAACGTGTTCATTGTCATCGAATCCATATACAGTATGGATGGTGACATGGCGCCTATCAAGGAATTTATTCAGGTTGTGGATGAGCTTCTTCCCCGCGGCAATGGGTATTTTATTGTGGATGAGGCTCACGCGACGGGAGTCTTTGGTCCTCGGGGAGCCGGAGTGGTGCAGCAACTCGGTGTTCAAGACCGCATGTTTATCCGAGTACACACGTTCGGCAAAGCACTGGCGAGTCATGGAGGTAATCTCCCCGAGCTAATCGATTTTTGCGGAACTCTCTAACATTTTCTCGAATAGCCATGGTGCTCTGCGGATCCGAGACAAGAGACTACCTCATCAACTATGCCAGGAGTGTAATCTACACCACTGCTCTCGGGTTTCCCTTCCTGGCCTCTATCCGCACTTCTTATGAACTTCTATCATCAGGACAGACCGAATCAGTAAGTCATCTTCTCGCTCATTGATATCCTTGCTAACCAAATACAGTTACAACAACGAGTCCAACAATTAATTCGCCATCTCCGATACCGCCTGGACGGTCTCGTGATGAACCCATCAGTCATGTTCGAGGTTGACCACTACCCAACATCTCCAATTGTCTCACTTCGCACGTCACAGCCACGGCTGTTGGCAAGTGCCTGTCAACAGGATGGATATGTCGTCCGTGCCATCATGCCGCCAACTATTCCCGAAGGCAAAGAGCGGGTGCGCGTGTGTCTGCATGCGGGCAATACCGAAGAGGAGATTGATGGGCTGGTGCGGACGATTCAGGCGTGGTTAGATGAGCGTTTGGCGAGAACCGCCCATTTATGATGATAGAAAGACGTCTACAAAGATGTCGGTAGAGCTATAAACGAAAGGCGTATTTACTAGTCACTGAATCTCCTTATGACCAGGCGGGGCGAATCGCTTCTCTTGTCTCCTTACACAGGCCATCCTAACCTTCCCTAAACTTTGTGTTATTTGAATCACGATTGGTGGCCGTATGCCGAGGATGTCCTCGGGCTGGCGTGTGATGGTGTGGTTAGTAAAGAATTATTCGTATGGACTTTTCGTACTTATCCATTCACCGTCCCGCTGGACGTCAAGCTCCAAGCTCCAAGCTCGCAAGCTGTAAGCAGTCATCTTCGCTTTGATCATATACGTTTCAACTGTGAGGTTTGGAACACTAGTTTAGTTAACTAGTAAACTGACTACTGAGTTACACTGCGACTACAGTGAGTTCTTAAACTCAGGCATCACTGCGAAGAAAAGAGAGGAAACAACTAATTTATGGGTTTTTGTAACGTGTCGACGACGACCCAGGATGTGGTATGTGGCAAGGTCAATGAAATGCTGTGGGTCTGACGATAACATTGACTTGATCAGCAGGCCGCTCCAAATTACTCGATGAAATTGCCTATGATAGGATGATTTCCTATTCCCGTTCGAGCGCGAAAAGAAGCCCGGATGTTGACCCGTGGCTCAGGTGGAGAGGCGATCTCGATACGCGGACCCGGAGTCGCAAGAACGGTGGGGCTCCCCAGATCGCCTTCGGCTGCAATTGAAGCTCACCCTTCGCAACAACCACTCGTGCTCCTGTCCAGGTCGCGCATTGAGCCCCCAACATGAGCGCCCCGACTGGAATCGGGACAGGCGATCTCCGCTCCAACCCGCGCTACCTCTTTCGCCAACCACGCGCTCTACAGTGGTTCGATAACGGGCGGCTAGTCAAGCGTCATGACTGTGAACGAGCGGCAGGTAGGACTACCCCTCCCCGCGGAATGCAGAGCTGCAAATTGACAAACTAGCGTCGCAGGCCGCTTCGAACTCTTCCTCGATTTGCTTTACGTCGCGATTCTTTCGAACTTTGCGGATTCTCTTGTGGAGGATATCTCGGGCGCAAAGCTTGTCAAGTACATTGTGAGACGCGCTCAAAGCGCAACCTTCACCACATCCTCAAAGAAAGCATATACTGATTCCGCGTCTGTCTACAGCTTATCCTAGCCCCGTCATGGCACGTCTGGAGCGATCTCCGCGAGTTAATGAACTCATTCTACAACGATGACCTACTCCAGCGAATCCTCATCTTATGGGTGATGGCCGTGCTCGTCGTCTACGGAAACAACGCGCCGCTCGTGGATAAAGATATTGGCGCCATGCGCGCGACAGTCGGCGCATACATGGTAGCCCGCCTCACCTGCAACCTGGCGCAGCTGCTATACTCCTTCTCGAGCTACCAACACCGACGCCAGCAGCGCCTCTGGGTGGGACTCTCCACCCTGTTCATGTGCTTATTTATTCCCCTCTACCTGGAGTCGATTTCTATTCCTGCGAAGATCGCCGTGGCTGCCGTGGGCGTCTGCGTCGAAGAAGCGACCTGGATCTTTTCCTTTTCCCCCGCGGCAAAAAAACTACTTCACTCTAGATATTCTACCGCGGTCGACATTAACCATGAGATGGATCGGTTCGCGGCGTTCTATATTATCGTTCTGGGCGAGTTCCTCTTCTTCATCATTGTCGGGTCGCCTGCCGCTATCGGTTTCAACGAGCGCACTATCCGGGCCATCTGGACGCTGGTTATCGCATTCTGCCTCAATTGGCTTTATGTGCATGCCGACGGCTCCATCGAGCATGACCATCCGCTGCGTCATAGTGTCTATTCGGCTTTCCTGTTCGTTCTGATCCACCTTCCGCTCGTGGCTGGTCTCCTGGCTGGTGGACACGTCGCTGCTGTGTCGGTGGCGGAAAAGGGGTTCGAAGATCCCGAGCGCTGGCTTCTTTGTGGAGGTCTCGGGACTGGGATGATTTGTTTGTATGGATTCGCGCTGCTTCATGGTTCTAAGGATGAGCGTGGAACTTTGATCATGGACAAGCCCCTTCGCTTGATTATGCGGCCCATTACCGGAGTCATTACGGTTTTGATTCCTCTCGCCCATGATCTGAATGCTACGAAAGTCCTCTCGATCATCATGGCTCTGTTTGTCTTCTGCGTGCTATGGGAAACCTATGGTTCTCTCATGAAGGACGCTTGTTTCTTCGAGCACTGGACTGATACGAAGTACCCTGAGCGGGTGATCGCTGAAGGTCCCTCTGACAAGGAGGAAAGATCGACGCCTTGATTTAAACGAAAAGTTCCATATACCACCACAAAATTTCTGTATACTGTTGTAATTATGAGCCAAATGTCTTTGGGAAGCTGTGTTTTCAGGCTGTGTCAATGTTCGCGGCCTTGCAAGTCTATATACCAAAAATTTAATAACTCTATTCAAAAATGTGATAAATTCATTGATTCTTCAAGAAACAGTAGTATATGTCTAAATAAATCTTGCATAAGGGCTGGATATCTCTCCGTGCAATGCGGTCATCAAGGTATAACGTAACATCGGTTGTAATTTCAAACCATGGATTTCTCAACCTTCATATCCCCGGTCGCCTGTGTCTCAGAGCGACTCATCGTAGTGTACCGGCTGAAAGCCCTCAACTGGCGACGATCATCACGAGGCACATCACCCTTCTTCTGCGCCTTCCTCTCCTGGCGCCTGAAATAAACTCGCTTACACCACTTCCAAGCCTCAATACCAAGGAAGAATAGCACAGTCTCAACAAAGACAATGCCCCACTCCCACGAAATGCTCGAATGTTTAAACACGCTGTGGTTGATGACAGGGATGTAAATAATGGGGAACGCAAGCACGAAGCCGGCCATGATTCCCCAGAACAAGAACTGGTTGCGCCAGATATCGTGCATCCACTGAGTGAAGTAGCGCTTGGAGTCGGGCTGCATGCAGAAGAAGCTTCGGCGGAGGTCCATCATCTCCCATGCGAGGAACAGCGCGAACCACGTCATGCAGGTGAACGTTGTAGCGCGGGCGCGGAAGACGGTGTCGCAGTCGTATGGTTTGGAGGCGTCGTTGTAGTGGGTGTTGCAGCCTTGGGCTAGATTGCCGTCACCCCAACGGAACATGACGAGGGCAAAGGCGGATAGACAGAGTGCTGCCATCCAGACACCGTAGACGAGAGTATCGATGATGATTTCCCAAGTGAAGATACCTTGTTTCTGTGAAATTGTTAGTGTCGAACAGTAGCATGGGAGCAAGGGTCCATACGCTTTGCGGAGGTCGGTCCATCACATCTGGAGAAGCCCTCTCCATTCCCAACCCCATATCAGGAAGACCGGAGGTAACCATGATAATCCAGATAATTTCAACCGGAGAAATGGGGAACACGGATTGGTTGGTATCATCCTTAAATGCAAGGCCGATAAGCAACGTCAAGGCCAGAGCCACGTTCTCAGCCAGCAGATGCAGAACGAATTTCTGAATATTGTCGAAAATTCTCCTGCCTTCTTCGATACCGTTTATAATAGAGGCAAAGTTGTCATCTGTCAGAACTAATTCCGACGCATCCTTTGCAACATCGGAGCCGTTTTGACCCATCGCAATGCCGACGTCGGCACGTTTAAGCGATGGCGAGTCATTTACACCATCACCAGTCATAGCCACGTAGCGACCCCGTCGGTGCAGAGCGTCGATCATGCGGACTTTGGTGTTGGGTGCGCATCGAGCGATGACGAGAGGCAGAGTAGGCAAGTCGTCGATCTCGTCTTCCGTGAGCTTGTCGAATTCGCTCGCCGTCATGACCATTGCATCGGCAACATCCTTTGCAAAGATATTCATATTGTCCGGGATGATTCCCACCTGAGCCGCAATTGCACGGGCAGTGCCAGGGTGATCACCTGTCACCATATGCACGGAGATTCCAGCCTTGTAGCACTGGGCGATGGCACCTGCGGTCTCGGGGCGAGGAGGATCGTGAAGTCCGATAAGACCATAGAATACAAGGTCTTTCTCGACCTCCTCTCGAGGAAGAGGTTCATCGCTCTCCTTGGTGCGGGCATTGTGTTCACGACCGGCGAGGCCAAGCACACGAAGACCCTCCTTTGCAAGGGCTTCCATGTTCTGGAGGATCTCATCACGGATGTTATCGTCCAAAGGAACTGGATCGGACCCTTCCTTCCAGGTGATAGTAGTGCAGGCCTCCAGAACACGCTCTACGGCGCCCTTGCTAAATACCATTTGGGAAGAGTTCTCGGAATTGGCAAAAATCACGGACATCTTTTTCACGCTCGAGTCGAAGGGATACTCGGCCTTCTGCATCCAGACGGGGCTTTCGCCCTTGGTCCATCGATCAAGCCCCCAGTCGAATCGCGATGCAAACACCTGGATGGCAACGTCCGTTGGCTCACCGCGAGCCTGCCATCCATCGTTGGCCGATTTGTGAAGGTAGGCAAGGTTAGCCATCGCGGCCACATTGAGGAAAGACTTGAGGAACTCATTGTCTAGCAAATCGTCCGGGCTTGTGGGGTCACTTTGCTTGGAGCCTGGGCCCAATTTGACTGGCGGCTCGGGTATGAGGCTCAGGTCTCCTTCTTGGGGGTTCAAAGGATCATTCGAAGGCCCGACCGAGTAAGTACCAACGGAAGGAATCCAAGCACGCTTGGCGACCATGCGACCCTGTGTAAGAGTGCCAGTCTTGTCGGAGCAGATGTTCGTGACAGCCCCGAGGGCTTCGAGAGAGTCAAGTTTACGGACAATAACATGTCGCTGCACCATCTGCTTAGTTCCAACGGCCATAGTGATTGTCAAGACAACGACCAAACAAGCCGGAATCATGGCCAATCCAGTGGCGACGGCATAAATAATGACTTCGCTATCACCTCGGAAGCTGTTGGCTGCGGCAACCACGACCGCAAAAATTACAGCAATGCCAAAAAGAAGCATTGCCAGCTTGGACAGTTTGCGTTGCAGAGGAGTTCCAACATTAATGCCCAGGAAGCGGCCAATAGCGTCGGTCGTAGTCAAGGTCCAGGCCTGGATGTACCATCGCTTCTTGGTCTCGCCCTCGGGGCTGCGCTTCACTGGACGGCGCTTGGAATCGCCACCGCGGAGAGCTGCAGCGATGGCACCAATCTCCGTTCTCATGCCAGTTCCGACAACGACACCTCTTGCGCGTCCGCGAGTAACGGTGGATGAGCTGTAGGCAATATTCAGTCGGTCTCCAGGTCCGGTATCGGGGTCGAATGTGGCACCGGCTTCTTTTGTGACTGGGAGCGACTCGCCAGTCAAAAGAGCTTCGTCAGTGTCGAAATTGAATGCTTCCACTAGTCTGCAGTAAAAGGTTAGCTCTGTAGTCGGAGAAATCTGGGTTGTAACTTACCTGATATCTGCAGGCACGGTGTCTCCAACTTTGAGCTCTACCATGTCGCCGGGGACAATCTCGTTGGCAGGCACAGTCACGGTTTTACCGTCGCGGGTCACAACGCCAGTCGGAGAGCTGAGAGACCGCAGCGAGTCCATGGTCTTCTCAGCAGCAAAGTCTTGGTAGACTCCAACGACAATGTTGAGAATGATGACGGCTGTAATGAAGCCACCTTCAATCCAAGCCTTGATACCAAAACTGACTGCCATGGCAATGATAAGAACCTAAAAGTATTAGTTGTCTAGTTCCTCTCTGTGAACCTCACTTATAACTTACGAGCATCATGGCATTGGCAATTTGTCGAATGACAATCTTCGCAAAGGAGACACCCTCGTCTCCCTCCAGCATGTTCTCGCCATACTTCTCGATGCGCCCCTTGGCTTCACTAGAGGTGAGACCATCGTCTGAGTTCGTGCCCAATTCCTGAATGACATTATCAAAGGAAAGGCTGTGCGCGGGTTGAGAGAGGTATGACTGTGATGTAGTATCGGAAGACTTGAAGCCCTTAGCTTGGGCTTTCTCCTGAGACATAGCGCGTCCAGGGAAGTATCGTATAGTGTTGCAAGTAGCGGGTGCGTAAGATGATTGATAGCGAGTGTACTTCTATGAGAACCTCAAAGGGGGTTTCATGTAAACAGTATCCTCAAGAGAGTGTGAGTCCATACACTGGAATAAGGAAAGTATATCCAGTGGCTAGAGTGAATCGAATCTATTGAGTTCCGATGCTCGATTTGAAATCTAAAGTACACGGTCCAATGTTCTATTTCTTTTCTTTTCCCAACCGGGGCATCTGCCCCTATAAATAATTCCCGCTCCTCGGGCAAGCCAAGCCTTGATGGCAAAGTCCGCTTCGATGCAATCGGGTCCACTGGTTATCTGTTCCGAATCTCGGATATCATGCCCAGCACGGGGTCCGGGGTTTTCGCCGCTCACCAATCACCATCTCGTACCGTGCGTCGGCATCGAGCGGACCAGCTTGACAGAGCCTTTGTAATTTCTGCCGAGACGTGGATGACGCACACGACTGGTCTCGGCGTTGGCTCGGCTGCGAGTCGCCACCGGGCGCTGATTGGACAAAAGGGCGCGGAGTGCCAAGAGCGGGATGCTCGGCGGACCTGGGCATCCTCGGTTGACCTCTCCAACGCTCGGTAGCCATGTGTGTTTCTTGGCTCGTCTTGGGTTTACCTTGGCTTCAATTTCTTCGCGATGCCTAAGAGTCTCTCGCGCGGTTCAAATCTCCTCGCCCCTCCCGTCTCGATTTTCCCCTTGATTTCCAAGTGTCTACAAACTTGCTTTGGTGGCATCCGTGGTTACCCGGCGACTGACTTCATCACAAATAATGAACTCATAAGCACCCGCGTTCATTTATTTAGGAGTGTGCTTGATCTAGCATCATCCCAGTGATCTGATCGACTTACTCCTTCGCCCTACCCGACCCGCGAACAAGAGTCGGGTGTCATTGGGCTATATACTTCCCTTGTCCTCTCCTCGTATTCCGACTTGCCACTCCTTGCGAGGATCCAAGCTCTGGGTCACATGCTCTCCCACCTATGGCTGAGGACTTGCCCCAGGGCGAGATAATCGGGATCGTGATTGGGGCCATTGTGCTGTTTTCCATTATCAGCATCGTTCCCATGTGAGTTCGACCAGGCACAGCCGCATCTTGGCTGCCCCTGCATCATGTGTTCGAAGCATCTCGAATCTTGGCCTTGCTAATGCTTCTTATCTGTACAGAGTCATTATGTGGCATCATCGACGAAGGGCAGCCAATCGTAGTGCATCGGGCACTCACAACCGCACTATATCCATGCGAGAGCCTTCCGTGGAGAGATGGCTTGCGGAACAAAACCCCAATAGCGACCCCGAGCAATACGCCCAAGACATTTGGTACGTTCTCATCCACCTCGTCTTGTGCACACCCCAACACCATCTCGCCCCGACACCTAGTCTTGGCCCATGTGGCCCGATGATGTGATGCGGGGAATGCCCAGAGCTAGACCATGGATCCTCTTGCCCTATTAGGAGACCCACTGTTTTGCCTTCGCTCTGAGAAATCCCGATATCTCGCCCGAGATTGCCGTGGTACCCTGCTCCCAAAACCACCGTCGTTCCTGGATCGGGCTTCACTGTCTTGGTCCGCAGTTCACTATCACCGAAGCGGAGTTCATGACCTCACCGACACATCGCTAACCGGTTCACAGCCCCATCTGTCTTTCATCCTTGTCATCATCCCCATATCTCGCCGACCCCGAACCCGTTCACTTGGCTGGGCAACCGGGTCTCTCTCCCGCTCGTTCGGAGGATTCGTGCTCGTGCGGGGCAAGAGACGCGCGTCGCGATAGCGGCATTCTCGTTTTGAATCGCTGCCATCATGCTTTTCATTTCTCTTGTCTTACATCTTGGTTCGAATACAGACGGTATCAGTGCCCTATCTGCCAAGCTTCGTATTCACCCGCCAAAGCGGTCCGAAGATAATGATTTTGGGCTTTCACCTTCCCCAGTGATGCTTAATGTGGATTATGAAGGCTATGACCACTTTCCTGGTGGCTAGTTGGTGTCGTACGATTTGGCAATCTTCATGCACCTCGTTCCCGGCATATAACAGCCACCTAACGAACAATGTCACCCAAACACCAACCTTGACAGCCATGCATCTAGTTATCCCTAGGAGTGCAATTCACGTTCATGAATTATGATACACAGAGATCCCGTAAAAGCTGCATCACAGATCCCTTTACCTACAGTCTCTTTGGGAAACTGACTCACGTCACCGAGATGATCGAAATGGCGGTGGCTCGAAATCACAACATCTATATCATCCGGGGATGCATCACTTTCCTCGAGGGTATCTGGATCGTAGGCGGCAAATTCGAGAAATCGTTCCGGGGACCGAGGTCGAAGGGCAGATTTTGATTTGTTGGGTATGGGACTTGTAGGGTAGTGATTATACTGTTGAAGCTCCGTCGGAAAGAGCGAGATTCTTGGTGCGAATACTCTGTCGGGGCTTGGGGTTTCTTGTACCTCTGGGGCTGCGGGTTGATATTGATTCCATCAATTTTACGTATCTAGACTCTTTCGACGTGCCGAAAGATATCGTGAAGGAGCTTTCAAAGAGGTACTGAAAGATGTCTTCCTGTACGCTATTGTTGCATCCGTGAATCAATCATATATAGCTCTGAGAGAAGACCCATTGATTTCCAGAACACCTGGATATTCTTCCATTTAGTCGGACTGGCGTGAAGTCCAGGATCGTCTAAGGGTTTACACGACTCTTACGATATAATTGGGATGAGTGAAAACTTCTATACAATAATTTTGCGACATATGGTTAAAATACGTTCATCATACACGTCCAACATCTAGGCAGCAGCAACCATCTTATCCTTAACGTAGAGGTCAACATACTTGTCGACATCGTAGTTCTCAAGCGCCTGGCGGTCCCAGCCCACCTGCAGCAGCTCATCGATACGAGCCTGGTCAAAGTGCGCCTGGAGGTGACGCTTGTACTTGGCCAGAATCTCAGGCTTGGCCTCCTCGCGGCGCAGACGGTGGCCCAGAGGAGCCTCAACGCAGACCTCCTCGAGGACGGTGCCGTCGTTGAGGGTGACGGTCAGAGCGTTGGGAATGGTACGCTTGGAGGGGTTGTGGTAGTCCTCGGTGAACTGGGTGTCCTCGACACACTTGATGCGCTTGCGGAGGTCCTCGACCAGAGGGGAGGTGGCAGCCTCGCCGCCGTCGGCGTAGTCGGTGGCGGTGAGGCGGTTAAAGGCGAGCATGGTGGCGACCATGTACTGGACGCAGTGGTCACGGTCAGCGAAGTTGTCCATGGCCTTGAACTGTTTGTCGATAATGCGGATGCAGGCCTCATGGGTGCGGTTGGTGATCTCCTTAATGTCCTTGGCGCTCTTGCCCATGGCCTCCAGCTTCTTGTTGATGATCTGGGCGGCCTCGATGGCGGTCTGGGAGTGGAACTCGGCTGGTCACAGAGGTTAGTTGCGTTACGGAATTGTGCCAAAACATGGATACTTACCAGGGTAGGAAACCTTGAAGAGAACGTTCTCCATGACGTAGCTGCCGTAGGGGCGCTGGAACTTGAACTTGTTGCCCTTGAACAGGACATCGTAGAAGCCCCAAACGGGAGCGGAGAGGACGGTGTGAAGACCACCCTCGCCCTTCTGCACCTTCAGGACCAAGTTGACGGCACGCTGGCAAGCATCTCCAGCGGCCCACGACTTGCGCGACATGGTGTTGGGAGTGTGGCGGTAAGTACGGAGACTCTGACCGTCAACCCAAGCCTGGGTGATAGCATCGGCAGTCTGCTTCTCGGTGAGACCCATCATCTTGGAGACGACGGCAGTAGTGGCAACCTTGACCAGAACGACGTGGTCCAGGCCGACCTTGTTGTAAGAGTTCTCGAGAGCCAGAACACCCTGAATCTCGTGGGCCTTGATCATGGCCTCCAAGACGTCACGGATTTTCAGAATCTTGCCGTTGCCAAGGTTGCCGCCGGCGCGGTTGGTACGCGAGATCCAGTCGGCGACGGCCAAGATACCACCGAGGTTGTCGGAGGGGTGACCCCACTCAGCGGCAAGCCAGCAGTCGTTGTAGTCGAGCCAGCGGATCATGGCGCCGATGTTGAACGCACCATTGACGGGGTCCAGCTGGTAGGGGGTACCGGGCACACGGGTACCGTTGGGGACAACGGTGCCGTCGACAACGGGGCCGAGCAGCTTGGAGCACTCCTTGAACTTCAAGGCCTCCAGACCACAGCCGAGGGTGTCCAGGAAGACCAGACGAGCAGTGTCATACTAGATCCACGAAAAATGTCCAATTAGCCCGTATTCAAATATCAAGTGAACATGTCAACGTACCGCCAAATCGGAGTCAATATTGTACTCGTGGATGTAGCTAGCCATATCCTTGATTTCAGGGTCATAGGCTTTATCGGCCGAAGCCGGGGGAGCAGCCGATTGACGAGCAGCCATTGTGGAAAAGCGAGAAGTGCGCGAAACTCGAGGAGCGATGGAGGGGAGGCGGGAAGAAGAAGCGAAAGTGGGCAATCTGAAGACGGGGATGCGGGCCAAAGTGCGGGGGGTCGAGTGGGTCAGCCGTCTGACTGCGGGAAGGGACATGTTGTGTGCAATTGACTGTGATACAAAGATCAAAAGCTCGAATGGAGAATCCGAGTGAGTTTTGAAGAGTTGCAGGGGGGGGAAGAAGAAAAAGGACGATCCGCAAAGAATGTGGAGAGGTTGGGGGGGTGAGTTCAAGCTGACTTCATCCTTGCCGAGGCGTGTCGGTTAGTATCGGATCTCGGTGGGAAAGCCACACCACCCTTCCTACTAAACAGCTATGTGATAATGGGGGATAGATCGGATCCTATTCATTCAATTGTTGCCATTGGTTAGATTCAATGCCTAGTAAATACACATGGGCGCTGAACTCGGTCGCGCGGGATTCCGAGGATCGGAGGAAGGGAGCTCGTGCATGGAGAATTAAAGATGCATGAGAACGAACGAGTAGCGATTATCGGAATGCGAAAGGAGTCTAGTCCGCGCCGGATGCAAAATGTCAAACGGCTTTCAACGCCCCAACGGATCTCAAACGAGCCCTCCGAGCTCGGTCCCTTTTCACATGCCGACCCGAAGCGCTCCCGATTCCCTCTGCTGCAACTCCTTTTCGTCGGTTTCACGTAGGGATCGGCGGATCTCCCGAAACACGGCCTCTGCAAACTTGGGCGGCACCGCGTTTCCAATCTGGTTGCGAACGTTCTTCTCCGAGAACTCGAAATCAATAGGGAAAGTCTGCAGGCATGCCACTTCCCGGCAGGTGAACGTACGCCTGCCACTCGGATGATAGTTCGCCTCTCCGCCAGCGCAAGTCAATGTTCTTGCAGGCTGGTGTGGATTGTACGGGTCTCGCCAGCCGAGTCTCTGCCAGCGTGCTAGACCCGCCTCGACGTCGTGGTCCGGCGTGCCGAGGGGGATATGGTTGATAGCTCGGTGAATTGTTTCGATGGGCTTTAAACCGCCCCCTGGAAGTGAATGAGTCGGCTGTGGGAACTCGGGTAGAGTCTCGCCGGGACTATACCCCAGTCAGTCAAAGAAGAGACGAAAGTAGCAAAGGTCGAATTCCACTTACCCGGCAGCAATAATCATCAGGCGCTTTCGGTACTGCGGGATGCCGTAGTATACGCATTCCAGGACTGACCAGCGAACCGAGTATCCATCTTGGATAAAATTCAAGATAATCCGGTTGAATTCCGGCTTGAATCTTTCGTGCAACCCGTTGGTCTCTTCCATTGTTAGAACGCGCGGGCGGACTCGCTTTATCAGGTCGCTGCCAGTGAAGACACAGGCTGAGTTCCGCTCATCGTTAGTCTGGTTGTTCACGGTGTGTGCCGGCGAGAATGGTTGGCAAGGTGGAGAACAATGGGCGATGTCTACGCGCAATTCCGACTCCGGGATTGCCATCAGTTGGAAAAACTCGGCGTGGAAGATGACTGTGCCATCGAAGTTACGGCGGTAGGTATCAACCGCATGGCAGTTGATGTCCGAAGCCCATGTGTTGATAAGCCCAGCTTGTCGGGCCCCGCATGAAGCGCCACCAGCACCAGAGTAAGCATCGCCGAAGGTGTATGCACGATCTCGTAACCCTGTGAGATCAAAGTTGGGCGGAGACGTGTCTTCCAGATCTATAATCTCTGGCATAGCAGACGATACTTCGACTGCGCCGAACGGTACGGTCTCACCAGGACCGCGCCAGCTATCGCGCAAGTCTGTTGATGCCCACCTTTGCCCGGGATCACTTTCATCAAATGAGAGGTATTCAATGATTCGCTCATCCGCATTTAACGGATCGCGACGGCGAACAGGTGGCTCGTGCCGAAGCCTGACGGTCATCTTGAGTCGACAGACCAGGTCCTCATGATCATACCAATCGGTGCGTTCGTTGGTGAATCTTATTTCTCGGTGGCCGGCGACTTCATCCAGAGAAACGGGTCCTACTGAGTTGACTACCCAGACCAATTCGCCCTTCACTTTGGGCATATAGTTCTCAGTGCGACGATCTGTCATCTCCAGAAGGTGACGACCGTAGAGGAAATATTGACCGCGGCGGCGGCGAATCTGCTCAATGCGCAAATAGGAGCGGTCGTGGAGCTTCAGCGACATTGAAGGTCGGTAGACAATGCCATCGACAACGGCTTCCTGGATCTCGTGTGTGGAGCGCTCTCTCGGGGAACAGGGTAACCATGTATTGAACTCGTCGTCAGTCATGCAATCCGCAGGGTCAATATTGAAGGTCTCGCCGACTCTGCTGAGCTTATCTGTCAGGTCAATCACTGCCTCGTCATTCGCAGACAGGTCAATTATGGTCTCAGCAACTGGATATTTGTTACCCAGCACTTCATTATCCTGCGCGGGGTCCTTGGACACGGAGTACTGTAACTCAGGCTCATCTGTCAAGTCAATTGGTCGCTTCCTGGAACCGACTTGCGAGCCCTGGGAACTTTGCGACCTTGCCGTTGTTGCTGGGGTTGATGGGGTTGACCGGGCTGATGAGGTCTCACTGTCTTGAGCCCGTGGAGATGCGGTGTCTGACGGAGCCAATGTGCTTTGGCTCGACTCCGGGGTAAAGTGAGGTAAGTGTCGCTCGCTTTTTTCATTATTTGAGGGCCATTCATAGTCTCCAGTGGGGCTTAACTCAGGGTGTAGGGTTGAGGGATGCCTTCGACTTTCTCGTCCCAGGCGGCGAGTTGGCTCTCTCTCATCTGAAGGCCAATAGTCATCGGCCATGCTCTCAATGCGATGAGGGTCGAACACTCTTGGCTGGAAGCTTTGTGACATTTTTGGAGAATAGTTGGTTCCAGAGAGGTGATGAGGCTCTGAGCGATGAGAAGAAGATTGAAAGACTATTGACGTGTGACCCTCTGTGACTGTGGAGGAAGACCGGCTTCGGGATGTTGGGACATGTGGGTTCAAGTTCTTTCCTTGTGGCCGATGAGCTTCCTAGTATGCGATACCTTGAGGGCTGTGAGTCTGGCTTACCTCCTGCTCTATATCTCGTCGGCGAACTGCCCGGTAGCGACAAGATGCTCAACGGTTTGGAGGGACCCAGGCCAGAGGAGACAAGGCCCGACTCGGAATCTGCCACTAAATCGAATATCTCGATATCCATGGCCACAGCAGGATAACTTCTCTTGGGCATGTGGATCTAGCGTCGCAAAGTGAGTAAAAAATAAATGTATGTTCTGGGTATGGCAGAAGGGTGGAGTGCTGTATCAGGAACTTCGATGTTGGAGGGGATAGAGAGGTGAGAAAATTAGCACGAAGTACGAAGCTTCCAAAGTACACCATCCGCGGCATCTACATATGAGGGTATTTCTACACCGTAGGGATATTCCTAAAACCATGATAACCATAGAAGTAATCAAGTCACATTGTCTCATCTGCAGTCTGCTCAGGACAAAGCCGGATGTTTACAAAGCAGCAGGATAAGAAAGGAACCATGGCCATACTAATTCATGCCTTATTGAAGGTGTGATTTCACCCAGAAAGTCCAAACCGTGAAGCTATTCAATATACGTGACAATGTACCTGGATTTCTTAGATAAGGCCCAACGCGGGGCGAGATAGGGCACGCTGACTAATCGCTAAGTCAGCCGGACTCGGCGCGAAAAAATCTCAGTGGAGACGAACCACGGCGGAAGGAAAGGCCACTATGGACTTTTTCTCCCTTTCCCCTCCGTGTTTTTGGGGCCCTGGATGAGCATTGCTCCCCGTCAACTCCCGTCAGGTTTCTGTGAGTTGTGGTCCTGTTGTGTTCCCTCCCCCGTCTCTATGATGAATTTTGGTTTTTTTTATAGATGTTAGACTTCCTAACTGCATTGCGGAGAAACATCCTGTGCTGATTGAGACATATTCACCCCGCTATTGAGGATTGAGTGGCAAGAAAACACTGTGCTGACCTGTCCGGCTCGATCTCAGATCCCAATAACCCCGCGTCAAGATGTGTGGCATTATCGCTCTGATCCTGGCAAACCCCTCCGCCGCCGCCGCGGTGGACCTTCACGAAGCCCTGTACCTCCTGCAACGTGAGTGGCGCCCGACAGCTCTGCATGGGAACAAACACTAAGTCTGCTGTGTGACATAGATCGTGGTCAGGATGCAGCCGGTATCGCGACCTGTGCGTCTGGGGGTCGAATCTACCAACTCAAGGCCAACGGCATGGCTGCCAAGGTCTTCCAAGACGGCGCCAAAGTTACCAACCTGCCGGGCTCGATGGGTATCGGCCACTTGCGATACCCGACCGCTGGTAGCAGCGCCAATGCCGAGGCTCAGCCTTTCTACGTGAACAGCCCGTACGGCATCTGCTTTGCGCACAATGGAAACCTCATCAATGCGCCGGAGCTGAAGAAATACCTGGACTTGGAGGCGCACCGTCACATCAACACCGATAGTGACAGTGAGCTCATGCTCAACATCTTTGCGGATGAGCTGAGCGAGACAAAGAAGGCTCGTGTGAACAAAGAGGATCTCTTTGCCAGCTTGAGCCGTATGTATAAGCTCTGTGAAGGTGGATGGGCATGCACTGCCATGCTAGCCGGTAAGTTCTTTCTCTAGTCCGACGCATCCGACATTGACGACTGACATTTCCTTTAGGCTTTGGTGTGTTGGGTTTCCGTGACTCCTACGGCATCCGCCCGCTGGTGCTGGGTTCCCGTCCCTCTCTGGATGGTTCTGGAATGGACTACATGATGGCCTCTGAGTCGGTCGCCTTGGACCAGCTTGGCTTCTCGAACCACCGTGACATCCAGCCCGGTGAGGCCGTCATCATCCAGAAGGGTGGCGAACCGGTCTTCCACCAGGTTGCGCCCAAGAAGGACTACGCTCCGGATATCTTCGAATTCGTCTATTTTGCCCGTCCTGACTCGGTTATCGATGGTATCAGTGTGTATCGCAGTCGCCAGCGTATGGGTGATCGTCTCGGGGCCCGTATCCTCGAGGTCCTGGGTCCCGATGTCGTCAAGGACATTGATGTGGTTATTCCCATTCCCGAGACCTCCACTACATCTGCCACCCACGTTGCTCAGTACTTGAACAAGCCCTACTGCCACGGCTTCGTCAAGAACCGCTACGTGTTCCGCACTTTCATTATGCCCGAGCAGAAGACCCGGCAAAAGGGTGTCCGCCGCAAGCTAAACGCCATGAAGGCCGAGTTCAAGGACCGCAACGTCCTGCTTGTGGACGACAGTATCGTGCGTGGCACCACTAGTCGTGAGATTGTCAGCATGGCCCGGGAAGCCGGCGCGAAGAAGGTGTACCTGGCCAGTTGTGCGCCCGAGATTACCCACGCCCACATCTACGGTATTGACTTGGCATCGCCCCAAGAGCTAGTTGCCCATAACCGTAACCCCAGCGCCATCGCCAAGCACATCGGAGCCGAGAGTGTCGTTTTCCAGACCCTGGATGACCTCAAGGGATCCTGCGCCGAGATTGCCCACGAGAACGGCCAGTCCGAGCCCGTGAACTTCGAAGTCGGTGTCTTCTGCGGTAGCTACGTGACACCCGTTCGCCAAGGATACTTCGACCACCTGGAGCAGGTCCGTGGCGAAGGCCGCAAGATCAAGGCTCTGGACAAGGCCAAGGAGGCCGTTGCCCACGGCGTTGCCAACATGACCGACTTCGAGATTGCTGCCAATGGCGTGGCTATGGATACCAATGGCAAGATCATCCCTGCCACCCATACTGTGGAGTACACTGAGCCCAAGTCCGACAAGGAGGAGCACCCGAAGATCGATGACCGCATGGACATCAGCATCCACAACATCGGTGACCATCATGAATGATGAAAAAAAAATGATTTGTTTCCTTTCTTAGAGCCACTGGGTTGATTTGCATATGGAGTCCGGGAGTTCGTTTCGTGTGGAATTATAGACCGGGGTGGAAACCGTTTATTTTGAAGTGATGTGAAAACGCATATCAGAAATATCTTCGTCATACTATACTATCCTCTACATTTTTTTCATCGAGGGCAGATACCATTTGAACCAAAAACTATCTTTTTGAATTCTCCATCGCAATCTACCTGGGCATTATCAGACGGCTGCGTATCATGAGAACGGCAAGAGCCGGGCGTTTCTCTCTCCTCCCCCCCCTCTCTCTCTCCGTGATCACGAGACCTTGTCCTACCTACATACATTTCTGGACATATTTAAAGACAACCTCTCGCTACTTTTCTGGGTTTCCTTCACAACTACTTCGCGGCGCAGAGCTGTTTTGTCACGTGACCCATCACTATACTTCCAGGTTGTCCACTCAACCCCCAGCATTTCCTCTTCGTCACCGCACCCCAGACTCGCCCTTTTATCTGTTCCCTGTATGCTTGGCATGCGACCGGTTTATGTTTGATCGGGTTACGGACCAGGTCCGAAGGGGCAACAATTCTCCAGTCGCCCAAGCTTGACGTCATCTGCCCCTGCTCCATTCCTGTTCCAACATCCGCCGCGACTCATCGTGCTATGGCCCATACCTAACCCCACCTCCTCATACTTTATATCACCCAGCTGGACTTTGGACTTGTTTCTCTCGTTCAAAGTCGAAGCGATGAAGACTCTCAACTCTCCTATGGCGCCCGCGGGCGCTGTGACTTCACATGCTGACTATGAACCACGCCGGTCAACTCGCATGAAGTTCAAGAATCCGGATTACAAGGGAGCAACATCGTCCAGTGTTCCTGTTCTGTCCTCTGTGAAGCCATCTTCAACACGTCCAAAGTTGACTTCAACCGACAATGTCGAGGCAATTGTTAACCCCGTGGCCTCAGCTGAAGCGGAAAGGTCAAAACCTTCCTCGGGTCAAGAACCTGCAACCTCATCTCTGAAGAGGAAAAGGCCTGTTTCCAAGACATCTGCGCTCAAGGCAAACGCCAAGGCAACTGCGAAGTCTACCAAGACAAAAAATACCACCAAGAGAAAGAGAACTACCAAGGCAGCAAACGCCGCAGTGAAGAATCCTTCCAAGACGGCAGCTACGAGAAGTCCTCGAATCAAACCCGAACAGTCGTCGTTACTATTCCAGGCTTCTGACAAACTCCCGCATAATCTGGGCTCACTTCCAGGCTCACTTGCGACAGACAAGGTTCCTGCACGCTCGCCCAATGGCTCCGATAAAGAAAACCGAGGTTTAGATGCGTCTGCTGAGCACCTCGAGGGAGCAGGAAATGAAGCGGATACACAAATCAAACCAATCAAGAAAAAGTCCAAGTCGCGTGTCTCGTATGGGTTGACAGTTGGCAAGACACCGTATCCTGAATTTCTGCGGCCTACTGCAGCAGAATGTGAGGAGGTCAATCGACTCTTATCTGAGATCCATGGCGAAGTGACTGTACCCAAGACCATCCCAGAGCCTTCACTTACTGTCACCGGCTGCGGTGAAGTTCCCTCGGTCCTTGATGCACTCATCCGTACGTTGCTGAGCGGAGCAACCAGCGGCGCCAACTCTGCTTTGGCCTTTAATGGTCTGGTGAAGCGTTTCGGTATTCTCTCAGAAGGTATCGGCAAAGGAAGTGTGAACTGGGACGCTGTTCGACAAGCTCCTCTGAATGATGTCTTCGAAGCAATCAAGAGAGGTGGCTTGGCAGCTGTCAAGAGCAAAAACCTGAAGGCGATTCTAGACCAAGTCTACGAAGAGAATCAGGAGCAGGTAAAGCGTTTGGAGGCCGAGGATCCATCAGCTGACGACATGAACCCCAAGATGTCCCCAGAAAATATGGAGAATGAAAAGGCGTATCGACTTGCCTGTACCGACCAGCATTTTCTTTCTCTGGATCATATTCACAAGCTCTCCACGCCAGAAGCCATGGCTGCGCTAGTCAAGTATCCCGGTATCGGTCCAAAGACAGCCGCATGTGTGTGCCTCTTTTGTCTGCAGCGGCCGTGCTTTGCAGTCGATACCCATATCTTCCGCATCACCAAATGGCTTGGTTGGGTTCCTGACAATGCTTCCGAAATCACCGCGTTCAGCCACTTGGAAGTCCGCATCCCGGATCACCTCAAGTACCCACTTCACCAGCTGTTCATCAAGCATGGAAAGACCTGTCCCCGATGCCGTGCCATCACAGGTGAAACTAGTGTCGGCTGGGAACAAGGCTGTGCCATCGACCATCTGGTGAGGCGGACCGGAGCCCGCAAGGGCGGTCCACCTCCCAAAAAGAAGTCGAAGGTTACAGGCCGTGTCAAGAGAAAGGTTTCCGCAGCAACTCCTAGCGCTGCAAACACAAATGACCCCAAGGCTGCTGTCGCTGTCACCCCCACAGCCTCGAGGAGGAATCCTTCACGCAAAGCATCGTCTCAGGTACAGGTCGTGATTGAGTCAACTCCCTCAGACCTTGATGAATCGTCAACTCCTGCTCCGCCAACTACAGCAGAGTCGGCTATTGTCGAAACTGCTGCGGTGACCTTGTCTCCCACTACAATAGGCCAAGTGGCAAATTCTTCATCTCTTTCTACTCCAACTCCGGAGGATAAAACCTCCCGCGCCTCTAATATCAAGAAGAAACCGACCCCTCAAAGGCGCAAGGCCAAAAGAAGGACTGCTCGCAAGTCTACGGCCAAGGGCAAAGGAAGGAAAGCTGGCTCCTAGCGACAAAGCAGCAAAGCGAAGACCACTCGCACTGCGGCAACCCATAATAAAAACCCAGAAACAAGAACTTGGCATGAACCTCACAAACCGGCCAGGCATGGTTTTCCAACTCGCTTGCTCCATCCAGCCTGACTTTGCTACGCTTTTATTTACGTGGAACGGCATTACCTGGGAACTGAGTTGCTCCTATATTATACCCTGTATCACTAGCTCTGAATTTCACCATTTACCCTGCTTCTTTTAAAAATACTCAATAAATCCAAAAAATACTTAATAAAATATAGTTCTGCAAACCGACCATAATCATTCCACTCGGAAGGCAAATCCCCACCCAGTCCAGGCACATAAATTAGGGGGTGGTCCGTGTGGTGCAGGTGTTATCGCCTATCGGGAAAAAAGATCGTCTCCAAGCTCCAGGGGCTACGCCAACCCAAACACTCCCCGCAGCATGGACTGTCTACTCTCACGCCTCCCACCGTGCGTCCGCGCCGCCGTGGAGCCCTACAGCTCCTCCGTTTCCGCCGAACATGCCCAATTGCTCGGGGTTGCGCTCGTCTCCTTAGCCGCTGTCTACGTGGGGTACCTCTACCTTCTGAGCCAAAGGGAGGCTGCCGTGACGTTCAATGTTCCCTTGCCGCAAGAAGTGCGCAAGAGCGGGGAGGGAAAGAAGTGGGATGAGGTTCAGGGCCAGGAGAAGCGCGTGCTGGAGGATCAGGTTCGGGGGGTGAGTCTCCATGACTTCGGGCTGTTTTAGCAGTCCGTTCCGTTAAGTTTGAGATTGAATTTGTGTTAATTTGCTGGATTTTCATGCAGAAATGGAACGACAAGTTGATTATGAGCTACTGCCCGGCCGATGGACGTGTGTTGGGCAATGGGATCAAACCTGCCACGGTTGAGGATGTCAACGCCGCTGTGCGCGCGGCTAAGGCTGCGCAGCGTGAGTTCGCGAAGACCACTTTTGCAGAGCGCAGGAAGCTTCTCCGCACCCTGCTCAAGTACGTTCTCGACCACCAAGACGACATCGTTACCGCCTGCTGCCTCGACTCTGGAAAAACAAAAGTGGACGCCTGCTTCGGCGAGATCCTGGTGACGGTCGAGAAGCTCAAATGGACAATCGACCATGGCGAGAAGGCACTGCTCCCGTCGCGCCGGCCTACCAACTTCCTCATGATGTACAAGAAGAACAAGGTCATCTACGAGCCTCTGGGCGTCGTGGGCGCCTGCGTGTCCTGGAACTATCCGTTCCACAACTTCATCGGCCCGGTCGTCAGCGCCCTGTTCACCGGAAACGCGGTCGTCGTCAAGCCTTCCGAGCAGACGGCCTGGTGCACATCCTTCTTCCTGAATATCGTGCGCGGCGCTCTGTCCAGCTGCGGCCACTCGCGCGACCTAGTCCAAACCGTCGTCTGCCTTCCCGCCGTCGCAGACACCCTGACCTCGCACCCGGACATCGCCCACATCACCTTCATCGGATCCCGCCCAGTCGCGCACCATGTATGCGCCTCCGCCGCGAAATCCCTGATTCCCGTATGTGTCGAACTAGGCGGCAAAGACCCAGCCGTAATCCTGGACGACAGCCGCACAGTATGCAACCTCCCGACCCTGGCCTCAGTGCTCATGCGCGGCGTATTCCAATCCGCCGGCCAAAACTGCATCGGCGTCGAGCGCATCATCGCCCTCCCAGGCTCCTACGAGAAACTCATTTCGATGGTCGAGCCACGCATCAAATCCCTCCGTCTCGGCTCCATCCTCCTGGACACCTCCACCCCAGATATGGGCGCCATGATCTCGCCCGCCTCGTTCGATAAACTGGAATCACTCATCGCCGATGCCGTCAAGCAGGGCGCTCGCCTCCTCGCCGGCGGCACCCGCATCGATCACCCTATCCATTCCCAGGGTCACTACTTCGCGCCCACGCTGCTCGTCGACGTAACACGGGACATGAAAATCGCGCAGGAAGAACTCTTCGCGCCCGTCTTCCTCGTCATGCGCGCCGAGTCCGTCCCCGACGCAATCTCCATCGCCAACTCGACCGTCTACGCCCTCGGCGCCAGTGTCTTCGGCCACAACGCCGCCGACGTGCAAGCGTGCGTATGCGGAATCGACGCGGGCATGGTCTCCGTTAATGATTTCGGCGCTTACTACGCCGTGCAGTTGCCCTTTGGCGGTGTCAAGGGATCCGGGTATGGTCGATTTGCCGGCGATGAGGGACTGCGAGGCTTGTGCAATATGAAGTCTATTTGTGTGGATCGGTTCCCTACTCTGATCAGTACTGCTATTCCGCCCAGATTGGATTATCCTATCCAGAAGAGCGGGGAGAAGGATGGACCGAAGGCGTGGGAGATGTGTAGGGGGGTTGTTGAGACGGGGTATCAGCTTACGCTTGGTGGGCGCGTTGCTGGGATTCTGCGATTGTTGCGGAATATGTGATTCTGAGTTACTAGACTACGTACCTTTTTTGATTTCAAAAACTTGTAAGATATTTAAATGGCATCTAATTTGAGTCTTGATATATCGGGACATGCAAATCGGTTCTAATAAATCATGGGTATCACAAAACATCTCCTAATAAGCTCAAGCCCCAGTCCTCCGAGGACTTCGAACAAATCCTGGCGGCACCTCGGGCCCAGACCTCTTTAACCACCAATGCCGGGCGTTGAACGAAGTTTCGTGCAGGTAATTGGCCGGTGGTCTCTGACCAGGGCCCAGCACATCATCCATGTACTTCCTCCCCTCGATATCATGCAAGTCCAGCTGCCCAAGGCAGAACAGGGCACCAGTGGGATGCTCCTTCGCCCAGTCAATCTGCTCCTCGAGCCGGAGGTAAAAGTCCGAAAACCAACGAGCAAACTTGCCGATCTGGCCATACCGGACGGGGTCTTTCTCAGCGAGATCGACGATATCCAGCGTCCACTGGCGAATCTCCTGGTTGTTGACGGGTAAAGACTCAGCACAGGCGCGTAAGAGAGTTTGGAATAAGCGGACGTTCTGGATCGGGTCGCAGGCCAGGCGGGTAACGGTGAGGTAGTGGTCAGAGGGGAACATATATAAGACGCTGTCTTCCGTTCTGTAAACTTCGAAGCGGCAAATGAGCTCGTCGATTTTGAACAGGGTTTCAAGCGCGGCAAAGTTCAGTGTGCGGATGGCCTTGGTCACGCCTTCGTGTAGCGCCGTCCGGTCGAGTCGTGTTGATGTAGACGGACTTAGGGGACTGCCGGGCGGCGGTGCGGTGTTGTTCGAGGTGACGCGCAGCATTTCCAGGAACTCGACGTCGGCGGGGCTGAAGCCATCGCGGCCGCCGCGGAGGAGGTTCGGTGGGAAATGCACCAGCTGGATAGCGGGCCAGGTGACGATTGTTCCCATCGTCTTCGAGCGGATCTCGGTGAGCATCATTGGATTGATGCATAGCTCGTATTCGTGCGGACCGGGTATGTTGGCTCGTCGCAGCATTTCGGGATTGCCGATCATCTCCGGTAAGCGCTTGATTGGAGGTCCCTTTGCTTGGATTTCGTGGACTATATCGCTTTTGCGTTCCATGAAACGCTCCAGTGCCTTCTGCTGGTCCGGCTCCATGACCATACCGGCGTTGATCCAGTGGCGGTGAATGGTGAGGATCATCATATTGGGGATCTGTTCTCGGACGCGGTCCAATGTGCAAAATCGACAGCGGAAAACATCTTGCTGCAGCTTGGCGCGCTGGTCTAGCGTCAATGGCTTGTAATCGAGCGGCACAAGAATGCGGTCAATGGCTTCACTTCCGGGGTTGGTGTCTGGCGGATCGTCCCAGAAGGCAAGGATGATGAGCAGCTTGTAGATATGTTCTCTGGAGAGCGCAGCAGCGAGGGAGGGCGAAGCTCGTGGGAGATTGAGGTTCAACGAGTAGAGGAAGATGTGCTCGATAAGCTCCCGGGGTAGGGCCTCAAGCATACTGAGCACTCTGCGGGGTGGGGTCGGCGCAACGCTAGGCGAGGCAGAGGGACGTTCCGAGCGCCCAGATCGGGATGATGATGCACTTGCACTTCTCGGGAGCTTGAAAGGGCGTCCGGGGGGACGTTTGGGTCTGGACGCGGATCTTGCAGGTTTGGAGATCCTCGTGTTGCCGGGCGGGATGCTGCCCGTGCGTGTCACGGGCGTTTGATTGCCCTGACGCGCCATAGTGATGGCTCACAAAGGACTCACCCCGCCTTTCCTCCAGGAACTGTCACCCAGTTCTATCAAAACTGTCGCATCTATGACTCCCTACCAGATGAAGTTAGTTCAGCTACGCTTTCTCCGGGTCTGGTAGCAGCTCTGATTGGCGGGTCAAGCAACCGACCCAGGGCTGGCCGTGTCACGTGGAGATCGACCGCTACTACACGTGACTTCTCTCTCTGGGAATAAGCTGCGTCAGGTGATATCGGGTGATGTCATAGTCATCAAAGATGTGAAGGGTCCTCCGAGCTCCAAACATGATAATTGCCGGCAGATTATAAGGGGGGGGATCATCAAAAACCTCATCCAGGCACAGGGGAAGATTCATTACCACGTTAGAGCAACGAACCACTGGAAGACGCTCCATGGGAGCACATGGGGTCTGAACCTAGTGCAAAAACAAGAAAATCAAGGAATCATCCCGTCCGGCGTCGAGATGACGAAGAAGCCAAGCCACGTTTTAGCACCAGATTTCATCTATCTTCTTCATTCTTGAACTCAAACCTGCTAAAATAGCACCGCAAGCTGCCATTTCTCTGGGTTATCTGCGCCTCCATACGTCAGAGGTGTCTCAGCCCTACTTGTAGCATTCCACTCAGTCGAGTTCAAAGGTAGCAATCAACCGGGATCGTCTATACTTCCATCCCCTTTGAGCAGCTACTACGTTACCACCCCAGCGATCGCCCCCTGGTCATCCTTGTTTCACTCGGAGCAAGGACGTTGGAGGTTCTTTCCTTACTTTCCATAAATACCCTCCGCCGCCTTGTTCTTCCTTCAACATGCGCCCCTTCAGTGATACCTCCACCCACACAACAGCCTCTTCAAGCTACGGCACCGTTTCTCCAAAGCCTAAACCTTAATACACACTCTCTACCAAATCTCATCCCACTCTGCCAACATGGGTGCCGTCGTCTCTTGCGTACGTCTTCCTCTGATACCTCATATCTTAATGGAGAGCTAACAGCATCTAGATCGAAAGCGTCTTCCGCGCCATCGGCGCTTGCATCATGGCCGTTGTTAACGCCATCGGATCCATCCTGCACGCAATCATCAGCGGTGTCGTCACCGTCATCGACGTGATCATCTCCTGCCTGACCTGCGGCTCCTGCGGGCGGCGTAGTCGTCGAAACCGGTCCGCGGTATAACGCGATAAGGAACACATTGGTTTATGAATCATGATTCATGCGATGTTGTTGTGTTTTGGAGGATGCGGATCCTCGCTGTGATTTGTATTTCTTACTTTTGTATCCGGGAAGGCATGTCGTGATGAACTTCATGTCTTCCCTTTACGTGCGACATACCCAGGCGCAAATGGAAAGAAAGGGAATTTTAATCAGATTGCTATGCATGCTGTAGCCTATTGTGCAAAGTTGTAATTGTACAGAGTAGTATAAGGGCCATATGAGGACCCGCAAACCCGCCACAGACTTCACTCCTTGGAGTTGGTATTAACATACCGCAATAACTCCTCCTTCGTGGGAGCAGGGATCTCATCCCACCGTTCATCAAGAACGAAGGTCGCAAACGGATCCCCTGATCCACTCCCGTGCTTCCTCATCTGCACATAATGCGAAGCCTGCAACGGCCAATGAGTAGGAACACGGCAATTCGCCGTGCGAAAATACATCCTCAGCAGTCGTCGAAAAGGCTCAATTCTGCGACTGCGAATCAAGTACGTAGTGATGAGCGCCGAGCGGTCATTGGAGAATTCATCATCGAGGTAAAAGTCCGTAGACAGGAGCTGCAGGAACTCAAACTGCGATTCTGACCACGGGGCACGGAGCACTTTATCAGGTATACGGCCCGGTCCTACTGCCACGGAACACGGGAGGCGGAAGAGGTCGGTTTCGTAGTAGATCTCGTTTGGTTCGCGGATTTGCACGGCGCCGAAATGGAACCATATTGCGACTTTGCGGTAGACCCGTGATGTGGATGAGGGGTGTAAAGCTGGAAGGACTAGGTCGCCTTTTCTACGGCGGCCGTCGATTGCCCGGTCACATTGGGACAGATTGGAGAAGTATGGATCCAAGTTTGCGAGCCGGGCTTGGTCTTCTTCGCTGAAGACGAGATCTGCGCATTTGCGCCGGATGGCATGGTCCACGTATTCGCGTTGGCAGCGTCGGAGTAGTGGTAATGTACACCATCGGCATGCGAGAATAGTGGTTTGTAGATGCTGGCGCTGTTGCCATGATAGGGCCCAGAAGTCTAGCGGTGGGGGTAGAAAGTCCGGTGTGAAGAATCCTTCCCGTGAGCCTGGGTTGGTGCTGCTGAATGCCAGTCGGACCAACCATGTATATAACAGTGGGTTGGAGAGGGCGCGGCTGAGGTGCGGCGAGGCGCGGGGAAGGTTGATTTCCAGGCTGTACAGGAAAATCAACTGTAATATTTCGACGGGGAGAAACTCCAGGCGCGAGCACGGGTGGTCGGCCAGATAATCGAATTGTCCCATTTGCGGGGAATGGTACTCGGTGTTTGGGAGATGGCTTGAGCGTGAGGATGCTCGTGTTGACCACCAAGCCAGCCCGGATCTGATGTGGTAATGGCAAAGCCAGGAGGGCGGGTGGTATGTGTGAGGAGGGAAAGCTCGTTCATGTCAATGGCATTGTGATCCACGGGTTATAGAGTGTTCGGCGCTCATGTCGGAGTGGGAGCTGAGCTGCTGGAATACGTAACTGCATGGAGGGGGAGGGGTAGTGGGTTACTTCAAGTAGCTTGACGGGTCTTGGCGTGGCCATTGACACGTTCTGATCGCATCGCCATTAGATATGTGGCTGCGTCAGATGAACCTAGGCATCTTGAAGATCATCCACAAGTCATGTCCCTGTCACTTGTGCTGCGTGGTGGCTTGGATGTTGGTCTCGGGGAGCCTCTGGAGCCGGCAGGCACATGGAGAACATGGATGTTGCTGACCGTGGCCAGTTGCTGACCCGGGGGGCCCCGGTCTGACATGGAGCCCGGGATGGTAAATCGGGCAATTTAGCGGCGAATAATAATATCGAATTCGAAATGCCCTTAGATTATGCCTTCTGGACGTTCAAAAAGGACTCCATGTTTCGAAGATTGGTGTGCTGTCGAGTAGGTGCACGTTATATATTCATCCAACGGCATATTTCCTAATTATTGACTTTCAAGGTTATCATCTCCGGAGCCAACCGCATTTGCCAAGTCCTTTATTGATACTGATGACCATATCTTATTTGATGATCATTCATTTGCAACTCTACTATTATTGTCCAAGATTTTAAGGTGAACGCAGAAACCATCTGGATTGAAGAATTGTTTCTATACACATCCCAACCGCCCACCACACCAAGGACGGGAGGCGTCTAAGACTACCCTGGCGAAAGCGCCATATGCTCGACATTGAACAAATACATCTTGCAGTGTGATGAGTCGGGGGATAACAAAGGGAAATTGGACACAAGAAGAGCCCAAAGTTTAGACGGCGGACAGATCGCCGAAGCGCTCCTGTAAACTGCATGAGTACACTGTCAAAAACACAGCTGAATAAAATTCGACATACCTTGTAGCCCGGAGGCATCCACTTGCCCTTGGAAACGAGGGAGGCGGTCTTCTCGTCGATCTCGGGCTGGGCGGAGGCAACCTCGTCCTAGACGCAAATTGTAATCAGCAATCGATTCAAATCCTTCCACCAACCATATAATACGTACGACAGTGAGGTCCTCGAAGGGACGGGCAGTCTCGATGTTCTCCAGAGTCTTCTGCAGGTTGGCGAGCTCAGCCTCGACCTTGCCCTTGGTCTGTTCGGCGTTCTGAACAGCCTGGGCCTCGAAGGCGTCGATAGCCTTGAGCTGGCGGTTGACGTCGTAGGAAGCGGGCTTGAAGGTCTTGAAGTGGTTCTCGATCTCGTCGACGATGGCCTGGTTCTTCAGGACGTCGCGGTAGTGGGAGAAGTCGACGGTCTGGGGCTGCTCGGACAGGACCTGGACCTTGCGGCGGGCGTCATCGTTGCGCTTCTTGAAGGACTGGAGAGAAGCGGCGGTCTGGCCGCGGAGGCCGAGCGAGGTCGAAACCTTGGCCCAGTCGATCTTGAGAGCGGCGCTGCGCTGTGTAGGGGGGCTTCGCGTTAGCGGGTCTGGTCAATGCTCGGGGCGGGTTTCGCTGCGCAGTGCAGCCGGAACGGTGTCACCTACAGCTGCCATTGTGACGGGAGTGAAGATGTGGTGTGGAGGTGGAGAGAAGAGGGGGGAGGTCGATGTGCAGGGAGGTGCCGGACAGGCGAGTTTGACTCGGAAAGGTTTGGATGCGGGAGACACGTGACCACCCGGCATCCGAGCATCGGGTCACTATAAGATTAGAGCGTATGGACATGAAGGAATGTATGCCCTTGGAAAACTTGGGATTCATTCTATGCTATAATTACAGAATTTACATAGAATTTGCATGGAAGTTGGTTCAATTCTTTTTGATTTGAATTGTATACACTTACGGGCATGCCATGACGGACACCGCTATCATGCAAAACCCGAGTCGCTCAGAACCGTATCTCGGCTAGCTTATTATATGCTGAGAGCCATGATGGAGTTGACGATATCGTTATCGTTCTCCCGCAGGGCCTTGACGGCCTTCTTACGGGAAACGTTGGCCTGGGCAACGACCAGGTCAATGTCCTTGGCCTCGAGGCCGGTCTCGTCAACCTCCTCACCATCATCCTCCTCCTCATCATTCTTGGGCTCGACGGCCTTGCCAAGGTCGGAGTGATCGTGGTCGTGGTCGTGACCAGCGTGGTCACCGGCAGCCTCGGCGGCAGCGAGCTGCTGAGCGGCGGAAGCCTGGGCCTGGGCGTTCAAGTCCTCAATCTTGGCCTCACCGAAGATGCTAAAAGAGAGTCAGTAAATCGGTGCTCGTTGATATTTAGGTCGATTGGGTCGGCACATACATCCAGGTGTTGCTGTTGGAGGACTTGTAGACGTCGGGCTGGTTGACGACGAAGAGGACCTATAAATCCAGGAGATCAGCTTCTGAACAAGGTGAAGCACATGATTGGGATGAAATAGCCATGCAATTCCAGAAACTGCAATGCGCTGATCCACGCCATCTCATTTCACGGTCGGAGCTATGACATACGTTCTTGGGGCGGCGGAGGGTGACACGGGTGATGCCGGGGACGTGCGTCAGGCCGAGCTTGGCAATGGCCTTGCGAGCCTTCTTCTCGTTGCGAGAGTGGATGGTGACAGCAGCACCGGCGGGAATGGTGGCATCGCCGGCCTCGGACTCGGAGTCGCTGGCCTCCTCAACGTTCTGGGGAACCTCCTCATCGGGGAGCTCTTCAACACGGGGGTCGGCCATTGTGGATATGTGGGCGAATCTGTAGAGATTCACAAGGTTGAGTCAGTAAAGCTGGTGGTGTGGTTGCGCAGGTTTAGGGAAGCTTCGTGGGAGGTGTGAGGTGGGAGGTGGGAGGGCGGGCGCATAGTGGGAGAACCACCTTAGCCCCCACGAATCGCACAACACTCGGGAAACAGCGGTTCAGGAGGGCAAAAATGGCAGAATACGGGTATTCGAGCAATCGAACGCACCTGATTTTCAGATATCGAGCTGTGGTGGAAACAAAGGGATTTTGATGGTCGTGAGGTCAAAGATCAAGCAGCTGTGCGCTGGCCGATCCCGAAAATCGTTAGCGAGCGGTTGCGCCCACCCCGGACTCCCACAATTGCCCTACCACTGTGTATAGGTCTACTGTACAACTACAGCCATCAACAGATGACATTTTACTGGTATTTTACAAAAAAAGAATAATTAGAAACTCAAGGCTTTGGCCATCGGCTACTCAATTGTTTTTTTCCTCAAAAGTCAAGGAAACGGAATTTCCCCGTTCTATAAAAAAGACAGACCGATAGGCCGAAGACGCAAGAGGAACAATGACACAAGCCCTTGCCGGGATATCAAGGATTTTGAATCATTTTTGCTGTAGTATGGATAATGCATACAGCGATTTTGCTGGGGGAAATGCCAGCTATGGAAACCCGTCCCAGGACACCTCCTTCATCCTATGCACCGAACCCTCGTAATCATTTATGACTTAGCAGCGGTAGCGCGGACCTTGGCGAAAGACTTCTGGACCTCGTAGCGGGCCTAAATCGATAGTTAGAATGATGCCACCGGGAAAATTGGAGGTTGCGATCGGAGCGAGCGGCGCACACTGCGCACTCATACCCCCGATCTTCATCCATCACGTACCTGCTTGCGGAGACGCAGGACCTTGAAGCGCTCAAAGTCGGTCAGGTTCTTGCGGCGGTCGGCCTTCTCGGTCTTCTGGGCGAAGCTGGACTTGGCCCACTTGCCATCGATCTCGTTCTTGGCCCAGAGCTTCTTGACGGGGCCGGTACCGGCAGCACGGGGAAGAGCGGGGATGGTGAAGGGAGTGAGGGTGGCGTGGGCGAGGGGAAGAACGTGACGGGGCACGGTCTTCTGCTCCTCACTGGAGGGACCGTCGACCAGGACCTGCAGGCAATCGCGAGTCAATACACATATTCTCCAACTTGTTCAATTTCAAGCCTCGAAATTTCCATGGATTCCGGGCAGATCGAGGGAAGCGATTTTCAACGTACACGGCGGTGGTCGACAATCTCAACGATGGCAGCGAGCTTGCCAGCGAAGGGGCCGCGGCGGATCAGGACGAGGCGGCCAACCTCGACCAGCTTCCACGAAGCGAGCTTGACATCGATATCGGCCATGGCGTAATTCTGTAGACAAAAAAAAATCTCAGCGCACACTCAGATGTAGCGGTTCAGTAGCGAATGCACTCACGGTCGACAACCGGGGGTTGGAGATAAGTCGGGAGGGTTGTTGTCGAAAGAGTCGGATTGTCCAAGTCTGCGCTGGCGAATTTCGGGATGTGCCCACACACTTCTCGCTTAGCGGGCCACTCAGCTGCGGGTCTAGGGTTGAATTATGTCAGCCCGTCCCGGGATCGGGACTTCGTTATTCCGGTCACCTGCTTTTCTTGCGTTTTTTTGTTTCTCGTTCTCTGCTTCACTGCTATCACTGTTCTTGCCTCGCCATGAGCTTAATGTTGCTCCCGATCATCAACTAACCCTCCAGCTTTGAGTTTTACTCTATCATGAGCTGCCTCACTGTATGTGCAACTCCCCCATTGTCTTTCTTCCCTCTCACATGATGCCGTAATTTGCGATTGACCCGGTGTCTGTGAGGCCCTCGCCGGGGTCTCGATACAGCGCTGCTGGATGATATTTAATTTCTTACATATTCTGAAATTGATCTTCAACACACCCTTTGCTATCATTGCACCAGCTGGACCACTTTGCTGACTGCTCGAAGATTTTTTTAGCCTCACAGCTCTGAGATACCTCGGCCGGTCCATGCTGTTGCTGGTCCGGTCTCACGTCTAAAAGGGTACGTCGCTTGTTTTGCCTTTTTTTTTTTTTTTTTTTCCCCCGGCCCGATGATTACAAACCTTATCACGCCTAGATAGTAATTGATGCCTTCGGGCAGCTGAAATTTCCTTTTCACCAAGATCTCTGAGGACCATTACACATTGCTGCTTTGTTTGAAGTTTTCGTTGGAGTCACCTTCTAACATCGAATAGGATTGACCAGATCATCTCGTCACAGGCTGGGCCTGTCTCGACTACTCCTAGCTATAGAAATGCAAAATGTCTGTTTTGAACTTATTTCTTCTCGTATATCGTATACCTGTATATGCTTCCGTAGAACCTTGGCATTGCGGTGTAGACGAGCTCTATTTAAGCTCCCTACCTAATTGTATTATCCTGAATTTACTTTTCTTGGTTGCCAGTTGAGTTCGGGTCCGTTGCCAAACTAATGTCGATCAATGTTTTCATATCGGGTCCGGGGATCGCCACGGCAAACCTATCTGGTTTCGAATAGACTGCTTTACCAGATCTCCATAGACCTCAGTACAATTCTCACATTATGTTGCTACCAACAACGTTCCATCAGAACCTATTGATTTGAAATGCATCCAGCTCAATACAATACAGCAATACAATACAGCCCATCAACAAATTTTGAATCTTGAACTGTTGACTGAGAACACCCATTTGAAAATGTAGATATTTTGATTACAATAAGTCGTGCTATATCGTGACTGTTGAGGCCTGTGTCCCTTAAATTCCAAGGCCTCGAGCAATGCGATGGATTCCCCTTCCTATCCGCGCATGCCATTTCTTCCACCAATCCGATCTATACCTATCATGTAGTTCGTTGCTCCAACTCGCGATTCGATCATGAGCTTCCGTTCGCAGCCAATGCGGATGGACCCTCGCGACTGAGCACCCACATGAAAACAAATTGGATGATGTACGAGTAGACAAACAAGAACTGAGTGCGACGGTTACGCTGGCCGCGAGCCACGGTGTGCATGGCACCAGTACGCATGGACGAGTCGGCCGAGTCGGGCAGCAAGACGTACTTCAGGGAACGGAGCTAAATCAAGTCAATAAACGTACCGATCAGGAAAGCATAACCGTTCACTTACCAGGAAGAATGCGTTGGCCAGGTAAGTGTAGATAAAGACCGACCAGCCAACCCAGCCTCCAGTTCCACGGCCGGGGGTCAAGATCTCTGATGTAACCAGAGTAGCGATGATGCCCACAAACTTGTATCCGGAGTAGGCCACCAGATCCAACAACTGCGAATCGTTGTTGATGGTAAGAATGTACATGGCCATCTTCAAGCACAGGATCTCAAAGATGATCACCGCAATAGACGTAGTGGTGACCGAGCCCAGAAGCTCCGGGTGGAAGTCCCCACGGAATCCAGCCAGCAATACCGACAAGAGAATGTATGTGACCACTGCCATAACAGGGATGTACATATCAGGCGAGTTGAGATCGTCTCGAGGGGGGAGGAACATGGAGGAGTATTGCTGCTGGACGATCTGGCCATCCGGTCCGGTAGCATTGACCCCCATCCTGGCCTGCTGGCGGGACCAGGGCTTGTGTCGCCAAGGGAAGAGGACGAGGCCGACTTTGTTCAGGACGTAGGAGTTCGAGACGTTGAAGTAGTGCTTGAGGGCAGGTATGGACACATAGCGATTGAACTGTAGTTCGCAATTAGACACGCGTCGGTAAATCAAGATTCCCTAAGGATGCATACGTTCTGTTCCACATATTCCTGTCCAGCTGCCATCGCGCTCTTTCCAACCTGGAAGCCCATCTGTGCCGTAGGATCACTCATGAACCCGGGGAAATTGGGACCATAGTTGCCGGCAGCGCCGGCAGCGCCACTTTGGGCGGGAGATGGCTGGTATGGATTTCCTCCACCTCCATAACCAGCATTCGGTGTCTGTTGAGAGGGAGGGGGAGGAGAGCGCATCATGGGGACGGTCGACACATGCTGCGGAACGGGGTGGTGCAGAGGAGGCGACTGCGCGGGCGGTGGTGCGAAGGAGCCCCGATACATAGTGTTCCTGAAACGACAGAGGATATCGGAAGAGGGAGCACTGAAGGAGTCGGGGAGCCGGTGGAAAGGAGCGAGGTCGGGGGTTGAGAGAGGTGTAGAGTGGAAGTGTTTATACGTGGCTGAAGATCCGCTCTGCCTCCGAGCTCGAACATCGCTTTTTGGCCGAACCGCCACCACGACCTTTCACCCTCCTTCTGTCCCCCTTTTTCGCCGCAAGATATCCCTTTTTACGCCTTCTATACGATCCTAGAGCATATCTCATCATGCTGGAAGCTTTTGAAATCCTCACCACCTCGGGCGTGGTACTGTGGTCCAAGACCTACGCACCAGTGGGGTCCCATGTCATTAACAGCCTGATCAACGACGTTTTTATCGAAGAAAAGGTCGTGCCCCAGGGTGCTTCGGCCGGTGTTTCGCCGATATTCAAGAAGGAGAAATATACCCTCAAGTGGAAGAGGGTCAAGGAATTTAACCTGATCTTTGTTGTACGTCGGCCGCCCGTCGCATATATCACCTGAGTGTCGCAAACCTAACTATGTTCTCAATAGGCTGTGTACCAATCGCTGCTTCACCTCGGCTGGATTGACAGACTCCTCGAGAATATCTCCACTATCTTTATCGACCTCTATAAGGACCAACTGAAGGGAAACCGCACGAGAATCACTGCGTACCGATTCGACCCGTACTTTGAACAGCAGGTGCGCGAGCTTGAGGACAATACCGGCAGTGTCGCAGAGACGTACCCTGCAGAGACCGGGGAGAAGAAAGACCCGCTTGTCTTGTCGGACAATGGCGGTCCTCCGCCGCCACCAGTGCCTGGCCTCATGAAAGCGCAGCCTCAAGCTGCGCTGGCCGGGGCGACCTCTGATGAGGGCACGCCACTAGCAACTCCTGATACTTCTAGGTCTTCGACTCCTGTGGGCCACATCCTTGCCGGAAAGGCTGGACCCGGCGGTCGACTCTCTCGCCGTGCGAAGAAGCTCCAGAATGTGAGCTCTAATGCCTCGTCTGGCGATGAAACTTCTCGCAAAGGCAAAGCTCCCAAGGGCTCCGCAAAGAAGGGCCGCAAGTGGGATGCTAGCGGGTATGCAGATGAGGATGACGGCGAGATCCTGGACTACTCTGCTCCTGCAGATGATGCGGAGCCTGCCGCCCCCGCTGTGGAAGCCATCTCCCAGGATGATTGGGGTCGCAGAACTGGCAAGGGCCAATTTGTCTTGAAAGAGCTTGGTGATGAGGTCCATGATATTCTGGACAATGCCGACGCTGAAAAGAGCAAGGGCAATGCTTCCTCGGGTATTGTTGGCTCTGGTTTCAACGCCGTCGGTGGCTTCTTCCGCAACATTGTCGGCGGCAAGACATTGACCGAGGCTGACCTCCAGAAGCCGCTCAAGGCGATGGAAGACCATTTGCTGAAGAAGAACGTCGCTCGTGAGGCGGCCGTCCGTCTCTGCGAAGGTGTTGAGCGCGAGCTGGTTGGAAAGAAGACCGCCAACTTCCAGAGCGTCGACACTGCTCTACACATCGCAATGGAGGCATCCTTGCGAAAGATGCTGACTCCCACCTCCTCCTTGGATCTGCTGCGCGAGATCAACGCCGTGACCGCCCCGACTACCAAGCAGCATGCTCCTCGTCCCTACGTGATGTCCATTGTTGGCGTCAACGGTGTTGGCAAATCCACCAACCTGAGCAAAATCTGCTTCTTCCTTCTGCAGAACAAGTACAAAGTCCTCATTGCGGCTTGTGATACTTTCCGTTCTGGTGCCGTTGAGCAGCTTCGTGTCCACGCTCGCAACTTGAAGGAGCTTAGTGTCCGTGATGGTGCTGGCGACATTGAGCTCTACGAAAAGGGCTACGGCAAAGACGCGGCGAACGTTGCCAAGGATGCCGTTGACTACGCTGCTGCCCACAAGTTCGATGTCGTCTTGATCGACACAGCTGGTCGTCGTCACAACGACCAGCGTCTCATGTCTTCCCTCGAGAAATTCGCCAAGTTCGCCAATCCTGACAAGATCTTCATGGTTGGTGAGGCGTTGGTAGGAACAGACAGTGTCATGCAGGCACGTAACTTCAACGCGGCATTTGGAACTGGCCGGAACTTGGATGGCTTCATCATTAGCAAGTGTGATACGGTGGGCGACATGGTTGGAACACTAGTTAGCATGGTCCATGCCACGGGCATCCCTATTGTCTTCTTGGGTGTTGGGCAGCACTACGGAGATCTGCGTGGACTTAGTGTACCCTGGGCTGTCAGTTTGTTGATGAAGTGATGATTTTCCATAGCCCGGCTTTTCTCTGCATCGCACTTCTTTGTCTATATTAAATGTTTGAGTTCCTAATTGCTTTCCCTTTTCTCAATCACTTTGCAGCCCATTAAATATCTTCAATGGTAAAATCATTTAAACAAATAACAGTCTCCACAAAGAACGATGCCAGACGTACATCCCTTCCGTAGTCGAACTTCTTTATGAGAACTTGAATATGTTCCATCTCCTGCCTCCCTTTCTACCACCATTTGCCCCCTCCCCTTCACGCACTATGCAACACAGGCCTACAAACACCCCACCACGCATATGCAGTATACTAGAGCAAAAAAGTAGGAATGGTCGACCTAGAACGAGCAAAAAATTGACCGACGCAGGGGTCGAACCTGCAATCTCTTGATTCGTAGTCAAGCGCCTTGCCATTGGGCCAGCCGGCCTCGTTGGATATCAGGACCAAAATTGTGTCATAGAATCCAGAAAAAGTTTTTGCATCAAGACCCACACTTCCTATTTCAGTAAGAAAACCCTTAAGACGCAATTTTCACTTTTCTCCAAGCCATAGTAGCACTCACAGAGGACTCTCAAGATTAAGATATAACTAATTCGCTTCAATGGCATTTTGCCTTCAAAAACAAAAAAAACCTTGACCATGACGGGAGGTGCGTATAGATCAAAAATACAAAAAGACACTCTCCCTCGGGGAATCGAACCCCGGTCTCCCGCGCTTATCGGTGTTAATGACAAGCGGAAATCATGACCACTAGACCAAGGAAGATGGTTCAGTCGAGTTACTGCTCGACCACTTGGGTGGTTGATGTAAGGGGTAGTCCTTTTTGGTCTCAAGAGCAACGAACAGATGTGATGAAAGTTTTGGGTTCACCTCAACACTCAAAATACATTTCTTTTTTGCCGTATTAGGTATGCAAGTTCTCGTGGTGCGTATGTTTTCAGAAATAAATACCTCATGTTATTTGGTTTAGTGATTTGAGCAATTTGGACGGAATCGGCGTTTTGCTTGGATTTTCGCTCATGGGTCCTCGGGAACTATATATTCCGCTCATGTCTTCTGAAATTGGGCATCTCATTCCGTGCCCCGACCTTTTATTTTCAAGGTTCTTGGAGTTAACTGCATCACCAAATTTGGAACGCATACACCTAGACACAGGGTAAAGAGGGATCTGTGCTCGGAAATCCTAACTGGCCTAACACCCGCAGACTAAGGTCCACGGCTACTTCTTGTTGGAAAACAGTTACACAGATAGGTAAGACGTAACAACATTCATGCACAGGAATGAAAACTGAAAATAACTCCCACGAAAGCAAGTCAACCTAAAAAATATAAAAAAAGAGACCCTGCTAGTGAGCGACCTTGGTATGAAACAGTGTAGCCAGACCCTACCAGCAGGGTTGTCATCTGGATTTACGGACGCGGTATCGGGGCCCCGGGAAAATACCACCGAGAACAGCAATGCCAGGAATACAAAGACGAAAACCAGATATCCATTCTCTTTCCTTCAGCGCGACTCATAGTACGGATTCCTCTCGCGGCGTCTATTGAAGCTGAAATACCAGGTCGGTTCTCCGTGACTGATGTGGCAAGTCGAGTCCCATTCACCATCATAAGCTTCCCTGTGCAACTCTCGATCCCAGTATGTCGAATTTTCGTCAGGGTGGTTCCTCAGACAATCCAGGCATAGACCATCGAAGTACGCTCTGATCCTCCTTTGAATACTCTCGATGAGATAAGTCCAGGAGCGGCTGCACCACGAACACGGCATCAGAGGGTCGTGTTTGTTGCGAATTAAGTTTTTACGATCGAAATCATCCAGTCGAGTGAGAATGTCTGCAACACTATTCCGGAAGAGGGTGTTGCCGAGTGGTTCGACGTCGATTCGCTGGAGTTCCTTCAAGTAGCTGCATACTCCATTGGCTGTACAGTCATCAATAGTTCCATGGAGGGTTGCAGAAATCTCCTTGTAAAGCCCCTGTTGAAGGATTGTCCTCAGTAGTCCTCAGGCCGCATTCAGCTGCTCTTCACGGAGTTAAAAGAGGTTAATTTTCTGACCGCAGGCAAGGTGGACTTGCGTATGAGAATGGGTGGTAGGTGCATTGCGACGGACGGGACTGGATTGTTCTCACCAATCCGGCCCGGGGAATTGTAAACCAATCGCTGGGTGATGGTCTGGAACCCCTCCGCATGGTCGAAATAGAAACACGGAAAAAGGAGCTGGGAGATGAATTTGAGGTCCTTCTTCCATTCCTTACCCCGATTCTGAGTAGCCCAGCTAAGCCATTTATCAAACCAGAGCGTCGGCTTTGTGTCTTTTGGATCAAAACCGTATTTATGGCTTGCCTGGATGGTGTACCAAACATCTGTGGCAGAGATGGAACCCGGGTCTGGGGGTTTGTCGTGAAAAATGCCAAGCAGAACTTCCATCCCGTTGATAGATTCGTCCTCAAGAGTGATCACTTCAGTTCTTCTCCAGCAACCCTTGAGGCTGGTGCGGAAATGGTTGCTGCCTTGCGTGAGGACTGATTCCTTCACATGGAATAGAGCTGATCTGGGGCGTGATTCGGGCTTTTGATAGGAAGAAATCTTGCCTTTATGAGCCTTAGTTTCTTCAACGGCCTTGATGGTCAAGTCACTCAGACTGGCAAGAGAGATTTCCATACTGAAAACGGACTTCAAGGGGTGGTAGATGAGAAAGGCCCTGAAGGAAGGTGGAAAGGGCACAAGGAAGAAGAGATGGATCCGAGAAAAGAGATTTGAGTGCCAGGGACTGGGGATCCAAAGTATGGAAAAGACTTGAGACTGACTTGAGACTGGATACTGGACAAAAGGAGACCGTATCTGGGTAGATGATGAAGGGAAGACTAGGGAAGAGAAGAGAAGGGGAGGAAACAGAGCAGCATCCATGGGCAAGCAGAGGGGAAACATTCAGGCAGCGAGGCAAAGAAGCAGCGAAATGAGAGAAATTGGGGCTCAGGCAGAAGCAGACCAACAATAAGCATGAAATACAAGAGTCTGGATAGTTCTGGCGGCTCAGTGAGGCCAATGCTCCTGGGCATTCTACCGTACAAATTGTGCAGTCTTGTCTTGACATGTAGTATGAGGCTAAATACTTTTTATTTGTAGATCTAACAGAGTAGCAAGCGCCTCAGCATTCAACTGTTCTCGCAGAGTAGAGTGTTCAAGTGTTCAAACAGCCATCCATCAAACTCAATTCTATGTGCAAAATGTGAAAAAAAAAAAACACCAACCCAAGGCATGCTCAGCTAAGAATGCACCGCCAACCCAATGAAAGGACTGGGTAATAAATATTCAAATGCAAATAGGCTCAAAAGAGCCATTGGATCGTCACGTCATATAAGCAAGTTTCGCATCGCCAATAAATTTACGCACCGTTGGCTTCATCATCATCATCATCATCGGATTTATAGTTTCCGTCGTCACTATCATCGCCGCCCCAGCCCTCTGCCTCGAGGGAGCGACCGCGGATTCCGAAACTCATGATGAATCCGATGAATGAGACAGCCCCGAAGACACCAAATGCCAGAGCTTCTCCCTTGGGCTGAATCTTGGCTGTTAGGGAGAAGAGACCTCCAGACAGGAATGGGCCGACGGAACGGCCGGCGGCGCTGAGGGTCTGCGCGAGGCCATTGAGGGCACCCAGGACTGCGTGGTTCGGAGCGGTATTTGTAACCTGAAATAATTAGTCATTGAAGTTTGTAAGTAGAGAATATAATGCCTTACCAGTAGCAGAGCACTGGTCAAGCCACCAACAGAGGCAATGGTCTTGACCAGTAACACGAGGCACAGCTCGACGGCCATGAGAGCAGATTTGCCAGTCAGGCCCTTGCTGTCCTCGCTCTTGTATCCAATAAAAGGCATCAGGAGGAAAGAGACAACGAAACCGAACAGACCTGCACGGTAGGACCATCGGTTGCCCATCTTATCACGCAGGCGATTAAAAATGCAAATTTGGAAAATGATTGTCACAATTCCAGCGAATCCTTGAGACAGACCGATCTCAGAGGGCGTAAGGTGGCGTCCCATGGGCGGTTTGGCTTGCGCGAAGATTGGAAACAGCGAGTTGAAAGAAACATTGCAGAAAGCAAAAATCAAGTATGTAATGAGTAGGAGCATGGTATCCCGTGTGTATATTTCGTCCCACGTCAGCTCTTCCACATGCTGGTGTGACTGACTTGACACCTCTGAAGCCGAGTCCAGGTCACTGTCATGTTCTTGACTATCGCCAGTGTTGCGCCGGATGGGGCCGTCTGGAACCCGTAGATAGGTTGGGTGCGGGGAAAAGCCTGTGAACTGCCAGATCCATGAGAAGAGACTGCGAACTTTTTTGCCAAACTTCGGAAGGGTGTCGGCATCTTCCAGGCTTTCCTCCATGAATAATGCAGTCAAGACGAAGTCCACCAGAAGGATAAAAGCGGAGAAAAGGTTTGGTGCCAGGTACGGATATGTGCTTTTGTTCCCCGTGAAAGGGTTGCGCTCGAAGACGAGTAGCCCTCCCAAGAGAGGACCCGTGATACCGCCAATACCGTAGAGGACGGGGAGGTATGTAAAGGCCTGAGACTGGTTGCTTCGGTCCGTGATCTCACCCAGACAAGTCGACACTAGGCCCTGGTTACCGTTGACTACACCCATGATTGCCTGGACCGCGATAGCTTGCCACAGGGTCTTGCAAAACCCAAACGCAACGAAGCAGAGCGCTGTCAACAAAGTACCGAGGAGGATGACCGGCTTGCGCCCAATGCGGTCGGAGAGCCAACCCCAGAAATAGTTTGTGCCGAATTGTGCAAGGGCAAATGCTGAAGCAATCGATCCCACGTAGACACCCACTTGGCTCGGCTCCACCTCGGGGAAGGTGGATGCCATATCCGGCAGATATGGACTAATCGAGTTGAGCGCTGTTTGCTCCGCCAGGGCAATCATAGCCAACACAGCCATCTGTTTCTTCGGCAGTGGCGACTGTGTATGGTGCTCGGTGAGGTCATGGTGGTAATCGTGCGAGGCTTCCCCAGAGGACTCCGACTGGCCCGAATTTGGACGTCCACGCGACTTGGGCGGAGGTGTATCGAATGTCTGGTAGTGCTGCGTAGAGGAGCGGCGATTGATCGGCGTACGGTCCGCGACTGTCATTTTTGCAGCACGGAGCGATCGAGAGATGATGTGACGCTTTCAAAACCCAACCATGCGATTGGGGGAGGTTGGAGACAGTCCGAGCGCACCCGCGATGCTGGGGTCGTGTGCGAGTCTGCACACCCAGTCACGGTGTGCGATGGCGACTAGGGCAATCGTATGAATAAAGACAGTTGTTCAAGAGGGACAAATAAAGAGAGCGCAGAACAGGAATCGGCGATTAGGTTGCAGAAACAGGAACTTGACCAAGATCTAACTTGGAAACTCCCGGGCCCGATGATGTAAGCGGCATTGGGGGCTGCTGAGTCATTGCGTTCTGGACCGCGGGATCTGGGGGATGATTGTTCATGCGCTTCATCTTTCATCTTGTTCGTCTGTACCACGTAGATCACTACACTCAATTTAGAGAGAATGAATGAGCATCCCAAAGTTTCAATTCAATAGGAAAATGTGCATTCTCGAGCGAAGTACGCCTGCCCAAGTGGACATCTTTTTCCGGCCAAGCTATATGAAACCAAGCTACACCGTCTACGCCATTTTGGTGGTGTTTCTTTCAATTGAACCAATGACTTAATGGAGCATATTGCATGGGCTTCATTCGATCGATCCTGGAATGTTTCATCAACTGGACGGTAAAGGTGAACCAAGCAGTGGAAACCCAGCGTGGGTGACGGAATGCGAGTCCTTTAGATCGGGGCTCTCGGCAGTGATTTGGAGTGTGATCGATTTATATATTCAGGTGGAATAAACCGTACGATCTTATTAGACCGAATTGGTATCATTGATGCTCCTCGCGACTAGCCGGTTGAAGAGTACAAGGATATTGAGTGTCTCGGATACTACCGCGAGGCCCAGAAGCAGTGTGCCAGTGGGTTGATACTACACGCAAAAAGCAGATTATTGATAACCTTAAAACCATTGCAAGCATTCACGCCTGCCGGTGCAATGGGATGACTCGCAGCATGCTAGCTTCACTAAGGGTACTACGTGGATTCGAGCGCATGACCTTTACTTGGAGATCAATGTGAGGTAGCAAGAGTATTATCCCGCCAGCGTTCATTTATTCTGGAAGAACGCTCTGCGATTGTGAAAAGAATATCGCGACGTCTTTATACACGGTGCATTCGATGTTCTTGACTACGAGAATCAGGAGATTTTCTGCTTTGTCTAGACCAGAGAAGTTAAGCAAGCTTTATTGCTCTTAATTTAAACATTGAAGCCCAGAAATTTATGAAATTTATGAAATTTAGAGTTATGCAGATGACTGTGAGCAACTATGAGAGCTTGACCCTGGAAACATTGCAGCCTTTCGAGGACATAATTTACGTCAAGGCTTAACCTCATCAACCACGAATTTGGATCCATCCCGGATGTTCCGCACTAATATCCAATTAGATCCAACCTGAAGTCAGCATATAATCGATACTCAGAAGGTATCGTATCAATTGTCATCGTGTCGTGTCAATGTGACGTCCGCCCCGTCATGTTGACGTCCCGGAATAACAAACATCCAGAATATAAAGATTGTAGAATCTGCACTTCCCTCACACCCATCCAATTCAGTTCAATAATTCTTCTCCCCGGATATTTCAGAATCTATTCGTGTTGCCATCTGCAAGAGAATAGCCTATTTATCATGGCCTCCCACATAGTAGGCGGCTTACGCAAAGCATCAGACGCCGTGCAGCAAACAATCTCAAAAGACAAAAAGGTCATCGACTTGCAGCATGACATGGTCAACATCAACTCCAAGCTACCGATGACCGCTGACCATGGAGTCAAAGTTGAGAACACGGATCAATGGCTCCGGGTGGTTGATGACAAGCATACAGGTCCGTCACTGTTAGAGGATCAACTGGCCCGAGAGAAGGTAAGCAAACATCCCCATTAACTGATCAAAAGTAAACAAGAGAAATATCTGCTGACCTCAAATTAGATCACCCGCTTCGACCACGAACGCATTCCTGAGCGAGTCGTTCATGCTCGAGGCACAGGCGCATTTGGAAACTTCAAACTGCACAAGAGCATTGCGGATCTTTCCTATGCGGGTATTCTCACGGATACAAGCAGGAATACTCCTGTCTTTGTGCGTTTCTCTACAGTTCAAGGAAGCAGAGGAAGCGCCGATACGGTACGTGATGTACGTGGATTCGCAGTCAAGTTCTACACCGACGAAGGCAATTGGGATATAGTGGGCAACAATATCCCGGTTTTCTTCATTCAGGATGCTATCAAGTTTCCCGATTTTGGTAAGTCTAACATTATATTCAATTAAAGAGACAACGCTGCATACTAACAATCCTCTCTTGAAGTGCACGCCGTGAAGCCAGAACCACATAACGAAGTTCCCCAAGGCCAAACAGCCCACAACAATTTCTGGGACTTCGTCTACCTCCACCCGGAAGCCACACACATGGTAATGTGGGCAATGTCCGACCGCGCAATTCCGCGATCCTTCCGCATGATGCAAGGCTTCGGAGTAAACACCTTCACCCTAATCAACAAAGCCGGAAAATGCCACTTCGTGAAATTCCACTTCATCCCGCAGCTAGGCGTGCACTCCCTTGTCTGGGATGAAGCGCTCAAAATCAACGGCCAGGATCCTGACTTCCACCGCAAGGACCTAATGGACGCAATTGACAACAAGGCCTACCCGAAATGGGACTTCGCGATTCAAGTGATCCCAGAAGAGAAGCAGGACGCGTTTGAGTTTGATGTTCTCGATGCGACGAAAATATGGCCTGAAGATCTTGTTCCGTTGCAGGTTATTGGCCAGTTGGAATTGAACCGTAATGTGGACGAGTTTTTTCCCCAGACTGAGCAAGTTGCATTTTGTACGAGTCACATCGTGCCAGGGATTGACTTTTCCGATGATCCGCTGCTGCAGGGTAGGAATTTCTCTTACTTTGATACCCAGATTAGTCGGCTTGGTGTGAACTGGGAGGAATTGCCGATTAATCGACCTGTTTGTCCGGTCTTAAATCATAATCGTGATGGGAAATCGCGGCACCGGATTACCCAGGGTGCGGTGAATTACTGGCCGAATCGATTCGAGGCGTGTCCTCCAACCAGTGCCACTGGTGAAGCTGGAGGGTTCCAATCATTCCCAGCTATGGTTGGCGGTCAGAAGCGTCGGGCTTTGAGTGAGAAGTTTGGAGATCATTTCACCCAACCGCAGTTGTTTTACAATTCTCTTTCTGAACATGAGAAACTGCATGTTCGGAAAGCTCTGAGCTTTGAACTCGACCACTGCGATGATCCGACGGTGTATACCCGTTTCGCAGGGCATCGGCTCGCCGAAATAGATCTGGCGCTTGCGCAGGCTGTGGCTGAGGTAGTTGGTGCGCCTGTTCCTGAGCGTGCAACAAGTACAAACCCCGGGAAGAAAGCGCCGCGGCTCTCGCAGACCGAGTTCGTTCCATCCACTCCATCAATCGCCAGCCGAAGGATTGCAATCCTGATCGGAGACGGATTTGATGCTGTTGCATTCAATGGCCTGCGGGCTGCAATACTGGCTGCACGAGCTCAACCGATTGTGATTGGAACCAAGCGATCTCGCATATATGCAGACGGGGAGAAGGCATATGTGGCCGCTGGAGTCGGGATAGTACCTGATCATCAGCTGTACGGGGTGCGGTCGACATTGTTTGATGCGACTTTCATTCCGGGTGGATCACATATCAAGACTCTTTCGCAGGATGGCCAGGTTAGGCACTGGGTTGCTGAGACTTTTGGACATCTCAAGGCTCTTGGCGCTTCTGGAGATGCGACTGGGCTAGTGAAGGAAAGCCTGGCTGCTGCTCCGGGTCTTCAGATTGCGTCTTCTGGACCGATTGAATGGTATGGGGTTGTTACGATCGGTGGAATCCAGAAACCTGAGAATTTCAAGGAGACAGTTGACATTGTGAGTGGCGCAAAGGATTTCGTTGGGATGTTCTTCTACCAGATTGCGCATCATCGAAATTATCAGCGGGAGTTGGATGGCCTTGCCGCGGTTGTGCCATTTTAACATGAATTTAAGAGGTTTTATGACAAAAATTGCATATCCAGTTTCTAACATCTTGCTTTATTCCAAAAAAAAGAAAGAACAAAGAGAGCGAGAATCATTTTCAAGACAGAGGGTCATAAGCAATCTCAATTTCAGTTCCAACAAACTTGACATCCCTCTTCTCCTGTGATATTCTCTCGTAGTCCCTGACTTGAATCTTTTTCTGCCGGCGAATGCAACTGAAGCATTTCAAATTTGCGATCACCTGCGCTGTTTTTCTTTGATTCGAAAGATCCAACGCCCACGCGCTCACTTCGTGGATTCGCGGGTGATTAGAATACTTCCCACTTGCCAAGAACCTATTGGAATTGATTAGAATGGGGAATATATTTGGGTAGGCAGTTAAAATTTTACTTCCATAATTTCACCCAATAGTTGTCCAGGCGCCATGTGAACTTGCTAGGGTCCCCAATAAACACAACTCCGCCCGTTGGCCAGTTCTCGTGTAAACACCTCTGCAGTAGCCAAAGAGCATCCGATGGCTGTGGGTTACCCTGGTGGGCTGCAATTTCTCGGTTGACTAATTCAAAGACACGAGTGATCTGCTCCGCCCTTCAAAAAGCTTTGCGCAGATTTTATTGACACTTTCTGGTGCATTGGTTTCTGTCATTCCGGCGGCCCCTCTGAGTTACTGCGCTATTGCACCGTTCCATGTCAGCCCGGTTTCCTTCTCCCACAATTTGACGAGCTGGCAACCCAGATAGTCTTGATCCTGGGTATGGAATAAGCGGCAAAGCGGAATGGTAGCAGAGGCGCCCGCGCCAAGAGTTCCCTCTTGTGTGCGACATGGAGTACATCGCCGCAAAACACGTGTTGAAAGGAAAGAAATGGGATATCGTATGTCTTTCAAGTTTGACTGCTTGGGTGTAAGTAAGTGCAGGCTGATTCGGCTTCGCTGGGGTTCCTGTGCTGGACACGATATGAAACATTGAAAATGCATGCACCGGAGTAGGATCCACGGATGTATCCTCAGGCATAACGACATGTGGGCATATTTTTGACGTGATTCTCAAGCAAGTGACATAACCGGAACACCCCAGGGACCGGGACCATATTACATGCTGTACATGTAAGTTACAACTTCATATCTCAACAGCAATGCGTCACAAGAATCTTAATATAGTCCTATACCTTTATTGAGTACCTAAGTATATTTAATTTTCAGATTACTAGATGCCGATTACTAATGCAATCCTACCCCGCCCTATTCTGTTTCAGGTCGTACAGAGAAATACGTGAAGGCTACGAAGCGTTAATAATAACAGCTAGAGATATTTGAAAATGGTGGCGCATCGGAAGGGAAAGTGATTTGGGAGTAACTCCCGATATTGTCCTGATATTATTTCAGAAGGAAGAATTGTTATCCAATTGGACCTGTGGCGCAGCGGTATGTTTCCACTTTACGAAAGGTCTCAGTTTTCAGATTACTAATAATTCCCACAGGTAGCGCGTGTGATTCCAGTCCACAAGGTCATCCGTTCAAATCGGGTCAGGTTCAATCTTTTTTTCTTCATATATTTTTGGTTCTCTTAAAAACCCCCTCATAAAGAAAACTATCTATCCAAGGAGAAAGATTAGTTACTAGTGAATTTAGCTAGAGGAAGCAAAATAGTGATAGAATAGCCCTATAAACCTACTAAAGCAAGAATCTGGTGTCATAATTAGAGACACTGGAACTAAATCACTAAGCCTAAAGAGTAGATGTGGTTGCAGAAGAGAAACTTAGAATATATGAATATCAGTATATAAATACTACAGAATATAGGCAAAAATATATATTAGGCTATTACTATTGATTTAGATACTTGAAAGAAAGAGCAATAGGAAAAAAAAAAAAAAAAAGATATGAACCTGACCCGATTTGAACGGATGACCTTGTGGACTGGAATCACACGCGCTACCTGTGGGAATTATTAGTAATCTGAAAACTGAGACCTTTCGTAAAGTGGAAACATACCGCTGCGCCACAGGTCCTTATTGACGGAAATATCCTCCGTTTCTGACTACAGAAATTTCCCAATTATTACCACTAAAGAGCTTGTACTCATTCAACAGCATTCCTCTCTCCCACTTGCTCCCACCCTCACACCCAGACTTCGGTCTTATACATTCACCAGCCCTGGCTAACCTTACTTCCGTCTAGTTGATTTAGGCTCTGGTCGTGGATCGTAATCGGGTGGCCCTAAACTAGCTTCCCTCGAAAGCCGATACAGATACAAGACGTGGGTTATGGGATTTCTACGATTCGAGAAACAATTGAAGAGTGTTGGCGATCGCACAAATTTTGAAATGTTTTGTGAACATTTGAAGAATCTCGTATTGACATTTAGAGTATTCCGTTGTTGTTATGATCCGAACTACAAACAAAAATGAAGCTCTCGCGATTGATAGCTATTTCCAGACAGTGCTCCACCTACTTTTTAAACACGAGCCGACAAGCAGAGTCCCCATTCCAAACGTAGAGCAGCACACCTGCAATGCCCACCCCTACGCATAGCTTGATTGGCGGCCTTCATGTCCAACTCGTATCCCCGTGTCCTGATCCGTCTTTACTGATTTTATCCCGTCAAGCAACCTAAGGATATCGTCTAGAGCCACATATCCGGTGCAACCAGTGTCATCCCTTCTCAAAATTAGCGGTGCACGGGCCAACCGGGGCCCTGCTGCGGGAGGCTGAGCCTCCCGCCCCTGCTGGACCCTGCCCCGACCGGACCCTCCACCCGCGAGGCGTCTCTATTGTACCACGAATAGAACTACCGCCCCGGGGGCTTTGCAGCTTTGTCCCAATTGGTATCGGAAAATCTTGAATGACGACTTTGGCTAGGACTGGAGGACTCGCTATGTCGGTCCCACCGATTGCTAAGGCCACGCTGCAGGCCGCGGTTATCAATGCCGGGTCTAATGTGCTGGCACAGGGTATCAAGGCTTATCGTGATGAAGTATGTGAATGCTGCCTCTTCCGCATCTGTCGAGAATGCAGGCTGCAAGTGACGAGTCTCTGATGGAAACCAGGTTCCCTTCGATCTAGACATCCAGGCCTTGATGCAATTCACCACCTGCGCCTTCATCGTGTCACCTGTGGGATATCTTTGGCTCGAGAAATTGGAGTCATGGTTTCCAGGCACAGTGCCGCCCGAAAAATCTTCGGAAAAGGCCAACAAAGGTGGTCGCTCAGTCACCAAACCCCAGAAACCGAGGCTGAACGTCACCAACACTGTCGCGAAAGTCCTCATTGATCAGACAATCGGCGCCACCTGGAACACTGTATTATTCATCATTACTATGGGTCTACTTCGGGGTCTGCAGTACAATACAATTCAAACCCAGATTCAGCAGGTATGTAATGTGGAGATCGCGTCGGGTGATGGCCCCCGGGGCTGTCTATTTATGAGTTCATGAGAGCCAACGGCGGTCATTGGGAAGCTTCTCAGATGCGAGATTTTCCTGGAAGAAATCCCGATCCATGAGATAAACCCCTTCATGTACATCAGAGCTGATTCTTGATGTCACACAGGATTTTTGGCCTATCATGATCGCCGGGTTCAAGTTGTGGCCCTTTGTGTCTGTTCTCAACTTCACAGTTATTCCCCCGAATCAGCGGCTGCTTGTTGGGAGCCTTTTTGGAGTTATTTGGGGTGTGTATTTGAGCCTTGTGTCGGAATGAATGGAAAGCTCTCGTGGGTACGGGTAGGATGGGAAATCGAGCGACTGGCTTTCCCTCCAACCCTAGCATCATACACAAATGCTAGAATAGAACATACGTTCGAGAGCCGGCCCCAGTAAAACCCGGATCGCAACGTGGCGTGGTGGGAGCTTACAAGTGGAGAAACCTCGTGGACTGGAAGTTTGTCTCAGTTAGTATAGCCGCTGCAGGTATGACATCTAGGCCCCCGCTTGTGCCTATCCGTCCATTCGCCCCATGGCACATGGATCATTGGGCTGACGAATGGAAAGTGGTCAGCCTGGAAGACAGTGATTACAGCGGGGCTATGCATATGGATGTCAAAATCTGCGGACTCCATTTGTCGAAGCATTTTGAATCACCTAAGAGCCTGAGTAGTCCTAGATTTTCCTCGAAACTATAACGAAATAATGATTACATCCAGCCTTGGAAGGTTAATTATGTAGAAAACGGGGCGGCGGCCCCTGCCCCGGGGTTACCCCGGCGCTGTAGAATGATCCACACCCTCTGGATGTCAGTCGATACAGTACACAAAATGCAGGGAACTGTTGGGGGCTAATTCTAACCTTGTTAACCAAAAAGGTTAGAGGATAACTTTCACACAATTTCATTATTTAGCTAAATCCCAACTGCAGGTGGCAGTGAGTGGATTCGGCCCCTTGGTGGCGACAGAACCTTCTCTCTTCTTTGGCGTATACTGTAGGGAATGAACCAATGAATGGTAATCGGGTTGCAGAAGCAATGCTTACGAAAACAATAATTGCAGCAAATGACAGTATGGTATCGATGCCCGTTGGTACTCGTCTGAGTCAGGATCGGAGGATGTGCACCCTGGGCATGTCATACGCCCGCTTCAAAGGATTCTATTTGACAGCAGCAGTGTGATAGGAACACTCGCGTAAGATGTGGATCCGAGTTAATTACAGTTGTTCTTTTATTTTCCTCGCGATGACACATTAGGCGTCCCTTTCGTGGAAGTGGCAAATGATGCTTTCTTACGGGGCTAAAAATGTAGGGGCCAAGAACGGGAATTCTCATGGTTTGAGAGAGTAAAATAGGTATATGAAACTCTGTAATTATTCTCAGAGAGCGAAGGCAAGTGCGCCCGACAGGAACAATGAAAAGGATCATTTGCGTCGTACTTGGTAAATCAATCAGCGCAAGCAGGGAGCTAGCAGCAAACCAGGGATTTCAGCTTTGGTGGTTCGAAGCGTAGCACAAGAGCAGAAAGAGCAGGCCTGGATATGCTCGGCATATTAAGGCGTCATGGCTCCCATTTGGCCCTATCTATTTTTATTTTACGGTTCCTCAGCGTTCATACCGTTCGTGTTGACGGCCAATTTATTCCCCGGACAGTAGTGGGTCTGCGAGCACGCGAATAGAATAGTCACCTGTGCCTTTCCAAGTACGAGCTTGAGCTTATGAAGTAGGTAAGTGGTTTGAGAAGGACGTTTGAAAGGCGAAAAGTCACCCTTGTGGGGCTTCAGGCCCTTTGCGATTGGGAATTTGAGTCCATAATCCGTTTTGGCCCCGGGGATCGCTGTTTAGCGCAGTACATTGTTAGACCCATCAGCCGAGACCAACTACCTAGTTCGGGGGCCTTAGGTGATATCAATGATCTATGAGATATGGGGCCGTATTGGTCGCCTCCAAAAAAGGTTGACTCGCTGATCTTCCTTTAAATGCCAGGTGTCTTTGTGATTCTCGGCTATACTTGGACTGCGCATCTTCAAGGAGTCCGACGAACTTGATCTTTGTTGAGCGACAATTAACTCCAATAAAGAGTGACGCGGTCTACAATTGGACCTCCCCGATTTGTCACAAAGTCCCTGATTGAATGTAAGTTTTTTCAAGGACATGTTGCCACATGAGCAATGGCAGAATGTGATCTCGCCAGACAAAGAAAAAGACTAATTGGGTAATAGACAAAGCCATAGCTTGACAATGCACGGGCGCTAGGCCTCGAAGATTTAACAGCATTTTACGATGATATCGCAATTCACCTTTCCGCTCCAACGAACCCATCGCACCCCGACGAGTTGGAATAAGAAAAGATCCAACCGGCCTCCCTCGCTCAACCTCGGAGAGAGCTTTGTGAAACAAAACAACAAAGAGAACCAGGTAGCGCAGGCGATGCGAGGCTCTCCGTCCGAGCACGGAGACAAAGAAGCAGAGACGGTTCCGGTGAAGATGAGAATAGAGATCTCAATGCTGGGATCCCGCTCCTTCAACCCCGAACATATCCAGACCACTGCAGAGCCCCCGGCAACAGAACTGAGATCAGACACCCTGGTGGAAGAACATATGGAAACAATACACGGCAAGAATCTCGAGGCACAGCCCAAGAGATCAACCTCCGTGCAAGACTCGCTGCGGACCTTCATTCAACTGGGCAGTGACGACTCCGACTCCGATCCCGACATCTTCTCAGTATCAGATAGTCGCCCCACTACTCGTTCTACCTCTGTGCTGGCCCAATATTTCCCCGAAGACTCATCCAATCTGCATGTCGCATCTCCGTCAAGCGCCGATGCGGCAGATCAAAAGATCAAGTCGCCCGACTATGCCATGTTACTTGAGAACGAAGCCCATGACCGGCTCAGTACATTCTACAAAAAGCCAGCTGTTGCCGAAGAGGGGAAGAAAATAGACGATAGTAGCCCAAGGAGCGGGAAAAGTCGGGTTTCTGACCCCAGCGATATCTTTGACGGCGCTTCATCTTGCTACAGCCAGCGCACCTCCCTCACCAGCGTCAGTGCCGATGGGGCCAACGAGCGGAGCCCATATAAATCAGCAGACGCATATTCCATCCGCAACCCTACTTCGGCGGGCGTGTTTGATGACGCAGCATCCGTCTACTCACCGGGGGCCCCGGCCTTCGCCTCACCTGTGGCTTCCCTACGGCAATCGAGACGAGCAGACAATGTGTGCCTCCCACGAACACAGACCCTGCCCCCGAGACTGGCGGAGGAATTGAAAAACAAGCCTTTGCCCCTCGAGCCGGTTCGGGAACCCAGTCCGCTGGCCATCCGCCGCTCCAGCCCATCATCGACTGAAATCTCTCCGCAAGACCCTTCACAGTACTCGTTAGTACCACAGCGACAGAACTCGCACCACCCGGTAGCCATGCGACGACAAAAATCCAGAGAGCTCTGCCGCGAGTGTGGAAGCCATTGCGAGAGCCGGTTCCGGCGTAGACATGACTATGAGCAACAAATGCGTCGCGGCCCGACGTTGTCGCAGGCCGCAGAAGAGTTGGAACGCGCCCTGGCCGAGTTGGCGAAAGGTTCAAAGAAAAAACAACGTACCGTGCTCATTCTGGATGGACCTCTTCAGGTCAGTCGACATGGTGGTGACCTGGTAGCAACGCGCCCAGCTCCTCGACCCCCGCCAATAACGCCTCATTCCCAGTCGCATCGCGATGGATCGTTGGAGACAAGGCGATCGGCCAAGGACAAAACTGGTCCGTCTGGTAAATCGCATCGAGCAGAAAACACGAGTAAGGAGTACCGACCAAACAATCTTCAGCCTAATAGTGAGGTCTCCACTGAAAAAGAGGTCGCCAAGGCGATCAGGCTGAAGGATTCTTCAACAAAGAAGAGCATAAAGACCCCCAAAGCGGAAAAACAGGTTAGAGTCCACTCAACGCAGAGCTTCAAAAAGACGGAAAAGTCGAAGCTGAAGAAGTCGTTCACATTATCGATGCTGTCGTTTACTCTCAGGAACCTCAACGGGCGGCAGGATCAGGGACGAGGTCGGCGGCTCGGCTCGCGGTCGGGGCCCTCCAGGGACCCACCGGACAATGGTGAGTACCTCTCGCATCGCTTGGCCCCCGACTCGAATTTGGCCCCAGCCAAGAGAGACCTCCTCTTACAACTTCCACGCCTCCAGACCCAGGACTTGGAAACAAATAAATTCGAGAGCCTGACTCAGGCTCAGGAAGTTCAAATGGGCAGGCTCACCTACCCCGCGGGGTTAGGCTCGGTCAACTCCGCATTCGATGCTGCACGGCACCCTCTGCTACGCGTTTTCCCCCCAGAAGACGAGAAGATTCTCGTCGCATACGCCAGGATGCGAAATAACTATGCTTTTGTCTCGACAGCCCGGGCCAGCAGCGTGTACATGGCGCCGGAGCAGATATACGAGCTCGACGCCACTCCGCCATCCCCGACGAGGCCCGGGTTCGTGAGGAAAAATAAGCGTGTCCCCACCAACGTTGACTTTCCGGTTGGCATGACCGAAAGTCTCATCGTGGCAATAATGGAGAGGATTGAGTCTCTCGACGACCTTTTCAATTTTGTGCTGGTCAACAAGCGCATCTACATGATTTTCAAAGCTCGCGAGCTTTATATGATCAAAAGCGCTCTATTTAAAATGTCGCCACCGGCTTGGGAACTGCGTGAAATGAGTCCACCATGGGAGACCGAGTGGATCCCCCTTCAAGACCCGGATTCTCGGGTTCCAGAATACACACCTACCACGTACTTGGATCGATACGCCTCAGATATTTATACTTTGGCCCGACTGAAGTCCATGATTCTCGTTCGCTGCTCCCCATTCTTGCGCCGTGACACAATAGATGGGCTGTCAGGCGTGGACCCCATTCGTCTCGAAGAAGTCGACGATGCATTTTGGCGTATCTGGACTTTCTGTCGCATCTTCGGCAGTGGAAAGGGTCGCGAGAATGACTTGGAGGGGCAGGTAGATTGGCTGAGGGGTGGCGCAAAGGCCAGGAATTATATGGGCGCGACTTCAACTATGACGGAACCTTTCGGAATGAATGATGTTCTCTTCGAACCGCCCGAGGGTTTCGCCCGTGGAAACTGCGGTGGACTGTCGCAGAAACAGATGTATGATATGACTGAGATTTGGACTTGTTTGACTGTGCTGTTGCAGCCTATGCATGGTAATTGTGCCGCCGCACGGGATGTTGGTATTTTTGATTGCATGGATATTGCGCAAGGGGATAGGATTTGTGAGGAGAGTACACTTGGTAAGTGATAACTGACCATCATTTTGGAAATCGGTCGCTAATTCATATCGACAGAGGAATGGACAGCCTACGTCCTTACATTGGGTCTCTCAGCAGTCGTAACCCTCAGCTCTCTTTGTCCTGCCGAGGCCACAGACGAGACCTTTGAAAAGGCGAAGTCCCTCGGCCTCACAAAGTGGGAGTTGACAGAAACCGAAGCCAGTCGGTCATCATTCCTGAAAGAGGCTGTTTCCCGTGCCTACGAAGCAAAGGAGCGCGCTCTCAGCACACAATCCAATAGCCCCCGCGATCTGACTTCGCGCGAACTAAACTTGGCAAATGCCGAGGCTGAGCGTGCACGCGAAGAGCGCAATCACGCATTCAAAGTCGAGCTTCGTACTCTCCGTCTACGCAACGCCCGGTCAAATGTTGAGCTAGGCACTTCATTCTCCAATGAACGTCCTATGTCGGAATTCAGCACCATCATTCGGAATCTCGATGGCAGTATCCGTCGTACATCCGTCTCAGTGCCTGAAGACGCACCCACAGTACCTCCAGTCCCACCTCTCATCTTCGAACGGTTGTCGACATCGACGACAAGCAGCCCTCCTCGCACACCGAAGTACACTCCTCCGCCAAGTAACAAATCCGACCCCTCAATCCCTATATTCCCTCGCAGTCCTCCCCATCCCACCCAGCTCCTAGCACCACCACTACTCCGACCGCAAGTCCAAGACCCAGTTGATCTCGCCATGAACAAAATGGTACACGAGCTCGGCTTCAACGAAAACGACGTCAAATGGGCTCTCAAAATCACAGACACGGGCGAAGGCATTGATATGGTCGCAGCCGAGCAACTCCTCAAGAAACAAAAAAAGAAACAGCTACACAACCCCTTTGCATCTCGTGGAAAGGATAGTCTCCTCCATTCCGTGATCAAGCGTCAAAAATCCCAAGACTTAAGCTGGCGCTGGGCCTAGAAAAGACAACCCTTGATATTTCTGCATCGACAGCGAGCCTTGATCAAACTGCATTCCTAGATTCCGCTTACTCCATTTCACCGTTGCTATATCCTTGTTACGGCGTCTGCTTGCCGACACTACAGACTCCATTCACTATCCTGTGCTATATACCCAGTCCCACATGTACAGACATTGTCGAAAGCCAACACCATGCGTCTGGTTTATATTCTGTTGAAATTTGATTTAGATTTCTGCTGTCTCATTGCATTTATTTTGGCTTTCCCTTCGACATTTTCCAGAGTGTCAGCAGCAGTGAAGTCTGCGTTGTCTACAATCATAGCGATCGTTTGCCGGAAAGGCCTGGTATTTTTATTGTTATGAATATTACTCATTCTTGAAACCTATCAAATACAAGAGACTCCAATGTCACTTTTCTCCAGTGAAAAGAACACCCTTGTAAGTGTGTAGTTCTCAAGCAAGGAAACAGGCATGGTCTCCAATCACTTGAGGACAAACGTCTTAAAACCGAGGATAAAAAAATCATTGATCGAATTCATGTCTATTAAGATGAATCAGTGTCTAGATAGGACTACTTGATATATCTTGCTGTTAGAGATAGCTGGAAACGCAATATGCTCTATGGTGAACTGAAGACAGAAGGGCGGAAGGGATAGGGATAAGTTCACTCTATGTTTTTACTTTGATGAAGGTGCCTAATAAATCTACTGTGGCTATATATAGGCCATCATTTTGACTTAAGATACTGTATAGTGATGGTAAGTGAGATCCTGTTAGGTTAATATGATGAATAATTTATCCTTTGTGTATGTTATGCTAGATATAGTCCGCTAGATGGGGTATATACATTAGCTATTCAAACTTACTTATTCACTACGTGTAGAAGGTTCAACTATAATGAATGAAGAGTAAATCCAGCATAGGGTAACCAGTGGGTCACTTACCTCTTGGGTCATCATTCTTTTCTTATCCAACTCGTGCCATATGAACGAATACACCAAAAAGAGACTACAAAAAAGTCATCATTCGAAGCACACACTGAACTAAATTGACTGCAGCCAAGGATCCGCTAGTAGTTCTTTCGTAGATGCTCGATTTTCCGGTTGCCACTGAAGCATCTTTCGCATAAAGCAGAGGAATAAGCTTTGTTGAGTATCTCGCAAATTGCTCTCCAGCTTCTCCAGGGATATAGAAGGAATTTTGGCAGTATCTATCCAATTTCCTGAGTTTCATTCATCAGTGGCGCCTACATCGTGAAAGGGATAAAATCTTACCGTTGCTATCGAAGAACTTCATCGCATACTCGCTATAACTTCATCGCATACTCGCTATATTGAAGCATTTCTTTTGGTGGCATGCCCATGATTGCTATCATCCCAGCGAGGTGGTGGCTATCTGAGATGTTCCTGTTTGAATCGCGGGCGTAGAAGAGACGCTTCTGCTCAAAAAGATCCCAGGCCTATAGAAATAATTATTTTTTGGCAGAAACAGGCTTAGAATGTGAGATATACATACAAGGGTCCCTACATTCCAAATATCAATCTTCTCATTCCATGGCATCCGCAATACAACCTCTGGAACCCGGTAGACTAAAGGTTGGACATCCTCCCACTGTTTCCCTAAACTCGAGGTAAATCGAGCCTCCCCGAAGTCCGACAAGATAGGACGACCATGCACCTTTGGGATCCCTAGGTCCCGAGAGGAATAGATCACCCGATCGCCAACAATTTTGCGATGGCTGGGGCTGGAGCTCTCTGCGTCCTCAAAATCGACGAGGATTGACTCGTCCTCCACACTGAGCATGACATTATTTTCTTGTATATCTAATATTAGGTCAGTAAGGGGTTCCAGAAATGTGCGGGATTTCATATAATTAGGAATATTATACCAGTATGAACGATCTTAGCTTCCGTGTGAAGAAAGTCGAGAGCAAGAAGTATGTGAATCAAAGTTGGTTTGAGTAAATCTTCCGGAAGCACCCTTTCCATGATCCGGTTGCGTAGCTCGCATAGACTCATAGCTAACGGAGGATGAACGAGGCACTGATAGGAGTAGTTATTATCAGCAGAACTTATTTGAAAGTCATCGATTGCGCGTCGCACGAGAATAGAGCCTGTATGGCTTGACTTGAGCTCTCTGAGATGTTTGTACACTTCTTTTTCTCTTCTTCCATGGCTAGAGTCATGCTCGTACATTTTCAATGTGACATACGTATGTTGCATATTACTTTTCAGCCATCAGTCCCAATGTCGATGGTACTAGGACTTACTGTAGGTCTCTGCAGAGCCACACTGTGGAATGACCCCCATAGCCAAGTTTTCCTACCACCTGGTATCTTGAGCGAAATACATCACCGATCTTCACTGAGTAAAAATGCTCTGGCGAGTAGCCTCGTAGAGTTTCCTCCTCGAGCTTGTTGTTTGGGTCGAGAAGAATACCCGCCTGAGAAAATTTCCTAGCTGGAGAAGGCGGTCGCCCCAAGACGGACTGTTTCAGTCGATGCGTAAGACGTTGCATCATCATTGGACCGAATTTTCCCAGGATTTGGGGTAGTAAACCAAAGGGAGGATAGTAGGTCACTTGGGCGACATGCGGTTGGATTTGGAGAGCGAAAGCAGTCACTTGGTTCAAGGGAAATGTGGGACCTACACGGACCTATTGTCGACAGCAAAGATGGAGTATAGTTTGTTTACCTTACCCGGCGCGCTGGGAAGATACTAGTTTGATTAGTCATTCACCCGACCCGGGACTTCTACAATGTCGTATATTTGCAATACGCGCAAGGGAGATGGGTAAGCTTATGCGGCCGACAGCAGGAGAGGCCGATTGGCCAGGAAGACAATGCGATCTCCCGGTATGTTCGAATTCCGAATAATTGGGATTTATTGCCGGGGAGTCCAGCACGGGTCTGGATATTGAGGCCTTGCAGTGGCTTGGCAGACGTATTCGAGTTGGATGAATCAAAAAGTTAGAAGTCCTCACCAGAGGAATACAGACTAGGGGGGTTTGTGAGAGGGAACATTAAACGTGAAAATCGAATTTTCTTAGATACAATTTCAAGTATGCTACATGTATCGAAAGGAACAAGATGCCTGGAATAGAATATTTTGCTAGTTTGAAAAGCCTACCTAAACATAAACACGCCCTTACAGGCCCGGCCGCGATTTCAGCGGGTGGCGGTCGTAAAGGGCAACTCCAGTAAGCCAAAACTGTCGGCCCGGGTAAGCTGACCTTTCCGATGTCCCTCGGACCCAAGTGGTCTTCTCAGCCGTCAAGTTCGCGCCACGTAGCAAAGCCCGGGCCGTTTCATGCGATAATAAATAGTAAGCGTGCACGCCTTTTCCAGGTCAATACTCTCAATCATTCCAACAGTTCTGATCATTGCCCAATATGACCACGAACACAATGAATGGAGCGAGCAATGCCTCTGAAAACTCATCTTCATCCGGTGTCAGAGGCCGCAGAAGGGTTCTGATTATTGGCGCCGGCAAGTGCTCAGTCGGTATTACGCACAACAATCCATCGTTAATATTGATAACGCAGGTTCGACGGGTCTCGCATTAGCTCAGGGTTTGAAGAAGGTAACAAATAATGAAACCGAATGAAAGATTGTTCAACTCACCGTAACCGTTCAGGCTGGAATACCGTTCCTGATTTTCGAGAAAGAAGAAGAAATCCCCGCCCGCGAGCGTAGCTGGAGCATGGGTTTGCACTGGGGCTTTGAACCCCTCCAGCATCTCATGCCCACCGAGATCCTGACTCAAATCAAACAAGCCCAAGTTGATCCCCATGTCCCAACCAAGGATAGTGACCGTCTTCCTCTTATCAACGGCGAGACCGGTGCTCTTATTACCGAAATCAAGTCCTCGAAGCTATACCGTGTACGCCGCGACAAATTCAGGGCACTGCTGTTGCAGGGCCTTGACGTGCAGTGGGGGAAGATTTTGTCTGATATTGTTTATTCTCCTGCTGGCGAACGAGTTACGGCGAAATTCACCGATGGCAGCGAGGTTATATGCAGTATGCTGATCGCCACCGACGGCGCGCATTCAATGACCCGCTCCCTGCTCGTTGGAGAAAAAGCAGCCCGAGTGACCCCAATTGATTTCGCCTCGACCATGTGCTTTACCCAGCACACGCGTGAGCACGCTCTTTTCCTCCGCGCTCAACCGCATCATCCGTTGTATCAAGTGGCAACTCATCCAAATGGCTACTGCGCCTGGCTAAGCCTGCTTGACGGGGATGACATCGATCATCCAGAGAACTGGGTATTTTTCCATTACATCTCATTCCCGGAGCTGCGCGACCATGTCAACATGCGCACCACGCGTGAGCACGCTGCACACCAGAAAGAGCTGGCCCGTCAATTTGTGGACCCCTGGCGCAGTGTTTTCGAATGGATGCCCGAAGATAGCAAGGTGTTGTATTCAAAGCTTCGCAACTGGGATCCAAGCCTACCGGAGCACAAGTGGGACAATCGTCAAGGCCGAGTCACATTGGCAGGCGATGCGGCCCATCCGATGACTTTCCAACGCGGACAGGGACTGAATCACGCTATGAAGGACGCTTACACCGCATGCAAGACAATCGAGTCTTTCTGGAACCATGGTGATTTTACTATTGAACAGCGTGCTGCCGCAATCCAGGCGTACGAGGAAGAGATGATCGCTCGGGCCGGTGAAGAAGTTCGCTTGAGCGAGGAAAATAGTGTGATGGTGCATAATTGGGCCAATCTTATGCAGAGTCCCGTGATCATCAAGGGTATGAAAGTTGAAAGTCAGGATGCATGATAAATATACTATTTATTTATTCAAAGATCTCACGATCGGAAAATCTCTGTCGCGAAGAATTTCGATGAAATAGCAAGTGTTATCTTGTTACCATGACAGCTTATTCACTGATTTTCGTACAGAAAGCAGACCTTAGTATTTTTTAGAGTGATATCTTATCAGGTTCAAGGGTTATCTTGGGGATCTAGCTACAATCTTGAGAAGATAATAGAATTAGAGAGAAACAGTAGTTCCGGAGCTATCTAGGCTTATAACTATTTGAAAGGTATAGTAGGTGAGATAGAGAAAAATAAATGCCCTAGGGTCCTATGTAGTAGGCTGCCTAATAGCGTATATTTAATCCTACTACCCTCCGGAGATTAATTGAGAATGAAGTAGATGGAATATAGGGGCTAGGAAGGCGGATGCAGGATACTAAAAAAGGGAGGTGTATATAGAAGACGGTAAGACTTACGGGATTTACGGGATTTGAGGGCGTTGGGTTTACCTATTTACATCCCGTACTTACTGTACTGGCCAATCTGAGGCTAGCTTTTCTTTATATAGGGTCTCGTCCTGCGGACATGGCGTTCAGGATTTCAGTTCTGCTTCAGTTTGGAGGAAGCGCATGTATAGCCTTGACACATCTACTTAGGCTCCATCAGGTTAAACTTTTGCTTTTGCCTTGACAGCTTCGAGGATATAAATTGGCGCCATAGGCAGATTACGACGGAGTAATTCCTCTACAAGAAAGTTCTTATTTAAACTAATGGCATCAGTCATCAGCCCAGAGAGATGGCGGACTTCGCAATCGTCGGAGAGACTGTTATCAAGGAGTTCTCGCAACTGTTGCTCGCCGTCAAGTTCTGGCAAGCGGTGGACAAAAGAGCGCATCTGTTTTGGTCGGAGGAGGGGTTTCGCTCCGGTTAGGAAGGCCTTTTTCACGGATATGATAGGCAGACATAGTCGAATACTTAGGCAAAACAAGTGAGAAGCAAGATCGATGATTCTTCGACAAGCGGAGAACGAGCCTCTTTGTTGGGATCCGCACACCGTCCTCCCCTCACCGCCTCCGCGCCCCGGATTTTGGTGCTCTATGACCGCCTCGCTAAAAATAGAATGCTGTGCTATTGAGCACCGTCCTAGATCTCACGGTAGAACATTGTCAGCAGTATATTTTGTATCCTCGTTGGACTTTGGAAGTTCAAAAGGTGTTGCCTAGAGGCCGCTTATATATATCCTTTCCGATGATCTGGCCCACCCGTCTGAGCCGCACTGCTTTAGGCTAGACCCAGTCCCTGCCTTGCGGCTCACCCACGGGTTATCTGTCCTTTATCATTTCAATACTTACTTTAGAAAGTCTTGTTACATGAGAACTTGCCATTCCCTTCTGAATTTCCCGTTCTTCCGAACGTGTATCGTATCGCCTTGGTTCTTGCCGCACCGTTTGTGGTTCCAAGCCGCCCACTTCACTTTTTGAGAACGATGTCTATCTCTGACCAGCCGGTCTCTGGGTAAGGCTACCATACATCAACTCGCAAAAATCTATACAATCTGACTCTTGAGATATCCAGACCCGATAATTTTACGCTTTTGAGTCCACCAGAGCCGAGATGCGCGGAAATCTTCCAAATAACTACGCCGGACAACTGGGCGATCGACAGTAACAATTTCTGTCTACCATTCAAAATGTTCACATCGGAACCCGACTTGTGCTTCCAGATTAAGCAGTGCAGCTCCTGGAACCAAAGCTCCGTCCTTACACGCTTCAACATCTGGCGTCCAGCGTATTTTGGTACCTCTCTTTCACAGCTAGGGCCAGAGCCTGTGAAGTTTAATCGCAAAAACGACCTCATCATCACGGAACATGAAGATGACACTGAAGTCATGAAGATGCGCGACACCGGTACTATCTCCTTCAGCACGGATGGCCTATTTGCCGGCATCGATGTCGACCCACCTGGCTTCTTAGCGTGCAGAGTGTGCAACTCCTTCCGAGGGGTCCTTTACTTACCCAACGGCGAGCGCTGGATGTGGAATGAATTTGACGGAGAGCACTATCAGTTTAAGCGCTACGACGATGCTCGAAATAAGGATGTGCCCCAGAAGACTCTCATGTGGCAGATCGGCCGCAACCGGGTACCTGGACAGGCTTCAGGCCTGCCGGCAGACTTGCCGTTCATTGTAGATCGCGATACGCGCATCTGTCGGATTAACGAATTTACGGAGTATGAACCGGTTCCGAGTAAAGTCCCCATTGCTGTTATGAATCGGGAATGGCTTGTCCTTTTTGATGGGACGGAGCCGAAGATGGCTGAGGTTCAAACTGAGGATAATCAGGCTTTGATTTTGATGTCAGGGCTTGCGATTGCACAGTACGAAGGGTGGCTAGTGAAATGATAGGGATCTCACTGAATCTAATATTTGACGAAAAGCTATCATTTTGTGAAACACATTTTCAAATAACGCACGTAAATTTGAAGTCCTCTTTTCTTGTTTGCCTGGTCTACATTAGCTCCTTTTTTCGTCGGTGGCCGATTAAATGTGTGCTCCATCAGTTCACAAGAAATCTTCCAATCTTTCGGGAGCCAAGGCAATGGCATCATTGCAAAGGACAAGAAGTCCTCTTTGCCTTCTCTCCTCGCAAAGAGATCGTGTCGGCTAGAGTTCGATCGGGAATAAAGTCCTCATGCAAGAATTTTCCTGTTAACATGTATTATTACAATAGCAAGACCGTAGTCCTATATGATCCGGATATAAGAGTTCGGAATCCCATTACGGTAACAAGTGTCGAGTTGAATGAGGCTGAAAGGCGATCCCAATGAGCAGTAGCCCCTCACTTTAGAGTCGATATAAAGACACGCCTTGTGCTTGCCCGAAACAGTGAACTAGCCCCCCTCAGTTCTCTTCTTTTGAAAGTCTATTTAAAAAGGCGAACAAGTTCCGTGGCCTCATAGTTATGGACTATGAAGCTCAAAAGTTCCCCCAGCACTTGCGGACCCCCGACACGGCACAGACCTTTGCTGCTGGCCCTGTGAGCATCCCCCAGACTGGTAACACCGGCGATGAGCATGGCACGACAATCTCCGAAAAAGGAATGCAACAATAATTTGGGATGTGCCATGTGACCAAGAACACAAGTTATAATGTTGAAGATTGTAACATAAATGCCCTCACCATAAGGAACCAACATCTGGTCGACTCTCTACGCAGGGCTTGCCGAAGGTTTAGAATGCGTGGGTGTGAGGAATTTCCATAAAATAAATGAGCATTAGTTTCAGTATCTCCACGACAGCCTTCGTGTCACATCATGCGTCTAATATGACTACCAGTAAAGATCCAGTGACCCAGATCAAGACATTACCAATCTAGTCCACCAGAGGCAGAACCATTCGATCCCGGACCCGAGCAATCAATCTCCTTGCACACTATCTCCTAGTTAGTATCCATTGTAACAAAATTCTGAAGGAGTACTCACGCTGCTCAGCCTGCTGGAAAAGCGAGCTCCCCTTCGGCTGGTGCATAGCAGGAAGAATCAGACCACCGCGCATCTTCTCCAACTTCGAGTGTTCCTGAATTGCCTGCAGGATCCGATGAGCAGTCGGAGAATTTTCGACTGGTTGATTGTGCATTGACTGATATCCAATCTCAATAGTTTTCACCAGGTCTTTGATTACGCCTTCCACGACATTAGCAACGCTATTTCCAATGTTGTTGGCCTTGGATAAAGAGTCGAAGAGGTCATAGCGGACTTGCGTGGTTGTTTCAGATGAAGGGAGCAAGGTCAATGAGAGCCAAAGGTCGGAGCTCTCGAATGAGTAGAAAAAAGAACTTGGGAATATGGAGCATTCTGCTTGGGTGTTTTTCTGAGTTATCGTTCTTATGAGCTTGGTTGTTAGAGAGGGTGGCATGGCCTCCGAAACGCGCTGCTCTAGTTGTTCCAGGATAGCAGTAAATTGACTTCCGCTTGCTATTTATACATCAGTAGAGGCACTTGGGATGCCCAGTAATTATCATACCTCCGTATTTCCAGTTAAACTCGCCGGTCAGTGTCTGTCCAGCTACCAATTGCGACTTGGATCCAGCTCCAGCAGTACGAGCAAAGTCCTCCAAAGCCAGATGAGTAGAGTTGTCAAACGCAACCGGCTCTGCAGCATTAAGGTTGACAAACACAAATCCATGGTCAGTAGAATGCGTGTGTATCTCAAAGAGACTATTTTCAGATCTATTGAATCCAGGAATGTCATCAAATTGAGGGGCTTTCACCAATCGGCCTGTAGTATCATAACTCCAGCCATGATAGCGGCAGCCGAGAACAGTAGAGCTCCCAGTCTCTTTTCTGGCAATGGTGTACGCGCGGTGACGGCACACATTGTGGAACTAATAGACAACGTGAGCTAGGTTTAAACAGTTGGGAGACAGGTTAGTTTTACCGCGCGGATCTTGCTGTCCTTTCCGCGGATCAAGAAGATCGGGAACCCAGCGAGATCAAAGGACTGGTAGGCGCCTGCTTTGGAGAATTGAGTGACGTGGGCGAGGTATACCCAGGTCTGTGATTCGATTAGTGATCGAGGTATGAGACGGGTCGATGCTTCATTACTTGGCTGAATAGAGCGCGCCGCTCAATTTCGAAGACATCTCGACTAGACCACCATCCTTTAGGAACCTCCGGCTCTTTAGAAACGGAAAGGTCTGAAGTCTGGTAGCTATTTGCGGTAGAAGCATAGCTGAGCTTATCAGTTTGTTTTTGTCGAGATAGACGCCAAGCCTGGTTGGCCAGAAATGCGAGTGTCACCACAGCCACGAACACCGAGGCCGGCGACGAAAACAAATAAGCATCGATAAAATCCATGAAGAGACAACTATTATGGATTGATAATTATGATTTTCCTCTTTATCGCAGGGTTCTTGGTCAGATATACTACGCACGGAGGCCCGAGTTGCGCAAACCCCACATAATACACTTCCGATGTCGAGTGCATCCGCCCCCTCCTTGCTCGCTGACTTCCCGATTGAGTTAGAATTTCCAGGTCTCGGGCTGTTCTACGCCGCCGACCTTCGATACCCCTTGAATATCGGGCCGTGGTGACTAGCCGTTGAGCGTGTTATTCCGCATCCTTGTTTCTAATTCCGTGCTGATCGTACGGAGCTACTCCACAGTGACGATTTGACGGTATAGGTCTCCAATTTCTGGCCTAGATCAGAGAGACGATCCGAGACATTGAATTAACAAAGGTACAATTCGACTACGACTAAACAGTCATTACGCTTCCATTTGCACCATGGATGGCGCAGCTCGCTCTTCCAGTCCAGTGTCCTCATCCCTTTTGGCCATACGATCTGTCTCGTGTTGTTCACAGACCATTTGGAATACTCGTTGCTGGTAGTCTAGAAGGGGTTAAGCGTCTGTTCCTGTTTCGGGGTATTCCAAGTAGGAACTTACAAGAAACGCCGTTCTCCTTCTCCGGGTTAAGGATTCCCTCGTGATAGACTCCCTTGGCCAAATTATCTTGAGCTTTCTCGCATAACTCAAAATCCTCCATGGCGACCTGGGTCGAATGTTAGTTCGGCACATTAAAAAGGCGTTCGGAAATGTATCAAGATATCTGGAAAGTCTAAAAAAATGTTCAAAAAGAAATACCTACCTGGCGAACAAATTTGAAGTACTCTTCGAACTTTTCTCCGGATTCAAGATGGTAATAGTCAAACTCCATGCGAGTGACGTGAGGATTGGAAGTTGGACAGACCCGGAAGGAGGACGTTCCTCCACCTACGACAGTTAATAGACAGGTTCAGGACCAAAGTGGACGCCGATAGCACTTGCCGTATACATTAAGTGTACAGTTGGGGAAGGTATAAAGGAATAGACCATCGTCGGGTTTTTTCGGGTCGGCAATATGCTGTGAGAAGTTGTGCCTATTCTTCACAGTGTAGAAAGTGGGCGGGTAGTAGATGGAGAATGAAGGATGAGTGTACTGGCAGTGAAGACATTCTTGATACCCGTCGACCCTGGATGAGAAAGATTAGAAGATTTGTTCAAGTGGTTTCCCGAAGATCATACATACATTGTCTTCCAGTTGAAGCGGCCTTCGTATTTGATGCTGCGTTTATAAGGCAGTCTGGTAAAGTCCACCTTTGCTAGCAGCTCCTCGATCTCAGGGAAGAACTCGTGGAAGCTAGGAGCATCATCGCTAATGGTAGAGAAGAGCACACCGGTTGGGGTGAGATGGCTGCGTACTTCCTTGCCCTGTAGATAGTTGCATGTGAGTAGACAACTACAACCGATCTGTTGCGACTGCGTACCGTCTTTGCATGAAACACTTTCAGCTCTTCGGCTGTTGGGTTTAAAGCATCTCCAGAAGTCCGGACGGCATAGATGGGTTGCTGCGCAAACTCATAATCATGATGCTCACCCACATTCTGGAACCTGGTGACTGGACCAAGGAGGTACCAAGACTGTATGGTATTTAGTGTTTCTGGCCTGTGTATCACGGATTCTGCATACTTTGTTGAAGACCGCTCTTCTCTCCATTTGATAAAGTGATTCATTGCAATACCAGGATGCAGGCAGAGTACGAGTGAGTTCAGACATAGTTTTCGTGATGATTCCAACCTTGAAATGAAGTGGATCGAGAAAGATGATGGCCACAGAGTGATGAGATGTAAATTTATATTTACAATTTCATGCGTTTATCTCATCAGAAAGGGCTGGTAACCCTGTATATTGGCACGGGCTGAACCTTATCATCATAGGAGAGCGGTTTATCGTTTCCTGAAGTAGTTATCCTTTCCCGCGAGGGGCACGATATGCACAATGCTGTTCTGGACGTCAACCCCCACGATCAGGTGTTGAGACGCGCTTTACAGGGGGTAATTGACTCATTGATGTTGAAATTTGCGGCTGGGCCTAGAACATCATAGCAGCGTGCGCTATTGGGAAAGATGATTATTTGGATGAAAGCAGGGTGCCTAAGTTGTCACCGGCCCCGACCGGGCCGAGGAGGAACCTCGGTATGTTGACTACTTGGATATTGGATATCGATTCGGAGATTCTTTGATCAAGTTTGTTTTCAATATTTATTGCTTCATTATGGCTCACTGTGGTCGCATACGGCCGAGTCAGGACGACGGACCGCTATGGCGCCGAATAGAAACACCTGACCACTGCAGGTGACATCCGACAGAAAAGTCATCTCACAAAAGACGCGCAGTCCATGAAGAGTGAGTTTCAACGTTGATGTTGACGCTCAAGGTATAGCTGGAACTGGAGCTAGAGCTAGAGCTAGAGGTATTCCCTGATTATCGGTGGGGTTTGCTGCTGCCTGGAGCGTGGGACCGGGACGTGGCGAATGCCATAGAACAGAAAGCCGGGGGAGTCTGACGCTGGAAGAGACAACACGTCAGGAAGCACCGAAGCAAAATACAAGTATCCGAAGATCGAGAAAGAGAAAGAGAAAGAGAAAGACGAAGGCGAAGACAAGAGCGGAGCAAGAGGGGATCTGCGCTTATCGGGAGCTTATCGCAGATCTGACGTCTTCACCTCATCTTCAACGTTCGCCCTTCTTCAACTTCACATCACATCATGACGGGCCCCGTCAAGTACACCCCCTCCTCCCTCACCTCCATCTCCCACCGCATCGTTCTACGATATGAGCGATGATGACGAGGGCGAGTACAACACCATCGCCCACGCCAGCTCCGGCAAAGGCGTGAAGCTGCTGTACTCCAAAAGCAAAGTACGCCGAGCCACCCGCGAATTCACTGACTGACCAGCTGACATTTTATCCAGGTCTATGTCCACCCGACCCCATCCTCCAAAGACAACATCCCCGGATTCATCGCGCTCATCCAGCAAAAGCCTGCACCATCCAACCCCTCCACAACCACCTCCAACCGCGGTGATGCAGCCTCGTACCTCCTCGCTTGGGTTCCGGAGTCATCTCTAGGAGACGCATATAGTACATACGTTCAGGTTGATCTGGCTGATGGTGATTCTCCGCCCCGTCAGAGATACCTTGTCCCCCCGCTGCCGACAACCACCACCCACAGAGATCCCATTGGGCTATACTCCTTCGCCGTTCCCGTATCGGAGATATACTCCCTCCTAGTACGACCGCCGAGCTTGGGGTGGTGGTTTGGTAGCGTCGTCATCAATACCCGCTCGGGCGACAGCTTCCCGGCGTTGTTCTTCCATGACAGCGAGTGCGAGTCAACAATACTGCAGAAAAGGAAATTAGTCAAGGATACATTCGATCCATTCGATCGTGAAGGCGGTCTATTCTGGGGAGGTGACGAAGTTCTGCGGTGGTTACGGAGATACGTGGACGTGCAGCGCTCATCCGTCGACCGAAACGTGTATCTGATCAACCCGTCCGAAGAAGATCAACTGTCATTTGGACGGGCGGTCGTGGCTGGCGACGGGTCTGTATCTAAGGTGCAGCCGGAAGCTTCCACCGCCGCTGTACCCAGTGGGGCCTCACAGAGAGATGCCACTATGGATCCATTCATGAAGACCCTCAAAGAGACGCGTTGGAAGGTGCTGGAGTCACTGAGCAAGATTACAACCTTTACGCGGCGGACCGCCAACGAGATTGCGGATAATCCGCGCATTCCACTGCAGGTGCGACGATTGATTCAGAACCCGGAGATTCAGACATTACAGGATGAATTCGATAGTGCCAGGCTCTACCTAGCTAGGTGGGCTATGAGCATCGCCGAGCAGAGTGAGAGGGAGCGACAGCAACGTATCTGGACAGCCCAGGATGTGTTGGAGTCAGAAAACAGTTCTGTTGGTGATTTCGAAATCCTAGAGCTCGAGACTGGGAACCTGGCGCTTCAGGAACGCCGCAAGATTCTCACTCTTCCAGAGTGGGAGGGCTTCTTTGACCCCACATCAGGGAGGCTGCATGTCACTGTCGAAGAAGTCAAGGAGCGTATCTTCCATGGAGGATTGGACCCGAACGACGGCGCCCGGAAAGAGGCTTGGCTTTTCCTCCTCGGCGTATACCCGTGGGACAGCAGCCTCGAGGAACGCCAGGCAATCATGAACTCCAAGCGCGATGAGTACATTCGGCTCAAAGCCGGCTGGTGGGAGCGCATGGTCGAGGGTGATTCGACAACGGAAGAATTCGACCACTGGAAAGAGCAGCGCAATCGCATAGGTCAGGAATACTCCTTCTACTTGGACGCTCTTCTCGCCGCTAACACCCTTCCAGAGAAGGACGTCCACCGAACCGATCGTACCATTCCCCTGTTCGCCGGAGAGGACATTCCCCACCCCGACCCCGACTCACCCTTTGCCGATGTAGGCACCAACGTGCATCTAGAGCAGATGAAAGACATGCTTCTTACTTACAACGAATACAACCCGGAGCTCGGTTACGTGCAAGGAATGAGCGATCTCCTCGCTCCACTTTATGCCGTCATGCAAGATGATGCTGTCGCCTTTTGGGCGTTTGTGGGATTCATGGACCGGATGGTGAGTGAAGAGTGTATTCCGCTGTATTTCAGTTTTTAACAAGGTACAGGAGCGAAATTTTCTCAGGGACCAGTCTGGGATGCGCTCCCAACTGCTGGCGCTTGACCAACTAGTCCAGCTCATGGACCCACAGCTGTACCTCCATCTGCAGTCTGCGGACAGCACGAACTTCTTTTTCTTCTTCCGGATGCTGTTAGTCTGGTACAAGCGAGAGTTTGAATGGGGCGATACTCTCCGGTTATGGGAAACCCTCTGGACAGACTACTTCTCCAGCAGCTTCCATCTCTTCATTGCCCTCGCCATACTAGAGAAGCACCGGGACGTGATCATGGACCACCTCAAGCATTTTGATGAAGTGCTGAAGTACAGTAAGTCGAGTCCACACTCATCACATGTTTTAAGTGATCCCCTTCGTGCTAAAGAAATCCCAGTCAACGAGCTATCGAACACAATGGAACTCGTCCCTCTCCTCACTCGCGCCGAGTCACTCTTCCGTCGCTTCGAGCGCTCCGTCCAAGCCATCGACAAGAAAGACAATTTCCCCGCTGCGCCGACTGCCCATCAACGCCGACCTGGAACAAGCAGCCCAGACTCTTCTGCTACGGGCAAAGGAAAATCACCACAGCGGCCCACTGCGGGGTCTAGTAGCGGTGTCAACGCCCCTTCATCACTCCAGCAAGTAATGGACAAGGACAAGCCGAAGGTTATATCCCCCGAGCTACGCCAGTTGCTCAGCAAGGACATCCCCTGGAAAGGGCAGCAAGCATCTTAGCTCAATGCCTTTTTGGCACGCTGGAAAATTCGTCGCTCCGCTAGTTTCTTTGGCTTTTAATGACACGGCACTGGTGCTATCTCATTGATTTACGACATTACGATTCACTATTGTATATCATCCACTCATTTATCCTGCTTTTTCTGAGTACATCCGGGAATTGGTTTGGTTTGGTTTGGCTTGGGTGCTTTCAGGGCTTTCGGACATGTTTTTACATCGCGAAATCATCTTCTTGCAGCAATTAATGAAACGCATTACAAATACCTCCGCTCCAAAATGGGAAGTAACCGTGAAATAAAGTAATCAATTTATTCGATCCTCCGGCGTATTTGCTTCCTAAAAAGGGTTAGTACTCCTGGGCGGAACTAGTTACTTTCTGGGATCGGACAGGACCTCGCCATATATGCCATCTTAACAGTCACTAATTCTCCATTTTTAATCTCATCCAGAACCCGTTCAACACCTCGTTCGAGATTTCTTTCAAAATCTCACTCAAGACCTCACTCCGAACCTCATTCAAAGCCTTATTGAAAACATCATGCCTAACATGAATTATTATCGTTCGGCGTTTAAAAAGCTAATATCCTCCCGCGCCTTCAAGAAACCACGCATATACACACCCAGCCCACTGAGTCTGAACACACTGCCTGGCTTATCTACCGAATTACTACTCTCAATATCTGACTTCCTCTCATTCGACGACATCTTGTGCCTATCTTTTTGCACCCGTCGACTTTTCGCAGTCTTTGAACGTCAAAGAATGAATCCCCAGCGAAGAGGAAGCCGTAGCATGCCATTTCTACGCCGGCTTCAGAGGGACCTCCCAAATCATTACATTTGCTGCTGTTGTGCCCTTCTTCATGAGCATGACGGGTCGGAGGTTCCTGTGTTGCCGGAACATGTTTCGTCTTGGACCCATCCTATCGCACGTCTTCTCGACATTCATATTTTTGAGAGTGGTCCCTGGTATATGTGTAGTCGAGGAGCGACCTGGGAATCTTTTCCATATTCTCGCCTAGATAAACCTATGCAGGGCGTGTGGAAGCTTGGAACTTGATTGGCGAGGCGGATTTCACGGATCTCGGGATGCATTATTAGCATATTTGCTGGCCTAAAGGCCAGCTTTCCTTTGTATGTGTCTTGATTTTCAGGGGATTTGGCGTAAATGGACGCTGAACGCTGAACTCTGCTTCGATTCGGAAGAGGCGCCTCCATGGCCGATATACGAGTGGCTTCGCTTTAGTATTATAATAGGGTTTAACTGACTCACTGAAGACCCTACACTTTACCAGCGTTTCTACGTCTGTGGGGCTTGAATTATTGTTACAAGTATTCGGCGTGAATAGCGACCACCAAGACAAAAGGATATAGACTCTTTTTGGTATAGGAGAGTGTTAGTGAAACGTGTTTAGAAAGGCGTCAAGAAATATAGCCCAAAGGAAGTTTGATTAGATATTCAGAAGCTTGAAACACTTGACAAGTTGAAGCTACATACTGTAGTACATAGATGCCGATCGCTATATAACAAACTCCCGAGGTTTTGAGGGCTGCGACCCACCGCCCAGCTTCCCCAATACCCCAGCTTGACCAACCTCACACCCCTCACACCAAATCAGATGTAACAATGCTCCGCTTCCTCGCGAAAAAACCACCGCGAACAATAACAGCACCTCTAAACCCAATACCCTTTGATAACGGCCTCTCATCAATCGAATTCAAATCCCCAACAGACCGCTACCTAGTAATAAACCGCTGGCCACCCGCCTCAAACACCAAGAGCCGAAATATCGCGCTCAGGCCACCACTACACTGGCACCGACAACAGTCCGAGACATTTCATGTCCTCCAGGGCTCAGCAGAGTTTATCTGTGACGGAGTGAAGAGTATCAAGTCTGCGGGCGAGTCGATTACTATACCCGCGCGAGCGATTCACACGTTCTGTAATGCGAGTTCGACGGAGGGGATGGTTGTTGAGTTCGGGTTGAATCCGAGAGGGCAAGAGGATGAGGCATTTTTTAGTGAGTATTCTGCTTCTACTCTTTCTTGATTTAGGATACTGATGGGATTATAGGGAATGTACAGTCCTACCGCGATGACTGTCGGAAGGCGGGCGTAAGCCGCAGTCTTCCCCAGGTGCTGTTGTTCAACTACGTCGGAGGCGTGGTGCTCGCTCTACCGGGACCGCTTATTATTGCGAGACCGTTAGGCGTACTTTTGAATTTCTTTGGGGGTTTGGTTCTAGGGAAATATCTCCTCGGATATAAGGAATGCTATTCCGAGTATTATAAACCGGAAGCTACTTGAGAGAAAGCGATATTATCCAAGATGAAATTAGACTCGAGGAGGTCATCGAGCGAGTCAGAGGATATGTACAAATTCGTATATCAGAGGATATCGGGATATCAAGGGAGCCAAAATAAACCAAAATAAAAACAGTAGAAATAAAACACAGATCCCGTCTCACAATTTCGCCGCGCTGATGCAAATGGTGGAATGATAAATGGCAAGAAGATTGGGAAAATGAAGACAAATATGAACAAATGCAGAAAGATGAGAGTTGCGGATTGAACATGTGTTCATCTAGCATCCTTTAGAACCATTCAAAGAACCCGAAGTAAATTCGAGTAGAAAGCCGAGTTCCGTCACTATCGACGACTGTTGAGTCCTTTCAGCACGATGCGTCGGCTTGTACCAACTGAGCCAATGTCGCCGAAGCTCCGGATTTTAGGTAGGGTGTGTCCGTGATCACTCGCATCTTGGCCTTCAGGTGCATCAAGTTCCGATGCCGCATTCAAAGGGAAGGGCGGAGGGTTGACAGAGCTGGACCGGCGAGTTTGCTGAAGGACGTCTTCCACCCAGGCTTCGCCCTCTGGACTCATTGAGATCTGCCGCGAGCGAGGCTTGGGACCTGCTAGGCCCAGGGGTGTGGACTGGGAGTCGGAGTGACCAGTGGTGGTGTTTGCGGGGGAGTGCGCATCTCCGACCGAGTAGTTTGATGACATGGAGAGACGCCGGCGGCCTGTAGATACTGTTGGCGGGGAGGTAAAGGAACTCAGTGTCCCGGTTGTAACTGAGCGTGGAGCAATTCCTGATGCTTCGGAGGCGTTGGAACCCCGTCGCGCTTTGTGGACAGTGAGTGATGAAGGCGGGCGAGCACTTAGAACGGAGGGAGGCCGAGAGGGGGTAGCTCGGCCAGATGTGATATAGGGCGGTGCTCCAGGTGTGAGCATGTTGCTAGGCGAGTAGCCTGGTGATGTCCGAGGTGCCAGGCCCTGTACCTCCACCCTAGGGGTCTCTGAGACCTTGCGGCGGCCGTGGTGGATGAGATACTCGCGGAGGTACTCGCCAAGATCAGCCCAACCACCACCGACACGGACCATCACTCGTTGACCTTCTTCGCCCACGGTACGAACAAAGAGCCTTGTGGGTGCTGCCTGTCCTCCATGGTGAAGATGATACAGCTTAACACAGCTATCCTCAGGCTTGTGGGCGTACGAAGACCGCCTCCGGGCAGCAGGCATAAGGGTCATAGAAGGAGCCGGTGTGATGCTGCGAGATGGTGGCCCGTGAGGAGACTCGGACAAGTATCGGTCTCGCATCTTTCGATCCATGGAAGATGATGAAGAGGATGTATCCGCCTCGTTGTTGGGGTCAACAAGGTGGATCCGACCAGGTAGCATATTCAGGATGGAGTTGATTTTCTCGTCGAGATGATCCCTCGATTTTCGAAGTAGCTTATTTGGCGATGAGGCACGAGAGCCGACATCTGTCATCTCTGATTCATCCTCTTCCACATATGTCAGTTCACGCTTTTTCACCCCCAGGCTCTCCAGACTTGGGTGAGCTGTCAGACGTTTGCGTAAGCGCATGGACTTTGGCTGCTCCTGGTGTTGCACCGCTCGTTGGGCAGTGTTTTGGCCGAAGGGCTTGAGATTTTGGTCCACATTCCTTGTATTCTGAGCGCTGGCTTTCAAATCAGATACAGATTTGCCCCGACCCAAGGCCGGCCGGCGACTGGAGGCACGAAGAGGGACTTGTGGAGTGGGCGTTGAGGGGCCGTCGCGAGAAAGCTTAGCAGAGACTGAGCCCTTAGCAGCCGACTCAAGATCGATCATGTCTGGAGCGACCCTATTGTCCAGCTCAAAGGCGAGTTTCTCTTTGATGAAGCGTTCCAAAGGCAGGCTCACCGAGCGATTCGGATCGAATGCCGAGCGGGAAGAAACGCTTCGATTCTCCAGATGAAGGAGACGGTCCTTTCGCAACATGTGGTCGCCAAGTGATTTGACAGGCTGCGAGGGAGCAAATTCAGGGCGAGAAGGAGTCAGTTGATCGTTCGACGACCCAGTCTGAGGTTCAGGTGCATCGGAACTAGATATGAGGGAGGAGTTATCGGAAAGAAGAGAACCCACAGACTCGGTAGATGGTCGACGAGCGTGTGGTGTGTGCGCGGTTTTGTCGAGGTTGAGCTTTCCTGGGCGAGATTTGGCAAGTTTGATCGGGCTTTGAAGCGGTTTGCGGGAAGAGTTTGGTCGTTGTGGTACATTTTCACTCGTTGACTGGGACTTGGGTTTGGCTGGCTCCGTAACGGAGTTGGTAGGCTGTGCGCGTCCTGGCCCGACAGGTAGATGCTGGGCAGAAAGTCCAGTGCCATGACCGGAGCCCTTTTTAGGCCCATCTGAAACTTCGAGCCCAGAAATACTAGATTCCGACGAGTCCACTTCCTTTGCAGCAGCCGATGTCCCTCGAGATTTTGGCTCGCGGCTGGTGAGCTTAACCATTGCGTCAGCTGCGGTCGTTGATGCGTCCTTTGCTAACGGTTGATCTAGTTGATAGAGTGCATCGAGTGCATCCATGTCTTTGTCGTGCTCTTTAGCAAGGCTGTCCACAAACCCATCATAGCCCACGATATGAGGTTTTGGTTGGATGCTAGATTTGACGGGAATGGCGGATTCCTCCTTCGTCTGGACCACATGGGAATCGATGGACTTTTGAATGAAGGGATCTTCATCGATATGATGCTCGTTCAATGCCGAAGGCTTAGGGATCGATTGCTGAGTTGGGGACAGTGAAACACGCTGTTGCACAAACGCAGGGGGAATGTTTTCCTTATCTTCGAGATCCGGTGTTTCCGGCAAGGGCACATGAGCGGGCGATAGTCGTGGGGTTTCAACAGAAAGATCGGAAAAGAAGCTGGCCTGGGTTGGTGTTTCCAGATCCTCGGCAACGTACACAGTTGACTGACTTGCAGGCCTTTGTTCAAGCTGATCCACGCATAGCTTTTCAACTTCGTAGTCCGTAGGACCGGTCGGGGGTATTATCAGTTCAGATACAGGGGGGAATGCTGGTTCCTCCTCCGTTGAAGTTGGTGCAGTATCCCCGGTGCCTGGTTGAGGCTGCTTCAGATCAGATGTTGTAGAGACCCGAACATCTGGTTTGAGTTCTTCTTTGATAGCATCCACATGAGAAGGCCATTGCATATCTGAAGATGCAGACGCATTCTCAGCTGGTGCTGTCTCGAACTGTATCTCTTTCGACAGCTCCAGGTGCGGCTCTTCCTTCGCTTCCGTATCCCGGGCTTGTTCTTTTGAACGTAACCACTCCGAGCGAAGCTGATACTTCTCAGCCTCGACTACCCATTCCGCAAAGTCTGACTCGATTTTTTCCAAATCGTCGATCCAACTCTCAGGCAAAGAATCTTGACGGCCTTCCAACGCGTCCAAGGCCCGGTCCATCCGCCTGCCCACAGCAACCACCGCAAACTCAAGTTTAACATGCTCGTCGCGTAAATGAGCTTTAGAGAGGAGGTCACGACTGGATTGTGACGGGTTGGACGTTCGCAACGCGTGAAAGGACGAGTCCAGAGCGGATCGAAGGAGTTTCAATTCTCGGAGCAGGCCCGGGACCTGACGCAGGACGAGAAGACGAACGTCCCAGGTGGATAGGAGACTGGTCAATCGTGACAGGAATGGAAGGGCCCGGAGAATCGTAGCGGTAACGACAGCTGTGAAGTCGCTGAGTTGTACATAGCTGAGCGGCGGGGGCACAGACACGGTGCTGGTCGAAGAGGAGGGGCGAGACCGGGATGGAATGTGGGCATTGAGAACGTGTTCCTTCAATTCCTCCACATTTAAATTGTCCATTCCATCGCGTATCTCCTCGATCCTCTTCTCATATTCCTCGACTACCTCTGCTTGCAGGCTCCCATAGTACTCGACCTCCGCGCTGCCAGGAGGCAACAAGGAGCTCGAACCGGCAGCCTTATCACCCACACGCGGTTGTATGGGCGGTATAAACCCTTTCCCTGCTTTCGCCTCGTTATGCTTCGGCCATGTCCACGATTGGACCTCCTTATACCAAAAATTCAAATCCTGGGCAGCTATAGCTGCACGGATGCCCAATGCTCGTTCGGCCGGCGAGACCTGGGAAATACTCCGCGAAAGGACATCATGGGAAAAAGACTCGTTCGAAGGGACCGCTTCGGTGGAGGTAAGGGCGTGTAGTGTTGACTCGGGAGACAGGTTGCTCAGTAGAGGGTCGATTTTGGGGTATAACGAGCCCGGATTTCGTTCCGGGGAGGTCGAGCGGGAGTTATCACGAGAGTGTGCGGGGGAGAGGCGGATCGACGGGCGAAGAGGGCTGATTCGACTGGCAGCCATTCCGAATGACAGGCCCGGGTCAAGCTCACAGAGAGACACAGGGAGCTCGGGCTGGCTCGGGCTGGCATAAGAATGACGGCGGTCGGAACGAGGCTGCAGGCGGACGGTGGCACTGTCGAGCCTGCATGCTGAGACGCGTTCCAACAAAAAGAAATCGATGGTCGAGGAGCCAATGCCGTGAAAAGGGATAGGTTCTTCGGAACTGGAGGTAAACGCGTGAAAGGGCGAGGTTGGCGGCTAATGAGACACTTCGGGATTCGGGGAAGAGGTTGGGTTTCGAATTGGCAGACAATGAGAGTGTCTCTGTGAGAGAGGAGGAAGTCCAAGCTCCGTGAACTTTTTTTTTAAATTGGGGAATAAATGCTGATCGAGGTTCGCTGGAGGTGGAGCCAAAAGGGGCACGGTTGATGTAGTGGACCTGTTGCTTCCGCCGATCCGCGACGCTATTTCTTTTTGCCGGCAGTCCGGGGAGGCAGGTTTATTATTATCTGTTTTATTACCGGTCTATAAGTGCAGGGCTAGCTTATTTCAAACTGCACAGGGAAGAGCTGTCCTTTTACGGAATGTAGAGCGGGTCTACACACTACATCCGAAACATGCACGGTGTACACGTAGGCAATGGCACCGCGCGTGGACTTGACAGCGTCAGTGCACACGGGATGGCGGCTGCTGTACTTGAACAGCATCCTTATTCGAAGTCTGCTTGATATAACATATCACGGCATAGCTCCGGTTGGCCATAGTACCGTCATAATGGTGTTCATGCGGCGACTCTATACAACTCGCTGTCCCGTCAAGTCCCACATCGCAAGATCCACCAAAACACATCAATTGGCACTGAATACCAAGCATCCTCCACAACATTATGTTGGGTTTTCGCACCAGTGCTGAGATTCTAACGGGGGCCGCAGACCATATGACTCGCGACCTGAAGCAATATGAAGACTGGTTTACGCTCGAACCACCCATGCTGAAGCAAATCACGAATCACTTTGTCAAGGAGCTTGACAAGAGTCTTACGAATGAGGGTGGTAATATAGTCAGTTAGATTCCAGCAACATCCCAGAGACATGCTAATGCTGTATGCTTTACTCACAGCCGATAGACGTCACCTGATCGGCCTGATCTCGACGCGCGTCTCTACGCCTGCGGGATCGCGGCAATTTGCAAAAAGAAGGAGACCAGCAAATGCCATGTCGGCGTGGATGGCTCCGTGTTCAACAAGTACAGCGGATTCAAGCAACGAGCAGCGCAGGCATTGCGCGAGATCTTCGACTGGCCGCCCAACGAACCGGACTTGATTGTGCTGATTCCATCAGAGGACGGATCCAGTGTGGGTGGTGCTGCGCTGGCAGCAGCATTGGCTCTTGATGGAGGTATTGAAGGAGACAGTGACAAGGAAAAAGAAGATTAGGAGATAAAACATGAAGATGCCTTAAGAGACGAGTGATGATGATGGACTCGTTGGTAGTGATAGACCAGCAGACCGAATAGACCGATAGAGCGATAAGGAATCGATAACCGGATTCTCCACAATCAACGCTCGTCTTCTCTCCAACATCTCACCAGTAGTCACAATGCGCTTCCGTACCCAATTAAAGAATACCAGGACCTTCTCCAGTGAGTTCAACAGCTGTATGTGCTCGATAAGTACTAACAAATATAGAATTGACCGCGTCCCTCTCGTCCCTGGGCAAGGTATGCTGGATGCGCCTGGAGCACGATGTGGTCCGCTTCACCATCATCCCAGACCAAGGCACACAAGTATGGGCCCAAATCCCAGTTGTACGTGTCTGAGGATCCTTCAAACTACATACAACAATTAACCGACAAAGGACACAATCTTCGACGAAGACTCATACCAAATAGAATCCAACTCGGACGCAATCAACATCGAAATCAACGTCAGCGTGCTAACCCGCGCTCTACGCTCCACATTCGGCGCTTCATCATCCCAGCTCCGCCTCACTAAAAAAGACAAGATGCCTCTCCTGGCACTCACAGTGCTCACCACAGAATGGACAGAAGGCAACATGGCGCTCGCCACCGACGGAGCCGAGCCAGGACAGGGCGATGTAACCGGAGACCGGCGCGCCCGCGAACGGGAAACTTGGATTACACAAGAAATCCCAATCAAGATCCTACATGAATCCGCTGTGGAAGGCTTGCACGAACCACACTGCCCAGATCCCGACGTGCACATTATCCTGCCCGGTCTAGCGCAGCTGAAGAGTATCTCAGACCGGTTCACGAATCTTGCGTCTACAGATAGCAAGAATCGGCAACCGGGGATAATGGCTAGCGACGGGCCGAATGCGTCAGCTGGTGCTGGGGCTACGGCTTTGTCGGCGAATACTGCGCCAAAGCTGGAGTTGTCAGCGAATATGCATGGCAAGTTGAGGCTGGTCATTGCGACGGATGAGTTGAGGATTGCGAGTGTTTGGTCCGGGCTTGTTAATCCGCCATTGGATCCCGCCCATATCTCACAGGAGCAGTATTCACAGCTGCCTAGTGAGAGGATGAGGGGGGTTGGGGATGATGATGAGTCGGGGTGGGCCAAGGTGCGGATTGATGGGAAGGATTGGAGTCGAGTTTTGAGTGTGGGGAGACTTAGTCCGAAAGTTGTTGCTTGTGAGTTTTCCTGGTAGATGTGGGGGGAGTTATTTTGCTAATCAAGAAGGATTACAGGTTTCATCAATGAGATGGCACTCGTACTTTATGTCTATCTTCCGGGCAGCTGGAATGGCGAAGAGTCTTGCCTCACTGTAAGTCGATCAACTAGGACCCGTTATGACAACACAGGTCGATATTAACCGTGTCTAGTATTATATTAATTCCTTCACGACTTGATACCCCTTACATCTACATCTTGCAACTTTTATACCATCCTACGTTCAAATCTTCCATCAATTGAAAGCAGACGTGAGGTCACCATTATCAGAAATCAATAGTAAGACAGACGCACAACCAAGAGTCATGCGGAAAGAATCCATCAAATATAACGTGAAACGCAAAACTCAAATAAAACACAGTGTATACCTGCGGAGCAGGAGGGGGATTGATATACATGATGCAAGGAGAATCGTCTCCCTCGCTTCGCAGGCGAAGCGAGTCGCAACAAAGAACAGCAAGAAGCAAGCTATGTGCAAGGCTTCACGATGATGAGCTCAGTGTGCGAGAACGCCGGGGAATGAGGTGTCTTGCAAAGGGCAGACACATGCAAGATGCTGGGGAGGGAATCTATTATAAGGGGGTAGGGATTTCATGGGGTGATAAACAGGGCAAAATAGAACAACAGGCATATCAGGCATAATGAAACAAAAGAAATTCATCCCAACTAGTCGGTAGTGACTGTTAGGACTTCATCACTGGTTTATGGGCCCAGCAACTCCGCTCATTTAGCCATCACATCGACGTAACGGCCCTTCTTCTTGCCGCGAACAGTGTTCCCCTTCCGTGCGGTAGGAGCACCGAGAAGATCGTCAATGGACTGAGCGTGGCTCAAAGAAGATGTAGGTCGGGGCGGACCAGGGGCGGACGTTACACTACCAGGCGGCACCGTAACAGTCGCGCCAGTAGAGAACGATCGAGGGAGGTTGCCCAGGGTTGGTGGCGCGACACCAAGATTGGAGAACGCAGGACTTGATGACAGGGATGGCGGGATATCACTTGAGGAAGATGGAGGTCGGCTACCTGAAGCGGCGGACATCGGGGCGCCGGGAGGTGGAGGCGGAGGCATGCTACCGGAGCTGGCGCGGCTGGGAGGAGCGGAGCTTCGGGGTGGAGGCGGCGTGGCGCGAACAGGTTCGGCACTTCCAGGATCCTTCTTGTTGACCCATTTCTTCAGATCTTTATCATAATAGAACGAGTTCTCTTCGCCGAGTTTGGCCTTGATAGGACCGCCGCCCGAGTGCTCGGCTTCCTTCTTGCCACCTGCAAACCATCCACCGAACCAACCCTTCTTCTGTTGCTGAGCGTCTTTTTTGGCTGAAGGAGTGGGTTAGCATGAGATGTCAGAATTAGTTAGGATTCAAATGACCTACCATCTTCTTCAGCGGCCTTTCGGAAGGCCTCGTCTGCCTTGCGATCGTTCTCTGCCTTCTGGATGGCAGCGGCCCGGGCAGCGAGATCGTCCTCGTCATCGTCCGGGAACGCCTTCTTCTTGGGTTGCGTTTCCTCTTCCATTGGCAGTTGCTCCGGCTCTTCTGGGGCAGCGTTGATGTCCGGTACATACGACGGGGGAGCATAAGCATTGCCATTGGCCGGGGGCATGTACGGACTATCCGACTGCGGCATATAAGGACTGTCAGACTGTGGCATATCAGGCGGACCCTGGTAATAGGGCGACCGGCTAACTGCCGAAGTATCCTGTCCGACTGGCTGGTAGAATAGGCCGTTCACTGTAGGCTGCATTGGGGGAGCCGCGTCACCTTGCGACTGGGTGTAAGTAGACGCGTTCTCTTCAACCGGAGCAAGAGGCATGTACGATGTCTGAGGCGGAGTAGGCTGGTACCCAGCACTCCCTGGCGAGGAGCCGTACATGGAGCCTCCCTGGAATGTCTGGGACTCAACCGGGGGAGATGGGTAGTCTGCCGAGCTTCGACGCTGTCCAACCGGCATCCCGCCGAATGAAGTCGATCTCTGGGAATCCAATGATGATCGGCCACGGAATTGTTCGGGGGATGAGGTGGGCGCATACTGGCTTGACGGCATGTAACGCGAAGAGGCACCGGCTGGAACCGACTGTGCTCCATGCCCGGGGTAAGATCCATACAGATCGGAGACAGAAGGAGACCTGCTAACAGTTGGCGTTCCTGCCACGTTGGCGAAGGGACCAAACTCTGCAGCCTCGCCTGTTTTTACGGAGCCCGAGGATGCAGGGTCTGCGTCATCACCAGCGACAAAGCTGTTGAATCGAGCCCACATAGATCCAGACACCTTCTCCATACTCGGCTTCGAGATCCACGAAGAACCCCCGTCGGTGATGGTTTGGCGAAGTCGTGCAGAGAGTTCATCGACTTCAGTGAACAAGTGCTGGTGATGGTAGGGCGAAGGTCGAGTGGTTGCTTTCACAGACACGGCCACGGCATCGCAATAGGTATTTGCCTCGGAGGTGCGCCCCCGATCAGCCAGCTGCTTGGCGTGCAGAAGCTTGAAGGCTAACAGATAAGGCAGATTGGCCACAGTGGAGTTGCCCAATACAGCCGTAGCATATTCGTAAACTTCAGTCAGAAGGAAGGCATCTTCGCTCAGAAGACCCGAAGGGAACTGCTGGTGGTCCACGCCAAGAAGGACAATGTTAGCCTGGGGATCATCGGCGCCGCCAAAGACAGCGGCCCGAGAGAAGATGAAGCAAATATGTGCAGCTTCAGTTCGACCATATGATGCCAGCAGGCGGCCAAGAGCCAACAGTGCCTGGTGATCTTCAGAGCTACGGTTGCTCAACACCAAACCAAGGGTGTCTCTCCAACTGTTCAAGCCGTCAAGGGCATTCTTGGTCGTGCCCTGGCCATCGGCCATGCTAATCAATTGATGGCCCGCCCTTGCAGAAGGAGGAACGAGTTCATCAATGCTCTCCTCGATGTTGCCAGCAAAAATCTCGTAGAGTGCTGCGAGTGATTCGGTGTTACCACCAGAGGACCTAATCTCGCGCCTAATAAACTCTTGAACGACTTGCTTCCAAATGGACTTATCCATCGTGGATGCAACAATCATCGCGTGTCCCCAAAGACGACGATCGACTGCGCCCCAAACTGCCTTCTCGCGATCTCCTTGCAGCAAATGGTTTCGTAGCTCCTCAACCGACTGTGGGTCAACAGCATCAGGCTGAGAGGGCGCGTTAAAGGAACCCCCCGATGTAGCGAAGCTGCCCCCATAAGGACCTTCAGGCCCGGCTTCCGGAAGATGTGGGAAAATAGCCTGGCGGAGGGATTTCTCAATCGCAGGTGAATTCTCCAAGGAACCATCGTTTTCAACCAAAATTTTCATGACCTTCCAAAGCAAGATCCTTTCTTCATGGCGCCTTTGGGATTCGGGATGAGAAAGATCAAAGTCAGGAGTCGGCTCATTTTCGAATGCCACAATCTTGCTTGAAAGCCAGGAGACTAGATCCTTCTTCTTACCCTTGGTCTTCAGGGGTCCAGGATGCTGAACGATGGTCTCCGCTACCGGTAGCCATTGATTGAGCGGAGCAGTCTTGATCTCGCCCGGGCTGGGCATGATCATAGGCGCTGTCTGACCGGCAGAATACCGAGGGATGTGCTTGGGGAAGCACGACAACACAGCGCCGCCAAATCCGAACTTGAAAATAGGTGCACCCTTCCATCGCTCAAGGGCGTCATGTTCTTGGCCATCAGTGGGGGTAATGAACCCAAGGCCGCGCTGAGAAAGCGCTCGAGCTCGACTTTGCACGGAGGGCTGCGACGGCGCATAGGGGTTCGAGGTCTTGGTGGGGGAGCTCGAACCATGCACCGAAGCTGGACGCGGCAGATTTGAAATCGGAGGGACGGATGCCTGTGGGCTCGTCATGTGTTGGCCTGGAGACTGGGTTTGGGATCGAAGAGGGGCCACCTGCGCACCGGTAGCCTGAGGAGAGCTAGGAGCAGGCATCGGCGGGGCCGGTGAAGCATGAGCCGTGGTCGGTGTTACACGCTTAGCGAATTCGTTCATGTACTCCTGAGGGGCGTACCGATTCGTGACAGGCGGAGAAGTCTGCCGGTGACCAACAGGTGGGCCGGATGTTTGGCTCACAACATCGGGCGGTCCATCTGGCAATTGTGGAGCGTAGGATGATCCCCGATCGATACTCGGTCGCTGGGCACGAGGCGGAGAAAGATCAACCGAGGGTTGCAACGATGGTGGTTGCGGTTGCTGTGCACTTTCGGGTTTGTAAGAGACCTTTTCGTGGTATGCAAGAGGGCTTGATGTCCGAGGCTGGAACGGTAGGTTATGAGTTTGGCCAGGAACAGACAAAGGCTGCGAGGCGTAGCGGTTCCGGGCAGAAGCTGCTGGCGGTGGTGCGGGCGAGTACCTTGACAACTGAGACGGCTTTCCAGGGACTTGCGCACTCGGCGGTGCCGGAGAATACCTGGAAGCTGCACTAGGGCCAGCAGGTGCACTCGTCGCCAATGTAGATCCGTAAGGTTCCAGGCGCTCAGGCGGCTGTAGGGGAGACTGGGCCGGAAGTACGTCGGTTGGCACAGGCGGGGGTGCCACAGCAGCAGGAGCAAGCCCAGTGACAGGCGCAGAAGCAGGAACAGCCGCATATGGGGTTTGGGGAGGTAGTATATGCGATGGTCCAGTCGGCGCTGCCGCATTAGGATTAGGAGAATATCGCCCGGAGTTGGCAGGCCTAGACCTGGGAGCTGGCAAAGGAAGTTCCTCGAAGAAGTTCTTCGGGGCTGGTGGCGGAGCCGCTACAGGTGCAGCCGGAGGAAGCATGGTAGATGAAACAGGCGGCTGCATCATGCCCATGTCCCTGGAAGGTGGCGGCGGCATAGTGTTGGCCACGGGTGGTGGAGCCGGCTTAGATGTAGCAATAGGCCGTCGGGGCCGAGACAGATCATCTGGAAGATCATAAGGAGATTTATATCCTTCCTTCGAGGCCTCAGCAAAACTCTCTCCCCTAGACGCCACTGGGTTTCGTGGCTGCTGAGAGAAATAAGGCGGAACAATTCCATTCGCTGGTAGAGGGACCCCTGACATCAAATCTCCCGTAGTCGGTTGATGTGGCGTATACACGCTAAGCGCTGGCCTGGGCCGAGCATAGCTCTGTGGGGTCTCGAAAGGGCTGATCAAGCCGGTGGATGAAGAATTAGTTGTAGGCTGCACAGGGCTCTGTAGAACGGGTTGCGCCTCAACAGGTGGAGCAACATCGTCTCCAAGCAGCAAGTCGTCGTCATCAAGCGCAGCCTCCCACTGTGCCGCAAGATCATCCTCCCCAACGTCACTGAGTTCTGCCTGCCAACGAGCTGCCAGTTCTTCTTCCGAAGGTTCAGGAGCTTCTGGTTGGGCTTGAGGAACCTGAGACGCTTGCGGTTCTTGAGGTGCTTGTGGTGTTTGCGCCCCAGATGCCGCAAGCTTCAAAACCTCATCAAGCTGGGCAGCCGCTGAGATATCACTTTTTGGAGAGTCAATGTCGAATCCCATCGATTCCATCACTTGTGTCGTGCTCTTGCGAGTGATGTGACGAATTGGAAGCTCTTTGCTCGCGTGAGGGTTTTGAATAGAGGTAAAGAAATCGGCTCCATCATCCTCATCGTTGCCAAAGGGATTGTCAACAGATTTTCTCTGGGGGATAGGCAGCGGGGGAGAAGTTGGGTTTGTATCATCCAGCAGTGGAACTCCTTCTTCAAACCTGGATTCAGACTCCGGGGGTGCAAAGATAGGCTTTGTTTGAGTCTTGAGTTGATTGAAGAAGTCGTCCCCATCCGAATCCACGTCGGGTCCTACTTCGTTACTCCACAGATTATCCCCATCGGCGTTTCCCTCCACGGTTGCTGCATTAAAAGTCGATTCCTCTGGGAGATCCGGTTGAGCGGCAGCTTTGACAGGAGGCTCCTGATTATCGAACATGGCGTTCACTTCTACTTGAGCGGTTTGAGGTTGGTCAAGCTGACCGCGCACGGTCTGGGTGGCAGGTGCCCCCAGGTCCATTTCCTGCTTCACAGTTGTTCCCACATGCTCATTGGTGAACTCGTCATTGCCGTCCGTTCCCTCCGCTTGAACTGGCAGGGGTTGTTTCATACCAGGTTCCAGCTGTGCAGATTCCACGGCAGGCACTAAAGCAACAGCTTGTTCATGAACGTCGAATTTGGGAGCTTCTTCCATGGCGGGGACATGCGGATCATCATGACCCGCGGCTTCGACTTGAGGGTCCTGTGGCTCAGCAAATTCAGGTTGCGTTGGGGTTATCTCGATAGCCCAGGGATCTTGCGCCGCGTCTTCAATGGCAGGCTCTTTGAGATCATTCTGACCTGCAGCTCCGACCTGGGTCTGTTGCTCAGTAGTTTCGAGTTGTGTCGGGGTTGTCTCAATGGCCGAGTGACCTTCCGCCGTCGCAGTCTGCACAGTGTCTTCAATGGCGGGCCCGGTAAGGTCGTCCTTGCGTTCGGGCTCGATAGGCAAGATGTGGCGTTCGGTGATTGGAGTTCGTTCGACATGCGCAATAGCAGTCTCGACGTCCGAATGCTCCTGGGGTTCCGACTGCACGGCCTCATCAATGACCGGTTCGTCTAGATCAACATTTTGTTCGGATTCGATTGGCAAATCCTGTTGCTCTGCGATCGGCACCTCTGCATCATCCTTCTCTTCAGCTTGCATGGGGATATCCTTTTGTTCATCGAAATGAACTCGACGTGTCATCTCTTCCGATGAAGTTGGGGTAGAAGAATGATTCGCCGTTTCCGTAGATGTTAAGGCTGCTTCGACAGGGGCTTCGGAGGACTGGCCAGGTTCCGAGTGTACCGGTTCAAACCCATTGGCTAAAGTATGCGCGGGAGCTTCTGGCTTCTCCGTCAATGTAGGCACATCCGTGGGAGCTGACCGCATTGTCTGGTCCGACTTTTGAGTATCAAGTATAGCAGCGTCCAGGGAGGTCGGCGCATTCCCGGTGAGGGCGTTCGCGTTCGTGTTCGCGTCCTGAGGGGAAACGACGTTCGAATCGTGTGGCATATCCCATGCAGAAAAGTCCTCTTCGCTTAGGGGTGACTTGAGGTCCGGTGCGTGCGTTTCCTTGGAGTCGTCCGCGGCCAGGGGATGCGACAACCCACCTTCCCTGAAAGTCGTTGCGGCTATAGTTGTGGCATCCTCCGGTTGAGACGATACATTCCATGCGTCTGTCTCATCGGCTGTTGGTTCCTGGGCCATGGCGAACGTGTGGCCCTCGAGGATCGAGTCGACTCGGGGGTTCGAAGGAAGTCAACCTGACACGTCTCCAGTGACGGGGAACAACAATCCCAATAAACAAAACTCGTGAGGACAGATTCAGTAATCCATTAAATATGGTAGTGAGGAAGGTTGAATAACACGAATTAGAGAAAGAAAATCAATCATGCATCCTATGGGAGGCAAAAAGGAAAACGGTTTACCCTGAATCGCGAATGGGTTGACTTGGCCCGATTCGTGATGACATTAAGGCCAAACGTTCTTCCGAAGGAGCTGTGCTCGTGCATGCTTAGTCATCTGCATATGCTCATGTCAGCATGTGGATTGTGCGGAGGTACGTCAGGTGATTACGCATCACGGGCGGAAGGCAGTCACGACTCGTCCTGATAACACTTGGGCCTTTAGACTTGCGCTTTAAGTTGCAAGCTGCAGAGTTCGAGTCCGCTACAGCTAGCTCTACAGCCTCCTTTTCTATCGCGCTATTTCTACACTCGCTTTCCCGATGTTTCCTCGAATCTTCAATTCCATTTGATGTTATCGTCCATGGTTATTTATTTGCTGATACGGCTTGAAAGGACCTTGTTGCCTCATAGCTCATGATCAAGCCATTGTGGAACTCTGCTAGCCTCGCTCATAATGTCTTCGCCCGACTACGCACACCCCCCTCATCAGGCTGAAGACCCCGACTTCTCCGACTCCGATGACGACTTAGACCTCGAGGAGCTTGATCCCAGCACCGCCCCGTCACAAAACCCTCGAGTCTCCCGAGACTATACAGGTCGCTCACGGAACTATGGGCCAGGTATCGCTCTCCGAAATTTACGCGTTGGTGTGGGAAACCGGTGGAAACGAAATGCCTCCGGCCGTACAGACCGAGAAGATGACACGGATGCCTTGCTGCAAGACCAGGGTGAGGATGGTCTGCGGCGGTCACAAACCAGTTCACATAACTTGACGGATGATAATGCGCCACTTCTTGACCGTCGCGGTTCGATCCGCTTATTCAACGACGACGAACCACCCAAGAAGGGTGGCCGGTTCCGCTTACCCAGTCTTCAAGGTCCCAGCTTTCTCCAGGGCGCCGCCAGTCGACTACGCAAAACCGCCGATGACCCCTCGAATCAGCCTCCCCGAGAGGTGCTTGTCGGGCAATACCAAACTACCAAATATCCAGCCAATGTGGTCTCGAACGCGAAATACACACCCTGGAGTTTCCTACCTCGCACGCTGTACAACGAGTTTTCTTTCTTCTTTAACATATATTTCCTTCTTGTCGCCCTCTCACAAATTATTCCGATTCTTCGGATTGGATACATGTCTTCATACATTGCGCCCTTGGCTTTCGTTGTTTCCATCTCCTTGGGCAAAGAGGCCCTGGACGACATTGCTCGCCGGAGACGAGATGCGGAAGCCAACGCCGAAGAATTTACCGTGATGTCTCTTGAGAGATCAAACGTGATGGAGATGACCAAAAAGTCCCGAGATTTGAAAGTCGGAGATGTTCTCAAGGTTCGGAAGAACCAGCGTTTACCTGCCGATGTGGTGATACTCAAGAGTGTTTCCAATGATTCCGGCTCAAGCCGACAGAATTCCTTTGAAGAGGAGACTTCTGCGGAAGTGACCGATCTCCTTGAGCCAGGACAGGGCTCGTCGGGGCCTGCAGCGGAAGCCGCATCTAGTCCCGACTCGGCGATTGCTGCAGATACTTCATCTGCCAGTGATACCTTCATTCGGACGGATCAGCTGGATGGCGAAACAGACTGGAAACTCCGTCTCCCTTCTGCATTATCCCAAGCGCTTCCCTTTGGCGATTTCGCCAGGCTTAAGGTCACTGCAAGCCCTCCAAACAAGAGAGTAAATGAGTTTATGGGCACCATCGAGCTGGGCCCTCCAACTGGCTTCTACGATACCCATGTTGATAAGTCTGTTCCGCAGTCACGCAATGTCGCGCCTCAAGGAGATGAGAGCGAAACTAACTCGGCGCCACTAACCATTGACAACACCGCATGGGCCAATACCGTTCTTGCCTCCAATACCGTCACATATGCCGCTATCATCTATACTGGCTCGCAGACACGTGCCGCTCTTTCGACGTCTCCTTCTCGATCTAAAGTGGGCTTGCTGGAATATGAAATCAACAATCTCACTAAAATATTGTGCATTGTGACACTAGCCTTGTCAATTGTGCTTGTGGCTTTGGAAGGGTTTGAGCCAACGAACGATAAGAAGTGGTACGTCGCGATTATGATCTACCTCATTCTATTCTCCACGATCATTCCGATGAGTCTTCGAGTCAACCTCGACATGGCCAAGTCTGTTTATGGCCGTTTTATTCAACGAGACAAGGACATCCCAGGCACTGTGGTCCGGACAAGCACTATCCCGGAAGATCTGGGAAGAATTGAATATCTTCTTTCCGATAAAACCGGGACTTTGACTCAGAATGAGATGGAATTGAAGAAGATCCACGTTGGCACAGTCTCATATGCCAACGAAGCAATGGATGAGGTCGCATCATTCATTCGTCAAGGTTTTGCTGGCAATTTCTTGACGACTCCATCGACTGTATTTGGAACCCAGGCAGGCCAGGGCACAGCCCCACGCACCAGGAGAGAAATTGGCTCTCGTGTCCGCGACATCATTCTGGCTCTCGGGCTTTGCCACAATGTTACGCCAACTACAGAGCAAGAGGACGGTCGGAAAATCACTGCCTACCAAGCATCGTCTCCAGATGAGATTGCCATCGTCCGATACACGGAAGAAGTTGGATTGAAGCTGTCGTATCGCGATCGCCAAAACGTTGTGCTCGAATCCACCGACTCCAAACAGGTTGTTGTTCGCGTGCGCATTCTCGACATCTTCCCATTTACCTCCGACAGCAAGCGAATGGGCATTATTGTCCAGTTCCAGCAGGACGACAATGCTCTTGAAACCGGAAACAAGGCTGAGCCTGAGATCTGGTTCTATCAAAAGGGTGCAGACACCGTCATGTCATCGATAGTGGCGGCAAATGATTGGCTCGACGAGGAGACTGCAAACATGGCACGCGAGGGTCTGCGAACTCTGGTGGTTGGTCGCAAGCGACTTTCTCTGTCTCAATACCAGGAATTTTCCTCCAGGTTTAAGCAGGCCTCTATGTCATTCCAGGGACGAGACATCGACATGGCCAAGGTAGTGAGCGAATATCTTGAGCGGGATCTGGAACTCCTCGGAGTGACGGGTGTCGAGGATCGTTTGCAACGGGATGTCAAGTCGTCTCTGGAGCTGATGCGCAATGCAGGCATCAAAATTTGGATGTTGACCGGTGACAAGGTAGAGACAGCACGATGTGTTGCCATTTCTGCCAAGCTGGTTGCCCGAGGGCAGTACATCCACACCGTTCAGAAATGTAAAGACAAACAGACTGCCCAGGAAACTTTGGACTTCTTGCGCAACAAGACAGACTGTTGCCTGCTGATCGATGGCGAATCATTGAACTTGATGCTTGGCCATTTCCGGTCTGCCTTCATCTCCGTTGCTGTGCTTCTCCCGGCTGTCATTGCGTGTCGATGCTCCCCAACCCAGAAGGCGGAAATTGCCGACTTGATTCGTCAGCATACGAAAAAGCGCGTCTGCTGCATTGGCGACGGTGGCAACGACGTGTCTATGATTCAAGCCGCCGATGTCGGCATTGGCATTGTGGGCAAAGAAGGCAAGCAAGCCTCCCTGGCAGCAGACTTCAGTATCACCCAGTTCCACCATCTCACCAAGCTCCTGGTCTGGCACGGCCGCAACTCGTACAAGCGGTCTGCCAAACTGGCACAATTCATCATGCATCGAGGTCTGATCATCAGTGTGTGTCAGACTATGTACAGCATTGCCGGCCACTTCGACCCTAAAGGCCTTTTTATCAACTGGCTCATGATCGGATATGCCACCGTCTACACCAATGCACCTGTCTTCTCCCTCGTCTTCGACCGAGACGTGGATGAGCGCCTTGCCAATTTGTACCCGGAGTTGTACAAGGAACTCAAGACAGGAAAGAGTCTGAGTTACCGTTCATTCTTCACTTGGGTGCTCATCTCGATCTATCAAGGAGCCGTCATCCAAGGTCTGTCACAAATTCTACTGAACACCATCACTGGTCCCCGTCTGATCAGCGTGTCCTTCACTGCCCTCGTTTTGAACGAACTGGGAATGGTTGCAATCGCAATCACCACTTGGCATCCAGTGATGATCTTCTGTCTCATCGGCACTCTCCTCCTGTATGCTAGCAGTGTCCCCTTCCTCGGCGACTACTTTAACCTCCGCTATGTCATTACCCTCGACTGGCTCTGGCGTGTCGCTGCCGTGCTGGTCGTTTCTCTGGTCCCTGTCTGGGCTGGTAAACTGATCAAGCAGTCGTGGAGTCCTCCGAGCTACCGCAAGGTGCGCGGTTGATGTTCATTGTAGTCTTCTTTCCTCTTTGATTTTTTTTCTGGTCACAGCTAGTTTGGCTGGTACCCTCTTGTATATAACCCAAGCATCTTGTCATTGCAGAGCGCATCAGGCGTCGGAGCCCTTGGAAGCATCTATGTATCTCCTTTCTTGTTTTAGAGGGATATACTTGAATCGATTTTGGTATTTTGCCATATACATGCGCCTTCTCGGTCAGCATTCATGACTCCTTGAATATAGAATGAAAATAAATTTAGGATGAACCCTCAGTCCACAGCCTTGAGTGCTGGACGTAGCTTTTTCTTCTTGCTCAGTCTCCTGCATGATATGTACATTGTGTAGCTTGGCTCAGATCCATGGATTTATATAGCGGGGAAATGTGGTGGATCTGATACCCGGACGAGGACTTCTTGCAGCCAACCCCGCCGCCGTTCTCAAAACCTCTGACGATCTATAAAGCCAGCTCTTCGCGGCTAGAGTACGCCAACCTTGGCTGATATTATTCTCTGATTCCCTTTGTTGCCTCGACGCCACATTATGCCCGGGCACGAACAGGAAATCTCTTTCACAAGCCTCGGCCTAGTTGTCCTTGATGAAATCAGGTTCCCGGACCAGAAGCCCTTGACAAATATATTAGGTGGCTCAGGTACTTACGGTGAATAAATAATACTGCTTTTAACCCGATATTCCGGTTCACTAATATGAGGCTCTCAGCAACGCTCGGTGCTCGATTGTTTCTTCCCGGGTCACTTAGCTACTCTTTGAGCTGGATGATTCACGTTGGAGATGACTTTCCGAAATCTGTTGAAGACGAACTACGGGACTGGAATTCGACGTTGATTATTCAGAAGGAATCCGATAGTCTCTCGACGAGGGGGTTGCTGGAATATAAAGACACCACTTTTGGACGTAAGGTCCCTCGACATCCATCTCCCTTATGTGTCCTCTTGTTTTTTACCATGTTGTTGAATACCTTCTCATAGCTAACACTTTGTCTAGCGAAGGACTTCAGATACACAACTCCGATACTTGGAGTCCGAGATGACAGCTTAGAGGGCACAAAGCTTCTTGCGTCCAAGGCATACCACTATTTGGCTTCACCCCAGGAGCTCCAAACACGTGTGTCAAATCTTCTCACTTTGAGAAAGAAAGTTGATAATCTTGCACGCTCTCTGATTATCTGGGAGCCTGCACCCCTGTCCTGTAAGCCAGATAATCTTCAAGCGTGTCTAAAGGCCGCGTCCTTGGTGGATGTCTTTTCTCCGAATCACATAGAATTGGCCAAATTATTTTCGGAGCCGCTATCACCTGGATCAGTTAAGAAAAGTATCGAGGATCTGGCAGCGCGGGTCTTGGAGCGAGGGGTTGGTCCAGATCAACAAGGTGTTGTGATAGTCCGGGCTGGTGAGCATGGGTGTTTCGTCAGTGCCCGAGATATTTCTCCCAGATGGTTACCTCCGTACTATGCGTCTGAGACCAGGAATACGAATATTTCGGAGATAGTCGACCCGACTGGAGCGGGAAATACATTTCTGGGGGCGTACGCGATTGGATATCTCAAGACCGGCAATGCCATCGAGGCAGCTTGCTATGGCTCAGTTGGGGCGTCCTTTGCCATCGAACAAGTTGGAATACCGGAGAAGGCAGAGAAAAACGGTGAAGAGATGTGGAATGAAGTTAGTGTTTCCTTGAGATTGCGTGAATATATGTCCAGGCTTCTTTAGGAAGCGGAGCCCCCAATGGCGGAATGCGTCTTCCACATACTTTATAGAATCGTATGTTATGGACGGTGCATTTTAATACTCGGTCCTAAAGTGGCGTCCGTCATCGCTTTCCATGTCGGAAACACGGAGACGCTCTTGTAATCATTCCGACCGAATTATGCAACTATGTCCTGATGCAGGTGTCAAATTACTGTACTTGCCGCCTTTTTTATCGCATTGCAACTCCATCGATGAGTTCTCTGCCGAGGCTCATATCAAGAAAACTTGGTCAACATATGAAGATGACCCCGATCAGATGTTTCATTCCATCCTTCGGCGGGATGTTCAATATGTCGGTGCGAAAAAGGAAAGCATCGAAGGCCCACTTCCGACATGTAGGTACAAAAACATGAGTGGCCGTCTCACTCAAATACAACGTGTGCGACATGCAGCGAAGGTCTGGTTGCGTATGCAATACTCTCATGAGCCCGCCTGTGCCAATTTTGGTTTGTTTTGAAGGATCCCGAATCAATAATATTTCGTGTTAGGAGGAAGTCCTTGTTTCTGGTCCTCGTCCTGAATCTCTTAGTATATGATATCCAAAGCAAGGAAACTGGACGAACCAATAGTTTTCCAAAACTCTCGATGAGTTCGATTTCATATTCGCAATAAGCTTTCTCAATAGGGCTCATATTGCCGAAAGTCGTCGCAACATCAAAATCAACCCATATAATCTTGCCACCCGATACAAGCATGTTCTTCGGGTAAATATCACGGTGGTGGACAAAGGCAGTATGGATCTCTCGTAAACCTTGAACCGCATGGCGAATGAGGTCTTGGGAATAATTTACACAATCCAGCCTTTCTGCGTCAGGCAGGTATTCAATCAGAATGGCTCGTGGCTTGAATTTATCTCGGCTGAAATGGTGAAGTGGCGGGACGAAAGCAGACGGATCAAGCCGATCGATGTAGCCATAAAATGCGGGAACGAAGCCGCGATCGCACACGCCAAGTTCGTGGAGATTTTGATAGGCTTTTAGTTCGCAGCGAAAGCGATTCAAGTCTCGACCTGTACTGGTGTACCCTGGGTCACCATTGTCGTGAAACTGGCCCGTCAGCGTCGTCCTGGGGATTTAGGATAGTACTTACAAGCTTCAAAATGCACGCCTTCCCAAACAGTTATGCTTCGTATATGGAAGAAGCTTCAGAGCGACTTATCTCCCTTTCGATGATCACATCTGGGGGGCCAAGGTCCAACGCGGAGACACTTTGTGAGGGCATCATCGCTCCGCGAGTTACGTTATGAAGGGGGAACGTTTTGAATGACGGAGGGTACAGCTCGGGTCGCCATTGAGCTATGTAACAGATAACATCATGTGGTCAAGTGATTTTGTCTTCCCGCATTCATGTATCGTATCGGAGAAAAGCTTTCAAATGAGTACGTGCGACATACAGTACACTCCACCAAGTGGTGGAGTGGTCAATACTCGGACCCAGAAATAGGAGTTTCTAGCGCTGGAGCCTTTGAACTGACAGTCAGCCCCAAGTAACTTTTGTCTGATTAATTGTACGAATATTTGAATCGAGAGGGTTCGGCGGGATGTTCAATATGTACAGAATGAGGGCGTAGTGGATCACCGGTCCACGTACCCACCAGAAGCCTTTTTGAGGTTATTTACAATCAAGATCGGATAACTGGACTTGAGTAATGCGATCGTTCTGGGAGGTAAGCTTCTGCATGGCTTCATCCAAGAGAAAGAACTCGGACGCAAAGTGCTCTTCCCCACCGGAGCAAGCGACTCCTGTACTATCCAGCTTTGCAATAGACCACCAAATGATCTTGGTCTCTTTTCAATCCTCGGTACTCAGCTCATGCATGGTCACCAAGAAAGGCTCCGTGAGATTCGAGTACAAGCGAGGTTCATCTGGCATAAGCTCCTGCTCGTCTGGAGGCGGGGCACGAGTGGCCATAGCGACCGGGTACAAACGAGCTGAATGGCCCGTCTCCTCACGGGCTTCGCGCATGGCAGCTTCGTGTCTAGACTCCTTGCAGTTGCGACGGCCCTTTACGAGCATCCATTCGTCCTTCTCGTGATGGTGGATCAGACACACGGTCTTGGGGTGAGCGGAGAGATCGAACAAGATGGCACCGCAGCTTTCAACAAACTGCTTCAGAGTATACTGGATGATGGGGTAATTTGAGATCGCCATGATGACTGGCCAGATAACTTTTCCAGCAAGACGTGGTTGTGCGTCCAATGTCAATATCGGAGGGGAGCCAACAAATCGCCATCCCGCAGAGCCTCCACTGACGCCAATAATGCCAATTGGGGCCAAATCCCTCCAACGACACGGCACGGACCCGCTGGGGGCACTGTCAACCCGCCAATTGGTGGTGCGTCTACGCCGAGTCGACATATATGGTTCTATTTTGCGCTGATCGTTAGGGGGCCAGCATGGCGGTGCAGCGGCTCGATTGAGTCTGACTGCCTATTAAGCCCGATAGCCCTGATCGGTCGTTTTTCTCTCGGCTTTCTTTTCTCGTCAGAAAACTTGGCTATCTGTAGCCATGACCTCCACCACGAATTTCGGTGCTCTAACCACCACATGGGCGCCCCCGAGTAACTGTGCGGTTGCGAAATGGGTCCAGCATAACACCCACGCGGCAATCCTTCACTGGGGTGCGGGCTGTGAAAGTGGAACACTTGGATATGCTTCTACATGCTATCCAACAGGATGGTCCGGGTCTGCCAACAACACCGCTCTCTCATACAAAGGATTCTCGCCCGGCCTCGATTGTCCATCTGGATGGGGGTCGGTCACCAGCACCAGCGGTGGTCCTCAGAGCCAAGGTTGGAATCCTTTCAAAGCATATATCACAAAGCTAGCGCATGATGAGATAGCCACCGTGTGTTGTCCGTCGTGAGTGTCCATTCAAATAGATAGCCACGAGATCTAGACCTAACTCACACTTCCATAGCGGCTACGACTTCCGAGATGTCTGCTACAGCCAAACCGCGAAAGTCACCGATTCACTCCCTCTTATCACGACCTCAGGTGGAAAATGCTCCACGACAACCGTCAGTCCATTCAACGGCAAGATCGGCGGCACGGGCGCCTCCGCTGGCGTTGCAGCCTTCCAAGCCTACCCCATCATCCTCGTAAACGGCTCTTCCTCAGGCCTATCAACGGGCGCAAAGATAGCAATCGGGGTATGCGTTCCAGCTGGTGTGCTCATTATTGCTGCTATATGCTTTATCTGGTGGCATCGAAGGCGCAGACGAGCTCAAGCGGCTAGGACTTCTGAACCGCGGTCACCTGCGCCTGCTGAGTATACAGGGAAGCCGGAGTTGGATGCGAATGAAATTGAGCCTGGGGTGCCGGGGGCGCCGGCTGAATTACCGACGTTGCAGACTGATGTGCAGAAGGCTGAATTGCCGGCCTTTAAGAGCCCTGCGACACCTCAGGCTGAGTTACCTGGGGATTTTGAACAAATCGAATACGAAAGAGAGGGGAAGAAAGAGGATGTATCAGGCGATGTGGGAACAAACCCCGTTTCAGAAAACCAGGATACCCAAGAGACTGAGACGAGGAACACTGGATGCGAGAATGATCAGGGAACCCCCGGTACTGGTCAAAATCTGCCAACACATGAGAAATCGCCATCAAAATAAGGCTCAGTACATCTGTCATTCGCGTCGTCATTTGGTCTGGAAGCTCTGTTGATCAATTTGAAAGCCAGCTTGCAGCAATGCTGCAATTGACATGAAGATGACGAAAGCACAGTCTTCGAGGGATCTGAGGTATGTACGGTCCGCACAGGCGGGAAAGGCATACTGTACATACAAGAGGTTCTGGTATCACAGTGAAGCCAACGGGAATGTTGTATCAACTGAATATTTGTGCTCAAGAACCATTTGCCACTTGAGACGTTACACAGCTTATGACAGGTCACAGAAATGGAAGACAGTCAGTGGCGGGGTGTCTCACCGAGTTGACACGAACACTTGTACAGGGCATGTAATTGCCCTCCACTATTGTTCACTCTGAGACTCTCTGCGCATTCCTTTCTTTCTTCCGACTCTCCTAAATCTCCCTCTCAATATCTTTCTCGGCATCATTTATATCCGCTGCTTCTCTTTAGCTGCCGGGGCCTGTTCCTCGGTGGCTTTTCTCGATTCTTCCTCAATCGGCCCAAGATCAAGCAAAGTACAACAACAAGTGTATTGGATAACCCATGTTGAACTACCAACGTAGCATCTAAAGCTAGATATTTGGTACGGCATAATTTGAATCAGGGGTATATTTGCGGCGAGTCGTACAATCACATCACTATAGTTCATGCTCATAAAGGCATCACATAAACAATCCCTCATCCCCTAAACAATCTCTGAAAATCATAATCTCCACAAATCTAAGATGAATAAGGCTCAGGCGAAAACACCTTGCGGAAGCGGAAGTGAGACAGATCCCGGATAACCTCGGCAGTCTGCTTCATATTCCGCTTCACAATAACGGAAGTAGGCTGCGAGAACAGCTCATCGATCTCCTCAAGAGACTTGTTCTTGGTCTCCGGCATGAAGATAATCTGGTAGAACCAGCCCACCACGGCAATACCACCGTAGAAACCGAGAGTCAGTCCGATACGGGACATGGACTCCATCATGCGGGTGAAGTTGTAGGTGACGATGAACGAGCACAGGAAGAGGTTTGCGTCGGCGGTTGTCATTCCGTAGGAACGGAGGTATGTTGGGAAGACTTCGGACGGGATGACCCAGGTAAGACAAGCGTAAGAGCCGAAGAAACCCATGTACAAGATGATACCGGTTAGGTAGACACCCTCTGCGGCAGCGGGGTACTTTTGGTAGTCGATTGTGTAACCTGCGCCGACGAGGACGAGGCCGATGAAGAAGCCGGGCAGCATGACGTTGGCCCAGTAGCGGCGACCGAAACGCTCCATGTACAGGACGGCGGGGATACAACCCAGAAGAAGGGAACCGCCGCCAACGAGGGACATGAAGATGGAAGTGCGCTGGTCGAAGCCGATGGCGCCCATTAGGGTCGACATGTAGTACATGATTGCGTTGACACCGGTGAACTGGCCAAGGACGATCATGATGTTGGCGTAGACGATGGCGCGGCGGGCGCGCGGCACGGTGAAGAAGTCCATCCATGCGTATTTCTTGGTGCGGGCTTGTTCTTCAGATTCGGCGGTTACGGCTTGGCGCATGCCTAGGAACTCGTCTTTGGATTCGAAGTCGGCGAAGCCGCGGATCTTCTTCCAGACGGAATAGGCGGCTACTTCGTGGCCCTTGTGCATTAGGTAGCGGGGGCTCTCGGGCAGGAAGAGCATTCCCACGAGAAGGATGGTGGAGAAGACGAGAGAGGAGCCGAGAATGTAGCGCCAGTTCCCCGGGACATCGAAGAAGATGGCGGCGACAGCGTAGCCGAGGACTTCACCAAGGGCGATGTTGAATTGATAGAGCGAGACGAGGTTACCACGGAGCTTGCGGGGCACTGGGTGGTATGTTAGGTTGATTCCAGTATACAGCGTACGGGAGAGAAGAACTTACCACACTCCGCGACGTAAACAGGCACGGTACCACCTTCCAGACCAACACCCATACCAAGGATGAAACGGCCAGCGAAGATCATATCGAAGCTGATAGCGCCAGCCTCCAGGCCAGCACCGATGGTGTACAAGATACAAGAAACAATGATAGACATGCGACGGCCAAGGTACTCGTTCGACGGGGAAAGGATGAGAGCACCAGCAACAGCACCAAGAGGCATACCAGAATCGACCAAACTACTCTGTCCACTATTGAGATTCAGAGCGCCGGGGAGGTCAAGGTTGGCACCGCTAATCAGCGACTGGTCCAGACCAGAGAGCATACCACCCATAGAGGCAAAGGCCACAAGGACCCAGGTGAAGACGGCGGGATTGGAGAAGGTAATCTCGATCTCGGTGCGAGGCTTCTTCAGCGACGGCAGCTGCTCTTCGAGTTGGGCGAGCTCAGCATCCATCACAGCCTCTGTTCGGATGGACAGCTTTTGATCAGCCACCTCGTCGAACTCTTCGGCAACGCCATCCTTGTTCCAGGTGCTCTGGGGCGCCTCGGCGTCCTTGACGCTCTTTTCGTCTGCCATGATGGACGAAACCCGTATAGGGTAAGGGCGTGTTACGTGAGATTATAAAAGGGTAACAGGATCGGTCTCAGACCGGATTCCAAGGATGTTCACGGAGAAGGAAGAAGTAAAACGACTGGGGAAAGTAGGGTAGCAAAATGGAGGGGGAAACACGGACTATTTGAGGTCGATCTCACACACTCGCAATGACGCCCGGCAATACGCTTTACCTGTGACGCTAAGAAAAAACGCAGGCAGTGGGGAAGGACGGATATGGAAAAGTCTAACTACAGTAGGTTCGGCCGCCACCCCCATGTTTCTACCGGTATTCCATCTGGAGTACTGCGTGCTCCAGACGGAGAAATCGAACAGACACCAGGATGTGGAGACGGACCCGTCAGGACCGGGCCAACCATGAGATCGGACCAGGACGCCATCCATGAAGAAGAATGAGGGGAGAGAGGCCTTACCGGTGGCCAAAAGGTGACTAGCTACCGAAAAGAGTATGCATCGGCGTGGCTGGCCGGGATTCCAGAATGTGGAGGAGGCCGGAGAATCCGAGGGGATTGATCGGGCGTCTGGACGAATCGCAACCCGCAAAAGCTTAAACCAGTCCCGTTTCCAAAGTTCGACAACTTGCGCCCCAACTCTCAAGCCCATTTCGACCCCTGGGCCATCGCCACTGTTCTTCTGGAAGGGTTCCCGGGTTCCCGGCCCGTTGATCATCAGTCGGCGTGAGTGGAGTATAGGTATCAACGGGAGGTTGCAATCCGAGCCCATAACCCGAAAATATTTCGGGATCGACGACGAGGTCCCGAGATACCTGTCCGGCTTCGGAGAGTGTCCGTTGAACGTGTCATGCTTTGCGGACGGGACATACAGATTAATTACGCGACAGAATGGGGCGTTGGCTTCCCCATGGAGAGAGGAGTGTAGTCGGCGAGTCTTCGGCGAAATGCCCCTCCAGTTAGAGGACTGGCGTCCTCGGGACCATAGCTCTCGGGACGAGTCCGTGGAAACCGAGTCCCGATTCTCGCTAGGAAAAGACGGTGGCACGGGATCCCCATGCCCCATTCAAGGTTCATTCGTGCGGGAGTTGCCCGTCTGGCAGGCCGAGGGCGTCATTCGTTGGCTCTAAAGCTCGGTGGCTTGGCCGAGTGGACCAGCGCCAAAAGTTACATAATTGGGGGGATATCTCTGGATGATCACACGGTTTTAAACATTCCACTTCGATGGCACAATCATCGTGTCATCGGGGGTGAAATTGGGGGTTGGTCCACTCGCTTCCTCGCGTGTTGGTGCAGGGTGAAGTATACAAACGGGGAAACAGATCTGGGCAGGTTCACGGATCCCACGATACTCTACGTGGATGTGGGTTTGTTATTTCAAATTATTGTCATTGGGAGATATGTACGGTTCCAAGGCAATAAGAATGCAAAAACTCCCGACGCCATGCTGATGACAATGCGACCAAATGCAATGTTCCTTTCTCACCAAGGTCTCCCCGATGATCCCACCGGCTTCCTCACACTCGGATCAATATTCGGGCTCGGAGACCTTCCACCTTGGAGCCTTGCCCGCAGTCGCTCTTGTGCCGATCCAGTCCGCTCTTGGGACACGCGCGTAGAGGCCGTGGGCTGGTGCGACCCAAGTCGCTGGCTAGGTAGAGGTCGGGCTCCCTGGGGATGCAGACCACCTGACGGTCCGGGAGAGTGCGAGTGAGCTTGTGCGAGCGGTGGCGAAGGCGTAGAAACGGGACCCGGCGGCGCGGTGTTCATAGAAACAAGCGGGGGAGCATTGCCACCCCGGCCACGGCGGAGACTGGCTGTCTGCGCAGCTGCCGGTTTCGATGCACCGGAATCACCCCATAGATCGCCTAGACCTCCACCCCGGCTGTAGGCGGCGGTGGCGGGTGGCTGGCCATACCCTCCTTGGGGAAGCTGAGAGGTTGCCACGACACGGGTCGGCGCAGTTTGGGGTGTCTTGGGGTCCGGAGGCAGCCAGGGAGGGAAAGGACGTCCCTTTTCTATATAGTAGGCTCGGAGGGCATTGGAGATGTGCGAGCTGTCTTCGTTTTCGGGGTCATCTCCCTCGTCGCCTAGAGTAATGGCGCGGCGGAGGCTATTGAGCCGCGAGCCCAGGGCACTGGAGAGCGAGGTTGATGATCCAGTGAAGGACGAGAAGTAAGAGGTCATTTCGGGTGTTGAATTGTGTTGTTGGTGTGGATAAACAACGCGCGAGCGGTAGAGGACAGCTTCGATGTGGGGTGGAGATGATGCGGAGATGCAGCCCTGCAGAAGCCCAATGCAGGTGCGTGTAGAGTGTAGATTGGCACCGATCGAGCTTAAGCTCGACAGTTGTGTTGCAATTAGAGGTGATTAGACGCGCTTCCGACAAAACAACCGGCTTCTGTGGTCGTTGAAGAGTGGCGGTGCTGACGGGTGTGAAACAGGAGGCGGGTACCAGAACACGTGACCGTATACTTTGTTTCAGAAGAATCGAGCAGTTGAGTTGCGACAAGCGCATCGAATCACGGGAAAGACTACGGTGTTATGAAAAAATAAAAATGGAAACAACGAAAATGGTATCCTAGACCCGTATTGACAGATACATGTGGCAGTCGATGCAACAGCCGGGTATGATGCCCGATTACACAGAAAAATATAAAACTCGACCCAACGCCATGCAAGATCAGATAAACTTTTCCCAGACTCGGGGAGTCTATGCCATGACAAAGTCCCGACCAGTGTCTTCCTGCTCGTATTCGATCTCGGTGCGAGGGCCCTTGCCCTTCTGGGGTCCCTTCTTCCGAGGCTTGACCGGCGGCGCAGCGAGCTTCCGCTTGGTGCCAGGTTTGGGCTTCTGCTCATCCTCGCTTTGCTCGCTGTCGGAGTCACTGTCATCGTCGCTCTCGTCATCGTAGTCGCTGGAATCGGCCGATTCACCACCAAGCCAATCCTCAATATCCTCCAGATCCTCCTCATCATCGAGGTCACTAACATACTCAACTTCACCAACACCCTCCTCCTCATCCTCGATCTCCTCGCCGTCATCCAGATCCTCGTCGCGCTCACCATCACCAGCACGCTCCAGACCACGCATAACCTTCTTCCAAATCCCCTCCTCAACATTAAGCGGCCGATCACCGTACGCACCGCTGCGCAAACGCTCAATGAGCTCACGCTCAATAGCGCGCTCAACCTTAGCCGCAGACTCAGCCTTGCGCTCACGGGTCTCTTCACGACGGCGGATCTTAGGCGCCAGCTTGGGAACAATCTTCTCCCCAAGCCGGTCCTCCTCCTTGGCAATGTTCCTCATGCGGATGTTCACCTGCGTCAGGCGAGTAAGACGTTGCTTGCACTTGTGAACCAAAAATTTCGGCCAGTAGATGAGGCGGTCGTCTAGCATCTCCAGTGCCTTGGCGTAGTTCGACGGCAGGCGTATGCGCTCCCACCACTTGCTCGGCATGTGGGCTCGTTCAATGGTCTTCATGTACAGGTACATAGCGCCCGTCTCTGGGTCGGAGCGCACCGTCGCATACCGAGAGTTGGCGAGCGGGCAGGACTGCCGGTTGCACAGACCGCTGACGTTGTACTCATTGCGGCAGAAGTTTTGCCCCTTGGTGGTTCTGAGAGCGAGAAAAGATTTCGTTAGCGGAGTGTTCAGGTTTGCGGATCTGGCGACGGTCTCGAATTCTTCAAGATACAGGCAGGGAAACCGGGGGGGCTGGAAAATCAATTTAAGGGACTCACTTGAGTTTGTACGAGCAGAATTGCTGGTTAATAACTTGCCAGACGATTTCGTCCGACATGATGGGCAAAAATGAGAGGTGATGTTCGGTACTGGAGAACCGCTGCCCAGATGTTGATCGATGAAAAAAAAAGTGGCGGTCACGTGAATTGCTTATCGATAAGCGCGCCGTCAGTGGCCCGAAACTTCATCGATCTATACGCTTCGCCAATGGTTGCCAACATTATTCCCGTCGCTATGAATTATTTTGAATGGAAAGGGTATATGCATTTCATTTATCTTGCTAGTCTAGACGACATCTTCGTCATGACCAGCCCTCCATCTGGATCGGAGCCCCTTCCCACTCCGTCCCATTCATCATATGGCTGTGACCTAAATCGGAATCCTCACAAATCTCCTCCGCCCAACCCCATCCCATAGACTCCAATTCTCGGACGAAAAAGTCACGCTCCTCTTCCATTATAGACGGCCCTTCCGGTCCGCCCATAATGTCTTTGTACTGTCGCAGATGCCACCAATGCGTCAATCCGCGAAGAGCTTGCTCCAACGGCAGCGCCTCTTCCACCTCAGCATCAACATCGGAGCCCGCAAGCCAGTCGTCGCGCAACTCTGGTCGGCAATATAGGTAGATAGCGGTGATTACGCGCATGTTGCTCTGGCGCCATTTCCGGCCGCAGTAGGGCACCTGCGACTTGAATAACTTCAGGGTGTAGAAGCGGAGGTGAGGGTCAGGGATCTTGAGACCCTTGCGGAGAATGGTACTTGACTTGTACTGGACGAGAAGAAGGCAGCGGTGCGCTTTGTCGCGAGTGATCTTCTGCATGATGTGGAGGTAATTAATGGCGGAGAAAAAGTTTCGAAATGAGAAGGTGGTGATCGGCTCCTTCGGTAAAGGCGCGGTGGGATAGCCCAATTCATCAACCTCCGGGCGTGTCGGACCGCCTAGGCCATCGGTAACGCATTCTTCAGGTGAAAGTCGCACAGAGGTATTTCCTCTGGTTAAATTGGGGCGCTGTCGGGAGATTGGGGGTGGCACAGCCTCGTCTTCACTCTCAGTATCTCCGTCGGGATCTTCAAATTCAGCGTGGTGATCCGAATTCTCAGCGCAGAAATAGAAAAATCTGTCTAAAGTTAGCAAGCCATAATGTATGAAACAATGTGAAGATACTTACGACAAGTCTTCACGGTCGTTCTTTTGTGCCACAACCTGATCGACATCCTGATGAGCAAACATCTTAAGGATCAGAGGCAGATAGTTCGAGTCGAGCAGGAGCTGAGTCATATATTCGAATTTCAGAATATCTATCGCGGATTAGCAAAGCGTTCGTGATGTGAATACAAACAAAATGCAAACTTACGGGAACGTTTGAACCACTTCAACATAAGCAGCAAAGTTCCAGAAACGGCCTTGCCAGTGATCTCACGTAACCGGATATTATCGAGTTCGTCAATAGATGTATCAGGGAAGAAATCGGCTGAGCCATTCACACCGTGGCCGTTGCTGAATAAGTATGAGAATCTAGGTCGATTTGAGTGGGTGTTTGGGAGCCGTACCTCATGCTTTGAGAAGCAGATGTGTTCGCCTGATTGACCACAGCACTGACATTGGTCAAAATGATCTTCAAGAAAACGATCGTGATAGACTGCAGATGAGCCAAAGTATGAGCCTGCAAAAGTAATTTCGAATTAGTCATTGTAAATGAAGGGTAGTGGTGAAAACCGCACATAGAACGTTTCAACGGCATCAAGTCGTCTCTGGACATCTGGATCGTTCGTTTCCTTCTCCGCTGGTTTGGGCTGGGATGATTGTGTGCTGTCTGACAGGTCCAGCTGGTCCATCTCAAGAGACACATCATCGGGCACCAGTGACCCGGGTACGCGATAAGGCTGTTCAAAATTCCAGCCTCGGTCGTACTTCATGAAATTCTCGCGTTCACCCCAGAGTTGTTGCATCGCGCGAGTCATCTTGACGTGGGTTGAGAAAAGCTTGCCAGCCTCAATGATTGACGCCGGGACATCACTGCCCTCCCATCGCTTCCCAACCAGCACATCCTGGCGTTCAGTCGTGCCCTTTCCACCGATCCGATTGCTAGAATCGTCTAAAGGAGGATACATGAGTGGGAAGTTTTGATTAGTCTGGTAGTTCTGCTTCTTGCCAGCTTTTCCTCCAGGTCCGATGGGGGACGGAGGTGGAGATGGAGCCGGAGTGGCAATGTGAACAGCTTGATGAAGAATAGAGCCATTTCCACCAGCGATCGGGGGACCGACTCCGCAAAAGAGGCCACTGGACGAATTTGACCTTGTAGGGTGTTGCGGAAGAGGAGGTAGAATCGAGTTGTTCTCGAGTTCGAGGGGAACAATTGGGACAGGAGGATTGTAGGCGGGGTATTTTGAGGTAATCTCCTGGCGGAAGAGGTGATAGTCTAGAGGAGACGCAGTCAAAAATGGCGTCCGGCGGGTTGCAGAATCCTCTTGAGGAGGGAGACTTGGCTCGAGCACCTCTTTGGCCCTCCTCAATTCATCACTGCCACCAAAAACAAGGAGTAGTGACTTCCAAAGCAAAAGAATGATTCTGGTAAGAGGAATATTCGCGGACTCGTCCCATCTTAACCGGGCAATTATTTCAACAATGGTGACTAATAGACAAGTATTCGACTCGGCCAGCGCGTCACGAATCAAAATGCACTGAGGATTTTGAGCTTCTTGTCTTCGGCCAACCTCGATGCTAAAATAGAGCACAGTAAGGACCAAGTTGGCCTCGCGCTCGGGGGCTGCGATATCACCCGGGTTGAGTTTTTCAAACTCACTTCCATCTGAGTCGGGCCCTAATGGAGAGCGATTCTTGTCAAACAAATGGGACAACTTCTCGACCAAAAGTGGGATGCCAGAGCATTGCTGAAGAAGCAAGACGTTCTGCTCGATCCATGAAATCTGCAGCGACTTATACCGAGGAGTTTCTGCCGCTGTTCGCGGATCTGAACTCGTAGAGTAATCCGGTGCAGCGCGTCCTGCTGTAAGCCCCCACACGCCTGTGACAGCGTAGCAAATGTTCTCTAATGCCTCCAAGCGCGTCGAGGCTTCGGCATGTCGCACCTTGTCGAGGGATTGGTTCATAAATGTCCGACGAAGGTCGTCTTGTGCATCTATCCACGAGAGGTCACCAGGTTTGAAACCGTTTTGTTCACCAAAAGCGCTCCATTGGCGATCAAAGGTCGCTTTCATTCCCATTAACATAACGCGGTCGAATTCGTTGTATTGGAACCACTCCTCGATCTCTTCAGGGAACGGCTGCGCATCTGCATACTCAAATGCATATGCAGGCTGTTCCACTTTTGGCATCTCCTGCACCAACCTTCGGAGCTGTGCCAGGCTGAGCGAGTCCGGGGGTCGATCCGCATTCTGCTGAACGGGGGCGGGAGGAGGGGGTTGCAGCGGTGGAGGAGGTGCTGATCCCTCTCGGCGAAGCTCTGGTCGTTTCGGTACATTTACAGGCCGGTTCTCAGCAGAAGTCTCCGTCATGGGTGCGGCGGAGGAGGCCTGCTCTTGCCGCAGGCCCTCCGCAACCTCCTCCATCAATTGCTCATCAGGGACGGGCGAAATATCCGTTCCGGTCTGGTCAACTTCGTCGGCCTTGACTATGTGCTGCTCCGGAACAGCAGCATCGCTTGCTGAAGGTGGTGTTTCCATCCCGTTGGCCTTGCGGAAGCTCGTCGTTCGTACAAAAACACGGGAGTGTGGATCGCCAGAAGAGGGGTTATCACCTGGGGGTCAAAACGGGTGATATTAGGGGGAGGCGAGAGGAAAGAATTGAAGAGAAGAGAGTTGGATCGAATGTGGCCTCTTGCAACAGGACCATGTCGCAGCGAGCAACCTCGTCGAGTCGACGCAGCAATGCGGAGCTGCGGTGATATCGAGATAGCGGTCACGTGGGTCACGCGTCGCCGACTACCGAGAGAAAGTGGAAGCAAAATGGGTCTGAAGTTGCCAGAAACGCCTCTATATGATTGTCTGTTCTACATTCGGTATATCTGATAGCTGTTTGGAGATATCTCACTCCGATTTGCGCGCTTCACTGTGGCGCTGCTTCAGTTTCTGTGCTTCCCATCGTAGCCAGCCGGCCTCAGCCAAATCTTCACTAACCACCAAATCACGGACTCGAAGCAGACGCGCTACGGTCAGGTCCACAGCCCAATCGATCCAGCCCGAGTTTCGTAGCAGGCTGGTGAGCACAAACCAACCGCAGGCGAACACGAAACCGGCCCCACAACCTGCTAGCACCTGTCTGGGAGTGTGGTAATTCAAGTAAATACGACTCGCCGCGACACCGACCGCAGTAGCACAGAGGCCCACTGTAACGGCCGCTCGAAGGAGAAAACCGCAGTAGGGATAGGGGCCCGCGTAAGCCGGGGTGTGTCGAAAGGCCAGGAACAGGGTGAGGTAGACAGCGAAGAACGTCATAAACTGGGCATGGGAGGACGGCATGCCGTAGCCTTTGCCAAACATTTCTGTAGGGTAACGGTCAGAATGCATATGCACGCGTCGACACGCTCAACTCAGTTGACACTCACCTCTCGGTCGCTCCTCCTTTATGAGCCGCTTGAGCGCGAAGTTCAATGCCTCACAGGCCAGTTGGCCCGCAAACATCAAGATGACCTCCATCTCCCTCGATGCCCATACTAGGGTCGCATAGGAGACACATAGTGCCTGTGGCAGCAGGGCGAGCCACGCCGACAATAAGGACAGGGGATCCTCGGGATTCTGGGCAGCAAGTCAGTTTGATCTATTTTGGGGCCAAAACACGGTAGACAAAGGACGCACATAATGGACATGTGTCAAGGACAACGAGGCCAGTGGAGTGTCACCCATGGTGGTGCAGGCAGCTCCAGCTTTGCAGCTCGGGGTAAACACGAGAAACACGGTAAAAGGAAGGAGGCGAACGATAAGAGATAGCGGGAACATGCAGGCGGGGAAGGCGAATCTCGATGACACGAAAAATTCATCAGGCACCAAAAGGGCCTCCCACTTTCTTTTGTTTCTCTTTTTCTTCTCTTCCGCATTGCGCTCTTGTGCCCTTTTATCACTACCGTTTCACTTCGCCCCAAACCATGACGCAGTCCCTGTCTTCCTATACTCCCCTCTTGTTACATCATTCAATAGACCCCTCTCCCACTCAGTGGACTCGGTTGACCCAACCACGAATAGTCCGCACGCGAGTACCGTGATCCTGATCCGTGGCTTTCAGGTACCAGGGTATCGCAAGTTGAATTGTCTCCTGCAGCACACGTTTGTGCCCGACCCGATACTCTCCACCTATAACCAGTGCGCGAGCCTTCTGCGACGGCCATGAGCGCCGGATTATAAGACGTGCAGAGGCCGATATATTGCGGTTTATAACATTCAGGAAGCTCAGAAATCTCTGTGCCTGAATCGCGAATACCGAACTCCGAAATGGCCGACCTCGAGTCGTCCGAAGACGACCGCTCTGTGGAATTGTCCTCCATCGCCGCTATCTACCCGGAGATCAGAGTCGAGCCCGACACCCCATATAAAGCCGCCCTAGACCTTCCCATTGCTCTGCCATCGCCGACCCATGTCTGCTTCCAGCAATCACCCGATGTTGGCCTCTCCGCCGCCTTGACGCCCCCCACCTCTGTGGATGGATCGAAGGCCGATCTCGGTCTGGCTCCTACCCGAGATGTCCATGTAGTATCACATTTGCCTCCTCTCAGTCTAGAGATCGAATTGCCGGACGGATACCCGTCAGAGAAACCCCCAGTCGTTCAGCTGAGCACCACTCCGCCGTGGTTACCAGCTACCGTTCTCGTGAAGCTCTCCGATGATTGTCGACGGCTATGGGAGGAATGCGGGAAGGATATGGTAGTATATACATATATCGATCATCTTCAACAACTCGCCGAATCAGCCTTTGGGATTCAGGACTCCTCCGACGGCGAGCTATGCCTGTCACGAGATCTGAAGGTCGCCCTATTGGACTTTAACAGCAAGACGGAACGGGAGAAGTTTGAACAGGAGACATTTGAGTGCGGTGTATGTTTGGAGCCGAAAAAGGGTATCAACTGCTATCGACTACTGCGCTGCTCCCACGTCTTCTGTATTCCTTGCCTACAAGACTTCTACAACACTTGCATCACCGAGGGTGACGTTGAGGGTGTCAGATGTCTTGCTCCAGACTGCGAAAAAAATCAGAACCCAAAACGTGCCCCCGGGGCCGACACCGATATACCGCGCCGCAAGAAACGTGACCGAACACTGGGACCCAGCGAGCTTCTGCAGATTCCATTGACTCCAGAGACAGTGCAAAGATATGTCTTCCTGAAGCGCAAAAAGAAGATCGAGGCCGACAAGACGACGGTATACTGTCCACGAGAGTGGTGCCAAGGTGCAGCCCGATCAAAAAGACACCCGAAACCAACGGATCCAATGGCAGACGATGCCGATGCATCTGACGAGGAAGAAGGGGTTGCATTCGATCCCCTTGGTGAGGATGGTCAGCTGCCTCCCATGGCCGAGCGGGTAGCCATCTGCGAGGACTGCAATTACGCCTTCTGCTGCGTCTGCAAAAAAGGCTGGCACGGCGAGCTAGTTTATTGCTCCCCAAGGCGCCAAGCCGAGCAGACAGTAGAAGAGAAAGCAACCGAGGCCTACCTGCAACAGTATACATCCCCATGCCCAACTTGCAATGTCCGTTGCCAGAAACGCATGGGCTGCAACCATATGCGCTGTACCAAGTGCGAAACCCACTTTTGCTATCTCTGCTCCTCTTGGCTATCCGCAGACAACCCATACCAACATTTCAACAACGACAGCAGCCAGTGTTATAACCGACTATGGGATATGGAAGGCGGAGATGGTCTCGATCCCGAAGGCGCCGAAGCTCTACACAGAATCCCAGAAGCACTACTGGTATTCGATGATGAGGACGAAATCCCGGACGCAGAGAGCGACGTTGATAGCGACGGCAATGTTGACGAACCTGATTGGGACATTGACTTTAGCGACAATGAGGATGACCACTACCCCTTCAACCATCCTCCTCCCCCTGCACCAGTCCCACCCCGTGCCCCTGGCGCAGCTAGAGGCGGTGGCGCGAACAACCGGGATCGCGATGCCGCCGCTCGTGCAGCAGCAGCAGAGCGCCAGGCCCAAGCACGCGCCATGGCCGAAGTGCGCAACCGTAACCGCCCTGTACAGCGACCTGAGCTTGGCCGAGATGAGGCACAGGTTGCTGCCGCACGAGACCGACATGCTGCACTACAGCGGTTCTTGTTCATGGCCCAGAATGACATGGAAGACGAGTGGGATAGTGATGAGTTGGAAGATGATTTCTGAACTCGGGTGTTGCAATATAAAGCCTGGTTCCCTTGCTCTTTGATGTTAACGAGAAATGATTCCCTATGAAGTTGATGTCTGCATGTGCCTAATTCCCTCTTTAGCTTTTTTGTTTTATTTTCTCTTTCTGCATCGCTTGAGCGGTTTACTTTCTAATTAGCTTTAGACTTACACAACACTGCATTGGATACGAGTATCATTTATTTCCTAGTCCGTATACTAATCTGCCCTAATCTGTATCTAATTCAGTCGACGGGCTACCCTAAGTAGGAATAATGTCATTTTTTTCAGATTGGATCTCGCGAATAGATTTGTATGCACCCTTCTATACGCATTGATTTTTAACTCTGCTACTTATGAACAAGCCCCTCTATGTTTTTCCCCTCGCATTCGCGTTATTTTCTGCTCAAAAATATCTACTGTGGCTGATACAGTATATCGGTTTACTTTCATAGATCACACTCTCCAATGGCTATCGGAAGACGAACAATCCAATGACGACCTCGAGTTACCCGATGACAGTGTAGGCCAAAATATACGACGCGCTTTTGTCCCGATAAAGGAGCTCTGTATGTAGTATGGACTTCCATCTAAAACACTCCCTACACTGACTTCTTTTCTGGAACGTCCCTGTCTTGATTTGCATGGTTGACGAGGCAGCGACCAAGTTAAAGAAATCTAATGATTAGCGGCAAAGACGAAAAGACGGCTTGTTGGACGCATTCTCTTCCTACTTGGTCAAAGCCAAGAGCTGTCGTGGCTCATATTCTTTGAAGGCATTTCCATTTTCGATGACTGGAATGATTAAATGCTCAATCCAGATCTCGAAACTTGGTGCTCTAATCATAACACAAATTACCTACATAGGCAAATGCAATATTCATACAAGGCTCTGGCGTTTCAACACGGCACGAAGCCCTAGATCGCATGCCCGCATGCGGACACTCATATTGATTTCTCGGGCCCGCTCCAAAATTTACGCTGTCTCTTTGGCCTTCCAGTCGTGCCAGAACTCGTAGCTCATTACTGTGTGGTCACAGAACAATAAGAGCAGCCTGTAATGGCGTGACGGATGCCAGCCGTGCCAGTCCTCTTGGGGCCGGTAGGCGCGGAAGGCCTCTGCGTGGAGTTCCGGGAGCGTATGAGTTTTGGGGCCCTCTTCCTCTGACATTTTGTCGGACATGGTGCCAGGTTCGGACTTGTCAGAGTCAGAGGGGCTGTCGGAGTCCCCGAATGGGTTCCCGAACGGATTGAAATCTGCAGATGGGGCGGCTGCAGAGTGAGTAGTTGGATTCTGATTGGGGCTAGATGGTCTGGATGAAAAGTGAGAGGATGAGTCGTTACTTTCGTCTTGGTCGAGGATACGGTAGTTGAATTCGAGCCAGTCGTCAGGGTCGACGCCCCGGGGGATATGAGGGACGTCTTGCGGGATCTCGAAGCCCGGCACGGGGCTGACGGCGAGGCCAAGGAGGGGGACTTCGGGACGTTCGTTTTTCTGCTCTTGAGTGAAAAAGGGGACGATCCAATCCAGTCGGAAGCTGAAGCCGACCTCTTCTTGCCAGGTGAGTGAGATGATGGCTACGCGGCCTTTCTGAGAGGCTGCCACGACAAGTCCGAGCTCGGGAATGGATTTCACCATGTTGAAACGATCAAAGTGGATACTGATGTCGAAAGACCGGAATGCCTGGAATAGGGCGTTCCTGCAAATCAGGTGATATTCGGAGTCCATCGGGTAAGGAGCAAGGCTGATGGTGCGCTCGGAAAAGTGGATGACGGGGAAGAAGTCAGGGAACTGAGCTACGGTATTCGAGTGTCAGCTTATTTTCCCCCTCTGAAATGGCCCTCAAGTATTTTTTGGAAATGGGCCGCAAGTAAGATCTTACGATGCACAGGCTTGTTGTGTAGGCCGTCGAAAGTGGTCACCAAATTCCTCCCGAAGCCCGGGAACACGTATGGAGTAACCCGGAAGTGCGGGTTTTCTTCTTCGAAGAGGCTGACCAGAGGGTTTACCGAGCGTGTCCTTGAAGTTGGACTGAACCAAGAGTTTGCGTACTCTGAACCAGCCGAAGAGTTAGTAGAGGCTCGTAGAGAACCTTGTCCCACGCCAGTAGATGAGCGAGATCGGTTCTCAAGTATGCACTCTTCGGAGAAGACGAGATCATCCGGGAGACAGTCGTTTATGACAGGCTCAGGCAGATTGTATGTTCCCTCAACGAGCTGGGTCGCATCAGTGACTTCTTCGATTGCTTTCGACACATCTAGTAATGTCCGTGATGCAACTTCCTCCGTCATTGGTTGGCATCCACATGCTTCAACTCTCCGCTTGTGATGTTTGAATATTCGTGGGTCCAGAGGTAGCACTGCCCAGCCTCTCTGCGGTGGATTATTCGAGGGGTCACCGGGAGAGTACACTCGAGAGGGCCATAAGTCGTCCCACAACCGCCATATAATAACCCTATTACTAATGTCGGTGCTCACCATCCATATGCCATTAGCATCAAGGTCGAAGTTGGCAAATGAAACACAAGGAATATTATCGAAATGACCTCTATAGGTCAACCGCAAGTTGCGGGATCGGTGGTTGTGGGGCATAAGCTCCCGAAGCGCTCGCAACTGTTTTCGGTTGTTGATAGAGACCCAGGTCTGGTCTGATAACAGGCCGCGATCTTGAGAAATTTGGGGTTGAGAGGATTGTGGTTTTTTGTCTTCATTCATAGCAGCGTCCACCAGTGCGAATGCATACACTGTAATCTGGCCTGTGTTGGAGCTGACGGCAATCAGGCGGGCGAACTTGTGAGTAGCTAGACCCCAGGCACTCATGCCTACATCTTCTGTGAAAAAGGGGCTCACTTGAGTTCCATCAAAGGGCCGTTCAAGTTTCTCTTCCTTGCAACGGGCCAGGGCTGAGTAGATCACCTCCACGTGGTAGCCGCATACATTGCCGGAATCTGTGACCAACAGGAGAATCTCGTCGCGCCCTAGGTCATCCACAAGGATCGCATTGATTGTGTGCGGATTGGATCGGTCGATATAGCCATCTGCAGATGGCGACTTCATTACAGGGTTGATAATCATTTCTGGTTGAGATCCTAACAGTGCAAAGGGACCCGACGGCACCCAGACATTGATGTCGCTTCCGGATGCCACAAAAAGCAGATTGCGCCTCTGCGAAGCAGCCGCCTGAAGACTGGTCAGCTAGATACATACAAGCGGAGCCTCAAGGTCTCCCACCAGATTGGACCTCCATGTCGCGACGCGCGGTCGGTGGAAGTCTTTGTTTCTTAAGAAATAATCAGCAAGGTCCTATTTATACTGTTGGTTCACGTGTCACATACGCAGGGAACTGTCAAGATTAGTTCAAGATGCTCGCGTGAGATATTTGGGATAACCCATGAACAGATGAACTCACTCTGTCTTTCACTGTTTCCACATGGAGAGCTTGAATCTGGGGCCGAAGGGGAGCGCAGTAATCAATACCAGGAAGATCAGGAGAAAACAATTCGCTCTCGTCACTTTCCGACTCCATCCTCAAGCTAGGGTAGCTTGTCGCTAGATGGGGACAAAGTAGAGTAGGAGTTCGGCTACCGGTGTTAGGAGTGGGCGAAGGGGAAAAGGGAAGGAGGCGAAGTTATTATTTTCATTGCCGGGGACCGCATCGAAGCAGGACAAAACAAAAACGCAGCATATGAGGACATCATCAGACTAAGACACGGAGAGACATTATCGGTGACGGCGGGGATGTGGAGCTCTCGATGAAATGCACCCCTTCACCGCCTTCCGTGCTTTATCGCCGGCCTTCATCTTTGACGCATTTCGGCTTCACCTCAGCATGGATCTTGTCGCTGGCGTACGCAAAGAAGGCAGCCGGTGAGTCTCCTGTTTTCATATCTCGTCCTGAATCATATTGACTGACGTTTTTTCTTAGTGGTGGCCGCACGGAGTTCAAATGGTCCGACGTCAAGGACTCGTCCCATCGCGAGAACTATCTCGGCCACTCGCTGATGGCCCCGGTAGGACGATGGCAGCAAGGAAAGGATCTCTCGTGGTACGCCAAAGGCGACGAAGATGACGCAGAGGCGCAAGCTCTCAAGCAGCGCGAAGAGATCCAGCGAGTCAAGGATGCCGAAGAAGAAGCCATGGCCATCGCCCTAGGCCTACCTCTCCCTGCAAAGGCGGAGACAAATGCCAACCTGATTCCCTTGGGAGTCAAGGACACAACGAAAGCGGATGAGGACATTTCGAGTGCTAAGGATACGAAGAGGGATGGGCGCTCAAGCCGGAGGCACGGGCGTGATCGTAGTCGCAGTCCTCGCCGAGAGAGACAGGATCGCAGTGACGACCGAGGCCGGGATAGAGAGAGCAGGCATCGCCGACATGATGATGATCGGGATCGGGACAGGGACCGCCATCACCGAAGCCACCACCACCGCTCACGGGACCGAGATCACCGACGGAGACGATCTAAATCGCGTGACCCCGACGAGTGGCGACCTTCTATGGACAAGGGGAACAACGAGCGCAGAGACGACAAGCGGAGGCACGACGACCGCCGAGGTGGCGAACGCAGTCATCGTCGGCCCGACCGCACCGACTCACCAAGTGAGCGCCGGCGAGATCCTGAACGTCGCAGAGACCGAGAAGACCACGACCGCCGGCATTGAATTACGACCGTTGATATGAACCTACGAAGCATTCTTGCTTAAACGCGTGATTAATTTGCACACAAACACACACAAACACCATCGCTTCAAATCTATGCGACTGTCTAATTTACATTCAACCTAACCTACAGCTCGTCGTGACCAGTGCTAGCCCCCTTAGGCAGGTCCGGCATGGACATCATGTTCACAACCATACTGGTCCAGCCGGTAAAGTGCTGCGTCCGCTGCCCGTTGCCCGAATCGGGGTTGTACTGTTCCCAAGCGAAGCCGGTTTTCTTCCATTCCCGGAACACGTTTTCGACCAAATTCTTGCGCAGCTTGGAGTACATTTCACGGGCCTGTTCCTGGTGTGGACCGGGAACAATTGCGGTGTCCTAAAGAGAAAGTTAGCTTGAGAAACGAGAAATAGCTGGACAAACTTACATAAAGGTTTTTTAACACCAAATAGTTGATGTTCATCCAAACGGGGCTTCTCCAGTAGTTCTCCTCAGTGCCGTAGTACTCGTCCTTCTTACTCAGACTTCGAATTCCGTAGTCACTCCACAGCTCCTCGGGGTCATTGATCAGGTCCAGCACGGGCTTGAGCCTCGGGCTGTCAGGTCCAAGCAAGCCGGTCAGGAAGGGGAAGAGGGAGATGTATCCCTTGTGACAAACATGGACGCTTTCCTCGAACTCATCGATCGTAGCATCGCAGAATGTCTGCTCCTTCTCGCTCCAGTGCAGGTCATCAATGTTGCGCATAATGGCAGTTTCGTAGTAGGCAAACTCCTCCATATCTTCTTCCTCGCCCAGATACTGCGCAATACGACGCATAGCGCGGCTCATCATGCCCATCCAGCTAATAAGATCAACATGCAGCTCGCCGGGGTGCGGCGGCTGGGCTCTAGGGTAGTCATCGATACCGGATGTCAAAATGTGCTGGACTGAGCGTCCACGCCAGCGGTAGCCTTCCTTGGTAGAGAATGCTTCGCGATCGTACGACTTAATGTCGCCACGTTGGGTGTTCCGATACCAGAAATAGTGTCTCTTCATAAGTGGGTAGAACGAACGGAGGTATGCTTCGGAGAGTTCAGGGTTCCGCAGGGTAGCAGTACGAAGGCTCTCGGCCACATCATTGTTGTCCAGGGATTCGAACTGCGTGCTCTTGTTGCTCTTCGCTTTATCCACGAAAGCTTCCAATGCCATAAACAGGGTAGGTGGGTTGGCGTAGTGCGGGTACTGAACGGTGAACTCGGGTGGCACTTTGCTGCGAGCTTCCATTCCGAGAATTTGCTCGCGAGCAATCCAGCCATCTTCGTCCATCAGATGGAACCAGCTCTTGATAATTTCGAGTCTAGAAGAATTAGTATTCAAAAGACCTATAAAAGAGAGTGTTTGGGAACATACGCAAGGTCAGAGTCGTATTCCATCACGGGCATCAGGTGGAAACCCTCATCCCAGAGGAAGCCTCTCGGGAAGAATGGCCGTGAAGGAACGCAGGTGAAAAGATCCTTGGGGGATCCAATGACTGGCTTAGCCGCAGCTCGAGCCTCGGCTGTCTCTTCCCAGAAACCTTCGTTCTCCTCCTCGTATGCGGGAGAAGCAGACCGGTCCACGACATCATCACCATGGAAGAAACCAATGCCACCAATCAGGTTTGAAAGCATGGCCTTGGAGAACTCCAAGTACTTTGTAGAATCAAATGGAGCCTGGGGTGCCAGGACCTGCTTGAATCGCTCAGAGAAAGACAAGGAGGAAGCTTCTAGCTCCTTGGTCAGTGTCTCCGAGGTCATCGGCTTGGGAGCGGAGCCAGAAGAGAAGAGCACATCAAACTCAAAAGCACCCGTGAAGACCTTCTGAACAATGTGGACATTGCCATCGCCGGGCGCGTGCTTAATGGTGAACAGCTGTGCCGGCGGCGGCGGGTCATCAGTTCCAAATTCCTTGATAGTGTTGTCAACTTCGCCCTTCATCTGGGTGAACAGGATTCCCTTGGCCTGCCAAAGTTGCTGCTGCGCCATCATCGCACTAGACACAATACCGTGGCCCAATGGCTTTTCATCATAACTCGGGTGATCATGTTTGAAGTACTCATTGCTGTCCGGACCGTCGGTGACATCAATGGAGAAATCCCCGAGTTCAGAAGAGTAACCCGTGAATCGCACATCACCCTCGACGGGCGCGTCTTCCGACACAGTCTTAGGGTCAACACCCAGCTGGCCCAGACCCTCAAGCGTTGTATAGAAGATCATCGAGATCGGCTGGTCAGGGCTACCGTCTTCGCGAGGGGTACCCTTCACCCGGAAGCCCCAACTACCACCATGCTGGCCCCCAGGTACCTTGATAAAATCGATCGTCAGGTCCAGTGTGTTCCCGGCATCATGAATAGTCTGGTGTCCACCCTTCCGAACGTCGTATTCGTCCCAGCCATATCCAGCCATGCCTTCATTCTGTTCGCAGGTGTGCCTAAAGTCTTTAACCCCAATATCAGCAACTATCCTAATTCGAGGACTCGGGGGAATCGGAGCATACTTTGCTGTGCGGTCGCGAAATCATCAACCTTCGCCCACATCAAGCCAGCAGACAAGCTGTTAGCGATGCGAGGGCGCACGCCGAAGTAGAGGTTGGGCTTGTAGGGGCCCCATAGCAGCGACTCGTTATTAGCGCGCGCGGCCTCTTTAATCAAGATGGATGCATCGTAGGGATCCTGGCTTGCAAAGATCCCAATCGCATACAGAAGCGATGTAAGTAGAACGGAGATCCTGAGATGATGCATCATTGCTTCGCATCACTCAATTGTCGACATTGGAGAGTTTCAAAGTCCAGAGCGGAGCTTGCTGTTCTCTCCGCAATTACGTGGCCCGAGCTCCCCGCTTGGGATTCCGCCCGAGCGGCGTCAGGTCAAACTATACACGAAATTGCAACCTTGTGCAACGTACATGCTAATGTATGATCTCTTGTATATTTATTTTAAATTTACAGCTGTGTGCGTGGATCCAGTGATCCAATCTTCGCACTCTTGGCCTTGCCATCAAACACAAATTCGCTCATGAGCTTTCCAGTCCCAGGGCCGTTCTGAATGCCCCAGCAGGTGTGGCCAGAAGCAAGATAGAGTCCCTTATCATGTGTCAGGCCCACTAGGGGACCTCCAGGACCAGTGCAGTTGGGGAGATAGCAAGCCTGTCGGGTGGTCACTTGGCCATCACGCAGCCTATCCGAGACACTGCCCACCTGATCAATGATATCCTGAATACGCTCGGGATCTACCTCGACTTCGGCAGATGTCTTGGGTAACGGGACCTCTTTGTCTCCTTCACCGCATGCATAAACAGTGTCGTCGGGGCGCGCGTAGATCTCCGGCGCGGCCACTGTCGCCCGTGACTTCTTCGCGGGGTCGAAATTGGCTGGAATCTCGATGTTCGTGAACAAAGCATATGCACTGACTGGTATTGTCGGTTTAATTATAACGCTGTGGGCACGCATAGCAGAAATCGGTGCTTCGGGGAGAACAGCCCGGGTCCATGGACCGGCAGCAACGATCACATCGGTAGCAGGAATGGTGCGCGATTCACCCGAGGCTTTATCGGTGTACGTAACCGACTCAACCTGGCCATTAGGACGAGCGATATCTGTAACCTGCCCCAAAATGATCTCCGCACCTTTTTCTTGAGCCAGCTTGGCCATCGATGTAGTAAAGAGATACGGGTGGACTTGGGCAGTCTCACCGGGCCCGCTCATGCTCTCGTAGGCTCGAATAAGGTCGGGCTCAATCCAATCCAGATCCTGCGGGATTCTAGCAGACTTCAGCTTCGAAACCGCAGCCGCACTACGCTTCTGCAGCGATTCTCCGCTCTCTTTCTTTTCGGTCTTCTCGGTCATGGCGCGGCCTTTGACGACGACCTGGCCACAGTTGGTCTCTCTGTAACCCCACCGGTTCTTTCCATCGTGTTCCTTTGCAAGTTCTGCGTGCAGAGCAAAGCTAAGGTCCACGATGTTGCTTGGATAAGCCCATTGCGCGAGAAGTCCGCCCGCCTTGCCTGATGCCCGGCCTGCAATGTCGGAGGCTTCGAGAATAGTGATATTATGGCGGGATGGGTCGAAAAAGGGGTGTCTTGTAAGATAGTATGCTGAGCAGCATCCAATGATTCCACCACCTATGGAAGCTGGTTAGTATGGTGGCGTGGGGTATCAAAATCGCAAACGGTCTGCGCTTACCAATAACAACAATTTCACGGCGATCTCCTGCGGCCGACATCTTTCTTATCGGCGCAATCTTGGGAGCTAGTGATCGTAATGAAGCCACGTTGGGGGAGTGTTGAAAAGAGCAACTGGGAGAACCGGTGTTGGTCAAAAGCAGGCTACGTCACTTCCGTTGGGGTATGCCCAGTCATGCGCGGCTCTTTACATCAGCTACAAGAAGATATCTACAGGTTCCTGAAATGAGTTCCGGAGTAAAATAGCATATGTCTAGATTTCTCAGGCTATCAATGAACATGTGGCAATAAAATAACAGACTTTGCCGTAAAATTTTGATCTTCAAAAAACCGGGATACCATGCTCCACGAATGCAAGTTGTGCTGGGAATAAAAAGCAGTTTAAAAAAGTAAATCTCCCTCCGACCTTGGAAAACAGAAATGAGTAGCGGAGTAACCCAAGAGAGGTTAGAGAATTAGGACCGCGACGGACTGAGTGGTCTGTTGAAACCACCCGTGCGGTTCATGTACTGGCGGTACTCGCTCTTCTTCTCCTTCCGTACACCGTAGATATCGTTTCCAGGCACCTTGGAGTTCTTGGTGGTTCGGAATCTGCTGAATCCCATGCTTCTCCGCATCATCTCGTCCATCTCGTCTTCGTCCGCATCTTCCTTGAAGTCCACATCCATCTCTTGCTTGTAGTGACCAGGACCCGACGCGCCATTGGCGCCTCGCCCGTCGTCTCGGGCTCGAGGATCTCTGCGCTCAGAGCGGCGATCTCCTTTGTATCCTCGCGAGGGTGGTGATCGTGATCGGGAAATCTTGGTGCCGTTACGCGCGGGAGATCGCGAACGTGAGCGGTCGCGAAGTTTCTCGCCTTTAGGTGGGTACCCTGTAGATTTAATTATGGTCAGAGATGCTATTCTTTGTCCAAGGATTGCCGTGGCTTGTAGCTTACCTCGCCTGTCATGACCACGTCCTCTGCTGTCCCTGCCCCCACGACCGTCTCGGTCCCTCCGGTCTCGGTCATTGTCACGAGGATCTCGAGACCAGCTCCTTTCTTGCTTTATATCTTTCCGATCGCGGGAGCGCGAGCGGTATCGACGATCGTCACGGGGGGCGTCGCGTCGGTCGTCTCTGGGAGGTGGTGGGCGTCTGCGGTCGAGATCCGACTCTGGCTCCGCAGAGCGAGCATTTGAATCATTCATATCCCACATTGCGCTACTGTCGACACGCCGAGCGCGTTTGGCTGGAGGTTCCGCCATGGCGATTGCCCAAGGCGAAAGCTGCTTCGCGCGAGTGGTAGGATGTGCTGAGGTGAGATGAAGGGAATGGGTTCGTTCACTTATGTCGGAAATGAAAAATGTCCGATGAATTAGAGAGGAATGCAATAGCGCATTGCCAGCCGAAATTAAGCCGAGGGGGTATCAAGTTGTCGCAACGGGGAACCGGCCAGCGCTGCTGGAAGAGAAGTTTATTACGGCGATCAGAAAAGACCTTTCGCGCAGTTTGATATTGCCCGGTGCCACCGCCGCTTTGGGCTGGTAGACAAAGATGATACAAAGATGATTTTATTTTTTTTGGTGGTTTTTACTATTGATTGGGCGTCTCATTTGTGCCAACTTCACAGAGACTAACACTGCTCTGCGAATAACCAAAATTGACTGAAGCACAATCTAGCCTCACTGGTGGTCTGTCTGGGTTATGATAGATTTCCAGTGGTCAAATATTTCAGCATGGTTCTCACATACAGACTTGATCAATTCATATGCATCACTTCCAATAATGAGTCTTCCTGGAAGATTCTTCCCTTGAGCAACCCCAGTTCCAAGGATAATATCCACCATCACCTTTGCCCCCTTGTGCACATCCCCAGGTTGAGTCTGGTCAAGTTGTCCAATCTGAGATTCTTTTGTACGAATTTTGGATCCTTCATAGTCCTTGATGCGACGAGAAGGCCCTTTCATGTTCTTTGAGCCAAGAAGATCTGAGCGGAAGGCTCCGGGCTCAAGGGCGCTGACTTGAATTCCAAATTCTGCAACTTCATCCCGAAGTGCTTCCGCATATATTGATAATGCTGCTTTAGATGCAGCATAGGTCCCCAGTGCTGCAGAGCCAACCCAAGCAGCCATTGAGGAAACGAACACTATACTTCCCGATCGGTGGGAACGCATGGATGGAAGAACTGCGCGAGCAAGGTTCAAAGGCCCAAAGACATTCGTCCTGAAAACACTCTCGTCTTCCTCAATCCTTCCGAGACCTAGCTTAGTATCAAAATTGCGAATTCAACTGCCGAAATTACTTACTTCGTTTCTTCTACCCCTCCTGTGTGAACAAAACCGGCATTGCTCAGCAGGACATCAATTCGACCATAGACCCCGAGCGCTCCCTGCACAAACCCATTTATTTCATCCACAGGTGCAGTGACATCCAGTGCGAACGTCTGTGCTCCCGCATCGGCTAATGCTGCGATGCTTTGAATATTTCGTGCTGTTGCGATGACCTTCTCGCCTCTCCCCAGAAGCTCACGAGCAAATGCGTCTCCAAAGCCGGACGAGCAGCCAGTGATGAGCCACACCCGTGGTGCCATGCTGCTGCTTTGTGGAAAGTTGGTAATCAATTCGCGAAATTGTGATCTTCTTTTCTTCTTTAATATACTTCGAGTTTAAGTAGGCCCCTGTTGACGGGTCGGGAGCTGCGGAACCTAAGTAGTAAACGAGATGACGTCTTTATCTCCGGTGGATTTATCCTAACACCGCCCCTTTTACCTGATTGCAGTCATGAGCAAAAAGGGGCGACACCCTACTGAACACTGATCTACGCACCCCACTGAGATCTCAGTAGGGCCCTACTTATCTGAGTTCTGGTAAAAGGGGCGGTGTTAGTACCAATCCCCTATCTCCGGTAGGCCAAAGTCTGGCTTAACTGCAACTATAATTCCGAGAGGCTGACAGGTAGAAAGCCAAACCTCCTTTAAAGAAAGACTATCAAAAGCTATACGAGGGAATCACTAAAGAAAGTTTAAATTTCTAGCTTTCAGCCTCTGGCCTTTTGAAATCATGATAGTTCTATCATGACGAATGTAATATAAGGCTTTGATATCAAGACTTCGTATCCCACAACATAGCGCATGAATGCGAATTCTAGTCGAAAACCAATATCATACATCAATCAATAATTGTTATTGGACTGAAAATCAATGAGTGCCTTTGTATCGCACCATTACCCATGAACGGTTGGAAGTCATTCATGGTCACATATCATTTGAACAGTGTAAACGCCAGATGTGGAGTATCGGGTGGATGACAAGGCATATCCTAGCTTCATGGAGTTACCGGACCTGGAAACGGCGTATTTGCACCAACAATGACTCAACCGATGCGAAGGGGGCAATTGGCGGGTTAGAGGGGAAAGCGCCGTGTAGATGCCACCCTGCCAGTCGACGAGGGTGCCAAAGCAGTCAAAGGTTAGGCAAGAAAAGGCGCTTAGCGGACGTGGTTGCGCCATTGTTTTGTTTTTTGTCTATAGACACCGAGTTATACTGATACGTCTCCCTACATGTGTAGCTTTATACGGCTGGAGGTGCTAGCTCATGATGAAACTAAGCTTAAGTCTCACGTAATGCATCATATTCTCGAGAAAAGACAAAAAGAGATGATCACAAAATTAACATCATTAACCGACGGCCGCAATAACACCCATTGCCGCCATATTGGAGTCCCGCTTCTTCTGCCCCAGGCTCAATGCGGTTACGACCGTAATGATCGCCCATTCCCTACCCAGCTCCTTCGTTGCCCCAGTGCCGGTGAACTCGAAGCGTCCAGAAAGCTTCGGTGACATAAGATCAACCGTGTAAACAGCGACGACCTCTTCAGCTTCTGAATACGGACCATTCAAGCGAACAAGCTCCCACCCAGAGCCCCGGCCGCCCAAGTTCTTAACCTCTTGCCCACGAGAGCGGCGCCATTCGAAGGTTTCCGTGGTGCCGCGGACACCAATAGGTAGACTAAAGGTGAAAGCCGACCCAAGAGCAGACTTGCCAATCATCTGGACGTCGCCGCTGGGCAGAGAAACGTCGATTATCTTGCCTTTGAGGACTGAACTGCCTAAAATAGACGAGTCGACTGATGGCCCTTCGTGTAAGGCGACCTTTGCGTGAAACCATCCAGTATACCCAACTGAGATGGCGTTGAGGCGATCGGACTTCTGCCGACTGATGTAGAAGACCGAATGTGAGACGCGACTTTTATCGCAGTAAATTTTAAAGGCGATCGGGAGGGAAATACAGGGGTGCTGATGATTGCTACCCCGATCTATGTCCGACAACGCTCCCTCGGAGTCCGTAAACTTTGGTTTTTCCAGAGTAGTCATGATGAAGAACTCGGTTTGATTTCTTCCAGGGCTTGCCCGCTGAAAGAGATACGGGCAATATGCGGTATGCTCAACCATCTTTATACCCTAGTCTGCTGGGCGGAGTAATGACGTATGGGTGGCTGTGGAGGGGCTCAGCGATCTGCGACATGCCATATCATCAAAATCGAGCTTTTTAGATCTTTGAATTTTCATAAGGTCAATTGCCATAAACGGGGATCGAGGTAGGAGTGGATGAGAGTTTTACGTAACTATGCAGCGTCTCCAACTTCCCGTCATCAACGCACTAAAGAGTGAGAGGTCAACCTGAATTCGAAAACTACTGTGACAACCGTGCATTATCTTCTAATTTGCTCTGCTCGCTTATCACTTATCACAATCGACATCCGATAAACAAGTTTTGCGGATGAGCTGGATGTTCTTAGACAGAAAATATATTCCAGTCTACCGAGCATGGATTCAACTAAAAAGTTTACGATATGAGACGTGTGATATTCATAAAGTCAAAAACGTTCTTAAGCTTATAAAAGACACCAGGATCCTTACAAAGCCTCGAGAAAGTAAGTTGAAACATAAATAGGAAAAAAAACCAACGGAACGAGAGATCCAAAAGGACCAAAAGATAAACAGATAACAAGACAGGAAGACAACATTCCCAGAAAATCTGTTCTCTTAATGCCTGAGTCGGCGAATCTTCCAATACTTACTTAATCGGTGGAATGGAAGAGATGCCAGCGACAGAAAGGAAGATTTCCAGTGTGGCGGAAGTCCACGATCCACTGCTCCGTCTTCTCCTCTGCCATTTTAAACAAACTATCCGCAATACCGCCAGTGATAGGCCCTGAAATAGGGGCCGCAATGTTGAGCGAAATTACTAGACAATGTCGGTTACTACCGCGCGCGGGCGAGGTCATAATGGTACCCTGGTGGCTTTTGACAAGGGCCAATACTTTCTGGAGCAGACCAAGATCGCACAACGTGTTGTCATTGCATGAGAGCCAGACGTTACAGTAATAAGTTGCCATATTTATTGCTCTGAGGATTTTGATATGATGAACAAAGGGGTAGTGTCTGAGGATTGGAGAGAGTAGCGGTCGAAGAGATAGAATGCGGAGTGTACAGGCAGTGGGACTACGAAAAGAAGGACTCGAGGCAACTTAAGAATCTTCGGAGGTATGATGGATGCGACGATTTGCCTTGTTTGAACAGCTTTGTGTGCGGGACAGAATGTCTAAAACCTTGGCCTCTTGTTCTATTTTAATCCCCAAAGATTGAAAGAAAAGCAAAGCTATGTGGTGAGCATATTTTTCTCATTGGCGCTTTGGAGATTTAAATTAGTTCCGCGCCGTGAGATTGAGAAGGAATGTTCTCATTGATGTTTCCCTCCCTCAAAGCTGTATAAGGTGCTTTGATAGGTCCTTACCAACCTACTCTAAGTTAGATACCCAGCGGTCTTTCCATAGTCACCGGAGGCTAGAATAAAGAAGAGTGACAGAGAGTGAGCCGAGACAGAACTGGCTGTTGCTCAGGGGATTGCGCTTCACAGAAGTCAGTCTCATCAATTTGCTTGACAAAGGCCTTTCGAAAACTTCTATTCATTCAGGTTTCACATACGACCTCATTCTATTGTTAGCGGCAGTCCACCATCCCATACAATGGTCATTACAAAAAAATCGCCAGATGATGCTTCATAGAGCCCTGAGCATGACAAAATAGTACTCGCAAAGCAAATCATCTTTCAAACCAAACGTAGAAAGCGGGACTTTGTAACCATAGTGATGAGACTCGGATCTACCAAGAATACCATAATGGCAGACCAGCCAATGAAGCTTCAAGCACATCACGGATCCAAGGGCCACAGCTGACTTCAAAATAAACCTTCAATCAAAATGGATTGCCAATGCAAACATCGCGAAAATCCGCAGCAATGCAGTCCACGGGCCGACCCGTCGAGCCTCAACTGTAAATTCGACCGCGAAATTTTTGCAGCGGCGCCCCTCGACCCCACTTCAACTATTTTGCTACCACACGCACCCCAGATCCTAGCACCATGGCCCCCGTCAATTTGTCTCATCGGCGGACACATAATTTGCTCTTGATCTCGAAACTACTGAGTTTGCGAGACACGGCCTCGCCACTCACGCTCCTCCAGGACTCGTTGGAGCAGCCCGCCACACCCCTCATCAGGGAGTACATCCGTCGCGCAAAGGCAAGTTCATGTAACTCTGTAGATCAGTTGGTCACGATTGCAATATTTTAAGACCCTTCGATGCTGGGGTGGCTATACTGACTCGCTGCACAGCTCTCCAAAGTCCATGTTACTCTGATTGGACTCGAAACACTGAAGCAACCCGATGGAGTCGATGCTTTCGTGTCTGCCTGCCGCAAGAGCCCGACAGATATTGTTAAAGAAGTAGCAGCAGTATACCCATCCTCTGCATCAGCTGGCCCGTCAAAACGTGAGTATTTTTGCGCTTCCTCGTACGCTTGCTCATGCTCACGAATCCCATAGGACGCCTCATCATCATTGATGCCATCAACCCTCTAATTAGCTCAAAGAGAGTCGATGCTGGATTCCATTTGCCTTCTTTCCTCGGGTCACTCATAGCCCCGACCAGCCCGACAGCCAAGGCTGATTCATCGCTGGTCGTCAATTATCACCAAGATGTCCCCGGCCTCCCTCAGCAGAACCCCTACTCGCCATCGCCACTGTCTATGCTCACGTATCTCGCGACTAGTGTGATTACTCTCCACTCGTTCTCCCATATTCTGGCGCGGAAGGCCGCCCGTGACCGCAGCCTTGTTGCACCCGTTTTCGGGCTCGAGGAAGAGCAAGAGGGCGTTCTTCTTGGCCGGCTCGATAAACTGCGTGGCACTAATGCCGCCGAGGGGATCGTTCTCGAGTTAGAGCACAGACGCAAGAGTGGACGTGGCGTTTTGGAGTGGTATATTCTCCCTCCTGCTTCGCGATTCTCGCCGCAACAGGTAAAAGAGGTCGTCACTCTCTTGGATGATAATGTCCTTTACAACCCGCCCATGGAGCCGGATACGAATGCTGATGACGAGGAACCCAAGTCAACATTCGAGCTGGGTCTCACGGAGAGACAAAGGCGTGAAAGGGAGGGGGGTCGTCCTGCCCTACTTTGATGCGCAGCAGGGCAATGGTCCCGGCGAAGGTGGGCGAATCCTCTACGACATGGGCGAGGAAGACGATTTCGACGAAGAGGAAGACGAGATCTAGGCTTGTCTACAGCCGACTCTACAATATCTCGACTATTGTGCAGGTTGCATACGTTTCTGCATTCTAGATTGGTGGATTGTATCCTGCAATCACCAGGAGGTATTAACTATGCATACATTCATACAAGGGGATCAACGCGGCCAGATATCGGGAGTCGAGTGGATCAGAAGAATCGCCACCAAAGGAGGAGGAGCACGAAGAGACCAACGCCGGCGAAAGGCCCGTACTGCGACATTATCAGCATCTCCATCTCAAGGTTATGGGTCAAATCATCTTACCTGTTTCATCAACAATTCCCAGTTGATGCGCACTGCTGCCCGACGATATTTCTTGCTGTCCTCCCGCAGACGGCCAGACAGCTCGCCCATGCGTTCCAAGCTGTCTCCACGGTAAAGAAGGTCCTCGATATTCTTGGTCATGACCTTGGTGACATCACGGAGCTCGTCATTCAACTTGTCCAGGTTCCCCGAGGCACGGCTATCTTGGTACAGCTTCTTTGTGCGCTGAATAAAGGTATCGAACTCGACAAAGGCATATGGGCGGAGGGTGGGAGAGAGGTATTGCGAGGAGGAGTAGGTGGTGGTGAATTCAGAAGCCAGATCATCGAGATAAGTGAATGCGAGCTTGCGGGGGTAGGAGCGGTCGCAAATGCAGAGGAAGCAGATTTCGTCCTTGATCATGTAGCTACCATTATATCAGTAATGCCACCCTTTGGCTCTTCTCACTGTATTCACTCACTGGAGATTGTATTGGCCCGATTCGATGCTGGCTTGCGGCGCAGCATTGCGATTCAGTCGACGGAAGATCATCTTGGCTTGACTCTTGATCTCAGCCAGCTCAGACTCAGCCTGAATCCTCTCGTCAGCTTATCTTTATCTCCATCGACTTCAGTTCTTTCTCTCACCTGCTCATCGTCGACCGAGGCTGCTAGCATAAGGCCTGTTTGCTCCTGAGTTAGCAACCGTGTCACTTCTTCTTCCATAAAGACTTCCTCACCATCAAGCCGTGCGATTTGGGTTGACCTGACCATCCTGATGACTCTTGGATTGCGGGAAAGCGCTGAATTGCTATTGTTTTGCCCAGAAACATCGCGCTCAATCGGCCAGAATGGCCCGCCAGAAAGCGGTCGCATGCGGCAGAAAGCGCCGCGGGTCAGTTGCGTCGATCGTGATTGTTGATAACTGTCTTGTTCCTCCCTAACGATGCTTTAGACGGCCTCCTACTCGCTCTGCCAATGTAGCAGAGAAACCTGAAGCTATGGGCCCTGCAATGTCGCCTCCAATATCCGACGAGAAGGCTTCTCCAGCCAAGAGAACTCCCAGAAAAGCTGCGGCCCGCGGGAAGTGGAGCGAGGAGAAGCTGTTGACTAGCGACAAGTCGGTACTCATTAATGAGGACCTCGTGGTATGCTCTTAAGCGTCTCTGACCTCCAGCTGAAAGAAATACAGCTAACGTAGTTATTCGCGCACCACTTTAGAAGCTCCTATCCAAACCCGAAGCCTGGAACTTCCTCGAAGAAGACGAGAAGCGTGAGATCCTAGCTCTCCTTCCCGCAGATATCCACCCGGACGCGGATCTATCACAGGAAGATCCAAGCTACCGAATCCCACCACTCCCACAATCATTTATTCGATACTCCACGAATTGGCGGGAGGCCCTCCGTGTGTTCCAAGCCGATCTTGAGAACGGCCGCTACGATCCAGAATGGCTGCGCCAGGCTGAAAATGCTAGGCGCGAGCGCGAGAATGGCGACTTTGACTCTTTCAAAGAGAGGGAGTTTGAGCAATTCTGGGGACAGAAGCAGAAGATGGATATGGCGGCCGCTGCTGGAGAACATGGTCGCATTCAGTTGCGCGTGCTCGTCGAGGCTGGTGTCATTCTGCCTGGTGATGTCTGGAGATTCACCTTTGTCTTTGGGAAGGGAGAAACTCGAATGGTTATCGACAAGGAAGCTCGGGTATGAAAGCGTTTAAAACATCGACCATCTGATGGTACGGATTGCTAACTGGCGAAGGTTCACGAGATCAACGGCTCTTTGCTGTCATTCGTGGTTGCTACTGGACCACGTACTCTCCTCACCAGTGTCCACGGTGAAGTCCAAGAAGGTTTCGCTCAGGAGATGAGGGAATCGGACCAGCTCACAGACGCCAAGGAAGATGTCAAAACAGACATTATGGAAGTGTCCAACGGCCACGAAAGTGCCGAACCAGCTCCGCAGCAGATGACCACTAAAGCGGATGAAAATAATGTGACAAGTCTACAGGAGTCGGTTACTGTTCCAGATGAGACAGTCCAATCTATGACAACGCAAGACCCGGAGAATAATGGCAACGGCCCGCAGGACCCAAAATCTATCTCGAACGAGAGGCCTTCAACTACAAGTGTGCCCACTGAAGATATTGAGATGAAGGAAAATGGCGAAAATAGGCCACAGATGCCGATCGCTACCCCGAATGACTCGCCCCGAGGCAGCAAGACCACTGTGCAGGTCTTGATTGTCAGCCCAAGGCACAACTCGAGATTAGCAGGTGAGGGTGCCAAACGAACCATACCTTTGCCTGCACCGCAGCCTCCTGCGAAGCGGAAGCGAGGTCGGCCGCGCAAGCACCCGATACAGCCCGTCCCCGAGCCCGAACCAGAAGCTAAAGCCCAGCCACAAGCTGAATTGGAACCTAAAGCTGAACCTGAAATTGAAAGTTCAAGCCAGCCAAAGCCTGAAGCCACCGAAGCCACGGTGTTTACAAAGCTCACGGAAACAGAACAAATCAACACCCGTCCCTATAGAATGGAGCCAGTGGAAAAATCAATACGATGGGAAAACGCCAACGATACTACGCCCAATTCTTCGAACGAGCCCAATGCACGGGAGGAGTTTGCAAACAAAAAGATAGAAGGCGATCAGACTGATCTACCAAGCTCTCCTCTATCCGAGGCACCGGAGGATCTGTCACTTGAATCTGAGCTTGAACCCCAATCTCAAACCCAATCCCAACCCAATCCCAAACCTCCACTTCACCTTATCCCCTACGGACCCAATGAGGTTATCATCACCGGAATCAAGACTCCTAGGAACCTGGTGTCCAATCTCCTCCAAATCGACGGCCGACCCAAAGAAGGCGCACGTTCTGCAAACGCATGGAAAGAGATCCGCTGCTACCGAAAGAACCAGGACATGGGCAGTCTCTTTGAAGTGAGACAAACCTGGTATTACAAGCAAAAGCAAAAGTGGAATTCAAAGGACCAGGACCTGGACCCGGAATGGGAGGGATAGAAACTTTTGGCATTTAGCCTATCTGTTTTTCCAGGGTGCATCTAATGCTGGCGTTGCTGCACTCTGGCTGGATTTCGGGTCAACAAAGGAATCAAAGAAGCATAGAAGCTCTGATAAAGGCTTTTGACCAGATAAAAATATTATTGTAGCGTATGCCATTCGTACTCAAAAAGGCCTGTCGTTCAAACCGCTCATAGGCGGCACAGGATCAGTGTTTGCGGCCACATCAACAGCGAAACTAGCCTGAATGAAATCCTCTAGTTCTTCGCTAACGGTCTTCAACTTTTCTTTCACGCTCGCAACTCCCTCTTGCCCAACGATATGCCGCGAAGGCGGGTTTCCATGGCCTCCAATCGAAGTAATAGCGTATACTGTTTCCGACACCAGGACTTCGAGGTGCGCGGAACTTAGTGGTGGGTGCATGGAGACAATCTCTGGAGCGGAGAACGGGCCGTTCTCGATCGAGCTGACGCGAGAATTGTCCTGTTGGCTCTTTGGCTGGTTTGCGATGGATATGCCCTCAGATGCAGCATCGGGGAGTCGGGGCAAGAGGCGATTTAGTATACCGCGGAAAAGTGGCGCGTGGTTGTTTGCCGGTGAGTAGGCCGGGAATATGGGCGGGACGCTGGTGACTAGGTTGGTGAGAATGCCAATTTCGATGCTGCATTGGAAGATGGTGAGTTTGATGTTGAAGGGTGCGATTTCGTATGCCAGGCTCTGGTGTATTTGGTTAGTTGGAGCAACGTTGCTGATTGATTGGAAGGATGGCTCACGTCACAGAAGCCTTCGAGGGCCCAACCAGCTGCGCAGTACATTCCCAGTCCGGGCGTGCCGATGTGTGCCGCTGTGGTAAGTTAGCTATTCTGCTATGCATGGTGGGCCAGTCGTAGGGTCTTACTGATTCCAGATATTATCATTATATGACCGGAGCTTTCTCGTCGCATATGGGGCAACGCGGCTTTGATGATGTTCAGAGGTCCGAAGTAATTGACCTCGAATTGGTCGCGGACGAGATTCAGGGTTTGTTGCGAAGCTGATAGCTCTTCGACGGTTCCGACCAGAGCTATACAACATGTTAATAACCTGCACATCTGCCATGACGAACGTCTTCGCTCGGATTTATTTACTTTGGCTCGTGCAGCATAGGAGAATATCCACCCGGCCAAACACCGCAACTGCCTCAGCAACCACTGCTTGACATTCGCCCATCATCCTGTGTTGCAGAAGTCAATTAGCTCCTGGTTCTGATTGTATACCCGGCTAGCCCAATTGAACATCATTTGATGCCGAAATCGGCATAAAAAAGGGACGCGCGCACCGGATATCCAAAGGAACAGCCTTCATCCGTTGATTCCATCCCTCGTCACGGTGTTCCTCGATCTCCGCGAGAAAAGCGTTGAACCCATTCCGGCGGCGCTCGTCATGCTCCATAACCGAGTGCGCTAGCCCCAGCAGTGCATAGTCACCATGCGCCAGGACCTGCCGAGCAACCGAGATGCCAATGGGCGAATCTCCAGCTGTGATGAGCCATACTCTCGGTTCGGTATGCGACGGGAACTGCGAGCGGGAATCGGGGGAAGGGTCGTTATCCATTGGGTCGGGATCAGCGCCAACACGTAAATGCGATACCCATTGCGCGATCAAAAGGCGCCGGCGACAGTTAGGAAGCCCGTAGCTGGAGAATAGATAGCTCGGCGATTATGATTGCGATTGCGATTGCGGAGTTGGAGGGACGGAAATGCCAAGGCCGTCCCCCCCCAAAGTAACGTTAGCCCAAGCGGCCTGGACCAAGAGCTAACACCTTCGGCCGCGCTGGCCACGTTTCTCTTCTTTTCCTTGTCGCCACCAATATTCGCATCATGCCTGAACAGAGGCAACGCAGACAGGAGCCAGAGGCCAGAGTACGTATCCCACACTCGCGGAGGGGTTTTTGTTGTGATCAGTTTGCTAATGATTGTCTCTCTAGTCTGGCTCTGGCTTCAAGGGCGCCCTCCAGGGCCTCGGAATCTTCCTGATTATGCAATTTGTGATGACCCAATTCTTCAGCAAGAAGGATGCCTCTCCAAGCTCTGCGCCGGGTGGCATGCCTACCTTCGCGGATCGTCCCCACCCCAGCGAAGTGGCCGATTACAGCCCCATCCCGGAACTCATCGCTCCTATCTGGCCGTCTGACACCTCCGTCGATATCAGCATCTATGTTTCTCCCTCAATCGTGGTTCCCTCGTTCAAGTCATCGGACAGCGTTCTCGTGCTGCAGGAGAAGAACTTCACCATCGGCAATTACAGCGACACCCGTGAAATCGACACCACCATCAAGGTTCCGAAGCAGGTCCAGAACAATGGAACTCTGTTTGCGCACTTCTTCCTCGCTCGTACTGGACACCAGCTCGACCCGGCTGCCAAGGACTACAACACCGCGGACGCCGTGCACTTCCTGCGCCCTCTGAATCAGTATCTTCCCAAAAAGAAGGCCAAGAAGCTCAAGAACCTCTTGGCCACTTCCGAGGGAGAGGAGGAGGAAGAGGATAACACCCCGAAAGTGTGGACTGCTTCCTACTACCACCCCAACTTCACTCTTTCCATGATCCCAGACTCTGGTTCTCAACGGTTTAGCCAGTTGCACCCTGCGGTTCGTCAGTATGTCCAGCTGGAACGTACTGGTGCCCGTGATATCACCGGAAAGAATGGCTGGTACTATCCAATCGCGTTCCTGAACACTTTCTGGCAGCTGAAGACTCACATGACGGAACTCAACTCCACTGTTGAGACCGTGCCCCTGCGCATTACCCTCAACAACATGGCAAACTGGAAGTTCAGCATCCTTACCAGCGTCGACGAAGGCTCTAAGCATAGCTCTCGCCAGGCTGCGTATGGTGGACCTGTTCCTGGTGGTGGTGATGGCAACGAGTGGGAAATGGTCAAGGAGATTCTGTTGGACACCAACATTTACCTCCTCGGTACCACTGGTGTGGTCACCATTTTGCACATGATCTTCGAGACCCTGGCATTCAAGAGCGATATCGTAAGTGCCCACATTGGCGAACATATTCATGTTGACCAGCAAGCTAACACAACCACTTTCCCAGTCCCACTGGCGTAAGAAGAAGGACGTCGTCGGTACCTCAGTCCGCACAATCATGGCAAACGTCTTCATGCAACTTATCATCTTCCTCTATCTCATGGACAACAGCGACAACACTTCATGGATGATTCTTGCCAGTCAGGGCTTCGGTATTCTCCTGGAGTTCTGGAAGATTACCAAGACGGTTGACGTCCGCCTGCGTCGTCCCCCTGCGGGCTCCTTCTTCTGGTTCCTGCCCTATGTCATTGTCTTCGAGGACAAACACAAGCTTTCCGAGACTGAGCAGCAGACCAAGGAGTATGATGAGATTGCGTTCCGCTACCTTTATGTCGTTGCGGTGCCGCTGCTCCTCGCATATGCTGGATACAGCTTGATGTACAACACTCACAAGTCGTGGTACTCTTATATCATCCAGACTCTCGTCGGCAGTGTTTACGCCTACGGATTTCTCATGATGGTTCCCAGCTTGTATATCAACTACCGCTTGAAGGTTAGTCATACCATGAAGCCATGGATCTCAGAAACGATATGCTAACAAGTTTATAGTCTGTCGCCCACATGCCCGGCAAAGCGATGGCATACAAGTTCCTTAACACTTTCATCGACGATCTCTTCGCGTTCACTGTCAAGATGCCTTGGTTGCACCGCCTCGCTACCCTTCGTGACGACGTCATCTTCTTTATCTGGCTATACCAGAGTTGGAAGTACAAGGTTGACTTCAAGCGTGTCAACGAGTTCGGCCAGGGGGTGACAGCGATGAGGAGAAGGAAGAAGAGACGCCTGCCGTTGAAGGCGAAAAGACGCAGGAGACTGCTGCTAAGACTTCTGGCAAGGACAACTCCGACAAGGCTTCCACTCGCAAGAGAAAGTAGTGGATGGTTCTCCGCACATCCTGGCATTACTACTTGCCCACTGTGGGTGATCATGCCGTGCACATCTGGGCTCGCTTCGAGCTTTCTTGGATTAGACATATCGCGACTTACCAGCATCCACACCTTCGTTCTATCGTACGGGTGCTGGAAGACGCTATTTAATTGAATTTAAGGATTCCCGGAAAATATTGTTTCTATCATCTCCTTTGTAGACATGCAAAATGAGCTACTAGAGTGTATTGAGTTGTAACGGCTTTTCAGCCTTAAGAGTTGAATGTTGTTTCAAACTTTCAGTTTTGTTGCGGGCCCGTGTTGACTGCCGTGTTAGGTTTAAGCCGATCCGCCGCGGTTCGCGCCCGCGCCCTGCTTTCTATGCTCCCCGCAATCGCACCTTAGCACAAGCTCATGAGCTTTTCATTCAGCTGTGTACATCTACTTTAAGAGATCTTTCGCTTTTGCGCCCGGTACGCGCAGCTTACAGAAGTGGTGTACGTCTCGCGACTGCGCGTGCGCGCGCCGAGATAACCGCTTCGTTCCTCCCCAGCTCTACAGGATTGTGGCAGAAAAGACCCTATTCGGATGGACGTAAACATGAGTAGGCATTTTCTATCGTTTCCAAAATAATTCCCGCTAATCATGTTACAGGACAAAGCCGGCCAAGTGGCTTGCTCAATGCTCTCGAGCATCTGGAAGCTGGTCCGAATACTCAATATTCAAACATGCAGGAAACGCGCTAATAAATCCTACAGTCGCCAATGTGCCGCCCAAGCAAAGATATACAGATGCTGGCGAGCTGGCCAACACCATTGCGTCGGACGCGTACGAGAGCGGCATTCCGCAAGTCGCGCTGGGCCGCCTGCTGAAAGTTCTGACCACGAAAAACAATCTCGACCAGGGAACCGTGACAGCACTGGTCAAGAACCTCTATCCGCAGGAGCGAGTTGCCTCCAAACGTGTCACCCAAGTTGTCTGCTGTCTGGGACCCAGCAAGTCCAAGCCCAGCCCGGCAACACAGGCTCTACTCGTGCGCTGGCTGATCCTCACATACGACCTCCTCCATGACAAAACGCATCTTGGAAAGCTGTACGCGGTGCTATTCAACCACCTGGATATGATCAGTCTGCGCAAACCGCTGTGTCATCTGCTCACACTGATCACGAGGCGCAAACATGTCAAACCTTTCCGGATCCAAGCTCTCATGGAACTGATCCAGAATTCTGGCGGAGATGAGAAAGAGCTGCTCAGTCTGCTTAGGGTCTTCAAGAATTACTACCCCGAAATCATCATCGGGGATGTCGGTGGCTCGAGGAGAAACGCTCTGTTCTTCAAGCATCCTGATCCTGAATGGTCGAGCCATGCGAAGTTGCTGCAGGACCAGAATATGGACTTGACGCAGCAGTCAAGCTACCAAGTGACCCATCGGGGTACGGTAAAGAGAAGTAAGGTTGAGGTGGTTATTCCTGTCTTACAAACCTCACGCGTATCGAGCAAACATACGTCTCTGGAAGAAATCCGGGATGTTGGCCACTTCGTCGAAAAGATCGAGAAAATCGAACTTCCCAACCAGATTATCTCGACACTCGGTGATGCAATGGCGCAGAAGTATCTACATTTAACTCAATCCGAAGCTGCAAGTCACCGTCTGGACGAATGGCTGCGGAGTTTCTTAGAAGACAAATTGGAGCAAATTCGCGAGGGTGATGAGGACGAGCCGGAGACGTTGTCTTATGTTCTCAGTTTCGTTGAAGGATATGCTGCTTATACGAAGGTAAGGCTTCCGCAATTAGCCTTTCGAGATCAAATGCTGATTGTTCCTAGCAACTTCTCCCCTCGGTTCGATCTTTCTTGCGCTCGTATCTCCAGACATGGAATGGCCGAGACAATCGCGAGCAAATACTTCGATTGCTACGGTACCTTCCTGTTGAATCCCTCGAGAACCTCCGCAGCGAACTTCTCTCCCCTCTGGAGTCCGCTATGACGAATGGTTCTGCCGGTTCTCAAACAGCCCTGCTTGACCTGCTCGATTTTTACACTTCATTAATTAGTGAATGGGGCGTCAAACTCCGAAACCAACCGTCCATTTCCGAGGAGTCGGTTCCTTTAAGCGAAATCATTAAGCATGCAGAGCTCCTCGCATCTTCAACACAGGAACTCGCTATTATCGCTGATGAAAACCAACAAACGGCCAGACCGGTAGTTCTCCCCGTGCTCGAATTCTATAGATCCCTGGCGGACCTCTTCTCTCACGCATCTCAAAACGCGAAAATCCGCTTGACGGTGCCCCTTGCTCCGACTGTCTATACGATTGCTTTCACACCAAGCATCGCCATAATCTCAATTCTCAACTCCATCCTGGCAGGCTACAAATCGTCATTTGAGGCATCTCTCACATCCGAAGTCATCAAACCACCCAACCCTCCCGAACCGCTTTATAAAACGGAACTTGTAAGCCAATTCAACGGCTATGTCATGGACATGTGCAATCTCGTGTGGCGAAACCGAGCTCTCAACGCAGAGGATCCAAATGCGCTCGGTTGCCTCATTCCTGAAGCGACAGTTGCTGCCCTCACAAACTATATTCGCGATGTGAACGAGGCCAACCGACACTATGACAGAGAAAGTGCTTTCAACTACAGCTTGGCTTCAATATTATCTCTCAGTCATCATGCAGCCTTTTGCAATTTGTCTGCTGCCTGTTTTGCGGATCTTGAGGAGAATCAGCAGGTTCCGGATCATCGCCCAAAGTTGAGGAAGCCTGTGACTCAGAAAGCTTTACAGGCGCTTGAGAAGGATGGAGGTGCTAAGATTACGTGGCAGGAGTATCGTGTTCATATGCTGGACTGGTTGGAAGCGATTGGAAGTAAGGGGACGAGCAACCTGATGAGAAGTACTATGAAGGCTCTACGGAAAGAGTGATATGTGAGGGACAAAGATATCGGATCAGAAGTAGAGAATAATAATGGTCAATTGTCTATTTTACATTTGCTTCCTCTCCAAAGAACGCCATTGAAATGCTTGTCATCTTTACAGATATGGTACATGAACCTGGCCCTGCGGGTAATCGCCTGAGCCAGGTTCCAAATTGCGCGAATGCACGCCGAATAAGCCCCCTAGAACTTCTGTGTCGAGTTCATATAAATATCCTGAACGGTATGATCATCCCGCAAAGCACTCAAGAGGTCCTCGAGATCCTTGACCTGTTCCTCATCCTGCACATCGACCAAGGTATCCGGATTAGGATCCCAGAAGATCTCCAACTCTTCAATTGTAAGGCCCGAAAGTTTCGAAAATGCCTCGCCAACCCTCTTTGTCTCGGACGGATCGGTGAACACGACCAAGCGCTCCTTGTCGTCCATAACGAGATCCGTCGCACCGGCCTCGATGGCCTGATCCAAGTAGTCATCCGCATTCAAGCCGTCCTTCTTCTCCATGACCACCCGCCCTTTCTTCTCAAAAAGGAACGTCGTAGGTGTCACCGTGCCTCCGTTGTCCTTGATGATGTGCCGAATGTCTTGCAGCACGCGCGCCTTCTGATCGGTCTGGCATTCAACCACCGCGGCCACCGATCCCGGGAGCATCGCTTCGATTGTCACATTTTCCAATGCCTGTCCTGTCACGCTGAGTCCCTGACCTCGTAAAATGGCGGCTTCGATCACGGTTTTGGGGATGGAGGCTCGTTTCGCATTCGACAGCGCGAGAGTCAGACGGGGGTTGTATTTCGGATCGGCGCCCCATACTAGTTAAGACGAAAAGGTTAGCAGGTTTTTTCGGGCACGGCGTTCTTCCTGCACGTACATTGTGTAGCGCTGCTGATTTCCCTGCTCACCATCTGCCGCTCTTTGCTCTTTCCCTTGTCCTTCTTGGCCTTGTCGTGCTTGATGGTCGACCATTTATTGTGACCCGAGAACCAGGGGGACGAAGTATTAAAACTGCGACGGGGGTGGCAGACAGAAGCCCCACGGGGCTGCCGTAGCAGCCTGTGTAATTGAAGTGCCATATTCCGACCAAATTGCAAAGTTGCGCTGCTCCGCGCTGTATACATTCCACGCGGGCCGAGAGTTTCTCCGTCTCCGCGGACGGCCACGATAAGGGGAGATGATGTTGTCAACGTTTACTACTTTCCACGCTCCTTCCACTTTGATGGGGATACTTGTTGTCCTCAAATCCTACATCCAATGTCTTCCTCCGAACCCGCCCCGGTATCCTCAACCCCCGAAAATGCGACCCCCGAGTTGGATGTCCCTAAGCTCCATGCGCTCCCCTCCGAACAGCAGGACCTCTACTTGCTCACGTTCACCTCCGATCTAGTGCAATTTATATCCGGTCTCGATGCACAGCAGGTCTCAGCGCAGCAAAAGTCCCTCAAGAAGGAATTGTTCAAGATTCTGACTCTTACCTCCCCCGCCATCACGCGAGTCCTCCGCAACAACCTGGGACGATGTTTCGGCGCAATCCTGACGAAAGGGGATCGTGGGATCCTCTTCGAGACGATTACAGATCTGCTCGGGGTAATAAATGCGAGCAAGAGCGAGGCAGATATCAAGACCAAGTTCGCTGCGGCGCATTGTTTGGGCGAGGTCTTTGCGACGGCTGGTGAGAGTGCATTCATGCAGTCCAACATCGCTGTATCTAGCACAATTAAGCTGCTCAAATCGGCCAATAACCATACGGGCTTCCGTGGAGTTATATTCGCTGTGCTGCGCAAGGTTGTTGTGGGCATTGGTGTGCCGATTGATGAGGCCACCGCGCGGGACATTTGGAAACAGGCGCGCAGTGCCGCGACCAGTGACAAGTCCACTTTTGTGCAGGTTCACGCTTGTCGTTGTATCGAACAGCTGATCAATATGACGCCTTTCTTTGATAATACAAATGACTTTGACAACCTCAAGACAGCCATGTGGAAGGTCATTGACAGCCCCATTGCGCCGGTCAGGCATGCTGCGGCTGCTTGTCTTGGCCGCGCCTTGGTCAAGCTGCATGCAGCAGATTCACCTATTATGGCAGCCCCGAAGCCTAAGCCGAAGAAGTCCAAGAGGATGTCTAAGAAGCCGAATGCTCGCCCGGGAGAAGAGGAAGATGATGAGATGTCCGAGTCCTCTGTTGCAAACGCCCCCGGAGCATCCAAGAAGACCGAATCGCGGTTGTTTTTTCTCCTTCCGGACTTGCTGCGACAATTGTCTTCTCAATATCTGAAGAGCACAACCTCAAACCGCTCGCGCGCCGGAATCTGCGTATGCTACAAATATGTCCTGCGCAACTTGGGGGATAAAGTTGTTGAGGAACGATATGGGCAGATTGCGACAAACCTGCTTGTGGAATTGATGAACCACCCGACGGTCACATACAATCGATTCCGCCTTCTGATGACTCGGAAGTTTGTCAAATCTATCCTCGAGGACACTATCGGCCGTGAATTGTTGCGAGAGAACAGCCAACTGAACGCCGCCAGATGGATCATCAACGAAATTCTCAGGGACTATCCGCAAGTCATTCAGGAGCGTCGAGAGCCAAGCAAGTATACCTTGACAAGTGCCGTCAGCGCTCTCTCATCTTTGATTTCGTCGCTTGGATCTGCTTTCGGTGTCCACGCAGACAGCTGTAGAGATGCCTTACTTCAAGTTCTCCCTCATCCCAGCTATACTGTCCAAGTCCACACCGCGCACTGCCTGCGCAGTTTCGTCCTTGCCTCCCCTCACCAGCTTTTGTCGTGTGTGACGATCTGCATGAACAGCTTGAACCGTGAGATTGGTCAGCTTGCCACACCGCGGCAATCACCTCGTCGATGCGTCGGCTACGCCAATGGACTTTCGGCGATGCTCAGTACTTCTCGTCTGCAACCGCTTTACGGTGCCGTTGACGTGTTTGCCCGCGTCTTCTCACAGGCAACTGATCTCCTAAAGACCAGCAGCACCTCCGAGCTACGTGTTGCAAGCACGCAAATTCAAGTGGCATGGATCCTAATTGGCGGTTTGATGCCCCTCGGACCGAGTTTCGTTAAGATTCATCTTTCTCAATTGATGCTGCTTTGGAAAAATGCCCTACCAAAGCACCTGAGCAAGGAGAATTCTGCGGCGCCCGGTACTCTCGAGACAAGTTTCCTCACTCATGTGAGAGAGTGCGCTCTGAGCTCTTTGTTGGTGTTCATGGAGTTCAACAGCAAGCTCATCACGGCAGATGGTGCGAAAAGAATAGCTACTATGCTGCAGAACACTGTCGAATTTTTGGATGATCTGCCGCGTCCCAAGTCCATGGAGGACATTTCGCAACGCCTTCATCCTTCCTTGCAGCTGAATGATTTCATCACTATGGTTCGCCGCCGGGTTCTTCAATGCTTCTCGAAGCTGGTGCATGTTCACCACCCCAGTCACGGGGACATCATTTCCCAGTCCAGCCTGTTGAGTCTTGCTATCTCTTCTTTTGCGGACCCGGATGCGCAGTATCGCCCACTAGAGAGCTCTATCGCTGGCTCAGCTGGTCAGTTTGAAGGCCTATGGGAACTTTGCGATAACTACGGATTCGGCGTCACTGGACTTGCCAGGGAATACATTCGTGCTGCGCATTCTGGGTCGCATGTGAATGACAGCCCTGCCTGGTCTGCACTTGAGTCTGCGGATAAACTTGTCGATGATGCTGTGAGTATCATAACCTATATATGTATGAGTTGAAGCTAATCATTCTAGTTGACTTTCCCTATTTGCGAAGCCAGTGAGCACGATGCGGTTCTATTGTACAGTCTACGTTCGGAGGATACTCTCTCTGTTGATCCGCCTGTCACCGGAGTTGTCAACTCGGCAATTGATCTCTTTGCTGTTGCCATCGCTCTTCACTCGTCCAAGATCCAGGAGAGTAGTGTGGAACAGATTGCCTCATTTCTCGCCTCTCCCAGCCTCCAGAGGAACCCTGGAAGAAAGGCAGCATTGGCTGTGAACATTTCTGTGGCACTTCTGCATGCCCTGAAAGTTGCAGTCAAGGAGACAGACTTTGTGGCTGGCAAACTGAGCACCTCTACAGACAAGACTTTGCAGGAGCTCGTTCAGGTAAGGAATGCCGAGAGATGCTATAACCTGGGAAAATTCTGACTGATGGCATAGAAATTCGTGATTGACACTGACCCTATCGTCCGTACTATCGGCGTAGAGTCATTGGGACGCCTTTGTGACAGCGCCGGAAATAGCTGCACCAACACACAGGTCAATTGGCTTGTCGATACCATTGTTGAAAATCGCGAGCCAAATGCTCGAGCTGGCTGCGCCGCTGCTTTGGGGTGTATCCACTCGCAGATCGGTGGCATGGCAGCTGGCCTGCATCTCAAAACAATCGTTGGCGTGCTTATGTCTCTTTGCAATGATCCTCATCCTGTCGTTCATTTCTGGGCTCTTGGTGGATTGGAGAGAGTGGCCAATTCAGCCGGGTTGACATTCTCGCCATTTGCTTCGAGCTCGCTTGGAATGCTGGCTCAACTTTACAATGCCGACACGCATAATGCGGAGGCGGCAGCATTGGCTACTTCAAACATTGAAATGACCTTCTTAACACCCGTTGTCATTAGTCGATGCGTGGATTCGCTCATCAATGTCCTTGGACCCGATCTGCAGGATGTTTCTAAGACCCGCAACCTTATTCTTACACTACTCCGTCAGTTCCAGTTGGAGGAAAACCCTGCGTTGGTGACAGAAAGCTCCAAGTGTTTGGATCATTTCTCGCTTTATGCCTCGAAATATGTAGATTTCTCGGGATACGTGAAACGACTACAGACAGAGCTTCGTGCGAGCAATTCCTTGATGCGTGACGTTGCTGTCCGCGGTCTCAGCAATCTGATGAAGAGAGACGCAGTATCGGTAGTGCATACTGCCAGTGAAACACTGGAAGATGATATCTGGCTTGCGTTTGATGATGCTCCGGACAACAAGCCACTCAAGACAATGATCCAAGAGTGGATGCAGCAGACTGCCCTCACAGAGACCGAACTATGGATTCAACGCTGCCAGAAAATCATGACCAAGACCCGCAACACAGTGGAACTTCCACCGTCCACCGCAGTTCAAGCTAACGCGGCAGATATTCCCGATGACGAAGTTGCCGGATTTGCATCTGCTGTTGGTGGCGACGGTCAAGGCGACTCCGCCAACGAGGGTGTAGCTGGTCAGGAACTGCTCAAATGGCAGACTCGCAATTTTGCCATGAGCTGCCTTTCAGAACTTCTGGCGACCGTCCAAGAAGCTATTTTGCCAGACCAAAGCATCCCGGCAGAACTGGCTCTGCAGTCTAAGGTTGGGGATATTGTCAGAATGGCATTCTCTGCTTCGACTGCGAATGTGATTGAGCTGCGTGTGTGGGGTCTCAAGATCATTGACCAAGTCTTGACTATGTTTGGCAAGACCCCAGATCCTGATTTCGCGGAAGCTTCTCTGTTGGAGCAATACCAGGCCCAGATTGGGTCTGCTCTCACTCCTGCTTTTGCCGCGGACTCTTCGGCAGAGTTGGCTTCTGAAGCAATCAACGTATCGGCGACTTTCATTGCCACGGGCATCGTGACGAATGTGGATCGCATGGGAAGAATCCTGAAGTTGCTGGTTATTGGGCTTGAAAACTTTGCGAAGAACCCTGCCACCACGGAGATTGGTGATTTGAAGGGCTTGAACTCGAACGCTCGAGTGATGGTCAAACTAGCGCTGTTCTCTGCATGGGCCAGACTGCAGATTGCAAGCATTGACCATGAATATCTCAACCGGGTAGTTCAGCCCTATCTCGCCAAGCTGACACCGCTTTGGCTTTCTTCTCTTCAAGAATATGCCCGACTGCGTTTCGAGCCGGACATCTCGGGTGCTCTAGGTACGAGCACACTGAGCGGTGATCTGGATGAGGTTTATGCTGCGTTGAACCGTGAGACGCTCTTGAAGTTCTACCAAGATACCTGGCTCAACCTCGTTGATGCAATTGCCGGTCTGGTCGAGAAAGATATTGATTTTGTCTTCGATGCTTTGGATGGCAAGCTCCAACTGACCGAGGAATCCAGCGACCTTGAGAAGGAAGCGGAGAAAGAAAACTCTGGCAAAGAGCTTGCAAACAGCGAAGGAAAAGGAAAAGGAGACGACATCAACTATCGTGAAGAGCCGGTCGCATTCTTTTTCGTCTTGTTTGGGCTTGCTTTCGAATCCCTGGTCGATCAAGCAACTACAACCTCTCAGCGGTTGGAGATCCTCCAGGCTCTCAAGAGAATTTTGAGACCGATCATTTCTGGAAACGCCATTTACCAGGACGCCATCTTCTCGGAGACTATGGATACTTTCGACCGCCTTGTTCTAACCGAGAACACTCCGATCCAGACCGTTATCGTTGAGATCGCCCAGAACCTGTCCCTAGACCACCCAGCTGCCAAGAGTGATCAGGAGCGAGGCGATCATCTGTCGGATGACATCGAGCAGCTCTTCGAGCTGACTCGAAGCATTATCCTTGTCCTTGCTGGGATGCTTCCTAACCTGCGTGAATCGACACCATTGGCAAGATTCAACGTGTCGTCGGATGATTCTCTGACGCTCATTCGCCTGGCGCTCCGCTCACTCGTTGATGTTGCATCTGTGTTCCCTTCCATCATTCGAAATGATCTCCACGCTTGTATCCTGCACATCTTCACCACAATCCTCGCAACTGGAACCTGCCAGACCCAAGTTGTGCCCCAGGCTCTGCCGATCTTCCGACAGTTCGTCCACGGTATAACTCATACACCTGAAGTCCCCGAGGACATCGATGTGGTCGCCTTCCAGCTGCGCGGCTGCCTCACTCGGTTCCTTAATATCCTCACCATCGCTCAACGACGGGAGTTGGATTCTTCCATGGCATGTGCTAAGAATACCCTCCTGGCCATCACCTTCCTCTTGACGGCAGGTGGACATGTCCTTCCTCCCCAGGACCCAGTCATCAACCGCGTTCTCAATGAACTACTCGACTGTCTTCAAGACGTTGGCCTCGCCACAGTCGCCGCGAGCTGCCTCCGCTCGATCCTGCTCAAGTCCGGCCCTCGCTACATGACGGACGACGTGATCTCTCGTTACCTCATTCCGCGACTCATCGCTTTCTATGTCGGATGTCCAACCGACAGCGGAGATGTTCCCAGCGACCCCGAGCACTCGCGCGTAGTCATCGCCCGCACGCTCGTGTCATGCGTGAGCAATGGTACCTTCTCTCCCGCAGAGATGCCTACTGCTACTTCACTCGTCATGTCCGCCCTACTGGCCCGCGCCAAGCGGGAGGGACGGGCAGTTCACCAGGAGTCCGCTGGCCATCTTCTCGAACTTGCTAAGGCCAACCAGCTCACGTTCCGAACCTTGGTGGCGAATATGGGCGCGGAGCAGAAATCGCTTCTGGAAGAGGTCCTTCGGAGTGCGGGTGTGGGTGCGGGAGTCGCCAAGACTAGTGAAACAGCAGATAACATACCACAAGCTGCGCCCAGTATTGCCCTACGCATGGATTTTTAGGTCCCGGGCTTGTATCCTAATTTTGCTTATAGAAAGCGACGGTGCCGTTAATCAGGCTGATGAAGATACGATGTGATGTATAGTGTGACAGAAAATGTATAGACCGCCCTGAAGCCCCATGATAATAAAACTTGGAACAAAATATTACCTTTAGTGAGACACTGATCAATCCATGGATGTAAATTCTGCACAAGCAATGCGCCTTCTATAGACACCTGTCACGTCCGCTTTGGGAAGTTCGGGGCGCGGTTATCTTAGCCACATCAGGTGACGCCATTTACCCTCTTTCACCAGAGAACTTAACTTGACTTCCACATTCCAGCTTCCTGATCCATAAAGCAAGTTCGATAACGTCTTTACCGTGGAGACGCGTTTTATACGGCCCTCGTCTGGTCCACAATGCCGCTAGATCGAGGCCGCGCCTCTCGAGCGTGCGCCTCATGCAGAAAACAAAAGACGCGCTGCTATGAGCCTGGAGTGCCCGGTAAAGCCTGTCTACGATGTGAAAGGCTTCATCAGAGATGCTCCCTGGTCCAAGTTGATGATGACGAGGAGGAACCGGCCCCTCCTGCGTCAGGTACAGGTGCTCGGTATGGCCTTCCCTATTCGTCACCCTCCAATGTAAACCCCGAAATACTGACCCCTTGGCAGGCTGGAGCGCCTTGAAAAAACCGTGGCAACTTTGCTTGACAGGCTGGGAGAGACTCCGAACAATGCCGACCATGTGTCGAGCAGACCTGCAAGCGCACTAACTACCCCGGATCCCGGCGACCAAACTTTACAGGACACGGAATCTTCCGCGGCTCCAATCATGGTCATCCGTGATTTAGCCACCGATTCAGGCGTTAAGTCTTCTCCTGATACGAAATCGCTGGAGACAGTGCTGGATGATCTCATCGCGCCTGACCTGGCTTTAACCCTTGTCGCGATGTACGTCAAGCGTTACGTTTGAACCTAAGAGTTCTAATTGACCATTGATTCAGTTTCATCGAGTATTATGGTCGTTGGATTTCATTCGACCCAGAAAGCGATCCGGTCGTTCTATTACCCCGCGTAAGGAGGTCGCCTTTACTATTCTGCGCATGCTGCTTGATCGCAGTGCGGCATACTTCCGAAGGGCTAGCTGCGAGCCTCGCCCCGAAGCTCTACGAGTGTGCCAAATCATTGGCCTCAAGCACGCTCTTGACTGCACCGCAGTATATTGAATTCTTTCAGGCGACCCTGATTCTATGCATGTGGTCAACGACTGTAGGGCAAGTCCCCTTGAGCATTGACAGTTGGCTTCTGAGTGGCTTTGCTTTGCAACATTGTCAATCCAGTCCCTTGTTCACCGCAATCTCATCTCAGTCTCAGCAGCCTGTACTAATGGATGAGAGAACATTGGATCGCTGCTGCTTATGGAACCATTTGTGTTTGGCGCATCTGCACTATTGTGTCGGAACTAGTCGCCGGTCTATGTTGCAGGCGTGGCAGATTGAACGTTGTCGTGTCATAATTGGCTCGGATCATGCGATTAATTTTGAAGTGCGTATGGTGGCTGAGATTTATCTTTATTGGACTGTTTATGAAAATCTGATTGAGGAGTCCGTCGATCTGCTCAGGTCGGTGGCCGCTTTACAAGCATGGAGGAGACGATGGGAGTTCGTTCTTGGTAAGGCTTTTCTCGTCGATTTCATTTGCTTTTCTTGACACTGACGTGAAGCATTTCAGAGCAGCCAAGATCCCAATTTCTCATGATGGGATTCCATTTCTCAAACCTACTCCTATACGAGCACGCTCTCAAGTCAAGGGCTGCGCAAGCCCGCGAGTCTCTTGTCTCAGAAATGATCCGCCATTCAACAACCATTGTCCACGTCGCCATGGATACAGTCGATGAGCGCACTCGCCACTTGAGTGACCACATATACCACATGATTACTTTCGCAGCGATCATCATCTGCCGCTTGCTCAATAGCTACGAAGAACAGCTGAGCACGACCTTCAATATCGAGGAGCTAGATGCTCTGATCCAAGACCTTGTCCAGTGGCTTCATTCAATTGGATTGCCATGTCATGCCGCACATACACTGGGCAATATAATCGCCAAAGTCCACCAGAAGCTCCGTCCCCGTGTGGAGAAGACGCCTTTACCTGCATTTGTTGAAGACCTGCCAGAAGAGAGTTTTACGAATTACTACTTCCCTGAATTTTTGGGTCTGGGAACCTCGGCTGATGGAAATTGGGATTTGCTATCTGACTTGAGCTTTTTCCCGCAAAGCCCAACCAATTCGTGATCTGGATTAGACGATTTCCAGGATATTCTGAAAGGTCCAACGACATAAAGCCACGAGATATGACACTGAGGATCTCGCTGGCTCTTACTGGCCTCCATATCGCTTCTCAACCCAACGAAGCATCGGAAACACAATGCCAGAAAATGCAAATGTCAGCTCATGGCCCACGTTTCCGCCACTTTCTCCGATAAGTGAAGCAATTGGCCCAGCGTACCATGTCACCTTCATTCCAAGGGCAGCCCCAAGAAAGCCGAATGCGAACGCTCCAACTGCTGCCCATCCAAATGGAAGGCCACTCGGGTTATCCCAGGCATCCAAATCGTATGATTTCCATCCACGGAAGACAAAATGCTCTTCCATCACGACGGTGATATGGATTACCGTCCAGTACCCTATGACGCTCAGTAGTGTCTGCAACGTGGCATTGAAATACATAGCTGCGAAACAGCCTACGATGATAGAAACCACGAAGCCAAATGTGACGAGAATGATTCGAGGAATGCGCATCGCCCATAGGCCGAGATTTTGTGTGTGGAGCGCGAAGGAATAGTTGTTGGGAATGTTGTTCTGTGCGAATGGTCAGCATATATAATGGATATGATTCCTGAAGAGGCCACAAACTTACCGGGATCGCACTCAATGCTGCGAGGACCATGAGGAACTTGCCAAACCCACCCGCGGGCTCCAGAGCCATCTTCAATAAACCTCCAATGGAAGAAGACGTGTACGCATCCTTCCACGCCACGTTTGTCACAACACCACTATACATCGCGGCGCCAAGCGATTGCACCAGCACAGTGGGAACAAAGATGCCAATGTATGTTGCGCTGAAGATCTTCCACCTCGGAGTGTCAACCGGCATACGCACATTGTAATCCGCCGCGCAATTTATCCATGACACAGAGAAGGAGAAGATACTCGCCATGTACGTGAGAACTGCAGCCGCCTTGTTCGCACCCTGGAGGTGCTTGCTAGGTTCACTAGTGAACGAGGACGCGCCCGTACCAGCAGCCACGCACCACACGATCAGAGGCGGGATCCAGGCATAGGTATCCAGACGATGGATCCAGCTGATCCCCAGAGCACATATTATCCAAACCGAAGTGCAGATCACGATGACTCCTGCCCAGGTTGGGAACTTTCCATTGGACAATGCGTTGAGCACTGAAGCGCCTGAGACCGAATTGATTGCATTCCAGCCTGTGGTTGCGATCATTGAGAAGATGACGACGAGCATGTTGCCCCAGTATCCGAACGAGTATCGTCTATTATGGCGAGTATGTTAGCTGGGGCTGTAATGATGAAAATGAAGAGAACAGAAATGATCACGCACGAAAACGTCGTCATTCGTAGACCTGTCAGTCCCACTGTAGCTGTCCATGCTGGAAGTAGATCGCTCGCGAGGTTGACGACCAGGATGATGATGAAACAATCCCAGAATCCAAGGCCCAGAGAGCCACCCAAGGATCCGATGTTGAGAGTGGCAACCGCCATGTTTGCGCTGAACCTGTAATCCCATCTGTCAGCACTGATATCTACGTCCGAGAAAGCAGATCATACCAGAAAGTAGCAGCATTCCAAAACTTGGTTGTATTCTGCTGCCTCTGGTCAACGGTTACGCGCTCAATGCCACCTCCCTCAATATCAAATCTTCCGTAGAACCATGGTTGATTCTTCTGAGCAACCTCTGAATCTTGAGGCTTATCCGATGCTTCTTGGCTCATAATCAAAATTAAAGGTATAATATAGTCGGAAACGTTCTGGAAACATTCACACTGATCTTACAATCCATCACGAGAGCCAGCTCCTTTCTATGCCATCTTTATACCTCCCCAATCTCCTATTGCCATGATACCATATCTCTACTCTCATTGCCCATCACAGCTTACCGATAAGCATATTTGGGGCTTATCTGACGCCATCACGACTATCTCCCCGGCCCACTTATCTCGCCGCGGCATACCGCGGCATGCCGGTCCGCGATGCCCTAAGTCAATCTATGGATATCACGCTCTTCTTCCTCTCTCCTACAACATAAATGCTGCTGCTCTGTAGCTTGTAAGTGAATATCTCCTACACAATTCTTTCTTTTTCTTCTCTAATCAACAATGGAACAGCAAACCTTTCGCCGTCGCGGCCTAGGGCTCCGAGGCGTCGATGAGCAACGAGTCTCACCAGGCTACGTCCTTTACTCCCCATTGACATCCAACACCGCGCACCTCGTCTCAACATCCGGCGAGGAAGTTCACCGCTGGACACTCCCTCACCGCGCAGGACGTCATGCACGACTCCTCCCCGATGGCTCCCTCGCCTACAATGGCGTGCACTCACACGCTCCAAGACTCTTCCCCATGTGGGCCAAATACCGTGGCGGCGTCATGATGCAGCTCGATCCAAGCGGCAATATCCTCCGCCAGTACTCCGATCCCTATGCGCACCATGACCAGAATCACCTCGACGACGGAACAATCCTCTACACTACCCTGGAGCCTCTGGGCGCCGCTGACGGTGCGCGCGTGCAGGGTGGGATCACAGGCAGCGAGGCGCCCGGCGGTGTTGTATACGCCGACTGCATCAAGCTCGTGGAGCCATGGTCAAAGTCTAATACATCGTCCTCGGCCGATTTCGAAGGCGGAGGAACGGGCGGCGCGAAGCTGCTCTGGTCCTGGCGGGCAATTGATCATCTAGACCCAGAGGCATTTGCTGCGCACTCGCACTATCCTCGTGAACACTGGCCGCTCATCAACAGTGTTGCCTTCGACAGTGACGGAAACATCATCGCCTCGTCGCGTAATGCCTCCTCCGTCTTCATCATTAGCCGTCAGACTGGTGAGGTGCTTTGGCATCTCACTGCCCCTACCGTCGCCCAGCAGCACTGTGCGCACCAGATTACACCATCGGGTGATATCCTAATCCTCGACAACGGAGTTTTCAGACCCGGAGTTTCGGTCCCCTTCTCGCGGGCGATCGTTGTCTCGCGAGAAAAGGAGATGAAGTGGGAATACAAAGATACATCAACTGGAGGGCTAGGCTTCTTCACGCCGTTTATGGGATCGGCCCAGAAGCTGACAAATGGGAATGTGTTGATCTCCGAGGCTGCTACGGGACGTATCTTTGAGGTTACGGAGGGTGGGGATTTAGTGTGGGAGTTTGTGGTGCCGCAGTTGCAGGATTACAAGAAGGTCATGGCGACGGAAGAGCTGGAGGAGATGGAAAGGATTGGGTTTTCGAATCAGAGTAATGCGATTTTTAGGGCTTATAAGTATGCTCCGGAGCAGGTGCCTTGGCTCAAGGGGGGAGAATTGTAATTTCAATGTTGAATCTGTCTATGCTCGTGTTTGTGCATTGTAACTTTGACATTAAGCGAGTCTGGCAAATTTTGTATGTGGGGTATCAGGGTCTATTGGTAGTAGTACAACCCCTCTCGATGAGACAGGGCTCATGGACAAAAAGAAAATAAGCAAAAGGATTGGTGTAAATAACATGCTTGGAAAGGAATGGAAAGAATGTGGTTGTAAGAGAGATCTCAGCCCAACGATTCGGCGATGTGGGCTTCGGATTCCATGTCTGTCTGGATACCAGCGTCTTGGACGACACGAGCCTCCTTCGTGACTTGTTTGTCGACAGGCTTCTCGACCACCTCGACCTTTGGAGAGTCGGGCACCTTCCGAGTGGATGAGTACTTGAGGAAGACGATGATCATAACTAAAGAGATACAGTCAGTCGGGCATTCAGGTCACTATGGAAAACGGAATACTCACAGGCACAGGTGGCAATCGTCAAAGCAGCCCGTCTGGTTAAGATCCACCGCAGCCCCTCGATCTCGCTCTTGCCGTCACTGTTAAGCGAGACGGTAATCTTATAGTTCAACTCCTGAACCGACGTGTCGATAGTTCGCTGCTGCTCTCGTGTGGCCATCTTGTGATCGTTGAACATGCCCTTGATGTCGTCTTTCATTCCCGAGAGCTCTTGGTTGAGACGTTGGGACAGAATGTCCGCTTCGTGTTCCAGGTGCGTCCGCGAAGCACGCTGCCTTTGCACCTCGGAGTTGCGGGCACTCTGCAACGACTGCTGAAGCTCCGAGCAAGCGGCTTTGAACAGGTAGGTTTCATTTTCGATATCCGACTTAGAGGTCAAACTTTGCTTGGCGAAGTCGAGGTTGCCCTGTAGAATAGTCCGCACGGCTTTCATGATCGTGATCGACTGTTCATTGGTGTATCCGCCCTTGGAAAGGTCAAGGACCAGCGAGTAGGTATCGAAATGGTGCACATAAGGCGCGGGAGACAAATGGGGCGGTTTGTTTTCCGACGAGGACGGGCCAGTTGGGGCTACGTAGTTCGACGGAGAAGGCATGTGGTAAACCTCGTCAAAGGTGCTCTGGTTCGTGTACGGAGGCATCTGCGACATCTCCTCCCCCACGTCCTTGGCCGAGGGCATGGAAGATCCGGGGGAGACCTCTGCACTGTCGCTCTCTTGCTCTTCTGGTGCTTCCGGCTCCAATGTGGCATCGCTTTTTGTCGATTCGGCGGCGGCTTGTTCTGATGTGGAGGCAGCGGCGTCATCGGCGACTCTGTCTTCCTGGGCCTCTTGTTGCGGCTCTTGCGATTGCGACTCTGCCTGCTCTGGCGGGGAAGCCGCCTCTTCGGATTGATCAGTCACATCCCGGCCAGCAGGCGCATTATCTCCAATCTGCTCTAGTGGGACATCGCCGGGCCGTGTGGGAGGGGGGATGTTCGGTTCAACGGCTGGTCCATAGCGGCGGTGGTAGGACTGCTGATCGCGTCGGCAGCTAGTGTGGAATCTGTGGCGGGGGGTAGGGGGTCGAAAAGAACGGTACGTGGTGGGCTGGCATGACCGAATGGCCCGCATCCAGTTTGAATATAGGAAAGGAAGCCTAGGAGTGGCCATGGTGGGATTTGAAGAAGTCAAGACCATTTCCCGTCGGCGAAGTCGAGTGACGTTGTCCCCCGCGGGAACTGATATTACATAATAGAGTTTTCTCAGGGCCCTTGCTTGCGCCGTGATTGGTCAGTGTATACTGCAGTACTCGATGTGGCGTGTTTGTAGAAGCCATCTCCGACTCGAAAGTAGCTTACTTTGAAAATAAATCAATCAATGTTTACGGTATATCTTTTTAAAGTATCGTCCTCACGATGTGTCAATCACTACCGCTGAGTATTGTGGCTATAGTCAAGCCAGGTGGCCAACTATCATTTTTCTGCCAAACTAGCTATGCAATCTGGAACTGAAATGGGATATTTCCATCGGATTAACGACAGTTTCTTACTAATGTATTTTCCTTTGGCAAAGTCCCACGGCCTAGTTAGTATGCTCCCACAGAGGGCCGGGTGCCTGCCCAGGTGGCAGCTTACAATTCATGTGATCACAGCATGGACTCAGACACCTCAGAGCGAGAATAGATACTGGATACTCTCAAACTTGTGGCTTGGCACGTCTGGCAAAATAAAACCCAGCCACAAAAAGCTATATCCGTTTGCGACTGTCCGAGCCCTTTGAAGGGAGTCATGCAAAGGTAGGAGTCAATGTACAAGGTAAACAGATGGAATTTTCCAACAAAAGGAATTCCAGTTGAAAAGATAGTTAAATAGATTCATGGGTGGTTTTGACGCGTTTTTCATCACCTCTGGTTGTTGTGGTAAGTGCGCAGCCCACCTCTGCTCTTACTTGCTATCGTGACTTCGACTTCGTAACTGCTTCCCACTCTGTCACCAACCCCCATTTCCCTTCCTTTTCGCCAACCCGAATTTTAACCGCTCGTGTCAACTTGTTCCTCATGAGCTTCTCTTATGTGCTATCATTAACGCGTTTGAAGAAATAAGTTTCGCCTCGAACCCGATGCCGAAGCCTGCTTCACCAGCACCGACCTCTTCCGCGATGGAGCCACCACTACCTCCTTTTCTTACACTGTTGATGCAGAAGACTGAGCCTGGTTTGCATGAGTACAATCATCTGCTCTCAAACATTGACAAGTACTACACTCATCTGGAAGCAGGAATGGAAAATGAAGCCCTCCGAGACCAGATCCTGTTGAACCCCACGCGAACCATCTCACGTCTCCAAAAGTCCTTCAATCTCCTCAAAAATCAGAAGCTGTCTGCCGCCGTGGCGGAGGAAATCTTCAAAACCATCGTCAAAACCCTTGTCAACTCGCCAGACCACATGCTCACTCGAGAACAGGCCATCCAGCTGGTCGGGTCCTCGCTCCCTGTCATCACTCGCTATCCGGGAGCTTACTTACAGCTCGTTGCAGACCTTCTTCTCGCATACGAAGGAATGTTTGAGTACATGGTGGCTGATGAGAAGTACTGCTCTGCCATGAAGCCATGGTTGCTTTCGAAGAAAACATACCTGGACATTCAAATCCTCACCAAGATCGCAGAAAGGCTCATTGCCATGTGCGAGAGCTGCTCAGGTCACGGTGTTAGTAACGTGGCTGAAAGCTGGCACAAAGCCAGGACACTGTTATCTTCATTGAATAGCCTGATTGATTCCCACCACAACGGGAACCAAAAAGTCTGTCGGAAAGAAGATATTCCTCCCGTGGAGAAGATGCGGGCTCTTAATCCGGATGACAAGAAGTCCAATCGGGTACGCACAGTGCAGACCCAAAGGAGCTCATTCAAAATACCTCCGCCAGTTCTTGAAGGCCTGGAGGCCCTTAATGGACCAAATATAAGCTCCGCTGGTCAACTTGTTCATGCTTTGGACTTCATCCAGAATGAAACGACTCCCGAGCTCTTACACAAAGCATTGGAGAGCTTCCCGTGCAGAGTCTGCTTAGAGAGACTGACGGGAACTGCGACCACATTCTCGGACCCAGCAGACGACGTTAGTCGTCTAGCCTTGAGTAACAGTCATTCAATCGACATATTCGGGAAGAAAGTCGGCCTGTGGAAGGTTTTGGTCTCCGATGCCGCGACCAAGAACGCGAAGAAGCTGGCTCGGACAGGCAGCTTTTCACGCGTGGAGATGAAGCTCAGGGAATTGGCCAGCGGTGCATGGAAAGGTAAAGACCTTTCACATCGCATTGGCTCCAAGAAGCAGAAGCAGGAAATGCTTGTTCCGGTCCTGCAAGCGCGGGTCAGCCGCACCGTATCGATCCTCTGGCAGGTTGATGTGGGGTTTGAGCATCAATTCCCAAACGTTCAACAGCAGATTGTGAAAATTTGGCAAATTACCAACTCAGATGACGAAGTTGACGCTGCGATCAATCACATCATCAGCCTCCAGAGTTACTACTCCCCGGAAGCCATCAGCCTTTGCCAGAAACGTCCGGGGCAGCAGCTCGATGGTATTTTTTTCCCGAACAAGCTTGGCTTTGTCCAGGAAAGCCATACTACGGGAAAACCTGTAGGCGCAGCCAAGGTTGATCATGCTTTGATCGAAATGTCAAGTGAGAGACTCTTTGATCACATTTAGCAGGCCAGCCTTTTATGAGTAATGAGGCTAATTCAATATAGATAAGTTCTACAATGTGACTGAGCCGTTTCTCAAGTCCATTGTCAGTACGACAGGCCGCGAGGAGTTCCCCTTTGACCTCTCGCCCGAGGAAATAAAGATTGTCGGGCACTTTGATACCTCCAGCTTGATTTTGGGAAGAAGCGGTACGGGAAAGACCACATGTCTTCTTTTCAAGATACTCGCCAAATACAGAGTGAGGCAGGCTATGCCGGATGAGAAGTCGATTCGTCAGGTAAGATGCCCAGGCATCCAATTTCTAATCCTACAGTGCTGATAAATCAGCTTCTCTTGACTCGATCCCCATTTTTGGCTGCAAAGCTTCAGGCTTATGTCAGAAGCCTGATTGATACGCAGTCCGAAAAAGGTTTGAACGAAGGGCCCTCCCATAATGAGAAGCCGGAATCCTTCTTCGCTTTGAAAGATGAAGATTTCCCGTTTGTCTGTACCTACGACGAGTTCTTGGATCTTCTTGAGAATACTTTCAGGTTAGTTCCGGCTTCTCGTATACAAGGCTAGTGATGACTGTCTCGACTTTTATTTAACATTATATAGACGAGCAAACCGACAAGACTTTTTGGGGAACAGCCGCCCCAGGACAAAATGTACAAATTCAGATCTGTCAGCACTCGACAAGCCCAGAGTGATTGACTTCAACGTATTCAAAACGGAGTATTGGAGCTGCCTCTCGGGCATTGCTCCATCAGGATGCTCCCCTGAGCTTCTGTTTGCGGAGATTATGGGAGTCATCAAGGGTTCAGGAATTTCTGCAAGCACCCTGATGCCCCTGACCCGTGCCGAGTATCTCTCCAAGTCTTCAAAGGTCTCACCAGCGTTTGCCTCAGAGGCAGAGCGTGAAAAGGTCTACCAGTCTTTTGAGCGATACGAACGACAGAAGAAGCAGCGGAACCAGATTGATGAGCTGGACCGTGTCAGCGATTTGTTGAAGTTGCTGAAAGGCAATTCCTCGTTAGAAACACTGATTCGTCAATGTTTTGAAGAAGTTTACGTGGACGGTATTTATTTAGGCTGTCGTTTCGAATATTGAATATGGCTAACTTGTTTTTCAGAAATCCAAGACCTGCGTTGCCTTGACATCGTTCTGCTGCTGAGCTGCCTCTGTGACGCTCGTGGAATCCACCTTGGTAAGTCTTAGGATGGGTGGTGTCGAATCATCGCTAACGCGCTTTAGCGGGAGACACGGCACAGTGTATCTCGAAGGACTCCGCTTTTCGATTTCCCGAAATCAAAGCCCTTTTCTACGATTACTATGAGCTAATATCCAAGGAGCTGAATCAGCCGTCCATCGCCAAGCCCGTGCAATTCATGCTGGCCAAGAACTACCGTTCTCATCAAGGTATTCTTAGCTTTGCATCATGGGTCATGGCAATGCTGTGGAACGGGTTCCCAGAGACTATTGACAAGCTGGACCCGGAGATCGGTCAGACAGGAGGTCCCAAGCCAATTATCTTTGCCGGGTTTGACTCTTCAATTCTTTCCGCCAAGATGATCGGTCTAGTCAAGCTGAACGATCAGGTAGCTGACTTCGGTGCTGAACAAGTCATACTTGTTCGGGACGAAGCATCCAAGGACAAACTGCAGGCTCAGATAGGCGAGATTGCTCTTGTGCTTACCATCCTCGAGAGCAAGGGCATGGAGTTCGATGATGTCCTCATTTATGACTTTTTTGGTGCAAGTGAACTCGGAAGTAGCTATCGCTGTTTGCATTTGCTCGCCCATGGACAACGTGCAAAGTTTGACTCTCAAAGACATGCAGTAAGTCTTGATTCATGTGAAAGGTATGATCCACCACTAATTACACATCAAACAGGCACTCTGCTCGGAACTCAAGGTGTTTAAATCTGATCCTTTGATGTCTAAAATTGGGTTATAACTGACGAACTCATAGCATCTCTATGTTGCAGTGACAAGAGCTCGGAAGCAGCTGTGGTTCATGGAGACTGTTGAGAACAGCACTGATCCAATTCTTCAAGCACTTTCAAATGACGGAGAGATTCAACTTGCCGAACTAGTGAGAAAGAATGATCAGGATGTTGCAACAAAGGTTAAGGTGCTTCGTGCAGGTGGTTCGGTGGACCCAGACAGATGGCTGAAGCGAGCGGCACATCTTCTGCACCAAAAGAACTTCGCAGATGCCCTGTTCTGCTTCAAGAAGGCAAATGACCCTCGTGGTATTGCACATGCCCAAGCTTGGCTTCATGAGCAAGAAGGCCGATCACGCCGGGCAGCCAATGATATTGAAGGTTCTACCGCAAGTTATGAAAAAGCAATCGTGCTTTTCCTGGAACTCGGGTTGTTCTCCGATACTGCTGACTGCTATCAGGCTCTTGGAAGATACGACAAAGCTGGAGGTATGGCTTCCACTCACCATATTTTCAAACGATTGGGTACTGATCCGAAGGATAGAAACCTGGAGGAACCAAGGCCAGCTCCCCAAAGCCGCAGCCTTCTACGAGAAAGGCGGCCACTTCCGGGAAGCCTCCGATTGTTTCCATTTAAGTGGAGAATATGAGCAGGCAATTGAGGTTCTGCGCCGAGGCGACGAATTTGACGAGATCATTCATTACATCAAACGGCATGGTCGAAGTCTTAATCCCAATACTCTCCACCGCTATTCTCGACTTTGCAACATCTTACTGAAACAAGGTCGGATTTCTACCGAGCTGAGGGAGACAACCATCAGTCTCCTGGGGTCTGATGTTGAAAAACTGGCATTCTTCAAGGAATTTGAGATGTTCGATCAGATGCGCTCTCTATACAAAGATCGTCGCAGATGGTTCGAGTACTACGAGCTGTCGGTCGCTGTTGGAGATCTACCCGGAGCGATGGATACCCTTCTGACGCAGAAGCTGCTACCGGTGATCGACAAGAAAACGGCCGAGTACATTCTTCACTACACTATGGCTGAGACCCTGCTTTCCCATCGAGGCATAACTGAAAGTAGGCCCGAGCTCGAAAAGGACCTTTTGCAGTCATCTCGATCGACACCTTTGGAGAGGACCTCTCTGCAGTGGCTTGATATTTTCAACCTGATTGATCAATTCGAAGAAAAGGATGCCCAGGCGTCATACAGATCGCTAGTGGTGAGCCCGATTCTGATAGATTTTTTCTGTCTCTTTGCAGTTGCCTACCATACCGAAATCAAGCTTCTCGATAGATCCAAGCTCATGCATCTGCCCATGGACATCATCAACCATGCCAGTCGACTCATTCAAAACAAGGAATCCGGAGACATGCAATTGTCGGTAGATGGTCTGATGCTTCTCTGTGGTTTGTGGAGTTCACCAAAGAACTCTACCCAGATGATGATGCTTCCTTGGTCTCCCCTTAAAACCTATGGGGCTCAATTGCCCGAGGATAACTCGCCGGGCAATCTGCTCAGCCAGGCTAGAATCTGGATTCAAGAGAAATTCTCCAATGCCCTTGTACGCTTCGAAGGGTGTGCTTTCAATCTCTTCAAGGAGCTATTTCCCAAACGCTGTGGTGCTTTCCTTGTCCGAGGTAAGTCAATAAACTAAATACAGTTCCTGCTTTACCCTCATGTCTCCGCACTTCCTTGAATGCATTTCACTAAGTTCATCCAGGATCTTGCATCAAGGCCCGGATGGGGGAATGCAACCTTTTCCATGAAAAACCAAGCTATAACGACTGCTTTCTGAAGTTGACTTGCCTTCTAAATGTCAGTGAGGTTTTCAACAGACTCAGCATCTTGTATTACCAAAGAGACATGCCAGACTCCTTCAGCCAGCCTTTCCTTGGCATGCGGAGACGTTGGTTGCAACTGCTGCTCGATGAACTGATCTTTGTCACCCCTTACGAACATTCACCTGAGGCGATTGTCAAGGTGCGCACAATGCTCCAGAACAATCCCATGTTTTTTGCCACCACATCCAATCTGGAGAATCTTTTGTTTTATCGCATAAAGGAAGAGTGGTATCAGATCCACAGCTTCAGCGGAATCCTTCAGCAGGTTCAAATAGCCCAGTTCCTTGGTAAGTAATTTCCAGTGCCATTGTTCAGAAAAAAGGCTCACTGGATTCGAACCATTCTATAGGACCTTGGGTTGCTTTAAGCTACATTCGCGCACTAGCAAAGAAAAAAAGCTACATTCTGTACCGTCACCGATCCGGAACACATCCATTGAAGAACAGCTTCAACGCTGTTCTGGTGGTCGATCAGATTCGATGGGCCATTGCAGAGGGAAGAATCACCGATTTTGTAAGGCAATCCCTCTCTGGGGCCTATATAAATGCTGATTCAAACCTACAGTATTCCCGAGTCAGGGAATTTCTCATTTGCATGGAGCGTGCCGAGACTTCCGCTCTCTCGAACTTCCACAGCGTGATCACCGTCATCGAGTTCGTGTCAACATTCGTTGTAAGTGGGATCTCTTCCACCTGGATTCAGGATCGAGCTGACTGACGTCAATTTCTAGCTGTGTCTCGTGAATCCCAACAACGCCATCGTGGTGCCTTGGTCATGGGCTGTACAATACCTGCCAGCACTTTACGCGGCTCCTGTCCATCGGAACCACGTTATCCCTGAATCGGATCGACTATTGCAGCTTGGACTCCTCAAGGCAATTGTCATGTCATTCTGCAATATTGCTGATACCTTGGCGCATGCTGTAACTTGTCATGACTTCTCGTTCCAAGTTCTGGGTCGCAAATCTTCGCCCTCGGTCCAAAAGAAGCGCATTTTTGACTACCTGACCACAATCCTCCTGAATCTGGCATCCCATCCAGTCGCCCCTCGAGGCTTGGCTGAGATCTGGGAAAAGGCACAAATGGTACGTGTTCTGGATAGAATGAAGAGACATACTTCAAAGCCTTGGTTTACGGGCAGAATTTTGGTCTTTTCTATACAAAAATCTCCTTTCCAGTGTTACCAACCTTGATTTCCCGCAGCTTTCTAACAAATCTCTCATACAGGTAGTCACCACCGTGGCACCTCCGAGCTTCGCCCCTCCCAGTACGTTCGACAAACTTCGGGAGTCAGTTATGCGGGAATATGTTGGTTACAATGGTAAGGACAGACTGCAAGTGGTCTGTCTCGATGACAATGTCAAATGCCCAACTTTCTTGCGCGGTTTTCTGGCCACTCCGGATGGGCATGTGAAGCTCGGCACACTTCTCGAAAGCTCATCGGCAGAAGATAAAAATGTCCCCACGACTCTTGGAAAGGATGCCTCTGAGGCAGATGAGTACACCTGTCATGAGCTGGAAATCATCACCAGACTCCAACGCCGCTGGCGACGAGTCATGAAAGCTCTCGCCGATGCCCGTTATCTACGGCAATCCGTTGAAGGACAGATCTTCCTCCAGCTCTTTGGGTTGTGCCACCAACGATTCAACACCCTCCCTGGCTCAGCCCGCATATCCACCAGAGAAAAGATCCACCTCCGCAAGCTGCTCTTTACCGACGGTGTTGAAATACTCGTGGAGCTTGATAACTTGGGTACAAGTCTTCGCCGACTAAAAGAGCACTGGAGATACCGTCTGGAAAACCCGCGTGTCACCGCAGAAGAGATCGAAGCCCTCGATATGGTACATGGACAAATCCGTCCCATGGAGACCAAGCTCAGCGATATTGCATTGACATGGTCGCTGAAGGGTCTGAGCACCAGCATCGTCATGGCCTCGGCGAAGTCTCACGGTGAGAAGGCTCGGGAAGCTCAGCGCATCATCTGGACAGTGAAGCATGAGATCGAGGTTGTGCGGAGCCAAATCAACGGGGTTGGCAAACTAGACTCTGCGAGGAGTTATTGATATCTGAAAATGTAAAAAAAAAAAAAGGGGGGACAAAAAAGGAGAGAGGCCAAGCTGCCTCGGAATGGTCATGTATGTTACGACTGTATGATGTACGTCGATCCATGAGGATCACGTCCTGTATGACTTAGGTACCTAGGTAGTAATTCGTATTTCCAACACCTGGCCCGAGTAAACTATCTCGCCGCCCTGCATGGGGCTCCATCTTCTTTCCTTACCTTGAGCTCACCGCTCTGCGACCAGACATAAGCTACTCTTCCACTGCGACTACAAGATTAAGTTGGCTTAGAGGCATTGTGGACGTTCTTCAGGACACTTAATTCACAGAAACAGGCTCGGAACGCAACGAGTACCGAGAGTCTCCTACCAAGGGTGATAGCCGGTTAGATTGAATGCGACGGCTGCGCCCCAAGCCCCATCAGCAAATTGCCCTGGAAGAGTAAGTTGAAGGTGGGAAGTCCCTCCGAGGGCACTTTGTTATCGAAGTTCTTCGGGGGACTATGTTATGGTTTTCTGTTTACAATTGTGTTTTTACCGATTCAGAGTAGATACTGTATCAAATGAAGCAATCTTCTATCTCTAACTATTCATATTGCGCGAACCCTGACTTTCTTTCCCGACGGGGCCTAAGACCAAGTGCTGAAGCATAGAATGAATGTGTGGCCATCGACTCATTTTTATCAATTAAGGCGCGTGATCCGAGGTTTCCGATAAAGACATGGATATGATGGCCTTTAACGGCTGATAGTTTGTAGACTTTGATTTATTTCCCACATATTGGCCAGGAAGTTTGCACCTAGACGTTGACCGAATGCCCATGATCGCCAATACTGTAAGTACATGATCCTCGCCCCTCGTTGAGTCACTTCAGGGAAGCAGCCCAATAAGCGGGCAAACTAGCTTAAGAGTTTCACGTTTTGATTCTCCTCGATTTTACTCTTGAACTCCATCTTGCCTGACACTACACCCAGACTGCTATCAGCTGGGCATATCCTCATGGAAGAGAAGGTCTAACATGCTACCTAAACATCCACCCCAGCAAGACGTAGGAAGTCTTTACTGATTTTCCTTTCGGGTAAAGACCATGGTGTTTCACTTGATGAACGAAGGACACTCACATCCGCCTTATACTCTAGAAGAGTACGAAAGCACCTACGCGCTCCATAAACGGCCGCTAGATACAAAGGGGTCTCATCGAACATGTCTTGCGCGTTAATATTTGCTCCATGATCTAGAAGCACGAGTAGACAGCTATGCTGGCCTTCAGCAGCAGCAAGATGCAGCGCCGTTTGTTCATTTATGTTTGTCACATTGACGTCGACCCACGATTCGCGTATTATTGCCCTGGCCAGCTCGGCATTACCCGCAAGAATGACGGCATGTAGGGTAGGAATCACATGGAGCCTTCTCCATGGCCTATAATGCTCGTCAACAACTTCCGGCAATCGGGCATTGTTGCCGGATTGAATGTTGCGCTGTAGATTCCGGAACAGGTCGACTCCACATATCTGATATATAGGGTCCGATGTGTTGCGAGAAAGCTCTTTTGCTTTCTTGACTAACTCCTCAAACATTTCATAGTCGTTCTGCTGCAATGCATTATCAAAAGGGGTTCGGTGTCCGTCATCTTTGGCAAAGATGTCAGCGCCATGCTGTAGTAGTAGTGTTACCACATCTCTCTGGCCCGTAGCTATGTGGAGGGGAGTCTGGCCCTCAGGGCCCTGGGCGAGAATATCGGCCCCGTGCTGGAGTAGTAGAGACACCATGGATATGCCTAGCCCGGTTTTAATGGCGCGGTGCATGCATGTATATCCCGCTGAGTCCCTGGCGTCTGGCTTAGCACCTTCCTCCAACAATATGTGCGCAATTCGCTGATGTCGATGTTTTACCGCCAGGACCAGTGCCGTATTTCCCCCACGGCTTTTGAGCTCAATGCTAGTTCCGAGGGCGAGCAAGGAGCGGACGATTGAGTGATTGCCTCTGATGGCAGCAAGGTGAAGAGCGGTATTTCCCTTGTTCAGTCGGTATCGTGGACGTCTGTGTGTTTCTTTGACCCTCGGGGTCATCTCGAAGAATTATATCCAACAGTGTCAGAAATGATAATTCTACTATGTATAGGAGTGCTTAGAATTTATAGGCATGATTTTGAGTTGTTGCCTAACGAGGCTGTGCCTGCACGCAAAAGGCCCAGGCTAAGCCAAACGGGGAATCGTCGTAATTGATGTTCCGTGTCTTCCCTCAGCACCCCGAAACCTCCCCCCTTTCTAACTAGCATCCAACAAGATTCGCATTCACCCATTTCAACAGGAACGACTACTTGAAGGACGTCCTCCGCTTTCCCTCAAAATTTTCATTAAAGTATACTCGCCTAACTACTCCTGAACACGAGAAATTCACTATACATACTATGGCTTTGCGCCGGTTAAAGTTCTTGGCTGGCGAATATTCGGAGGGGCGAGCTAAGAAATGCGACGAGGATGTAAGGAGAACTTTGACAAGTTTGGCCATAACGGAAACTGCTTTCAACCACTAACACTGCAAGCATTTCAGCTTTCCGAGGAACAGTATGGTCTGTTCACCCTGAGCAGCCCATTGGAGAAAAATCGCCATCAAGTTGAGTATGTACGCATCACAAAGTGGGCATATTCAAGCTAAGGAAATACCAAGTGTTGTTGCTGTCCACGGCTTAGGTGGACACCCGTTCAAAACTTGGCAACATTCCAATGGGAAGGTCTGGCTAGCCGATTTTCTACCTGCTCAACTTCCTAACGCTCGGATCATGACATTTGGATACAATTCCTCTGTTCTGTTCAGTAAATCAGTCGCAGGTATCAGCGACTTTGCGACTGATCTTCTTTTCAGAATATCTATGGAACGCAAGTGTGCTGCCGTAATTCAGCCTTTATCGTGGAATCATCCCTGAAACTGGAGTAAGTGCTAAGAAGTAATACAGGAAAGAGCGCGCCCGATTATTTTCGTATGCCACAGCATGGGGGGCTTGGTGGTTAAGAAAGTGAGCTCAGCTGATCACAGATTTCATTCTGAGCTAAATGAGTCGCAGGCCCTTATTCTAGCACATGAACGCTCTTCAGCCCACGGTGCCTTGCTTCGTAATGTTTTCGGAGTTATATTTTTGGGAACACCTCATAGAGGGTCACGGATTGCGTCCTGGGGATCAATTGTTGCTTCCGCAGCGCGAGCAGCTCAGTTAGGCACAGGCACCAATAGCGGTCTTGTTACCCTTCTAAGCTCGAACTCCGATGCACTCTGGGATATATCTACTCAGTTTATTGAACGCGCCGAGGGTCTTGATATTCGTACTTTCTATGAGACGGAAACAATGGAAGCGATGAACTCTCTGGTAAGGGTATCATGCTTCTCTTCTTTTAGATTGCTAACAAACCTATCAAGATAGTGGATATCGACTCTGCAAGGCTGAATCTACCAAATGAATCGGCGATACCAATTGGCGCAAATCATCGGGATATGTGTAAATATTCTGCCATAAACAGTCAAAGATATCGCCCGGTATGGGAAGCTCTGCAGGGGATGGTAGAAAGCGCGGTCAAACATGGGCAGGGTACGTCAAGATGACTCGCACCACATTGCCTTCAAGGTACTGAGCTGGCGTGTAGAATTACCTGAGCTCCATCAGAAAATCCTAGCCTGTCTACACCGCACCGACTACGAGGAATACAAGGAGACAATTGATACTCCTGTCGAAGGGACATGTACATGGTTTCTTCAGAATCCCAAATACAAAGGCTGGCTTCACGAAGAAGGTTCCAGCGCCCTCTGGGTCTCTGGGGATGCTGGAAGTGGAAAGACAGTCCTCTCGACTTTTCTGATTGACGGTTTAAAAAAGAAAATATCCGGATGGTCATCGCCGACTACCGTGTGCTATTTTTTCTGCGACGAAAAGCTAGAATCCCAAAATGATGGAAGTGCGATTCTCGCTGGGCTGCTTCATCAAATATTCTGTTCGAACTCAAAACTTATCCATCATGCAGAAAATCGTTTCAAGACAAACAATACTCGGATAACCAGAGGATTCCAAAGCCTTTGGACTATCTTCCAAGCAGTCTGCGAAGATCCATTTGCTGGAAATTTAATATGTGTCGTCGATGGTCTTGATGAGTGTGACGAGTCCTCCGGGCGACAGTTCATTGAACGTATTACATCCTACGTGACGAATAAAAGCCGATCAGATATATCTGCTCTCAAGGTTTTAATGACTAGCCGAGGAAACAAATCGATTGAGGATAGCTTCCGGTCCTTTCACAATATTCGAATCCGAGCAGAAGACTTGGTGGAATTCACAAAGGAGGACGTCGCTAAACTGATAAGATTCAGATTGAACAAAATTCAAGCATCGACATTATGTTCCGACGACACCAAGCGGAGGATAGAGTGTGAACTAACGAAAAAAGCCGATCGCACATTTCTCTGGGTATCGCTCATTCTCGATCTTATCGAGAAAAGCTCTGATGCCTCCGACGAGGGTCTTATTTTGACACTGTCCACATTGCCCCGGGAGCTGAACCAAGTTTACGAAAGTATTCTTGACCGAAGCCCGGACCCAAAAAACCTTGTGAAGCTGCTCTCAATTATAGTTGCGAGTCAAAGACCTCTCAGCCTCACTGAGCTCAACATGGCTCTTAGTATCCGTCCTTCTGATAGATCACGAGTGGATGTCCAGCCAAGATGGCAACCCAATATGTCCAGGAGGATCAAAGGGGTCTGCGGACCATTTGTGCGCATAATCCATGGAAGAGTTTATCTTGTTCATCAAACGGCAAAAGAATTTCTTCTCTGTCCTTCAAATTTCGAGCGATCCTCTCCTTTCTCTTGGGAACATCGCCTGGAACTTCCTCAGGCACACCTTGAGCTTGCCCAAATTTGCATCTGGTACCTCGCATTTGATGACTTCATGGCAATACAGTTTCCTCGAGTCTCCCATGATGAAACGGACGTTTACTCAATTACGAATCTCCACCCACACGAACACGAACACGAACTTTTAGACTATGCGTCAAATCATTGGGGAGCTCATGTTCGACTTGCGGATACTGCAGCCGGACCAGACCTCCTGCAAAATGCACTTCGGCTAGTCGACCCTCGTACGAAAAATTTCCAGACCTGGTTTCAGCTGTACTGGATCAGTATCGCTAAAGTTTGGAGGTTCCCTGATGATCTCACATCGCTGATGATAGCTTCTCACTTGGGGCTCCGGAAACTTGTTCAAATTATCACAAAAGATGAAGTCAATCTAAACACTCAGGACGAAGAAGGGTGGACAGCTATGCACTGGGCAGTCTGGGAAGGGCATGGAGTCATTTGGGACGGGAATGAAGCTGTGAAGCAACTACTGTCCTCGGGAGCTCTCCCTACAGTAATCGACAAACAGGGAATGGCCCCATTGCACTGGGCAGTGGCAGACGGACAAGAGAATATCGTCCAATTGCTCTTGGACTCTGGTGCTCCGGTTGATATGAAAGACTGTCGAGGGAGTACGGCCCTTCACCTCGCAGCTGAGAATAGCCATGTTGGGGTTTTGGAACTGTTGATAGATCACGGAGCCGACATAGATGCAGTGGATTGTGATGTGATTGACGATACCAAGTCTGAAGAGGCTGGTATATCAATTAACCCGGCAAAAAGAAAACGAGAGGGACACGAATAGATCTCAGAGAAATAACGGTCGGGGTAATTGCTCCGACATCCCTCTAGCTTTCTAATAGATTGTAGCTTCTTCTCTTCTTCTTCTTCTTCTTCTCTTTACTAATACAATTTTTTAGCGTATTCTAGAGGACAATTTGAGAATGATTCTTTATAAGTAACTAGTTCATTTATGTGCGAAGTTCAAAGTTAAGCCCTAATAAATGATGAAGACCTGGGGTTGCATGGAAATGGTATTCGAATGACCTTTGTGGTTTTAAATCACGGGCTGTACCTCAAGGGCACTGTCATTCTATGTTGAAGTCAAATCCGGCTCACTAGCTGCGCCTCGACTATATTTTTGAGTGGACTCAGAGAGAGACACTCAACAACCAACAGGTTCCACCCAAGACCTTTTGACTTGGTGGTACATGCTGCCTGGGAGTTCTGGGGTCTCTCATGATTTCATCATCGTCTGCGACCCTAAACGACACCGATCTTACACTATCAGCTTTAAAGATGCAATTCACGAGCTGGCTTGACAAAGAACAGGGTGGAAAGAGAGAGACAAAGCAAAATAGAGCTGCATGCGCCTTAAAAAAAGTGGGCTGCCCGTTGATACCCTGAGTGACGTTCTTCAATGTTGTCCGACACCCTCTTTCGGTATATATTTACACATCAGGCTTAAGCCCGAACTTCTTGGGAGTTAGAATTTTTTCTTGAAAATAAATGAAAACCAAAGTCACTTGGAAAATTTGGAACCAGGTTCACTCTATGCTATGCATGTAACGCTATATTCTCAAATACATCTATGCCTAAACTTATCGCTCAGCCAACAATCCAAAAAGCATCTCTGTACGCTTCCAATACTCCTGCGCGAGCTTCTGCACTGCCTTGACAGCCTCCGCGTTAGGATTTGCACTCTTCTGCACGCGTTTTGCGACACCAGCCAGCTGGGTCGCGTCGCCTAGCATGTTTGATAGGTACATTGTGTCGAAGAAGAGCTGCACTTTCCAGTCTCGGAGGATTTCGGTGTGAGGCGGGGTGTTGGAGGATTCTGCGGCGGCCTCGGCCTCTGTAGAGTCGTCGTGGTTCTTCTCGCCATTTTGAGCGGGTTTCTCGCCCTTGGTCTTGGGCTTCGTGTCTTTGTCTTCAGGGTTCCAGGCTTCGAGTTCCTCGAGTGTGGAGCCGAGTGCACTCTCTAGATGATTCTGCAGTACTTCCTTCAATACTTTCACGGTCGATGGATCCCAGAGATCTGACCCGCTCTCATCCATCGTAGCTGTCAGGCGACGCAGGTATTTGAATGTACCTGGAGATGGCTGCACCGGTACAGGCGGTTCGTGTTCCCAGAGCGACCTACCAGGCACGACTCTGGGCTTGCCCGTCTCAGGGTGAAACTTGGAAGACGGGATGAGGGATAGGGAGCCATTCTGGGCCACAATTTCCGCGGCAAGTAGCTTCTGCAGTTCGGGTACCACTTCGCTCGAGAATGTAAAATCGTTGCCGAGGAAGTCCGTGGGAATGTCCCGACGCACAAGCCTGATAACTCTGAGCAGGAACACGGCCTTTTGGCTTGCATGAGAGGATCCAAACGTCTTGAAGACATCGTTCACTGATGATTTTAGACTATCAAGCGCCTGTCGCACGGCGGAGTGAAGGGCATCCGATAGGGAGCGAGGGTCATCTTCGTTGAGTTGTGGGTTGATATCGATGTCTTCGTCCTCGACTTCGGCCCCGACAAGGATGTCGGTCCATTTGAGACGACGCAGGGAGTCGATAGACTCGTTGACCTCCTGAATAGATGCAAGCCAGGTCTTGTATTTCTGGAGTACTGTGGACACATCGTGATCGCGACCAAGGAGTCGGTCTGCGACGGTCTGTTTGAATGCCCCGGCCCCGTTCGAGAAGTCTGCGTTGATGAGATCTGGGTCCCAGAGGGAGCCTATGGGCTCGTGTTCTGTAGCTTCCCAGGCAGAAATAGAGGATGAGATCTGGCCTGCCACTTCGTCGATTGTTTGTACTTGCGCGGTCAGGACTCGTTTCAGATGGCCATTGAAGATGTTACGAAGGCGTTCGAGAACATCGACAGAATCGTGTGTAATGGTCGAGCCCCAATATGATAACCACAGCTCCACGGTATCAGCACGCAAAGACAAAAGTTCGGTGAAGTCATCGCTGTGAGCAAGACTTGTCTGGCAGCCCTCTGTGAACTTCTCAAAGGCTTGCAAGGACCACTCCTTGATTGATTCCACACCCTCAGATCGGCTCAATTCACTCAGCGTAATCCACGGCGTGAAATTCTTGACATCGGGAGCGGCCCAACGACCAAGAACTTCAATTTCCAGCCCGTCCAGACTGCGAATCTCCGGGTCGGAGAGGATGGGCCTTGATTTTAGTTTCGAGAGAAGGTCAGAGAACTGACGTGATCGCAGCACCTTTGAGGTCTGCAATGTGAAAATGAAAATTCGCAGACTCTTAGGAATGTTCTCGCGCGACAGAGACAGCTGGTTGACGATAATATCCAGGCGCACCTTGCGGAAATGGTGAATAGCGTCGTCTGATGAAGAAATTGTGGCGAGGCAGTACGCTGCCAGAGACTCGATGATACTATCTTCTGTGGCGTTGATGGATGCCAGGCGTTTATCAATCCGTTTTAACAGGGCTTGGTGTAGAGATACGAATTGATTGTGGAGGTCTTTGAGGAACGGCGGGATACTCTCGTGTTTTGAAAGGGTATTATGCAACAACCGTGAGACAACCATAATTTTTGCCACGAGCAACAGCGACGCTCGCTTCCGCAGCAGTCTTGCGATAGTTGTAGTGCAGCGATGGAGGAGGGCAAGTTGCGCGCCAAAAGTGTGCTTGTCAGCGTCTGCCACGATGTTAACAATTGACAATCCCAAGGGCCACAAGAACCATACCCTTGTCTGCAGCATCACTCTTAATCTGTCGCGCATGTTGGAGCTTCTTCTCCACCAGTCGCGGGTTGCATCGGCGTCCAACATCCGTCAGAATAGACTCCACATCCTGAATATCTTTGTTCATAGAAACAATTGTCTCGGCCGTTCCAACTAGCTCTCGATATCGGGTCCTAGAAGCACACAACAACGTTAGCAGGCCTGCAGGATCGTCCGACGCGGATTACTTACCCCACGAGAGCTCGGAGCTTCTCCTTATTGCTCGCGATATCCCGACGCAATTCCTGCTCCACGCGGCGGACCGTGGGAATCGGGTACTGGAATGCATCGTGCCATGACTTCAGGCTCTGGGGATCCGGGGCCTCAGGGGCCATGCTGAATGGACGATACTGGGGAGAAGCTCGAAGCCGCGTTGAGACCAAATCAGCATCGGTGCCTGAGTCCTGAGGCGGTGTGCTGATTAAGCTATCGTTATCAGCAGGTGACTCAGAAAGAAAATCATCCCCGCGATTGCCCTCCATTCAACTCGTTCTTTTCTATTAAACTATTGTTATACAAAGATGCCCTTTATGGATTCAGAGGCTCCTCCGGCGGAATCGTCTGCCAACAATTTACCGGACCGGCTCCCTTTCCCGCCCGTCACATATTCTCACATCTTGCACTGCTCATACCATGATTGGCACGCTCGGTATGTCGTTGGACATTTAACCATATCTTCGGCCAGATTTAACTAAACTTACTATCTAGCTACCGCACACTTGCCCCGAAATCTCGCGTCATCCCTCTGCCAGCCTCATTTGTCAACTATCTTCGCGCCGACGGCATAGTCCTCCCGCCAGAAGCCGCACGCCCAACAGACGATGATGACTATGATACCTTCTCCGACTCTGGCGAAGAGGAACAAGACCCCTCAACAGAATGGCCAGAAATACATACCCAGATCAAGAACACAATCACCGAATTCGGCAAAGTCACACCAAAACTAAACTGGAGCGCCCCCAAAGACGCAACCTTCATGTCCGCCACAAACGACACACAATGCCAAACACCTAACGACATCTATCTCCTCCTCAAAAGCAGCGACTTCATCACCCACGACCTAGACCACCCGTTCGACGACTGCGTTCCTGACCCCACCAACGGCCACTCTGAAGCTGAGAGCGTACTTCCCGAAGTGCCGTACCACCTGGTCCTCCGCAAATACGCCAATTTCAACCCGTCTCTTGAGTTCAGGTGCTTCGTGCGTAACCGCAAGCTTCTGTGCATGTGTCAGCGCGACCAGAACCATTTCGACTTCCTCTTTGATATGCGTGATATGTTGCGCTCTCGCATCCAGTCATTCTTTGACGAGAAGTTGCGGGATTCATTCCCGGATCCGAACTTCACGTTCGATGTTTATGTCCCCGCGCCGCACCAGCGGGTCTGGTTGGTTGATATCAACCCTTGGGCGCAGCGGACAGACCCGTTGCTCTTTAGCTGGTTGGAGATCTTGCGCATGAAGGATCCCATTGGGTTTGAGGAAGAAGGCGACGATGATTTGAATGGAGGCTTTGTGCGGATTTCTTTGCGGGATGGGAGTATTATGATCCCCGGCTCTGCGGAGACCGAAGAAACTGAAGAAACCGAGGGTGACGAGGGCTCGGAATCGTCGGAAGACGAGGCTGAGGATCCTGCCGCAGAGGGCGATGATGACATGGCTCCCTTCTTGCCTGAGTTCCGTCTAATTAAGAAGAATGATCCTGAGGCGTATTCTTTCAACACCCCACAGTACTCGGCTCATAAGGTGCCGAGGGAACTTGTTGATGCTTCGCTGGCTGGGCCTGCTGGAATGAGTGAATTTATGGGCAAGTGGCAGGATATTCTGCAGCAGCAGATGCGTGAGGATCAGCAGGCCAGTGACTCTGAGTAGAGTGTTCATTGGGATTGAGGCGTTCAGCTGCTTGGCGTTGCGGGGCCATGTATAACGATTTAAAAGCGCATTTCTGGAGAATAGAGCTCTCAAATCAACTACTGCATGCACAAGTCTTCAAATTCATAGGTCCATGATATTATCCGGCCGAGGACATAAATGCAGAAATCCTGCAGATTCAATAGGAATTATCCAGAGTCTAAATCTCCACTATATACAGAAAGCCCCTAAAGTAGATATCTGCCCTTCACCGAATCGGGCTCACAGCTTATGCTTCTTCTCTCCAGAAGCCAACTTACGGAACTCCTCCTGCGGCACTCCCATGAGGAAGCGCTCAAGGCCCATAAACGCCTCGATGCCATTCTGACGATCCAGAATCTCCCGCTCGGGCCGACGAACCAGCTCCTTGATCTTCAGCAGACTCGACTGGTTAAGATGAGTACCAAGGCGTTCATCAACCTCAGCAAGAACATTCTTCAAGAAGCCCGCGGAGTCATTCTTATCGCCCGAAGCCGCAGTAATAATCTTGTTCACGAATCCAGTAGCAACAAGCTCGTCACAGGTAATCCGCTTGCTCATGATCAGCGCCTCGTTGGCCTTGGCAATTCCCAGTCTTTCGACGAATGCGCGGCTGGCACCGCCTTCGGCAACAAGACCCAGAGATGAGAATGGAGTGAGGAGGAAGGCGTGCGGGGCGGCGTAGATGAAGTCGGCGTGCGCGATTAGGGCTGCGGAGAGGCCGACGGCGGGTCCGTTCAGGGCGACGACTAGGATCTTGCTGTGGTTGTAGAAGGTGCGAGTTACGTCGACGTTGTTGGACACGAAGCTGCGGACTAGATCGCGGCGTACACTCGAGTTCAAGTCTCCACTAGGACGGGAGCTAGTGACATCTGCGCCGCTGTTTAAAAGATATTGTTAGCTTTGTTGGATTGTCTGTCGGATCATGGCGGATAGACATACGCGGAGAAGAACCGACCGGTTCCAGTGAGAACGGTGATGTAGATATCATCGCGTCGCTCAATCTCTCGCAGCCGCTCGGCGAGAAGATAGTAAAGGTCCTGGTTGAGGGCATTCAGCTTATCGGGCCGGTTGAGCGTGACGATCGCAACGCGATCTTGAAAGGTGAGGGTGACGAGCTGCTCGTTCGACATTTTGGTGGCTGATTTAATATTTTTTTGGGGGATCAATTGGAAGGATAAGCAGTCTAGGACCGGTGGAGGACCAAACATATACTCTCACGCCGATGCCGAGTCGGCCGCTTTTCTGCGGGGGAGCCGAGGCCCACGGAAGATCAGGTGATCCGTGGTGTTTGCACTGTTTGGCTTGATGAATAATCGGCCCCCGTAACTGGATATCAGACAATTTGACGATTCCAGTTGCATGATCAGTTGTCTTGTACACAGGCAGATCTCGAGCTCAAGGAAGCAGCCTAATTGAATATCCTGTCCAGTCATTATCCACTGGGATAAAACAAACCTGCCATGATGTCGTCCATCATCCGCAAACTCCAGGGCGGCAACCTGGAAGTCTTCAAGGTACGCCAAACAAACTCGCCTTCAACCAAGCGCCCTTCTCGGTCGCTTCTCCTTTGGAAATCCCAATCGCCATGGCTATATGCCAATCCGATAGATCCGCCGCTAACCTACGCTTTAGTTCGGCATGTACATTCTCTTCCCAATCGGCTGGATGTACTACTTCGGTACGAACCTCGACGACCGCTTCAAAGTGAAGGGCTTCTGGCCCACCGAAGAGCAATCGCACAAAATCCCGCTCGACAAGGAGGAAATCGATAAGGAGCTGGCCCGCATGCGCATGGCGGATAATATGCGGCGGGAGCGCGAGGCGGCGCAAGCTCAAGCCCAGGCCCAGGTTCAGGCTCAGGCGAACAGTGAGCAATGAGAGCTATGCATTATATGATACGTTGAGGAGCAGAAAAAAAGGATGCGGATGGAAAGTCGCTAAGAGGGGTATGGCGTGGAGAACGATCTTGGGGGCCTTGGCTCCATTTTCTCTTCTTGCACCTCGAGGAACATCTCCATTGATATCGGGTTACACGCCGGAAGGATTCACTGTACGACACTCTGCTCTGGGCATATTTGGAGTTATAGGATGGGGTTTTCATGATTTGGATATTATTATTTCTTGTCTCTCATTTCCAGACTCGTGTATTATACATTTCCCGTTGATTAAAAATTATTTGCCAAATATCAAGCAACTCTACCAATCATGTCACCGACATAAGAATGGTATCAATTGAAGATACAACTCTGCGAACAGAAATGAATCATGCAAGCCATACGAATAGGTAAAAGCAGCGCTGCTGAAACAGAAACACCGAAGTGCAACGTTATGTACACCCCCCTCCCCAAAGATGTACGACTCTGGCTCTCGACAACCAAATTCAAAGAAACGCCCAAGATGCGCCAGTAGACATGAAACGAGGGCGGCGATCCGGTTTCATGAAACTAGAAGGCGGCTCGTCGGCCCCGGTAATGGGCTCTATTCTCCCCAACTCCTCAACTTATTCACATGGAACTCACAGCTCCGCGAGTCTGTGCGTCGTTGTCGCGGCTGTGTTCTTGGCTGTCTCGTAGACTACCCCCAGAGATTGTGTGGCCGTTTCCCCAAACACAGAGCTCATGGAGGTTAGGCGAGAGGAGATGAAGGGGCGCTCGCCAACGGCGTAGTAGTACATGTGGGCGTAGATGGAGCGGAGGTGATCGGGGAGGTAGATGTAAATTCCGGTCGCGATCATGGTGATGAGAGTGAGGATTATGAAGTCTAGAAGAAGGGGGTTAACGGTCTGGTCCAGGGTGTCGAAAATCGGGAGAGTAAGGGTCCAGGAGTCACGTACTGAAGATGAACTTTTCCGTCGGGGTGAGCATGTAGATGGCGAAAGTCACTTCGTACTGGTAGATCTTCAATCTCACCCAGCGGACAAGACTGGTCAGAATCCAGAGGAAGAGAGTCATAACTGCAGGTTCGTCTGGCTGTTGGGAATGGATTCCTCCTCGAGACTTTTGTGGTCCGCCTTTGTTCGTTGCGGCCCTCGTGTTGTGTAAGATTGACTTCTCCTGAATTGTCAGACGCTGTCACGGAGGCTTGGCAACGCCGGTGTCTCGTCGAGCCGATAAGCGCGACTAAGTGGGTTGGCTTCGGTATTGATCCAACTGAACTCCGGGTAGCGGAGATAGGAAGAACGGCGTAGTCTGAAGACGAGTCTCTATACAATCATATTGCTTGGAGATTGATGGCTAGAGGTTGAGCGGGTTCGGTGAGTGCTGGATACGGCAATCGTGGGGAAAGGGGGATTTCCGCTAGATGGAACTTCAAGGGGGTGAAGAGTGACCGATCTCCAGGACAGGAGAAAGAGGATGAATGAGAATAAAAATGGAAGAATAAGGATCGTAGAGAGGTTAAGGATAGAGTTGAACAACCCGGAGAAGTCAAAAAAAAGGGACGCGATGGCCCCTGCGTCGCCACAGGCACAACTCTGTGCACAATTTCCACCCGCGGGTCGCCGTTTTAGATCTTTTTATGATCGAGTCATCAAGAATCGTGAATTTGATCGTCATAGTGTTATCGGTCCCGAAGTCCCGAGGTAAATTTTTGCATAAATAGTACAGAATCAATTAACTGGTCGTGTGCCTTCTGTCCCAACTCGACTCGAAAGTGCTTTCCATACTGTAGAATTTTATCCAGCCAATACCCGGCCACCTTGTCATGAAGAGCATCACTACCTTTATTCATTAACATAGGTCATAGACATAACTATAACTACAAGAATCGCTCAAATTACTAGTTAATAATTATGGATCCCCAAACCCCCTCACAAACCCGCTAATCGAATGCTAAGCATCGACCACCCTTATCTCTTATCGAAGTCATTCACAAAGTATCCCATCTCCAACTCCGCCGCACCAACGCAATGCTACGCCTGCGCCCCTGTTTGGGGCCCCTGAAACCCCCAATCCCATTATTCACCCTCGCACCCTCTCGAACATTCACCCATACACCCTCTCTCCCAGCGAAACCGCTCCCCGCGCGCCTCAAGATCGACGATGCCGACCTAACTGTATCCTACCTGAAGGGCACCGGCCCCGGCGGGCAGAAGATCGTACGGTCTCCTCCCAAACCCGACGATAAGTCCCGATCAGAAATACTAATACGAACAGAATAAAACCAACTCCGCCTGTCAAATCATCCACAAACCCTCCGGCATTGTCATCAAGTGCCAGGCGACGCGCTCGCGCTCGCAGAACGAGAAGATCGCGCGCTCGCTTTTAGCGGATCGGGTTGAGGCGCGGGAGAAGGGGGATCAGAGTCGGGTTGCGCTCAAGGCAGAGGCCGTGAGGAAGAAGAAGGCTAGTAAGGTTAAGAAGGCCAAGAGGAAGTATCGGGCCTTGGAGAAGGGGGAGGAGGGGGATGAGAGGGAGACTGAAGAAGTTAAAGAACGAGTTCCAGGTGAAGATAACAAGGAAGGGGTGAAGGAGGTGTCTAAAGGCTCGCCGGGAGCGTAGTTGGCGATGCTCTCCGCCATCTGTACAGTACATATCGATGCATTGGGTTTGCGTTTCGGCGTTTGAGGAACAAAAGATATTGCATTTTAGGCCATCTTTCGAGCTATTTGAACCAGCCTCTTTTGGAGAATAGCACTACTTCTTGAAGAATACAACTACTCGCTGTTCTACTAGACGGAATCTTTTGTTGGGAATTTCCAATTGGCACCTGTCAAGACTCGGGGCCATATGCCCTTCAAGATGGGATCCAAGAAATCCATTCATTGCAGACATGCCGCCCCTATCGCAGCTTTTGCCTCGAAGAGGTGACTGCGAACTGTCACCGTTCAATCATTTTGTTTTCCATCAAATTAGCCATCCGGGTCCTCTTGCCACCGAATTCAAGAGATGTAGCTGCCCAGCAACGCCTTGGCCTGGTCATCCAGGCGCTCCTGCGCAAACTGCGAGATCCGGCCGTTGTGGCGCTTGTCCGCCTCCTTGAGATAAGTACCCACCCAGGACTTGTAGTCATTGCCGGTCTCCGGCCATGGGTCCCTGGGCTGGGCGCGGATGGTGATCAGAGGAGTGAAACCGACACCGAACGACATTTCTTCAACATCCACCTCAACGTCATCCTTGTGGGCAACGGCGGGAGGAAGCTCGAGGAGCTTCAGCAGTGTGTTGCAGGTGAAGCCCCATCCCTTGGCATACCGAGTCGCGAAGGCGTCGGAGTTGGCCAGAGTCTTGGTGAGGGAGATCACAGCCGTCTTGCGGTCAAGGGGCCGCGCGAGCTTCTGGGTGTCCTCCAGGATAACCTTGAGGTAGACGGGAGTGAAGAGGCTAGAAGGTATTTAGCATATAGACGAATGTGGAGAACTCGGTGTAACTCACCCTTGCTGCACCTTCTCCGTCTGCTCCATGATGAAGTCGGGGCTGTAGCCCTTGTCATCGTGGGCGGTCACGCAGTGGTAAAACCGAACGAAGCGGATCGACAGGTTCTCGGTCTTGGAGTTCTGCAGACGTTGCAGAATAATTTGCATGATCATGACGAAATACTGCTCCAACGCAGCACTAGTCGAAGTCGTTAGTAGATGATCGAAACACTTGAGGAATCAAAGACTTACGGAGGGAAGTTTGAAACGACCGTCTCCAACAGATCAAAGGCGTAGCCCTCATTAGCCTTGGTCGACACCAACTTCTGGAAGATACCCAGAATAGGCTCAATCTGGTTGTGCTCAAGGATATACTGAGAGCCTCGGGGGATGATCGAGGAAAGCAGCCGAACAAGGGCAGGGGTGTTTCCGCGCGACTCCCACATGACAGGCATCAGGATAGGTGCAATCAGCTCCTGGTAGTAACCAGGGAGAGTTGCGGAGGGGTTGGCCTCCAGAAGCGCCGCGAACAGCTGGAAAACATAAGGCATGAATTCTGGGAATCGGTCAGCTAGGTAAAATTAAGTCTTTTGATATCTGACTGACCTTGCACATCACCTTGCAAAATGCTGGCGAACGGCGTGTACAGAGCTTGCTCAAGCTTGTCGGGGTTGGCAGGAGCGGCATATCTACAACACATTAGCCTTGTTCGAGATACATTTGAAGGCTCAAAGGAGAAATTACCTGATGAAAGCTCCCATGGCTTCAAAGTGGAAGTAGTAGAACCGCGGGTTGCTGGGGTTGGTGGCGATGATCTGAGTGATGGTGATGAGGCGCTCCAGCACAGTATCCGCGAAGGAAACCACGCCTTCCTTAATGACAACCAGGACACGCATAACGCATCGCATAAGGAACTCATTCTCCTGCACCTTCTGAGGAGCGGGATCGCTCTGGATCAACTTGAAGATGTGTTCCAGCAGGTCCTTGGCCAGCGGAGTGATCTGAGTAGGAGCAATGACGGGTTGTCCTTGAGCATCAGTGAGGAAGAGAGCCCGCTCCAGGGCAATTGCGGCGTACGTGTAGACAACATAGTTGGAAGAAGCCAGGTGGTTCACCAGAACAGGAAGAACACCCTGCCATTGGTCCTTGGTAATGATGCTCCGGAAGTTGTAGAGATACTTGATAGCATCGACCTTAAGGATGGGGTGGATGCCGGCATCGGTGACCAGATCCGAAGCAAGGTTCTGCGAAAAGAAATCTGTGATGCTGACCAGGTTGTTCGTGGAGGTGACACCGTGTGTCGAAGTGGCCACTCCCTTAGCCGCAATTGCGGAGAAAAGATAAGTGGCAGTGTCCTTGGACTTCCAGTTTGAGGTCGGGTCCTTGGCATATTCAGCCAAATAATGCTCGGTGTACTTCAAAGTGACCTTGGTCACGGACTCCTCAAACTTCTCCGTCAGTCGTCGGAGGAAGTCGGTAGCAGCCCGTCGCCTGGTCTCGCTGTCGGAGCCCTCCAGGTCTCGTCGGATGAACTCAATCGGCTCGTCCTCGAACAGTTCTTCGTCCGATTCGCGCAAGCTCACGTTGGGAAGGATAACCTTCTCAATGATCTGACCCAAAGTTTCGTCCGCTTGGAAAGAAGCGGCATGTTCGGGCATGCTGGCGACCGAGGTCAAGAAGTGAAGAGCTCGGCTTACCAAAATATCGTACTTTGTCTCTTGGCCAATAGTGGTCAAGAATCCCCACGAGCTCTGAATGAACTGCCCAACGAGGGGACCAAATGCGTCCAAGAACTTCTGCACGTACAGGGTCAGGACCTCGAAAATTCCAGCACGCACATACTCCAACAACCCAGCCTCGGTATCGTCATCGGTGTGAAGAAGTTGGTTGTCATATGTGAGGTATTTGAGCAAGATCGAAGCAATCGCAGAGATGTTATCTTCGAACATAGGCGGGAGGTCGTGGCAGGAGAGATCGTAGAACAGCTTGATCATGAGGTTCAGTTGAGTGAAGCCTAGCGTCAAGTTCTCTTTGTTGTTCTTGTTTGCCTCAAGGTAGGCGTCCAGGTTCTAGAAGATGAGACAGAAATTAGAACATACTCAACCGGCATTATACCCTAGAAGGGGAGAAACCCGATCTTACCTCAAAGAGACTCAGGAAAGGAGTGCCGAACTTCTCGAGCACATGGTTGATCTCCTTGTACAGCTCGTTGGACTGGAAGAGCGGGCGCCACCGCTTGAAAATGGAGTGTGCAACCTGCAGCACACCGATGTTGGTGGCAGGGTCATTCGAAAGCTTTGAAACGAGATCCTGGAATAGAGAAATAAATGTGAGCAAAGGCAACCAACCGACAGGCCTCGGAGCTTTATCTACTTACATCCACAAGAGTATCCCAGCGCTCCCAGAAGTCACTGTCAGCAATCACACTGACAGCATCGCCCAGCTGAGCCTGGATACTCGGAGGCATTGAAATCATCAAGGTAATTAACTCGCGCTTGATGGTCGCAACCTCCTCCAGCGGGAGCTTGTAGTTTCCATCCTCATTTGTCCAGTTGCGCTTGATGAAGTTCTTGAAGCAGAGGGCGCTAGCGAGGCGAATGTGGTTAGGGGAGGACTGCGACGCCGTGATGTGAAGGAGCTGTAGCGAGAAGCCAGGCTTCTGTTCTTCCTGGCGAAGGGCATTCTCGGCTGTGAAAGAAAACAGGGTCAGAGATGGCCACGATGCCATAACTGAAGCATTGCACACTCACCTTCCTTGTTCCTTCTCGGATCCAAGCTTGCCTCCAACAGAGCTCCAAGAGCCTCCGCCATTTTCACCGGACGTGGGGTATCAATAGAGGGGTCGGTTGGAAGAAGAGCAATGGTGCAATGGGGGATGGAGAGTGGATTGCTGAAACAGGGCAGACCACCAAGAAGGGAGGGTGGACGGTAGTCAGGAAAAAATGCGCGGGTAAAAGCAGAGCTCAAAGATCATAATAAATAATGAGGGCCGCTGATATACGGACAGCCCACTGCGTCAACACGCTATTCCCTATACGGTTAGTACGTCACATGTGCGCTATTCCGCTTATGACGGTGAAAGAGCCAAAGTATGTTCGACGGTAGATTTGCTTACTATTTTTAAGGGTGTCTCTTGACGATAGACGGTGGTCAAAGCAGGTAGGACAGACCACTAGCAATATCCCCTTGGTTCCCCTGTATTTTGTAGTTGGAGGGTTGTAGAAAATTGAAGATGTAGTGATGCAATGATGGATTGAATGCTCTATAGAAATCATATGTTTTTTGTGCATGCTTAATTGATTGAACTCCTTCACGAAACCGCCGATCCCGTACAGATGCTTAGATGATGATACCGTCAACGCCGTTGGCCAACTTATCCGCCTCATGTGCCTGAGAGGCCTTCATAACCTCATCAAAGACGCCAGCGGCAGCAGAAACAAAGCCAAGGAAAGGCTTGCTAGGTGCCAGGACACGGGAGAGATACTCTGGGTGGAACTGAACACCCACAAACCAGGGGTGGTCCTTCAGCTCGACAATCTCCATACGCTCGCCCTTGTCATCCTTGCCAATGAAGTGCAACCCAGCCTTCTGCAGGCGGTCAATATATTCGGGGTTCACTTCATAGCGGTGGCGGTGACGCTCGTCGACAGAAGTGCGGTCAAGGCCGTAGAGGGCCCGAAGCTTAGACCACTCCGAGTTCTCTTGGAAGATTGTAGGGCGGGATCCCAGTCTCATGGTACCTCCAAGGTTGACCTTATCAATCTCGGGCATGAAGACGATCATAGGGTGGGAAGTCCGCTCATCCAGCTCGACTGAGTTGGCTCCCTCCAGGCCACAGACGTGACGGGCATACTCGATGACGGCAATCTGCATACCCAGGCAAATTCCTAGGTAGGGCACCTTCTTCGTACGGGCCCACTGCGCAGCGAGCATCATGCCCTCAGTGCCTCTGGTGCCAAAGCCGCCAGGCACCAGAATCCCATGGGCGGTGGTAAGAGCATGCCACGCGGCATGGTATTCCTGGGGGTTCTCACCCCGAGCGCTATGCTCGAGGTGCGAGGCGTCAACCCAGATGATATTTAGTTTCTTGCGAGAAGCCATAGCGGCGTGCTCGAGTGACTTGATCACGGAAAGATAAGAGTCATGGAGACTGATATATTTTCCAACCAAGGCAATCTCGACGGTGTCGAAAACGTGCTCTTGGGACGTGGTCAGAGCCTTCCACTGTTTCCAAGTGGACTGACCCTTGGCCACTAGAGACTGAGGAAGTTCCACATTCTGAATCTTAAGAAGATCACTCAGCACGTGCAAAAATCCCTGCTTCTCAAGAAGCAGCGGGACGTGGTAGGTGGAAGCAACGTTATGCACGCCAATGACCTGCTCAGGCTCCACCTGACAGAACATAGCGATCTTGTCGGAAGTAGCCCGATCCAGTGGCTTTTCACAGCGACAGGCAATCAGATCGGGGCTCATACCAGCAGAGCGAGCGTCACGGATAGCCTGTTGAGTGGGCTTGGTCTTCAGCTCATCCCCAATTACGGGGACAAGACTGACGTGGATTTGGACAAAGTTGTCCTTGCCAGCTCGGCGACGGAGCTGACGCAGACCTTCGACGAAAGGAGCGCTCTCAATGTCACCGAGAGTACCTCCAAGTTCAATGACACAGACATCGGGTCGCTCGTTGGATTCATCAACGGGGGTCCGTGCGACTCGCTCGATCCAGTCCTGGATGGCGTCGGTCAAGTGTGGCACGATTTGGACGGTACGACCGAGATAGTCACCGCGTCTCTCTTTGGTGATGCAGTGAGAATAGATCTTGCCGGTCGTGATGTTGTTATCTCTTCCGAGAGTAACTCCAAGGTAACTACATACCAATCATCAGCTTTCTGCAAGGTTCCAGGGAAAATTTTCAGCGTGACTCACCGCTCATAGTTTCCGAGGTCAAGATCTGCTTCTCCGCCGTCGTTCAGTACAAAAACTTCTCCATGTTCAGTCGGGGCCATAGTGCCGGCGTCGACATTGAGATATGGGTCGATTTTGATGGAAGTCACACGAGCGCCAAGTGTCTTCAGCAGCAAGCCGGTACTCGAGGCAATTACGCCCTTACCGATGCCGGAGATGACACCTCCAGAGACGACAACGTACTTCATGATGACGGTGTCGAAAAAAAAGAGTGGAAAGCCAGAAACAAATGAATATATGAAGAGAATGAATCACGAAAAACGTCGAGTATCAAATGTAGGGTGTCCTTCCTGGCTTTTGCCAGGAGGGGAGGAAGGGAAAAACATTGCAGAATTGAGGCTGCACTTACTTTCCATCACTTCACCGCCCCCCGCTTTTGACTTTTTTTCTGCTGTCCCATCAGAGCGGTGAGCATATATTGATGGCCCTATCAGGTGACTTAGGCTGGAATAACCTCATTCCCCGTGATTCCAAGCGACTCTTCTGCAACCCTCCAGCTTGTGATCCTGCTACTTGTCCGCTGATCCATCGAACATTCGGGAGCACTACCAGCTGGTGCTTGCTGACTTGTAGCTCTTGCGCATCAGTTCAATCCATTACTTTGCGCGGGTCCCGCTTTGACACCCGGCGCCCGATTATACTTTTGCTGCAGCGGTTCGAGTGTCCTAGCTTTGCCCCTGACTGCACAGTATATTCCTCCAGATCTTCTCATGTTGTGAAAGCTTGATTCCGCCTCCTTGATCAAAGGTGAGATCGCCTTGCCCACTTATCCGGTGGTATGACGCATCATACTGACTTAATATTATCCTGGATTGTACAGATATATTAAATCTTGATTCGGACCCCGCCCTGCCATTGTTAGGCGGATGTCTTCCGACGATGCTCCTTTAGCATCCCAACACAAACCCTCCTCAACCAGCTTCGTTGATGTCTTCAAGACTCTAAGTGTCGGCCGTCCAAAATCGCATTCGCCGGTGTCTCTGCAAGAGAGCAATACCGACCATTCAACAAATAGTCGAGGAAACGCCCGGCTTGTGCTCGGATTCGAATCAATGCATCGCGGCAGCATCGTGTCAAGCTCCTCGGATACCCCTAGTGGTCCGGACTTTGATGCTTCTCTCCGGAACTTGGCCAACAAGCAAAATTTGGCCCAGGCGATTGAAGAGGCTGATGCGTTATCAAGAACTATTCCCTGGTTTACTGCAGAGCAGTCTTTAGTTCTATGGGAAGCAGCAGGATATCTTTTACACCATGAAAGTTCTTCCGAGGCCCAAAGAAGCGGAGCAAGGTTGCTGGAAGCAATCGCGGCACGTCAAGATCTATCTCCAGCCGGGAGACGTGTAATTTTTGAGGCAATTACCTGCCCGACTGGCCCCGAGTTGGTGGCTTCACGAGTACAATCATTGGTCGCTTTATCGGATCACGGTAGAAAGTTGGATTTCACGACTACCTCCATTCTTCACATCATTGCTTCGTGGATTATGCCTCTTTACGAAACTCTCGCTGTGGCACGCAATAAAGCGAAGAGGGTGAAAGCTGCCAAACCAAATGAGCTCAGTCATGATGAAGCAGTTTTGGAAGAGCTCTTCCAATTCGCGGAGGATTTGATCACTCTCCAACGCAAGCCGCCGACCCAGGAGGAGATTGAATTACTTCTCACAGAAACCATCACTGTTTGCAAGAGAACAAGTGTGGCAAGTGATATCAAAAACTCTTTGTCAGTGTTTGAAGCTATCATTGACTATGCAGATGTGCCTGATGCCAGCTTCATTCCTCTTGTGGAAGTGCTCTGCAGCATTCATGTCTCTGTTAAATCCCTTTCCGGTCCAACATCCAGAACAGTTCGCAGTCTGGCTAAGTCTCGACGACAGGCGGAAATGGTGACTACCCTGCATACATTTATGAGGGAATCATGCGCCAAGGACCAGTCACGGAATTTGAATGTTCTCCGCGGGACGATTTACGTCTTCTCTGACCTGGTTCGTGACTATGGTCAGAATGGGATGCCCCAAATTCCTTTTGATGAATTAGTTGATTCCCTCTTGGCTATTGCTCAGAAAGATGAGGGCAAGGTTGACGCCGATGTGTTGGACTTGTGTCTAAACATCCTGGAGAGCAATTTTGTCCGCATCGCTTTGGCGTGCGACTGGACGAGATTTGTCAAGCTTCTGCTTCTTTGTTCTCGACGAGTCTTAGACGAATCCGATGGTTCAGTCACTTCCCCAACTAGTCCACCGCAACAGCAGGTTAAGAGTACGCCCGATGATACGAGGTCAAACATCGTTGCGAACACAACGCGGATAGCCTCTGCTATTGAGGCCCTGTGGGAACAACTCAGCAACGAGCAAAAGCAACAGTCTACTCAGTTTTTGATGAAAGGATACGCGGACATTGAGCCGTCCCAGGCTGAGCTGATCATCAACCATATGCGACATGACAGGGTCTGTCAGCCATCCGAAGATCCCGCCTGGGTGCGGTACTGTCAGGAATTGATTGAGCGCTTCATCCAGCCTCGAAAGCAGAGCTCTGATATCCGTATCCTAGCTTTGGATACGCTCAAAGAAGCTCTCTCCGGCAATGAACGGCTACTTTTTTCGGAGGAGCACGGCTTGCTGGATCGGCTTCTTCAGGATTTTTCATCGGAACATGACCTTCTCTTCTTGGAGTCATTGGTCTCGTTTATAACGGAGCCAGCAACACAGGCCAGCGATTCCACATTCAAGCGCTTGGTGGACACCCTTAGCTCTCCTATGACAAATGATTTCAACATTGGCGACCACCGCGAGGTTGCTTCCAATTATACCTCCTCTCGCCGCACATCGACCACCAGCCTCTTGGAGCTGACTTTGTCAAATGTGTGTGCTGTGAGCCTCGTGAAGATGATGCTTCGTACTCTGAACCTTTCTGGTACCAAGTCCGTCATCATCTTTGAGGCACTATTGCAGATCGCACAATCTTCAGATCGTCCAACAGACTCCCGTCTGACTGTGCTGAAGCTGATATTCCGCCTTCGGTGTGATTCAGCTGGATCTGTAACAGTGGTAACAACGTCGGAAGGTGACTTCTTAATGAATGTTCTGGGTCGAAATGTCGACGTGGGTAGTATGCTACATCTCTCTGTTGACAGTCCTACGAAGGATATACCTCTTCATGATGCTTTGCCGCCTCCAGCTAATGCGAAGACACCTGCGAAAGAGCCACCATCATCCTTTTCGTCCAAATCAGCCCCGCGCGGCTCGATTTCTGCCCGTGCATCAAAATTGACGGCCCCGGTCTGGACACACTCCCTGCCGCAGGTCCTTCCAGAGCAGCCGCCTGGAGAGTCTAGCCATTTTGTCTTCGCGTATACGCATAATGGAGCATCAAGCCCGACCGACTCCAGGCCAGCGCAGGTTGGTGTTTTGAAAGTGAACATGTGGCTTGAAATTGTAATCGCGCTACTTCAACGAGAGACCGACTGGGATGTCTACAGCTACCTTCTCACACACCTTGGGCCCCAGCTTGCCAACAGAGACTTTTTCAACAACGCTATTCCTCAGGTCAAACTTTTGCGCAGCATTTTGTGCGATCAGGTCAAGAATGAGACATTTCATGAGCCCCCGGTGACAACTGGCCTGAAAAAAAGTGATGTGGCTGCTTGTATCTTCGATGCGCTGTGCATGCTGGTCAGCTATCATGAGCACTTTGCTAAGAGTGAGGAGGATGACCTCGTGCGAGCCTTCATGTCTGGCATCATCGGTTCCTGGGGTGCCACTTCTCGGGGATGTATTCAGGCGCTCTCACTCTGCTGTCACGAGATTCCAATGTCCGTTACGAAGTCGCTGATGAGCATTCTCGACAGAATGGCTAAACTCATTACCATGTCAAATATTGCCGTCCATATCTTGGAGTTTTTGGCCTTGCTTGCACGGCTGCCCGAAGTCTACGCCAATTTGCGGGAAGAGGAGATTCGTACCGTGTTTGGAATTTGCATTCGATTTCTGCAGACCTCCAGGGAGCAACGTTACAAAAGCTCGGACTCACCTTCTGTCCGGCCTACTCAGCAACCACAGTCAAGAGCCAGCGTTGGTTCACGAGAACACGTTGAAGCGACCGAGGCCCCTTCACAAGATGTCATGTCAAGCTACGTCATGACCTTGACGTACCATGTGATGGTCTTCTGGTTCCTATCTCTCAAACTGCAAGATCGGGCAAGGCATGTAAACTGGATCACCAGCCGGCTCATCTTCCGCGATGACAATGGAAAAGAGGTGGTCGAAGAGCAAAGCCAGGTTTTCATCGACCTCATGCAGCGAGTCGCGTTCTCGGATCTTGGCGAGACCATTCCCTTCGAAACATTCCCTCCGACCCCAGAAGATGGCCCTGTATCGAAGAAATCATGGGTTGTGGGCTTGAGTCTCATCACCGTTGAGACCGCTGGTGTATCTGGACTATCGCAGATCACGAAACGCCAAGCCTCAGGGACAACATACTCGGTGTATCAACAGCGGACGGCTCCCGTTCTCCCACATCAGGTGCCTCCAACAGTGGATGCACATCTGCACACTGATTCGATGCGCACCGCAATTCTGCCCAGTCACATCATGCTACAGATGACCGCCACTGCCTTCCCGACACCCACTGTGATGCAACCCATTCCTATCCCTGAAGATGACATCACTCGACGAGCAATCAGCAGTTTTGACCGAACCGATATCGTGGACGGTCACCGGATCGGTGTTGTGTATGTCGATAACGGTCAGACGACAGAAGCTGAAATCTTGTCCAACACTGGAGGCTCTGCGGACTATGAGCACTTCCTTTCTGGACTGGGATTCAAAGTGTCGCTTCGAAATGCTCAATTCAATACTCAAGGCTTATATGCGGACACTGACGGCGAGGCCACCTATGCCTGGCGGGACCGAGTGACCGAGATTGTATATCACGTCGCGACTATGATGCCAACCGACTTTGACCATGACCCGACCTGCATCAACAAGAAGCGGAACATCGGTAACAATTTTGTCACCATCGTCTTCAACCGGTCCAACCTTCCCTTCAATTTTGACACGATCCCGTCCGAGTTCAACTCTATCAACATCGTCATCACGCCCTCGAGCAATGTCGCGTACGACGAGTCTGGGGCTGTCAAGGGGGAGACGGACCCGGAACAGCTTTATTACAGTGTTCAAGTGATGAGCAAGCCCGGCTTCCCCGATGTCTCACCTGCCGCAACCCCCAAGGTGATCTCGGCCAGGAACTTGGCACCGTTTGTGCGAATCCTCTCGCTCAACGCATCCGTCTTCTCCCTCGTTTACAACAACGAGGGCGGCGAACATGCATCTTCATGGCGCACGCGTCTCCGCGAGATCAAAAAGGTTCGCGAACGTGCATTGGCCGCCCAAGCTCAAGGCTCTGAGTCCTCAGAAGGGGCTTACCCAGGCCTACGCCGCAACACCAAAGCCAGCATCTTCTCCGAAGAAACCCCTGTCCGCGCCCCTCCAGTCAGGGCCGACTTTACTTCGGAATGGACCGCAGTATCGGATACGGACATCCTCCAGAAACTCGACTTCTCTCGCTGGAGCCGTTGATGTTCCTTTCCCCAATTACTTTCCCCTCTGGGACAATCTCTCACCCCTCCTTTATCAGCTCACCCTTTCCTTGAATCTTGAAATTCCCAACTCTACAAGTACGTCGAAAAGAAACGACGGACCTTGCCTTGAGCAATGAACGACCCTTGACACGAATTCATGTACATCAACCTGTTTTTTGTAATGCAGCACTGTGGCATTTGTGAATACCCCTATCACCAAAAGTTCTGTGTTTTCTTGCTCTCTGCCCTTTGCTCGGCAAAATGTCAGTCTGGGCTCCTGTCCTACTTTTCTGGTCTTCAGTTCAAATAGCTATAGCAATGACAATGATCCGTGTATGATGATACTTCCTAGCTGCTTCTATCTGCTCGTACCTTGGAAACATACCTGCTCGCTGGGATAAAAAGCGCGAAAGCAATTGTTGACGATCTAGGCTTTGTATGCATCCATCGAGCTTCGGATGGGCACCAATTTTATGAAATTCCATCTTTAGAAGGATGGCTGGCATCACTATCGCATTCTAATAAGGACTGCGCACATCCGGCGGATATCTTACAGGAGAACTTCCTGCCCAAAATCAGGGCCCTCGGTTTACAAAAACGGAAACAACCATTAGCCAGAACAAAGAGACGTGGGCAATTTCGATGTCGGTCGAGTCATCGAGGAAGAAAGGCTCAGAGGGATGAAATATACCAAGGCTTGGTCTGAATTGGACTCTCTACACGAAGAGCTGCTCAGAAGAATCGAGACAAGTGACTGTGTTCCGACTACAGTATTGGTCACTTCAACAATATTGCGGGTTACGGCATCTCTTATCGTTAGAGGTCCCTTTTCACTGGAGTTCATCTTCATCATGGGCTCAAGGGCAGTCGCTAGACATTTCCATTTCGGTTGTGCTTTAATGAGGCATTGTATGTGAATATAGAAAAACGCGTTAGAGAACTGGTGAATTGATTTCCAATTTCAACTTCGAAGACGTCAAATTGCTGTGTTGGTTCGAGGTAGTTAGGTGCACCAATTTTTATAGTACACCCGTTATTACTTGATTCCTCTAGGAACTTGGTGGCCATCTCAAAGTTGTGGATCTCAAAAAATGGCGGATACAAGGACCGGAGCATCTGGTTTTAGCTTGGCCATAGCAACAACTAAATCGTGGCCTTGTGTTGCTCATAAGTACAGTGAATTTAATACGGCTGCTAGCGGCACGCTCTTACAGTCCTGTATAGTCAATAGCGAAACCTGCTTCCTTTTTAACCACTTCGTTGCTTTTGTTAGGTCCCACTGCCAAGGTGCTAGGGTAATAAATATTGTATCTTTCTTAATAACAGGCGAAATACGGTGTAAGTTTCCTAATGATAAAATAAAGCTAGCTGCCTTGAGTGGTGATCGTCGGGAGTGAGGGGCACCCCGCAATAAATATCCCAATCTTCATAGCACCAACACCTTTCTCCTGACTAGTCACTTTAAAATTTCCAACATCTCCTCAAGATCGATCTTGAAAGACAGCTTAGCATGAAATGCATATCCCTACAGAGATATGTGACCAAGTAAAACTCCTGCTCGTGTTACCTTGGGCTCGGTCCTAAATTATCTCCACAGATTGTATACTACGTTTGCGTCGACCACTACCCTTTTGTGTATTTGTGGGACGATGCAAGGCATTACTCAACGCGTGACGGCAGCACCACTCGAAAAAACTTAATGCGTCTACGTCTTGTCAACAAAGCTTTCTGTCGCAGTACCGCCGCATCTTGGTTGTTCCGGAGTATTGATGCGAGATACAGCTCCTCTGGAACACTTCCACCTTTGGAACGACTTGTGAACCTATCAAAAAGCCCATACGCTTTGGATGTACGTCAGATTGATTTCGGGTTTCAAGGGACGAGATCCTGTTCTCCCACCAACACTGCTGGATTGTATATCGAAGACCTATTCGGATGCTTGTCATCGTGTTTGGTTAAATTCTCCAACCTCGCAGCCCTTGAGTTCCACGAACCACCATCGGACCTCTCACAAGAGCAAAGAAGAGTTTATATGGATGCGGTTGCTTCGACCTTACGTTACGTACCACTTTCCAATTTGAGAGAACTGGAGATAAAATTTCCAATCACCTATGATTTCGGACGTTTCTTCCCGGGCCAGGCCAGTTCCGTACAGATCCCTATCAAAGATGTCACGCAAACTCTTCGACATCTCGGAGTATATTCTTGTTATTATACAGATCAACGAGACCAAAGATACTGGTCAGAACCAGTTTTGCCAGGGTATGCTGCTCTTCCGAACAACACGTACGCTACCCGAATGTTTGGAATGATTGAAATTGCACCAAATCTCCAATCGCTTGCAATACATAGTCGCGACATTCTAGATCTTGACTTTGTCGCTTTTCCGTCCTCTCTCTGCTTACGGTCGCTCGATCTTGGGGGTGTTTCTATTTCATGCAACAACCTTCTGTTACTTATCAACCAATCTATCGAGCGGATGAGCTTTCTCAATTTCTCATATGTCAAATTGAATTCTGGAACATGGCGACAGGTCTTAATACGGATGTGCCAGTTACCGCATCTTCTCGATGTCAATATCGATTACAGCGGGTACTCGTTGACTGGAACCAGTTCTAATCTAGCTCCGGGGCTACTCCCAGAACCGGATAGGCCCCAAAATATCGAATCTGAGGATTTATTCGATTTGCCTGCCTTAGGAAACCTACAAAGACAAGTCAATTCGAATAGGATTGCTTTGGGACTGCAGCCATTTCCAGATACTGATTATCGTGTCCATAGCGGCTCTTTGGAGAATATGCTGGGTCAATATCGTATCTGATTCAAGGCTACAGCTTTACACTACCCGATGGTCTATGTTTTGTGTCTTTTTGCTATATGGTCAGGATTTTGTTTGGTGGCAGAGTAAGAACGCAGGGAAATTTAATTAAAGTATCACTAGTGAGTATTCAAAAGGTTCTAATTCCAGACTTAGTCGCATGCTAGTCCCTCCTCTGTCTCCTTGCGAAGATGGCTTTTTCCCACTCCTTCTTTGGGAGGAATGCTGTCAATTTCAAGCGTTGTAGGAGGTATCAAAAGTTTCAATTGGTGAAGCCAGTAACTATAGTTGGGTTGAGCCTCCACCACCCGAGGCCAAACCAGAGCCCGAATCCGCATTTGACGCCGAGCAGGGGATTGAACCTGCCCCAAAAGCGAGAACTACTTCGTGGTTGGACTAGCGTGTGGTTAGCGCGGACTCCGAGCAATTCTTCGAAGCAAACCCTAGTAAAGTTCTTCAAATTCCCTGGGTCAATACAGAGCTTCAAGATTCGGGAATCGTGAGCGACTTGACTAACCAATAGTTGTAGTTTCTGGGTGGAGTTTGATGATGGCTGGCACGAAGCCCCGCCACGCCGCTGGAACACGTACCGGCTGGCGTATTTGATCTGATCAGACCAATCAAACGAATTCTATGGACGTCGCCCAACTGGGATGGCGATATATCCGAGGACAAGTGGTCTTCGTAGGAAAGAGCTTCACCTCGTACCAAGACTAACGAACGTATCTTGCGGCGCGAAATCCACATATTGCAATACACAGTTCAGAAGTCAACGAACAACGTGATAAGAGCCCCCTTGCGCGACCCAGCTATCCGGAAGTATGACGGCGTGGCGATCTAAGAGCCACAGATCAACCCAAACCCGACATCGAAATCATCCTATTTCCCTACGTAGAGCCGTTTCGAGGATAATCGTATGACGAAAAAAAAAATTGCCCGGAAGGCACTACCCACCTGGCCGCCCGGGCGAATTCATATTCCTGTTATCTTGCACTATCTCGATTATGCCGGTACCACCCACCTCCATCGGCTTTCATGGCCGAGACATCAAGAATCCAGAATCAAGGGGTGAGTCAATAAACATGTCATGACTAGATACACCTAAGTCCTATTGGTCCTAACTAACTTCATATCAGAATTTGGCCTTAAGGAATATCAAGTGGCAAAGAGATCCTTCGAATGTGGGGGGTTCTACGGGTTGGAGCCCGAGGGTCCATCGAGATCCGCGGGGTCGAACAAGATATGGGGACAGAAACAGTAGTTCTAAGTACCATAATGCTTAACTGGTGTGTTCCGTGGCTGAACTGGGTTAAAGGGTGCGGTTAGCGTAGGGTTCTGATACCCAATCGGGAAGCCATGGCCCCGTGGAACGGTGAATCGTGACCGGTGTTGTTGATGTCAAACAAGCTGCGAATGGGTATAAAGAGGGTGGTTCAATCTCGTAAACTGGTTCTTATTCTCAAATTCTCTACAGATAATTTTAATCGTGAACACTTTTGTGGCTACTTGAGACGGTCATGGCGAGCTCGATGATGCATTACTTCCGCTTCGGCAGCGGCTCTAAAGAAACACCCCCAGCCAAAGATAAGCCCGTGCGTGCTCTGCCCGCGTCATGGTACACCTCGCCTGAGATGTATGAGCTGGAGCGCAGGGCAATTTTCTCCAGGAGATGGCTATTCATCACCCACAGCTCACGAGTCAAGAACACGGGCGACTGGCTGCGTTTTGAGATCGCCGGATTCGACTTCATCATCACTCGAGACCGACAGGGAGGAATCAACGCCTTCCACAACGTATGCCGACACCGTGCATACCCAGTCATTGAGGCAGAGGGATCAGGAAACGCCAAGATCCTGGCATGTCGTTATCACGGTTGGTCGTACGGACTGAACGGCAAGATGGCCAAAGCTCCCGGGTACCAAGACCTAGACGGGTTCGACAAGGAAAAGAACGGACTGTTTAGGATCCATGTCAACGTGGATGTGAACGGGTTCATCTGGGTTAACATGGATGCGAAGGAGACCCCGGAAGTGCCGTGGGAGGAACACTTCGCAGATGTCGACAAACAGGATCGGTACAAGGCGTACAACTTCGACGACTATGACTTTGATCATATCTATGATTTGGATGGGCGTTATAACTGGAAGATCCTCGCGGACAACTTCAATGAATGTTACCACTGCCCAACGACGCACCCCGATGTCCCCGAATTCCTCAACCTCGAATCTTTCGACAGCGATCTCAAAGGCGGCCATATCCAACATCACTGCGTCTCTACACCCGAGCAACTAGCCAGAGGCCTCTACACAGCCAGCACTTACTACTTCCCGGTAACCGCGATGGTTGTCTCGTAAGTCCCATCCGTCCCACCCCAACATAAACCAAAACCATCCTGACGCCAATATAAACAGACCACATTTCATAATGATCCAAAAGTTCCTCCCCAAAGGCCCCAAAGAATCATCAATGTCATACGAAATCTACCGTAACCGCAACTCCAGCGAAACAGACTTCCGTCTGATAAGCGACATGTACGAGCGCGTCATGCGCGAAGACAAAGTCCTTTGCATCAATGCGCAGAGAAACCTCGAGCGCGGCGTCTTCGTCAACGGTCAACTACATCCCAAGTTCGAGAAGGCGCCGCTGTTTTTCCAGGAGACGTGTCGGGAGGTCGTTACGGAACATTATGAGAAGGAGGTTGCGCAGGGGTGTGAGATTGCGCCGGCGAAGCAGAATATGGATATGGATGCGGAGGTTAGTCAGAGTGATGAGAGTATTTGCGCGGGTCTTGCTTGTGGTAGTCAGAGAACTGTGCTGGCTTGGTAGGCTCGTGTGCTTTGCATCTATTTCGTTTTGAAATTTGTCTTCAGCAGGTACATCCATAGCACGTTTTCCAGATTTAGAATTTAAATTGAGATTGATTTGGTTGGTTTACTATTGGAAACTTTGTTACATGGACAGCGGGTTCGATGTCCGTTTCTAGGAACCAGGTGCACATAGACTTTCGGCGCCACCGGATCATGCAATACTCGCCCATTCCTGGCTCAAACTATGATTGGTGGTCTATTCATGGTATGATTGAGATGACGGGAAGTCTTGATCAGATGCTTGACGACTGGAAAGGATGAGGGTGGGCGGATTTCAGCAGCCAGAACGGTCTGTACCAGGCTGCGCAGCTCAAAGTACATTAGTGAAGGAAGAATATCAAGAACTTGAACAGGTCATTGTGCAGATTGGAAAAAGGTATGAGTCGATGCCAAGATTCAGATGACAAGTTTATATTTTGAGCCTAAGGTTCAGCTCTCAGCTTGAATATTACTTCATCTGATCCTTGTTTGATGTCGGGTTTGTCACCCGCAAGGAGGAGATGATCGCCCCTTTGAAGGAAACCCCATTACACAAATATCGCATATTGAGGGTTTGATTCAGTAAAGTCTCCTCTATTACATACACAGCTAACTCTATCTATCCACAGCTTATTCACAGGGGTCTATAAATAACTCCTCAAGCGTAACTCTGCGAGAAATCATAGCTTGGTCATACAGCAAGTTCACCAGTGCTTCCAAAGTTGTGCGATTAGACTCAATTCCGTAAGGCCATGGATCACCACCAAATAGTTCTTCAATCTCAACGAGATCGGATGAGAGAAATGGCAGCATATATCGGTAAGTTGACACAAACCTCATCGAATGCAGGGCAATATTTTTAGACTCATTCATCGCGTGGAATAGGCTGCGCGGGACGAATGGGTGTTTTTCCACAACCTCTCTTTTGATGGCGACAAGATGCATAATAGGAAAAATTCCGGTTCTCTGATAGTATTCATTCTCGGTTTCACGGATGTTCGAGAATAAATGTTGAATATGAGGTGCTTTTCCGAGGCACGGCGGAGTGTGTGCACCAATTGTGGCTGCAATCTCGCCGTCTTCGAGGAGTTCACTGAGCGACTTGCGGCTTTCATTCGGCATTCGGTCAATTGGATGGAGAAGTGGCTTTGGCTTCGCTTTACCGTGGGGACCGGGCTTGATCAGGTCTCCCTCAACCCAAGTAATCGTAGATAGATCGACCCCTGCATCCTGCAGAACCCCTCTGATCCAGACAGCAGCGGTCATAGTGTAGACTTGGACACCTATCCTTTTTCCATTGAGATCGGATGGCTTTGAGATGATGTTCGAGTTGACCACGATGCAACTATGACGGAAGGCCCTAGAGGGAAACACAGGAATACCAACTAGGTCCCGTTCACCGGCCACGTACCGGCAAACAAACTCCGAGCTGGACATTTCAGACACATCGAACTCCATGTCTCTGATCATCCTGTCAAAGATTTCCCGCGGATGATCAAGGTAATGTAGTTGAGGTCAATCCCGGTAGGTTCGACTACCCTGTTTGCCAGGGGATCCATGCGGTCGTAAGGACCGCATGCAAAAGTCAGACGAAGCCTGTCACCCATAATCAATGATCAGAATATTTTGCTATTCGCAGTATAAAAGTGAAGGATAAATAAGTTTGGCCCCATAAGTTTACACTTGTCGTATTTTATAGTCTCGTACGACACAGTGACCTCACTGGCAGTTTACTTTCCCATTTGTGCTGTTTTCACTCGGCGTGCCGCTTATATCCGAAATCCGACGTAGGTTTTTCCTCCGAGGTCTCTTTTTTCGGAGATCTTTCGTTTCGGGTTACAACAGCCGTACCTCGGAGATCCGCGTAGATCCCGAATTAGACGATCATCACTAGTTTTGCTACCTGTTTCGGACCTAATTAACTTGGTCTACCATCTAGCTGTCGCTTCTGTTTTCCTCAACCTCCCATTTGCCCCCTTTTCCTTCCCCCTTTTTGACCTAAGATAGCTTGGGGACATAGCTTAGGGATCACATTGCCTACGATTATAGTATGTCGTATCTTACCGGGTACTTTGTATGTCATCCTTCTGGCAACCTTTCTTCTACGGCTCAAGTTTTCTTTATGAAGCCACGCTGCATTCTCAATTATCCCGCTATCGCGAGTTTCCTGATACACAAATAACGAAAATACATTTTTAATTACATAGATGCTCCTTAAACCACTCAAGTGCCTGCACGAATGCGCTATGCATCGCATATCTCTCCGCCGGTATCTCGGGATTGCCTCGTACTGCAAATCCATGCTTGACGCCACTGTACAGGTTTATTTGCCAGGGGAATTTTAATGCCTTCAAGATGGCCTCCGTCTCCTGGCACTTTTCCGGGGGAAAGATTGCGTCAGTTTCGGCGGCAGAAATGGCCAGAGGGCCACCGATCTTTTTCAATTCATCTGCCTCAACGTGAGACGGGTGTGCAGTGTACCCAGCATCAAACTTTCCTGGAAATAAGTGTCGAACGACATATTTGCCACCAAAACAGTACCCCACAGCTCCGAGTTTCTACTCCATCCTCAGCAAATAATGTATTTGGTCCCTGCACAACATACGTACCTTGCATTTAAATTTTGTTTGCATCTCTCTAATGCAAGACTCAACAACAGGATCGACGTCCATGGGCAGGTGAGTTTTTCCTTCGGGATGGTATCCTCCTGTTCTCCACCTCTGCATATTGAATTCGCCCGGTTTGTTCAATGGCACAGGGTCACCATGAAAGAGGTCTGGCATCATAACAAAATACCCATGCATCGCAAACTGGTCAGCGACGAGTTGGGCATTTATGAGCCGGTGGCCAATAATGTCGGTGAGTCTACCAACCAGCTGGTGAGTACAAGAGTAATAGACATGAAGCCCAAATCGAGGAGTACCAGCACTTACATCAAGATCCCATGCTCGGTTGACTTGCTGGGAGGGTAGCTGGTATAGACCTCAAACTCTTCGACGGTTGTAATGGTGCCTCGTGGTTTTCCATCGTGTTTGAACCCTTGGTAGCAACAGGATTGAGACGGGTTGGAACTCATTCTGGGATGAGGAGGCGAACACTTAAGGAGAGTTGAGCTTGGCGAATGGAGGCTTTGACAACAACTAACGACAGCTGATTTCAAGTGGACAAAAGGGCTTTCACGCTATTTCAGTGGGAGGCACTGCTATATATTTGCACAGCAAATTTTCCCAATTTAGTTATTCTGTCCGATGTCCGATATTCACCACTGCCGGAAGGTCAAAAACGGCTTCTCTCTTTCTAGGTAGTATATTTTCCCCCGGGGAGGAGGGGGGTGTTTCATCGTTAGTAAATTCGGGAATAGTAAGTAGGCAAGACCTGTTAAGCCGAAAGTCCGATTTGCGGAGTTAAAGAAATATTCCTACTCCTAATGGTGTAAGCAGTTTCGGACCAAAGATGCCCAGGGCATTGGGTCTCTTTGAATGGCCGCCCCCTAAATTAAGGTTAGACCAACTGCCGGCTCCCAGGATTCAGCCAGACGAGTCGGACTTGATTTCTAAAATCAGCAAGTCGGTCAATGCAGGACCGGACATTATTTTCAACAAGCCCGTAGCCGCTAAATCCGAGGCAGTCGGTACATAATGCTAGATTTTAGCCGAGGAATCAAATACGATCATTTCTCGGTGATAGGCTCAGTATTTCGAATTGCTTGGGATGGTAATTCCAATCCTAAAGCTATCTATATTTTTTGTTTCGCCAACCTATCGGAACAATAGCCGAACTCCTAAACCTTTTAGAGTCGTCCAACCGATAAATTCAAATAGGATACTCTTGCGAAATCTAACTGGTATACACTCACTACCGCCATTTTCCTCCTATGGTAGAACGAAAATCCTAACTAGTACGCAGTGCATCCCACCAACCCCCATGGGGTAGCAAATTTGTTTTATAATGAAGGCTGTGGTTAATTGTAACATGCAGAAGTTGGATCATATAAGAGCTCGCAGCATAGGAACAAATTTCAAAATGTGTCCCACCCACGGGATCCTCCGCAACCTGTATCCACAAATATATTATATAATATAGGTTCGTAGACTAAATACATTAATGCATAGGGCCCTCAGTAGTTCGTCGAATGTGCGATTTCTTTGGTCTGTAACAAAATTCCCTGTAACGCTGCAAATTTATTTTGAAGGCGGTTATAACAATCCGATCCGAGAGGTAGACGAAAAGATTTTTATTTTCCCACTCCCATACCGGTGCCGTCCACAACTTCTAGAATTCTTTGAGCACATTTGACAGCATCGCCTGGCTGGGTCCTTGTGTTCGTCTTGAAAGCTCGAAGGACATTTTCCAGGGGGTCCCAACGTATGCTTTGTTCATGCCAGCGCGAGGCTCAACATAGGCACTCCAGAAATTTGTTCGGAGTGATCCCGGCTCGGCGACGAGTACTCGAATTCCAAACGGCTGTAGTTCTCGTGCAAGGCTTTCAGACATGCCTGTCATATTTGTATTAGTAAGTTCCACAAATAGAACCTTACAGCTTCGAGGCCGTCCAGAATATAAAGACTAACCTTCAAGAGCAAATTTTGGTGCCGGCGTACATTGTGCAGGATGGCAATCCATCAATCCCGGCGCTACTGCTGATATTAACGATAGTCCCAGCCTTTCTCTCACGCATGAAAGGGAGGACTGCCTTCAACACACGGACGGGCCCGTAAACAATTGTGCTAAATTGGACCTCGATCTCATCCTCGCTCATGTCCTCAATGCTGCCCAACAGCGAGTATCCGGCGTTGTTGACAACCACATCAATAACACCGCCAGCCTTGTTGACTGCGTCCTCCACTATTTTAGTGGTGCTGGGGGATGCCACGTCGAGCTCAATCCAGCTTCCTCCAAGCTGCAAGATGCGCGGGTTGTCCTCGGCTGCTTTGGTGCAGTTGCGAGCCGTGGCGATCACTTTGTGTCCGGCTTGTAGGGCCGTCTCGGCCACTGCGGCTCCGAGAATGGAAGATGCACCGGTGACAAGCCAAGTCTTGGAGGATGTCATCTTGAATATAGGTTGAAAAGTCGGTCTTTATTGCGTCGTTTTGAGTATCGTTACGAGAAGTTCAATATGCCGTCCAAATTAGCCTTTTCCGACGCTCAACCCGGTGTCTTAAATGGACTTGGATGCCTGTTAGTTTAACGTCAAGAAGCAAGGGCAAGCCAGCAAAAAGCGGGTTTGGATGCTAATGCCGCTAAGTCCGAACCTTTACTAGAAGCTCTCAACATTCAATGTGTCTTCTTGCCTAAGCCCATGTGAAGTTTCGTTTCATTTCAAGTGGGCCACTTAGAATCGCCGCATTCATGCACACCAACTAAAGAAGATCGAGGTTTTTTAAGATTAGCTATAATTGTGGGATATCTATAAGGTTCGCTAGTTCCTAGGCTAGCTACCTAATATTGTTACTTTATTCGTTACGGCCTGTGACGGTCATGAAACTAGGTATCGAGGATCTAACATCACACTATTTCCCAAGCGTCCAAGATCAGGCGATCCTTTCAGTATCATCATTATTTCAATATCATATCAATATTCCTATCAGACAAATCTAGAAAGGCAGAGAAAGATACGGATGAGCATGGTATAACAGACTTTATAGAAGTCTTCCATGCGGCTCTTGCCCACGTGCCAGAGAAATCGCTTCACACAAACTGGAGACAAGGAGAACGACCGCTCTCATTACTCGGCCTCTCATTACTCGGCCTCTCAATACTCGGCCTCTCATTACTCGGCCTCTCATTACTCTGCCTCTCCCACCTTTTTCCATTATGACAAACCCTTATAGAATATAGAGTCGCATGAGTGATCATAGTTCTCTCAACCAAAAATGGGTTGAACAAGAAGTCGAAAAATAAAGCCCGAATCGGAAAAAGGCAAAAGCAAAACAAAAACATACAACAGTAGGGATTCGCTGGTGGTCACCCACCCAACTACTAACCTGCCGGCGTGTGGCTTAAGTACGGCTGAGCGGACGGGAAGCCCTGTTCTCCACACCCTATGGTCGTATGTACTGAACTGATGAAGACAATAAGATATATTGTGTTTCAAGGAAGAAAGACGGGGTGAAAGTAGGGTGAGTGCCGCTTTAGCGTTGCGCTACCGGGGGTGAGAAGGGTGAGTGCGCAATAGATAGGATGAGAATCGGCGAGAGAGCCTTGTGAGAATCCTATAGTTTAGTGCGAAGAATACTATAGCTTAGTGCGAAGACTGTATAGGCCGCATAGCTAGGCTATAGTAGTTTGAGTATCTTAAGCTAATTTGGGACGTTTCGCAGAGCTGTATGTCCTAGGAACTAACTAATCCATTGTGAGGGTCTGACGTATGAACAGGTGAATGCTCAGTATTGTGAGCAGCTATTGTCGATTCTCGATACAGAGTGCAGCGCGAGAAACCAAAATAAATAAATAAAAAGAGTCTTCCTCGCGCTACGTCTTGTATCTAGAGTCAATTATAGCCTTTCTTAGTATTAAAAAATCATCTACGCATACGTTAAGGCCTCACAATCCCTGACATCCACCCTGGGAACCTGACATATCTTTCCTCGGAGAGCCATTGGCTTAGGAATCAGTGCTTCCCCTAAAAGCCCTGTGGTTGGCATCTGGAGCTACCTAAAGCACTACATCTCTCTGAAAATCACTTGGCCAATATTACCCAGTCTAGATCAGCATTGGATGTGTCACGTGGCACCACATTCCTCAAATGAACAATATGTGTCCGAAATAAAATTTTCACCTTGTTTACCCAATGAGTGCAGTTGCGAATTAACGATAGAAAGAAAACACATGCTATGGCGGATAGAAGAGTGGCATATATTTTCCAATGTCCGACCCGTAACTCCCGAAACCGGAACAGCCAATATCCGAACGAACGTGACTCTTCGACGCTCGCGGCTATTTGAAAGGCCACCATACCTATCTACCATGACACGACCTTTAAATTCATTTGCAAAACCCATCAACTGCCTAATATCAGGGAGCTCATATTGGTCTTTTGGTCCTATTTTGTCATCCTGCTGCCAACGAAGAAACCTCGAATTAGGGCCATTTGGGCGGCTGAAGTCCACAATGGCTGAGAATCACCGCGTTGAGTACAACTGGATCAAGGGCGTGGAGACACTCGAAGAATATCAGAAAGGAGGCTACCCTCCTGTTATGGTCGGTGACGTGCTACATGACCGGTATCTTATTGCAGACAAGCTTGGATTTGGGGGCTATTCGACGGTTTGGCTTGCCCGAGATACCCATCTCGAACGATATGTTGCGGTCAAAGTCAACATCGCAGACTCTCTTCCGCACGAATCAAAAGTTCTCAGGGCGTTGTCAACTCCGACTCTGTCGTCTTCATCCGTTCACCCTGGGCGTGCCCTGACCCCCATCATCGTGGATGAATTCAAAATTCAAGGGCCTAACGGAGAACATAACTGTTACACGATGACCCCTGCGCAATGCAATCTCAGAGAGATTTCATTCAGCCGTCTCTTCCCCCTCGACGTTGCTCGGGCACTTGCATATAAACTTGCACAGGCCGTTGCCTATACCCATTCTCAAGGCTACGTTCATGGATGTTTGTTAGCACGATGGATGACGAAATCCAGTCTTCCTCTTTCTACTGGTAGCTAAAATTCGGAATATTTAATCTAGATATCCATCTAAAAAATATCTTGGTCAAGCTCCCGTCAAGTTTCGACGACCTATCTATCAAGCAATTGTATGAGACATATGGCGAGCCCGAGGCTATCCTTATCACACAATGTGATTGTAAGCCATTACCTCCCAATGTCCCGGCGAAGGCTGTCGTGCCGCTGTTCCTAGGGAAATATGCGGAAAGTTTCTCGTTATCTGGTGCGCACCCGCTTCTAAGCGACTTTGGGGAGGCGTTCTCTCCCGCTTCAGAAGTGCGTCTTGGACAAGACTGCCACACGCCACCCGCTTTTCGAGCCCCGGAAGCCAAATTCGAACCGCAAACCCCGCTCGACTACCCCCTAGACATCTGGAGTTTGGCCACGGCAATCTGGGAGATCATCGGAATGAAGTCAATCTTTAGCACTGACTTTGTGCATGAAGATGAGATAGTGTCGCAACATATCGACGTGCTAGGGCCTATGCTTCCCGAGTGGTGGCAGCGCTGGGAAGGACGTCACCGATTTTTCGACAAGTATGGATATCCAACAGAGTCACATAGAGAAAACAAATGGCCCACGCTTAAGGAATCATTCGAGATCGGTGTACAGAAATGGAGAAGGAAAGCGGGAAGCGAGATGACCGAGAACGAAAAAGCGGCGTTTCTGGATTTGATGCGCCGGATGCTGTCATTTAGGCCAGAAGAACGACCGACTGCTGAAGAGGTGCTATTGTCGGATTGGATGCTCAAATGGGCACTGCCTGACTGCAGGCGGAGCTTAAAAAGCTTTTGAATGTCCAAGATACATATAGTTTATGGCATTTCTCACAATATCTCGCATAGCATTTGTATAAGAGGAGTAAAGAAAGCAGGTGGAAGAGAGAATTCTTAGAAGTAGCATAATTCACTAGAGAGGCACGAAATAGGCGCAAAGGCTTAATAGTCACATCTCAGAAAATGCAGATATTTTTGCATTAATAAGGGACTACAGCAATATCTAACAAAACCCTTCGTAGCAGGACAACGCTTAGCTTCATAAACTAAAGGCACGTTCGAGAAGGATGTACGGTGGCGTAACACGTTTGAGTGCCAAAGAAAGTCAATGTACATACTCTGCTGTATTTAAAGAGAGCACATTATATACCATGGTGTTGAGAGGTTGTATTTGAATGCTTTCGCTTGATTCCTAGCCCTGACAGCCTTGATAAAATCCATAAGCGTAACATCCATATTAACGTCCGTGGCCGTGGAAATTCAATAGTCCCACAATCTCTGTGTTGCAGCAAACTCTCGTCAAACACTAGAGGTACAGGTCCAAACGTCCAGATTGAGCCCCTATTCTTGACCCAATAAATGAGAGTAGCCGATGGGGCTGTCTTCATATTCTTCAAGGAGTTCCTCGATGGCCAGACGACCTTATCGGACTGCGGCCCACCATGGCGAATGTTGTCTGCCTTCTCTGGGGTATGGGTAGCCTCCTTTAGAACAAATTACGGTTGTTATCAGTCACAGAAGCTTCGACCGAGAAAATACTTAAATACGACGAACACAGTCGGGCTGACTGCATTCACATTAAAATCATGCAGCAACAGTCTTTCTACGAGAATAATATTCCCATCGCCATTTCCCAACTTCGAAGCGATAAAAACGAATTCCCACCCTGCGTCAGTACTGTGACGGTGGCCAATGTCGCGTATTCAAGGTGACCTTTACGGAACCGGGCACGAGTCCAACAATCTCCATCAGAGCTTTCCAAGAATTCCAAACACAATCCACAACTTGCTCGCGCCCGCTTATAGTTCTGCGAGATCCTCTTCAGTCAATCGATACAATTCCTTTCCGATCTCCCCATTGACTCGATACTTCTCATCAAGCGTCGCATACGGGGTCTGCATTTTTCTGCCTTCTCTGCCTCTTCCACGCGGGTAAAGCCCACTTCAACATGTACTCTGATCTCAGGACTTGGTCTGCTGTGGGTCGTTCCGCAGGTTCAAACGCCATCATAGCTCTAAGCATATCCTCCAACGCACGTAGTTCACCACCTGCAACGTCCCATTCGCACATCTGTTCCGTCTCGCCACGGCCCATATCCCAGAGACGCTGACGCAGGTGCCGGAAGACGGGAGTACTGATACGGCGGAAGTCAGCAACCCATGACCCATCCTCGTCGAAGAATTCGGAGCGTTTAACCCAAGAGTTCCACCATCTCACGGGCGGCTTGCCTAGCGTATTGATTATCTCGGCGACAATATCATCTCGATCCCAGGCAAATGTTTCGAAAAGTGGACGCTCGCCCAAGACCTCGTACAAGTTGACACCTAAGGTCCATATATCAGCTGCGGTGGGTTGAGTGATGGGTTCATTGAAAAGGTCTTCTGATGGAGAGTAGAGAGCTGGGGCGTAGAGAGTTGGTGAGGGCGTCTGTGACACAATAAAGGACGTCCCGTAGTCCGAAATGATGATTTCTGGGTGATCCATTTCGTTGGCAGGTATACTCAAACTCATAGGATAGATAGCATGCGGCGGTGCGTGTGGTTCACCGGACTTTCCATCCACTCGTCGAATGGGAACCTCGTAGGGTTTACCGAAGCGCTGGTATAGCTCAGGTATGCTTAGGCCGTCCAATTCTGGTATGCGTAAGAGAAAGTTGCGCAAATGTAGATCTGCCTATGATCAGTATGCGGAATTAGTAAACCGAGATACGCAACATAATTGTCCTCACCTCCGTGGCAGATGCCGTTTGCATGCAAATAGGACAACCCTAAGAGGAGCTGGGCGGCAGTAGATCTAGCAGCGTCCAGTGGAAACATGAAATTTGTGCTGTCCTCCTTAGACCTAGCAATACTACCGCCAGCAGGCTCTCCGACTAAACACTGATGATATCCGTTTGGACCATGGAACCAGAATTGGTCAAGTAGCGGCGGAATGAATCGCTTTCCAACATGGGTAAGGTTGCTCTTCATCAGGTAAAGAAGGACATCCCCTTCGTGGCTATCTGGCGAGGCTCGCGCAGTCAATATCTTCAGCGATACATAGCGCCGGCGTTGCTTATCCCAGGCGAGCCAAATTGTTGAATATCCACCGAACCCAAGCTTGTGAACGACAGTGTAGCGGCCACTAGAAAAGGTATTTCCGATAAGAGTTGGGTGGTATCCGCTGGGCATATAGTCTTCGAGATATTCAACATCTACCTCAGGGTGGTATATATCTTCTATTGGTAGATCTGACGAGCCAGCCATAGCGTGAAGGCATCGAAATAAGGGTGGTGACGGAGAGACTCTGCGGTGACGGATGGTTTTTAGTGTGAATGATAATCAGCGTGGTATGTTCTGATTGTTTCGGTGAAGTATCGCGAGTTGGGAGAATAGGCGAGGGAGCCTCCAGCCAAGGTTTGTATTCATATTCATGTCCTAATGTCTTTGTAGAGGTCATCGAGTGACGCGCTATTACTGGCAGTATTGAAAGGCGGTATGAGACCGGGGCTGCCAAGACAGAAGGCGGCGGCCGAACGCTCTCCGACTACCTGCTTCACCTCTTCTGAGTGGACTCTTTCACCCTGTCACCTATATGACCAATGTTTCATTCTCCGCTTGGCAGGCTAGTGCTAGATCTTCCAGCGAGTTAAGGCGGCTAATTATAGGCTAAAATGGCCTATTCTCAGTGATCCTAGTCGACTCTTAAACCGCAAGCGTTAATAAGAGCGGCAGCACGGCGCAGTCAATGCATAGTCCTAATTCACGGACTAATTACCTGCTCACGACCTGCTCATAGCTCGTATTCCTAGAACCCCTCGGCTACAGAGAGCACATAACGATTGAGCCTGTCCTTGCCTCGAACGTCTGCGTGATATAGTAGGCTGGCGGGAAGGTATCATATCCATGGTTGGAATATCGCAACAGCGCATAGGTGATGTGATGCATTGGATCATCAAGTCAAAGTAAAATTTTAACGACTAAAATTACCGCTAGAGCCATCTAAATAGCTTATAAAAGGATCTGCTCTATCTTCCGTGCCGTCATTCTCTAGACTTATACATCCCCCCCCCCCTTATATCCCTCTCGTATCAAAATTCAGCCCTATCAATAACATTCTTGCCATAGCCACACTGCACTTTCTAACGTGAATAGAAAAAACAAAAACATACAACAGCAGGGATTCGCTGGTGGTCACCCACCCAACTACTAACCTGCCGGCGTGTGGCTTAAGTACGGCTGAGCGGACGGGAAGCCCTGTTCTCCACACCCTATGGTCGTATGTACTGTATTTATCTGTACAATAGAATATAGTCTGCTTCAACAGAAAAAGACGGTGTGAAAAGGGTGAGCGCCGCTTTAGCGTTGCGCGACCCAGGCGACAAGGGTGAGTGCGCAATAGATAGGGTGGAAATCGGGGTGAGAGCCGGGTGAGAATCCTGCGGGCCGCGCGACAGCCGCAATGACCTTCTCAGCTTAGCGAGAGTAGAACATCATTGGGCCACGACCCCCAGCTGAAACAGTTAGACTCTTGGTATTCAACATGTGGCTCATCCTGGATGTATCCGATTCAATGGGAATCATATATGGCAGATGTAAATGCAGCTCATGAGTAAGGAGTGAGGAAAAAGAATAATAGTAATTTTGATACATGAGATAAATTATATATACCAAAATTTTAATTTTATACAAGAATAGGTTGCGATTCGTAACTTATCTGCATGTTAGGGCGCAGTAAATCTAGAGGGGAGGCTTTGTCAGTCAATTGCTCTTACAATATAAATTGGCGGTCTCACTTCTCCAGTACAGCTTGATTGGTTCGAGGGTCGTTATTATGATAGCTTCAGTATTCAATGTGTGGTAAGGAGGGTGGAAGGGCAAACGACAAGACGTAGTTGAAGATGTTATAATAGAAGTCAATTAAATCTAGAGTAGTCTACTAGGCAACCAAAACAGGGGAAACACCTCTACTACAAAGGCTGTATTGTTATGCCGGATGACGTTCCTCGAGGCGATTTGCCCTCAATCTACAGGAGTCAGGTATTTACTAGTGCTTAGTGGTGCAACCCATGTAATTCACCGTCAAGATAAGCCTGTATGTCAGTGAGTTCACACCGAAGTGGGGGATTAGCACAGCCAAATTTGGCCCCCACCCTCAATCACCCGCCACTAGATTTTCGCAATCTCGCGAGGTTCCGATCCTTCCGATGCGTGGTGGTAGTGAATGGAGAACAGTTGCCATCTGAAACACTCATGCTGACACTAAGCATTATCCATTTCATCTTTTCATCAACAAAAGAAACAGTTGGATTTAGTGCTACTTACTTTACTCGTCTGAATTTCTCTCGAACTCTCTATACTGTCCATATATCTGCTTCTCTGGTCTCCTTCTTCGCTCGTGAGACCACTTCTTCGTGACTCTCCATTCGCCGTAGCGATCTTTCCAACCTCCTTGTCCCTCAGCTCACGTCAACCATTATGGAGATCGCCGCCATCCTCACCCTTCTGCCAATTCTGGTAATGCAAACAATATACAGTCTAATTTTAACCCACGGTCGCTGATAGTCTTAAGTACGTCATTTGCCAAATCATCAACAATCTATGGCTTCATCCACTATCGAAGTACCCAGGCCCGCTACTCTGGCGGACGTTTCGATTTCCTTTTCTTCTCTCAATGATGCGTGGTAATCTTCCTCATCGGATCAAAGGTTTTCATGAAGTATACGGTGACATCGTTCGAGTCGCGCCTGATGAGCTATCTTTTATCAACCCCGACGCTTGGCGGGATATTTACAGTAAAGGTCGGGAGTTTGTCCGCCCAGACCAATACAAGGATCAACCGCCTGGCAAGACAGCCGCGAATTTAATCGCATGCTCAGAATCAGAACACGCTCGGCTGCGGAAAATACTCGCGCCTGGATTTTCTGAAAGATATGCTATGGAACAAGAGCCTTTCATCCAGTCCTATGTTGACAAATTATTTGGGAAGCTGGACGACGGACTCCAAAATGGCAAATTCTCGGCGGTAGATGTTGTTGAATGGATCAACTATCTTGCCTTTGACGTGATTGGAGATCTAACTTGGGGATCCTCCTTTGGATGCTTAGATGGTCTGACCTACCATCCGTGGGTTCAAACAGTGGGGCAGTTCAAGACTGCAATCGTCGTCGGCGCACTCAAGTTCTACCCACCCGTCTACTCATTTCTCATGGCAATAACACCACCCTCAGCACTACAGGCTGTTATGGATATGTGGAAACAAACAGAACAAAGCGTTCTTGAACGAGTCGCCAGCGGTGCAAGCCGTCCCGATTTAGTTGGCACAATGCTGGCATCTAGGTCCATGACCCAGGAAGAGATCGAGGTCAATTCCATGATGATTGTAGCAGCAGGAAGCGAATCCATCACCACAGTTCTGACCGGAGTGATCAATCATCTCCTTCGCAACCCGGACAAACTCAACACGCTGGTCGAGACACTCCGGACCACATTCCCATCATCGGAGCAGGAGATAACCGGGTCCGCCTTGAAATCCCTTCCCTATCTGAATGCAGTGTTGAATGAGGGCATGCGGCTCTGCCCTACAATACCAGATAGCATGCGCCGCCAAGTTCCCTTCGGCGGAGCAAATGTTGCTGGGCATTTTGTTCCCGGCGGGATGGTGGTCTCTGTTCCCCCGTTCGCGACCTACCGTGCATCGCGTAACTTCAATCGTCCCCTGGAATTTGCTCCAGAGCGCTGGCTTGGTGAAGATGTGCGCAGTTCGAGATTCCAAGGCGATAGCAAAATCGCCTTTAATCCGTTCTCACTAGGCGCACACAATTGTCCGGGCCAGAATCTTGCCTGGCTGGAGCTGAGGATTATCCTTGCACGAATGCTGTGGAGGTATGATCTGTCAATTCCACCAGGTGTGGAGCTGCCTCAATGGGAGGATCAAGGTATCTGGTGGTTTTGGGATAAGCAGCCTACAATGGTGCGTTTCAGGAAGTTCCGGTAGAAGGTCTACGAGATCAGGGGTCAGGTTATCGTGTCTGTATGTGCAGAGAGATCCTACTTGGGGTCACGCCATTGTAGCGCGTTAAGTAGGGTACTTTTGCGCGAGGGGCTCAAATGAACAGAGCAATACATAGTACATGGGATGGGATAAATCCGGCCTCGAACTTATTATTATAGACTAGTAGGCAAATTGGTTGTCCTAATCATATGTAATCGGTTGATCTATAATCAATGGACGCATCACACTTGATGTGATGCACTAGATGCATGTCGGAAATATCGACGAAAACCGGCTAATTCCCCATGGTGACTTCTATTTCAGTGTCAGTGTTGATACTAGGACCAATCTGGGCCATGTGTATACCTCTCAGGGAGATTACAAGAAAGCAGAGCGGGTGTATCTTCAAGCGTTATTTGGAAAAGACTTCACCGACGAGGACTACACTTCAGATCTTCTCGATCGTTTGACGCTGATCGAAAGTATATGTCGTGATAATTACGACTCTGGAAATATATCGTCTACACCTTGGCAAACGTTGGCTGTGAAAAGCTAGTCGTGTACATGGGGTTCGTGACAGATTTACTTGATGTGATTGCCTGTCTCGCTCTCTTGCTTCACAAAAAAGGTGAAAAGGACCAGGCGGCGCGGATATCGCACCAGATGTGGTTGATGTATACGGGCATTGAGCATGAGAGAAAAGTTATTCGGGCCGGGCGATCCATTTACCCTGGACACTGCGGCTCGTCTTGGGCTTACAAACATCATGACAGGCCAGCTTGAGAGTGCAGAAAATATGTTACTTCGGGTACTGGACCTTCCAAATAATCCACAGACATAGCTTTGAAGGTTATTAAAGAATACGACGTCGCACTCAATCTTTCAACCTTATACATCATGACTGACCGGTTAAATGATGCCGAACATCTTCTCCAGTTCATGAAATTTGTCTTGGTCAAGGTCCTTCGTCCAGATAGCGAGAAAGTTTTGACTATCTCCTCCAACCTTGCATGTGTATGGCTCAAAAATGGCCAAATCAATGATGCGAAAAAGCTCTTTATCAAGATCAAAGAAACATCGGAACGAGTCTTGGGCTTGGAGCGCGAGGTGGCAGTCATCGCTTCAAGTAATCCGTTTACGCTCACTTTAAAGCGCTAGTATCTAAGAAGGCCCTCAAACCATGATTCGATATAAAATTTTGATCCTCCAACTAATCCCCCAATAGACCCATCTTATCCAGGAACCACTAAAGCCCTATCCGAACTTCTGGAGACCTAAACGAGTAATATTGATCGATTTATTTCATTCATTAAAGATAAAGCTAGCAACACAGGAATAAGAGAAGGTATTTGATGCACGAGACTGCATGGAGCAGTTCTGTCCAAAGTAGGTATGGAGTATAAGTAGGTAGAGACACGAGGAACAGTGAAGAAATCCTTCTCGAGTGGTTATGTATGAACCGAATTAAGGAAAGAGATAAATGCAAGTAGTCTCTCAATCCAACTTGCTCCATTCAAACCACCGATGCATCTCAACATATCGCTCACCAGCCAAATATCTCTCCAACGCTGGTGGTACTCCAACGCACACCAGCAACAGCAAAGACCATCAGGACGACATCAATAACGCCCAGCAGAGTCGCCCCCATCATGAATCTCGGACTGAAGATCCGGTACAGCATAAGATGGCGCCGGAGATGGCCCGCCCACATGGTCGTAGCGAGGTTGATAGTAGCCAAATAGAGGATATGCGTACAAACCGCCTGAATCACATCCGACAGGAGTTTTGTCGAGGGGTTAGCTAGCTTGTTAGATCCAGGCGTGGTGCGGTCATGGGTCTGCAGAGGACGTTTCCAAAGGACGGTAAGCGGGACGGCGAGGGCAGCTAGGATTTGAGCGCCGAAGGTGTTCAGGACCACCAGGAGAGGGGACCAGGGGTATTTGATAGTCGAAAGAGGGATGAAGGCGGTTTCCCACTGGATGGTGCTGAGAACGGCCTGGTGGCCTGTTTTGAAGAAGTAGAAGGAGCCCAGAAGGCCGAGAACCACAGGGCCGATGGAGGAGTTTGATAGTGTGAGGGCGTTCGTGTCGAGTATTTCGAGAAGGGAGAGTATTTGCCAGAGGAGGAGTGCGATGGCGCCTTGGCCCATCGGTTTTTGCATGAGAATGATGGCAAGAGCGAAGTTGATGACTAGGAAGAAGAAGCGAGTGCCGTAGAGGTTGCCGAAGCCGAGGATTGTGACTGTTTTTCGGGGTTGTTGTTGTTGCCCGGCGATTATTGGCGCGGGCGGTGCGTTCGGGTCTTCTTGGGCTGTGCTGACGCTGACGCTGACGCAAGGCTTGGAGTAGAAGTATGCTCCGGTGCCGGCACCAAAGGCGAGGGCGAGGACTAGTTGGGCGAGGAATGTCCGGACGGATTTGAGGGTTTCTTTGCGAAGGGGTAGCCATTCGCCGTCATCGGCGCCTTCAAGCATCCAGAAGAGTGAAGTTATGAAGAGACCGAGGCGGAAAGCGAAGCCAATCCAGAGTGTGGCGGCGCCTTCGTAGGACTTGGAGCCTACGTAGAAAGACCGCACGACACTGGGGAGGAAGAGAGTGACCAAAAATGGGATTGCCAACTGCCAGGGGGCGGAGATGGATGAGGTGGATGAGGCGTAGTAGGTGGAGCGGCAAAAGGGCATTTGCTCCTCACGGCACAGGCGAGAGAAGGATGCCACCCGGCCCAGGATCACGAACAGGACCGAATGGTACACGCCCAGGACACGGTCTGTGGTTTGCTTCTGGCGCATGGACGAGATACCAGCGCAGACACCAAAGGTTGTGAGGAAGAAATGGAGGATTTCGTCTTCCCAGATTGTGTAGGAATTGGAAGCAAAGCCAATAGACTGGGAGACTGTGAAGAAGACAGCGAGCCATCCCCACATACCGTTAGGAAGAGGGACGGACAAGTTTGCCGACTTCTTCAGCATGGAGAAGAAGGCACCAATCATGCTTCCAGCCGCGGCGAGTAGGACAGACAGATCGATAAGTGTCATCTCAGTGACTCCAGTCAAAGCCAAGGAGGCACCAGCCGCGGCACCAGATCCAGCTCCGATACCAGCGAACGAGAGCAGTTGAGGGGTAAGCTCAGTGCGGTCTACATTCATGCCACGGGCATACAACACCAACAGCAAAATACCCGAGAGTAAGAGAGCAACGCCCTCAATCATGCTGGGAACATCGAAGCGCGCCCAAAGTCCGCGGCATATATCCAGAGTCTGACGCTGGTATTTGCGGTAAAGATCATAGCTAGCACGAACAGCAGTCGACCTTGACTTGAAGCTCTTCGAGGCGGTCTTGAACTCCTGGTCCGCAGCAGACCAAAGCGCGAACGACTCTTCGTCGTCACCCGCACCCCGCACCTTCGCATACTCACGCTGATACCTCTTGATCTGCGCTGAGGTGAGGCGGTTGACAGCTACCAAATTAGACCAGTCATTTCCACTGGCACCGGCAAAGGCTTCCTCGATAGGAGATCCCAGGTTGTTGAAAGGAATCGGCATTCCAAGGAGCAATGACAATGTCGGGACAAGATCGATCTGGGGAACGGGACGTTCGCGTGCGTGCTTGGGCGGAAGCAAAGTGTCCTTGCTTGTACGTCCGAAGATACCTCGCTTGGAATACATCCACAATGCGGCTTCGACCTCATCGTCCGACTCGCCGCCGTGATCGCCCTTGATATCCATTCCATGGTCACCCATCACGACCAGCAGGGTATCGTCGTCGAGAGCGGCGATGATGTCGCGGATGACTTTGTCCATCTGCTGCAACTTGGCGGCCATGGCGGCATGGTTGGGTCCGTACCGGTGACCGGCGTGGTCCACGCCGAGGTAATGACCAAAGATCACATCCCACTTAGAGCGGTTCTCGGGCTGCAGAAGCGGGAACAGGTACTCGTTGACCCCGTTGTCGACGGTGTGCAGATCCCAAACGTTGAAGGAGTCGAACGGATGGGTCAGGTTCTCGTGGAAGTATCCTGGGAAAAGAGCCTGCCAGGTATCGTCACCGAGCTGGACCAGTGTCTTTCCGGCTTTGTGGAGTTGCGCAACGAGATTGTCTTCATCGATGGCAGTGCCAGCGAAGTTGGATCCCGCGTCGATGAAAGTAGGCAAAGTTCCCGTAGTTAATCCCTTCAGTCGCTGCAGAGTTGTCGTCGGCGGGTCGGCGATGAAAGGGAGCAGGAAGGCATTGGCGGGATTATTGACAGCAGTCTCGTAGAGGACCGGGATGTTGTCATGGAAGAGGGTAGCTTCTTCGCTCTCTGTCCATGGGACAAACGGCACAGTAAAGTCATAGCGAAGAGCGTCAATGATAATGACAACGGCCTTGTCAAAAGATTTCTCATGCCAGCACCCTTTCCCTGTTGGCATTGCAGCAACCCCATCATCGAATGGAAGTACCTCGCAGGAGGATTTGTCCTCCAATACCATGCGCGTAAGAAGGAATCCCTTGGTGAAGAAGTAGATGCCGGCAGCGTGTAAGAACCTGCAAGGTTGAGATCAAAGTCAATTACGACGCTCTTTTGAATGTGGTGTCAACACTGGACTTAAAAACTCACAGTACCCATGCTAGCACCCCCAATACACCGATGTGCCTAGTCTTAAACTCCCCCTCAAGCTCCAAAGCCTTTGCATCCTGAAATCCAGGCGCTTTCGTCTTTCCAGACTGGTCAGGGCCCCGGGGGTTGCGCGAGCCACCACTGGGGGGCACACTACCCCCTCCAGACCCAGCAGAAGCCATTGCCAATTGTTTTCACTATATACAGTCCACGACCGCGAGGATGTTCGGGAAATCCGGTGAGCACGAAAGGACGGGCCGAGCGTTCGAAGCGAAGACACCACAAACTCTGGTTGAAAGTCTCGGAAGGGCAGGGAAGCCGAATTCAGGCACGGATCGAGCCAATTGCCCGCCCTGAGCGCGGTTGGAAAGAAAAGGAGAGACTGAGGAAGCCCAGGAAAAATGGTGCGGCGGTTTGAGCGGGTGGGAGGTCGCCCCTGTCTGTGCTCCTCTAGCGGCTTCCCTTTGATGGATGGTGTTTAGAGGCTGTACATGGCTTCGAAGAAGACCGGTGTATGAGAAAGAAGTGAACGAGAGTGGTGAATGTGAGAGAGCGCAGGCTAAATTTCTCTGTGACGTCGCGGAACGCGGCGGGTTGGGGAGAGCTCGAGGTGTTCTTCTGATTGGTTCCGGGGCTGTGGGCTCGGGTACTACACACAACACCTTCACTTTTGTTACAACGGATCGAAGATAATCTATAGGGGACTAAGGAGATATTGTAGTTGTTCTATCTGGGCGTATTTAAAGAGATGTTTGAAAATATGATTGAAAAGAAACGCATCCATGTCTGGAAAGACATTTGAAGAGAGGGTCTAAAATGACAAGAAAGGGATGAAGAAGGGATAACATAAGAAAACGTTTAGGGCTCCATGCAATATTTCATTGCTCTTTCTGTCCAACATGAGGATAGTCTATAGATAAGATGTAGATTTACATGTATGAGATTGAAGTGATAGTAGGAAAGATTCGCCTAAAGTAGAAAGATAGGAGGACTAAGTACATACATTATCCAGCTGCCGGGGGTGTACCAAAAGGCACATAAGAGAAGAAAGCATAGGGCAGCGTCGAAAGAGAGCATAAAAGACGCCGCCCGTCAAGAAGGATGAAGAAGAGAAATAAATAGGGGAAAGAGAAGTTTGCCTCATGTCTTTCGGGCCCTAGGGTCGTGGCAGGGCCGAAAGTAACATGAGACCGCAAATAAAACGCCATAGATAACAAACAGTAGTCGGCAGGCCCTCGCTATACAGAATCCGGCTACGGCAGGTCTCCAGGGTCACGGAATGAGCCAACCCGTTGGAGTTGCTATAGACGTAGCCGGGCAATGAAACGACACAATCGGCATATGTGCAAGCCGCGCGGGCAGGGTTCAGTAGTGATAGGTATGTGAAAAAGACAAAGGATGTTCGCCAAGATGCTCGTCATGCTTTTGGGTCGTCGAAGATAAGGAGGGGCGAACACATGTCAACAGCAGTGACAATCGGTCGCAAGATCGCCCGGATTCGCATTAGGAGTAGTGATTCACTTCTCCCTTCTCCTTCAAGCCGCCCATGCGCTCGATATCCAGAGAGTGGAACCGACCGGTGTCGGTGGTCTGGTATGGAGGGAGCTCTTCATGGCAAGGCTCCAGGCCGATACTACCGGCCTCGCTGATGCGTACCACGACCATACGGCCGGATTTGCGCTTGCCAGACTCGTCCTCCTCCTCGGGGAAGGTGATACGGATCTCCGGGACGGGGCTGGGCGGCGGGCTCTGGGAGTTATCCATCAGGGACCGTTTTTCATCAAAGACGAGAATGGAGTCGGTCTTTCCAGCATGGATCGTTAACCGGCGTCCGGAGGTGGGAACTTGGCCGTTGTGAACGGGGAGCAGGGATTCCTTCTTGGCGTTACGCTTGCGGCGGATCACGAGAAGACCGCCGACGAGAGCGAGAGCGAGCAGAACCAGAGCCAGTAGGGTAATCATCAGGTCGACCATGGGAGTGGAAAGGCCATCTTGGGATTTGCTATCATCGCGGGTAGCGAGCTTCGAGATGAAGTTGATCATCCTGCCGATCGCGGAAGATTTGCTCGATATCAAGGTTGTCGATGTTGTTGGGTGAAGACTGTCGTCTCAGTGGAGATACAGCGATCGACGAAGTTAAATTCCAAAGAGTGTCACGGATATCATCCGGGGGGCGGGTCGAGAAAATAGATGAAACGTGGAATGAAGTCTCGAATTCAAGGTCGCGGACGTCGAGTTCGAGGGTGGTCGGGGGTCGAATGAAGGATCGAAGGATCGAAGGTCGAATTGAGAAAGAATGGATGCAGCGCAGCTGAAAGAGTGAAGCCGACACCTGCTGGGAAAGAGGGGAAAGGAATGGAGGAGGAGGAGGGTGGATAGAGAATGAAGGGAAAACAGGGGAAGGAGGGGAGGAGGGAAAAGAGGGCGTTAAGCGTCGCCCGTAGCACCCGGACAGTCCAGAACGACCGTTCGTTACCCTCCCTTTTATTTTTGGGCACTCTAGTCCCTTCAAGGGTTAGCTCTGGTGTCTGTCTGCCAACGGTGGCTTTGTTTGTACCTGCGTCTCCTTTTCTTGGCTGCAGATACAACCAATAAGCAGGGCGTAGTTCCTGGCCCGCCCGTGCATCGACGTCTTTTACGCGCCCTGACTCGTCCGTGGCGCTGCTTACGCTCCACCCGCCTTTTCTTGTTTTGGTGCTGCTGCCCCTGACCCGATTCGGAAATCCGTGGCATGTGCCTCTGATCGCAACGCGGCAGATGGAAGACTTCACGGTATGCTGGTGCATAATCCGAGTGTTTCAGCTCGACTATCGCCTCGTTTTGCTTCGACCTCGCCACAGTGTCAAGTCTGATGAACGGTGGGGTCACGCTGTTTCTGAGCCGCCTATGAGGCAACTGTTGTCAGTGTAAACAGTGTCTAATTTCACCTATGCATACGCTCGTGACGTATTTAAGATTAGGTGTTTCTCGTTATACCTCGACTTGCATGAAATATCTCACCCGTTTGGGGAAGAAAATAAACAATCTGCCCGGATGCCTTCTGGGGGCTAGCCTCAGGTTACGCTCAGACCCGAACCTGCTCAGTATGGCATTGAAAGCTGTGGGCATTCAACCTTGTTAGATGTGTAGAATCGCCTATGGCCATCTGAAGACTTGAGTATCGCAACGCGGGTAGTACAAGACTGACCCCGGGGTGGGTGTGGTCATCTCAAGTCATCCGTCTCGCGTCCCTCTCCAGGGCTGTTCAACAAGTCGAACGGCAACGAAATTGTAGCTCTTAGTTCACTGTCGGAAATTTTGTCAATGGTCAAATAAACAAGCCAGTTTTACCTGGAACGAAATCGTGCGCCGAATTCGCATGGGGTTTTGTGGTGGCTTTGTGTCTGTGATGTACATGTACTATGTATATATCGTCGGTCCGTTCTCCTCAGCACATTTGACATTTGGTGCGACTCCATAATAGAGTTATCTTTAGACATAACATGCTATTCGCTCACACATGCACATTGAAAGCATGTATTTGATCATGCTAACCTGATTCAGGTGTCCAGTAGACACGAGTGTGCGAAAGTTTGGGTTCGTCTCGGGTACCCGCAGCAGAGAGCGTGCCCCGGGGGAGAGCGAGTCCCTGATCCGGGAATCCGTTCAATCCCAGAGCTTTGCTGCCTGACAATAGATCTGACACTATAAGGCTTAATGAACTATTGTTGTTTCTTTGATCTACGTCGGGTAAGGAATCGCCTTCCATGTCAGATGGTGGGTCATGACCCGGGCGTAGGGACTCCTCATATACATCTTCACCAGGTAGGTACCGAAAAGCGCCACCTCCCTGCAATGTCTATACTTGGAAATGCCAGAAAAGCACCCCTGAATGATCTGGAACTGGGGTGCTGTATGAACAGTCCCCGCGGGCTACATTGACACGGACCACCATCGGTGCTGAATTTCCATGTCAGTTTTGATCGAGACCTCCGACCTGTCAGTCTGGCCCACCCGGGCACTCCACGAGTCTACCACATGACAGCCATGCTGAAACAAGCAGCAGTTTCGCCAACAACAGTCCATATTCTTGTGCCAATCCGCAACGAGCACAGCCGTCAGACCTCGCCAAGACTCGACAGTCGAGATTGCAAAAGCAACCAAGAGCACGTCCCCGAACCTTGTAAACTCCACTATGGCCCAAGTGCGAGTCAACAGAGGAGATGTCTCTTATAAGCTGTCACCAAGACTCGGAGTTGGGCGATCAAGCCTCTGCAGAGAGGATGGGTCAACTCCGAGCGGGGAGAAACTCCCCGACAAGTCCCTGGAACCGGGAAACAGCCATCACCCAGAATATGTGCTCTGTAGATCGCAAAGAACTCACATCGGCACAAGTTTGTGCAGCCACCAGCTCAAAAAGCGGCCGAGGGCTCCACCGGGCGGGCCCCAAGACCGGCGGCAATCGGATGCAAGGCGAATCCCCTCAAATCCGGGGAAAGGTCGAAGATTCTTTGCCAGTGATAGCTTGACACCGAGCCGTGCGACCACCGTGCAAGGATTCGGAAGTACGATCCTTGCTCGCCTCCGCCCGTATGACTCTTCGCCGTGATGTCTCGGCCACTTTTCAATCTCGCCGGGGCGAACCTTGGGCCTCACCAGGATGAGCGCAACAAGTCTACGTCTACGTCTACGTCTACGGATTAACAGAGGATTTCATTTCCGTGGTTTACCAAGTGACTTACGGAGATACCGGTCACGGTCTTCTTTACCAAAAGTATCTCCGAAGGAACCCATCCTAGGATCCAAGGCTCCGTGTGACGGGAAGCAAGGGGGCTGGCCGAGTCGATGGAACATTTACGAGCTGCGAGTGCCGGCCCCGAGCGCAGTATTGACGACCGAGCACACTATTGTGAGACTCGCAGCGGACTTTGGGATGAAACTATTTTAATAGCTCTCTGGTCCAAGGGGGAGCGTAGAGAGTAGAAGGAGGCGGATCCCGGAGGAGTTGATCTGCCCTTAGCCATTGAGTTCTCAACCGGAGCAAAGACCACAGCCAACGAGGAGAAAGGAAGGCCTGGAATGGCAGGCGAATCCACAGTTGGAGGGTGGCGAGCCCAGGGCTCTTTCTGGCACACAAGAATGCCCCGTTCCGAGCGTGACCGGGCGTGTTCTAGCTCCAGGCGCTCTCTATTTACGGGAACAAGTTTGGTTTAATGTACCTTGCTCGGAGTCAGAACTAGGGTCTTCAAGTGGGTCTTCGGGCTTCGATCGCGCCGCCGGGGGCCCCTCGTTAAACTTTTAGAGCAGTTAGTTTGGCTAGGAACTGACTACTCTGTACTGGGCAGTCTTTTTTTTACCCGCAGATCTGTCAAACACTCGCGTAGGGTGACAGGCCTGAGTTGCCGGTATGCTCTGACCCTGGGGATGGTTGACCGTGGCTCCTGGCATGTTCCCTAGTTTCCTATCGATCCACTTGCCAGGAACTTTTTGCCGAATCGCATTCATTGATGATTTCAGACTGTCGAGTCCAACGTCTGAAGAGGGAGAGCTGTCCAAGGGAACGGGGGCGGTTGGCTTTGATACAGACCGTGGATGATGTGGCGGTGAACGCGTTTGTGCACCGGCGATGCTTGTCAGGGAAATGTAGTATGAGGGAGTTGATGAGTTGATGGTAGAAAATATTATACCAGGTACAATGTCCAGATGGCAGAACTGTAAGGCTAGAGCAAAGCTACCTAAGGACGGAGCCTAAAAGAACACAGATCGATCGACCGTGACAGTACAATACACCGGGCATGCGAAGCCCAAACACCAGTCTGGGCTCCGCGGTACATCTACTTTGGGCATGACCACCATACACAACCAAGTACCCACCGGGATCGACCCTGCTCGAGGCGTCATCGTCGTCTGACGAATACAGAGTCCGTACCAACAAGCGGCTGATCTCCTCAACTCTGGCAATCGTTTTTCTTCGCTCCTTATCTATCATTTTCTGGACTTCACCTTTCTTTTTTGTCCCTTTTTACCTTTTTTTCCTCGTTTCGTGTGACGATTTCTTCTTCCCTGTTTCTACTTTATTTTTTCTTCTTCCTTCGCAACTCTCCACCCTCCTCCACCTACGCCACCCAAGGAAGAAAAAAAAATCCTAGAGTTGACTGTCATGCTGGCGCCTGTGTGACAGCTGGACTACATTAATGCCGTGCTTTGTCTCTCATCCACATTCCCATCCTACGACCCACTGAACGCTCTGCGCAACGAATCCGCATTCCACTATTTTTCCCGCGATCTTATCCCCTCCCTCCGTCCTTCAACCTCCTCTCTCCCCCCCCTTGCGCGCAGTCCCATCCACGGTCCCAACGCTCTTCCATTCTCGGGGATCGCCTCTCCACAAGGCACATGAGGACGATCGGCAAGCTGGGAGATTCCTGGAGCATGCACGGAGCATAGTAACGTCGACCTTTTACTGCGCTCCCGGCTACACACTGCAACTGCATCGACAAAGGAAGGGAGATTTTCAGTCCTTCCAATTCTTTGTCGCCTTGCATCTCCTGTTCCCTACTGGACTTTGCCGCATTTCTCAAACTTGACCTCCCCTCTTTCTCTCCTCCTCCTCCACTCACCCCTTCGCTCTCATACCCTGTACATGTCCTGGGCTCGTGGCTTCTGAAGAAAGAAAGGGCAACGGAAAGAACAAATTCTGTTGTGGGCTCTGTGATCCCTGTTTGTCCACTCCTTTTGTGAGTTCTCCATCTTTCCTCCTGGCCCTGTATGCCTTCGCTGGGGGTGGCAGCACCTTGAGCACACGACTTCGAGCAGACCGCTAACAAGGGCCATTCAACACAGTCTTATATTCCTTCGTGTACGCCGTTCCTGGTGCCTGGTGCCCGCTGCAAATACTGGCCGCGAATTCGCTCGGCCTTGTGTGATTTAAGTGTCGACACCTCGAACTACCTGCAAATAGTCGCCCGCCGTTCGAGTACATATCTGAATTACCTCGCCCCGTCGATCGCTTTCCTGGAATGGCTTCAACCATGGCTGCCAATGCAAACAGCGTACACAACGTGAGTGATGGGCTTGATGATCTGCATGCAGATCCGGTGTTAACACAGCCCCAGGTACGATCGAATCGGGCTTCCAATATGGGTTCATCCGGAATGAACAGTGACCGCTCTCGCGGTTCGAACAACAATGTCGGGAAAGGATTCGGCAAGTCGAGCTGGAATAGCAACATCTGGGGTGACTCCAACCTGGGAGGTGGTTTCGGGGATGGTACGTGCTCGCAAGGGCGTTGCATGACGGCTTCGAGCTTACAAGGTCCAGATCAACACATGAGCGAGTCCGCGTTTGAAGGAAAATCGGGTTCGGGTTCGCTGCTATCTTCCTCGGAGTCCGATGGCTGGGCTGGGCGTGCCAACCTTCCCTGGAGTACTGTCAACACATCCGCCCTGTCCATGGGTCAGAACAGGACTATGGCAACCTCTCCGATTCAAACCCGTGCGAATGACCGAAGCGCCCCGGCATTGAACGATGCTGGTGATACATCCTACTTTGCTCTGCCTCGCACGACTGGAATCGGCACCTCCGCTGGCACAGCAAGCCACCGCCCTTATTTCAACGCTGGATCTGAGGGAGTTTCCCCGTCCGGCGATGGCATGTCCTTCGGTGGTTTCCCTGCTCTCCGCAATGGCGACAACCGACGACAGATGAGCTCTACTGGTCTCGGCAGCAGCCCCGTTGGAACGACTTTCACTGTGAAGGCTGGATTCAATGGATCCCTCGATGGATCGCGACCGGAAGATATGGCCACGATGAACATGTCATCCCTGGCCTCTGGCATTCCTGACAACATGTCTCCTCCCCAGACGCGCAGCACTCTTTCACACATGTCGCACAATTCGGCCTCCTTTACTCAACGACCCGTCCATTCCGCTCACCCCTCCTACTACTCCGACAACCACAGCATCGATGGCCGCTATGGCAACAACTCGATGGACCTCAGTGCGGGCTTCAACAAACTTCAGCTAAACGACAATGGATTCTCCGGTCAGGCTGGCCAGCGGCCCCTGTATGTTTCTCATGCATCCTTTGATGGTTCTCTGCCTCGGGGCAAGTTCCAGAACAACGATGATGCTAGCTACCAAGCTCTTGCGGGCTATGGGGCCGAAGGCGCGCAAGACCTGCACGTAGCATACCAGTCCCGTTCTCGTGGTGGAGAGACCGGTTCTATCTCTCCTTCCGACTACGCTCGCATGGACAGCCCGCTATACGCTGGAGTTGATGCTCAGTACCGCAACTCGGGTGGCCACATGTCTGACAATCAGGCAGCGGCTTTCGAGCGTCGCTTGCGCAACTTCCAAGATCAGGACTTTGTTCAGCCTTCGGGAAGTTCGTTCCAACGTATGCAGATGCCCCCCTCCTATGACTACCAAGGTTACCAGCAAGCTCGTTTGAATGCCCTCCAAGGATTCTATCCTATGGCTCAATTGGGCGGTCTCGGCGCAGCTGCTCTCGTGTCTCGCGCTCACCGTGAGCATGATCCAACTCAAGTCGTCCGCAGCCCTCTGTTGGAAGAATTCCGAGCCAACAGCAAGGGTAACAAGCGGTATGAGCTGAAGGATATCTACAACCACGTCGTTGAGTTCTCTGGCGATCAGCATGGTTCGCGCTTCATCCAGCAAAAGCTGGAGACCGCCAACAGTGATGAGAAGGAGCAGGTCTTCCGAGAGATCCAGCCCAACTGCTTGCAGCTCATGACCGATGTCTTCGGCAACTACGTTGTCCAGAAGCTCTTTGAGCATGGCAACCAAACCCAGAAGAAGATCCTCGCCAACCAGATGCGCGGACACGTTCTGGCCCTATCCACCCAGATGTATGGATGTCGTGTGGTTCAGAAGGCCCTCGAGCACATCCTCACGGATCAGCAGGCCGCTATGGTCAAGGAGCTGGAGAACCATGTTCTCAAGTGTGTGCGCGATCAGAATGGTAACCACGTTATCCAGAAGGCCATCGAGCGTGTGCCCTCCCAATATGTGCAGTTCATCATCAACGCCTTCCGAGGCCAGGTCAACCGTCTCGCTGCTCACCCCTATGGCTGCCGGGTCATCCAGCGCATGCTGGAGCACTGTGAGGAGGTCGACCGTGAATCCATCCTTGGTGAACTCCATGCATGCACTGCCAACCTCATCCCCGACCAGTTCGGCAACTACGTGATCCAGCACGTCATTGAGAATGGCGATGAGAAGGACCGCGACCGCATGATTGCCATCGTCATGTCGCAGCTTCTGGCTTACTCCAAGCACAAGTTTGCCAGTAATGTGGTTGAGAAGAGCATCGAGTTTGGCGACGAGAACCAGCGCCACAACATCATCTCTACCCTCACCTCCCCCAACGAGCGGGGTGAGAGCCCTCTGCTTGGCCTGATGCGTGACCAGTATGGAAATTATGTCATCCGTAAGTGTCTTCTCAGCCTTCCGGTGTCTATTCATACTAATCCCTGCACAGAGAAGGTCCTTGGCCAGCTGAAGGACGCAGAGCGTGAGGCCCTCATCGATCAGATTAAGCCTCTCCTGAGCCAGCTGAAAAAGTTCAGCTACGGCAAGCAGATTGTGGCAATCGAGAAGCTCATCTTTGACCCTAACTCTCCCGCCACTGGTCCTCTGCCTCACGCTACCTCCACCACACCCCCGAACTCCCACAAGTCCTCCCCGCAGCCCTCGAAGCGCACCATTCCCACCATGGAGCCGCCCCGGGCCTTTGTCGGCACTGCACCGCCCACCCCTCCCCCGACGGACAACCAGAGTACTGTCGACGGAACCCTGGAGTCCAAGGGCCTTGTTAAGAGCACCGTGACCTCGGTTTCTAGTCCCGAGACCGCCAACACCGTCCCGGTCGACGTCACCAGTGCTCACTAATTCGTTGCACACAACTTATTTGCTTGCCCACATAATCCGTTTTAATGCTGATTTCCACCGGGTGTCAATCCTGCTTTATCTAATAAGGGCGTATACATACAGGGGCAAGGGGGCCTCCGGTGTGATTTATGAAGTTATCACAGATGTCGTGTTTCCCATTTTTTCACAATCCATGGCTCACGGCGCAAGAAATAGGGGTGAACTTCGAATCTTTTTTTTCTTATTACTTCTTCTGCTCATGTGTTTGATCTCGGACCTGTCTCTTTTCTTTTCTGATTGTTCATTTTATTCTTACGATGGTGTGTTCTTATCTATTTCACCCCCCTCTCACCCCTCACCATTGTCAATGCTGTTCGCTACCGGTCCGAGAAATATTTTCTACTTGTGATTCGGCGTCTTATGTGTGTCTTTCTTCTTTTTTTTTTTTAACCGGTGCTGCTATAGGGGGATATCGATATCGGGGTACTCGCTCACGATCTGAGGCATATGACATGGGAGATTCGGACATGGAAATACGGGAGAGAATCTTTATTCTTGATTGCATCGCACGGCCCTTTGGTTATTCTGTTTTGTCCATTTTTAAACAAAAGATGCTGCGCATACCGGTGATGGCTGTTTTTTCTTTATCTTGCTGAGAGGTATACAGCTTGCAATGCTGTGTTGCTTGTGTCTGGCCTTTGAAATTGTGTTGATATCTTGCTTGTGGCTGTATTATCTTATCATCAATATTATGACAGCCGATAATTCTCATTATCTCGGTCAAATGGTGTGTGTAGATTTGAGCATTTTCGAGTACTCCCAAGGTAATTCATCCGTGATGGCATCACGTGACTGATAAGACTGACGAAAGGCGAACCTTGTATGAACTTCCGTCCTCCAACATTGCCTCGCTCGTCACTCTCCTAGTCCTCCAAGTGGACTCGAGCATATAAAGCTCATCTATCACACCACTACCGGCTCCACTCATCCCTCAAAGAGACTAAGAGAGCAAGAACCGACCTCCCCACCAACCTCAAAACCTCAACACCACACCCACCTCAAACCCAACATCCACTCTCCCTTACCATGTCCTCAAACGTGGGCCTCACCACCCCCCGCGGCAGCGGCACATCAGGCTACGTCCAACGCAACAGCGCATTCATAAAGCCCCGCGCCGCCGGCTACAGCGCACCATACCCACCCACCTCCTCATCCTTCAAGCAACGCATGCCCGACAAACAAATCCTGGAACACGACCGGATGCGCGCAATCGAAGTGCAAGTAATGGAAGAGCGCGAGCGGCTGGAAGAAGAGAACGAGCGGATCGAAGAAGAGGCCGCTGCGTCGAAAAAGTCCAAAAACGGAAAGAAATCCGATAAAGAGGAAGGAGAGGAGGAGGAGGAGGAGGAGGAGGAGGAGGAGGAGGAGGAGGAGGAGGAGGAGGAGGAGGAGGAGGAGGAGGAGGAGGAAGAAAAGGTTCTCACAGAGGAGGAGATTGATGAGCGCTGTGAAGTGTTACGACAGAAGTTGTTGAAGGAGTCTGAGGATGGGCAGAGGAAGATGGGGCCGCCTAAGAAAGGACGGAATCTGAAGAGTTACCAGGTCCATGAGCTTGCGGAGGCGAAGATTGAGGAGAGTGAGAGGTTGAGGAAAGCGCTTGGGATTAGGGAGGATCGGGATACGGGGGAGATTAGCAGTAGGAGAGGAGAGAGGAGACGGGATTAGTGTTTTGATGGTAAGGAGGGATTTTCTTTTCTTCCACGGTTTCGACTGAAAAGGGAGTTGGATGGCGTTTGCGACGGGATTACATTCTAGGGCAGTTTCTACTTTCAAAGGAATCCAGTGCATGTTGAACAAAAAACCATGAAAAAAATGGTATATCATTAACTCTATCTTCATGCCCAAAAATTAGGCTGGATATCATAATCTGATCTATACTCAGATTCATGCAACAAACTTCTCAATAACCCATCCCTCCCTGGGATCCTTCTTTTGTACAACCTTCTTCGCAGGCAAAGGCCACCCGGTCCCACCAGCATCACCCACAAGATTCGGAATAACCCAGCAAGACCTCCGCTGCGGAATACCCTCAAGCACCTCGGTCTTCCCAATCGGCTTCCCATACTCGATAAGCGGAGTATCATGCGCAATAGCAGCAAGTTGCAACCCACTGGGCGTGACAAGCGGGAACATCCTAATCTTGGGGGTTTGACCCGCGACCAGCGAAGACGACTGCTGCAAATGCGAGTAGATGATATACTGCGGCATCTCCTTAGGCGAGAGCTTGGAAAGGATGGAAGTCGGGTGCACGTAGACAGCGCGCTCGGAGAGTTCTTGGAGATTACCCTCGCGCGAGCGGAAGAGCGTGAAATAGGGGACGTCGATTGCGCGACGGGGCGCACGTTCTTGCTCGGGTGGGATTGGAGCGAGGTCTGCGCGGATGGCGACGTGGTCGATGAAACCGGCTGTGACGATTTGTTTGAGTGCTTTGACTTGTTTGGGGGTTGGCTCGGGGAGCTTGGCTTCGTAGGCTCCTATGAGGCCTGGGTTGTTGGAGCGAACGATGTCGGTGAGTTGGCGACGGAGTTGGGTGGCTTCTTTGAAGGCTTTCGCGCGGAAGAACATCCGCTCGCTGAAGGCATCGCCGTCTGGGGCGTAGGCGTAGGCGCAGATCGCAGAGAGGTATTTCAGGGCATCGGAGTTGTCGTCGTGCTTGCTGAGGAGGCGGTGGACACGAGCGTAGTCTTTGGAGCGTTGCTCGCGTTCGGTGTCCTCTAGTCTGTCTGCATTGGTGTATACCACTCTTTCGTCGTCGCTGGAGTCTGAGTCGTCCTTCTTTTGGGAAGGTTTTGGCTGAGGTGGGTTGAATTCGTTCTGATTGACGAAGAGATCACCGACGGCGAGGGCTGCGACGAGGGCAATGACATAGGGCATGCAGCCGTGCTGGTGGCCAATGTAGAGCATCTTGCCGAAACGGGGCGAGAGAGGGTATGTCGAGAGACGCCGACCAATCTGCGTGACTTGGCCTTCTCCAGAGAGAGCACCCAGGTTCTTGAGTAGTTTCTCCGCTTTGGCAAGGCCGTGACGGCTTGGAGGCGTCGGAAATGGGAAGTTGATCACGTTGTGCAGACCCATGCTCTTCATCTGGAGGACAACTCCTTCTATGGGAGTCCGCAGAATCTCCGGGTCGGTGTGCTCGGCGAAATCACCTTCGTAGACCGCAGAGGAATATAGGCGATAGCAATGGCCAGGTCCCGTACGACCGGCACGACCAGCACGCTGGTTCGCACTGGCTTTGCTAATCCAGCCAATCTGGAAGCTTTGAACACCCGTGAACAAGTCGAATTGTTTCTCCTTAGCTCGTCCGCAGTCAAAGACGTACTTGATACCGGGGATGGTGAGGGAGGTCTCGGCAACGTTGGTAGCCAGAATGATCAAACGAGAGTTCTCCGGCGGCGGTTCGAAGACCTTCATCTGTTCTTTTGTGGGCAGCTGCGAGTATAAAGGCAGGACATGGACACGCGTGGAAGCATCCACGGCATCTTCACCAAGGTCGAACCCGTCATCTTCATCTTCTGGCTCGTCTAGGCCAGTAATGTCCAAGTCGCTGTCATAGTCATCTGCATTATCATTCATCTCCGTACCTCCCAGCTCCATGTCCTCTGTTTCCAGGGGTGCATCATTGGCTGAAATTTCCACCCTGGCATTGGCAGTATCTCCCCGCTGAGTGGGCTTGAAAGTCTGCTTCAACTTCTTGGCGAGTTGTCGAATTTCATTTTGTCCGGTCAGGAAAACAAGCATTCCACCTGGTGGCAGTTTGCGGTGTCCACGAGACACCTTGCGGAAAGCTTCCTCGACGTAATCACGCTGTGTCCGTCGGGCGAAATGAACCGTAACAGGATATTGGCGACCTTCTGCTTGAACCAGCGGTGGCGGTCCCTGGCGGAACAAGCTTGCATTCTCAGTGAAGTCTGAGATACGGAGAGTAGCCGACATGATGACCACCTTCAAAGGCTTGACAGAGGAATCTTCCTTGCTCATCGACTTGCGCAGACTCACAATGCGGCTGACCATTCCAATTAGGATATCGGTATTCACGCTGCGCTCGTGCGCTTCATCAATGATAATGATCGAGTACTTGCGGAGGGCAAAGTCGTCCGCAATTTCGCGCAGAAGAATACCATCCGTCATAAACTTGATGGCAGTCTTCTTGGATGTGGTTGATTCGAAACGAATTTGGTACGACACTGAATCGGAGAATTGACCCAATTCCTGTGCCACACGGTTGGCCATACTCACGGCGGCAACTCGGCGAGGCTGAGTGACACCGATAAGGCCAGGGTTCGGACTGTCTGGGTTACCGAAGCCGGCTTCGAACAAGAACTGCGGGAGCTGGGTTGTCTTTCCGCTACCAGTTGCACCCCAGATGACGATTGTGTCGTTGTTGTAGATTGCTTCCATGATCTTTTGCTCCTCACCGACGACTGGGAGCCCCATTCTGGCAGCCTGGATTTCCTCTGAACGGTCCACCCCCACGCTGAATGCCTTGCGGAAGGGATTGCCCGTAGTTACCTGAAGCTCACGAGGAAGAGGCTCCTCTTCATAAACTTCATTTTTGGGTTCCTTCCTGGGAGGCGCAAATGCTTGTTGCTGGTGATCCCTGGAAGCTGGTCCCTCGGTCGGGTTGAAATCCGCAGCCTCATTGATCTGCTGTCTGGCCCAGGATTTGAACGCAGACTCTCTGGGCTTGATCTTGGCAGGGCCTTCTTCCTCTTCCGATTCTTCGTCTGAATCTTCGTCATCCTCATCAGAAGAACCCTCAGACGATGTCCCTTCAGAATCTTCATTTTCATCTTCAGAGCCGTCCTTGGCCTCGGCCTCTGAATCATCCGAGTCATTTCCTTCGTCCTTGTCGCTCGATTCCTCATCATCCGAGCCGAAGCCATCCCACGCCACCTCCTTCACCGGCGCAGGTGCCGTCTTACCGGCACGTTTCCGCTTTTTGATCACAGGGAATCCATCCGGTCCAAGTTCGAGCGGGCGTTTTAGACCACTTCCAACAGCGGGTTGGGGTTTCGGTGCCGGTACAGGATCTGTGGCAGGGTTGGAGGCCTTCAAGTCGGCGTCGGAATCGTCGCTGTCGTCTCCGAGGTCCTGGTTGGGTGTGTTCTTCGTCGGTGTTGGAACGACGACCGGGACAGGAACACCTTCGTCCTCCCTCCTTCGTTTACCCAAGTCTCTCGAACTGTGTAAATAGGAGGTATCGACTTTGGCTTGGGCGAGCTTCTTCAGCAGTTCGACGTTTTCTTCTTTCCTCAATTTGTTCTCCTGCACAGAATGTTAGTTTCCGGTCTTAAGCCAAGTTGAAAGTTCCCACGCACAATGTACTTATCGAGGCGCTTCTGCTTCTTTGATGAAACATTAGAATGCTGGTCTCGAAGTTCCTCACGCAGCTTCTGTCTCTTCGCCTCTTTCTCATCTTTGGAGACGGGTGCTAGTTCCGCGACATTGGTGTCCACGGAAGCAGCATTCCCCTGCTGCCGGTGCTTTTGCTTTCGCTGGCGGGGAACAAACTTCTTCATCTTGACCGATCCCGGCTCAGGACAAGATACAAATCAAGTAAAGTGCATTTGTATGGTCGCAGTTTGTACGCGGGGAAAAAAATCGAGGAAACTCCAGAGGCGGTGAGATATTGCCAACGCAGCAGTGGGGAGGATCTGACCGCCTTTCGGGGAAAGCATCAACAACCGCCCGCATCGAACGGAACCTCAAACACACGCATCATGGAAACTCTTGATAATCTGTTGAATGGCACCCTAGACCTTCCATACCCAGCTGCTACAAAGCAAGTGGCTGGGCTGGTCAATGGTGTCAAGACAGACGTCATGGTCATGAAATTCTCCGACAAGATCATGGTGACTATCTCGCAGGAAGGACGACTCGCTCACTGGGTTTGTCATGACCATCAGCTGCGTCCTTTCACAATTGCTGACTGCCAAATAGCTGCATGTACCGATGGAAAACCAGAACCCAGGCACTGAAGGCGCGCACACTTTCTCCGAAGACGGAGAGGACAGTCTTCTACCCCTCAGCGGACTGACAGCGACTTCACTTCTGGGTGGTTACGCTTCTGGCCAGGACACGATTGGTCAGCTGCTCGCTCGACAAATTGCAAACTCCATCGCTATCAAATCGCCAAACGAGAAAAGACTGCTTGTCGTTGGCTTGGGGCTTCGTCCTATCGGTACTGATCGAGATGCTTTCTTTGCTATCAATGATCTTGCCTTGCAATGCATTTGATCTTTGACATGAGAGTTTGTGTCTCCATTGAGAAAATGGACCGGGCGCTCATCGTGATCAATTGTAACCAGCATATTGTGAACCATGAAGCGCCAATAACTGTCAACTGGTAGCCCCTCAAGAGTGCGACTTCGACACGATGCCAACTGCCAGCATCCGTTTTCTGATCGGCCATACGGTCAGGCTGTTCAATGCCTAGTCGGAAGGGCACCATATGACAATGACTGAGAGCGAAGTAATCGACAATGACGCCACTGTGAAATTTGTCCCTTACACTACAGAGAAGCCATGTGCTCACGGGCTTGAAATCAGAACGTATCCCATTACTCGACCAGAATGAGCCCGCGCTCATGTATACAGGGCACGGGAACCAGCTATGTCAAGCGCAACAAACCGACCGAGTACTGATGCATTTTGTCCTCAATATTGGACTGGCGGCTTCTTTTTTTTTTTTTTTTTAAAAAAAAAACCAAAAAAACAAAAAACCTGATTATGTGTAATGATCAATGGCTATTCCAAATGAATTTTATGTCTTTTATGACTTGTGATTACAACTTCAGTGACAGTAGATCTTTGCAAGGATAGGAAACCAATCCCCTACCGCAGGTCACATTGAAAATGCCTTACAAGAAATCACACGTTGAACAGATCCTTGTTCGCAGCCACCCATTCCTCAAAACCAGTAGGAGGTGTTCCCGTATAAAGCTGCACGTTCTTAATACCCTCCTCGTAATGCGAACGCGCAATCCTTGTATCGTCATTTCCAAATCTCCGAATCATATACTCCCCCATCGGCTTAGGCACACCAGAACTGAGATACTGCTCAAGAGCCTCTTGGGCATTGATACTTGTAATGTTGACATTCTTGCCCAAAATCTTCGCAATAGTCTGAATAGCGTCTGACATCGAGAGCATCTGGGGGCCATAGAGATAGACCTTACGCTGCCCATTCTTCGGTCCTTGCGCAAGAATGATTCCACTGACACGACCCATATCAACAGGCGTGATGCAATCGAGCTTGGAATTCGGCGTGTGGAGTTTCACCTCACCAGCTGCGATACCGCTCTTATAGCGCAGTATGTTTGTGACGAAACTTCCAGGACGCACGGCGACGTAGTTTTCAGGGCCGAAGACCTCGTCGAGATTTAGTTCCACTTGGGCGTGGCGGTAAGGGATGAGATCGTGGGGTTCGACATCCTTGAGCTCCCCAGAGATGGTGTAGCTGCTCAGGAAAACGACGAATTTAATACCGGAGGATTTAAGGGCGACAAGAGCGGACTTCATATTGTCTGGAGAGCCGAAGGCAGCATAGATGAAGGCTCGTTTAGCTCCGGATGTCTTGACGGCTGCGGCGACAGAGTCGGCGTCTGTTAGATCGGCTTGAACTCTTTCAAAGCCGCCTGCTTGTTCTTGCTGTGAGCTTAGACCGGGAATGGCCTTCTTCGGGTCTCGCATTGCCAGGACGACCTTAACCCCATGCTCTTGGGCAGTCCTTGCAGCGACGGAACCGATATTGCCAGTAGGCCCAAATACAATAACAGTCGACATGACGTGGAATATGGAATTAAATGACAATACTTTGAGAAGATGAAAGATGTTGTTCAAAATGGTTTATATGGACGGGGGGAGCTTTTTATCTTGATGTTGTGAGAGCTCGAACCTCTCGGGATTTCGCTAACTCCGGGTCCGTGTCCGAACCAACCTTAATACTCTACATTACGCAGCCGATAATATCTGACTGTCAAATCCTAGTACGTACAGTTTAATATCCCAGCATTAGAGCATCTGTATATTGTATACTGTATATTATGAAGACGGGGCCGATGTGAGACAAACAAAAAGGATGCTCGAATCAATCTATGAAGTCTCGCCATCGTCAGATAACCTTGGAGAACATCATGTCAAACCAGTTGACAAGGGTTATTCAAAAGATCAATTGGAGACCGAACTGGAATGCGTCAGGTTTTCTATCTAGTCAATATTTTAACTTTTGAAAAACATCCAGGTTATTCCGTAGTTCCGCTTTCGTGATAATTTCATCAGTCATATATGCCGCGAACTTTCCCTTCCCTATGTTTAATTATATCACTCTGATACTACAATATGAAACGCATAATTTCCGGCTCTGGTTGTGGTTCTGGTCAATGTCATGGCATCTCTACACAAATTGAGTGCGATGTAGATTGAGGTCATGTGACCTGACATCAACTTGATAGGGGTGGATCATCAACAACATCGTCGGATTACCGACGACGGCATAAAGTATCCCATAAAACCATCGGGGTCTGTTGTCCTGAGTTTGATCTCCATGTAAGCGGTTTTAGTGCCCCGCTTTCCCAATCAGGTGGCACCGCGCGACGTGGGATGAGCATTCACTTTTCTGAATCATTTCATCCTCTTGATCCTAACGATCACCCATCAACCGCTCCACCACCTTTCTAGACTACTGGAAGTCTGTTCATAAACAAGCAGTCTCAACATGGAGCTGTCCGACATGGACGACGCCATGCTGAGGGCGGCTATCGAAGCATCATTGCGTGATGCGCAAACCAGCGACGAGCAAGCCCACGGCACCCAGAGTGCAACTGCAGAGGCTTCATCTTACACCGCCCAGAACCAGGTAGTTGACCTGACCCATGATTCCGACAATAATTCCGACATTCAGGAGGTATTCCCCAAGTCGAAGTCATTTGTTGGTTCTGATACCGACGAGTCGGATGCGCCCACCAATGAAGCTGTCGAGAGACGCGTCCACGAGGCCGACACCATCAAGAATGCCGGAGAGGGATCCATGGAGCGCGCCCGCCAGGATGATGAGGCGGCGGAGGAGGACGAAGAACTCCGTCTTGCAATCGCCATGTCCATGGAGGGACTCAACCATCATGGCGACCCTGAATCTCCAACTCTTGCGGAAAATGCGACTCAGAAATCCACTGAGAAGCCCACTGAGAAGCCCACTGGAAATCCCCAGCAGCCTCAGGGCGTCTTGGGAATGGATCGGAAGCACATGGAACAGGAGCGTCTCGCCCGCCAGGCTAAGCGCAAGGCTGGCGACTCTTTTTCTAAGAACATTGGTTTGGAAAAGGACCAAGCTAATGAATCCGCATCTTTGATCCATCAGCCTCCGCCCAAGTTACGCAAGACTAATCCAATTCGCTCATCTGAGAGTGGGGACCCCTCGCCCTTCTCGCGGTCCTCCTCGCGGGCTGTACCTGGCCCGGATATCTGCGATCGACCGGATACCAATCACCCTGGCTGCAAAGCCAAGCCAGTCGCACGACCAGTGCCGCAATTTCCTCTCGGGGCCGTCAAGAAGACATCCATCAGCAACGCCCCCCGTTCCAATGACGATATCACCATCGAGGAGGTGCTTCAGCGAGGCGACCTGGAGCTAGCAGTGCTCAGCTCATTCCTGTGGGATATGGAGTGGCTTTTCACTAAGATGGACACTGTCAGCACGCGCTTCATCTTGATGATGCATGCCAAAGAGAAACGCATGGTAAGCGAGGACCCTGTCCCTCTGCACAACATGTTGTGGCCCAGGGATTCTGACATTCCGCCGCACTTCAAGCAAATTCAGTATCAGGAAGAGACTGCGTCGATGACGAACCTGCGCTTGTGCTTCCCACCCATGGACGGAAATATCAACTGCATGCACTCGAAGCTTATGCTGCTGTTCCACCCTGGTTATTTGCGCATCGCTATCCCGACTGCCAATCTCACTGCGACTGATTGGGGTGAGAACAATCTGATGGAGAATGTGAGTAAATTTGAGATCCGTATGATGCCTCCCTTATTGACAAGAGAGCAGACGGTATTCCTGATCGATCTGCCGAAGAAGGGTACTCAGCCGGGCTTCTGTGAAGACTCGAAGACCCCGTTCTACGAAGAGCTGGTCTATTTTCTAAAGGCGACCACACTGAATGAGAAAATCATACAAAAAATGGATAATTTCGATTTCAGCAAGACTGCTCGTTACGCGTTCGTCCACACCATGTAAGTATTGGCATTATTTCAAGACAGGGAGAGTCATTGATCTCATATTCCACAGCGGCGGACCTCACAACGACGAGTCGGCATGGCGACGCACTGGCTACCCTGGTCTCGGTCGTGCTGTGACCAACCTCGGTCTCCGGACGACTGCGCCTGTCAACCTTGAATATGTGGTACGTAAATACACCAAGGACCACAACCGTTATCGACTCTAACCAAAACAGACATCTTCCATCGGTTCGCTGAACGATAACTTTGTGCGTGCCATCCACTACGCCTGCAAGGGTAAGTTCCCCCCATCCCCAAATCTCTCAAAACAAAGCTAACACAAGTTATAGGTGACGACGGTCTCACCGAATACATCCTCCGCAATGACAAGAACCCCTTCATGGCACAAACCGATGACCCCAACCGGAGCCTCATGCTCAAGGCTCCCGCCGAATGGAAGAAGCGTCTTCGCGTGTATTTTCCGTCCGATTTGACGGTGCGGGCTGCTCATTCGCACCCCGAGGAGACCGCAGGAACAATCTGCTTCCAGAAGAAATGGTACAACGACAATCACTTCCCCAGAGACATCCTCCGGGACTGCGAAAGCGAGAGAGGAGTATTGATGCACAACAAGGTACGCTCACCGGATTGAAACCTTGTTGAATGAACCGCTTACTAACTCCTTCCAGCTCATGTTCATTTGGCCCCAACAGGCCGTCATCCTCCGTGACAGCACCAAGTGCACCGCCTGGGTGTACGTCGGCAGTGCCAATTTTTCCGAGAGCGCCTGGTAAACCTCCCTCTCCCACACATAACCCTCTAATCAGAACTAACACATAACAGGGGCCGTCTCGTAAAAGACCGCGCAACCAAAGAACCTCGCTTGAACTGTCGCAACTGGGAATGCGGCGTCATCGTCCCCATCACCAGCCCCTACAACCCCGCCGACGACACTCCCCATGTCGACACAACTGGAATGGAGGGCCGTGAACAACTCACCGTCATCCGCGAGCGCGAGAAGAGCGCACAGGAGAAAGAAAAGTTCCCAGTTGCCGATATCAACTCCTTCGTCCCGGTTCCGATGAAGATGCCCGCTAAGACCTACGATGAGAAGCCTGGTGTTTCTCAATCTGGTCTCCCTCTCCGTCCTGATGGTTCCCCTCATACTGAGTACATTAGTCAACGACGGGAGAAGCGGGAGCCATGGTTCTTCATGGGTTAGTTCAAGCTAGACGAAAGTGGTGTTGCATCATGGCCTTTATGATCTCTTTTCTGATGAGTGATGCGGGGTTTTGATACCAAAGGGTGGAAATAACGAAATACAAAAACACTTGTACGATTAATAAAACTTGGGAAATTTTCGGTAGATCTTTTTCGAGATCTCAAGAAGACATGTATGTACTTTTAGGCGCACTCTAATCTAGAGTAGATGATCTATGCTTTCGCGCCGTCAGGAAACGAAAACAAGCCAAAAACCGTAAGAGACCTTTGAGCCAGGCTCCACACAAACGCCATATGTAAATGCAAATTAAATAGGCCATTGTTCACCCAATATAAACAGGTAGATGAACACGCAGAGGAATAGGAAATGGGTAAAAGAAAGGAAATGGGTAAAAGAAAGGAAATGGGTAAAAGAAAGGAAATGGGTAAAAGAAAGGAAATGGGTAAAAGAAAGGAAATGGGTAAAAGAAAGGAAATGGGTAAAAGAAAGGAAATGGGTAAAAGAAAGGAAATGGGTAAAAGAAAGGAAATGGGTAAGACCGCGAGAGATCATTGCTCTGCCGCCTTCTTCTGGAATGGCTTCTTGATAGCATCAACGATCATACCACCCAGTCCGAACACATAACCCAGACCGAAGCCCCAGCCACGGACACGGACAGTGTAGATGAAGAAGTAGACAAGTGCCCAGTTGATGATGACAAAGGCGAGGAAAATACCGAAGCAGCGCCATTTGTCACCGGCGTGGACGTTCAGGTTGGCCATGTACTCTGAGCCAGTGGAGTAAGGGCAGTACTCGCAGTTCTGAGTGGCATTAGGATCATTCAGGTATCCAACGCCGGCGAGATTCTGAACAAAGTTGCCGGCGTATTCGCCACAAGTCTTTCCAGGGGGCGGATTGAAGCGCGTGTACTCCTCTGCGGCGCACCGGATTTGCACGGAGGGAAGGACGGAGGATAGAACACCGCGCAGCCACCAGGTGACGGGGTTGACGTAATACATCCAGTACTTCCAGAAAACGGGGTAATCTGCGTAGGGGCGAACGATACCGTTGAACAAGTTGATCATGACGAAGAAGAAGGGTAGCACGTTGGAGATGACGGTGAATGAGGGAGCGAAAGCGCAGATCCATTGGCCCCAGGAGGCTTGGAAGAGGAAGAAGAGCATCGACATGAGGAAGACGTAGCCTGCTGACGAGGAGTCGGTGGGCAGACCCACGGGGTAGTACCACAGCAGCCAGTAGACGAGACCGGTGATGATGGCGGCGGGGATTTCACAGACGACGTTGGCCGTGCAGAAGGCGACCCAGCCGTAGATACGGGATGGGTATTCACGGGCTTCCCATAGGGCGCGGTTGATGTAGAACTTGGGTACGACAGAGTTCAGGACGATCGGCGGGATCAGGATGATCACGAAGCATGAGAACATGCGGTCTTGCATGCTTGCCACGGTGTTCGGCAGCATCCAGAAGGTGAAGCCGTTGAAGATACCGATGATCACGCTGACGAATAGTTTGCCGTAGTAGTATGAGGGATCGCGCCAGTACTGCGTGAACAGACGCTTGGTGAGAAGTTCGATCTGGATTGCGGTGGGAGCGGCGAACTCGTATGTTGAGCTACCGCTATCCTCGATGGGTATCTTGCTGCGCTCGGTCCTGATGCGCTCGATCTCTTCCAGCATCTCGCGGTTCTGTTGCGAAGAGCGCCATTCCTCGTTCCAGTCGACCTTCTTGCCGTCGCGTTCGGTGGCCTTGGCGGCGGTTTCCAGGATGAACTCGGCGACATTCTTGTTCGGCGGGCAGACGAAGCCACGATCGGCGAAGTACTTGATCACGGCGGCACCCTCCATGCCCACGGGTCCGAAGTAGAACGTGTTACCACCGGGGTTGAGGGCCAGGATCATGTCGAACTGCTGGATGAGCATGGACGAGGGCTGGTGGATGGTACACACGATAGCCTGGCCAGCCTGAGACAGCTTCTTCAGGAATCGGACAATGGAGAAAGCAGCTTGACTATCCAGACCACTGGTGGGCTCATCAAGGAACAGAAGCAGGGAAGGCTTGGCGGCCAGTTCGACACCAATAGTTACACGCTTCTTCTGCTCAACGTTAAGGGACCCGATGATGGCATCCTGTATTTCCTCGAGCTCCAAAAGGTCGATAATCCGGTTGACGTAGTCGATCTTTTCCTGGCGGGGAGTGCTGCGGTCTTGACGAAGGATAGCTGAGAACTCGAAAGCTTCGCGGATGGTCGAGGTATTGTCGTGCAGGTCCATTTGTTCACAGAAACCAGTGCCACGCTGGAAGTCGGCTCCCAGAGGGTGACCATCCACAAGCATATCGCCCTTGACGACACCCATCTTCTGGCGCTGGGCCAAAGTGTTAAGCAAAGTAGTCTTACCAGCACCAGAGGCACCCATAAGAGCAATCATAACACCAGGCTTGGCGAATCCATTGACCTTGTTCAGCAGCTTTCGAGTTCCATTGCCATAGGGGACAGTGTACTCGACGTCGGACCAGGTGAAGCACCGCTCGCTGGACGACAGCCGGTTGAAAGCAGCGTCGTCTCCGGAAGAGGGCGATTCGCCGCGAGCACGAGCGGCATCATCGTTCAGGTCGGCGACCTTCTCCTCATCATTCTCCTTGCCGGTCTGGGCAGTGATTTTCTTAGCACGCTTGGACTTCTTGAAGACCAAGGCGCCGCCACCGCCGCCAACAAATGAGAGGAACTCGGCGGCCCATATGGTGACCAGAATATACAGCACAGTGAAAGCAATGACGACACCAAAGTTGCGCCATAGGTGGTGACGGGTGAATTGGAAGTTCACCGATAGATACTGAGCGCCAGGGACCGTTTTCTGCCCCAGGGAAGAACCAGTCAAGGCACAACCCTGGTAGTTGGGATCAACGCCGGGCCCCTGGGGGACAAGCTGCGAGGGAGCACACTGCATGGTACGACCAGCGAATTCGTTAGACAAGACGGCCTCATAACTATATGAGATCGGGTTGACGTAGAATAGCCATCCGAACCAGATAGATTCGCCGATCAAAGTCTGCTTGGGAATCACATAGCCGACGAAGAGAATCAACAGGTTCAGAGCGATACCAGCGAATCGCACCGCGTCATCGATAGTTGGCGACAGAGCGGCAAACATGCGGTACATCGATGTGATACAGAAAGTCGTCGTGTACACGAACAGGAAATAGATGAAGAACTTGGAAACAGTCACATCCAAACCAGTCATAAAGTAGACGATAATCGTAAAGGGAACAACCATGCAGAAAATAGCCGGGAAATCAACGACCACACGAGCGATTGACACAGCAGATGGACGGTAGAAAGCGTAATCCTTGTGCCGGGCCACGATGCCTCTGCCAGTGACAGCGGGCATCAGCTCGGTCAATTGCAGCCAGCCAAGGAATAGAATAGAGAAGAACAGGGCACCGCTACGCGAGAAGGCGCCGCTGGTATTCAGAGACTCTCCATAGAAGAGAGAAGCGACGATGAGACCATTGGAGATGATAATGAAGTATTTGGTGTAGAGAGAGGTCTTGTCGCCCCACAGCAGCCAGAACTCGCGCTTGACACAAGCTGCAACCTGACGGACGAGGGAAACAGTGTAAGGCGACTTTTTCGAGACGGTCTTACTCTTAGACTGGGCGACTGTCTTCTGGAAACGGCGGGTATCCTCCAACTGTGTTTCCTCGAGGCGCTTCTCGTAGTTGCTGAGATCATTGCAGATGTACTTGTAGGTGTCGCTGTTCTTGAACAACCGCTCGAGCTCCTCAGCAGTCTTGGGGGTCGAGGCCTCACGGCCGGGCTGGAACTGGCGGGCGTTGGGGTCGCATAGCGAAGTCAGGAAGTCAGCGGTGGTCGACTGCTCCGAGCAGTGGAATCCAAGGTCGATGAAGTACTGTCGGGCTTCGTTGGCCGGACCCTGGTAAAGCATACGGCCCTGGTCGATGACCATCACCTTATCCATGAGCTCGTAAATGCTCTCACCAGCCTGGTACAGAGTGACCAGGGTGGTTCGCTTGCTGACGTCGGTCATGATACGCAAAGACTTGGCGTAGTCGAGAGCAGTGCTTGCATCCAGACCGCGGGTCGAGTTATCCCAGCAAACAACCGACGACTTGGTAGCCAGAGTCTCGGCGATACTAACACGCTTCCGCTCACCACCAGAGACACCGCGGACATACTCGTTACCAACCAGAGTGTTTTTGGTGTGGCTAATGCCGAACATCTTCAGCAGCGCATCAATGATGACGGGGATGCTGTCGCGATCATGCTTGCGAGTCTTGTTGATCAGCGAGAATTTGAGCGTTTGCCAGACCGTGAGCGACGGGAAATGCTGGTCGTCCTCGGGGTTATAGTTCACTTCGCCACGGAAGTGCTTGTGCTGGTCCTGTGCCGAGAGACCACCATAGCTGACATCACCAGTGACGGCCGCGAAGGAAGCGCGGTCGTTTGAGATTGCCTTGAGGAAGGTGGTACATCCGGCACCGGGGCGGCCTAGCACCAACATCATCTCGCCCTCACGTACAGCACCGTTGAAATCATTGATGAGGTTCCGAACGGGAGGCTTCTTCCCCCACGCGCCTGCGGCACGAATCGACAGATGAGGTTATACAGATCCGGGCCAAAGGTGCCGACAACAGCGTGCGGCAAAGTCCGCACGAATGAAGCACCAGTCTCAATACCCTGAACAGTCAGGTTCTTAAAGACGACACCAACCTTCTTTGCCGGCTCGCCGGCGGTCGTTCGGCGCTCCAGATGACCGCCAAGGAGGAATTCGGCCAGGTCGAAGCCCGTGTCCTCAGTATCGGTCGACTCCTCGTCTAGGGCCTTCTCTTCATCCTTGCGACTGGCGCGGGACTTCAGGCGACGCGCACTCTTGGGGGCGGTGGAGCGGGTGCGGTGCAAGCTGAGGCGGGTCAACTCGCGGCGCATTTCCTCCAAATCTTCCATAGCACCGCGGCGGGAGACGGGCTCGCCCGCCTCCTTCTCGCCCCAACGGCCCTCGACGCTGTCATGAGAACTAGAATTAGAAGAGCTGGTGGAGATCGGGTCTAGGGCCTCGGTCTGGCGATTGATCTCCTCGGTGGTGGCGACGTCATCATGGTTGTTGGTGAAGGTATCGACGTGAGCGTGTCCATTGGTCTCTTGACCAGACACTCCGGATTGAACATTGGAAGGTTCGGTGTGAAATTCATTGTGGTGACTACTGGTAGTTGTAGTATAAGCCGAGAATTCCTGGCGGGAAGACATGTTCTCGGCCTGTGCCTCGAATGCGCGATGGTCGGCATCCATCTCGCCGGCGATAGGGTTTACTCAAGCAAATGCAGACAGAGAGATTTCGTATTGGGAGGGTATATACAGGAGGACAAAAAGGAAAAAAAAAGAGCGGAGAGTGTTCACAAATTAAGGATAGGAGGGTAGCGTTTAACCATTTAATAGAGAAATTCTAGCAAACGCTTAACTCCGAGACCCATTTGGATTTGTCAGTTTACCATTCAAGATCCAATTAACGGGCACCGCATTCGTCAGGGAAAAGAGAGCTTCGGTGGGTCGCATGAGTCAGGTTGATTCATTGCGGGCCAACCCGCGTCAGAGATTTCGTCGGAGATATTGCCGGCGTTTAGCCGATCCCCAGCAAGCGGAATATCGGATTCCTATCGACCCGCGACCGCCTCTCGGCGACCGCGCCATGCTTCTCACATTCGATTGCGAGTGGCCAATTGAGGTTTTGTGGACCCCTAATCGACGAGGAATCTATATTCCGGATGCAGAAACGAGGCCCATGAGTAATGCAGTAATGCCCCACTCGGTTCGGCCCCACCTCGTTCTGCCTGATTCAAGTCCGCCGACAATTTCTTGCTGATATCTCCGGATACCCTTTCATAAATCCCTTATTACCACACCGCTCGGCATTGGCGGGCGCTGACATATATCCGATGAACTCTTGCTAATCAAGACCCACAGGAATGTTTTGTTCATCATGAAATCATCCTTGCCCGTTTTGAATCAGAAATAAACTAAGCTTGCTTAGAATACCGGTATCCCGTATCTCAATTAGGCCAAGATGGCCATCTCTATAACAACAACGAGGTGTAATGCACGTTCTACCAGACTATAATTGAATGATCCATCCATTCATCCACCCATCCATCTATCCATCAATACTAAAAAGTAAACCCAATGGAAAATAGATCTAAATATAAGACTCTCAGATCTCGTTAGGCTTGGGTAGCCGCCACTCTCCGGAAACAGTAAAGTTTTCGAAAACGCTCGGAAATAAACAAAAGTCCCAGGCCCAGCCCGATCCATGCAACTGCCGAACCGCTCGGGAGGATCATGCCGATGGGTCTCATCCACGCCATCGGTCCAGGATCACCCCCGTAGATCGCGCCACCTAGTACACGTTTTCGGGCTGTTTTCAATCGCCCATATCACATGGCCCCCTTGCAGAATGCAGAATGCAGAGTGCATCGGGCATCTATCCGAAACGACCGTCAAAACGGCTAAATTACTTACTTTCACGAGCACACAATAACTTCTAGTACGCAAAGGAGGTCACAGTGCTTTACAGGGATTCGGAGCCCGAGGGTCCCAGCTCGTAGTCCGAGCGCGATTTTAGGGCTTCGCTTCGCTGCCGCCTGGCGATCCACATTCTGTACTTCTTTTCGCCGCGTTGCAGGCATGCCGAATCGGATGAGTAAACCCGCCACGAGGTGCCTACATCAGTCGGTCATCGCAGAAAAGGAAAGCACAACACTTCAAGCAATGAAAGACAAACATTTGAATAACGCAATATACCTGGTCACATGTTGGCCAAAAGTACAAGCTCTCTACACCGAGCAAAAGTACAAGCTCTCTACACCGATGGACTTGGATTCAAGTTAACGATGGTTTGCAAGATCATCTCATCCAGCGCTGATGCTGATTCTTATCCTTTCAAATACGAGATCATCGAATACTGGTTAGAAGATCACTCATTAGGTTAACTACATTCTTTCTTCTACACCTAAGTTTCACAGTGTTATCAGTACATCTCTAATACTCTCTTCAATTTTCTCACTCGACATGCGTATTTTCTGACGCGCACATCGAGGATCACCAGATTGCGAATGATCTACATAAGCAACGGTGGTGACTATCATGGCTCGTCTCTGTCATATACTGTCCTTTTTCGAATCATTTGTACAAAATAGTATTTTTTTAAAAAATAAGAACTAGAAAAGCTCGACTGTGCATCCAAAAATGTGTGCCAGCCTCACTATGTCGAGGCAATTGACTGTGTACACCAAGGTAGAGCCATTCGAAAATTGAGCTCCCCCTACAATTATTAGCGCAAGGACCCTGATCCGAAGTCCAAGGACTGCTCTAGGGCTTTCGCTTTGCTGCCGCCTGTGCGATCCGCTTCTGCACTTCCTCTTTGGAGAGAATCTTTACTGCGTTTTTGGAGAAGACGTAGCTCAGGCCGGACCAGATGGTTGTGCCCGCCACAAGGTACCTGCGCGAGTCAGTTATTGTGGAACAAAAGAAAAAGAGAGAGAAAAAAAAAGGCAGAACCGGCCGCAATGAGTACAAAGAAAAAAAAAACCAAAAAAAAAAAAAAAAACATACAACAGCAGGGATTCGCTGGTGGTCACCCACCCAACTACTAACCTGCCGGCGTGTGGCTTAAGTACGGCTGAGCGGACGGGAAGCCCTGTTCTCCACACCCTATGGTCGTATGTACTAGAATCACCATTGAAAAGACTCAAGGCGGCCCAGGGTATATAGTACGTCCCATGCAAAAAAAGAAAAGAAAAGAAAAAAGCAACAGCAGGAAAAAAAATCACTTACTGGAATCCAGTCATGGCCTCGCTCAAATGCCAGGCACTGATGATCGTCTCAGGAACAACGGGCAGGGCGATCGCACTGCCAACCAGCACCAGCTGGAGGGCCGTATTGATCTTCGAGATCTCAGTCGGCTTGACCTCAGCCGACGGGAGAGAAAAGTCCCAGTACCGAGCCATAGTCTTGGGCGGTGGAAGCGAGATCCATCGATAATAGATAGCCGAGATAGCTAGACCGACATCTCGACCGAGGATAATAACGGCAAGCCACACTAAACCCCGTCAGACATTTACGCATATTGGCATGCGTCAACATTTAGGTACTTACCGGGAAGGGATCCGTTCACTGCCAAACACGCCACTCCGATCGTCATCAACAGCTTGTCGGCCATCGGGTCGATGATGGTTCCCACGACCGTCTGCAGCTGGTATTTTCGGGCAATCCAGCCATCGACCAAGTCAGTGATACCTGCATATGCGAACAGGGACAGTGCCGCGGCATGATAGTTGTGTACGAGTAGGTAACCCACAGCAGGTGCAGCCACGAGACGGGAGAAGGTCAGAATGTTGGGGACGGTGTAAATGTTCTCATGGCTTGACTTAAGGGGGATTTTGGAAAGAATGCGTTTTGTAGCAGTGGCCAGTCTATAGCCATTAGCGTCCAGTGTTCCGATTGAGGAGAACATGCGAGGCTTACTTTTTGGAGTCCGATTCTTTGGGCTCCTTGGGGTCTTCGGGCGCCTTTGACGTTGACCATCTCTTGATGAGCAAAGATGTTCTTGAAGATGGAGTCTGGGAGCTCCGGGTTCTTGTTTGATTGAAGCTTAAGTTAGACCGGATGGAATCGGCACATTCTGGACAACATACCTGGTGGGTAGCCGGGTCAGGCCCGATGATTGTGTCCAAATGCATCGGGGGCGAGACGTGTCTCGAATGCACAAGGCTCCATGTTGCTGGAGCGAAAGGCGCGTGCTGCCCCGGAGTCCGTGGGATCCCCGGGTTGCCCGAAATGGCAATAGTCGAGCTGCAAGCATAGTGACGCAGAAGAAAAAGGATAATACAAGTCTTGTTCAGTTGTAATATTACACAGAGTCGGTGTGAAAATGAGTGGCTTGGGTCAAATCGATGACAGAAGATCAACACATTCCCCGTTGGAGGGTCTTGGAGCCCGACTCAGCCGACAACGCAGCCACCGAGGAGGAAGCGTAATGACCTGGTTTGGTCTTGGCAGTCCCCGAGGAAAAAGCAATGCAGTCAGCAAGATCCGATGACTTGAAATAAGACTGCGATAAACATCGAAATCTTATATAGTACAGATAAGGTGCTGCGACCGGGCATTAGTGGGATTGCGATGAATGAATCGAATTAATTAAGGGAAATCAAACCTTCCGACCAAGACCAAAGCCGCAGACCGTGTAATAGCAAAGCCGAGCCCAAGATGAACTCGTGAGACGGCGAGGAGCGGATGATTTCAAGGCTTCGGATTAATGATTGCTCCGTTTCCGTCCCCGGACGTACCACATCGCCGATCAACATCTAACTTCATCATCGACGACATCTCTGTCCGAAGAACATCATTTCTTGATTTTGGAGCTAAAATGTGTTTCACTAACTACAGATGCAGCTGTCCTTCATTAATATGAGTCACCCTGGCCGTCCACCACCACATATCCACCTGACAGCCGCATACACATGACTATCCGCCTGATAGCTGGCGTCATCAGCATGGTCGGCCAGAGTCATAGATTTTTCGCCATTCACCACTAATTCTCAGCTTTCTATTTACTTGCACAGAAATGCGGCTACAAATCTAAGGACCGCGAAGATTGCAGAAAATCCAGATGGAGAGCAAACGACGACGGGGTTTAATAGGGGACAAGAGATGTTGTTCCAGCGTTGCCTGTCCACGATGGGTGTATTATCACCGGCCAAAAATGATTCCAACTCAACTGAACCTCGTCGTAACCCACCCACCCAACCACCCACTGGCGACGAGACGCACAAGCACAAGGAATCCCACGACCCAAACATGGACAACCCCCGGTTGCTTGTCAATCGGGCGTGCGTCTACGAGCGGCATCTTCCCGGAGATGCGTACATCACCGCGCATGTGTCGCGTCTTCAGCATGGCTACTGGGATAGCCCGGCCGTGTCCGACACCTACGCGGAGCATGTTGATTTTTTAGCCCTGAGCTTCGTTTTCCACTCGGCGCACACTCTGGCGCACCGCTTTAAGTCTGCCACTGTCCGCGCTGTCGTCCAGATCAGCTCTGAGCATTCCAAGCCTGCATCCAATAACGGAAGTTCACCCGGAAACCCGCACTTTCTGATGCACGCACCGCATCTCGTCTACGGCACCATCTCTCCAGAGACAATGGAGTGGTCCTTCAGCTTGGCCGGCTCCCTTGGTGTCTCTGAACCTCCAGTCAGCGCCAGTCTTATCCCATCTGGCAGTCTCAACGGCCAGTACCGCCGTTACGAGATGATGCGTATCCAAGGCTCGTCCCGCACATTTAGGAGCCCCAAGGGCCCTGCCTTTGATGTCGAGGCTGGCGAGATCTTCTGGTCCCTCGAGGAGAACAACCTGCAGCGCTCTGGCCTCCCTCGCGAGTTCACCTTCGTCATGCTCATTCAAAAGCCCGCCGCCAACAGCAAAATCAAGCTCTCGCTTGAAATCGATCCTGTCATCCAAGCCTTGTGGGGTAGCTACCCGGGCTGGATGCTCCGGCTGTCTCCATACCAGCCTGCGGATCACCGTGGTGTCGACTTCCGTTGCGAGATCGGTCAGCGCTTTCAGCCCGCAGACCCGGAGCGCGGTTTCAACTTTGCGACTATGGAGAGCGCATTCGACCACTACATTGCAATGCCCGGTCGAAAGTATACCCGTCGAGTAAGTACCTCAGAGCACCTAGCAAGAGAGAGGGGAAAGGGAGACTAACCACGCGTTCTACAGGTGGAAATTCCGCCAGAGACGAAGCTCCCGCAGATTCGCAACCCTCAGCAAGGATACCGGGGTCAATATGGCAATTTGAACCCCTCGCAGCAGCAGGGGACCAATTTGACCAACACCCTGCTGGACAACCAACTGCGTCAGCTCAGCTCCAATATCGGAACTAGAGAGTTCGCCGCCGCTGCGCCCGCCGCCGCACCACCCACCACCGCTTTGGTGGACACCATGGCGGTGCCTATCTCGATTCCCAGCGTACAGAGCAGCACAAACACCTACAATGTCCGTCTGGGATTCGACCCCGCTTTGATCCAGCAACTCGCCGCGCTCCACGCGAGCCCGCCGGCTCACCCAAACCGAGTGTATGGCACGGAAGTGCCATACCGAGTCACTGATGGTGCCCACGATGTCAGTCCTGAGCTTGATCGGTCGGGACATAGGCGCGCCAGTAGCTCAGCGACAGAAGTTGGCTGGTGGCTCTATGACGACGGTACCTACGGGAATCCCGAGTGGTCGTCTCCCTTGCGCAACGCGGAAGTCGGCCTCAAGAGCTACGAGAACGTCCGTAACGGGATGCTGCGTACCGTGCATCCTGGGGGGCGCCGTGAGAGCCCCGGCTCGACGCGTGATGGGCGCCGTGTTATGAGCCTCAGGAACCAGCCATTTACGTCGGGCTTGCTTTCGTCTCTCTCCGAAGATGAGAAGTAAAGGGTTGCCCGAGTGAGTACAAAGGGAGGTAGTTGATACGTGGATAGAAACGACGGTTACAATCGGGTAGGTACGTCGTGGTGGTGTATCCGTGCTTATGTCTCCAGCGAGGCTGTCCTCCCTTTTGAATGGCTTTTCTCATCTTCACTCCTGTTTTTAATTTCTTTTTCCTTGTACCTTTTTTTCCGTATCTTTTGGAAATACCCATAGAGCGACCGCTTCGGCCATGACCCTCATTGGCGGATTGGTTTACTGCATAGCGATACTTGGCAAGATTCGGCATGGAGTTGATTATACTAACGTTAGGGAATACGACACTTGAACAGCATTCGATGTTATGATATTATCGGCTCTGACGAGCTTTATTCAATTATTAAACAGCATCAGTACTAGAGACAGTCGAGGGTCCAAATTATCTTCACCGTCTTGGCCAAATACATAATCTTACTATCATCGTGTATCAATTTAATGTTTAGATTGGGATGAATACCACTCAGGCTCTATCGAAGAACAGACCACGGCTGATCCAATCAATTCGCGACCGGATGGTACATTAGGTCTGGAGCTTCATATGCATTCCGAATATATTGGCCCCGCCAGCTGTCATGAACCTGAACTTCTTGATCTGGGGCCATCGGCTATCTCGCTAGCCGGCCCTGAGAGATGTTATCCACGACGTGTGGAACAATCCGCCGCATTCATCACCTACCCCGACGTTTAGCTTGGTTGCTCTACATGTAGCATTAAAGAAAATTAGGGAACTAAAGAAGAAATTAATTCTTAAGGGCGCACGTATATCTAAACGGACACAAGATGGTCACTCTGGTCCCGATTGGATTGGCTATGTTCTCTTTATAGAAAGCTATTAGCTTATTTAGCGTATTCCTATAATCTTCTATAGAATGTGACTAGCTCAGTTAAGCAGACCAGAACCAAGATATAGGTGAATCATATTGTAGTAGCAGAGACGAGAGTGTTCAAGGTGGATGAGGAGTGAGATGTTGTGAGAGCTCCTATTTCTCATCGTATTCATTAAACGGAGCAGAAACCTATTAGAATTCAGGTGAACACGTTCGACCATTATAGAAGAACAATATGTAAAAGAAACCAATATGTTTACAGAAGGCGAAGAATCAACATGGCCATACCTGCCCACATACTAGCCACGGAAGTTTTAGATCCAGCGTTAGAAAGAACCACAGGGGGGTGATTTTAGAGGAAGTCGGAATGTGGCTAGCACAGGTGGTCTTAGTCGCGGGTGTGAGGGTAGTCCTATGGCTGGTTGGAACACCAGGCACCAGGCACACACTGGTTGTGGAGCTAACAGTGACCGTGCTGAACGCAACCTGCGGGACAGTCACGGTGTGAGAAGACCAGGTAAGAGTGGTAGAAGGAGCCGCCGGGGCCGGAGTGGTAGGTGCCCAGGAGGAAGTAGGCATATGAACAGACGACGCGTGCGAGGTCATTGGGGGGATTTCGATAATGGAAGGGTTCTTTGGAACATAAGGGGCACAGATGCCAGCGAAGTAGGAGAGTGCAGACTGTGTTTCATGCTCAGAAGTGCCCCAGGCGTGAATACAAGACTTGACTTTGTCTGCGAACTCGGAAGATGGACAGAAGCATGCGGTGTCGCTGTTGGAGTCGCACTTCGGGATTGAGAGCCATGTGTTCATGCACATGGGAACCAGCTTAGGGCATGGAGCGGGCACGACGGACGAGGTGGGCTCGGCAGGGGTCGAGATGATAGCACTCGTGGTTATATGGCCAGCTCCAGTCACCGCGGGGGGTGACCACACAGCAGTCGACACGCCATATGTGGAGGTAACAACCTTAGTAGAGTGAGCAGGGCAGTCGGTCACGGTGGGTGGGCACTTGGTCACGGTGAATATCTGAGTCGTGAACACCGTGGAAGTAGTAGCCATAGGCGTAATATCAGTGGTAATTTCCTCCATCACACTGGTCGAGTGAGTGTGCAGACTAGGCATAGTACTCCAGCTCATGCTAGGCACTAGAGATTCAGATGGAGTAGCCATAGGGGGAGGCTTGGGCCCAGTAGAGCAGTCAAAGGCAACCGAATGGATGTTCAGGTCACATTCATCAAACTGGCTCTCTTCAGGAAGTGTAAACTCGACGGAACGGGCTCCACCACACTGGTCGTTGTTGACATCGACACCCTCGGGGGAGCTGAAAGCGACCTGGTGACAAGAGGTCCCATCTGCCAGCTCATACTTCATAAGGACGTTGGTGGGCCGAGAAGTTGAAAGATGGAAGGTGCGGACGGAAAACGGAGCGTCAACGGCGTCCACCTTGATGGTGTAGGCATCGTCCCGACAAAGCTTTCCTGCGATGCACTTGCCCTTCTCAAAATTAGATTCAATACTCTCAATATGGTTGTAGGAACTTACACCGGATCCCCCGCAGTTATCGCTGGGCGAGAAGCCATCGAAGTTGAAGCCTTCGAAGGCCCAGTTATCGACATCGTCTATGTTAGACCAGTCAAACCCAGCCTTCTGGGATTGCGAGCACTGGTTGTCGGTATTTTCCGGGGTGGGATAGCAGAAGTCGGTGCCCCACCACTAAAAAGTTTGGTCAGTTTGACGATTGAAGCGGTTGAAGAAAGCAATGTTCTCACCAGACCCGTTGGATGGGCGAGCGTAGCAACGCTGAAAAGCAAAGGAAAAGCAATTCCCTTCATCGTGAATGATTGGGAATATCGTGCTAAGAGAGAGACAATTGCGATGATCAATGACAGACAGCAATTGTTGCTTCTTGAATTAAAAGTATTATGAAGATTGGTAACGTGGTGAAAGAAAGACGAGAAGGCGATAGGCGAGGGTTGTCGATTGAATGTTCGTTGGCGTATACCCTACCGAAGGCCAGGAATCAGGAGGGTTTTAAGCCTCAAAAAAATGAAGGCATACAAGCAACAGACCGGGTATACTCTAATGTTTACTGTCAACAAACAAAATGGAATGCGCCCAAGACAGCCTCGGTTGGTTTCCGGTGCAAAACCGGCTCTAGGCCAAGTATGAGGGCGTCGTCCGTGTCTCGCTTGTGGCGTGAAGCCATCTACAGTAGCCAGACTCGAAAGCGAAACGAGGAATTAAAGAATGCGCCACCGTGGGAAGGACAAGAGCAAAGCCCGATGCACCAAGCCTGACTCAAAGTCAGCTTAGAACATACCTAGGGCTTGAATTGACACTACCTTCAATTAAAGAAAATCTTCGTCGGAAGCTAAATAAGGCTGATTAAGGTTGAGAACCTCTTCTGGAAATAATTCCCCACCTTGAAGGCCCGTAGCTCAACGGTTAGAAAACTCGTCCACAAGCCCTATACAACATTAACATTCTTCTATTCCTCATTTCCACCATTCGGACCCAAAAACAAGCGACAAGAATAAAATTACTTGGCGATGCGAATCACCGGAAGCTCGCTCTAAAAACCTGAAAACCAACTACATTCCAATCCTAGATCAGATCCCTTGCGAACTCAATTCAGAACACGAGGGCCACAGATAAGCGAATGATAAGATACCGGATCTAATACCCCATAAATTTATACATTCCGATCCCTTGTTGCATCATATCGTGCTTTTGGCTACCTAGATACAATGTGACATCAAGTGGTTCTAGACTCAGAGAGGAAAATTAGACCTCGGGGCTAGACAAGATTACTACTGGTGCAAGGTGATGGAGTTGTAGAGCCGTATACTTAAACGAGGAGGGATTCCGCCAACACTTGAGCATGGGTTTTAGATATTTTTCCCACGTGGAGAGACAACATTGGAACTCGGAGCACTCGTTTAATCCCCGTGGAGACGATAAGCAAAGGAGCATCAAGAATAGAACTTTGAGCTCGCAACAGAAATGAAGGAGCTTGAGGGGTAAAGAACGAGCCAGGGAACTGCTCGTCCTGATAATGAAGCGCAACTGGATGCTCACAGGACATATAAGAGACCCCGTTAGCTTATACATCGATTCTAGTCACGTCTATAGAGAAATTACTTCCGTTGCTGTGACCTCAAATGCCAGGTACATCGGACATACATTTCCGAACCTCACCTCGACAAATGCAACCAGCATTTTTAGGCTTATGAGGCGAGGTATATATGGATGGATCACCGACAATCAATCAAGCAAAGTCCAATGAAACTGGTGGAGCCTAACTAGCTGCATCATGGCTATGTAGGTATCACCAATAGTAGCCACAAATCTTCAACACTTTCAACCACAATTCAGTTCCAAAGCCTGGAGACTGGGTCAAGTTGAACAAAGCCTATTTATTCAAAGGCCTCGAGAATGCATCCATAAGTATCTACCATATGTTTGCAAACTCAAATATCCTCTTGCATGTTTGAGTTCAAGGATAACTTTAATCATCTCCTATGGTTCCTGAGAATCCCTTGGCACAAAGCCTAATCATTGAACTATGTATAGTGACAGACCACATGCACAAGTGTAGTCACGCCATTGTCTACAATTGAGAAGGCGTAGAAACGGACTGGTGCCATTGGTGCCAGCGAGAAAGAGATATACGTACTCTGCCCAATGTACCTGGATAATTAAACTGACGTTGAACCCTCAGGTCGGTTTACTAGCTATAGTAGAATCTCGGATCACCTATTGATCAGGTATTCCCGAGGTCGATAAGATCATTTCAGGGTAGTCGAGATCTTCAACGGTATAAGTTCGAGCCACTCCATCGAGCCGCTAAGCGGTTTCGGCCAGACTACGAACACACCCGGTAAGGATCTAGTTCAAAGCTGGGAATTGAAGTATACAGAGAAACGTTTAATATTTTCTCATATCGGCATCGGTATCTCAACCTTACACAAGCCACAACCCCAACATCCCATGCCTCCCAACATTCAAGTGAATCGACGTCCACCCAGCCCGGGCCAAACATATACCAATAGCAGAACCGTAAAGAAAAAACCACATTCACACATTAAAGAAAGTAAAGAGCCTACCGCAGATACACTAACAGAGCCAATTCCAGCAAGAAAGCAAATAGTCATAAGAAAAAAGGTGGAATTTGAAAAAAAAAAAAAAAAAAAAAACACAAGCGTTTTGGGTAATTGGGGGATTTGTTGCATCACATCGTCAGAAATTCACAAAGACGCCACCCGATAACAATAAAAAAGCAGAGAGCCCACACAGCTGAAGAAAGCAGAAAACGGGCACCGTATAGACAAAGGGACATGAGTACATCGGAAGGGGGGGGAACCCGTTTTCGAGTTCGTAATCAGGTCAAAGTGGCGAAACACAGAACAGGTCGAGCCGAGCTTCGCGTAGCCAGTAGCCGCAGATTCCCACTGACCCGAAGTAAATAAATAAAAAAAGGCAGAGCAAAACAGGGGGTCTATATCGCCGAGCATAAAAGACACGAACAAGGAAATAAAAAAGACAATAGCCGCCCCGACTCCCCGCTCCGAACCAGTCGAGAGTAAATACCCTTTGAAACAATCAATCCTTAGTCGTGAAACAGAAACAACCGGTGAACGAGGCTGAAACCAGAAAACCTGTCCTTAAAACAATACCAGCCCAACCCAACACCTAACGAAAACAGGAACGTGACATAATTAGATCTGCGGCTGCGCGGGGGCAGTGGTCGTCCATGAAGATAGAGGCTGTGCAGCCGCGTAGTGGTGATTCACAGGGGCACTAGCATTGACGTAGTACTGGGAGCGATCCCCGTAGTAAGAAGGGTGGATGGGGTTCGATTCGCGGCGGGGCACGGAGGGGTCCAGAGGGCCGATGCCTCGGTCGATGGGCGTGCTGGAATTGTCCATTTGGCTGGATAGGCTGAAGCTGCTACGGGAGTAGGTGGCAGGCGTGGACGGGTCCATGGGGGAGGTCGCATCGGTGGCGACGCTGCGCGAGGAGATAGAGCTGTTGCGGTAGGCGGACGGGCTGTGGTCAGAGGTTGAGCGGTTGCGGTCGCTGAGCGAGCTCGGGATGGCCGTGTTGATTGCTCCTGGGATCGATGATGAGAGTCCGCCGTGGCTGATCGAGTCCATGCTGCCTCCGTAGGGCCCGGCGCGGAAGGCGTGGTAGTCGTCTTGTTTGACCATGGGTGCGGCGGGAGAGGGCAGGTACGGGTTCGGTGCAGGCTGGCCAGGCATCGAGTTGCCCAGGGAGTATCCTGCTATCGGACCCGCTTGTGGGGGATGTGTGGCGGTGTATGGACTGGCGTGCATGTAGAAGTCGGGGGACGGGTTGGGCATGCCGTATCCCGGAGGCGCCATCATCTGCGGGCGGTACCCGTAGAGGGCGGCGTGGGAAGGGTCATGAGCGCTCTCCATGGCGCTGGTCTCTAGATCATCGATAGGCGCTCGGAAGCTTTGTTTCTGGGTGAGGTCGACGCGCGGGCGAATGTAGCGCAGGGACTCGACCATCGACGGCGGGTTAAGCGCACCGCGCATGACGTCCTCGACGCTGTAGTAAGAGACCAAATGGTGGGTCACACCCATGACGGTCACGCTCATCGTCTTTTTTACCAGACCCGAATCCTTGAAGCCGTACGAGTCGACCAGCGACCCTACCAATGCGCGCTCGACCTCCGACTGGTGTGGGCGTTCGCCGAACGGAGGAGAGGGCTGAGTAGGTGAGTAGGGCTGGCCGCCGTTGCTGTCATGTCGAGTAGGATAAGGCTCGCCCGGTCGCGACGGAGGCACGGCTCGTCGATTGGCCTTTTTCATCGCGCGCTTCTTCTCCCCGGGCGGAAAGGGTTTGTCCAGTTCCCGGTAGACGAGGAAGTTGCCCAAGATGCGACTGGGGCTCCAGGTGACGCCGTCCGTCCATCGCTTGATGCCGGAGGAGTTCTCTTCGTAGATGAAAACACTACCGCTGCGCACCAGATGGCTGCGTTCCCGGTCGTGAGGTCGTCGAGGCACATGGTGCAGAACACCGGTGAGACAGGCCTCGAACAGGATCAGAGCATCCTGGGTGGTGGCCACATACCCGGTGAAAGTGGGCTCCAACACGGCAGCAGCGCCGTTCACCATGATGGGGTGAAAGGAGGGGGTTTGAGCAAGCAGTGATGACGGAGGGTATGTCAAGGTACCCCGGATGTTATAAGATTCACAAAAGGAAAAAAAATAAGCTAAGGAGATCGACCAGGGTATGGAGAAAGGTGAGCGGATGCGATGGTTTTGACTCGACCCCTCCTCGGTGTTGGAGAATTCCAGGGATCGCCCCAAGGGAAAGCACGGACCGCAGCAAGTCAGCGAGTCAACAGGTTGCACCGATCTCTGGAGAGATGGGATCTACTCGCGCGGTTCCACGGATCCCTGGCGCGGCAAGAAGCTTTGGGGAGATCCACAGGGAGGAGTGTACTGTACTTCAGGGAGGTAACCCGGAATGAAAAGGAAAAGCACCGGGAAACAGGGAAAAGGGAAAAAGGGGGGGGAAAGTGTAGCAGAGCGCAAGATCCGCAAGTATTGGTACGGTCACGTCGAGGCACCGGGAGGCTAATCGCAAATGTTAATGTTAATGTTAAAAAGCTCGGGGGGTTCACTGCGGGGCGAACCAGGTCTGGAAATCAACGGGAGTTATAGCAGGGTTAGGCTTGGGTCCAAGGACCCGAGGAGAGTCTAAGAGCCTAAGAGTCTAGGAGTCTAGGAGTCTAGGGCAGGAGATGACATGATCGGCGCGGCTCTCATTTGTCTGGCATTCTGAGCGGAGAGCGGAGAAATACGGAGGAAAAGTGATGGGGAAACACTACGATGATTTCACTAACCCTCCGACGCCGTGATGGCCGAGGCCCTCTTCCCATGGAATGTCCCGGTCGCTGGTTTTGTTGGTTTGCGCGTCGCCCCGGTATATACATAGTAAGAGAAAAGTGCAATCATCATCGAGTGAACCCCGTGCCATGGACGATCCCCGGTGGAGCCCGAGGGTCACGTCTCTCCGGTATATCTGACTCAGCTCCCCTCTCCTCTAGACTCAGGCGGGTTAGTTCGGTCCTGTACCCAGGGACCTACACTAACCGATCCTTGCAGCCAACTTTGGGGGACCACAAGACCACCGAGCACTCGACCCAACCACGGTTCCCAAGCAAAGCCGCTCATCCTCGGACCCGAAATCATCCACACAAACACAAAATGAAGGCGGGCGGGGAGCGACGAGCGGCTAGTGCACCAGCCCGGAACTATTGAAAAAAATATGGACGGGGCGCAGACTGTGCGAAGTGGGACGGTGATCACGGCACGTCAGAGATCTGGGACCTGCCCCTATTTTCGGGTCCAGGTGGCTCCAGGTGGCCAACGCCGACCAACCCCTGTACGGTGGGTGGAATTCCCGGAGGACTGAGCGTTGTCCCCATTTCACGGGTGCCTGGCTTGGCCTGGCTGGCACGCAGTCGAATCATCCGTGGCGGATGTGCAGAACCGGGGCCCGGTCGCACACACCACGCGTCGCAAGGTTAGACTGGGCAAGAGGGTCCCGTACCTGGGAAAGTGTGAAAGTTTCGCGGGAGATCCTCAGCAGATCCAGTTGGCTTTTTTGTTTCGTGCCAGCAGTGCGAGACCTACACGGCGAAGGTACGATGTAGGTACTCCCGAGTGCTGGGGTAGGGTAGGCCGATATACCCGGCCTATCCTAGTATTGAGCTGCACCCCGGTTCTTCCCACTCGTGGCTCGAAAGTCAACTTCTTCACGGACGACTGTCCTCCGCATTTCAGCTCCTCCATTGGTTCCCGACGAGGTGGGTGAACAGGAGGCGATCCTTATGGCGCACGCTTGGTGAAACTCAATTGGCGCGTGGCAGATGTCAGTGAAGAGTATAGACCTGAGCCCGATATCGCCGGTGCGGACTTCATACGTATCTCCTCGTATATGATCTCATGTGGACCAGATCCTCTTTGCACGGATCCCCTCGGTCGATCGCCGCGTTCTGGATTTCCCCTAGGCGCGGAGATCGGACGGCACCATTGCTCCGTGCTCCTCCGTTGTACACAGGACAATTCTCGAGCACAATATACCCCGCAGAGACGAAGATGGCAAATCAGCACTCGGTCAAAAGCCGTATGTACTGTACAGGATGTTTTCACCTCTCGCAGATCTCCTCCCATTCGCCCCGACGAATCCACATCCACGGACGGCGCAGCTCCCGTACCACTCGCTCGGGCCAAGCATCTGCACAGACGCGACGAGAAGAGACGAGACTGGCGGAGTCTTTCTCCTTGTCGGGCGTTGCTGCCAATTGCTGGTCTGATTGCCGGTCCAGTAAGAAAACACCGTCCAGCTTATCACCGGGACGATCTTCGTAAAACCAACGCCCAAAAACTGAAAAAAAAGACTCACGCTAAACAAGCCCCTTCGCTAGTCCGGGGTGGGCTATGTGGCGTCGGGCCCGCTCGTCCGATGCGTTCTAGCGCGCGACTGAGAAATCCCGCACTTCTTACCTGCTCTCTCTGCTTGATCATCACTTAATCTAAAGTAGATTGCCTACCCTACTCTACCTGACTAGTTTAGACTAGTCTCCTCAACCGGGACCCGATGATCCGGTTTCGACTCGGTGGCTGCCACTCACTGCCACTGTACTACCATTTGGTCGGTCACCGGCGACTGTTCCAGTAACCGTGCATCTGCACTAACCGTCTACAATGTGGCCTGTCGACCTCCGAACTGATCGGCCAATGATGACCGCCTTACGGGGGGTTCACTGATTGGCACATGCGGATTGCGTCCAGTTTCCGCCCACTACGGAGACACAGGAGGGGCTGGATCCCAATCGGTCCGTGGCGCCGAGACCACTCCTCCCTGGTTCTGGCCAGATCTGATGGCTCTACGGAGTAGTTAGCACCACCAGCACGGCCGGACATGGTCTTGGGTTTGCCTCTGTAGATCCGGCACTGACCTCTTACTGTACGAGAAACAGTCCGAACACCCAACAATATCGGAGGGGGTCTGAGATCATGGATCATCGCGATCGTCTAATTATTCCCTTCTCGGTACTAGGGCCGTTCGGTTCGATCATGCCCACCCACTTTTCCCCTGCGCTGATAGATCGAGTGCTCTGTGCTCCTCCTCCATCCGTCTCCAGTCTCCAGTCTTGGTGTACCTAATCTTGCTGGAGCCATGGAATCGGTTTTGACTTTCTGCGGGAAGTCTCTCGTGAAGGTTCAAGTTCTAGGTTGGGTGGGGTCATTGTCATAATCGTCAATCATAACCTTTCATGGTTAATCTTATTGGCAATTTAACTACATACGGCCAATGAAAAAAAAATAAAAATAAAAATACAAGGAATAAGAAAAAGAAAAAAACCCTCCTATGGAGCAGTTCCTGCCATTAATATAGCCATTCCACTGAATGAATTGATAATAATAGGCCGAGACATCCGGGGCTCAACACGAGCTCGAACCGTCCGCTCGGGTCTTCACCACGCGCCTAATCTGGTAGGTCGTTAAGTTCTAACGGTGAACTTCCCCGGCTAGACTAGACTCCCACTAGCATAGCTTGCCCGCCTTCAACTCTTCAGAGGCTATGTCACGATCCAGACCTGCTTTCCTGCACACTATCTGAGGCTACCTTACCCAGCCCTTCGAGGTAAAGTGTTTCATAATTGGGTATTGAAACCCACATGGCCCATCTACTGTAGCGATTCTCGGGATTCAGGGGCTCTGTGGCCCACGTTTGCGTCGTACAGAAACGCTGATCGCATGCTGTCATGACTTTTGCTCTGCGTACATGTACCGTACGTACGCTGCTTACTAACACCGTCCGCATCTTGTTGGAACGGGTGTTCGCACGCGATCATGATCACAGGACCGACAAGCGCCATTCGTATGAGGCGGGTATCCGGCTAACTTCGGTGCATATGATCCTCGTCCTCGTCACACGGAGGTGGATGCAGATGTGGATATGGGATCTAGTCGTATCGAGAAGGACTCTCATATAGCTCTGGCCAGTTCCCGTAACTACAGGACTACTGTAATTTCCTCCCGACACTTAACGGCTAGCAACCATGTACAGTGACACAGCAAAAGTATTAACACCCCCTAGACCCACCCCCCCTTATTACCTAATATTCTGCCGGCCTAAAACTCCATGAATTTCTATCTAGTAGGGCGTATACCAGCCCTGGCTCTCAATAATAGCTTCCACCCGGTGCGGCATCGTCTTAGATAGATGCGTTAGGTGCTGTATTTCTAGTTCTTCCCATGCTATCTGTGCTGTCTCCACTAGAATAGCGTAGGACGCGCTATTATTACGCATATCAATAAGATCCGGCCGTAACTCATAGATTTTAGCCTTCAAGAGCGCCCATAGGTTCTCAATAGGGTTTAAATCAGGCGAATGAGGCGGCCATTCCATTACCTCAATTCCTAGCTCGCGTAGAGTATTGCGGACAACGTGTGCAGTATGTGTAGGCGCATTATCATGCTGAAAGATACCACCCTCATGATTCATTAATGTAGGCAGCATTCGGAGATATAAATCTCGAATAATAAAGCGATCAACGCCTCCGCGAGGTGCTTCAGGGTTTCCAAATAGAGGGATAAGGCTAGTGCGTCGTGTGCTGCCAGAAAAAGCCCCCCAAAACATCTGCTTAACTTGGTTTCCTTTTATAGGAAGACCTTGACATTGTCTCTCCTTAGGCTGATCTCGAGGGCGAATAAAAGTCCATTCACGACGAACACCAATACCGCGCTCAATTGTACATTCGTCAGACCAATAGACACGAGCCCAATCTTCAGCAATAAAGTGTCGATAGCGATGCGCCCATTGAAGCCGTTTTAGCGCATTTTGTTCGGTCAAATAGGGCCGCCAGCTACAGCGCCACTTTCGCATATTCTCGGCGTTTAAAAGGCGTCGGATCGAGTCATATTTAACCAAAAATTTAGGTCAGTAAGCATTTAAAACTAAAGGAATATAGCTAACCTTATTCGACATATTTGCAAGCAAATCAACGCGGGTAATCTTAGGATTTTCCTCAATAGCGTTTAACAAACGCTCACGATCAGCTTCATCAAGCTTCCGTGGGCGTCCAGAGCGTGGTTTAGAGACACCATCGAGTCGTTCGCGGTCCTTTTTAATAGTATAGCGTATACTAGAAAGAGAGACCCAAGGATAGCGCTTTTGAATACGTTTATAGCCCCATCCCGCAGCTTGGGACAGCTCACATATACGCTCACGTAGCGCAGGTGTCAATTCAGACCGCGGTGCCATAATAGATAGCAAAATAAGGAGATTCAGGAGGTATAAACAGAATAACGCGCAAAAACGCGAGATTATTGAGCTACTACTAGCGTGTTCCTAGGTAGGCGGTGAGAGGGCGGTGTAGGCGTGGGTCCAGGGGGTGTTAATACTTTTGCTGCGTCACTGTACATCCTACAAACCTGAAATACTGTAGTACAGTACTGTAGTAGTCCGTTAGACCCAGTTCCCCTCACGACGCCCCCATATCCTGCCACACGCTATTGGCCCGATCGCCACCCCCAACGATGCTCCCGATCGTTGGGACGCAACCCATAGGAGCCCGCTAACACGCCGTAACGGCGCGCATAGCTAACAGCTAGGGGGCGCCGGAGAGATTCGTTCCAGGTAATATATCCGACGATCCGTCCTCCTACCCAGCTGCCCTCCTTGCTCCAGCTCGAGGAAAATGACATGGACTGGATTTCGCATGGCCTGCATAAGATCTTTCACCCTTTGTGCCGTGCATGAACTCCTTCACCCTTTTTGCCTGTGCATGTCAGAAGCCACAAAGCATGGTACATGCTGCACCCAGTAGGTTGTAGTTGGGAGGTCATGTAGCGTATCCCTGTCCTGTGCAGATCGGCGCCCCTTGCGTGGATTGGGGCTGGCGGTATGGTAGTGGCCGTGCGGGGTTCATGTGTGGTTCTGGGGTGCGTGAATACGGGGGTTTGCCCAGGTGGGTTTGGGGAGGGGGTCTTTGCTTTTTCTCTTGTGCCGGGTTTGAGTTTTATGGGGGTTGCTTGTTCTGACTTGACTTTTGGATGTTGATTTTCGGGATTGGGTTTGTGTCAGGTCGGTGATCTACAGCCCTGTAGGTAGACTTGAATTGGGTTGGTGTTGTGCATTTAGACGGGCTTTGATTGAGTTTGATCTTACATGGTGGATTGTGGTCCAGTACGAGATGCAAGTCAAACTGGACGACGAGATCCTGGGTTGATCTATTGTTTTCTTGGCCGAGGAAGTCTATGAGATGGGGGGATTTCATCCGTTTTGAAGGCTGTGTAGTCTTCGTTATGTACTAGAGAGGGTAAATACCGATAAAAATACAGAATGCAACTGTTCAATCCTATTGTACAAGTCCCAGCGCCGTGAGTTGCTCCGCTAATGCCTACATCAAAATCAATCACTCCAAATCGTTCACGGCGGATGTTCACGGCGACGAGCGCAGCACGTCAGCCACATCACCATCCTCAGACACCTCCTTCGCGAACCCGGTGCCCTTTCGTACATGCATGAGCAGTCGAAGTGCACCAGTAGGCGTCACGCCCTCGATTCGCCTGGCCATGCCTACACTGGCAGGCCGCACACGTTCAAGAGCCTGCTTCTCCTCGTTGCTGATGCCGAAGATCTTGCTGTAGTCTAGATCCGCCGGTAACAGCAGGTTCTCGTCTTGCTGGAACCGCTGGGCCATCTTCTCCTGTCGCTTCAGGTACGGAGCGTAGCGGCCCTCGATGGCAACGCGGGCTCGGATTTCCGGTGCGAAGGATGCTGGAGTATATGCAGATCCAAGGGCGGAGTCGATGTGCGGGATGAGGGTGTCGATATCGGCGCCGTCCAGACACAGAATATCGAGGGCAGAGCGGACGGAGGTGTCGACGCGTACTTTGAAACCCTTGCGAGACCATGCGTTTGAGGAAAGCTTGGTGTTGGCGAGCAGAGTCTGCAATTCTTGGATCTGTGCCTCGGTGTCGGAGAAATGGCTCCAGCGATTGTCGTTAACGACACCCGCATCGCGAGCCATCCGTGTCAGTCGGAGGTCGGCGTTGTCTGACCGAGTGGAGATGCGATACTCGCTTCGGGTGGTGAACATGCGGTATGGCTCGGAGACACCCTTGGTGATGAGATCGTCGATCATGATACCGATGAACCCGTCAGACCGAGTAAGAGTCATCGGAGCCAAGTTTTGCGATTCCAGACCGGCATTCATGCCTGCAATGATACCCTGTCCAGCTGCCTCTTCATAGCCGGTGGTACCGTTGATCTGGCCAGCCAGATAGAGACCGCTGATCAACTTCGTTTCTAGCGTGGCCCGGAGGTTACGCGGGTCGATATAGTCGTATTCCACACCGTAGCCTGGCTGGAGCATGGTCACATTCTCGAGACCACGGACAGTCCGCAGCATGGCGTACTGTGCATCTGGGGGAACAGTCATCGAGATACCGTTCGGGTAGACCACTTCGTTGGGCGCAAAACCTTCTGGCTCCAGCCAGATTTGGTGTCTCTCCTTGTCTTTGAACCGGATGATCTTCGATTCCAGAGATGGGCAATACCGTGGCCCTCGGACGGTTTCCCGGATATGCACCGACTTGTCCAAGTTCGCCCGGATGATTTCGTGCGAGGCCTCATTGGTATGGGTCATCCAGCAATTAAGCTGGCCCTCGTCGCCGACTTCGACTTCCTTGTTGAGGTAGGAAAACGGCATTGGGGGCGAATCACCCTTCTGCACTTCCAGAGGCTTAAAGTCGATCGTCTTCATATCCAATCGAGGAGGCGTGCCGGTCTTCAACCGTCCCAGCTGGAAGCCCGCATCGCGAAGGGATTTGCTCAAACCATACGTAGGAGCCTCGCCCATCCGCCCTGATGGGAACGTCTCGAGTCCGATGTGGATCTCACCACCTAGGAATGTTCCCGTCGTGATAACCACACGGCCTGTAGGAATAACCTCGCCGGACTCCAAGCGAACACCGACAATTTTGCCCTGAGCACCAGGTGTATTCTCAACGCCTTCCTTAGAGACCACGATATCCGCAACCTTGCCCTCCACAATGCTCAGTCCCTGCGTATTGACCAGTTCCTCAGTCATATACTTCTTATACAGATCACGATCGATCTGCGCGCGGGGCCCCCACACAGCAGGACCTTTAGACCGGTTCAAGACTCGAAACATGATCCCCGCTTTGTCGATTATGCGCCCCGCAACACCGTCCATCGCATCCACTTCGCGGATCATGGTGCCTTTGCCGATTCCGCCAAAACTGGGGTTGCACGAGCAAACACCGATATTCGATAGCGAGGGCGTCACCAGAGCAGTGCGCGCCCCTGAACGGGCCGCAGCAGCACATGCCTCCGATCCAGCATGGCCACCTCCGATCACGACGACATCGTAGGATCTGAAAAGGGCCTCCGTTAGCAATGACCGACAGTACCAGGAGAATGGGTCACGCACTGTGTCCCTTCAGAAACCGTGGCCAGTCCACGGGTCCTGCCTATTAACCAGCTCGACCCGATCCGCCGACGAAACAAAGCCACCGGTCTCGCGCGAAACGCCATGGTGCAATACATCGACGAATCCAAAACGAAGGCGATAAGACAAAATAATATCACGGTCACGTGGTCGATAAGGGACTGATGTAAGCGTTCTTGCGCCATCGGCCAATTGCGGGGCTGCAGATATTCAGCGACGGATTTCTAAACTCACTCATCATTCCTTTGCACTCTCTGCCGTTGAACATACTCGCTAGACATTACATAATGAGGGCATACTGGTACGATAACAAGCCGGTAAGCCTACACCCCGCACGCCCAGCCCAGAACCTCCGAATCACCCATACATCCCGATGACGCACTTGCAAGCATACTAACCCATTACAGGGCGACCAGCGCGAGCCGCACGACTCCGGCCGCGCCGTCTCGGAAGACAAGCTTGCCTCCCTGGGTGTGGTGTACCACCACTGCCCGACCCTCGAAGCCGTCGACAAGCTCGCCGCCGAGCGGGGCTACAAGAACCGTGACCAGGTGTGCGTGTCGCCAGCGACTATGGGCGACGTTTACGAAGAAAAAGTCAAGTCGTTCTTCGCCGAGCATCTGCACGAAGACGAGGAAATCCGGTACATTCTTGACGGCGAGGGGTACTTCGATGTGCGCGGGCAGGAAGATGAGTGGATCCGCATCTGCCTGAACAAGGACGACATGATTATTCTGCCCGCGGGCATCTACCACCGTTTTACGACGAATGAGCAGAACGTATGTGTGATCGCTGCTATGGACCGTGCTTGTGATGCGGTTGTTTTTGGATGGTTTCGCTGACTTTTATTGTAGTATGTGAAGGCTATGCGTCTTTTCCAGGATGAGCCCAAGTGGACGCCGTTGAACCGGGGTGCGGAGGTTGATGTTAACCCTCACCGCAAGACATATGTTGAATCCGTGCTCAAGCCTGCTGCAGTGGCTTAGGTGGGGTTGATCTAGGTTTTGACGCTTTATGACTTGATTTGATCGGGGCTTGGGTGGAGGTATACCTTTAGGTTTGTTAGACTACATTTTCTCCAATTGGGGGTTTTTGTACATGATTAAGAGCTTAAAGACGTAATCATGGAGCTGATTTGTATCATTGCAATTGCATTGAATGCTTAGTATACACTGAAGTAGAGGGTTAGAATGGTAGTTTCATACAAGGCATCGTCTCAGTCCCTGGGCGTTGAAGTCCGTTCCGGCATGGCACCAGGCATATTCAACTGGTCACTAAACCCACTGGCGCTGTCTTGCCGTGTCATGCTGGGACTGCGTAGGCCACCCATATCCACATTGAAACTGTTGCTGCGCGAACCAGCACCCAGTCCACCAAGCCCTAACCGCGCATCCAATCCTCCACGGAACCGTAAGCCCTCCGGCTCTCGATCGCGGTCATCGGGGAACCGAATGGGCCCTCCAGCGTCCCCGGATCCGGCACTCCGCGGTGGTGCTGTAGATCCGGCGTCTGAGTCTTCACCGGTCCGCACGCCAGTCCGTCCCATGCGTGGCCATAGATCCGGTAACCCGACCACCTGCACCCTGGGCTCGACGACACGCTCTTCGAACCAGGCATGGACGCGTGCCTCGACTAGCTGGGCGACCTTTGGTACATCCTGGAGTCGGCTACGGGATCCGATGAGCGAACGGACTGAAAGGTCCAACCGGTAATCCGGCAGGAATGAGAACGCCACGTTGCTCTTGGGGCTGCTCTTGGGCGGTTGTTGGTCTTGTGACTCGGCGCCTGGGGAGCCAGGGGCTGGGTATGGGCTATTAAATTTCGTCTCCGCCCCCGGGGGTGTCGGTGATGTAGCCGGAGTGTTTAGCGGATCGGTTTGTGCGGGGATCAATGAGATGCACAGTGTTCCTGAGAAACGAACTACCGAGACTGAAAGAGCAACTGGGAGGATGGCGGAACGCGGCTTCGGGTAGTTAAGAACCATGGAGGTTTCCACGGCGATGGAGAGGTTGTCGTCGCTGAGATCAACATCTAACAGGGCCTGCAGCCTCCCGCCATCAGAATTGGGGTCGTCGACGGCGATGATTCGGCAATTGCTGAAAATCGGAAACTCCTCTCCCAGGGAGATATCCGTCACCGTGATTTTGTCTATAAAGGAGGGCTTCTTCTCGGGGTTATTCATCGCCGCCGTCAAGGAGCTCAGGATGGATGACGTTGGCGAATCCTTGAGTGTATATGCCGTCTGTCTGTACTGAGCAATGGTCTGAGCAATCAAGACGTTGAACCAATCCAGCGACTCGGGCTGGTGGGACGAGTGGTGCAGCCGATGGCGGCCATGTTTCGAGGAAGGGTTGGTAGGGATGGCGCTGTAGTAGGTCTTGCGGAGGATCGAGCGGGTATTGGTAGCAGAGGCAGGGACCGGGCGTAGAACATTGGAGGTGGACGGTTTTTCTCGGAGGGTCTTCTGGCCATCCTGAGGGGTGCTGTACACGGAGCTGTTGCGGCGGTGGGTTGTGCGGTTCGAGAGACCGCGTGATGGAGGCGGCGGGGCTTCACCGAAGATGAAGAACTTGATGAAGGCGCCGAGGAGAAGGACGACGGAGAGCTGCCCGAGCAGAAATCCCTGGGTGAACGATAGGCTGGGTCGAGTTAGCGATCTAGATTACACTCCACCTGTTTGAGAAGCGTACGAGGACTGAGGCGCGACTGGCGCGGGCTCGTCTGGATAGAGTTAGAATATCAATGCTATGAGAGTCAAGGGATGCAACACACGTTGTTGGAGCACCATCGTCAGCGGCGGTCGACAATGCCTGGTCGTGAAGCGCCCATCTCCAGTGGAAGAGAGGTTGGGTGTCGGGTCGGTGGATCAGTGCCGAGCTTATCGTTTATCGCGGGGATCGGAGCTTCTTTTTCCAGGACACGCTGCAGCTTCTCACTGGGGCGCCACTCCACTCGCGGTTGATGCCTGTTCATGAATGACTCTGATTGAAGCTAACGTCCGCCACTGAACTCCAGCTTTGCAACCTCTTCAACTTTTGAAGCCGAGCTGCAGGAACCCCAAACTATGCATCTCTTTACAGCCCTCACGGCGCTACTCCTCGCCTCGCCAGCAATATGCGCCAGGACATCTGAGAACCCACCAGGCAAAAATGCCATCCTACTCTCCAACGTCGATGCCTTGACACTCCGAGCAAACCGCATGACCACTTCCCGCCGAGTCTCGCCCATGCCACAACTCACCTGTACCGGGCCCTCGAAGAAAATATGCGCCATGTACCCGATCGAAATAATGCGCTGCAAGAATGAAGGCTACGACTACGACGCGGAAGACGTACAATGGACATGCGTCGCCTCTTTACCGGCAGAATTCAAGCTCGGCTCCACCGACGTCGTGTGTGAAGGATACCGCAACGCAGATGACAAGTGGGTGCTCAAGGGCAGCTGTGGTGTCGAGTACCGGATGCTTCTGACCGAGCTGGGAGAAGAGAAGTATGGGAAGCAAACTAACAGTAACATCGGTATAATGGGCTGGTTTGAAACCATCTTCTTCTTCGGGTTCATCGCCGTTGTCTTCCTTATCATCTTCGCCGCTGCTACTGGAATTGGCGGGAACCGGAGACAACAAGAGCGACGAGGATGGGGAGGATTCTGGGGCGGCGGTGGAGGCGGTGGTGGTGGATATCCTCCTGGACCACCACCTCCTTATAGTCGCTTCTCTGATAGCCGCTTCTCTAGTAGCAGAGACTCGGATAGCAAGAGCTGGAAACCGGGTTTCTGGACAGGTGTGTTGAGTGGCGCGGCGGCTGGATACGGGATGGGACGACGTTCGGGTAACGGGGGCAGATCAAATAATTACGACAATGGCGAGGGCAGCTCGCGGTCTGCTCGTTCGCCAGGGTTCTCGTCCCCAACGTCTAGCACTGGGTTTGGATCGACCAGACGTCGTTAGTCTTGAACAATGTATAACTGCGTGAGTAGGGCCACTATAAAAAAAATAATTTCAATAGCGAAATGTTAGTTTAACACGTTCAAAGAGCCCTGGGGATTATCAGAAATCCATCTCGAAGATAGTCTAATAGATTGATCTAGGAAGAGGTCTAAAGCGCTGGAATGAGGGTCTCAAAGTGTTTGTTAAGATGCTCCTTACCCCCCAGGCACGTATCTGAAAGCAATCAAAATTGTGACATTTCTATCGAGAAAAGCAAACTCGAGAGATATTCATCCCAGACTCCTTGGCTATGACTTCGGTATCTCTCTCCGCCCCAAACGCCGTACTAGAATGAAAAACAACGGTGTATCAAGCCCGCTTCCCAAAATTATAGAGCGCCCGCTAAAAATAAACAACAGTGAATACGTTCACTAAGCCATTGGGATATCATCAATAGAGCCCAACACTTCTTCAGTACCTCCACTTTGGGCCTTGGCTTTCTTGCCGCGCCCCTTGACCTTGGCAGGAGCGCCATTGGCTTTGTCGCCGTCGGCATTCTCGTCCTTGCCCGTGCCGGTGGGGTTGCGCATCAGTTCTTCTTGAAGCTGCTTCTCCTTCTCATGTTCTTCCTCGATGCGTTTCTTCTCGTCATCGAGTTCTTGCTGGATGACCTTGGGGTCGTCGAAAGTCTGCTGGGTCATCTCCGAGTAAGTCTGGATATTGATGGTCTCGCGCGGGCCGAGCAAAGTGTCCTTGATCCGCTGAGGATCACGACGCTCTTCATTGTTGAACTTCAACTTGATCTGCCGGCGTGACCGTCCTGGGAACAGCTTACTGATCACCATGAAGTCGGTGCCGAACATGCGCAGGCCACGATAGAATAGGTCGGTTAATTCCTCATCCCAGGTTTCTGTCTTAGAGCGCTTGCCGTAAGTGGCCTGGTTAATCTTCCGGGTAAGTTGGTTTTCAACCACATCTTCAAGGTCACCAGCGCTTCGTGCGGCATCTGCATGCCGGTCCACCTCGAGTGATGCTGTATCAAGGACGATCTCGCCGTTGACGATTCGCATGAGTGGCCCAGCCTGGGGCTTGGCCGGAGGAATACGATCTTCCCTGTTGTTTTCGGGCTCGGCGGTCTTTTTGACGGGCGTGCCGCTATTCAAACCATCCTCCTGGGCTTTCCACTTCCGCTCCTGCTCTTCGATTTCTAGTTTGCGCAATTCGGTCTCACGCTTGGACTTCCTTCCAGTCTTCAAATCCTTGCACAACTCAGACATTTTGACAACGTTCGGCAGGATTTCTACCCGCTCTGCACCTTCAGGAGTTGGTTCGCGCTTCCTGCGGCGAGCCTTCTTCGCCTTCTCGGATCCATCAGCTTCAGTCCCAGCCTTGGATGCCTTTCGCTTAGCCTTCGCATTTGCTTGACCAGGCTCAGGGGTGGACGGGGTCACTGAGGGCGCAGGTGTTTCGCTTGCTCCTTCAATTGTCGGCACAACTGCCTGAGAGGACGGGGGAGTGGGGAGTGTAGATGCCTTCCTACGACCCCTGGTAATCTCTGATGTCTTCTTTGCATAACTAACTTGCCGAATACGGAGAGGCGCAGTCGCATTGTCCTGAGCCGCAGCTCTCGGTTCGCGGGAAGAGGACTCTTCAACCCCAACATCATCAGTCGGGCGCGGAGCGTCTTGCACTGCTGGTGCAATTTGTTCGATTTCATGTTCGATTGACGGCACTATCGGCGGTTCGGCGGTCACGGTGCGAGGGGAGGTGGGGATATCGGTTGTAGGAAGTGAGGGTGGGGGTGCATTTGATTCTTTGGTGGCAGGCGTGGATATAGAAGCTTTGCGCTTGGGGCGAGAAATTGAAATTGCTGTAGCGTTTGGAGCTGCCCGTGTGGGCTCCTTTGTAGCTGACACCGCGACCGGCGCATCGTCAATCACAGCAGGCTGCTCCGGCTCCGCGACTCCCGCGGAAGGCGGCCGGAGTGATTCAGTAGCATCACGCTCTTGAGACGCCTGTGCAGACAGAGTCTGACTCTGTGAGACTGCACTGGGTCTCCGCGCCGGTGCAGCATGTGCAGGCGCGGCGCGGCGTGTGGGCGCCTTTGGGGCGAACTTCTTGCCCGATTTGTCTGCACAAAAAGTCAGTAGATGTTCTTTCGCAAGTGCGATCATCATAGACGTGTACTTACTAATCGCAGAACTCGAAAATGATTTCATGGCTGCCCATTGCTGAAGATGGCGGGGTTGACTTGAAAGATCAGAAAAGTTACGCGGAGGGAGTGGGTGGGTGGTCACGTGGGAGGCGCTAAGCTGACGCTAAACCTCGTTGAAAATCCTCCTGGCTTCAACTCCTTCAATCTCAACCATCCCGCCCCTTCACCACACTCTCTCGTCCCTGCCACTCCTTCACTATTTCGTTGAATTCACCAGAACTTTCTCATTCTGGGACCGCTGTTACCAAGACTGGCCACGGTCCCAGTGTCTGCCTCGGGCTGACTGAGTAACGGTTCGGTGGTGATCAGTTGCCCTCTCCTATGCCAGTCTAGCCACTGATGCCGGCCGCCGAACCCCTTGTGTCTTCAGAGTCCGGTCTTGTCAAAATGGAAGACCGGAAGAGGCCCGCCGCAGATAACAATGACTCGGCCCCGCCTTTAAAGAAGCAGGCGACCACCGTGAATGGTGCCGCCAAGCCCCATCCGGATGCCGATATGCCCTGGAAAGATGACCTGGAGGTATGTGTAACACTTGAACCCGTCGGATGAAAGACCTGGAGCGCTTTCTCCCTCCGCTCCGAAATTGCCGCTAACCGCACCCTCGTGATAGCGCGTCCAAAAAGATGCGATAATGCGCCAGATGTACGAATACAAGCGAGAGAAACAGACTTTGGAGTCGCGATTGAATCAGATGTCGAAAGCTGCCGCACATCATAATGATCATCTTCGTGTCATCGACTCCTGGTTCAACCAGTTAATCGACGAAGTGAAGGTTATCTTGGGCTCGCAGGAAGTCAAAGAATCTACTTTCAAAAGCTCACTGCAGTTCGAAGATGCTGAAGGATTTGAGTTGCATCTGAAATCCAGGTCCGACGATATTCGTGAAATCATCTCTCACTTTCAATCCAAACTGGCTGATGTCTCCCCCGATGTTACAACGCTTCAGAGCAAATTAGCAAAGAAGCTAGCTGAGGAAAAGGTCACGATTGCTGAATTAGAGAAGGCCCTGGCCGAGAAGTCACAGTTGGAGGAAAGCCTGGAGGCTGCGTCTCTGCGGTACATGGTCGCTGAGAAGAAACTCGATCGCGCGAAGAGCGTGACTGCGACCAAGTTGGATAAGCAATATATTATGGGTGGAAACCGACCGACCCCCGAGGTTGCGCAAACAAAACGAGAGGAATCGTCACCTGCCAATGGTGGGACTCCCGTTGGAGATCGCAGCATCGAGTTGGAGGAAGCCAATAATAAGCTGAGTGCTGTTTCTGAGAAACAAAAGGAACAATTGCAGAAGTTGGAGGCTGAAAATGCGAGCTTGCTCAGTCAAATCACTGAGCTCAAGGTCAAGGTATGTTTATTAGGCCTCATGGAATCGATATCACCAACTGACATGTGAAACCAGTATTCGAAACTTACCGATGACGATTACGCGCATACCGACCTTTTCAAGCAACTACGATCACAGTACGAGGATGTGGTGAAGCGTATCAACCACCTCGAGGCGACAAATGTACAGCTGCGCGAGGAGGCTGAGAAATACCGCTCGGAAAGAACCGCATACAAGATCCAAGTGGATGACGAAGCACAGAGTACCATCGCCGAGAAAGAGGCTCAGCTCGAAAGAGCGGAAACCGATTTGGCACGGATACGAAATGCACGTGACGAGCTTCTGGCGGATCAGCAGATGCGCAAGGCCGCCCAAGATCAAGAAAAGACTGCCGGTATCAAGTTGCAAGAACTTGCAGATGCTCGGGATGCCCGGATCACAGCTCTGGAGTCCGAGATTGAGAGATTGCGGTTGCAGATTGACGGTTCCAAGGCAGCCGAGAACGTGGCTGAGATGCCGCTCGAGGAGCTCCGGTCGAAGTACACTAGCTTGGAACGCCAATACTCCATGCTGAACACAGAGTTGACCTCCATGCAAACCGCCTACAAGAAGTTCTCCACCTTGGCATCGCAGAAGGTGACAGACTTCAGTGCTTTGGAGGAGAAGGTTGCACGGTTGACAGCGGAGAAGTCCAAGGCGGACCAAAAGTACTTTGCTGCCATGAAGAGCAAGGAAGCCCGTGATGTCGAAGTCCGCACCCTCCGTGTGCAGAACTCTAAGACTTCCGATATTGTCTCTCAGTTGAAGGAATCGGAATCTGCGACCCGCTCCTTGCTGTCCAATATGGACAAACAAGCCAGCGAGACCAAGGAGGCTCTTACTTCGGCCCTTGATAAGCACCGGGCTCTTCAGCAACAGCTAACTGAGAGCAACATTCAGGTGGAGGGTCTCAAGAACCAGGTTTCTGAGCTGAGAGCGCTTTCCAACTCCAAAGATGCGACGCTGGGAAGCACATCCTCCGCTCTACGCCAGGCAGAAACCGAGATCTCCGGTCTGAAACAAACCCTCACAGACACCAAGAAGAGCCTGGAGAACTGGAAGAGCAAAAGTCTCGGCAACAACTCGTCGGAATACGAAATGCTGCGGGTAAGTTTTTGGCGCTCGGACGAACTGTTATATGGATCCACTAACCTTAATCCAGACCCTTGCCTTGTGCACGGTGTGCCGCCGCAACTGGAAGAACACGGCGATCAAGACGTGCGGTCATGTTTTCTGCAAAGACTGCGTCGAAGAACGTCTCACTTCTCGCTCCCGCAAGTGTCCCAACTGCAACAAATCGTTCGGAAGCAACGACCACATGCATATCACCCTGTGATTCGACTTTCGACTCTTCTCTTCGTGTATTATAGCCCTTTTTCTTTTTCTTTTTCTTTTTTTTCCCTCTCCCTTCTTCCTCCTTATCATCCTTTTTAGTGGTCACTTTCGGACTGGTCCATGGTGCGGTGTTTGGCTGCTTTCAAGATTGGTTGGGGCCGGCGTTTGATGAGTTTATGCCCTGCTTTGGGGCTTGTTTTTTACGCGACGACATACGGCCGAGCATCGGTGGATCTTTTTTTACTTCTCTTGCTCTTTTTTTTTTCTGGCGCAGGGGCGCTGAGTGAACCGAGCGTGGTCTCTTTGGATACCCATCTTTCCCGAGAGGCGCACTTTGATTTTTCTCGGCTTTGGCTCTAGATCATGTAGGAGTACTACGTCCGGGACGGAAAAGGAGATACGAATGCAAATGCCAAGTCTCATGCAGTCATGAACTTTGAAATTATGAGTTAAAGATCCTACTATACAAAAGCTCATGCCTGCCCACCCACAGATCCAGCGCAGGGACAACCTGCCCAGCCTGATCCACCTCCGTATCCCACTCGCGCTCAATGCGCGACATAATAGTATCCTGCAATTTCTGGCTCGCCAGGATATTCTGTGCTTGGTACGGACCCATCACCGAGGCCCGCACCGCAGCGCTGAGGACAGCCTTGGCATGGTTCAAGACGAAAATATAGGCTGTTTGTTGCAAATCCAAACCCATGGCTCGGCAGACTACACCCCAAAGTGGTGCAAAGTGGCCCATTGGGCCCAACTCATCTGCATTGTCAAAGGTTGATTTCAACGCATCAGAGAAATCATCGATGGCTGATACAGCGACGTCGGCACTGGCATCGGTGCCTCCGGGTCGTGCGAAGCTCACTCGGAACGCACGCTCCCATACGCCCATCAAAGCTCGGCCTTGGGCCACGCTTGCTCGTTGCGCGACAATGCATGGTGTGGATGCGTCGAGGTCATTATCAAGGGTTTCTAGGTCTTCGGGCTGCCGGTAGCCTGCTAGCACGTAGGGAAGTGATGTGCTTGCGAGAGAGGCGATGGAGAGTTTGAGGAAGCGGTGGAATGATGTGACGGGGTTGGTGCGGAGTGGCTTATTATGTGCGAGGTAGGACTCCAGCCCGCTGGAGTATGCGAATGAGCCCAGTGGTAGCGCGGAATCAGAGAGGAGGAGGAGAGCATGTAGAGATGAGGAACGGACGGCGTCCGCGCGGAATTTATTATTATAGAAGGCTGAGGGGGTTTCGTTAGCATATTGTTGAAGTCCAGTCTCTTCGGGCAGTACTTACCAGTGCTAGAAGGCATTGTCCAAGGAATCTTATTGTCGGGGTAGGAGGAAGGAGGGCTGGGATATATAGAGGCGTCGAGTTGGGCCCGCATTTCCTGGAGGCGGGTCTCCAGCTGAGCGATCTCACTCTGAATTTCTGATGGGTCGAGCACCATTATGTGGGATGTGTGATATCCGGGGTATCTAATTGAATGTTGAATGAGAAGAGAAAAAGGAAAGTGGTCGCAAGGGCGATAAGGATGGTATATAGCAGGCGTCGGCAGCGATCGGCAGAATAAGTGGGTATCGGAGACGGCCGCGCGCCCCCCGGCGGATTCTCTATCTCTGCATGACTGTCTGCTATTATTCACATTTATCCGGCTCTGGCGCCACCTTATTATTCGATCCTATTACTCGATCACCCATCCGGCCCTTGATTCCGCCATCGACCGCCTTGAATTCTGCCCCGACATGAGATAGCTGCCTTCGTCAACAATGTCGGGCAGGCGTCTGCTGGATGCTATCCAGTTCCTCAATGTCTCCAAGACGGTCGCTGCGAAACACCTGGCCATTCGCCAGCACCAGCTCGATGTCTACACCCGCACTTCCTCGTTAACTAAGGGCATCAAGGACCAGGTCGACGGTCTGGTCCTGACCGCACAAGCCGCTGCCGCTTTGGCGCGTCGATTTAACGACTCGCCGCCGAGCCCTTCGCCGAACGCCGCTCCGGAGCCATCGGCCGATAAACCTACCAGCCCCAGGACTAGTGCAACCTCACCCCCTCCGGATGTGGCACGGAAGCTACAACGTCAGGCTGAATTTCAGGTCCCGGCTTCCGCCGCTCAATATGAGGGCAATGAGAATCCGGACTCGTTAAATGTCAGCCAGCAGCAGGATGTGTTCTATGAGCCTTCGAAGCAGAATGGCCCGGACCTCTCCGCGCTGCCTAGGGTCAAGTTACCGAAGGCGGCCGGCAACGTTCAAGCTGGTGTAGGTGATGGGTTGAATGCCGATGTCTTCCATGCAGCCACGGGCCCAGAGAAGAAGACTGCGGAAGAGCTCCCTGAAGAGATGATGCAGGGTCTCTTCCACAGTCGGAGGGTTGGCCGCATGCTCTCCGGCAAACCGGCACCCAAGAAGGACTGGAAGCCGGTGGAGCAGCCTCTTCGGCCAAGTCAGCCGACCGTAGCATTAGACCCTCAATCCGAGGTCCTTACGAAGGCTCAGGAACAGGAGATGGCAAATCTGGGCGCGAGTATCGCCGAGGATGTTGTGCCACCTGCGCAAGTCGTGGAAGAGAAGGTGCCTTACCAGATGTTGGAATCTCGGGTACCTTCCTCCCGAATTGGTAGACTCTGGCAGTATGCCGGGCTAGGCACCTCGATGGCATTTGGTGCCGTCAGCGAAACTATTCGGCGGGCGAGCGGTAGTCAAGACACCGGATCGGTCATGTTCAGTGCGGGCAACATGGAACGAATGGTGGCCAAGCTGTCGAAGATGCGTGGTGCAGCTCTCAAGCTGGGCCAGATGCTCAGCATCCAGGACTCTAACATGCTGCCCGAGCCGATCCAGCAAGTGCTCCAGCGTGTCCAAGACCGTGCAGACTACATGCCTGCATGGCAGCGTGACAAGGTCCTATCTGATAATCTCGGACCAAACTGGCGAGACCTGTTCTCCTCCTTCAACGACGTGCCAATGGCAGCCGCCTCCATCGGCCAAGTCCACTCGGCCGTTCTCAAAAGCACCGGCAAGCCCGTCGCCGTCAAAGTTCAGTACCCTGGCGTAGCCGACTCCATTGACTCAGACTTGAACAACCTATCCATCCTCCTCACAGCCTCCCGCCTCCTGCCTCGAGGCCTCTACCTCGACAAAACCATCGCGAACGCTCGCGTCGAACTCGCCTGGGAATGCGACTACCTCCGCGAAGCAGAATGTGGCGCACGCTTCCGCGAACTCCTCCGCGACGATCCTGTCTTCGTCGTGCCCGAAGTCATGCCCGAAGCCTCCGGGAAACAAGTCCTGACTATGGAAATGCTCGAAGGCGTAGCAGTCACCAAAATCCAAAACTTTACCCAAGAGCAACGCGACTGGATCGGAACCCAGATCATGCGTCTCTGCCTGCGCGAAATCACAGAGTTCCACTACATGCAGACAGACCCCAACTGGACCAACTTCCTTTACAATGCCCGCACCAACCGCCTCGAACTCCTTGATTTCGGTGCCTCTCGCGAGTACCCCACAAACTTCATCTCGACCTACGTCCGCACCCTCGTCGCCGCCTCCCGCAACGACCGCGCCCTTTGCCAGGACCTTTCCCTGCAACTGGGATACCTCACCGGCATGGAGTCTCAGGCTATGGCAGATGCCCACGTCACTTCTGTCGTAACCATCGCCGAGCCGTTCATGCTCTCCTCGCCTGATCTATACGACTTCCGCAATCAGACTATCACGGACCGCGTACGCGCTCTCATTCCGCTAATGATCCGTGAGCGTTTGGCTCCGCCGCCTGAGGAGACGTATAGTTTGCACCGAAAGTTGAGCGGTGCTTTCCTGCTCTGTGCAAGATTGGGTAGCCGGGTTCCTTGTAAGGAGTTGTTTGCGGAGGCCATTCGCAAGGCTGAGGCGAAGGGGTTACAGGTTGACGCGCAGAAATAGGCCCAAGGCTACCACATGTAATCTATAGATGATGCTGCATTGGGCGGTTATGTATTATAGAAAAATCTTGTACATTAAGTTGAATATTGGGAATTCACCTTTCAGATCTGAATATGTTTTATAGTATGAGTAGATGGGCGTGGAGAATGTAGTCAGATTCAATGGGGTCATTTATTTGCCTAGTATTACACTCTAGATCTAGAAGTTATGCTGAGGGACTGTATGGTCCGTGGCCAAGGGACAAAAGAGCCAAAGATGCAAGCGATACCATGCAGACCAGCTGGACAGGCATACATTCAAAGACGTGTCGACAAGCTTGCATAACCAAAACAAGCATGTCACAAGTCTTTTGCAGATGACGGCCAAATGTCGAAAATGACAATGTGAGCCGCAAAGAACCCGGGGCTGCGTTCAAGAAGGCAACGGCTTATGCTCAAAAACACTCCGCCAGTAATGCCTAACCTTATCACAAATCATATCCTGTCCCTCCCAACTAACAAACTTAGCCTCAAGCTCACAAGCCGTCCAAAGAATCTCCTTCCAAAACGCCTTCTCAACATCAACCTTTGCACTGAACCTCGCCACAACATCATCGGGAATCGTCCACGCGCGTGTGTAGGACCCATCATCATTAAACGCCGGGTTCACCTCATGCTGATCGAAGATAGTAGCGGGGTTGAATTTGGGGAAATTGGCGTGAATGAAGAAGACGCCTGGCGCGGGGGCTTCGTCGCCTCTGACGCGCCACTTGCCCTGTCGTGTAAGTTCGAAGTCTTCGATGGGATTGAACTGCGCCATGGCGGAACCGGCTAGACCGCCTTCTTTGCGGTGGCCGAGGGCGCAAATGGATTCGCTGACTTGGTAGAACGGCTCGCCTATCGCGGTTGCTGCTGCGATAAAGGTTTCCTTGTCGCCTTCGCCGGCGGCGCCTTGTGATAGGAGGGGGTAGTAGTGCGAGGGGCCCCAGTAGTTGTAGTAGGTGGCGAGGAGCAGGGTGCGGAGGTGGGTTTTCTTCGAGACGAATAGCTCGCCAGACTCGGTGGACTGGCGTAGGTTCATGGGCGGGGCAGACGTGCCGGCGATCTCGTAGAAGATGGGCGAGACCGAGGACGCCCAGAAATCAGGCCAAGTGACCAGTCCTCTAGTGCGAAATAGCTCGCTCTTGAAGATCTCTTCCGGCTGCTCGAGCGGGAAGGCGTCCGCGTCGAGGAAAAGAATCTCCTCGAAGGACGAGAAGAGCATAGCGAATGGCTTGAACTGGTACTTTTCGATTTTCGCAGGCGCCGCGGCGAGAATCCGCGAAAGAACAATACATTTCGCGTTCAGAGATGGCAGCACCACGTCGCAGACGTACTCTTCGTACTCGTGCTCGTCTGCGAGGAATACCTCCATCGGCAGCGTGGACCCCGTCCGGCGGAGCATGCGCAGTGATATCACCAGCACTGGTAGGTATGAGCCGCCTGCGGTCGATACGACGCCCTTGGTACCAGGGACATATTGCAATTGCGGTGGTTCGCTAGTAATAGCTCCAACGAACCCCCTATGCGCCTCCTTCATCCTCTCAACATCATCCTGTTCGACAAACAGGTATTCCGGCCTCGGCAGAGCATCCTTCGCCTTGAATCCCTCGGTCGGGGCTTTCGTGAACTCGATGATGGGTGTGGTATTGGGTGCATATTTCACAAGATACCCATGGAAAGTGCTCCAAAAGTCCTGGTGCCCGGCCGTGAGATCGAGTGGTGCAGGCCGGCCGGTGCCGTCGGAGGAAGAAGCGGTATCGGCGCGCCAGCGCGAGAAAGCCCAGGTTAGGAACGAGGCGATGACCAGCGCAGTTAGCAGCGTGCGCACACGTAGAAGGGATCGTGGGATAGCCATCGCTCTTAGCGCGGGGGTCCTGGAGCTCCCCACGGTGCCAGAAACCGACGGAGGCGCTAGTGCGAAGGTAACGATTGAGAGCAACGTGGGGGGTTTCACGCCCAATTCTGTGGCGCAGACATCAATGGGAATGTAGATGGGCTGTTTCAAAAGAAAGGGTTCACCGTTCTCGGAAAAAGGTCTGCAATCGAGGGCGTAATGATAATTGAAACACCGGCGTGCCACGGCCCCTTCTGGAGCACGGGCCCACTTGAGTGATGCACGTCAGCTACGGTGGGGCGGAGATTTTGTAAGATATTGTAAGGTTACTTTCAAAGATAGTAGATATAGCATCGGTCCGACCTATTTTAAAGAAGTTTTCAAAATAATACCTAGGTAATAAATAAAAAAGAAGAAAAACTTCTAAAGAAATTCCCTCGAAGAAAGAGATTCAGAAGGAAGGAGAGAATAAGGCGTGTAGGGCCGACTTACAATATCGGCTTGTTACCCTTATACAGTGCTAGATTGGAGTTTCTGGGTCTATAATCTGAGGAGTAATAATGATCATGTCGTCATGCACAGCCAAGAGATGTAAAGTCATCCCATGGGTGTGGCAATGCCTCGCAGTGCCAAATTCTACCTGAAAGAGCTCTTTGTATATAAGCCACATTTCACTCTGAATAAATTGTAGCTCACTTAATTGGCTAATGCCATAAGTCTAGATCTCATAATATGAGCGTTGAGGCATAAACTATCTCTACCCCACGGTGGTGATGTTATATATCGCTGAAGTCGGGCGGCTCGAATACCCCTAATTAGGACAAGATCATCACAACTTGCACGTCCAAGGATTAATTATCCTAAAATGGCGCACTTGATCGTGAAGCGTTTTAGTTCAAAAAAATCATATTATCCGCCCCATATAGCGAGGCGGCTACAATAGCTGATTCTAACAGAAGATACGCCTAGACCCAGACGCACCCGAGGGATATAAAAGACCGTGAATCGTGACCACAACTGTACTTTATTGATTTGCATACCGAGTCAGTACACCCAAAGCCCTCACAAAAGATTTGAAGGTTTGAACTTTTTCAACATGCCATCAACCCCGGTAGGTCCTACATCGACACATTGACCTCTCTGAAACATTCACTTCTAACTTACAACTCAGCGTATCTTCGACCCTCCGGTCCACCTAGCATACCAACACCCAAAAGCAATCCACACACTCGCCGATATAAAACTCGACCCCTCGCCAATCTCCAAAGTCGCCTCCACGGACCCATTCCCATTTCTATCCGCAGAAGGCGTGCGAGCCTTCCGTCGCGAGCTCTTCTCCAAAGATGTCCTAGACAACTGTTCCTTCCACACACGTGCCGGCTCGGTGCAGCTGCGTGGTATGGCACCACGCTACGCACCATTTACATACCAGTTTTGGACTTCCCCTGAAGTCCTCGAAATCGTGAGCAAGCTAGCGGGCGTCGATCTGATCCCTGTCTTCGATCATGAGATCTGTCATACAAACGTTCAGCTGGGGCCGAAGGGCCTTGAAGGCGTCAAGGATACGCCTGTTGATCCACCGGGCGTCCCGGAGGAGTACAAGAGAAACCAGAGCGGTGAACAGAAGGGCAAGCCTGTTGTTCCGTGGCATAGGGACTCTTATCCATTCGTTTGTGTGGTTATGCTGTCCGATACGAGTTCAATGACGGATGGCGAGACGGAGATGCAGAAGGGTGATGGATCGACTGTCAAAGTGCGGTCTCCGAGCATGGTACTAGATCCTTGAAACCTGTGAAATTCTTGTACTAACGATGTTAGGGCGGAGCGGTCATCATGCAAGGCCGACATGTCAGCCATATTGCCATCCCAGCAGGCAATATGCCGGAGCGAATTACTCTAGTGACGTCTTTCCGTCCTCGCTCGCCTCTTTTGGTGGACGATTCATCTCTGATGAATGTGCGCACCAAGTCACTCATGCCGGAATTGTATTACCAGTGGGTGGAGTACAGGCTGCGTTTACTCAGTGAGCGGTTCAAGTATGAAGCTGACGCTTTGGATGTCCGGTATAACGAGGCTGTGCAATCCAGTGATGCGGAGGGCAAGCCAGGGTATTGCCGTAAGGAGACGGTTGATGTTGAAAAATTGACGCATTGGATGGAAGATCAAATGCGATATATGCGACAGACGCTTTTTGAGATGAGGCCCGTGACGGCCGAGGATAACATTAACAAGAACTATATTCCGAAGGTGGAGTAGTACGAGGTGAGCTGGGTTAGTTTCGAAAGAGAGTGGATTTGATAGTTGCTTTTTTTGAACAGGGTTGGGAATTGACTCAAAACTTTGAACGCTCACATTTAATCTCCTGTCAAGTGAAGCCACAGACAATCCCTGGAAGCTTAGATAGTGGCATCTCTCATGAACCCCGCGATGATCAGAGCGTCGCGGGTTGCATTGCCAATTTGAGATTAGCCTAAGACCCGAACCAGGCAAACCAGTGCGGTTGAACGTACCAGAGTGGAGGAGGTTGAGTCCTTAGACACAATCCCATTCGATAAGAAATTTTGTAGGGATTAGTAGCCAACAGAATAGACTCTTGGGGTGTAGCCTGGTTCACTTTGGGTAACTCGGAGCGGTTTGCAAATGACACCTTAAGAGCTATACTCTGCCGCTGCGAGCATATCGGTTAGCACATTGTTGTAACAGTAATAACTCACAGTGAGCAGTAGCTGTCCTACGTTGGCATGGTGAATAGCATGGCCCTTACCATTACGTCGCGGGCAACCACACCAGACTATTCGTTCTGACTTGGGATTGGCATGCGTTTAGATATCAAGGACTACTCGAGGATATAAAATATGCAATGGACTCTCTATTAATCAATTAAATCGTGAGTTGCTATTCGTACATGCTCAATCCTTAAAATCGTCAGAGCTCTGGCTGTTCTCTTCTTCTTCCAAAATGGTTGAGGACTGGTAATTGTCCCTCCATTTGGTCTCCCAATCAAGCTGTGGCTCTTTTAGGTCTATTAAGTCGGTTGAAGGAGGTTCTGAGCTGCTGGATGGCAGCCGCAGGAGCTGCGATAAGGCATCACCGGTGTAGTGTAGGACCAGGCCTACGGTGACCCCCGTGAGCACCGCTCCAGTCATGAAATAAAGAATGGCCTGTGATCAAATGAGCTTTCAAGATTATCCAAGCAAGCAAAACAGAGATGATCATGGATAAGTACCTCGAACTTGACCAGGAGTCGAAGCGGAAGCAGCACTATCGTGAGTACGCCGTGTCCCAGATACAGCAACGGCGATACCAAGATATGGAGGAGATACAGCACGTAGGAGAGAAGTCTTGTCAAGAGATAGAACAGCGTGCCAAATACCAGGAGCAGGCCATCAACGGCCAAGCCCACATCCATGATCCAATGTTAGGGAGCAGGTCCAGCTCCAGCTCCAAAAGGGGAAGAATCCGGGGAAGCCGAGTTATTACCGCCAGCCCTAAGCCCTAGCCCGATTTGATTCCCCGGCGTCATCGGCTCGACCTACAACGTTGTCGAGCAAGTGCAGCGACTACCATCCCCTGCTCGCTCCCTCGCCTCCATGCTGCCCGCCTAGCGGTTCTTGTCGTCAATTTCCTTCCTACCCACTCTCTTCTTCCGCAGCGCTCCAAACGATCCCTAAACCGCGCCGTCTACCCCGCCTTCAATGGGCAACAACCCTTCCAAGGCCGGCGAAGGGCCGCCGGACCATACCCCCAATGCCCCTGGTGACCGAAAGGTCGTTCGTCGCCCCTCTCTTAACGCGATCCCGACGCAGAAAGCTGTTGCGGCCGACCCTTCAGCAACCAGAGAGACAGCCGCAGGTCGCCCAGCAGCTTACCCGAGCACTGCCCACCAGCGGCTCCAGTCCCGAAATGCCGGTGATTCCCCAACCGGAAGATCTATCAAATCTGAAAGACAAGATGGGAGGAGGACTGAGTACCCGCAGGGCAAGGATATCCCCTCGCCGGACACCTCCAACCCAGTGCAGGTCCCCGTCTCCCGACAGTCCGCAGACCGTGATCCGATGAATCCGATGGCACCCTCGGCACCGCCTATTAACTCTTACTATAACACCTCGACACACCTGCAACGTCCGCCACGCTTGCCGTTGCCCATTGGCGATGCTAACACCACACCCGGTTCCCCTATCATGGGACCGGAGGATTCGCATATTCAATCCATGCCTGCGGACCGCGTGATGGACGATCACATGGGTTCTGCGGCTGCCAATCTCAGCAGTACCACAATGGAAGGAGATGAGGGTGGGGACGAGCTTTCGCCATATGCGGTCAGTGGAGTTGGTAAGGCAGTGCCCACCGTCATCGAATGGAATGCGCCCGGTCAAAAGGTCTATGTTACCGGAACATTTGTTAACTGGGAGAAGAAGTTCAAGCTGCACAGAAGGTATGCATTATACCCTTGATAATTTTTCTGGGTGATATTTGGGAGCACACGGCTAATATCAACCAGCGAAAGTGGATCCGTTATGTCGACAACACTGAATCTGCGGCCGGGTACACATCACCTGAAGTTCATTGTTGACGGAGAAATGCGAGCTTCGGATACTCTTCCCACTGCTGTTGACTTTACCAACCACCTGGTCAACTACGTTGAAATTAGCGCAGATGATGCCCACAGGGAGAACGACAAGTCTACTACCCCCTCCGGGGACCGTACTTCTCAGTCAGAACAGGATAGTTCCAAAGAAGGGCTAGTGGATGCGGACGAACCTCCAAAGAAAGAAGTCGAGGAAGAAGTTCCTCCGGGCGACTTTGGCAGTGTCATTCCCCAGTTTCTCGCTGACCTGGACAGGGAGGAAGATCACCCAGCCTATATACAAGCTGCTAACATCATTGGGGATACTGCAACTCCTCCCAGCCTGCCTCTTTTCCTGGGTAAATCGATTCTGAACAGCACCACCCCAACCAAAGATGACAGCAGTGTTCTCAATTATCCCAACCACACTGTCCTGAATCATCTTGCCACGAGCAGCATCAAAAATGGTGTTCTTGCTACGAGTGTCACGACCAGATATAAGCGAAAGGTAAGACAACTTGCTACACTTCTCCTATTCAGCTTTCTAACGTTTTGCAGTACGTCACAACCATCTTGTACAAACCAACCGGCGATATCACTGGGGAGTGAGCAATCCCCCGGCACTTGAATCGGCTCTCTTCACATGGCACAGTCTGCAAATATCATCTCGAAGAGACCATATTGCATCACATGCATGTAGCCATTCCCTGGACGCCAAGATATCGTCCCCTCTGGGATCGAACTAGCATACCGCGCACCAAATGTATGCAGACATTAGCCACAACTCACACATCGGACCGCTATATGAAGAAATATGGAGATGCTGAAAAGAACGAGAGCACCGCTCACATATTGCATGATAACCCAAGGCGTTGCTTCACTGGGAAGCCTTTGCAGGGGTTAGGACTTCGGTCATGCAAATCTGATTTATTTCGACCCCTGCGCGGTAACTATTGCGCAGGTACTTACCAGATACTTACTGATCTACTTCAATGTGATTTAATTTGATTGTAGTCTCTGGATCATGAATTCCAAACCCTTGGAGATTATTTGGCCGAACTTCACAAAGGATCCTCGAACCTGGATATGCTAATTTCGTAACACATAATAGATATCTAATATCAACCTTTTAATCATCCCGCCACTTCACCCACACCGAGTCAGTTCGGAACCGCTGGGTGCAGGCTGTTTCCTTCAAGGGAGTGGTCAAGCCCGTTTTGTATGACAGCATTCCAGCTTGGGCAATCATGATACCGTTATCGATGCAGAAACGCTCATCTGTCGCAAAGATACTGCCACCCCGATCCCGCGCCATAATTGCCATCATCTCCTGCAATCGCTCGTTGCAGCCCACGCCACCGACGATAAGCACCTCCTTGGAGCCAACATGCGCCATTGCCCGCTCAGTAATCTCCACCAACATCGCATACACTGTTTCTTGCAGCGAAAAGCAGAGATCCGCACGAGTGGGCTTGCCATCCGGGTCTTCACTCGTATGTTCGGCATTCGAATCACTCTCCGCATCTGCCTTTGCCTGCTCGGGCCCGCCTAACCCCCACGACGCAGCAAGTCCATCAATTGCAGCCAGGATTCCAGAGAAAGAGCAGTCCATGCCTTTGACCACGTACGGGAGGTCTACTAGCCGCTTGCTCTTCTTCGCGAGCTGCTCGATATTATATCCCGGTGCCGGGTCATTGGGGATGTGTAGCGTCCGCGCGAACCGGTCCAGACAGTTACCCACAGCTATATCGAGCGTCTCGCCGAAAATTCGGTATCGTTGAGAGCTATAAGCGATGACTTGTGTATTACCGCCGGAGACGTAGAGGACAACGGGGTTCGTAGCGCCTGTAATAAGACGACCCATTTCAATATCTAATCGAGTCAGCTTGATTTTCTTTGAGAAAAAGCTTCGTGAGAAACATACGTCCAACGCAGTGGTTCACACCGACCAACTTCTTGCCCCAAAGCAGACTCAACATCCGCGCTGCGATGGCCACGCTCTGCAGCGGGGCACCCATGCCAGGGCCTTGCGTGAAGCAGATACAGTCCACATCGTCCACCGTCACTTTCGCCTCCTTCAGCGCCTTCTTCACCAGCTTCACTACCCATGCCCGGTGGTGCCGCGCCGTGTCCTTGGGCAGGAATCCCTCGCCTGGCGGGGCGTTGTATGTGTGACGGACGTTGGCGAGGACCTTTGCTTCGCTGCCATCGTCCGGGTGCAGCATGATGCCAATGGCAACCTTGTTGGCCGAGCCCTCCATGCCAATTCCGATCATGATGACGGTGTTTCAGGTGTATCACGAGAGTGGATGAATGAGGATTGTCGCAAAATAAGGTCGGACATGGTTTTCGTTATCAACTTATCGGGACACTTAAAGCGGCACTCCCGTTTCTCCGAACCAATGCGTCTCCAATCTACTTCCCTTTTCCTTTTCCTTTTCCTTTTCCTTTACCTTTACCTTTTGCCTCTTTGTTTTCTTCCCACTCTCTCCCCTTCACGGCACTCGGTGTCTTGTATGTTTGTCTTACTCGTACATACATTCACCAGTCCACTCCTCCCCCCTCCCTACCTACTAGGCCATAAACACAATGTCCTCCTCCGCCCACTTTTCCGAGTCCCAAAGCTTCCAACAACAGTCAAACGAGTTCGTCTCTTGGCTTGAAGCAAATCCCGATGTCAAGGTCAATCCGAAGATTATGCTCGCAGACCTTAGATCAACCGGTGCAGGCCGGGGAGTCGGTAAGTTGACCCTCTGCCCACCACAGAATTTCCACAGAGTGGAGCGTGCAACAAAAAAGCCCCAAGAAAATACCCCTCTAACAGACTTTCCTTGAAAATCTAGTGGCCCGAACAAATATTTCCGAGGGTGAAGAACTCTTCTCAATCCCGCGCTCCCTAATTCTCGCTGTCCAAAACTCTCAGCTGAAGACCCTGCTGCCGCAGGATATCGAAGCCCTCGGCCCATGGCTTTCCCTAATGCTGGTTATGATTTATGAATACCTGCAAGGCGAACAGTCAAGATGGAGTCCTTATTTCCGTGTCTTGCCGACTCGGTTCGACACGCTTATGTTCTGGTCACCTGCGGAGTTGGCGGAATTGCAGGCCAGTGCCATTGTTGACAAGATCGGCAAGCAGGGTGCCGATGAGTCTATTCTGGGTTCCATTGCGCCTATCGTGAAGGCGAATCCCAATCTCTTCCAGCCTGTTAATGGGCTTTCCTCGTATGAGGGTGATGCTGGTACTGCGACTTTGCTTGAGCTTGCCCACGTGATGGGGTCGCTCATTATGGCCTATGCTTTTGACATTGAGAAGGCAGAGGAAGATGATGACGAGCCGGAGGGCTCGAATGATGGTTACATGACCGATGACGAAGAAGAGCAGCTTTCTAAGGGCATGGTGCCGCTGGCTGATCTGCTCAATGCCGATGCAGACCGGAATAACGTGAGTACATCTGATCATGCCCAACTATGGATTTATACTAACAGTTTCGTTTAGGCCCGCCTCTACCAAGAAGAGGAAGCCCTGGTCATGAAAGCCATTAAGCCGATTCAAGAGGGTGAAGAAATTTTCAATGACTACGGAGAAATTCCCCGCGCCGATCTACTCCGTCGGTACGGCTACGTGACAGACAACTACGCCTCATACGACGTGGTCGAGTTTTCTCTTGCAGACATCTGCCAAGCAGCCGGCCTTCTCAACAGCTATGTGGAATCACAGCCCAGACTTCAACTCCTCGAAGAGCACGACCTTCTCGACGACGGCTACGTGATTCCCAGACCATCCCCAACCGACACGCTGCAAGACATTCTTCCAATAGAACTATTGGCCCTGCTCACCACGCTCTGCCAATCCCAAGAGGAATTTGAGCAGCGCCGCTCCAAGAACAAGCCGCCCAAGCCGGCTATTGAAACCCCCCAAGCAGGCCTACTCTACAAGGTCCTTCAGACCAAGCAGTCGCGTTACGCCACTTCTCTCGCCCATGACATGCAGCTCCTGTCGAGTCTTACTCCCCCTCAAGCCGACACCGCGCTGGAGGGTTCATCCCGGCGACTCAAGATGGCCCTCCAGGTCCGCATTGGCGAGAAGGAGATCTTGCAAGCCATCCAACGCATGCTCGACTCTCTTGCTAGCAACGGGTCTCTGAAACGGACAGCTAACGGCGACCATGACTCGAGACAATCCAAAGCCGCGCGGTACTAAAGGAACTACATACCCAGCGAACTTGATTTCCAGCGACATTGACATTCCCATTCCCATTCCGACTCGATACGAGCGACGAAAAGTTTTGCATAATTGCATAAGTGATTATATTTCTGTTAGATTTTGGAAGTCCTTTTTTTCTGCCTTTCTGCCTTTCTCCCATCATCACAGGCATCATAACTTCGGTTATCCATCATACAAAAGGCCTCCAGCGGCCATGAGCTCGTCTCCCCCAGGGTGGAAAGATAATATGTACACTAACAAGTGCAGGTCGGGCTGCCGGAGCATTCCAGCAAGCCGAGCGGCATCTGCGTCGGGAAAGATGAGAAAAGAGGGGGAGGAGCAAGAAGGGAGGTGGGTGTGAAAACAAGAAAAGGAAACAGACCGGGCTCCGTCAAAACCCCTTCGTCGCGAAGATCATCAAAACATGAGGGGTGTACTAAAACTACAAGGGCGGAAGAATTGGGGGGAATGCGACGAAGTTTTGTCGAAAGCACCACACGAAACGCCCGTCAAATGCTGAAAAAACGTGGAACAAAAAAAAAAAAGGGTCTTTCAACCTTCGGATGCGGCAACGGCACTGGGTCCGGGGTTTTGCCCGTTCCCAGACTGATCACCCTGCAGTCGTCGGGCCTGGGCCTGAGCTGCTTGAGCTTGCGCCTGCGCATGAGCTTGGGCAGCCACTGCGGCTTGTTCGCGTACCTTGGCCACGGTGATGGCACGATGCTGCATGATCTGGATGCTGAATGGATCCGTGTCATAGACGGGTTCGTCGTCGGAATCTTCTTGGTCGAACTTGAACCGGTCTGCCTTGACAGGATCCAACTCGACTTTACAGCGCGATGCCAAGTTGCGACGGTCGATCAACAGCCGGCCACCACGCCCCACTCGCCTTCGGAATGAGGGCATGCGGTGTGGCTCGCCATGCAGTTCCAGAGCTTTTGAGGCCAGTTTATCGCGAGAGTGGAGGGGACTCGTCACGTCTAATGCGGTGTCCATCATATCACCCGAAGACTCTGATGATGGCGGAGTGGGGAGTTGCGCTGTGAACGCGGGACGGAACGCTGCAGTATCGAACGTTCGCTCTGGAGATGGAGACAGAGGCGCTCTGGTGAGATCCACATAGCCCTCGTTCCACTTGATGTGCTTGGCGATATTCGCCTTGATATCGCGCAAGATCTCGTTCTCCTTCTCGGACTGGACATCTTCCAGCAACTGCAAATCCTCTGCGCCCTGCAGACCGGGTTTGAGAGGCATACGAAGTTGAGGAGCATTGGGGCGCCCCTGACTTGGCATCTCCGGCCTCTTCTTGGGCTGTATGAAATGAGTCAGTACGTGTTCCATGGATGACTCGTCTGGGTTGGCAGCAAATACCTTTTGGTTGATGAGGACCTCGTCGTCGTCCTTGATGTTGAGCTTGCGCTTCATATCCTTGACCTCGGCGCGCTCGATGAAGAGCTTCCGCTCCATAGCAATCATCTCCTTCCGGGCGACCTCACGCTGGCGTACCAAAGCAACGATTTGCCGTGCATCTTCAAGTTCTTTACGAAGGCGCCGAAGCTTCTCAGCACTCTGGGCATCTCGGCCACGAGTCTTGCGAATCTGGCGGACCTCACGCCGGCGGAAACAGACATATGGATCACTGTCATCGGTATCTTGACCGGTCTCAAACTGCAAAGGGGTCAGCGTGTGCACTTTGTTGCGCGGCGTTTTTGACGACATCGTCTGACATACCTTGAGGCTGGGCGCTATTGAACGGTTATTGGTTTCAGCTCGACGCAACTTCCAGTGCTCATAAATGTCCTTGGCGAATCGCTTTACGCTTTCTTCTACGGCGGCATCCATGGCCTCTTCCATGTCGGCAAATGACAGGATCGGCGGGCTGTCAACAGCTGCATAAGGCTGCTTCGTCTGCGCCGTCTCCTCGAAGAAGTTCATGGTAGCCTCGAAGTCATCTTCGGAACACCGTTGCGACGGGTCGCGCTTCTCGTTGTACATCTTGAGGAAGACATCGTCCTCCTCAGTCATGTTATAAGGACATCCACAGCAGTCCTCAACAGTCGAGGAGAACCTGATATACGTCGCGGGTTGCGAGAAGTGGGGCGGGTATAACTCGTCATACCGCAGGCTACTGAGGATGGTTTCGGGGGTGGGAATGTGCGTGTCGTTAACCTTGCCCTGGGCAGTGAGGTTTATCGCGACTTGCAAATGGAATTCCTATATGGCGCGGGCAGAATCAGCATCGTGAAAATTTCGTGTCGCTTTCGTGATGATATCACGTGACCTCATGCAGGGATGAGGCTAAATTTAGCGTAGGGAGAGGCGACTTACCGACTCCTCGGCCTTTTCAACGCCGGTTTCGATCTGTTGTAAGCTTGCATGGTGCTCGTCGTCTAGGGCATCGATCTCGTCCTCGCGGACAATGGGGATGGAGGCCTTGGAGGTGAGCTTTTTGGGGCGCGTCCGGCCCAAGCCCCCGTACCGAGTCATAGCGTCGGGGCGCGCAATAGAGCAACGACCATGGGCGGAAGGGGGGATAAAATGGAGGTCGATCGAAAGTTCAGATCATGCGCTTTCTCGTAAACGTATTTTTGTGATGAGACCTGATGGAGGGAGGGAGAAAATGACAAGACAAAAGTGAAGGGATCGCGGCAGTCGGTTGGGTTGACGTTGCAGTGTCGCCCGGCGACCGCCTGTTTTGGAGCGGCACTGCGCGGTGCACGGCCTCAGGGGCTCGCTTGTCACTCCCGATCCGGTTAGTGCGGGGCTGGGCATTATCAGATTGCCTTCCCTGGTTCTCTGTTATGATATCGTCACTCGGCTTCCGTCTCTCCACATTCAACGTCTATTGCTCCTCCGCTTTTGCTCCCGTGTGTTCCCTTTTTTGTACTCTCCGCCTTTCTCTCCTGCATCCTTACTACCCCTTGGCCCCCTCTTATCCCCCTCCACCGCCATCATGGACCAACCCCCCGTGCCCAATGCCGCCGCCATGCATAACGTCCAGCGTCGCCGTGGCTCCGTGGGCACCTCCCAGCTCTTCGATAACATCGTTTCCACCTCAAACTGTACGTCCGACCGGTTCTGGGATATCTGGGGAATGCGCATGATTGGGTCTGACACCGCGGCTGACACGGGGGACAGTTGACCGAGATGAAGTTGATCGTCTGCGGAAACGTTTCATGAAGCTTGATAAGGTGCGCCGGGATCTGCATCCGTATACACATCATATCCTAAACATGACACCCGCAGGACGCCTCCGGCACCATCGACCGCGACGAGTTCCTTTCCTTGCCTCAGATCTCCTCCAACCCGCTTGCCACCAGGTTCGTTTGATCACCGTCGGAGGGTACCCACCGCAGGAAAATCATCATTAATACGGGCTTTGTTGTCAGAATGATCGCCATCTTCGATGAGGACGGTGGTGGTGACGTTGATTTCCAAGAGTTCGTCACCGGTCTGTCCGCCTTTAGCTCCAAGGGCAACAAGGAGGAGAAGTTGCGCTTTGCCTTCCGAGTCTACGACATCGACCGCGACGGATATATCTCCAACGGCGAACTGTTCATCGTGCTCAAGATGATGGTGGGTAACAACCTCAAGGATGTGCAGCTGCAGCAGATCGTCGACAAGACGATCATGGAAGCCGACCAGGACGGCGATGGGAAAATCAGCTTCGAGGAATTTACACATATGGTGGAGAGCACAGATGTGAACCTGAGCATGACGCTGAGTAGGTGGCTCTCCAACGACAAAGCCAGATTGGGTGCTGACATGCAATTCCAGACCAAATATAACCGGCCTCACCAATTTCCCCGAGTTCTTTCCCTCCCCACATCCACTTTGTTTCTATTTATTGATGGTACTATCTCATCCCGGGGCCGACATGACATGACTCTATGACCAGCAAGTATTTATGTAGTTTAGTTTTTCTCGAGGGCGAGAATCTCTCCAATGATAACAGAAGTTCTCGAGTTCGTGCGAGGTCTTGTCTCAGCCTCATCCGTTCGCTCGGCCCAACCTCCGTTCGGACTGTAAGTCTCGTGGTCCGCTGCCAATCGCAACCGGGATGCTGGTCGCAGTCGCAATCCCAATCTTTCCACGGGCGCGAGGTCCCTCGGATAGACAGTGACACCGACAAAGGACTTTTTTCGTGCTATATTTGGGTCCACGTATTGTATTCATGGTACTTTGTACTCCTTGTACTTCTGGTATTTTGGACTTCGTACTTCGAGTTTCCTCGTCTGAGGGATGAGAGTCAGCTGACAGGCACGGGTCCCCGAAGCCCTGACAAACCACAGACCTTTAGAACGGTACTTTGAGAATACGCCAAGCTACCTCAGACCTACATATCAGGCGGTGCAACTACTTTCCCGGACAACCGGACTCCTAGTCGGGGGCCGTATACCGAGGTGCACAAGGACATCATGGTATCAGGCCGAAAAGCTCCACGTCGCGCAATTGCATCATCGACCCGACTCAAGGGCTGGACTCGAAGGGATAGGGATCAGGTCGTGATACAGCGGACCCTGGAACCTAATCCACATAGGCATAGTATCCCCCTTCTTCTCTCCTTTTCATGTCTATCTTGGTTTCAGGGTAGTATCGGGCTTCTGATGCATCATCTTAGGGCATCGCAGGCGGAAGGAAGTGAAACGACGGGCGATGTCAAGAGAACCTTAGCACGTCTCCATCCCGACCAGGGCGTCGGATCCGGTTGGGGGCGGAATGACAGAACGAATCTGGGATTTGACGTCCCTGGGCCCTGGATTAGGCATATCGGCGTCCAATCGGGCAGACGATGCCCGATGGTGTCTGAGCTATTTTGGGGTGACGATTTGGGGGTTTATTTTATTTCAATTTCATTTCATTTATTCGTTTGTTTCGGTATTTCTCTCGGATATTCTCTCTGCTTTCCCTCTTTTTCGCCGGTGTTTCCCTGTTTTTCCCTGTTTTCCGTTTCCCTCCCTTGATCCTTTCTCTGGTGCAGATATCCGCGAGAAAAGGGGGCAAGCAGGTGTCCGGGCAATCGGGCAATCTTCCGGAATGTCAACAACAAAAAAAAGAAGGAACTCGGTCCCCCTCCTCCCCCTTTTTTATTTGCTTCGGCTCTTGTTATGAACTGCATCTACCTAATCGGCCGGCTGGGTCGTGGACTTGATACTCGAGGAATTGCTTTTTTGGCTTAGTGCTTATGCCAGGCGAGAGCAAGGAGACAGACAGCACGGAACAGTTAGGGCACCGCCACCCATGGATCGTCAGCCCCAGGCATAGTAAGAGTTACACATATAGAGAGAACAATAATCAGAAGGGCAATGGAAAATGGAAAATAGGAAAACAAAATAAAATACACAAAAAGGAAAGAAACAAAGCACCTGACCCTCTCAAGCTGAGACTCGCCCCCCTTCTCCCAATTATTCCATATTTAATTTACACCCTTCTTCTTCCCACATCATCCCTAGCTTTCGGGAACCCACCAAGAACCAGCGTGCCGGGTTCCCGGGCGATCACAGAACGTACAGGCCCGAACGAGTTTAGGCGTAGATCACACCGATCGGCAGGCTAGCGCCATCCCCAAGTTGATAGTCTCAAATACTAAACTCGTTCCCAGGTACCCGGTTAAGCTCGTGCCCTACGCCTAAGGTTCTAGCTCCTGGGATGTGTCACTGGTATGTTCAGCTCCCTCCCTTTTTCTAGCGTCATCTTCTCACTCATCAGATCCGTCATATTTTCCTTGGCCTCTTCCATCACGCTTCTTTTTTTTTTATCTTTTTCTTTCTTTCTATATATGAACCGTCCCCTCGGTCTCCGGCGCTGTCGATCTCTAGCCCTAACATCACCAGCTGTCAGATCTACATCTACACTGATACACCTGGCACGTTTGACATCCCTACTTTCACGGCAATTCACCGGGATCTGAGTCTGTTTTTCGAATCATAAACAAACTCTGGAGACAGAGAGAAAGAGAGTCTCAAGCTGGCCTCCTACGCAAGTCCTCCGCTGTCCCCCACTCATTGGGTCCTCGATCCACGCAGGTCCGTGTGGGACAGCCTAATGGATGGCGACCAACGCATGAAGCAGCATGAGCGGTCGATGGCACGATCTGGGAATGGCAACCGTGCAACCGATCGGTTCGAGTCGTCGCATCCACGTGGAGACCCAACGGGGATGTCGCAGGCAGAGCGCCAGATGTCCTACGACTACGGATACACAGGCTTCCCCGTCTCCACCGTCCCCAACATGTACGGGCCCGAGGTTCGACGGTCTCGGCGACGAGAGCAGTTCGTGCCGTACGAGTCGGCCATGCTGTACGGCTTCGGTCAGCAGGGTCCGGCACCAGCACACTTCGAGGCCGTTCCACAGTACCCGACACGGCAGTCTGCAGCGATTGAGGCCCTGTCGAGCACTTTTGCCGTTCCACAGTATTTCGCCCCCGAGGATGCGCCTGCCGGGGTCCAGGGCCTTTCGCCTTATCTGAATCCCAATCTGCCATATAATCAACCCGGTCCCATGCCGCGTTCGTCCTCCGCGCAGCCTTTTCCCGCCATGTCTGATTTCTCGCCAATCGGTCAGTCTGGCCGGTTGGATCCACCTTTGGGTCAGGATGATGCCCCGAGACAGGAGCATGACTCGCAGTCGGTTGATGAGGCTTTCTCGCAGTACCAGCAGGCACTGCGCGGCACCTTTGACCACACCCGTGCCGGGCGATTGGTTGATGCTAGTCGATCGTTGCTGGAAATTTCCGAGTGGCTTGTGACCAACGCCCGGGATCTTGGTAAGTTCTGACTCTCTCTCTCTCTTTTTTTTTTTTTTTTTTTTTTTTTTTTGCTTTGTTCTATCCCTTCCAACCTGTTTTGATTTCCTACTATTTGAGATCTATTGTCGAGATCTATCACTTTGCAGCTAGGATACTCGAGCTTATTAAAGCTGGAGGTATTTACTGTATCTAGAGAAGACATGGTCGTACCATCATCACCCTCTGAACTGGACCCTCGTTTGTTTCCCCCATATTCTATTGGATTTTATTGGATTATGTTTTTTTCTGTTGTTCTGCCTGCAGGCACGCGTCATGCAAGCATCATCTGACAATTTTGACGCGCTGGTGGGGGACAGAGAAGACTAATCGCCTTTGTGATACGTAGGAATCCTGCGCGACGACCATCTCCAGTATGATCACCATCTTCAGCTCTGGAACCATCTCAATCTATGTTGGCTGGCCGTGTGTCAGAAACAGAAAGACTTGACTCAAGACCTGGTTGCGACAGGTCATCAGCCCGCACAGACGAGTCTGCTGAGTCGAGAACGTATGGAAGAAATGGGCAAAGACCTCATCCAACTTTGCGACCAACTCGAACCGCACGGCCTAGTGGATTATCAGATGGGTATCTGGGAGGAAGAAATCCTATGTGGTAGGTCCACCCATTCCAGAAGTTGCCAAGCATTCGAATCTAATGCAACCCCTCCTTAGTTTTGGGCCAATGCCTCGACCTGACGGAAAGCAGACCGGATCTTCCCCGTGTCCGGAGGTCGCATGAACCAGCCAGAGCAGCCCAACAACCATGAAAAAAAAGGCACTAACCAACCACCTTCTCACCGAAAAAAAAAAAAAATCGGCCAGCTTCGATTCACTAAAAGTCCCATACAATAGGACTTAAACCACTGACCATCGGCGATCGAGGGCCCAACAAGGATTGGTCGCGGAAGTATGCAACAATACCCGCCTCGGCGAGGCTATTGCCTACTAGCGCCGCGCCAATCGGGGCCGGACCAGGAACCAAACTACTGGTCACCCCCATGAGACGAGCGTGATCATCTTGATCGAGTCGCCTCATTTTGACTTTCTATCCCGTCTCTGGGGCTGAGGTGTGGTTTCTTGATCCATTCCGGCTTTTAGCCCCCCCTGACGTGACGAGTATGAGGCTGGACTTGCGCTCTTGTCCCCCTTGACGAATTTGACGATCTGTAAATAGTTTTCGTATTGGTTTTGGGGTCTATTTATTTGGGCGGTTACAGAAAAGTATCCTTGGGGGTGCTGGATCCGCTGCGGATTGGTAAGAGATTATGTTTGGCCGAGGATTTGACATATCTGGGCTTTGTCTGGCTCGAATATCCGGCTCGGGTCTGGAAAGTAGCTAGGCAGTCTATGCAACCACTATGCAATCACTATGCACAATATGCATCCGTACCTTATTGTCAGCACGGCTTATCGCGTACACCGAGACTCAGTAGTTGAAAGACATACTACCGGACCTGGATAATAAGCACTACGGCGACTACCGTCATAAACAATGACAGCTAATGACGGTCACGTAGGTAGTGTATAATGCACAATATCATTGAATGAAGGCCCCATATGCATTGAGTACAGGATATAGAACAGGCATGGCGACCCGCCATGGATGGTAAAATAATACATGGTTGATAAAAAAAGAAACGCATCGCTTGACACAAAATTCCGTTTTCACCGCTTGACCCAGGTGGGCATCTTGCGGGCCTTGACATGACCCGGCTTCTTCCTCTCCACGCGACGAGCATCGACAGTAATGACGCCAGCTAGAAGAACTTGTTAGTAACAGTCTGAAAAGTAACGCTGGGGAAAACTCACCCTTCCGCAGAACGGGCTTCAAGCCCGGCTCATGCAGCAGCAACGCCCGCGCAATCGCCAAAGTAATAGCCTCCGCCTGGCCAGTCACACCGCCACCTTTGACCGTAATCCAAGCATTATACTTATCCATCCGCTGGGTACTCCGCAGAGCCCACAGGGCACTCTCACGGTCATGAACCCGCTGGAACATTTCAACAAGAGACTTGCCATTGACCATGATCTCGCCCTCGCCCTCGACCAATTGCACAACGGCAGTCGACTCCTTACGCTTGCCCTTCGCCCGAGCCCGACCATTCTCGTCCACGGTGCGCGGCACGTTCTGAGCGGCGTACGGGTTACCCGGTCGCAGGAAGTTGTTCAACTCGGAGCGCACCTCGCCGGGCACCATCTCGGGCTGGATGCGGTTCAGCCGCTGCAGAATCTTGAGCAGCGACTTGTATTTCTTCATCGGCACTGGCTCGCCCACGTAGTCTCGGAATTGGGCCAGCTTGAACCAGGCCATGCGCGGCGCTTCGCCAGCGCCTACTGTGGGGAGCGAGGCGTACTTGGCTTGCAGGGACTCCAGCTTCAGGACATTATCGATAAACCGTGGACTGCCAGAGAAGTAGGATGGTGACGCCGGGACAATTCGGGCGGGCTGGGCGTTGAATCTATCGAAGTTGATCTCCGGTGCGGCTTTCACGGCCGGGGGGATCTCGGACGGGGGAGCCTCTGCCAAAGGAGGAGCTGCTGAAGGGGGTTGGGTCGAGGAAAGTTCAGTGGCAGGAGGTTCAGTGGAAGGAAGGTCGGTGGGAGGCAGGTCGCTCGATGATTGCACATCCCCGGTCGTATTCCCGGTCTCTGTCGCATAGCCACGGGCCTGTCTCCGGAGGGCAGGAGCTGCCAGTCGGTAGGAAGATGGCGAATACAGTCGCAGGGACTGCATTGCCTGGACAATGCCATACGTGGGCCGAGCCATGGTGTTCGATTGTTCCTCGACGAGACGAGCATCGAGTTCAACGGGACGCTGTTTTTCCCGCCACGTGACCCAGCATTATCTGTTACTCCGAAGACCGAGTTCCCCCCATTCGCACAAAATTTCGGTCCTGCCCCTCTCCTTTCCTTTCTTTTCCTCCATCCTCCCCATTCACACCCCTTGCTTTCAAGATGGCTTTCGGAAAGCTCTACGGTCTCCCTGTATGTTCTTGTTCTTGTTCTTGTTCTTTTACTATCTTCGATCTCTTCTGACTCTCCTTTTAGGAAAACGGTCGTACCATCTCCGTCCTGGTCGCTGCTAAGCACAACGGCCTCGACTTGGAGCTGGTCAAGACTGTGCCCAACTCTGCCAACCCTTCCGCTGAGTACCGCAAGATCCAGCCCCTTGGCAAGATCCCTGCCTTCGAGGGCGCCAACGGCTTCAACCTCTCCGAGGTCATCGCCATTGCCATCTATGGTACGTTGTTGACGAGAATTTTGTTTGGGTTTTCTTTCTTTGCAATTGGTCTTTTCCTCTCCGCCACCCGCTTCTATCATGATGAGATATTTTCATTATTACTAGTTATCCCTGTCAGAAATATTCTGTTGATAACCACAAACTCTGACTCAAGAGCGCAAAAAAATGGAGTACCCCGCTTCGGGCGAAAAGTTTTTGGGCATGGATTGTTTCCCCCTTTTTTGGATCACATTGTCCCGCTGGCCTTTCTGATTGCATGATTTTGTTTTGGATCCACCTGTCAAAGCCACAACTAACCTGTTTTGGTTTTATAGTCACCTCCCAGAACGAGAAGACTACCCTCCTGGGTAAGACCAAGCAGGACTATGCCTCCATCGTGAGATGGATGTCCTTCGCTAACAGCGAGCTCCTCACCCACTTCGGTGCCTGGTACCGCCCCCTGCTCGGCCTCGAGCCCTACAACAAGAAGACCGCCGATGAGTCCGCCAAGGTCGCCATCAAGTACATGGCTGTCCTTGAGGAGCACCTCACTGCCAACACCTACCTCGTTGGCGAGCGCATCACCCTGGCTGATCTCTTCACTGCTTCCCTCCTGACCCGTGCCTTTGCCACCGTCCTGGACAAGAAGTTCCGTGACGCCCACCCCGCCGTCTCCCGCTGGTACAACACCATCGTTAACCAGGAGGACTTCAAGGCCGTCCACCAGGCCAAGTTCGTCGACGAGTGCATCAAGTACACTGCCCCCAAGAAGGAGGAGAAGCCCAAGGCTGCTGCCCCCGCCCCTGAGCCCGAGGCTGCCCCCGCTCCCAAGGCCAAGCACCCCCTTGAGGCCCTTGGCAAGCCCACCCTCATCCTCGATGAGTGGAAGCGCCAGTACTCCAACGAGGACACCCGCTCCGTTGCCATGCCCTGGTTCTGGAAGGAGTTCAAGGCCGACGAGTACTCCCTCTGGAAGGTCGCCTACAAGTACAACGACGAGCTCAAGCTCACCTTCATGGCCAACAACCTGATCGGTGGCTTCCACGCCCGTCTTGAGGCTTCCCGCAAGTACCTCTTCGGTTGCCAGCACGTCTTCGGCGCCAACTACGCCTGCGTGATCGAGGGTGTCTTCCTCGTCCGCGGCCAGGAGGCTACCCCTGCCTTCGATGTCGCCCCCGACTGGGAGTCCTACAACTTCGAGAAGCTCGACCCCACATCCGAGGCTGACCGCAAGTACATCGAGGACATCTGGGCCTGGGACACCCCCCTCACCGTTAACGGCAAGGAGCTTCCCTCCGTCGACGGCCACGTCTTCAAATAAGCGTGTGCGGCCGGTTCCTCACCTTCTCTCCGACCCCTGCCATCTCCAAATACCCCGGGCTACCAGACTGGTTTTTGATCGTGTCTTGGCTCCATTCTTTCTCTCTCCCTGTGGGGGATAAAATATTTTATTTTTACGCGCCGATGTGGTTCACGTTCACGGTTATGAAACGTTGTGATGCGAGATGATCGACTTGCATGCCTTGTGTCTAAATGCACCTGGATGCTTGGTCGCTAGCTTTAGCTCTAGAAATGAATTAAAGCTCGGGACTTGTCCCTGATGAATATATCATGCTCAGCGTAGTTGTATTGTGAAGACCGTGGTCAATTCAAGTCTGTTTAACTTGTAATGTTGAACCGGTATGTGGCTAAAGTTTTGGAAGTGTATCTATCATGTTGGAAATGCCTTTGATGGTGCATATCAGAATGATACCAAATTTAACAGTTGAAAACATCTGGCCAGTCACTCTTCGTCTTCTCCAAAACTTGGGCAAGGTCTCCTGACACCCCGGTAGACTTGGAGTTTGTAGAAGTCTGTGTCTGCCACTGTAGCTCAAACTCCAACAAGCCTGCTTCGAAAGCAGTTTCATTGTACTGGGAAGCGGGGGTAGAGGCTAGATAGCTCACGAATAGTTCCCAGCGAGGCTTGTAATACGACGAGACTAGTCCAGCCCATGACTTCGAGGCGTAATCACTGATTTGACCGGTGGGACCCCACAGCGTGATCTGGTTCCGGGCATCGTACTCGTAGAAATCGGCCAGGGTGTCATTGTCTCCAGCTAATGACCGAGCCGCTTGGATCCAGGAGTTCAAACGGAAACTCTTGTTCGTGGATAAAACAGAGTCTAGGGCCGAGAGCAAAGCCGTCAACTTCTGGCCAGCAGCGATAATACTGGCCGTTGTCGCATTTCCACTTGTGTATGTTGATACCATTTTCTCATAAAGAGGAATAAAAGCGTTCGCTAGAACTTGACGTGTTATGTCAACCATGTCATGTTGGTAGGATGGGTCGAGCCACAGGGAATTCTCAATACGTGCAGCGTCATAGAAAAGTCGCCAGGCATCCACAACAACGGATGGGTTGTAGTTGATAGTGGTAGGATGGTGCCCAGTTCGATTGACCAAGCCAGATGTGCTCGGTATCAACTCCAGAATCGACTTGGGGACTGCACTGGAGGAAAGATTGGTGTTGTTGTAGACGGTAGGCCTCATAATTTCCCAAGCCTGGTAAATAGCGTCGGGTACGTATCTCGCGCCGGTATAACGGGTTGTCACCCAGTCGTGGAAATACTCCGCAGTCTCAATTGGGGTTTCCGACCATGCCTGATCCAAAAACAGATCGTAGACAATCTCATTGCCCTCCTCGCCTTCCATGGTCAAACCAAATCCCACCAGAGATGATGAATTAGCCAACGCCTCCACTGGGTTCACTGTAATGTTCATGATCTGTCCATAGAGACCCATATTCTGTCCGTAATCATGTAACATGCACCAAATCCAAGGCTTTCCGTAGTAGGAGTCGAATTTCTGCCACTGCGGTTGTGACTCGGAAAACAAATCCAAAATGATCATATCGCTGTCTGATTCAACACCAGACAGGTATGCTTTCACGCGGGCATCGGTCCAGAATTCAGAGTTTGAATAGAACTGCCATCCCTGCGTTATCCACACAGCATCCGGGTCGGCGGCCTTCAGACTATTCAATGTATTGCGGGTGACATTCTGAAGGTATTCTTCGTCTCCAGAGTAAGGGTCGTTCTCATTATACTGATCAATGGCATAAATGTGAGTCACATTGCCGTATGCCTCCCGCTGTTTAGCAAGAAAGCGGCTTTGAAGAATCGCAAATTCGGCATCGAAGGGCTCCAGGAAGGTAACATTGGTGTACTGGGAGGGGAAATCTTCCCACTGAGACCCATTCACCACTGTCGCATTTGGTGAGACTCTGGAGAATGCACGAGGGACAAAGCCTGCGAAGGCTGGTAAGATGGGAGTCATTCCAAGTTCAACCATCCGAGCCACGATCTTCTTCTGTAGCTCAAATTGGCTATCAATCCAAGCGGATGGGAGTTCCTCCCCCCAAGATCCCTGAATGTTTCCAAAGTGATTCCACGATAGAAAGGCGGGACCAGCCAAGAAGGAGGCGATTTCACTATCGGTCAACCCAATCTCGCGGAATACCTCGACGGCAATCTTCTCTTCTCCTACCCAGGCTAAAGGTAGGTTGATGCCGCGCAATGCCATCCAGTCGAGCTGGAGCTCCCAGTCCTCCCATGACCAGAAAGCAGACGTGTAAGAGAAGGTGACTGTATTGAAGTGATATCTCCAGGGAACAATGCTTGAACCCGTCAAGGGCTGGGAAAGACGGGGCAGAGTTGCAACTTCATCCAGCCGGCTTCCAATGAACCAATAGATGTCAACATGAGCTATATCCGACAAATACCGATGCAGACTAAGATATGTTAGATATATCATGCCAAAAGTACAAGGATAACAGTGCATACCCAGATGAGAGTGCGCTCAATGAGTTACCTTCCACTACTACCTTGCCATTGACAGTGGTAGAAACGATAAATTCATCGTATTTTTTGGAGCTCTCAGTGATGTTTCTCAGGGAAAATTGGAAATTATCGGCATGGTTGGGCAAACGTCTCTTGACGAGGTTGTAGATGCCGTCTGTGGATTGGGCGACCACGTAAGAGGTAGAGAATAGTGCCAACAAACAATACGTTATCGCATGCATCTTGAAGGCAAAGAAGAAATTTAGAGAAGCCACGACAAAAAAGGTGGAGAAACTTGGGGCAGAAAGCCAGTTTTTAGACGCAGAACTTTCCCCCTTTGGCTAGGCAGAGCACGTGCGGCATTGACTCGTCCTTCGAAGATTCGGATGTCCAAGCTAGATAAGCGTCTTCAATTGATCTAACGGTCCTTTCTAGCCCCACTTAGATCCCCACGTGTTTCAAGAGTCACTGCTCATAGAGCTATACCTTAGTCCCACGGGCATCTTCCGAAGGTAGATTTCACAGGATGTAGTAAGATCAGTAGAAGCCCACTTTTATTACAAGGCTTCCTGGCATTAAGTACTCCGTAAATCATGCATCTACTCTGTAGACCGTGCATCCATGTAGGGTAGGGGTCGAGTGGTATAGATCAGTGCTTTAAAGCTAAGCAGGTGAGCTGGGGAATCAACGGTAAGGACTGTTCGGCGTTGAAGGGCGACCTTGTTGATGTTACGGCATATGTATGGATAATGCCTGACAAATTTTGGCTTTCCTTTTCCATTTTAGTGCTCATCCCCCCGCCGCTTTTTGCTCACTGAGTAAAATTGAGCACACCCCTGAGGAGGAGCTTGAGTTGGTCAGTTGGTATTACATAAGCGTAAATTCCCACTCACTGAGCCTGGCCTAAGGGAAGGGATGAGTGGCTTGAGTAAGCCCACCTCAATAAAATTTAAATATCAATAATCTTTTCTATTAGGGGTAACATCAGTGACTTTAATTGGGAGAGATAAAAAGGAGAAGACAGACTTCTTCCCCCCACCTCCCCCTGGAATCAAACCGATGAATGCTTAGAAGGCTGTCAAAATCTACCGATCAACGGCCGATCCTTGCTTAGCATGCCAGAAGGGCCTGGCCAGCTCGTGTCTAAACAAGTGAGGACCATGTGTAAAGAAAGGTACCATGACCTATACTCTACCTTACTGAAAAGATCCTGCTTCAATTGAACACACAGCGATCATCGCCGCCTCTCAAATGAACTATCGATTCTCTGGTGGGTCTTAAATCGAATTATAGCGCTAAGCCATAAGCCTCGATCCCCACATATTCTGTGGCGAGCTGACATTCCACCGCTTAGCCAATCCTATACCCAAATCAGGAAGGGATTGGATCAAGCTAGATACGATAAACTAAGTTTGAGTTATGCATATTGATCGGAGTCTTGGCCCCGCCTAGATCGGAGTTAATCGGGGGAGGCTGTACTTGTCCTGTTCCCATGTTACAGAAGACTTGGCACTCGCCCTCAATCTAGACCCGTCAAGACGCCAAGGAGAGTCCAAATTTGGACCTAAGACCCTCTTGGGTAATATTTCAAGGTATAAGTAGCCCTGAAAAGGTAATTCTCCACTTATAAACCGTGTTTATATAGGCTCATGCAAGGGGGCCCTCCGGCCAGATGTACTAGCAATGTACGGCTCTCAAAATATCCTGTAGAACTCTCATGATGACTCCAAATGCACTACTTTAGCTAGCTTATAGGGCTAGCAGAAGGCGGGCTTCCTGCTTAATACAATCTCGGCTTAGTTAGGTGCGATTTGGAGGCATAGTGGTAGATAGTAGGTAGAAGCAAGCGTCAGGACGTGATTATCTAGCTATGTGGTGGCTACTGGTTTGGCCAGGAGGCGTGCAAACTAGGGCACTAGGTCAAAAAAGCTAATCTCTTTTTGTCTAACATTAAAATACCTTCTGCAGATGGCGTCCTAGGTGGCGTCTTTCGAAAACAGGGGGATTTTCTAAGTATTTGCAGTTTAAACAGAGTTGCTCACCCCAGGATCTGGGTTAATCACCTGCCAAGCCATGGGGGAATCCGGACAGTATCAGCCATTGAGCACCGAGGAGCCAGAGCTACCTGGGCTAGCCATCTACGACTCCCAGCCGGCTGCTGCACCCCGAACGCTTATTGATATCCTGCACGACTCCTTCAAAGCCTATTTTCAGCATCCTGCCATTGACAATGGTCAGACGAGTCTTACCTATGGTCAGCTACAAGAAGAGATCGCCATTCACGTTGAAACACTACGAGCGTCTCAGATTGGTGTGGGCGATCGCGTGGGCATTCGCATGACTTCTGGGACCCTCGACCTCTACGTCAGTATCTTGGCAGTTTTAACTGCAGGAGCAGCATATGTCCCGGTCGATGTCGATGACCCGGATGAACGAGCAAATACAGTATGGGCTGAGGCCTGCGTGTGTGCAGTCTTGACCGACGGCCCACAATTGACAACCTACGCCTCTTTGGCTCAATCGAAATTCAAAAACCCTACCACAGATGACACGGCCTGGATCATTCATACTTCTGGGTCGACGGGCAAACCAAAGGGGGTAGCTGTCACGCATGGCAGTGCAGCTGCATTTGTCGACGCAGAGGCTCAGTTATTCCTACCAGACCGACCAATTCGCCCTGGTGACCGAGTCCTAGCCGGACTGTCGGTCGCTTTTGATGCATCATGTGAAGAAATGTGGCTAGCATGGCGGAATGGCGCCTGCCTCGTTCCAGCACCTCGCTCGTTGGTCAAGGCAGGCGTGGATCTAGGCGCTTTTTTGATTCAACAATCTATATCCGTCGTCTCAACAGTCCCGACTCTGGCAGCAATGTGGCCATCAGAAGCTCTACAAAAGGTTCGACTATTGATCCTGGGTGGGGAGGCCTGTCCCGCAGAGCTAGTCAGCCGTCTCTCAAGCAGTCGACGAACTATATGGAACACGTATGGCCCAACAGAAGCGACGGTAGTATCCTGCGCAACTCCCTTGATAGCCGGTCAATTGGTTCGTATTGGACTTCCGTTGGCTGGCTGGCAACTCGCTGTCGTAGGACTAGACGGCAAGCCTGTAGCGTGGGGTGAGACTGGGGAACTAGTCATTACCGGTGCCGGCTTGGCTCGCTATCTGGACATCGAGAAGGACAAGGTCAAATTTGCACCATTGTCATCCATCGGTTGGCCACGAGCATACTGGACCGGCGATTTGGTTCGTGCAGACCAACAGGGATTGGTTTTCATGGGTCGAAATGACGAGCAGGTCAAGTTAGGAGGCCGTCGTGTTGAGTTAGGTGAGATTGACGCCACCCTGATGATGCTTCCTGGCGTTAGGGCAGCTGCTAGCGCAATCCGTCGATGCGAGACGGGCCCACCGCTCCTCATTGGCTATATTGTTCGAGATATCGCTGCCAACAACGCCGATCGCGACTTTTTACGAGACCACTTGCCTGCAGCTTTGGTTCCTTTTTTGATCAATTTGAAGCAAATTCCTTTACGGACTTCCGGCAAGGTGGATCGTGAAGCGTTGCCGTGGCCGCCTCCATCAGTCGACCAAAGAGCATTCGAAGACAGCGCGGGCTGGTTAGCCAAACAGTGGCAGAATGTGCTCGGGATACCTATCCGGGACAACCACAGTTTTTTCGATATTGGCGGTACTAGCCTTGCAGCAGCACAGCTTGTCTCGTTGCTTCGTCGGCGATGCCCTGGCTTTTCGGTGGCAGACATTTACCAGCACTCAACCTTGTTCGAAATGGCCCATCGAGTGGATCAACTCACAAACACTCATCAAAGCATGCGAGTAGTAAAGCCAACTCCAACATGGACGGGATATGTCCAATTTGGGACCCTCCTGGTTTTGCTCGGCTTTGAGAGCTTCCGCTGGTTTGTCGTGCTGGGCCTTTTCAAAGCATCAGCCACCTTTTTCATGGGTCCACTTCCCTGGATCGAGGCACTCTTGATTCCAAATTGGGTCCTTTTAATATCTTGGATGCTTTTTGTAAACATGCCCGGCAGAGTAGTGACCGCAGCTACTGTGGGACGAATTCTTACGGCTGGCATCAGACCAGGCAATTACGATCGAGGCGGGTGGGTACATCTTCGACTGTGGGCAGCTGAACGATTTACAAGTATGAGTGGAATCAATCCCATCATCGGCACGCAGTGGTGTCGCCGCTACGCCTGGCTTCTTGGCTGTCAAGTGGACCCGAGTGCTCAAATCCATGCTCTACCGCCAATTACAGGCCTTGCCAGCTATGGGGCGTCTAGCGTTGTCGAACCGGATGCGGACATCACAGGGTACTGGGTGGATGGAGACATTTTGCGGATTGGGACCATTGAGATATCCACAGGCGCTCGAGTGAGTACCCGGGCCGTATTGCTTCCAGGAACCATAGTCGAGCCTTTTGCAGAAGTGCCGCCGGGTGTCTGCGTCGGTGGGACGGTCAAGAGCGGCAAGATCGTTCCTGGTGAGAGGTACACTGCCGAGCGAGATGGTGCCTGGGCAATGCTGCGTTACACCTTGACGCTGCTGCTAGTCGAAGCCTTACCAGCCATAGGTGCCATGCCCGCAGTGGCACTCTGTGCATATGTCTTGCGGAACCGCGAAGCCTTGGAAGGTTTGGTAGTTACTGTATTGATCCTGGCGGTACCCGTCACCGTGATGACTATTATCTCCTATGCGGCTCTGTTAACCGTCTTGATTCGATTTGCTGCACGGTACATGGCGCCTGGTATCTATTCCAGCCATGGTGTCCATGCCTGGGCTGCTTGGTTAACCCATCGACTCATGAACGACGCCCGAAATGGTCTCTTTCTCTTTTACGCCAGTTTGCTGACGCCGGTGTGGCTTCGCGTGCTGGGCGCTCGCATTGGTCAAGGAGTAGAAGCGTCAACTATAGTGGCACCACCATCACTCCTCCATGCAGACAGAGGGTCGTTTTTGGCCGATGATGTGATGCTGGCACCATTTGAGCTTCGGAGAGACAACCTTGTGCTGGGTATATCGTCGGTAGGACAGAGAGCATTTGTGGGCAACTCTGGAATTGTCGGGCCAGACCACTCTACTCCAGATGATTCGTTGGTTGGCGTCTTGGGAAGTGCTCCGCTTCCGTCGCAAATGCCCCCTGGTTCATCTTGGCTCGGACGACCAGCCATATCAATCCCTCGTCGTAGCGACGTCTTGGCCGACCCTAGGCTGACCTTCGACCCAACATTGAGACTGAAGATTGCGAGAGGCGCAGTCGAGTCGATGCGGGTCATTCCGTTGCTCATCTCGGCACTCTTGATAGAGTTAATTACGGCTGGTATAATTACAGCCCTGAACTATTGGGGCTTGACCATTGCGATCGTTGCAGGAGGGGTGTTGCTTTTCGCAGCAGGAGCTGCGGCGTGCCTGTTGGCAACAGCTGCCAAATGGGTGTTGACACCTAATGTTGCAGCTGGCCATCAGCACCCGCTATGGAGCTCGTTTGTGTGGCGGAATGAGCTAGCTTCGACCTTTGTTGAATCACTGGCACTGCCATGGATGCTTCGCCTGCTGTATGGGACCCCTCTATTGAACATGTGGCTGCGGACGATGGGAGCTGAAATTGGAAGAGGGGTTTGGTGCGAGACACATCGTTTCCCCGAGGCCGAACTAGTGAGTCTGGGAGACGGTGTCACGATCAATCGCCAATCCGTGTTGCAGACTCATCTGTTTCACGACCGACTGATGCGGCTGGACCAAGTGACATTAAAGGACGGAGCCACATTGGGGCCCGCTGCTATCCCCTTGCCTGGGACAATTATTGGATCCGGTACAACAATTGGTCCTCTTTCTCTGGTCATGCGAGGAGAGCAAGTTCCTGATGGCACTCGTTGGCTTGGGAACCCAATTTGGCCATGGGAAACTACGCCTAGGAGTACGCTGGATAGTTTTTCAATTTAGCATCATACATCATGCATCTGGTTGGTAGTTTTCCATCCAGTACCATCAGCGGTGAATCGAGGGAGAATAAGTGAATTTATGTTGATGTCAAGAGGTTGAAAGGCGCCAAGAGGCACGCGGGGAAAAGGTTCAAACAATCTCGGTGTATACTATTAGTCATTGGAAGCTTCTTGTGTTTTTCCTTAAGTAGTGGGCTCCGAGGATATAGCTATTCTTTTCTCGCTATAGACGGGGCCTATTACGAATTCCAGCACTAGAGCTACGCAACGGGTTCCTCTGCATAGTAGGTAGACCTGGCACTCACCCGGGCGCCCGCGTGGGAATTCGGGGCGTCCCTGTAGTGCCATCCGCCATTAAATTCCCCCTTAGCTACGGAGTACGCTCCGCCGCATAGCCACCCCTCGCGACCTTTTTCTACCCCCGGCCATCTGCAACCTCGCACCTCTTTGTTTCTTTTCATTCTTCGGAAATCAGCCATTTCCGCTCAGTTGAGACCCTGGCTTTAGTCCCCACGGAGTCGCTATGCCAGACGAAGAGCAGCATGAAGCCTCAACGAGGAACGCCGCTCGACCTGACAATGCGGAACCCAAAGACGAAAGGGCCAAGGAGGTCCGACTGCTCGATCGCTTCACATGGGCTAACTTCACCTGCACTCAGTCTACCGGCGGCGTGGCCATTCTCCTGTCCGAAACCCCCCATCAATTTCGCGGGCTGCAGACAGCCGGTGTTGTAGTCTTCATCCTCAACCTAGTTCTGTTCGTCCTCTTCACCACAGCCATTATCTGTCGGTTCGTAAAGAGACCTTCCAACTTCCGCAAATCTGTAACGAGCCCCCCGGAAGCCTACTTCACAGGCTCTCTATGGCTCTCGATGGCGACTATCATCATGTGCATGCAGCGTTTCGGTGTTCCTCACGCCGGTCCTTGGATCATCGTCGCCGTCCGGGTTCTCTTCTGGACCTATGCTGCTATCACCCTGGCGTATAGCATCGTTACCTTCGTCGTCATGTTTGTCGTTTGCCCCCTCAAGCCTGGCACCATGAGCCCACCAATGTTCCTGATGATTTATAACGCCATGCTGACCGGCACTGTCGCGTCGTCTATTGCAGCATATCAGCCGCTCTCACAACGAATGGCCATCATCGTTGCCGGCATTGCTTTTCAGGGCCTTGGGTGGATCTTGTGTACTTTGTTTCTTCCGCTCTTCATGGGCAACATGCTTATCAATGGTCTCGGCCCGGTAAACCAGAGACCCGGACTCTTTATATCCGTAGGTTCATCAGGATACACCATTGTGGCTCTCATTGGGTGCGCCAAGGTGATCCCCGACGGATACGGATACTTTGCGAAGCACCCTACTGCTTCAGAAACCCTGAACGTCATGGCATTGTGGATAGGCATATTTCTCTGGCTCTTCACATTCTGGCTTTTCGCGATTGCGCTGGTCGCTCATTTGCCCATTATGATTTCCAAATACGGCAATAATATGTCGCAGTCACAGATGAGTTTCACACTTCCTTGGTGGGCCATTATCTTCCCCAATGTTGGCTTCACAATGGCCACGATTCGCATTGGCCAGGAGCTGGAATCCAACGCCATAGCTTGGGTGGCAACAGTCATGACTATGCTAGTCTTTGCGGCATGGCTTATGGACTTATTCCTGCATCTAAAGTCTATATTTCAAAGACGCATCATGTAAAAAATGTTCGCAAATAGACAATGCATTTCGTGCCAGAGTACCTTCAGTGCTTCATGCTCCAAATCGGGCCAAGTGATCGTATATGATTTGCTCTTACAGTGGCGACCAGTGGGCGAATTTTATGCGAGGTCGCACAGGAGAGCATCTCCTAATAAACAGCCCGGGCTGGGACAATAGAAACTTGAATATGGACTCATTTCAGAATAATCGTAATGTAAGATAACTAGAATTTCCATCCGAAACATAGGAACATTTCCCCTTGTTGAAGAGAGAGAACAGCGCAAATAGCATTTCCCCTTTGTTGAAAAGAGAGAAACTGTTCAGTATCCCTTCACCTGCAATCCTACTGGCTCGTGTAGGTCGTCACCAGCCTTCTAGGACTCGAGAACCGAAGGGATATCGATACACTTGGGGAACAGCTCGATCGAGCGCTGGCTCCACCAAGGGTTCTTCGCGGCGATCGAGATCAAGTCTCTCCCCTCCACGTCGGAGTATTTCCCTAGGTAATACGCAATATAAATTGTAAAAAAGTGCGTAAAGAAGAACTTTTTGAAGAAATTGTCCTGGTCAATGTCGATATTGACAAATTCGATGTTACGGTTCTGAGGGACTTCCTTTCTACCGAACAGCCCTTCCAGGGTCTGGATCTTATTCCGCGTGTAGTCGTCGGCATTGGAGTCGCAGAAGGTGACGATGGCCTGCTTGTTGGCCGGGTCGGAATAGGCAGCCACTTCGGTGTGGGAGAATTCGTGCAGGAGGTTTCTGTGAGTCGGCACCATGGCGATTTCGTTGAAAAACATGGTTGTCTGCTTGAGGAGGGTGACGTACCAGTCCGCCGTGCTCAGCAGGACGATCCGGCTCCCCCTCAGCTTCTCGGCAATGGCCTCTGCTCGCTTGAGGGTTTCCTCGTGGAACTCGGCTTTCAGGAACTTGACCGAGTCCTCGAGCTCGGATTGATATGAGGACTTTGTGATCTTCAGCTTGTGGAAGAGATCGAGGAATATCGAGAAGAACTGCTGGACGTGATAGAGAGGGTATTCACGGTCGGCATGCCTTAGCTTATACTGGATCAGCGAGGTGCCGTGCTCCTTGCACAGATCGGCAATCTTCCCGCCTCCAGATAGAACGATCAGGTTTCTGTTTCCTGTCATCTTTCGCATGGTCTCGAAGAACAGGCACGGCTCGACCGACCAGCCGCTATAGCAGACGATGATCGTCAGCGTGGAGTCGTCTTTCAGGGTATCTCTGTCGATAAACCAGTCGCTGTCGTAGTCGTTAACGACTTGGACGTGTATCGGGATGTGCTCCGTTAGAAAGAATCCCTTGACGATGTCGGACACCACCGAGGAGCATCCCATCCCATAGAAGACAATCCTCTTGAACTGCCTGGACTCGATCTTCTTACGCAGACTGTTGTCCAGTCCACCTAGGTCGTACTCGTGGCCCCATAGTATGCTTTCGAAGAGAGGATCGCCGAGCATTTGCTCGAGACGCTCTAAGCGTGGCTGCATTACTGCTTCTTGATTCTGGAACGTGGTCTTGAATGAGAAAAGCCCAAGGTAAGGGGCTTATCAATGGTATATAACAGGTTATAATAGTTTAGCCTGTCTCTGTAGTCGAAAAGATTGCACCTTGTACAGCGGATATAGCAGTATAGCGATGGAGGAGAGAGATCAGGAACTTGAAATCTCAATAAGGAGTCTATCTGGGGTTCTCATACAATTATATAGGCATATTTGATCCCTCGCCTTATTCTCAATGACCTGTAGTATGCCTTAGTCAGAAGGTGCCTGTGAACGCGGAGTTCACATGCGTGTACTAATGGTATTTTTGGGATGATGGAAGGATTCTCCTTGGCACGTTAAAGCCAAGCTCTTGGTATAGCTGTCATCACCCATCCGCCACTCGCGACAAACAAGTCTCAGACCATCGGCCCTTCCGCAACTCCAGACTTTGCCATCGCTCGCACCCTCGACCAATCGGCCTCTAGTATCTCGACTGGCCTCGCTATTACGATGATCACGCACCGAGAATCTCGCCGATTTCCACATCCAGCCCCTCGAGCCGTACCGCCAATACTACCCCGGTGATATCGTGGAGGGTCTCATGATACTAACTGTCGCCAAGCATACGTATCACGCATATTAATATTGCTCTATATGGCTTTTTCCGCATATTCAAGAGCCCTAGTGCTCACTTGACTGCGCAATAATTGCCTCTCCCTCTCTATCGAAATTCCTCATACGAGGCCATGCATATCTACCTATTTAAGGGACCAATAGATAAATATCTCATATGATGGTGTATTCTGCTATACTATGCCGCCACATCCGAACCCTGCATATTCTCCGCCCTAAATAGCTAGCCAGAGCATAGATTGCCCGGCTAGCTACGGACACATCTGCCTGCCTATTAGACCTGGCACTGACCCTCAATTTGGACCCGCCAAGACGCCAAGAAGGGTCCGAATTTTGACCTTGGACCTCTTAGGTAATAATTTAAAGTATAAATGGGCCTTAGTAGGTAATTTTCTGCTTATAAAGGGTCTTTTATACACGCTTATGCAAAGAGGAACTCTCAATGAGGGTCCCTTGGTGGGTGGAGAGTGCCGACCTTGGACCCTCCGGCCAGGTCTGCTGTGATGGACCAATAGAAATCTATCCTTATCGTCAGCTGTCATGCACATCTACCTATTAAGGAACCAATAGATAAATATCTCATAAAAAAACCATTTATTCAGCTACACTACGCCGCCATATCCCGAACCCCGCATATTCACCTCCCGGCGACGTTTGACGGCAACCCACTGCCGTTATTCCGGGCCATTCACGCGTGCAGGCGGACAGCGCTAGCGGCGATAAGGCTCCACCCTGGCCCGTGCCGCCCGAGGAACAGACAGCGCCACCCCGCTATATTGATTGGATCACGTTCGGATACCCTCTTCCTTGCAGTATAAACATAGTCAGACGTAATACCATTGTCTGTTTTACACCAAATATAGCTACATGAGCCATTTCCCGCATTTTTCTGTCCCAACTCTGCATTTTACTCTTTTTTCTCTCCTACACTTTCAACTAAAGCCAACCCCAAGTCCCAGTGAAACTCTCAACCTCGCCATAGAGACTAGAATGGAGCCTGAAGTTGATCAACGCTCTCTAGAGGCGTCCAAGTTGGCGTTGAATCCTTTCCGCGATGCGAATAATTGGGTTCCTTTATTGCAAGAGCCCGCATACAAACCTCGACGCATACGTATTGTGTGTGTCGGGGCCGGGTACTCCGGTCTGATGACAGCATACGAGGTTAAATACAATAAGGCTCTTGAAGGCTTTATCGATTTGACCATCTATGACAAGAATGAAGATGTTGGTGGAACATGGCTGGAGAATAGATATCCTGGAGTTGCAGTGCGTCGTTCGATGGTAGACTCAACAGCCTTATTAGCTGACGTTTGAGAGCTTAGTGCGATGTTCCCGCGCATATATACACCTTCCCTTTTGAGCCCAACCCGGACTGGTCTACATTTTACGCTTCAGGCCCCGAGATCTGGTCCTATATAAAGAGAACATCAGATAAATATGGTCTAGCTGAACATGTCCAACTTCAATCGAAAGTAGTCCAAGCGACCTGGGACGAGTCTTCGAGTAAGTGGCGTCTCAAGATTCGACAAGACGGTGAAGAAAAAGAAGACGAATGTAACATATTGATCGACGGGTCGGGCTTCTTGAAGTATGAACAAAGCAACCATTGAGGTTTCATAAAACTAATCTTACTAGTAACTGGAAATGGCCTGGTATCGAGGGTCTTCATGATTTCAAAGGGGAGCTTATTCATACTGCAAATTGGTGTGTCTCTCTGCCTTCGTGTCGATATACGTCATTGGTCTAATAAAAGTGATCTAGGAACCCTTCTATCAATGTGGCCGGCAAGAAAGTCGCGGTGATTGGCAACGGCGCTTCCGCTATCCAAGTGCTCCCGCAGCTGCAGAAGACCGCATCTCGGTTAACCAACTACATCCGTTCCCCTACATGGATATTTTCTAATCATGCGGCTGAGCTTACAAAAGACGGAACCAATTTTGCATTCACCGAAGAAGAGAAGAAGGGGTTTCGTGATAACCCTGCCTCGCTCTTTAAGCTTCGTCAGGAGATCGAGCGCAGGTACGTCAACACTTTCCGGCGGCAGCATAACGATTCTTTTCCAATCGTAGTAACTTCAATATAGTGAAGACAACTTCTTCAAAGTCTTCTTCAAGGATTCGGCAGCTCAAAGAGCTGCTCTTGCGCAGGCACATGCATCGATGCGAGAGCGGCTCGGGAACGATGAAGAGCTCTGCGACAAGCTGATTCCACACTATGAGCTTGGATGCCGACGCGCAACGCCGGGCGATGGGTATCTCGAGGCTCTACGTGAGAAAAATGCAAGGGTCAATGTCAATCCAATAGTCCAAATTACAGAATCTGGGATTCAAACAACCCATGAGCACACCAAATTCGATATCATCGTCTGCGCAACTGGATTCGACGTTAGTTACCGCCCCTCATGGACCGTGCAAGGGCGGAATGGACATCAACTCAATCTCGCATGGAGTGACTCACCAGAAGCATATTTTGGGATCGCAGCGGCCAACACTCCAAACTATTTCATCTTCAATGGTCCCAATAGTCCCGGTAAGCGTCCCCTCGTTAGTGAAAGGCAGATCACTAACGGCCGGTAGTGGGTCATGGCTCTCTCCTAGAGAGCGTATTCTACGTGGCGAAATGGATATTGAAGTGGTGTCGGAAGATGGCTACGGAAGATATCAAGTATATTTCGGATTCTGTTTGTGTGATTGTAAAACCTGCTGACATTGTCATAGGTCAATTTGTGTGAAACAAGAAGCTCTGGATGACTATAACACATATTCGCAAGAATTTCTCAAGGGCATGGTGTGGTCTGGGTCATGCCAAAGTTGGTACAAGAATGGTAAGTCAGATGGGCGCGTTACCGCTCTGTACGCTGGAAGCCGGCTTCAGTTTAGAGGTATGACAAGATGAACTCCTAACTGTGAAATAAGAAAACCTTATGTTTGCTAATGCAAAGAATTCACGTCAGAAATTCTGGAAAGTTTTAGGACGGAGGATTTTGACATCGAATATGGATCAGTGAATAGATTTCGCTTCATGGGCAACGGAAGGACACTAAGAGAGGCAAGAGGAGAAGACTTGTCGTACCGTATGGAAAATTGAAGCCTGGTCTCTAATAATCTGGGAAGTCCGAGAGTGCTGGAAACACGACGGGAAGTCCCACCGGTTATTAAAACGTCGAGTCTTACTGTAATAGACAAGATGCCGCTGGTGTTTTACAGTAATAAGGCTAATCCAACGAGCTTAGGGTTGAACCTGCTAGTATTGCATTGTTTCCTAATACTATGACTGATTCCCCAAGAGCAAGGGGGATCAGGGCGTAGCTAGTTACAGATATCCTTGGTGCAGCTATTGCCTGAATAACTAGATATTCCAGTCCAAGAGGCAACCTCCGTAGGGCATGTGTGGCGCTATACGGCGCCACTGCGCCGTAGCCGTACGAATCGTATTCCGACACTTAGCATTTCAGATTGATCCCCTGCCTCTTCTCCCCTTCCCTGTGTTCAAACATAATCTGCGCGCTTATAAAAAGGCACATCACAGCCGCCGTGACGAAGCCGGCATTAGACCAGCCTGCGAAGATGCCTTTGACCATCTCTTTGACATCATCGACACCCATTACGAAACCTACGAGGCTTGCGACCATCATCATAAGGATGTTGCCCACTGCCCCGATGCCACAAAGGACCCTGAACGTCTTTGGCCAGTCCTTCCACTTGCGTCTTGGGAAGATAATTATAGCGATCACCTCAGGCAAGATGAACAAAGTGGTTAGCCAACCCCACGCTAGCAGACGCAGGTTGATGTCGTGCCAAAGGGCGATGAAGGTGAATACTGCCAGGAAATTCACCATGGTTCTGACCTTGCTATCTCCGTTACCGCCAAGAGGAATGTAGATATACCGGACAATCCACCTATTCAGGCTTCGATGCCAGCCACGCCAAAATGCTAGTGTCGAATAATTGTCAGACATACATCTGACCATGTTTTCTGGCACGTCAAGTCCATCGACCAAGGTCCACAGTCGGAAGAAACGCCAAGGGATAAGCAGCTTCAGCCAGACGGCGTGCAGGTTGAAATATCCAAGCATGGCGAGCTGGTAGGGAGTATACTGTGTCCATGAAGGCGAACTCTTGATTATCGCCACTGCTTAAGAGTAATGCAGAACCAGTTCCATACAAAGGAGGGCGATGAGGAAGCGCAGGCCGTAGAGAGAGGTCCTGACCGTGGTTGTGGTCGGCAGACAACTTCGTGATTGAAAGACGAAGTCGTTGAAACTCAAAATCGGACCAGCAAGGTAAAGAGGTGAGTATAGCGTATAGGCAAAGTAAGTTTTGAGGTTAAAGTCCCGTAAAGCGGCGCCATATGAGACTCGATCGCGTTCGCTATGGATCAAAGCGGCTTCATGCTTATTCTGAGGTTGAATTAGCGATTATCGTCGAGGCTTGCATGAATTCAATACTGACCTCGATTAAATTCGAGCTACCCTCTGCTTGAGCCCAATAGTAGTCCAAATTGAATGAGATCAGGCGTAATATTGAGATTTTAAAGAGCACCTCCCACCGAGGGATGAGACCACTGTAGCTGTCGATTTTTGCACCAATATCTTGCGCAGCCTTCACATCCGGCAATAAAACCCGAGCGATCATGGCGAAGGGGTATCCGCGGCAAAAGTCGTTCGCGAACAGAATACCAAAATTGAAGACCCAGGTGGCGACAGGCACGTGGCTTCTGGAAAGCCGTGTCGCAATCTTGAAGTTGGTATAGAAGATCAGAAAAACTTTTGCTGCCGAAACGCCATGCAGCACCATGAGAAAGATAATCCCGAAGCCAAAATCAAAAGAGGTCCGATGTTGCAGTCTGGCATCTGCAACGGCCAACGGGGATGGGTCATGGCAAAGACTAGTGTTGCTGCCATCCAGAAACTTGTAATTGTCAATTCGCCAGAATATGCCATACAGCTTGCGAAACAATGGATGCAGTATAAGAAGGGTTATCAGGTAAGGGAGGTTGTCCCGAAAATTAGCGTACTGTTCGTCAGAATTGTCAATCTGGCGACCAGGGATCCAGCCCGGAGACAATATCTTCGAGAAAGAGTCCCAGTCAGGACTTCCCGGCTTCGATATGTCATAGACCTGCTTCACCATCGTCGGAACAACGATGACGAAGACAAGATAATAGATACAGTACTCGATTGTCCACCATTTAGATGGATTCGTGCCGGGTAAGGGTGAACGCTTGTCTAGCTTTGGAGCAGAAATTCTGAAAGGGTCACTTGCAGAGCTCTGAGACGCTGTAGTCGATCTTGCAAAGCGCGTATCAAGGGTTTCCAAGGAGTAGAGCGACTTCAAAAAGTTAATCAGCCACTGCATCGTGCTATACTGGGCCGATAACTTCGTATCAGCGGATTTGAGAAACATATATTTCTATAGTATGTCTAGAGTCTGCTGAGTGTAGAATACATCGTGTTCCTTTCAACGAGGCTCGGAGATATTTTCAGAATTGTCCCGTGATTCACAAATCCTAACGTTAGTCCGTAAGATAAGCAACCAATGGGGTGATCTCGACGTTGTAACAGTATGGTATTTTTTCATCTATGCAGGGGAGTGTAAGTGAAGATTGTGTGTGGCGAGAAGATCAAGCCGTACAGTACAGTAAAGGAGTTAAATGGGGGGAACTTCGCAGGTTGTTAGGATTTCCCCCTTTGTTTGGCCTTCGTGCATGGAAGATTCTATCAGATTATAATAATGAACAATCCGTACTTACTAAACACTACAATACAACCTGACATGGATTATCCCAGGAATGGCTAAATTTAGACGCGTGTTTCAAGCTAATATGCGGGGTGAGCATGCCCGACTAGGCTCCTCTGTGGCATCTACTATCTTGAGTATATGATTTACACTCCTTCTGATTATGAAGATACCTACCGACCTGCACTGCCTGTTTTCTAGGAACGAACACCTTCGTATGCTTCCACCCTTGGTTATCTTGACCTTGAATGCCCCCGAAGAACGTTATTCTCCCCTGCAATCATCACGATCCAGCCGCTTACTTTGAAATAAAAATAGAATAAAAGCCCCCACCAAAAGAGGCTAATTCGTTTCCATTTACCGCTCCCTAATTTCAGCAGAACCTTCACTCTTTAAGCATCAACTCTTTACTTCAATCCTGCCTTTTCACAACGCATCCAACATTCGCCACGGCACGTAGTTTGATTTTCAGTGAGCGCTAAGCCCAGAGCCTCCGACGGCGATTCGTCATCCCCTGGTGGAGTGCAATCTTAGCCTGTTTTAGGATGGCGCCTATAAATAATATACGCGCAATTGTGGAACTTAGATAGGTGCCCTTGACTATCATGTATTTCATTTTTCCAAGAGCTCCTGTGTGCAACTTGACGCATTGTTTTTTCCCCCTTTATTCGCTTCGATTCGGTATTTTACATACTCTAGCTGTGCCCAGCAATTCTAGCTGCGTCCAAGTAATCTCATGCGCCAACAGTCCTCTTTCGATGACCGGTGGCATTATTGGAATCATAACTTTTGCATACGCAATTTTCCTTACGGTTATTTTCTACGCAAATGGGTTAGCCAGTGCAGGGAATGACTTGGAAAGGTCTAAGAGGGGGCTAGAGCGAGAGGGAACTTCTGAAGCTCGGAAAGAAACTCCTGGAAAATTGCCGGCCAATGATTCCCAAGGAGTTTATGCCTGGCTTTAATCTTTGTCTGTCCGAGGCCCATGATTCTGTCGCCCTTCTACAGTAGAATTTGAAAACAGTTTACCCCTCGGACACACTGGCTTTCTTTCCCAGCGCCCATTCAGATCGCGCTAGACTAGATTCGGCCAGTCAAAGTCCCCACTATTCGTTTCTTGATGTATTTCTGGTAGATCACCAGAATTACCGCAATTACAGGTTCCGGCAGAGGGCAGACCATACTTGCCGTAACGCCCCGTAGCCATGCACGCTTCAATATTTGTGTTCGGGGAAAAGTCTTTCGTTGGAACTGTAGTTCAGGTCCAGACGGACTCTAGTAATAACGGAAATATGGCATTCTTAGATCACGTATTAACCGAGCTGTCTATTTCTGCTGATTGCTGCTTTCTGAGATGCTTAGTGCTCGCCTCATGCTTGTCGCTAAAGATTCAGGACTGAGCAGCCTTTCGTTGCGCCTCGTACATAGCATTTATAATCTCATCATACCGCTCTAGGTCATCATAGGAGACAATGATGAATTTTGAGCCTTTTTCTTTTCCATCACCAAGATCACCCTGATCCCAATGAAATCGCAGCATACCAAACTTCTTCATAAGGTCTTTTTGCTTTGCAGAGTCATGCTGCCTGAGAACATTGAAAAATGCATCTTTTTTGTTGAGGTAATCCTGGTAGCTGTCCAAAAAATAAGGGACCTAAACAACTTCCTGTTAATCCTACAGAATCGTCTTGAATCTTGCTCAATATACATACGTTCTTGCGAGCCCAGTCATCAAAAGAGTCAGTGTCCATTGAATACTCTTTTTGTTCCTCATAGCTTTCCTTCGCGTTCACCTTGTCCGAGGCGGCTTTTGTTGCTGATTCAGTCCATTCTTTTCTGGTCAAGTTGACAATAGCTTCGGTGGACATAGTGTCGATATATGGGTAGGCAAATAATATGATGTAACTAAGGTCTTCAGGAGTAGAAATTTTTTGGTGGACACAAACAACCCTAGTGAAAAGACTTTACTTATAGTCACATTTAGTAACGTGATCAATGAGCTCATTTTTGATGCAATCTTATATATGAGGGATGAGTCGGGGCAGATCAGGCAGCGACGCATTCCCACCTTGTGGTTCGCGCGGTCCAGGGGTGGGGAAATGGAGGGGGATCGACTTTGGTTGACCCGTCTACGGAGTAGAGAAGTGTTTGTTCCACTGCGTGGCTAGCTGAACGCAGCACATCACCTCCGAATTAAGCACTAGTGCTCTCGCTCCAGATAGCCTGAGCGTTACACTTCTGCACCTCTTTCATGTTAAATCTTGATACTGCTACAGTATTATCGGGAATATCGGGTATCTATCTATATCAGGACCAAGGAAAGCTAGACCAAGCGGAGCAGATATACCAGCGGGCGCTAGCTGGGATATTGCCCCCATAGTTCCCGGCACGACTGTGAGGGTCTCACGTATACGTAGATGTGAACGGTATGCTCAAGATGGATAATCAAGATCAAAGAAAGCTATAGTCGACTCTAGATACAAGACGTAATGCGAGGAAGCGAGAAAATGACAGCTTCCTCGCGTTCAGGGGAACCCAGATAATTCTCTCACGGTGACCACCACACGTTAGTGGTCATTTCACTCAAGCTCTCGGCATACATTTGACATTCTTGATGTATATTTACGTTTCTCTACTCAATGGGACCCACCTGGGCGCCAACGTGATGGCAATTAATGCATTGCATGCAAATGATTCTCGAATATTCACGGCAAAAGGTGATACTGGGACACGGAGGTAGCGTGTGTAGATGCTATCAAAGATGGCCCGTTGCTGAATACTCGGCCAGAAGCCTAAATGGATTCACGAAAGCTAACCTGGGGGGCTTGAGGGCAATGTGGCAAGAATATAAGCCCCATATCCTATAAAACTCCCAAAACACCTACTCCTTAAGAATATAAAACGTTCAACTCTAGATAGAACAAAACCCTGGGTATCACAACGCACTTCATTCATTGTCTCGGAAACCCGAGCCCTTCTTCTAATCGGTCCAATAACGAGTTATCAGAACCGGACTCAGACGCGGATGATGGAGAGCGCGGGCGTGGATCCATTGGGACTTGAGAGCCAGGCGCTGTCTCGATTGAGTTGATGACAGGATCGGCGGCCGGATTGATAAGTCCAGGGTCGTAGTTCGTGTCTGTAGTCTCTGTTGTCTCCACGATGCCATGGGACCGGAAGTTATAGCGGGGACCAGTGGATTCGGGGCTGGGTTCGGTTGGCTCAGGGGCCCCTTTGCCCTTCTTTGACTTGTTCTTCTTCTTTTTCTTCTTCTTCTTGCTGGGTTCGGGGTTGGGCACGGGATTGGGGTTGACAGTGGAGAGTATGTTCTCATTGTCAACGGGAGCTGCTTCGGCTTCGGCATTGGCCTGCGGAACACTGGTCTCCTCGTCGATTTTGGCTTGTGCCTTCCTTAATGCTGCGTTCTTCCTGCGCTCATTCCTGGTGAGGCGTGTTTTTTGTTTCTTTTCCGGTTCCGTATTCAATTCAGTCTGCGCAGGAATGTCCTGTGCCTGTTCCCTGGCGCGAGCCTGCTCGGCGGAGGGGATTTGACGTAGACTGACTCCACCGTCCTCATCGTCATATACCTCGACGGGACAAGTTTCTTCGAGAGAGGGCAGGTGTATATTCAAGATCGAGCGCTTCTCTTTCGTCGCTTGCTCATTCCACACGCGGAATACTTTGCTCACGTCGTCGTGGTGTGAGAGGTAGTCGAGGCGAGCGAGAACTTTCGTAAAGAGCGTTGAGTCGTTGGTGGCGGGATCATTGGTGAATTCGGGGATTTCGAGGATGTTATATGGTTCGCTGAGAGCTTTGAGTTTGCTGTCGTCGATAAGGACCGTGTTGCTTTGGTCCCAACGGTGACCCTCGGAGAATGTGCTATCCGCGGGATTGTTGCCTGGGTATGTAGCTTGGACCTCGGGACTTGCCCATACTTTGTGCAGCTCCTTGTACACTTGCAGCTTGGAGTTGTACTGTACACTCGTGAGGCCGAATCTGTCTCGTCCCCACTGCGCCACAAGACCTTTTTCTTTTTCGCCGGGGAACAGTCTCTCGCAAATGGCCTTCACCGTCTGAGGTTTTGAGCTGGACCAGACCATCACGGAGTGTTTCCTTGTTAATACCTCAAGGAACTCGTTCAGACCTGCACGTCGTGTGAAGCTAGGTGGTAACCGCTTGTGTTTTCGTAAGATGAGAGCGCCGTTCAGGTCGAGAATGATCAGGAGGGGTCTCGGCGAATTACGCCTTCGCGGTGGGTTTGACGCTCTCTCCATGTACTTTTTCTCCGGGACTGGTATCGTCACTGGTGGTGTTCCAGACCTTTGCCTCTGGCGCATTGACATATGAGGAGGGGTTGCCATGGTGCTCATCGGCTGGGCACCCTGGAACGGAAGAATGGCGTTGAAGGGCATCATGGGAGATTGAGGAGGGGGATGCCCATTACGGGGTTGAAGAACCCCGGGTTGAGAAAAGGCATTGGCGGTGCCGAAATGCCATTCTCGAGAATGTTCGAGGGATACCAACATGGGCCACTGAATGTACCGAAATTAGGCGGAAGAGGCCCAGACGGCAATTGAGAGACAGGTGTATTTCGTTGATTGGGGTGGTTCACGTTTTTATCCGAATTCTCCTCATTTCGTCCGTTGTAATATGGATCAGACGATATATGGTCGAAAGGCGCATGGTGCGATGATGCATTGGCTGGCGCATTATGCTGCCCCGCGCCCTGATAATTATAGCGCCACGACGGCCTACCCTCTCCGTTCATGGCACCCATAGGAACATTCACGGTATTCTGCGTAGCGGCATATTGGGGTCCGTGAGGCCCTCGATCTGGCGGCGCAGGGAGCCCAGCGGCTTCTGCCGCGCGCTTGAGTCTTTTTGTTCGAGGCAGCTTGACCGTTGTACAATCAGACCGATTATAAGAATTAGAGACCGAAGGGGAAGACTATCAATCAGACATTAGTAACCGTAAATCCGAAGAAACCGCAACGTAAAACGGAGAATCGCGCACCTGGCCGCTAACTCGACAGTACGGGGTTGCGTACGTCGGACGAGAGAGCGAAATGCACGGTAGAGCAGGCCGAGTCCAGCGCGACATTGAAGACCGCTGTTGATGCGCAATCGCGGAAAAAAAATACCTAATCAGCCCGTTATCGCGCTCACCGCCTGCCTTGGCAATATTTTTCTTTTCGCGGCTTCTGGGCTGGTTTGCACCGGTCCAACTACAACTCAAGATGGCTATTACTGATATGCTAAACCGCCGTGTGCGGGCAAGGCCTGCTGAAGAATATGATGTCTACTCTGAGCAGTCTGACGTCGCCGAGGAGGGCTCTCAGAATGAGGGTGAAGATGGAGAATCCGACGCCGATTCACAATCTCAAGACGTACGATATTTGCCTATCATTTTACAAGTCCTTGGCTAATCGATTACAATAACAGTCAGAAAACTCCGATGCCTCGGAAGATGATGCCTCCGGAAACGACGAAAGCAGCGCTGCCGAAGAAGAATTCTCGGACGAAGGCGACGACGACATCAAAGCCTCACTAAGCAACATTTCATTCGGCGCCCTCGCCAAAGCCCAAGCCTCCATGGGCTCTAAAAAACGCAAAGAAAAATCCTCCAAAGAAGACACGGCCTCGCCGCTCGACGACATCCGTGCCCGGATCCTCGAAGCCCGCGAACAAAAGCGCCTAGCCGCCGGCAAATCTGACAAAGAAAGCAAAACAAGCAAGGAAAAGAAAGCCGCGCGCGCAAACAAGCACGCACCAATGGAACAGTCCTCCAAGCGCGCGGTCTCCCGCAAACGCACGATCGTCGAACCGCCAGCACACGCCAAAGCCCGAGACCCGCGGTTCGACGCCGCCGTCATGGGACACAGCGGCGGAGGCAAGAACCCTGAACTCGCAAACAAAGCATACGCATTCCTGGACGATTACCGCGCGTCAGAACTGAAAGATCTAAAGGCAGAGATGGGGCGGACGAAGAACCCAGACCAGAAAGAAGCGCTGAAGAAGCAGATTCGATCCCTGGCGGATCGAATGCGGAGTATGGAGAACCGGAAGAGAGAGAGGACTGTGCAGACGGAACACAAGCAGAAAGAGAAGCAGATGCTGCGGGAGGGCAAGAAGAGTACGCCGTACTTCCTGAAGAAGTCGGATTTGAAGAAACAGGTTATGCAGAAGAAGTATGAGGAGATGGGATCTAGGGATCGGGCCAAGGCTTTGGAGCGCAGGAGGAAGAAGATGGCCTCGAAGGAGAGGAAGGAGATGCCCTGGGAGAGGCGTGGCATGGAGGATTCTGGATTTGGCGGTGGCGGACCTCCCAAGCGTAGACGACTTGATTAGATACCCAATCTCGCAGTTATATGTGCTAGAATTGAACGGGTTCAAAGATCCTAGATTATGTGAATACTACATTAAGCTGAGGCGTATAGCGACCTTCCCTTGGAAACGAAATTGGTAGAAAAAGAACCGGGTTCACAAATGCTAAGTCCCTCAAAATAAACGTCCAGAAAGGTATATAGGTCAACAGCAACATGAGAAAACCGCCAAACGCCGAACAAGATCAATGCAAGAGGTGCCAAAGCCGTTTTCCTTCGCCCGGTCCTGGGCGCAACACTGTCGTGCCGTAGATGAGATATAAACATCAATGTCGTAGGTGACTCAAATCATCAAGATGAGTGCGAGAATAGAGGTATTATGCTCGAGAGCCCATTGAATAGGTGCTTCGGGCTGAGGACATTCGGGCGGAAACATGCCAGCCGCTCCGGTATTCTTCTGTTATGCAGGGCATGGTGCTCCGTATTTGACAGGGTCCTTGCACAGGCCTAACCATACATCTCTTTTCTGCCAGGCCTGTGCGAGAAGTTTTGTTTCTTCCAGCGTGCTGTGACTTTATTTCACGAGTGGAATAGATCCCAAGCCCGAGCGCAAAGACCGAGGAATTCTTCCTTCTTTCGCCGCTGGGTTTCTGGTGAATCTCTCCCAGCACCGAAGGGGCCTTGAGGCACTGCATTGAAGCCTGGATTCGTAGCAGGATTGGGCCGGTGATGATTAGGGCCGTGGCCCAACGGCGGGCTCCCGTTGTCGGTCTCATACTCGCTTCGCGGGCGACGTCGCGAGGTCGTATCCGTGGAACCAAAACCGAACGTAGGAGCCAGGGGTGCACTGGGAGGCATTCCCTCGCTGACTAGAGGGGCTGTTTTGGGAGCAGCATGGATAGTCTGAGGTGAGGGCGGGGTGGGTGGTTGGTGGCCTCCATAGTGCACGATCCGAGGAAGCAGTTCTTCCCGTCCACCTGACATGTCCTGTACCGCCTCTTCGGCTGAACGGTACTCACGAGGTCGACTGGGGGTGTGAGACATGCTGCCGGGAAGTCCAGGAGAGGGCATGGGGGCCAGGTTGGACTGCGAAGAGTTGTTGCTCGAGGTATTCGGGTACAGACCGGAACGGTTGGGATCGCGATCCCGTGGACCCAATGCGTCCTGTCCAAAAACGTCGGAGAGGGGGGAAGGCGGTTGTTTGTCTGGGTGGCCGGGAGCTGGTGCATGTGCGAGGTCGAGCCTAGAGTCGGGCTCTGGTTGACGACGTGCCGTGTCAATGGCTGGGGCTGGTATCGGCCGGTGAACGTCTGGTTCAGCGGAGCGGACTGAATCACGCGCTCGTTGGCGAACTGCGACGCAGAGGGAGGAACAATCGATAGACCTGGAGGAGCTCGGCGCTTAGAACCGCTCTTGGGCATGCCCATGAAGCCCGACTCGGAAGGCTTGGTTCCGTCGGGACCCTCATCCTTGGCTGACTTTTGTAGTCGCGCCTCGATTATTAATCGCTGCTGATCGCGTACTGACAAACTCCGCTGAAGCTGCTCCCGCATGATCGGATCGTGGGTTTGGAAGCCCGGCGACAGGCACGCCAGGCCGACGTCCTGCATACGGACTCCATCACGGGCGGTCATAGGCCCGTTCGGAGGGCGCACCTGAAGACCGCTCGAGGACGGAAGACTGGTCGAGAGGTCCAACTTGCGCGGTCGGGGCCGACTACTCCCCATGCGCGGTGACGAAGGCGGCTCCTTCTTGACGGTTATTCTAGCACCCGTGCTGCCAGAGGGAGACGAGGGATCTTTGTTCTCGGGGGTGCCTTTAGAGGCACCATCTTGCGAGCTGATAGACATACGAGAGGGAGAGGAATTCGCGGGGGCGGGAGGAGCCAAGGTCGGGCAGTTCTTCGGGCTGGGATCGCGGGTGGTATGTGATGAGGACAACGGGGCCACCGCGGGTGCAACTGCGGTCGACATGGCGGAAAAAGACCGGGCGCAAAAAACACCCTGAGTACCTAAGTAGGTATACTCGAGATGGGAACGACGAGAAGAGCCCCCGGGACTTAGAAGTGGAGCATGAACGAGTGTGTATGAGCGAGGCTCAAAGAGTCCGCGAGAGAGATCGTCGAGCCTGGATAAGACTCAGGGAGCAAAGAAAAAGTCAAGAGGGGGTAGGAAGTAGGAGGGTGGCTGGATAGCAAGAAGCCTCAAAAAAAAAAAAAGACCGGACGAAATGTACAGGGGTCAAGTCCGGGATCGAGAAGGGGGGAAAAGTGTGTGAGATGTGAGGTGTGAGGGGGAAGTAGAGGTACATGAAACACCCGGCAATTCATGAGCACCGAGAAGTACCAGATACGTGGAGTCTAAAGTTCAGGTGGATCAGCACTCAAACACAGGCTGCACAGGCGGCGTCCGGCTGAGACACAGCGTGTTTCTTCTCTGCGACCAGTGTTTCCACTTCCCTGAGCACGAGCCACTTGGTTCGTCCTGTCACCTGAAATCCATGAGCTGGAGATATCAGGGGCTCTAATCCACCCGGACCCGGACTTTTACTACCGTATTTAGGACTCTTTTGTTTGGCCCCCAACACTAACCAACCTGGCCACGGACCACCTTGACGCTGGTGACTGGACGCCATCCGGCGTTCTGATCTGCACACTGGACTTGGAGTGTCTTAACCCCCATCCTAGGATCCCGATCTGCGCCTATCCCCGACCGATCCCGTCACATCGTGACAGCGACTCACGGTGCCGCATGTGTCAAAGGCGGCACCACCGGCGCTTATACGGGTAAGGGGGGTGGGGGTGCGTCGAGAACGCAGTACACACCACACCCCGGACCCAGGAACACGCACTGCATGGCCCCCGTGTGGATCACCGTGTGGTCCAGGTCGTGGCTAGTTCTAATCACTGATGCACGGAACCCTTTGCCGACCGCACACTAGCCCTGTGCCCTGAAGTAAAATCTCAGGCCGGCAGTGCATTTTGCCTCGTCATTGGCTCATGGGCTCAGGTCAAGGTGTTCGTGTTCGAGAGTGCACAGATCTCTCAAACAGAAATGGAAACATAATGGCGGAAGTTCTCCGTAGAAGGTGTCTACTACTGGGACTTGGCGTTTCCCCGGCATTTCCTTTTTGGGCCTGGGCACCGACTTAACTTGACGAGATAAGATTCTGACCCGCGCATCCGAGAATTATTTAATTTCGGGCTGCGGAGTTTGGGCCTGGTGGACAGACTATTGTTTTAGTCTTTTAGCGTTCCTTTGGTCGATTCTTCATTAGCATGGTACCGGGTGATTATTACGAGCCCGTCCTTCACACGTCAAGGTCGTCAAGGTTCATAGCTCAACAAAGGTGCTGGCTTCTACTCCCATCTTTCACTTCGGAGATTAAACCTGCTTTTCCAGCTCTGAGTCCCCGATTCCCCAATTCCCCGCGACCGATCTCAGTCTTGGCGTTGCGAGCTCATCAAATTTCTCCCGCCGTATACCTCGCAAGCCACTTTGCTCACCAGAGCCAGTCACAAGCCTCAATTGACGTCTAATTTTTCGTTCTCTTTTCGAAGCCTCATAAATCTATCAAATTAGCGACTGATAGCGTAAGACCTGTCAAGAACTAAGATATTGCGGCAAGTGTCAAAAACGCCACCAATATACAACCAATATTCTCCGAACCAGCAAGGAAGGTAGCTTTTCCAAACCTGACCGAGGCGTGTATGTAAGCCGTCAATAATCATTGGATCTGCTCTTCGCATCTCCCACGAACCATCTGTAACTTCCTGTCGTGGCACATGGTATCAAGTCAATTCCCTACATCCCTGCAGTCTCTGCACGTCATGAATGACAACCTTGGCCGTCAATAATATAACGATGTGCCACAGACTCAAATATCAATTTTCTAATTGTTGCGCAAATGATTATAGTGTAGCTTGGAATATAGTCGTAAGTGGCAGGCGGTGAACCGTCTATCGATAACGCACTTTTTTTCGAGATCGTCGAGAAGTCTTTGCGGGCATTGCATTGCTTCTGTTCTTGCTCCCACTTCTTACCACGCCCTTAAATACACTCGACTCGATCACCTCCTGTCCCAGACAATACCTTCCCGGCGCGCTGCTCTCACACCATCGCCACGACCAAGAACCCCAACCGCAGACCCCAACGTAATACCCTTGACACCATGCCGGGCTCCATCCACGACCAAGAACCCCAAGAAAACGACCAGTCTATGATGGACGCCGAGCCAGAGGTCACCGACCCCATCCTGCTAGACGAGAAGCGTATCATCGTGGTTCGTATCCCCGCCAACAAGACTCAACCTTGCGCAAGTGAATCACAGCTCTAATTATACCCCACCAGCTCCCCGGCTCCTCCGAGACTGCCGCCTCATTCCAGTTCGAGGGCGAGGGCCACACCATGGGCAACGCCCTGCGCTACGCCATTATGAAGAACCCCGCCGTTGAGTTCTGTGGTTACACCATTCCCCACCCCTCCGACGCAAAGATGCACCTTCGTATCCAGACTACCGATTCCACTACTGCTTTGGAAGCTCTGGAGAAGGGTTTTAATGATCTCATGGATCTGTGTGATGTTGTTACCGAGAAGTTCACTGCTTCTCGGGACCAGTTCAATGCTGAGAGTGGTAACCGCATGGAGGCGTGATCTTGAGGTGGTTATTTGCATTTGTCTTGGGTTTGACTGGCGTTTTGGGTTGAGCTTAGATTTTAACGTGATGTTAAGTATCCTTTCCTAAGGATCGATGCCTTTGCCGTGGTACAGGAGTGTGATTTGATGGCAGAAATACATATACACTCAATTTCAATTCCTGGGACCGGCGTAGATGGCAGAGCCTGCCGGTCTGGACATCCCACGGCCAGTATAACTGCGGTGTCCCAGTAATGTATAACCTATGCGGTCACTTCAAGATGTTCCGAGCTCGGCTGCTCCTTATCTTTCTTGACCTCCACCTTCTGGAACGATGCCTCCGTCGTCCTAGCCCGTTCCTCATCTGTCGCATTGTACCAATTCAATGCAACATGAGCTTCGCCACCGAACACGGTCCTAATCTCCTCAGGGGTCCGGCCCTTGGTTTCAGGGAATAAAAAGTAAATCACAGCAATATAAAACAGAGAGGGCACAATAAGGACCAATAAAACTTCCACCCAAGATAGCCAATGCAACAGGCGCGCCCACAAGAATCACCTCTGACGAAAGATAGAACGAAGATATACCCAACGCCACACCCTACGTGCGTAGATGATTCGGAAAGATCTCCGCAACGTAGATATACTGCGTCGCATCCATGAAGAAACACCACTAGAAAATATAGAAGAAAGCAAAGAGCACTGCGACTCGTAGTCCGGAGACGCTATCAGTTCCAAGGTACTCGGCGGGCAAAGCACATAGGAAAATCAGCGAGACCACGCAGCCAATAGATCCGATTAGCAGGAATACCAACCCATACGGGTACCGTAATATATGTTTTGTGCATTCAGAATCCTGTTTCAATGTTCATGAAGAGCAAAAACAAAATATACCTCCGAAACCCAAGCCACAAACAAAAACGATGCAACAGAAGATTGAGGTAAGACTAGGAGGAACACGACAACTTTAGGATTTCTCAATAGACGCGGGATGTTTGATCAGGAAAGATATTATCATTATCGTCACCCTTGGTCTTTTCAATTCGGCCCTTGTGCGTACTCAATTTACCCTTTTTGGCGTCAAAAATAGGGCGGATCCACAGGTTCTCGGTGTTTTCGCTTTCATTTTCCGGCTTAAAGATACATTGTGTAGCAGCTATTATTATTTTAGCTTAAGAATTCACGTCGAATTAATAGAAAAATGGAGGTTGACTGACCAATACCTGTAAGGTGATTATTAATGTATATGTTTTCCCAGTGATCTTTCGGTGCTTGGTAGACTTCATGCATGATACTGAGATGCGGGTGTGATTTGGTGATTTTGCTCCACCATTCCCATGCCTCACGGTGAAGTGGGCTATGTGCATAAGCGTGTACATCTTCCAGGGTTCGAAAGTAGGTCGCAACCATCTGTTGATTCGCTGTGGAACGGTCGCCCAGTCCCAACCAGGAGGTTGTACCGAGATCTATATTGAGAATAATGTTCAGTCTGTCAGGCTGTGCAGAAAGATAAAAAATATTTTACTCACAATTGTACTTTGCCGCATTATCTGCAAGCTGAGCCTGCATTGCATTCATATAGTCCCCCACCTCTTTGAAGCCGGGGCCGAATAAGCCCATCGGACTGTCGGGTGCGGGGGAATGTGAGACTGGGTAACTCTGAGAGTAATTGAAGGGCATAGACATACTGATTTGAACGTGCGGACAGTAAAATTAATGCGACATCTTGATCAGAGGCTTTCCCTGAAAAAACCCCATTTCGATCGGGGAGTAATGCTGAAAATTTCCCAGCTATAACACCATCCATTTGAGAATTTTTGATGAGACCAAGCATCATCAAGCCGGTTTTGGCAAAGCGATAAGATAAGATGAGAATTGGCGGCAGGAGTGCGTATGAGACCGGGAAGACCAAAAAGAGAACACCTTGAAGAACAGCTCCCAAAAGTAGCCATGTTGTTATCGTAAAATTGTCCCGGATTACCTAAACATTCATCAATTTAGCTCTGGATTAATGACGGAAGGAACATTCATCTTGTGCATTTCTCAAGCTGATCGTAGTTAGGGCGGCACAGACATTACTTGGCTGGTATGGCTTAGATTTTACCCTTTCGGTCGATGGGGGGAAAAGCGGTTCCAGGTTCGCGATAGACCGTGTAGACTTCATTTCGGACGATGGTAGTAGGTGTTTAAAGAAGTGCCTAGTAGGAAGGAAGGCATATGTCGCCGCAAGAGAGGCAACTTATAGCAGAGATTGGAAGTAAGAGCTTAGGTGAGAATGGAGCGGGGAAAGACGGGTCTGGCGCCACGACCCAAACCGTTTTAAGAGGCGTTTTCATCTCACTCATCAGGATTGGTCAATTCGTATGGTAGCCTGATCGGGGCTGAGACTCGTATTCGTGAGATAGGCTGAAGTTCACATCTACGCATAATCGATTCCTTTGGAGTCTACTTCGGCTTGGTGAGGGAGGGTTCCCACTTACACTCTTCGATTGATTCTCGAACCCTCATGCCAAGGTATACTAGTATATATTGGGAATCACTCCGAAGTATCCCGGCCAGTTCAAGCTGTACAGTACTTTCGGTAAATTTTTAGTAATCTACGAGAAATATATCAAGACAAGAGGAGATGGTGGAACTTTCCGTAACCGAATTTAGTTTAGCGCTATCTGAGTGAGGCGCCGGGAAAGAAAGCATGTGTGTCCTAGGGATAATCTGTTGTCGAATTCTATTGTACACGCTCGCACGACTATTTCCAAATTCAAAGTCTATTCTGGGCACAGGTTCAGACTCTCAATGTTAATTTTTCTTTCTTCCCCTTTTCTTTCCTTCACCTTCTGTCCTCTTCACTCTCTTTTCTCCCTTCTAGGCAATGGCTTATGATGACGAGGATGACGGCCCCATCATGTGGCCCCCAGTGCCATGTGGAAACGCTGAGGACCCCGATGGCACGGCGGCCGCACGGGCGGCCAACGCACCGCCGCTACTGCCGGCCAGACGACGGCGGGCTCTAACAATTCCGCTTCCTTCTGAAGATGGTGGAGAAGAGGGAGATGGTGAGGGCGGCAGTAGAGATAGAGGAGAGCAGCAAAGCAGCAGCAGCAGATACATACTGCGAAACCGGCCTAGCCTAAATATCACAAAGGCTGCCCGCAAAACTTCATCTTCGAGCAGTCAGCGCACAGCCGACCAATCTCAGTCTCGGCTGCTTTCGATACTGCCCGCCGAGATTCGCCAAGTTATTTGGAGGCACACCGTGGGCGGGCAGCTACTTCACATGGCCCGTGTCCCCAACAGACTTGTTGCTCTTGAATGCGCTCAGCTAAAGGACCTGACTAAGGACCTGGAGACCCTCAGGCATGACTGCTGGTGCATGCCGAGAATCGGAGCCCTTCGTGGTACCATTGCTCGCGTTTACCGAGCCAAGAATAGTACCCAGCCCACACGACCTGCTAACCTTCTTCCTCTGCTGCAGACCTGTCGGCTAGTATACGCTGAAGCAGTGTCAATGCTATACCAAGACAACATCTTTGATATTGATCACGTGGATACACTCCTTTACATAAAAAGATGTATACTCCCTCAGCGTCTACATCAGATTACAAGACTTAACTACTCTTGGGATTTCTCTCAACCTATATACCCAGACTCTCCACGGTACAAGACCTGGTGTGAAGCGTGCAATGTGCTCTTAAGTCTCAGCAGACTACAGGAGCTTACAATACACCTCACCGGAACTTTCCATGTAACCTCGGAGTATTACGAAAGTAAGTCCTGGGTGCCCCTGCTGGACGGACTCAAGCAGGTCAAGGCAACCCGGCGATACGACGTGTATATCCCATGGTCCGAGGAGGAGTGTCGCCGGGCAGCCGCTGAGAATGACTTCCCTTTCACCTTGGTGTCTTGGCTCCAGAAGCCGCTTACCCCACGAAAAACTGCCAAGGGCGAGACCATTACGCTATTTTAGGCTTTAGCTTAGGCTTTGTTGGAGCTGGCTTCGGTGATCTTTGTTCTTCGACATTGTGGTTTACTCAATGTCACGCTAACCATGTGCAGGCTGCGGACACACCCAAGGAAAGAGCTTAGTGTCCCGCGAGGAGGCTTATGTGCGAATGCAAGCTGCTGTTGATGCACGAAATGATGGGAGGGACATCTTCATTCTTGCCCGCACGGATGCGCTGATGCATGGCTTGGATGAAGCCATGACCCGCGCCAAAGAGTTCAAGCGGAGTGGCGTCGACGCGATCTTCGTCGAGGCTCTTCCAGACCGTGAAGCCATGAAGCGACGTGCGCAAGAAATTGAGATCCCGGTCTTCGCCAACATCATTGAGGGTGGTAAGACAGAGAATCTGTCAGCCAAGGAGATCGCCGATTTAGGATACAATGCGGCCGCGTATCCTTGGACCTTGGTGGTGGCTCACTTGCAGAGTGTTCGCGAGGCTTTGGATGGGCTCAAGAAGAGTATGACTGTGGGCGCTCCTCCCATGATTTTGATTTATGATGAAGTCTGTGAAGGCGTCGGGTTCAATAAATATTGGATAAGTTTTATTTGACCGAGAAGCCTGCCAGGATGCGTTGGAAAACTGGTATCGCAGAGGTGAAAAGTGCAGAATCAGCGAAAGAGACCAGATGGCTCTCAAATTTCTGGCAAACTGGAAGCAAGTTCATAGGCAGACTATATAAAGAAGCTGCCTCGGTGGCCCATCGTGGACTGAACAGCCTCTCACTTGGCTGTAATAGGCAACCGCATGGACCGGTGCGTCTTACTTTTTTGTCTTCAGCCTCATTACTCCGCTCTTATGAATTTGGCCGGAGCGCACAGTCAAAAACCTATTGGAGAGAGAGAGGTCGACTTAATTTCTTGGTTGGATGTAACCCAAACTTCACAACTGAATAATTCTTGGAAGACATTTTACTTTCTAAAATCTTGGGTGTAGATAAGAGAGTTCAGGAATCGGCGGGGTGCGCTATGGGCGTAATACAACGTCAGACGTGCAGGGAAAATACTCCACATATATAAGCATGCCGTAGCCTGGCTTGAATTTTGGTTTACAACACGCTTTTAGCAACAGCAGATCTTAGCCATGGCGAGTCAGGTTCTCACCGAGGAAGAATTCTATGTTAAAGTCATCGCTCCAGCTCGCGGCATATCGATTACATCATCTGCCACAGAGGACCCGATCTACAACGGCTCATGTCATTGCGGCTTTGCGACCTACCAAGTGCGCTTAGACTTCGTCAATCCGAGCCCCATCACAGGTGCAATCGTTACACGATGCAATTGCACAATATGTATCAAAGCTGGGCTGATGTCCATCTCGCCCACGCCAGTCCACTCATTCGCTCTGCGGTCCCCAGCGGGGGTCGCCAGGAGCTGAAAGACTACCAATATCCAAATAACAACATTCATAGATGGATGTGTCCTAGGTGCGGAATCCAGATATTCAGCGAGGGTCAATATACCTACCAGGGGATGGTGATATCCTGGTTGCGTGTCAATGCAGTGACACTGGACGGCAGAGACGACGGGGAAAGAATGGTCGAGCTTAAAGAGTTCAAGCCCAAGTACTATGGAGGTCGAGAAAAAGAGACTCTTGCCATGGGGCTCAGAGATGAGCCATGGGAGCATGGTGTATGGTAATTTCAGGCTTGCACGAAGAGAATGAGCATCCAAGCAGACGGGAATAAGTATAAATTTTACAGATTATGCCGCGTTCCCTGCAGGTTGGTGAAGATTAAATGGTTGTTGATTTGTGATCTTTAAGTAAGTCATAGATCCGGCGATCCACGGCATTCAAATCCCAAGGCGTTAACAGAGTCACGGGGCACGTGGGAGAAAACAAGAAATCGGGCGTTGGCTACATTCAGATGCGTTGGCTATTTGAGACGTGCTTGTTGACTGGCTTTGTCTCTAACTTGTATCTTTGAAGGGGGTTGTCTCCGTGCCATATTGTGCAAATGATTCTAGCAATTCTCGAGATGCCTTCCTCGAGATAACTTACATTGCCTCCCAGGGACTATGAAGCGCCATTGAAGTTCACGGCTACAACCGTCAAAGGCTAAACTTAAACATGAATACCAAAGGGAAAGAAAAACTCAGATGATTCGGCGGCTTAATCAGGCTATATGTACACATCATGTCTCTGTCTATGGCATAGTTTCGCCGATTACCACGCCATGGACTTGCAATCAAAGAAAAGGGATAAAAGGTGGTCGGGATACAAAAAGCGGTCTTTTCAGTTGCGGCCCTCCAGGAAGCCCGACACGAAGTTGCGGGGCAAGCGGGCACCAGGGTCTTCCTCGGGGCGGAAGTATTTCATGACGTGGGACAGCTGCTTCCAGTAGTTGAGGGTTTCCTGTGTTGGATGTCAGCATTAATTCAAAGCGGATAACATTGGTGGCTGAGGATCTCTCGAGCGGCAATGAAGTGTAGACAAAACCAGGGAAAGGCCCCCGTCTGAGACCGACAATCCTGGTCTTTCCTTGTTCATTGCCGCGCTGAGGTTCCACGGCCACAAGTCAAGTCTGACCTGGAACTCGGCGTGGCTCTGGAAGAGCAGGACATCCACCACGCTCATCTGGTTGACATAACGGTGCTTCTCAAACTCCTGGCGGATCTTGGTGCGGATAGCGGAAACGGGCATGTTCAGAGAGTACATGGTCTGGATCTCGGGGGACTGTAACATGATGCGTTAGCATTAGTCGCCAATGTATTCCCAGTTCAGATAGACATCAATGGCACTCGAGAAGCGTTCTCCACATGGGAACGGGGAAACGGCAAGGAACGGGCATCCGGGCGACGACGACAGCTATCTGAGGATCTCGGGGGTAAACTGACCGCGCGCAGCCACTCGCGGTATGACTTGAGGACTCGGTACTTCGCATCCTGCCAGTTGACGGCTATAGAGAAAGAACGAGTATGTTAGCCTTGCACCAATCACACCGGCTTAATTACAGCGCAGGCCGAGCGAGGGCAATCGGAAAGCCTCGGGGAGAACGACAAAGGGAGGGGGCGTACAGGAGCGCGTCCGTTGCGCAAGGTAGGTCGGGTTGATGGTCATGGTGGAATTGCGTCCACTCAGGAGCGATTGAGCGAGAGGAAGGGCGCGGAGAGAAGGCGTCGCGGGCGAGCTCTGGTGGTGGAGGTTTCGCTGAGGTTGCGTGGGTGGAATGAGCGACTCTCACCGCCTTCCCGTTCCAAAATTTCTTTCCGCAATAATTTTGGAGATGCCATTTGTCGCATCTCGGTTTCCTTTTCAACTTTGCGCCTGAACTGATAAACTCTTGGTGTTTGACGTGAATAAGTCTAACCAGTCGAGCTGCTCAACACTGCACGTTTGCCACGGCATCATACCACCCTAGTGCATTCCAACTTCGACTTAATCACCCGCTCAACTTTTTCCGCAACACAAAATGGCGCCCACCAAAGGGTCGTCCAAAGGCGCCTCATCCGGAGGTAGCCACAAGGGCTCCAAGACTTCGAATTTCTCGTCTGACTCGCGCGTGAGCAAGTCCAGCAAGAAGAATGCGCCCAAGCGCCCCCCGCCGAAAGAAGTCAAGTCAAAGGCACGCACCGCCCCAGAGAATCTGCAGAAGAAGAAGAAGAGAAAGTACACAGAGGCAGAACTCAATTTGCCCAAGCTGAACTCAATTACGCCTGTTGGAGTTGTGAAGCCCAAGGGCAAGAAGAAGGGAAAGACTTTTGTCGATGACTCGGTATGTGATTGCGGCGCTCGATGTTTGGCTTAAGGAACTAGCTGCTAACAATGTTCTTGTTATAGGAGGGTATGATGACAATCCTTGCCATGGTCAATGCAGAGAAAGAGGGCCAGATCGAATCCAAGATGATGAAGGCACGCCAACTGGAAGAGATCCGCGAGGCCAGGAAGAAGGAGATGGAGGCAAGAGTTGCAGAGAAGAAGGGCAAGCTCGAAGCCGTCAAGGACTCAATCCGGAATAAGAAGAAGGGCAAGGGTGCTAGTGACGAGAGCTCCTCTGCGGTCTCGAAATCTAGCGGCTCCAAATTCTCCAAGCCGAAGCGCAAGAGTGTCTCATTTGCTTGATCGAAACCCACAAAAGCACAAAGGGAGTATTGCCTATACCATGTTCATGTACCTAGACGGGGGTCTGGCGTTTGTACCGGTTTATCTCTATTTCTCAGTTCAAAACATCAATTGATTGTCAATAGCGCTAGTGATCATGATGCTACATATTCACACATACCATGTTAATCTTTTCATCGATGAGCCTTCTTGATCCCTATCACAATCATATGCATATATGTTTGCTCGCACCCGGCCCGTCATGTCCACAGCGAAAGCACACCGTAGAAGATCAATCTGAAGAACGTTTCCAGGATTATGAGCATCCACACGAGTTTTAACATTCGAACCGTACTCGTATCCTATCTCAGTATGTGAATTTCTTCAGGCAACGTACCAGACGTATCGTACTTTATTATGTTGCTCTCGTCAGCCCTCGCTCTCGTCTGAATTCCACCATTATTGTCTCAACCTGACTCTGCACCTCACTTGCTCGACGTGCCCCCGACGTATTCGGTCCTCAGGACTTTCTTCTCAAGAGAGATATTTCTACATTCCGGCCTCATCGCATCTCCCAACTGGGCATACTCCCTGCTTCAACGGCCACCACAGCAATGCACCAAAGTCGAACTGAGGCTCAAATCGCCAGTCGCTTGTGAGAGAAAATCACGGACACGCTCGCTAAAGTGCTTGACTGACTCTCCAAAAGAAACAGGGTGGCGGCTGAGATAGCCGTGGATCTTGACAAGTTGCGTCATGATATCAATGTGACTTTCGCACGGAGCAACATCAAGGATCTTTTGAGAGTTGGACACTGCTATGACTTGCGAATCCATGGGCTCTGCCGCACTATCGACGAACTCATTGAGATGCTGTCCCGCGATGTGAACCGCGGGGCCCTCTTGGACATCAGAGCAGGGACGGAAATCCTTTTCTTGCATGTCCGTTTGTTGACTTTTAGCCTATGCGATACCACCGACGTTCTTGAGGAGAAGATGGAGGAGGGACACCGTATCATCACCCACAATTTCCCAGAAAAGGTGAAAAATGAGATAGCCCGGTCCATCTGGGCACGTCTCAGCTTTGCCGACCCAGCCTGCATATGTTTCCTGTGCAGAAAGTGCAGGTTGACCACGCCACGTTAGGACACATTCAATCCTGACCAGATACTACCCGTCTTGACTGCGACAAAATTGCTTCTTAAGCTTGGATTTGGATTTTGAATGCGGGATTTTTCTGCTTCGGGGATAGGTCTTGCCTTGAGACCTGGATGAAGAGAGTAGTTTAGAAGAAACTATTGGTTGGGTTGAGGTGGAGTGGTCAATGGGTTCTCGAAATTCTTTAACTAAACAACGAATGGAGTTGCCAATACGATCTTAGGCAGATTTCAGACTATCATTGACCAAATTGTCAGTTTTGATTTAGAGAAAAGTGAAACATAATCCAAGGGGAGGGAAGCTATAATTCCGGGTGAACTAACATACAATTGAGGGTAAACTAACCTATAATTGAAGGTGAAATAAGATAAGTAGTTAGTATGGGATCAATGCACATAAACTAGAATCGAGAAACGGTGTCTGTTCAGTGCCTTGATATTCCATATCTCTCGTCATGTATTCCAGACTAAACCAGACTGCAGGGGGTTTTTGGCTGCTTTCTCGTGTTGCGCCTGGTCCGTATGGTCTGTGGCAGTGGCTTGTGATGGGATTTGCTGACGAATGGGACCTTTACACAGCTGCATGAGCTTTACCTAAAGCTGTACTGTAGTCTGCAGATAAAATGAAATTATAGTTTCAGAAACCCGCAAGACGAACCCCACTCAGATTAATAGTATCGCTAAATACGATACTGCACGCGATCGAGTGTTGGAACAGCTTTCCTATGAGAAACTCCATTCTCTGGTACAAGAATCGCAAATTATGACTAGTCATTAGGCAATTTGGATCAGTCTCACAAAAGTCTCATGCCAAACGCTCCTTGTTTCACTTCTTTTGGGTGATGACTTTCAATACCTCGACCGCCAGATCGTGAGCACTGGCCGGGTTCTGTCCAAGGAGGAGCTTGGGGTTTGATATCACATGAGAGGCCCAGGCCTCGTCTGCTTTCTCATATTTACCTCCACTAGCCTTATCCAAGGCTTGTTGAAGATGGAACGGCATATTAGGAGGAGCAATGTTGTTGGCATAAGCTTGATCTTCTTCTTCATCACTGAATCCAGTCACCCGTTTCCCGTGTAGAAGAGGTGTTCCATCGGCTAGCTCGACGTTGACGAGTGCGGCCACTCCATGACAAAGAGCGACGATGATGCGATGGGCGTCATGGAATTCCCGAATCAGCTGAATCGATGTCTTATCAGTGGCGAGGTCGTACATTGCTATGGTGATATAACTTGGTTAGATATTTGGTTCTTCCTTAGAACATGAAGTGCAAGGACTGCAACGACAGGGAATGCCTACGTCCGAAGCCCCCCACAACGAAAATGACATCAAAGTCCTTCGCGCGACCAAGAAAAGAAGCGAGCTTTTCAGTACTCTTCCAGAGATCTTTTTTTGTGCGGTAGAATTCTTGACAGTAAGCATCATCTTTGAATCGTTAGCGAGGCGATGGTCATATCAACGTGAGGTGCAAGCACCTGATAAGGATGAGCAAACTCGGGCTATGAAGGCATGGTCAATCGAAGATCAATAGTCCTGTAAATAAATGATAGGACTAACCAGATACCAACCGGTTTCATGCGAAGAAAGGACAAACAATATCTTTGGCTTATTGGCAGTCATTGTTCAGCTTGGCGGGATATAATGATAATTCTTGTAAGAATATTTCTACGAGCGCGGTATATTAGTTACGGGCCAGCAGATATGGTTTTATACCTTTATTTCTCTGATTAAAAGTGCCTAAAATCTCGATGTCCAAACGGAATGCATCAGTCTATCCGGTGTATGTATCTGTAATCTTCACTGGTAGCTGACGTATGAGGTCGACTGTCTCCCTTCAAATACGAGAACACGTCATCGAGAACGCCACGGTCGGACAAAATTGTATCTTGCTGTCCCACAAATAGTCAATTTTTTTTGCTTTTCTAACTTACAGGGTAGTCTAAGATGGTGACATTGCATTCTAGCTGGAGACCCTGTGGTCAACGCGGACAGTGGCGTAGTGGGCCCGTGTTCTGCTGGTCGGGATTCACTGGCCAACCAATATTTTGTCAATTCCGCAGATTATCTTTCGCGTTCGGCCTGTTCAATTGGCACATGTGCGTCGGTCAGATGGTCGCTTTTCATGCCTTATTCCGGAAGAAAACAAATTGGTTGGCCATGTCCTCTTAATGTTTTGGCATGAGCGACTGGATCCAGTCTACCTGCCTTTTTTTCGAAGCAAATCCAAACCAATCATATACTACTACGGAAGGGCTTCCAGAAGAAGTTCGTGCCCCGCACTTAAGATCTCCCGGGGCTACGCCACGACTTCCAAGCCCACGGAGTGCGCTCCCGAAAAGAGTGCAAGAATCGGCCTAGATCCTTCAATATCTTGTCAAAGGAGGGCCTAGAAGCCGATGGTCCCAAAATGGAATTAGACTATGGTGGCTCCCATGGTTACACTACCTCTGCCCCGCATGATTTCTCTCGGGTAAATCTAGCCTGTGCATAGCATGTCGATTTCAAAACAATTTCCATAGAGGGTTTGTGCGACTACTTTCGTTATTCAGTTTAGCCATGGAAATAAATACGTTCTTTTTGCTCGTCATGAGACATTAAATTGAACCAGATCCAATCTGCAGCAAGGCATAACGTGAATTCGATTAAAACACTTTTTGACGGCGCTAGTTTCCCACTTTATAAATCTGATACTCGACTGCGGAGCCTTCATCATCGACGATGAACCGACCTTGACCCACAAACAAACAAGTTTCGACCCATTTACAAGCGGGATCGTCCGTCTCGATGACAGGCGATGCGAACCATTCGTGGTCACCATACTGCGTTGATTTAGCATCGGCAGCCCCGCTCAGGACTTTACTGCCTGCTTCGTCCACTTTGAGAACTCCGTGATAATGGACATAGATGCTGTGTTTTCCATCTCCGGTACGTGCTTGCGAGCGCACATTAATATAGCATACGTTTGTCAACGGATCCATCTGTGAAAAAATATTCAATCACCGCTGAGGAGTAAGGAAGAGATGAGTGGTACCAAAATCCAATCCCCACCACCTGGTATAATTGTTGCTTTTATACCAGAGCCATTTATAAAGCCGTGTGTGATGGGAACGATGACGCGTGATGGTCCGTCCTTGATCTTGGGGATTGTTAAACCGTTCTCTCTGGAGAGATAGGCGCGCATGGTGAAAACATAGTCCAGCTGAGGTGCCATAGCAGAGTAATGAAGTACGAGGGAAAACAAAGGAAAGTTGCTCAGAAGCGGAGGCAGCATCAAATAAGGCTGCACGTACCACGCTTGACGTTATTCGTATGTGACGCCTACGTCAACTATAACTGGATCATGCGCAAAATCCATCTTTTGGATACCTACTTACTGTGGAAATACCAAAATGGTTTGTATTCCAGAAAAGTGCTTAAGGGAAGTAACTCCCAAGCTGAAGTGTTCTTACGAGACACCTCTCACAGATTACTACGTGTTTCAACCGGGTTCATTTGCATTATCATGCAAAAACCCCACATGCTCGTCTGCAGCGTATTTTGAAAATTCCCACTGCAGCTGATATGATGGGTGTGGAATCTGTTGTTTGGATCTGAACGCCACCTGACTTAATTATGATGATATAAACCCTCCCACTCAAGTTGCACGTGATGTGTAATTTTTGTCCCTCCTTTTGCATTTATTAGCAAGAACGAACAACTGATCTAATACGGAGGATCTCTCTAATGAAAATCCCATTTAAGCAATGTTTGCTTAAACGTCTTGGCCCAATCAATTAGAAAAAGCGGGCGGATCTTCACTGGACGACACCGTATAGCATGTTGAGGGAACGTTTGAAATCATAGATCACCGCCAATCTCGATGTCCATTGATATGGGCCTATTTTGAGTCTTCCATTCACGCCATATGGCTTTTGAGATGATCGTTGAGTTTTTTCACCTTTTGTAGTGTTGGAGAAATTACTGAATATCTATAAAGAACTCTTCAGACGCTAGGGTTGCTACGTCAGCTCATGTTCTAGAACGATTCAAAATTTAAACCTTTATAAAGGAATTTTAGATATCGGTCCTTAGTTTTTCAAATCAAATCTGGGGTCATCTATGTACCAATCAGGTACAGGGTGCTACTACGGCGATAAATTAAGTCGTTAAGTTGTGGGGAAATCACGGGGACTGAAACACGGCGGGGAAATTGGACATACCGAGGGGCGAAACTGGATAGCCGAGGTGAACCATCGATGACCACATGGTCCTTGGTATTTTGTTGTTACGGCTCGGCTGGGTGATTATTTAATAATAGCGATTGTACAGCTCATAATTTATTTAGCCTTGAAACAATTTCCCCAAACCAAGTTCACTTTAGAACAACACATGTACCACGCCGTCCCGCAAGACACTATACTCGACTGCGGAAACCATCCATCGAAATGGACCCAACAACATTCAAGTCTTTGCTCTACAATACATCAGCAGATGGAAAAGTTGCCTATATAACGTTAAATCGACCAAAGCAGCACAATGCTATTGACCAGCACATGCCCTTCGAGATACGCGCAGCAGTCCGGTTGGCCAACGCAAATCCTAATGTTCACTGCATTGTACTTAAGGGCAATGGACGTGGCTTCTGCGGTGGCTATGATCTCGATATCTACGCCGCAAACGCCGAGCGCGGGCAGACAGCTGGCAGCCAGGACCTCAGTCAAGGCTATGAGCCGTTCCATGAATATGCATCTATGAAGGAATGCACAGACTGCTATTCTGAGTTGTTTCACAGTTACAAGCCAACAATCGCACAAGTCCATGGAGCAGCTGTCGCAGGAGGAAGCGACATTGCCTTGTGCTGCGACCTCGTTGTTATGGCAGACGACGCGAGGATCGGCTATCCTCCAAGCAGGGTTTGGGGTTGTCCAACAACAGCAATGTGGTCGTATCGCATTGGGCCCGAAAAGGCCAAGAGGATGCTCTTTACGGGTGATCTCATCAGCGGCTCGGAAGCTGCGGCCATGGGTCTTGTTCTCAAAGCCGTGCCACAAGCACAGCTGGAAGAGACGGTCGAACTTCTCACCGAAAGAATCAAGAGCGTTCCTGTCAATCAGCTTTGGATGCAAAAGCAAGTCATCAACAGCTCTATTGAAGGCATGCTTTGCTCAACTCAAAGGCTTGCGACTATCTTTGATGGCATCACGCGAAATTCGCCGGAGGGTATCGATTTTCAGCAGCTCGCACAGCGCGTGGGATTCAAAGCGGCAGTATCGGCCAGGGATGAGCCAGGAAGAAGTGAGGAATACAGAAAGAAGTGGAAAAGTGTGCTGTAACCTAGGAAGAGAATATAGAGAAGAAGGCGTTTATCTGTAATAACATCCGCGCTTGGTGAGAGGAGGAATAGAATTTATCTACTAAAGGCACTTATTTATAGAGGGTTGATAGTAATCTGCTAGCTATCTACAGGAGAAGGTTTTACCGGGCTCCACTGAGGAACCGGGTATATCTGTTGATAAAGCTACGCATAGGCCATAATTTGTTATTTATATATTAAGGCCTACTAATTCCGAGGTAACGACCACTACCTACCTGTGCGGCGCCTAAGAAACAGTCATTTATATCATAGTGAACTGTCCAATAACCACTAGTCTAAAATCTGATTCCCCGTCAAGTCTAGTGGGCAGTGGTTTATACTCAACTTCAACGAAGGGCCGGGGTGAATATGCACTAGTACTGTACCCCTCACCTTGAAGTATCTGCAAGATATCCATGCTGACAACAGCTTAGAATGGCCGGAGTTATTTCGCATGCCGACAGAGCGGGGAACAACACGATTATGCATAGTAGCGACAGCAATGTTTCATCGACTTACCTAATTTATTTCTTACTTCAGATACCTACATATCGCACCACATGCAATCTTTCGTGCATGCGATCTTCATTTCAGTACTCTTAGCGGGGCTTGACCTCGGTTGTTCTGCAATCGAATATTTATGTTCGCGCAGCCTTTGGAGAACTGCAGAATCATCAACTCTCCACTCAATTGACAACTACCAATATGAAGATTAGCACTTGGTTACCGACTCTGGTCAGTTCATGCATGCATGGAGTTGCTGCTATACAGTATGCAGGGTGAGCTTTACTCGCTGATAAGTCTTGGGGTGGGATCACCGTTCCTGATTGAAAGCGACCAGTGTCAACCTTATTGGACTTGCGGCCGACGCTAGTCTGCTCGGCACGGCATACACGTCATTTGAGTCGACTTCATGTGGAGGAAAACAAACAAACTACCCGTACCTTGATCCTCCAGAGCTCTACTGGGAGTGGCGTGACTTGGGGTTCAACATGATCCGGCTGCCTGTTGCGTGGGGACATATTCAGGATGGGCTAAACGGCCCGCTAAATCAAACGACCCTGTCAGAACTCGACAACCTCGTTAACATCATCACATCGAATGGCAGCACGGTAATTCTAGATATTCACAACTACGCCCGGTATTATTGTGCTGTTATTGGACAGCCTCTGCTGGACCTGCCTGATGCTCCCCAAGAGGTGACTGACGACAACTTCACGGATCTGTGGGGCAAGCTAGCTGCACATTATAAGGACAACCCAAACGTGATTTTCGAATTGATGAATGAGCGTAAGTAATCAGTTAGAAATCTCGACAGCACAAGCTAACTCAAAACAGCGTGGGGTTTGAGCGCTTTCCTATGGGCCGATACTATGAAAAAGGCCATTCAGGCGATCTTGAAGGAGGCACCTTCACATCGAATTCTCATCGCAGGGCCGTACGCGGCGACAGTGACGACTTGGGAGCTCCGATCCGCACTGGCATTGCTTCCGCTGCTGGACACGGCTCCTCGAGGCCAAATCATATTCGACCTGCATCAGTACTTTGACATTCTTAATGGAGGATCGGCAGATTGTTTGGAATGGTGGCTTTTCTATCTCCCATTCGAGGCGGTCACTAGTACATTACGCAGCCATAATGCGATCGCGATGCTAACTGAATTTGGAGGGGGACCTAATGATGCGTGTGCAGAAATCATCGAAAAAGTGTTGGAATTCTTCGAGGATAACTCAGACGTGTGGAAAGGATGGACTGCTTGGAGTAATATGAAGGGAGACCAGGCAATCAGTCCGAATGCGAGCAGCCAGTACTATAAGCTGGCAGGTGTAATGGAGAAGTTTGCACCGCTGCGTGTAGACCAATAAGCATATCGATGAGATTAAGCATATTTATTTGTGAAAGGATGATGGGTTGGAAATAATTTGAAGTACCTCGGCTTCGATTTTGTCCCTAGGGAGATCACGACTGGAAGCCGCCGGGGATGAGTGGTACAGACGAAAACAGATTCATGAAGAAAATGAAAATACTATTTATCTGAAACTATCAACGCTATGAAAATGCCTCTATAATATAGTCTATATACCGAGCAGCAACACGTAAATATCTTACTGCTGCCCCCCAGAAACATATGTTGAATGTTCGGAGTCCATCAAGTCTCCAAAATGTACAATCCACTACTGCGCCAGCTTCATATCGAGTCTGCGGTGCACAGGGTTAAAGACAGGCTTGGGTGCCACGTCGGGATCCTTGTCCAAGCCAGCGTGGTGGGCGATCCGTCCGGGCAGTTTCTCCGGGTGCTCCACAACTCCCGGAATCTGGGTGTCGATCTCCCGAGCCATCTTGTTCAGGAAGTTCGTCACTGGCTTGACGAACCATCTGTCTCCTCCGAATTCGAACCAGCCGAGGTGGCCGCCCCATGAAGTGGTTAACATGACTCCGTATGGTGTTTGGGTCATTTCCTGGAAGGGGAGTGCGTCGCGGCAAGCAATCTTTCATTTGTCAGTAGGTACTTTCAGATAAATAAGGTCGATGCGGTAGACTTACGGGGTCATCCTCGGCCTGCACGCTGAGGAAGGGAATGCGGATGGACAGCATGGCATCGGTGGATGCGGCATCCCGGTAGTATGCGCCTTCGGTGGGATATCCCCATGTTGGGCATTGCAGAGCGCTGTATAAAGCCAGTTAGAAATCGAGAACCCCTGCATAAAAGAAAAATTAAAAAAAGAGATTTACATACCGGTCAAACTCATGCAAGTAGGTGATGCTTCGCACGGCGTCAACGTCGATGCGAGGGTTCTTGGAGACCTGTTCGACGTGTCTAAATCCACTACTTTAGTAATTTTGTAGACATAACACGAGAAGTAAGACTCACGATTCGAAAAGGTTCTTCATGCTGGTACCCATCGTCTTGCTATACACTTCTTTGCCCAGCCAAGTACTTTGAAGATAGGCAGAGCCAATATCCAGGTTCCAAGGACTGGCGCAGATAACAGCAGCCTTCAATTGGCAATTGTCACCCTCTTCACCAAGATACTGTATCCATGTTAGTTCACAGTACTGAATCAAATAACTCGACAGTACATACGTTGGCAAGAATGTTGGCACCAAGTGAGAACCCAATGCCAAACAGAGGTCGGTTAGGGAACGTCTTTCTGATCCAGTTGACCGCCTCGCGAATATCCCAAGTTGCACGAGCATTGTAGAGAACCCCGGTACTGATCTTTGTCTGCGCGCATCCCCTCGAGTTCACAACGCACGCTTCCCACAGACCATCTTCAATGAGAGGGGCAAGGACGTGTCGCAAGTAGACTTCGTGAGAGCCGCCGCTCAGACCGTGAAGGACAACAAGCATAGGCTTTGTGTCGTCCGAGGGCAGAGCGGAGAGCTCTTCTGGTGAATAGAACGAGGTTCGAGGTGGCAGACCCTCTGGTTGAGTGTATTTGCGGGCCTGGTCAGTAAGTTCACCCTCCGGAGGCATGTCATAAGGCTTGACGACGAAATCTATGGCATACTGTCCTGTGAACATGGGGGATTCCGACTCGAACATCTTCCGCTTGTAGTAAACAGGGACATTGTCATGCTTCATCACCGTCCAGGCGGTCTGCAGATGGCCGTTGAACAGAAAAGGATTGAGATGACAGGTCTCCGGAGTCGCATCACGGCAGACATCCACCAGGGTTGTCTGCTCCTTTGCGCCAGTCTTCCCCGATACTTTGGTCAGAAGGAGCTTATTGTCCTTGGCGTGGAAGAACGAGATCCGCCCGCTAGGGCGCAGCCATGAGAGTAGACCCATTGCAAATAACCCCGATAAGAGGAGCGATACAGGGAATGAACGAAGAAGATCTGCTGCAAAGTCTGGCATAAGGTACTATGCAGAAACGAATGTGAAAGTGAGTGACGACCAAGACTTGGCACGAAGACTTTTCTCTATGGGTTCAAAATATAATGGTAACAGAGAAAAGCCTTGATATGACGGGGACCTCGGCATCACCCGATCGATGGTGTCTGACTAAGCACCAAGCCGATCTTATCTCTACACCACGTGACTATCCCGCTGATAAGGGGCTGAGTCATGTCTCGTTGCCTAAGGCAGCCAATGTCTCTCCACGAACGCCTGTCATGGGACCCCGACTTTGATCCGTCAGTTGACAGGGTCATGGTAGTCTGTGCAGAAACTCTGATAACCGAAAACACCCCAAGGCTGAACATGGGGGGAATGGGGGATTCCTCCACTAAAAATGGAGGTGATGATGCGATGATGCTCGATGCGGCAATCTGCCTTCCGCATGCGGTAGAAGCCCTTGAGAGTTCAACGGCTTCCGGCCAACTCGTGGCAGCGACCTCCAACAATAGATATTATCTAAAGGGATATTCCACAGGGTTATATCGAAAGAGGAAGTAAGATATTGTGAAGTACTGCATTTGGATCATCGGACGGCGAACGGGCTGCCCCAGCGATGATCTAGTCGATTAGCCCTATATGTAATGCTGATAGCATTACCGTCAACCCTTTGTGACCCAATCCCATGGTCCGTTTTCATGCAACTTTATCGGTCTCAAGGTCCTACTTCAAGGTCAAGAGATCCACCCTTTTTCTTCTTTCCTTTTTCTCTTGAAGATGGTGCCTCTTCGTCACGCGATGCCGTTCGTCCTTGGGGCATAATATTTCAGCTCACCTCGTCGCACGCCCAACACCCGCTTTCAACCCTCTCACTTGATTCCTTCTCATGGGGCCTGGTCATAAAAGCGTTGCGAAAGCGCCACGTCTCAGATACAAAGAGCACACTACACATGTGCTTCCCATGGCTTTATTAGAGTCCCCATCTGGCATGCCAGAACGTTTCCAACGAGCTACCCAGAGATTAAGAATCGCCATGAGAATGAAGTCGTGGCCAATAACCCGTCCGCGAAAGCAGCAGAAGGAGGAAGATTCAGGCCGCTGTCGCCTTATGGAACTGCCCACCGAGCTGCTGTTGGAAATCAATTCCCACCTCACCCTCATCCCGGAAGCCGCTTTTGCGCTGACCTGCAAGCGCATGTTTGCTATATCCGGGGAAATCCTCGCCTCCAAGTCCCTGCGATTTACTCGAGACTTTGCGCCACTTTTCCACCACTATCGAAATGGACATAACTTCGTCACGCCGCGCTGGCAGTTTATCAACCTATTGGAAAATACTCGCTGGCGTGCGTGCTCCAAGTGCCTGAAACTGCATCCTCAGACTGCCTTTTCTCCCCGTGACTTGAAACGCAAATCGGAGCAACGAACATGCAAACTGGGTGAACTCGCCGGAATCGTCGATTTATGCCCGTGCAAGAAGTTGACCTACCGAGATAAGATGGACCTCGTGGATCATCTCCGAGTACGAAAGATCACTTTAAATGCTCTCAAGTCTCAGTTCGGAGACAGGGTCGGAGACCGTTACTGCTGGCACTCCTGTGTCGAGAAGTACGGATCGACCGATTTGAAAATATCATTGCTCCCCGAGCTCGATGACGACGATCAGCTGGTCATCCGCACAGAGTACCAGCTTACAACCGAGTCGGGCCAGGTGGGCAAAGAAGAGTACATGACACCCCGATTCGGATGTGCCCATCGATCTATCGACCTGTGGCTGTCGAGTGTATACCAGACCACCATCTGCCGGCTATTCGATTCATTCTGCTCGTCCTGCAAGCGCATCTCCGTCTGCTCTGCGTGTAATACAACATTGAAGTGCCCTCGCAAACAACCGTTCAGCTCTGAAGAGTCGGGCAGGGCGACCTATCATTTCTGGACCCAGCGATCTCTTGGAGGCTCTGATCCGGTCCCGGATGCGACTTGGGGGAATCAAAGAATTCACCCTGCTGAGCCCTCGGTTGGTGTGGAGAATTGCAACGAGCTCTGCCCTTGGACGGTGCGAGAACATCCTCCGCTTACTTTTGCGCCTAGTCTGGATGAAGAAATTATTCGGCCGGCTATGAATGAGCAACCCATCAATTCATTGTACTCGTCTATTCGCATGATGTGAAGTGGTTTTTGCGCAGACGTTCCTGCGGTGTTATATTTTGGTGCATATGGACAGGAGTTGGGTCAAAGACCGGTGCACTCTACTTTACAGATAATTACAGGATGCATATTGCGTGGGTTGTTAATATAATTTAGTACACAAGCATGGCCAGGCGTTTCATCGGTGGATAGGTATTACTATATTGAACATGAATACATTTTTAATCTGATTAATTGAGACTCCGATCCTACATGCGTAAATTGCTGCAGTGTCTCGTTGGTGGACAGAAAAGATAACAACTCTCTTTCTCTTCATGGGCCTTGTGTCTCATCTGGCCAGAGACCACATATCGATCTTCACACCTCGCTTCACTCGAAAGCAAAGACTATCACGAAGAGGCGGGTCCATCCACGGCAGGGTGTGGTCTCCATCTTGAGTCTCCTCCATTACAAAGCCACACTTAGTCAAGACACTGATCGAAGCTGCATTTTGGGTGTCACACCAAGCATCCAGAGTAGTGTATTGTAGCTTGAGTTCCCAGAACATGGTCACGAATCCTTGCAGTGCTTCAGTGGCAAAGCCGTGGCCCCATGCATCGCGATGGAAAATGAAGCCGACTTCTGGTGATGGGTTTGTTCTCCAGGTCCCGATCCATCCGATGAAGGCACCTGGTTGGAGGATTGTAGATTCGGACCTCTTTTCAGGAAGCTTGTCTGGGTCGATGTCTTTGCGAATGATGACGGCGAAGTTGTCTCCGTTTGGGTTCGTGGAGAGGAGTAATTCTGACATCCATTTTCTGCTGTCTTCGAGGGTCTTACAGTAGCCGTGTGGGCTCCATCGAGTTGCATTTTTGTCGGACCAGATGGCGTGGTAGCCGGGGAGGTGGTCCTCAGTCAACCGGACGAGTTCCAGTCGGGGTGTCATCATTTTGGGTGAGAATGTCGGTGGAAAGATTTGAAGTAGGATGTTGTAGATAGAAGAACAGAAGTGGATGTGAATCTCACTTTACATGGCAGTCATTTAAACGGCTTATCCTCCGTCGGGGTCTAAATACGGAAGCGCTGTGTATTAAATACAGCCATCACTAACCCAGCCCACGATCTTGAGTCGGATGGGTCTGACATTTCGATCTGAAGTCGATCTAGACTATTCCTCTGTTCCGATTTATAGCCACCTTCAGATATCGCCCATTAGGCGGTATTATCTACCGCAGTAAGCAGATGTAAGAGGTGCATTTAGCACAAGTTAATCAAACGCGAAGAAAAATGCCTTGTTCAAATAACCAAACAAAGTCGAAACAAAGCAATTTCAAGACAACGATCCCTGTCATGCAAACTCAAATATACATTCTTGGATCTAAGGTTATCGCTTATCAGCTGACCGCCGCGAGTTTCTCCGCCCCGACGCGCAAGGCGGATCTCGACGCTTCACCTCGCGCGCTGAACTATCAGCTTCACTGGAGAGTGCATGTTGGGGCCATGAGTTTCCCACCACCTCATTCCGGGCAGTATCCGCAGTACATTCCTCCCCAGTACCCGCCCGGCCATGTCCCCCAGCAGTTGGTGTACAACAATGGCCCTCCCCAGGCGCCGTCACATTCACCATACAATGGCTACGCTAAACCGCCGGGCTATCCCCAGGGGATGATGCCCTATCCTCAATACCCTCAATACCAGCAGCAGGTGCATCAAATACCTCAGCAGCAGCCTCTCATCCACCCACACCAGTTACCTCAGTCACAGCCGCCTCCGATTCAATCGCAACACCCTCAATTTCAGATGCAACAATCTCCTCGTCTTCAATACCAACAATCTCCTCACCAGCAGATGCAGCAACAGTCTCCTCGCCCGCAATTTCACCAGCAATCTCCCCGTACCCAGCTGCAACAGCAATCTCCACGTCCTCAATTCCAACAAGCCCCTCTTCCTCAACTGCAGCAACAATCTCCTCGTCCGCATGTACAACAATCTCCTCGTCCACAATACCAACAATCTCCCCACCAGCAGGTGCAGCAACAGTCTCCTCTCCCGCAATTTCACCAGCAATCTCCCCGTACCCAGCTCCAACAGCAATCTCCTCGCCAACAGTTGCAGCAGTCTCCGCGGCCGCAGTTTCCCCAAAATGCGCCCCTTCCTCACCCACAACCACCACCACCACCGAAGCCGCAGGTGCAACCGTCGCTACCACAACCACCCACGCAGATCCAGCCCCAGCCGGCGCCAGCTCCTTCTCTTGCACCCCCAGAGCCGCAGCAACAGTTCATCAATCCGGCGGAGCTGTTTGTTCAACCGCCTCTCCCTGCTGCTCCAAGATCACGATACGTCCCACCTCCGGACTACGTCGACCCCAGTGCTCTCTCAGATCCGGCAGCCAGTGACTTACCTGCGATCCCTTCAATCGCTTCTGCGGCCTCATCAAAAGCACAGCTAGCACCTGCAGTCCAACATCCCCCACGTGCAACTCCTCAAAACCACACTCAAGGCGCTGAAAGACAGTCAAGTTTCCAAATCCAGCCGCCTCAACCGGCCGTCAAGATAGAGTCCGCGCCAATTCAGCCAGCTCTGAACGTGGAGATGAATCTCGCTCCGCCTACCCCCAGCGTCGAGATGAAACGTCCCCCGTCCACTCCCAAGGCGCCGCCGACACCTGCGCAGGTGTCTGCGCAGTCACGGCCCACCCCCTCGCCTGCCGTGAATGCCATTCCGCAAGCGATAATCCAAGCGTCTTCTCCGGATGTCCAGAAGCAACTTCAAAAGCAGCAGGCAAAAAAACCACAGCAGAAACGCCCCAGCCTGCAGGGTACTGAAACGGCTGTAGCAAATCCCACCAAACCGCCGGTGGACTACCAGGTCCTTTTGCTGTCGTTGGCTGATGAGTATCTAAATGCTGCGCATCGCCAAGGAACGAAGTTAGCTTTGGCAACCCGCCATGAAGATGTTGAAGAGTACTACAAGCTGGTTGCGACTGGACTTGGATGCTTGGAGGCTGTTTTGAAGGTAAGTTTTTCTCGGCTTTTATCTACTTATTTATAATTACTGACACGTCGACAGAACTGGCGGTTGCAACCTCGCAAGGAAGCTCTTGTGCGACTACGGTATGCTCGGACATTGTTTGAGGAAACAGAGAATGATCTCGAGGCCGAGACAGCTTTGAGCAAAGGGGTACGCTTTGGTCTATAACATCTGCTATTTCAAGTATCTGGCTGACGTGTTCTATAGATTGACCTTTGTGAGCGAGTGAGTGACAGATCTCGATAGGCAACAAGACCAATACTGACCTTACTAAGAACCGCATGCTGGACTTGAAGTACAGTATGCAGCATCTTTTGGCGCGAATGCTCCACAAGACCAATCCCAAAGCCGCTCTGAAAGCCGTCGATGGCATGATTCAAGATGTCGAAGCGTGTGTATCATGGACTCTCTTCAAGCAAACTTTCCGCTAACGAAAACAGTTATCGTCATGCTGCTTGGGAGTACGCATTTCGCTTCCTTCGAGTTTCCTTGTCTTTGTCATCTTCGTCGCATCAAGACTCTGTGCAGGCATTACAACATCTTCACAAAATTTCCAGCATGGCCGGTCGAAACGGGGACAAGGCTGTCTCGGCAATGGCAGCAATCATTGAAGCCCTGGCACATCTCCAATACGGGACAGGGTCTGATGCTATTGAGCAGGCGCAGCGCGCTGTAGCCGCCGCACGAAGTCACCAATTAAATGAGGAACTTCGCGACATTCCACAACTGGTCACACTCATACAGATGGTTGACATCTTCTGCAGTCTGTTGGAGTACGACATTAACCAGTCTTCTCAAAAGTTAAGTGTGATGCAGGCCAAGGTAGACGAAACACTAAGTGACCCGAACTGGCGCCCCGACGGCTCATTCTCTGTGCCACTCAACGGAAAATCGGCCGGGCCGTCGTCCATCGATACGGGCGACATTCTCCAGGTCCACAATGGGACGCTGCTTCTGAGCTTCAACTGGCTTCCCCAGCACGATCTTTATGCCCTTTCGTACTTCTTGAGCTCGGTCACTTTGAGTTCCAAGAATTCTTATGATGGCCGCAAGGCGGAGAAGTATCTTGATGAAGGACTTCGGATGATTCAAGGAGAATTCAAGGCCCCTCAAGAGATCGCCGAGTCCATGGTGAATGCGACGCGGAGAGTTGAATGGCGCCGATCCCTCTACTGCAGCTTCCTTCTGCAGCGTGTTTTCTTGGCGTGTTCCCGGACCGACTGGGATTTGGCTGGCCAGAGCTTGAAGGAGTTGCGGCAGGTCACCCAACATATTGGGCACCAACTCCCCAGATCCATTCAATGCTTGATGGAATACGCCGCTGGAACCATTTCCCAGGCGACTGGTGATCTATCAGCCGCTCTGGCAACCTTCCAATCACCCTTACTATCGCTTTCCCCCTCAACCAGCAAAACCGCTCGCAATGACCCCTGCCGCGACACATGCATTCTAGCAGCTCTCAACACCGTTCTCATCATCCGTGACCCGGCACACCCATCGCATTCCCATCTCCCAAATGTTTTGGCCACTCTCGAGTCTTTCTGCCAAGGTAGCCCGAGCAAGTACATCCAAGCAGCCTACTTCCTGGTTTGCGCTACCGTGAACGACTCCACGGTCCAAACCAAACAATACCTCCAGCAGGCGTTGCAGTCTGCCACCGCCATCAGCAATAACCAGATCACTTGCATGACTCTGACATTCATGAGCTGGAAATACTTCCGCGGCGTGGTCGGCGAGCAAGCCGAGAAGAGCGCCCGAGCCGGTCGCGCCATGGCTCGACGAGCCAACGACCGTCTCTGGGCCAGTGTCACTGACGAGATGCTCGCCGATACTCTCGAGCGACAGGGCAAGAGCGAAGAGGCCCGTGACGTCCGCGCAGAGGGCCAGCGACTTATCATGGGCCTGCCCCCGGGCTTGAAACGAACTTGATCTCTCTTTCTACTTTAATGCCTATTTTATTACGATGGTGCTTTATTTATGATACCAATTCATGACTACACTGGAAGGCGTTTCTACGATTTCTTTTCATCTTGAGACGTGGGTGATACAGGAACACGAATCTCATATATGTCTTGCATTGAAAAATTCAAAAGACTTGATACCTAAACCTTGAGATATACCCCATTAACTTCCGAAGTTTCCTGATGAAATACGTAGTCACACCTCAAGCTGGCTACATTGTGGACCGCTTCAGTTGGAACAGGGCAAGTAAGTGTCCTGTGAGACACCCTCGCTAGCACTCATCATTCGACTTGATCCTATAAAAGGTAAAAGCACCCACGTCGATGCTTAATGTACACACCCTTGGTATAAAAAAAAATAGCAAACCCATCAAGCCGCGCATCGCGCAACATCAAACCCAAAAATCAAAGTAACACCACAACCCCGACACCATGCCCATACGCCGAAAACATCAGCCAACCCACTCTGGGCAGCTAGCTGGATTAAGATTAAACCCCCCATCCCCTCACTCAACCTCAACCAAGACCCCCCCACGCTCCCCGAATCCTGCGCGCAAGCTGAATATCCTTTTGCATAATAGTCACCCGCTTCGCATGGATCGCACACAGATTCGTATCCTCAAACAAATGCACCAGGAACGCCTCTGCCGCTTCCTGTAACGCCTGGATCGCGTGCGACTGCCACCGTAGCTCCGCGCCCACGTCGGCGGGGAGCAGATCCAGCGCGACCTCGCGGACTAGTCTTGCGAATGGGAGTTTGGCGATCAATAGGTCGTAGGAGCGTTGGTACCGGCGGATTTCTTTTAGGGCTACCGTGCCCGGCTTGTAGCGGCGGCGGCGGCCTGTTGGGGTTGGGTCTCCGGCTGCGCGGGTTTGTTAGTTTGGTTCTCTCCGTTTTGTTTTGGGTGGAAGGGGGAGGAAGGAGGAACGTACGTTGGACGTTTGAAGGCCGCTTTCCGGCTTTCTTTGCTCGGGGTGATGTCGTTGGTTTGGTTTTTCCCGCTGTGGACTTGCGCGCCGGTGAGTCGGTGGTGGTTGTTTTGCCGGCTGGTCGGCCTCGGGCGCGTTGCGGTGTGCCTGAGGGACCTGCTCTGATTGCTGATTTGGTCGCCATTGTGGTGCGCGAGTGGTGTGCGCGATCTGCGCGGTCTTATAGTGGGGTGCGAGTGAGGCTCGAGTTGATTGAGATCGGATGCGATTGTTTTTGCGTCCCTGCGGCTAGCACGCGTCCACGGTTTGCCCTTGCAGGAATCGCTTCGTTACGAGGAGCTGTCGTGGAGGGGTCGACAAGCTCTCGGACAGGAATTGACGGAGCCGGAATGGACAAAATTGCAAATCGCCGAAGGGGGCTGGGAAATCAATATGAACATATTCGTCCTTAGCGCCCAGCCCCGTGATTTTCGACGCGTCGCGGAAGTGGCACGTGACTGATAAGAGATACGGTCTACTTGGCATCATCTTGGACCCTTGTGAGTTTGTCATCTTCTCACGACTATTCAACATGGCTGCTCTGTGGGAAAACAATGGCCAAATGGGCCAGTTTCCTCTTGAACAATGGTTCTACGAGATGCCTCCGGTTACTAGGTGGTGGACTGTAGCTACCGTGGCGACATCGGTGTTGGTGCAGTGTCACGTCGTGACGGAATTCCAACTGTTCTACAGCTTCCGCGCCGTCTACGCCAAATCTCAGTACTGGCGGCTTCTCACGACGTTCGTATACTTCGGACCTCTGAATCTCGATCTCATATACCATGTCTTCTTCCTCCAGCGGTACTCTCGCCTCCTCGAAGAATCCTCCGGCCGCTCGCCGGCGCAATTTGCGTGGCTGGTTACCTACGCCATGACTTCACTCTTGATCATCTCGCCCTTTTTCTCCCTCCTCTTCCTCGGTACCGCCCTGTCGTCCAGTCTCGTCTATATCTGGGCTCGCCGGAACCCGGAGACTCGGCTGAGCTTCCTCGGGTTGCTGGTCTTCACGGCTCCTTACCTTCCGTGGGTCCTGATGGGATTCAGCATGGTTGTGCGCAGGGAGATTCCTAAGGATGAGATTTGTGGGATTGTGGTTGGCCATATTTGGTATTTCTTCAATGACGTCTACCCGCCGCTGCATGGTGGCCATCGTCCTCTTGATCCGCCGCTGTGGTGGCGTCGGTTGTTTGAGCCGGTGGAGGAGACGTCCCGGACTGATGCCGGTCGGAATTTTGCGGCCGCTGCCGCGCCGGAGGTTCGTTGAAATGTTCAGCAAGACGTTGAAGATTGACTAGTCAGTCTTTGCATTTCTTTGCCACGGAGCACGTGGCGCTTTGATCAAGCCATTGGCCAGTGTATTACAGCGAATGGTACAGTAGTATGGCATGCGAGCAAAAAGGGTGGTATGTCCGCGATGGGAGAAGCCAACGAACCACTGCATTGGCTTTGAGTCGAACCCGGACTACGTCAGAAATGAGCAAGGGATGGTTGAAAAAGACCAGCTCACCGGGTCAAACGCAGAGCTTCCATCACGGTAAGATGGTAGTACAAGCGCGATTAGAGTGCTGGAAAACGAGCATCCGGGGGTTAGTCATGGGAGAGGCATGTTTAAATCCAGCGTTGATAGCGAATAGATACCCTTTTCATTTAAAAACCTATACATGTGACCTGTAACTACTCCGTATGCCACTTAAAAAAATGACTACTCCTTACGTTCGGGAGTGCATAGTTCATGTACAAGGAACAAACAAAAGCCAGAGTGTACACTCGGCCCCCGGACAATGCCGTAGATGCTGTAAAGCCTTAGAGCACTGCCACTCAGCCCTGGATGCCGATGCCGGCAAGATGAGGTCGGCCAAAGCGGGGGTCAGAAAGTTCTCACGGCCGAAACCCCAGATTCCCGGACCACGCAATGAGCCGTACTTCCTAACTATTACGGTAATTATCACGGAACCACTCGACAGCAGTGCCACGGCAACCAAACCCATGCCTAAAGTAGTGCAGACATCGCCGATCGACTGGAAAACATAGGCCACGGCCAAATGACACGCCTCACGTCATTCGGGGCAGTGAACACGCCGATCCCGGCATCGTCGAATCTGGAGACGTTTTTTGATTACCGATGAACGAGGGACCCTGCTCTGATCCCCGTCCCGATCCGGATCGGGAACATTCCCTCATTATCTCCAGTGTCGAATCCAAGCAGCGAGTACCGAAAGAAGCGAACCGTGGACAGAGCAAGGCGGATTCACATTGCACTGACGCACCGGTGGAGGACCGGTGGAGGCACGGTGGCCGGGGCACTTTTTCGCGAGCGTACCAGCAAACAGTTGTACGTGGTTCCTTGGGGCTGTGGGGGCTGTGGAGTTCTGGCTCGAAGACTGTTCGCCATCCGCCACTCACGGCGCGTGTGCACCAGGGCCCTGAGGGTAGCTTCAACGTGTTTCTGGGGATAGTGATACGAATACGCTCTCCTTGCACCGTGCACGCTCCACAGCATTTCTGTTGGGGCGCTTGAACACCCCGGCCTTCTAATCGCTTTTTGACGCAGTGGGGTGAGCCGCACGACGATACGTGTACTACGCGTACTCTGTGTACGGCAGTACGGCAGTACGGCAGTACGGCAGTACGGCCACTGAGTAGGGGCCAGTGAGTACGTGTACCGCCTCGGTAACCAGTACAAGGTTCGACATTACGTGTCACACAAAAAAAGAAGGTACCCAGCACGGATCACTTACCTCGGTCTTTTTATAGTGGACACTCCACTTTTCTCACCCAGCATTCGTATGTGCGCTATTTGACTGCCAAGTCGCTGCCGCGCAATCGATCGTACCACCAAAGCACGGCATCGTCGAACCTCGTAACTTCAGGCAACACCGTAATCTCCCCCAGAGGTGTAAAGTCTGGTAAGACCGTGGCACGAAAAAATACGCCCCTTTGGCCCCACGGCACGGCCACGGCCGCCAATCAAGGAGACGAGGGCGTACGTACCTCGACTAATGACGGGTACAGCCACCCAACTCAGCCTCCGCGCCAGTAAACTCTACTGTTGACTTCCGTGGCTGCTCTTTGCCCCTTTCTGTACTGGGCGACTCCCTCACTCTCTTCACTCTTTTCACCCTCAGAATTTCCCGTTTCATTAATTCGCTCCTTTCTGCTGTCGCGTCCCCACTCGTCACTCCTTATTATCGTCCCCTTTTCTCGCGCCTGAGCTTGTGTGGTCTGGATTTTTTTTTTTACCCTCTTCACGACCACTCCATGTTTCGGCGCTAGACTACGATAATTTAACCCCCCTCCCTTTACCCGACTCGAGCTCCCCCCGGCCTAGAAGGCCCGTGAGACTCGCTCCCTTCGAAACGATTTGACGACCCCCGGAATTTCCGTTCAATTGCTTTGTTGCATTTTGTCCTCCGATTCGATCCTCCCCGATTCTCCGACCTCCCACCACCATCATGAGGCGCGGTCTGTTGATCTTCATCCTGGTCAACCTCCTCATTCTCTCCCTCTTGATTCGCAGTGTCTCGACTCTGCTGTCGCTACTCGTGGAGGATGCCGCTGCCGACGCGATTCACCGTGCGGAGTTGCCCTCGCCGAACTCTAGCCTGATCGAACAACGGCCCCAGATCATCCCCAAGATTATCCACCAGACCTACAAGAACGAGACCATTCCCGAGGTCTGGGTCGAAGCCCAGCAGAGCTGCCTGGACCTGCACCCGGACTACGAGTACATTGTACGTCTCTGGTGCAACCCGATGTGAACCCCGCTTGTGAAAATTGTGCTAACCATTGTTCCAGCTGTGGACGAATGAAAAGTCGCGCGAGTTTATCGCCGCCGAATATCCCTGGTTCCTCGAGACCTTTGACGGCTACAAGTACCCCATCCAGCGCGCGGACTCCATCCGTTATTTCATCCTGGCCCACTATGGCGGAACCTACATCGATCTGGACGACGTACGTATTGACCCTAATGCCTGCGGTCTGCACTTCTAACTCAAACCAATAGGGCTGCAACCGTCGCCTGGATCCCCTGCTCGCTTACCCCGCGTGGGTGCGCCGCACCGTGCCCACCGGTATCTCCAACGACGCCATGGGCTCCGTGCCCCAGCATCCCTTCTTCCTGCGCGTGATCGAGTTGCTGCAGCAGTACGACCGCCACTGGCTCCTCCCCTACATCACCGTCATGTACTCGACTGGTCCGCTGTTCCTGTCGGTTATCTGGAAGGAGTACATGCAGGATCACCCGAGCGACTCGGGCCGCGTGCGAATTCTCATGCAGGATGAGTACAACAAGTACTCTTGGAGTTTCTTCACCCACCACACCGGTAACAGCTGGCACGGAAAGGACGCGCACCTGATTTTCTGGGTATGTTATGGATCCGGAACCCTCTGGGGCCATTGGCCAATTGCTAACGAACAAGCAGATGGGCCAACACTGGGTGTTCCTCACCTTCTGCGGCTTCCTCCTGGCCGCCGTCGTCGGTTTGTGCCTTTTCTGGACCTACGGTCGCATCGTGCTCCTGGGAGCCCAGTACCGCTACCGCTACACCAAGATTCCCTCGATCATCAGCTCGTCCCGCCTATCATCCTCACCCACGCGGCGCGCGCGGCGCATGATGCCCACGCTCCTGCGGAGCGTAAGCTTCAAAGAAGACGAGGAAGCAGGCGGAGTCACCGAGACCTCCTACGAACTCGGTCGCCGGGACGACTGAGCTACAATCTTCAGTTGTATCGATACGGCTTTGGACACGATCTTTGCATACCTAACAGCATTTAGTGTATAGCTTCTTTTTTACACTCGATTTCTTTTTATGAGCGCTACATGCATGGTGTCTCAATCCTGCCGGATCCGGGATTGTTTGCTTCACCTGGAGCACTTTGGTGTCTTTTTTGCTTTGCCAGACCAAATGTGTTCTGGATCTTCTCTTTCTTCTGCTTTTGCCCCCATCTATATTTTCACATTATCAATTTGTAAACATGCTAGACTTCAATTCTTGGGATGAGGGGTGATTTGGACAGAATTTCGAGGCAATGATGAATCAATGGCAATGCCATAAATACCAGATCTTCTCTTTAAACCGAGAGACAATATCAATAAAAAGAGCGGCAAGTTCATCTAATCTATCAACAGGGATTCTCCGCTCCACTTTAACATTTGAACCCCAGACGCCGATCCCACCTTGGAAATGATACGTCGATCTATCGCCTCAGAGTCCCGCCAGGCCAGGGTTTCACCAACCCACCCAATAACAGCGCCCCCGTGCCTTGCATTGTCTACTGCATGAATGGAGAATTATTCCATAAGCTTTGTGACTGGGTTCTTCAATGCCGCGCCGCGTTTCAGTTCCCACAATCTCCGAGTAGTCGGCTGGTGGATCGCATACTTCATCTGCATTCCCCGCGCCACCAGAAACCCCTTTGTAGATTTTCCAGGATTGGGCCTCAAATACCCCCCAGCGTGGTCCTGCAATGCTATTACTGAATGCCCATGTTTGGGCGTTTCTCATCCTCCATTAGATATGCGGAGCTGGTTATAAAGGTGTTTGCTGCCGCTCTTCTCTTGGAGTATACAAACCAGGGCATGACATTCAGAGTCAGTCTCAGACTCAGACTTAGTTTCAGTTTCAGAGTGATATAGTTGCTATCTCACTATATCTTCTCCCCCATCTTCCATCTCTACGCCATCCAATCTACTCTCCTCTGGCTTTTACTATTCCAACGCCAAAATGCTCCCCACAACATCCATAACCCTCCTCCTTACCCTCTTCCTCACCATAACATCCGCCTCTCCGATATCCTTTTCCTTCCCCCTCGTCGCCCGGGGTGCCCTGACGGAAACCCAAATGCTCGCCATCGCACCGACGTCCAAGAACTGCGACAATCCCCCCGCAAAAGGCGAATGCGCAACCGCCAAACAAGCAGTCAAGTTCACCACGCAGTCTTTCGATAAATATGCCGTCACCTCCAAGGCGGAGCAGGCTGCCGTCATCAGTCTGATGGCGTTTGAATCGGATGATTTCAAGTATAACAAGAACCATTTCCCGGGGGTTCCTGGGCAAGGGAGTAAGTTTTGTCTCTTCAACTTTCCATCCACCTCTACCTCATACCATATTGGTGTCTCGTTGGTTTGGAACATGTACTGATTTTGTGTTTGTAGCTCGCAACATGCAGTCGCCAGCGTATAACAAAAAATACGCAGCCTCGATCCCCGCGCTGAAAGACAAGGTTGCCAAGGTTAGCAGTCCGGCTGCTTTGTTGGATTTGTTGCGTGAGAACGAGACTTATGATTTCGGATCCGGGGCTTGGTTCTTGACTACGCAGTGCTCGAAGGATGTTCGGGCTAAGTTGCAGAAGGGCGATGAGGCCGGGTGGCAGATGTACATTAGTGATTGTGTGGGGACTAGTGTTACGGATGAGAGGAAGGAGTATTGGGAGAGGGCTGTCAAGGCTCTTGGTGTTTAAGTCCCAGATCGTGTTTGGTTTTGTCGGAGCTGGTTTCCTTCGAACTTGATGTTTGGTGTTTGGGTTTTGGTTTCATTGGGTTAGATGGACTCTTTTTTATGAATTAACGTTTTCTATGGTCTCGTTTTGCTGTACTGTACACTTCGTACCTTTCTATAGATCGGGAAAGCGTGGTGTAGGTATCCACTCATATCACATATCTCGTCCCACCCGTACACTTGTCATACCCTGCGTGGAGCACTTTACAGAACACCCTTGGTACTAACGATGTCCCCGGCCCCGACCTCCCCCGCAACTCTGCGCGCGCAAGCAGTCCGAATCGCAACAGCAAGAGCCTTGAACGCGCTCTCCGCGCGGTGGTGGTCGTTATCACCATAAGTACAGCCCACATGCAGAGTCACGTCCGCAGCCTGCGCAAAGCTCTGCAGACCGTGCGTGATCATCTCCGTGCTCAGATCGCCGATCTTCTCGCGCTTGAAGCCGAGGTTGATGACTGCCCAGGGCCGGCTGGAGAGGTCAATCACGGCCCAGGAGAGGGCTTCGTCGAGGGGTGCGTCGCCGCGGCCGAAGCGAGCGAGGGATTGACGGGCGCCGAGGGCTTTTGTGAAGGCTGCGCCGAGGGCGAGGAATGTGTCTTCTGTTGTGTGGTGGTCGTCGACTAGGAACAAGTGGTTAGTGGTGGGGTGTTTTTAGTTGGTGGGAATTGGGAATTGGGAATTGGGAATTGACTCACTGTAAAGATCGCCCTTGGCCCGCACTGCCAGACTCCAGCCGGAGTGTTTTGCCAGTGCGTGCAGCATGTGGTCCAGGAACCCGATTCCTGTGCTCACGGTGATCTGCTGCGTAGGGGTGAATTGTGTTGCGTGGCCGGCATCTTTGGGAGGTACAATGCCGTTCTTGGCTGCTTCGGCATCTTGGGGATCGCTCGGTGGGGAAAAGTGTGTGGTGGGTTCGTAGGCTGGGAGGACGCCGCCGTCTAAGGAGAGCGAGACTTGGATCTTGGTCTCGTTGGTTACCCGCGATATGGTCGCGGTGCGTGCGGTGAGAGCCATTGCGATTGTGTTGGTGGGTGTATGAGGGCTGCAAATTAAAGTATGGGATCCGATGCCGGCTTGATAATCGGCATTCCTTTTTATCTGAGTCGCTATCGTGGATTATCGTTGATCCGCTTTGCATTCATCACTCGGTGTTGGGTGGCTACGACCCACAGGGGCACGTGATGGTGCCATTCGTGACTAATGCGGTTTGCTCAAGACACCGTACTGCTAGCCTCCAGTAGAATCAGACTTTACTAGTCATCCGCGGGCGTGCTTGGCGGTTAGTTAGAGAGCTGAGATTGTGACTGCTTTCTAAGCTATATCTACCGAATCAAAGTAGGTCTACTGTATTTTATTTAATTCTACCCTTTATACTATTCAGTATAGAGGTGTAGAATTCAGTGAGATTAACGAGACTACTCTCTTGAAGAAGGTGCACAATGAAAAAGCTACGCGGTCAAATACTTGATTTTACTCGGGACTTGGGCGAATGGAAATGGAATTGACAGTCTATTCATCTCGTATGTCACTTCACTTCTAGTCAGCACCCGTACCGGTCCATGATGGCCCTGAATGAAGGATCCCGCAAGAGTTCTACTGCGGTCGGCCGTTTTTCTGGGTCGTAGATAAAGACCTTTGACATAATAGATTGCACATGTTGCCGCTCGGCCAGGTCAGCATCGGGACGAAAATGTGCAATTTTCGCAGCAAGGTCATGGTTTAGATCCGGAGATCGAGACTGATCATACCATGAATCAAATCCGCCCGGGTGTGTGTAGAGACCTTTCCACTGCTCAGGTAGTGGGCCTAAGCATTCAACCATCCCACTCACAACTCCACCTTCAAGAAATGCGGGAAACGGAGGAAACAGAAGGTAGAGCATAGAGAAAATAGCCATGTAACTCCACATATCGCAAGCAAAACTTGGCTCTTGCTTATGAAGTCGATCTGGAGAGCAGTAATGCATAGGTGGGTAGCCGCGTGGAGTGGTGAGGTCGCCAATTTTCTTTGCTAAACCAAAATCACAGAGATAGAATTCTTCTGTGCGAAGGTCTTCAGGAACTTTGACAGGGCTCACAAGCTCGCCCCTTTTCCAGAGATTGACAAAAGGTATTGTCTGCTTTGAAGGCCGACCGAGTAACTCATACTTAGCGCTTCTGCTAAGAGCGTCGATAGGAGCCATTCCCCACATACAGTTCCTTGCGTTCAAATCTACATAGCAATTTTCTTAGCATATAAGAAACCGAGATAAGAGAATATCGACTCACCGCGATGTATAATCCCCGCTTCATGTAAACTTGCCACGGTCTCTAGTAATTGTCGAGCAGCAGACATGCGAGAGGCCATAGGAGTCCTTGGTAAGGTAAGAGTGCAGATGGATGGTCCTTTTATAGGGAACACTAAGACCCTTTAGTAATTTTCATCGTCTCGGGGTAGAAAGAAAGTCGTAGTATATATGACTAGACGAGAAGTATCCCGTACCGTTTTGATAATCTTATCCTGGATTCGAATTTCGTTGACGCTCCAGTTCCCTAGGGCCATGACTTTGAGGGCCACCTCTCTCTTGCCTTGTAGGTCAAATGCCATCCAGACAGTTAAGCCACCACCAAAGCCAAGTTTATGTTCAACCAGGTACCTCTCGTTGAGCATTTCCCCAAGGTAAATGGGATAGAGGACATTTTGGTTATCCTCTGTATCGTACCTATGCCATAGCTCAACAAGCTCTTCGAGATCAAGTTCTTCTTCTTCATCCTTCACGAAGTCCCCAAAATCTGTCGTGTTTCCAGAGAATGCTTCAGTTTTCGCCATATCTGATGAACGGGTGTCGATGGCAGAGTAAATTGATAATGAGAAGATTTGGGGGGTCTAAGGGAGGGAGATCAAGCAATATAGTGCCATTCGTCACACCACCCGGTGGTAGCTCCTGGATGAGTGTATCTCCAGAGCAAGTGAAAAGGGAATAGTCCTACTTTCTGCTAAAGAGGCGTGAGAAGATTGCGCGCCTACGGTGTCCGCCAGATTTAGAAACTCGCTCGGAGGTTTCTGTGGAACTGGAAAGCATTTTGTTTTCTTTACTTTCAGTCGGCGCTTTAGCGATTGCGTTGGTGAGTGTATGAGGGTTGCAAATTAAGTATGGGACCCGATGCCGGCTTGATAATAGGCTTTCCCTTTGATCTGCTATCGTGGATTATCGTTGATCCGCTTTGCGTCACTCGGTGTCTTCGGGGTTTGCTTTTAGCTCGTCACATTATTTCGTCTACACTGGCTGGTCCAGAGATTTTGATTATCCAGAGCTGCGGACTGAATCGTCCAGTTCCTTTGTCTGTTCACTCCTTTGACATCCGCACACCCGGCGAACTGGCCAACTAGACATTCTCATCCGGTTCCCCGCGGCCAGAGCTGTACGATAAGAAACATTGATCGGGAATTGACCTGGAACTGGTCACAAACGTTTGCAAATAACTCAATTCCTACGATATAATCGACATGCCCCCACCACCAAGCCAGAGGGCCGACATCGAGCCACCCGAAGAACTCACCACGGAAGCTATGAAAGGTTTCATGACGGGCGTGTTCCGCGTAGGTTCATCATGCAACAGACCAAAATAGACTTGACACTGATCGTTTTACTCTTGCAGTTCGGGTCTGTCTCGATTCTCGCCCATATGATCATGATCCTTCCTCATCCGTTCACCTTTGCGAACCCCCAGCCTCCTGCTGCTCCCGAGTCACAACCACGTCCTCGACAGTCACCCTTCTCCCGCGAGTATATCCGCTCACGCCTCTTCTACCGACCACTAGAGGGTTTCTCGAAGTGGATTTCACCCCAAGCTCGTATTTACCAGGGACTGACGCCACAGTTCAAGGTCTTCATACAGATGGCGATCATGACCCTGGGCGGCTGCATCTGGGCGGAGAAACGAGTGAACGAGTACATTGATCTTATCCGGAAGATTAAACGAGCAGAGCGATACCAGGCTGAGCGGGAGCGTGGCACCCGTCGATAATTGAGAAATAAGAAATAAGAAATAATAAGAAAATCTCGGGTTACACATGCTCCAGTGCGTGCGTGAACCGGTACATCACGGAGCACATCCCGCGACGAAGCAAACACCGCAATTTCGGTTGAAATATCCGTACTGGCCTAGATATTAACCAGGGATACGGACACGACGCAGAACCAACCGTCGGGGAAGTCAAGCTTCTCCTGTAGCGGCGTCGATCTATATTGTGATCTCCATGGCGGGCCCAGCTTTAATCCCCCTGAGTTACCTCGCGTGGATAGGTCGATCGTCCCCAGTGTGGATACTATATCCATTCTGAAGGTTAGGGTCATTGAAAGAATAGATAGACTAATTATGCAGGGTGGGAACCATGGTTCCTACGGTGTGTTCTTACCAGGCACGATCCTTGTTGTGACCTGCACGGTAGAGTTGGTATTCTTCGCCGATGCACAGCTTTGGCCAGTGGGGTGCGCCTCTTACGTGACTGGATTCCGCTCATTCGAATGCGGATATGCCACTCGAGATGTTATTCGACCATGTTATTCGGCCAATGTCCCTAGACGAGCCAGGCGCGTGTTGAAGCTATACATAAACACTGGATATTATTGAAGAAACTCGGAGTAGACCGTCAGTTATGAAGAAAATGAATCGGCCCGAAAATAAAAAAAGACAACGAATCTGAAACATGGCGATCATGAAAGTATCAGCGTTACTGCATCCGTCCATTCCTCGTTTCTCACCTCCTTTTCCTTCCGCTTCTCTCAGCTCAATCGTGTCTCGTTCCTCGTTTCCCTGTTTGATCTGTTTTCTGTCCGCGTTCATCATCTTCCCGTCCTCTCGTCCCCTTGACATCACCCTCTCCACCCTCTTTGCCTCCAGTGACTCCTCTGCGCCGATCGGCACTCTCTGACCTCATCCTCGGTCGCATATAACCTTTCGCAAGCAGGGCACTTCTCATTATCGGAGCGATCACAATTGATCACCGCTCTTTTTTGATTTTCTCTAGCTCACCGTTTTTGGTGTTGGGTCGTGTTTAGGCGCATTGGCTCCGGAGACCTCCCCCTTCCGGCGACACCCCAGTGCAACCAAAACCCCTCTCCTCGCCACATTGTTGACAGCTGCCAAACGCGTCTGGGGTTCTCTACAATATATCCCCGGTTCCGCTAGAGGTGGAGCTACTTTGCTACCCCTAGCTATCGCCTGTCAATTGCTTCTCATGGCGCCGCGAAGCTCGACCGTACGAGAACCTTCTCTCCTCCCCGCTTTCCCATCTCCCCAGACCTCCATCGGGATCTGTTTACTCCTCCTTTCTACTCTGCCTAGCATGGCTGAAACTCCTCACTAACTAGTCCTATAGTGAGAACGACGTTCGGGTCGTAGATCAGATAAGCTCATCGCTACCACTTTTGCTCCGATCTTCCTTCAACCTCTCAACCTTGAATCCCTCCTGTCTACCTGTATCTCGACCTCGCCATGGCCGACCACAATGGCAAGAAGGAGCGAAGAAAAAGCGTAAGCGTGTTCAGCCCGTCCTCTACGAGCTCTGCCCCGCTTCCCAGACCTGTCCTGCATGACCGCACTCCCTCAGACGATACCCTTTCTCGAGACAAGAAAGCCCACCGCAATTCCGGCTTCTTTGGCCGGTCGCAAAGCCCGAAACCCAGTGCCTTGCGCCGACCTGGGTCCGCAAACGCGGAGGTCGCTGCCTGGTCCGCAGCCATGTCTGCATCAACGCCTACCCTGGAAATCCCTCGCCCGCGAAGGAAGTCGTTGCAGAAAAAGCGTGGCTCGGTATTCGACTCTTTCAAATCGCTTCATTCCTTGGAGGATGACGACCCCCTCAGTGCTTCCGTTGGTTCTCTCGGAGATGAAAGTATGGTAAGTCCCCGAAATGGGATCGGTTCTTCGGCCATCCTCCATCATGGAGAAGTCCAGACAACGGGCGGCATGTGGAGGAAGAAGAGCCAGTACCTTGTCCTCACCGATACGCATTTGGTTCGCTTTAAAAACCAGAGCAAAGCGGCCGATGCCTTTCCTTCGATCCCACATTCTTATAACAGGCCGGCCCCGCCTTCGCACCGCCAATCTGTCGCCTCGATCAGCTCTTTGCAGGATATGCAACTAATGATGTCGAACGAGGCGTCGTCAGGTATTCCGCTGAACAGTATTATCGCGGTCTACATGCTTGAAGACGCACGGTTATCCCCAACAGTCGAGGTGGCCTACCTGGATGAACGCACGCACAAAGCTGCATTGGTCCAGATGCAGACGCCCGATCTTCAAGAATTGAACCTCTGGATGCTGGGTATTCGCCAGGCTGCGCAGATGACACGATCAAACGACCCGCAACCATTCGATCGGGGCTCGATCGAGTATGTAACAAGGATGTTGGAACACGAACGAGATTATGACCCGGTCACGTTCCGAATGTTCCGTGTTATACAGATTGCCTCTAGCAAGTCCCCGACTCGCTCGTCTTCCGATGATCTCACCAAACTATCACCCACCGGCTGCTATCTTGCAATCGGCTTGCACAAGGTCCATTTAATACCTATGCAAAAGGTGGCCAATCGGTCGTCCGCAGTATCCTTGTCCGATCTGGAGACAGCCACTTCCTTTGGACTCATGAACTTGACTGGTTTATCCATGGAGTACGGCGATGACAGTCTCCATTTGACTTTTCGGTTAGTCCGTTATTGGGACGACTCAACCCAGTTCATTTGCTGATATTGACCAGGGCACCGCTGCGGAAATCATTCAACGTATTCCTGGCTTCCGTTCATTCGGTTGAAGTCGCCTGTTGGATCCGCCAACACACCGAGTTCCTGCGCCCGCTTTGGACAAGGCAACCGTATGACTTTGTCGTTCCACGCGAGCTACAAAACGCTGAGAATTTTCTGCCCGTGGCATTGGATGAGGACTATGGCTGCTTCGATCGAACGCTAGTTGCCTATTCCGCTAGTTACGATATCGACACTTCCAATATCCGGTATACTATCGACTTGGATTGCGAGGAGGCTCCGTGCTTCCGACTTCTCCGGCCTTCTTCCCCGAAGAACCCGCGGTACAGTGCTCTTGAGTTGATTGCGGTCATGCGCGCCCTTCGGTACAATGAGTGCTTCCAGTCAATTTCATTCCGCGGCATCAATCTGGATGCCTTGCAAGGTCTCCGCGATGTGCACGGTGTGGATCCCGATGTACATCTCGACAGGGCAGGGGCCCTCGTGCACATCCCGGGACAAGCAAATTTGACTGTCTTGTCGCAAGAGGTGCGCGCATTGGCTTTGAAGAGCAAGTGGTTGCGCCGACTGGACTTTTCCTATTGCCTCACCCGAACACCCACTTTGGACAAGGGCAGCCGAGACCCGGGTTGCGGAATTCCAGAAGCTATTTTCCCAGTCTGTCGTCGGGAATTGACGAGCGTGGACTGGGTGGTACTGAACGGAATCAAACTAGGCGAGTCCGATCTTGACTACCTGGTGGATGCCGCATCTCAGAGACGTAGTCATCTACGTGCGTTGGAAGTCGGGGACTGTGGTCTGTCTGTGCATGACCTCGATCTCATTTTATCTACCATTGTTGCTCAAGAGTCATCTCTCGAAGCAATCAATATCTCCGGTGTGCAGGGTCGCTTGAATCCAGACGTGCTCCAGCAGTACATTGGATACTTTGGCCAAATCCGGAAGATCAACCTGTCTCGCATCTCGCGCACATCTGGCTCCGAGCCGCTCATTACGGCAGAAATGTTGTTCAATTGGAAACTCGAAGAGCTGATTCTCAGCCGGACGGCCGTCAATCGCGAGACTGTCGACTCAATCGCCACCTACCTCGCCAGCAACCGCTCGTCGAACCTTCGCATGCTTCGACTTGATCAGTGTGGATTGAGCGGCGAGGATGTTGCCATGCTTATGCATTCAATGTCCGCTGGTCCGGACGCTCCACGCAGCCTTCATTTGCATGTCAATGAGAACCGGCTTGACAATGGCTGCTCGTTCCTCTTCGATGCCATTGCCAAGAATACGACTCCCTCGCATCTTTCTATGCAGATGATTGATTTCAAAAAGGAAGAGCACTTCCGGGAGCTGGTGGATGCTCTTCGCAAGAACCGTACTCTGCGGTATCTGGATATTTCCAAGGCCTCTCTTCCGTATGACGCTGGGCCTGAGACATGCCGGATGTTGCAATTGATGTTCGAAGAGAATAAATCTCTGGAGGCTCTCGATATCAGTGGCGAGAGCGCACATCTCGATGTTGCGCGGTTTGGAATCGGTCTTAACCTTGCGTTGACTGGCTTGAAGAAAAACACCTCTCTTAAAGTGCTAAGGATTGAACACCAGAAGCTAGGTCTTCAGGGTGCGAATACTTTGGCATCTGTGTTAGAGGAGAATGAGTCGCTGCGTGAAGTGCACTGCGAGAACAATGATATCAACCTTCAATCGTTCACTGTGCTCGTCAATGGTCTTCAGTGCAACCGCACTCTTCTCAGCCTCTCCTGCATGGACCGGGATCGGGTGATTTCGCTTGACAAGGTGCGCAGGGAAGTTGACAGCGTCCGCTGCGATAACAACCCTGCCCAGAGCTCTGCAGCAAATTCGATTCGCCGTTCTCTACATGTCGCGATGGGAGTCCGGCCTAGTGCAACAAATCACCGGCTGAGCAAGGCACCGCCGGCTAGTGTCACCGCATCACCTGTGGACTCTTCTCCATTTACTACTCAGAATGTAGACTTGGTCGTGCAATTACTGCAGCGCAGATGGGACACCGAAGTAACACGTCTACGCCGGTACCTCCTACGCAACTACAACATCGCTCACGGCATTGAGGATACCGATGTCGACGATGCAGCCAGTGACGGACGACCCGCAACCGCAGCAAGCCTGGGCACAATGCTCGAGAACCTGAAATTTGACGTCGCCGTATCAGCAGATGAGATCCACGGATCTCCACCCGACGAACGCGCACCATCAATCCATCTCCGCTCAGACTCACAAGACAGCCAACCTGAGCTCAAAATCCCACCCAAGAACCTGCGAATGAAAAGCATTCCCAACTTGCGACGGCCTCAAACCGCTCGCGCCGCCCAAATCCTCCCCCCGGAGTACGGCTCATCCGGCCTCTCAGCCGCCAACTTGCCTCTTCCCGTTCCTGCTGTGCCCGCTGCAGTCACCAAAGCGAACAGTGTCCGCAGTGCACGCAGCTCGAGCACGAACTCAACTGGTACTGGCAGCGCCCGCAGCGCTTACGGCACGGCCTCGTCTGCTCTGCGAGGTTTCCTTCGAGGCAACGCCTTGAAGGAACGCCCCGGGGTCGATCCTATACGTCCTGTCTGTGTGACGAATACCAAAGCCCCGCAACTGGACTGGTCGCCGCCAAAGCTTGATTTGCAGGAGTTTCAGTAGCTTCTACCAATGTACATACGACTTGTACAGACGGGGATTCTCACCCGTCACTCCCACCTTCCTTCCATGAACCACATCGCCTCGATTCATATATAGGACCGTCTTCGAGTGCACACTCCCTTGTCACTCCTATGATTCATCCCCATCCCACCTCCAACCCCTGCATCGCAGACCCGCCCTTGGGCACTGATACCCGCTTGATTTCCATTTGAAATTACTCTCCATCTTTAAGGCGTTTATGATTTTTTGTGATTCCCGCCTTCGGATAGGTTCTTTACTTGGCGCACTTAAAATTATTACCCGGCGTTGACATCCAGCATTGGGGCGTTTGCAATTCTACTTTCTTTACCTTCTCGGTGATTGTGACTGATGAAACTTGAATGTGATCGTGAATATCTTATGGATTGATATGTTTCTTTTGTTTGCATTGCTCTGACGCTGGATTGCTGGAATCTAGGTGTAATTGTTCTTTTCTGATCAGATCAGTGCTTAGTGATAATGCAGTATTGGATTGAATGCTTTAAGTTTTGGGCTTTGAGTTTGTAGATGCTTCTTGTATACGAGTCAGGGCCCGCGGTGTCACGTGGCCTCGAATCGTTAGGTCTAATTACTATACGTGGAGCGTGGTAGGGTTGCTTTGAAGAGCTTGGAATTCTTGATCGAGAAGTTTTTATCGAGAAACGTTTATCCATGGTGTCATGGTGTCATGCAAGAGACGAGTTGATCACAATTCACCACAACTCCCAAGAAAATCCTCATTATACAAGGGCTTGGTAGGCCCACCGCGAAGACAAAAATACAAATGCAAGGGAATCGCGTCTAATGTACAAGGATAGCGCAAACACCATCTGAATCCAATATGCCAGAAACATGCAACACATTTACTCCTCTCCCAAAACAACAATACCATGCTCCTTATCAAGGACATTCTCCTGCTCGCGATACCGGCGCCCCTGCTTGGCAATCTGCCGCAGACGACGGAGATAGTGATTATTTGTAGTATCCTGCTCGTCTTCGCCACGGCCAGCGAGCTCCTTTTGTCGGCGCGCTTGGCACATTCTGTACAGTGTGCGGCCTTGGACTGGGGATAGCTCGCTCATTTCGTATTCGGCGGACCACTTGTCGGAGGCCGTGAAGTTCATTGGGCGCTCGACGTAGATGTCATTCACCTTGTTGCGGACAGTTAGGGCGATTGCGAGGAGATTGTCTTCGCCGTCTGATTGTTCCTTTTCGGCGGGGACTTCTTCGACGGGCTCGGGTGCAGGAGGGGCGTCGAGGTCGGAGTCGTCTTCGCTTGGTTGCAGGTTCAGAAGACGTTGCTGGTAGGCGTCGATCGCGGCCTTATTCTTGGATTGGATGGCTTTGATCTCGTCTTGAGTGACGGGCTCGGCGAAAATGTACATGAAGGGGGTCACGGCATCGCGGGTCTCGAAGTGGAAGCGCAGAGATTTCTCAGGGAACTTCTCTGTCGCTTTGTCCAAGATCTTCTGCCACATTCCCAGACTGAGCTGGAACTCGGCGTCTCCGAGGGCAGTGTCGTTTTGTCCGTGCAGTGCTTGATCCATCTCCGGAAGACCGATGTACTGGAAACCGAAGATGCGCTCGACGTTGTGGAAGGCCACGAAAATGCCATCCATGCGGCCGATGCGCACTTGCAGAGAGTACTTGAGGAATGCAGCACGGATCATGTCGAAGAATTCACGTTCGTAGGACTCAAAGGCTCCGTATCTGTCCTTGATTTCGTATCCCAGCCCGTGCTCGAAGTTCTTTGCATCCTGGCGGATCGAGACCACGGCTCGTGTCTTCAGGTCGAACATACCCGTTCCGGGGAGACGGTGGTCATATGCGTCCAGCTGGGACCGCATAATGAAATTGCCGTAGCTGGAGAAATGGTAAGATTCAGGGATAGCCTCTTCCTCTTCAGCGGAGATTTTGTTTTCGTGAGTTCGTCGATAGCGCTCGAAATCCTCCTTCGGCAGAGTGAGAAGCTTCTCCATTGACTTGCCCAGGTTCATAAGGATATTGGCGTGATCGAATTCCTTGTCTGCATCGATCGCGTACACCCCATCCTGGTAATGGAGGAACATAGCAGCCGGTGCCCGGAGCAGACGAGTAAAGGTCGATAATGTCTCCGGGAAGCCTCGAGACACGGTACGAGTGTCGACGGGTCTCCAGGCAGAAAGCAGATAATGGAAGTGGGAAAGCACCGAGGTCATACTCGAGGAAGATCCCACGTACTTTTTCTTTTCCTTGACGGCGATGCTGCGAAGTGTTTCATCCTTGGATGAGGTAATATAATCCTTAAGAGTATTGAAGTCGAATTCCGTCACGGGCATGATCTGACCCAGGTAGGGGTCGAAGTTATAGACTCGCGATCGGGGGTCTCGTAATTGGTAAACACCGGGGCTGTATCGCGTTAGATCGTCGAATCGTGATTGAAGGTTTGCAGGCTTACTTAAAGAGAACTCGATCGAGCCCAAATGACAAACGAGGAACGGGAGCAGTATCGTAATCCAGTGCTTCAAGATGTTAGCTGGCATTCAGTGCAGCCACACAAAGGGACTTACCCTTCACATTTCTGTCATCATATTCTATCGACCCGGTAGTCTTTTCGCGCACGAAGCTTGAAACATGCGTAAGCTTGCGCCTGGGTTGTTCCTCCGGGTTCTTGTCTTTTTGAGTCTTCTTGGTCCGCTCGAGCAGCTTGGTCACCGTCTTCACCGGGGTTTCCGTCTTCACTGAGGTTTCCGTCTTGGCCGCATTGTTCGTAGTTTCCGCTTTGGCGGGTTCGTCCGTGGTTTTGACTTCTTGTTGCTTCTTGTGAAGTTCACTTTTTGCTTTTAGATGCTCTAACTTCTTCAACAGCTGGTTCTTTGCTTGGTGTGCGCGACGACTTCTATTGCTGAGTGTCTTTTTCTCGGGGTTCGGGGGTGTTGATTTCGAAGCCAACGCATTGTCCGAGGACTGGTTGGAGGGTGCATCGCTCTGATTCTTCATCAGGTTAGTATTAACGTTACACGTTACCCCGAAAGGTGATCCATGATTGCTGGCACTGTACCTCTTTAGGCAAGCCAATTCCCTGGTTTGGCTTTGGTGGTAACGGCGCATCTTTTGAATTGTTCTCAGATGTTCCATTGCCTGCTTCGACGCGCAAGGCAGGCCGGGCGTGGAATTGACGCAACCTGGACGGCGCGCCAAACCGATGGCTTAAACATGAGAGGCACACATGGTCCCGGAGAGGGTCTGAAGCAGACCGGATAGAGGCCCGAAACATGCCACCGGATGCGAAAACAACCGAGAAACAAGAAACAGAACAGAATATATCAAACTTCTCGAGACGTGACAGGAGTCCGAATCGACGGAGCGTCGCGCGGCGCTGTTTTTTTTCTGCCCATGTCCACCGCCCGATAAGGCTGTAAGGCACAGATTCTGCAGCCCAAGTGCAAATATCGCGAATATTTGGATATCGGCAGAATAGTCTCGAGAAGCAAAAGCATTCTTGAAATCATCTGCAGTGATCTGGTTCTTTCCATCTATAAACGGCATTTGGCAAAGTCCTAAACTACCTGCATCCTCCTGGAGAGACTTGAGCAATAGGCTTCTTTACAGTATAAACTAACAATTAGATGCAATTGTTGTCTCTAGTGTACATTGTAGTATTTGTGAGTCGTTGGTCTTGTTTTATCGTTAAAAAAGGACCATATCTCTTATCAAGCTTCAAAATCGCACCTTGAGTTGATTTCCATCTACCAATACGGTTCCATCCCCGGAGAAACACCGCCGCCGGCAGAAAAAAAGTTATCCAGCGCTGTATCAGATTTCACGACTCCTCATCCACTTTTTACGCAGTTGATTCTCAAGTTTCTCGGCGAGGTAAGTTAGTTCAGCCCCTCGTCTTACTCATTGGTGTTTTTATTACCCCTCTACATCTACCAATTCCATCTCTACCCTCAAATCTGTCAAGAGGGGCATACCCCGCGGAAGACTCACACGGTCACTAACTTCACCAGTCGCTCGAGACACCGCCTCCCCCCCCTTCACAATGGCCCAAGATCAGTTGCGCGTCCTCATTGTCGGCAATGGCGGCCGTGAGCACGCTCTAGCCTGGAAGCTGAGCCAGTCACCCCTCGTCGACATTGTCTACGTCGCTCCCGGAAACGGCGGTACTGGTCTGGGTACTGACAGCAAGATCGCCAATGCCAACATCAAGGGCGATGATTACCCTGGTCTGGTGGCCTTTGCCCAGCAGAACCAGGTGAACCTGGTTGTTCCCGGTCCTGAAGCTCCTCTCGTGGACGGTATCCAAGGATATTTCCAGGCTGGTAAGTCCAACAAATTTCTTTCTCTTGCGCAATTGCTAAGACTTGGTTTCTATCAACAGTCGGTATCCGATGCTTCGGTCCTTCCAAGGCTGCTGCTCGCATGGAGGGCTCCAAGACCTTCTCCAAGGACTTCATGCAGCGCCACCAGATCCCCACCGCTGCGTTTGGAAACTTCAACGACTACGAGTCCGCTCGCCGCTACCTCGACTCCGTTTCGCATAACGTCGTGATCAAGGCCGATGGTCTTGCCGGTGGTAAGGGTGTCGTTATTCCCACTACCAAGGAGGAGGCGCACCAGGCGCTGAAGGAAATGATGGTGGACCACCAGTTCGGCAAGGCTGGTGACGAGGTCGTCATCGAGGAGTACCTGGAGGGTGATGAGCTGAGCATTCTCACTTTCAGTGATGGCTACACCATTCGCTCCCTGCCCCCGGCACAGGACCACAAGCGTATCTTTGACGGTGACAAGGGTCCCAACACTGGTGGTATGGGCTGCTATGCGCCTACTCGCATTGCCCCCAAGGAGGTGCGTGAGGAGATCGACCGCACCATTATCCAGCCGTCCATTGACGGTATGCGTCGGGATGGAATGCCCTTCGTCGGTATCCTATTCACTGGTCTCATGATGACCAAGAACGGACCCAAGGTCCTGGAGTACAACGTTCGTGGTGGTGATCCGGAGACACAGACCTTGTTGCCTCTGCTGAGCGAGGATACCGATCTGGCTCAGATCATGGTTGCTTGCACCGAGCACTGGCTTGACGGTGTTACCGTCAAGGTCGAGTCCAAGTACTCTACTACTGTCGTGGCTGTCGCTGGCGGCTACCCTGGCTCTTACGCCAAGGGCAAGGCCATTACTCTTGACCCTACCCCGGCTGGCTCTCTTATCTTCCACGCCGGTACCACCCTTGCTGGCAACGAGTTGCAGACATCTGGCGGTCGTGTGATTGCCGCCACGGCCACTGCCTCGACCCTCGAGGAGGCCGTTTCCAAGTCCTACGAGGGCATTGCTACCATCCACTTCGAGGACATGTTCTACCGCAAGGACATTGCCCACCGCGCATTCCGCCAAACCGCCGACACCTCGCTCACCTACGCCGCCGCCGGTGTCTCCATTGATGCCGGTAACGAGCTGGTCAACCGCATCAAGAGCTCCGTCGCCCGCACCAAGCGCCCGGGCACTGACGCCGTCATCGGTGGCTTCGGTGGTCTCTTCTCTCTGGCCGCTGCCAACTCCGCCTACCACCCTCACTCTCCTACTCTCATCGGAGCCATTGATGGTGTCGGCACCAAGCTCAAGATCGCTCACACCGTCGGCATCCACGACACTGTCGGTATCGACCTGGTCGCCATGAACGTCAACGACCTCGTTGTCCAAGGCGCCGAGCCCCTCTTCTTCCTCGACTGCTACTCCTGCGGCCACCTGGACGTCCCCACGGCCACAGCCTTCGTGACCGGTGTCGCCGACGGCTGTGTGCAAGCCGGCTGTGCCCTGATCGGCGGCGAAACCGCCGAGATGCCCGGCCTCTTCGTCGACGAGACCTACGACGCCGTTGGTGCCGCCGTCGGTGCCATCAACACCACTGGCGACAACGCCCGCCAGATCCTGCCCTACACCGACTCCATGCGCGCCGGTGATGTCCTGCTCGCTCTGGGCTCCTCCGGCCCGCACTCAAACGGCTACTCGCTCGTCCGCAAGATCGTCGAGCGTGCTGGCCTCCGCTACACCGACCCGGCCCCCTTCACTGTCCCCGGCCTGCCCCAGGACGTCTCTCTCGGCCGTGCCCTCCTCACCCCGACCCGCATCTACGTCAAGCCCATCCTCAGCGCTCTCAACGCCCACCCCGCTGCCATTAAGGGTCTCGCCCACATCACCGGCGGCGGTCTCATCGAGAACGTCCCCCGCATGCTGCCCAAGACTCTGTCCGCCCATATCGACGTGCGCACTTGGGCTCAGCCCCCGGTCTTCCAGTGGCTCCAGCGCGCCGGTAACGTCTCCGCCGCTGAGATGGCCCGTGCCTTCAACTGCGGTGTCGGTATGATCATCGCTGTTGACGCTGCCTCTGAGGCCGCTGTCCGCCAGAGCTTCGAGGCTGCTGGTGAGGCTGTCTTCCGTATTGGTGAGCTGCAGGTTCGTGGTGATGACGAGGGCTGTGTCCTCTCTGGTCTTGAGTCGTGGGCTTAGATAGCATTCTTGTTTATACGTTGATATACTTGCCACTGTCGTTCTTGTTGATTGTTCCCCAACTCTTGTTCTTCTTGTTTTTACGTTTCACCCAAAATTGGGGCTGTGAGTCCCGGAATGACTGATGCTGATCCTGTATGATGGATAAATGATATATACTCCCGCCCTTTGAGCAATGAAGATTTCACTTGACTTTTTCCTTGAATATACCTAGCTAGGTAGTGCGCCAGCTATCTTCCAAGTTGGACAATTCACTTCATAGAATCTGTTACTGGTTCCTGCCCCACGGGTTTCCCTTCGTTTATATCAGATGAACACCTTGTGCATAAGATAGAGAACCTTATTCGTCGAGTGGGAGGAGTTTACTCCTTCCACCTATAAGTACCCTATCTGGACGTCAAGTCTTAGCCTCACCAGCATCTAGCCTGGGTACCTAGGTACTTGTTCTACTCTACAGATTACAGGGGCAAAGTACGGCTCAACAATTTCGAAGATAGTAAGGCTAGAACAGAAAAGGAACGCGAACCTGTGCCAACTCCATGTACACAATCCTCACCTACACCGTGTCGCCTCGGCGTCAAGGTCGGCGGGGGTAAGGGGATTCAAAGAGGTGCGTAGGGAGGCGGACTCGCAAAGAAACAAAAAGACGAGAAAATAAAATAAGGACCGACTCTATTCCACTAAAATCGAGAATTTCCATTTTCAGGCTATTCGCTGGATAATGCGAGTCCAACAACACTTGCGATCCACCAGTGCCTCCATCCTGCCTTTTGATACACCAGGAAAGTACGAGCGAAGACGATCAACCACGCGTAGACGCTTAGAAGCACTTGCGGTGGACAATGGAGGGACCGCTCTCGTCGTACTCCTGCTTGGAGATCCACATCTGCTGGAAGGTGGACAGGGAGGCGAGAATGGAACCACCGATCCACACGGAGTACTTGCGCTCGGGGGGAGCAATAATCTTAACCTTCATGGACGAGGGAGCCAGAGCAGTGATCTCCTTCTGCATACGGTCGGAGATACCGGGGTACATGGTGGTACCACCAGACTGGGACAGTTAGCATTCGGGAAGGTTCATATCATATAGAGAGTGTAGACATACCATGACAATGTTGCCGTACAGATCCTTACGGACATCAACATCACACTTCATGATGGAGTTGAAGGTGGTGACGTGGATACCACCGGACTCAAGACCCAAGACGTTAGGCTGGAACAGAGCCTCAGGAGCACGGAAGCGCTCGTTGCCAATAGTGATGACCTGACCGTCGGGAAGCTCGTAGGACTTCTCGAGGCTGGAGCTCTGGGAAGCGGTCTGAATCTCCTGCTCGAAGTCGAGAGCGACGTAGCAAAGCTTCTCCTTGATGTCACGGACGATTTCACGCTCGGCAGTGGTGGAGAAAGTGTAGCCACGCTCAGCCAGAATCTTCATCAGGTAGTCGGTCAGATCACGGCCAGCCATGTCGATACGCGAGATAGCGTGGGGCAGCGAGAAACCCTCGTAGATGGGGACAACGTGGGTAACACCGTCACCGGAGTCGAGAACGATACCGGTGGTACGACCGGAGGCGTACAGGGACAGAACGGCCTGGATGGAGACGTAGAAGGCGGGGGCGTTGAAGGTCTCGAAAACGATCTGGGTCATCTTCTCACGGTTGGACTTGGGGTTAATGGGAGCCTCAGTCAAGAGGATGGGGTGCTCCTCGGGAGCCACGCGGAGCTCGTTGTAGAAGGTGTGGTGCCAGATCTTCTCCATGTCGTCCCAGTTGGTGACAACACCGTGCTCGATGGGGTAGCGCAGAGTCAGGATACCACGCTTGGACTGAGCCTCATCACCGACGTAGGAGTCCTTCTGACCCATACCAATCATGATACTGGGCGCATGTTAGTTTTTTTCGAGTCCTATCAAACTGCAATCCATTCGCAATGGAAAACAAAAGGGGAGGTTGCATTTACCCATGGTGACGGGGGCGACCGACAATGGAGGCTAATCAAGTGGGGTCAGTAAATTTTGACATTTTCGATACCAGAGTGAAAAGCAGAGCCTCAAAATAGGGCCAAAAAAGCACGAGGTGGTGTCTGCCGACGCAAGGGCGGGAGACAGTGCAAAGAGGAGGGGTGTCGGGTTCTGTGGGGTCGCACTTACGGAAGACAGCTCGAGGTGCGTCGTCACCGGCGAAACCGGCCTTGCACATACCCGAACTACAGACAATTCATCAGTAAATGGATCCCTCGATCATAGAGAAAATCTTGTCTGCTCGCCGCCGACGCTGGGAGGGGCCTGGAAAGCGATTGGGGACTCAATTTGCGGTGGTGGCGGATAGGGGGGGGGAGGGAGATGACAGATGGACCGCGACCGAAATGACGAGTACCCAAACGCAACCAGGCTGAGCTCCCAGGTAAAGCGCAATGCATCACGTACCCATTGTCGATAACGAGAGCAGCAACTTCCTCTGTAGGAGAAAGAATGAGTTAGCCACGAGTCCGGGATATTCGGGGGTTGGGCGACCGCCGGTCAGCTTGGGTAGACGGCCCCCAGATCTGGAAGGAGGAGGGGGAGGGGGGTCCGTCTCCAAGTGGGTGAGGTGGCCACAACGAGGATAGAAAACATACCTTCCATGGTGAATGAGGGCTAGACTGAAGGGAAAAGAGAAGATGGAAAGGTTATAGAGATGGGGAAAGAGTTAGGGGAAGGGAAGGAAGAGAAGGAAGGGAGAAGTGGAGAGGAGGGGAGGGTTTGTGATGGTTGGGACGTGGACCTGGTGTGTGCGCCTGGTCTCGACTAGCCACCCCCGATCGACCGCCTCTTGTACTTATAACTTCATTCCAAGGCAGAAACATCCTGTCTGCCTGTCCATTACAATGCAATTGCGCATCCTCGTAGGGCACAGGGTCTTTTTCGCCTCGCACCCTGGAGACGGGGCACGGTACAGCCCATGGCGCTGATCCAAGTACGCGGCCTTGAGCACTACAACCACCTTGGCGCCTATAGATACGTAGGATGCCTAGAATAATGTCTAGAATGTCCAGAATGGTGCAGTACATTCGACATTCTCAAGTTTAACGCATGTGGCGGGGGAGACAGCACCCGTTAAAACACGAGAGCAGGGAAGTCTCTTCTAAGTATAGAACCCCTCCATCTCAGCCGCTCCGGGGCACGAAGGGTCGGCAGAGGTACTTGAGGGATACCTCGTACCCGGGAATACATCACGGCACAGACCATACTTAAGACATATATAGCTAGCTTGGTACTCCAGTATTCACTGTACAAAGCACCCGACGTGCTCAATGGGCCCAAGACTAGTCACCAAGGTGCACGGTACACGCAACCCAGTCTACCGCCATTTGCAAGGTGGCAGTGTCGACCCAGAAACAGACGGTGTGGCAAGTCACGTGCCGGAAACCTCTGGGTGTCGCACGAAGCATCTCGATTGTACGATTATGTCAGCCTATGTAATTTCACGGTCCCTCTTATAACGACGCCTCACTGCTGCGTTCAGACCCTATTACGCTACCTACACCTTACCGATCTACTCAATATGGACCCTCAAATGAACAAGCTCCTTAAGTGGAGTGTCCAGAACTCCCAGCAGCAGGACGAGGATGGCACCACCACTGCCCCTCCTCCCACCAACGAGGCCGGCCGCACCCTGACCCCGGATATGATCAATGCCCTGTTCGGTGGCCCCAGTGAGGCTGACCTGATGAAGGCTGCCATGGAAGTACTGCACTCCGACGAATCCGACCTCGAGAACAAGTTGATCGCCTTCGACAACTTCGAGCAACTCATCGAGGGCATAGACAACGCCAACAACCTCGAGCCGCTGGGCCTGTGGAGCCCATTGGTCAAGCTGCTTCAGCACGAGGAGGCTGAGATGCGCCGTTATGCGGCTTGGTGTATCGGCACTGCCGTGCAGAACAATGAGAAGGCACAAGATAAGGTATGTATACCGGAAACCCCGGCATAATCTAGAATTGGCGGGTTGAGGCTAACATTTCTGCGCAGCTTATCGTCTTGAATGCTATTCCTACTCTTGCCAATATGGCTATGACCGATCCGAACCCCGCCGCGCGCAAGAAGTCTATCTATGCGCTCTCCTCCGCCGTGCGCAACTACCAGCCCGCGATGAACGAATTGGTCAAAGCTCTCCCGGAGGGCTATCCTACTGAGAATGTCGATTCGGGCGACATGGAGGCCGTGGATGCTATCATGGACAAGCTGCGGGAGACTCCCGTCGGCTCCGCGTGAATTGTTCCTTCGAGGGCATATTGATGTTCTACGACATATCTCCGAAGATGCTATATACCGGCGAATGAGGAGAATGACGCGCCTAAATTGGCCTTTGTTGGAATATCGGCGCCGAGTCACCTCCGTCGATGCGAACAGCACCCGGGTGACATAGGTCACTTGTTGACTACCGGACTCGCTTCCACACCTCGAGCCGGCCCATGGAAACGTTTAGAGTGTCGATGATCTCAGGATGCACTAAACAGGCGGATCTATTCCGTCGCCATGGTCCCATGCCACGACTCGTTACGCAAGCCTGCTAGGCAGAAGAAAAGTGGTTTAAAATTTGACATGTATATACCCCAGGACTGTGGTCCTACCGTACATTTACTTAATGCAAATGCTCCAAAAAAAGTGCTACCTAGATACCTAGCATCTGTCCACGCGTAGAGCTCGCAAGTATATTTCGCTGCCTAAAGAAGGTCTATGACATCGTAGCTGACGACGACTTCAACTCTCAAACCCAACGAAAGAAAAGGCAGACATGTTCCAAATACGCTGTAACCTTGGAAAATAAAGCAAACCCCAATACAGAACCGTAGACGTATTGTACAAGCTATTCATGACGGTGCCTCGCCCGAAGCTGCATACTCCACCGGCCCGACATTTCCCCGACCAGCCGCCAGCGTCATCAGCCGACTCACGCCCAACCCCATCGCAACGTTGAAAACACAAGCACCATGGACGTCTCAAGCAACCGCCTCTTCCGCTTCTCCAAGCCAGAATGGCTCAACAACGCCGCTGTCCGTAACGCCGGCGTCTACACCTCCGGCGCACTGGTGAGCCCCCCCACCCCGACCACTCCCAACCTCCCGAGTCGGGAATCGCATGCAGCTATCCCACACACCCTCCAATTGCACACCTCCCATTCATAACTTCCAACACTGTATTGCAATGCTCAAGCTAACTCGTCTATGATAGTTCGCCGCAGGCTTCTTCTTCCTCGTCGACGTCGCCGCTTTCTCGCACAGCCCCCGCAATGGCTCAGACGTGCACATCAAGTTCGTCGACTGGATCCCCGGTATCTGCTCCGCGCTGGGCATGCTGGTGATCAACTCGATCGAGAAGTCGAGGCTGCAGGCCGATAGCTTTAGCTACTCGGGGAGTGGAGTTGCGTGGAAGGCGCGCTTTGTCCTTTTCCTTGGCTTTGCGCTGTTGGCTGGCGGGCTTGCTGGGAGTGTGGTACGTATTTGTTCCCTTTATTTCATGTGCGAGATTGAGTGTGGGAGTGGCTAACGCTTCAATTGCAGACTGTTATGGTGCTCAAGTACCTCATGAAGGATTATCCGATTCAGACGCTTTACTTTGGCATTGCGAATGTGGTTGCGAATGGTCTCGTTATGATGAGCTCGGTTGTCCTCTGGGTGTCGCAGAACATCGAGGATGACTATACCTACAATCTCGCGCTGTGATTAAGGTTGATACCCTAGACGAGGTCTATCTGGCGGTGGCTTGGCTTTGTATTTTATGCGCTGATATGATTTGGCTTGGGCATTCGCATCTCTGGCTTAAGAGCTGGGACTTAGCGTCGATGAATTGGAATTGATTCTTGTTTCTTTGAAGCCGAGCATGGTTCGTAGATTGTTTCTTATCAGGTACGACGCAAGTAAAAAAAATCAACGCAATGATATAAACGCTACTCGAATGGTAGAGGCGAGTCTTGAGAAATGGGAAACAAAAGTAAGCCATGCAATCCCGTGAAACGCCCAGTCCGAAATAGATGCAGCATAAGTCCGTAAAGTCATAATATGGCGTTTTTCAAAATCCACGGATATCCCCCTTCAATGATCCTCGCAGAAAATTCGCAGGAGCTCGTCAATGCAGGTCATAGCTTTGTTCTTCTCCAGCAACAGAGGTGGTTCAATCGCAGAACCTTTCAGAAACTTGCGGAGGGCAAACGCTGCTGCCTTGTACGTTGCGTGGTACATAGACTTGAACTCGTCGTCATCCGCCGAAGTGCCTGGTATTGGCGTCTCCGCGCGGTGTGTCTCTGGTGCCGGAGTTGCATTTGATGCTTCAGGGTCGTCTCCAGAGGCGAGTTTGGTCGAAGCCCGAGTATTCGAGCGGTGGAAGCCGTAAAGGCGCATAGCAGTGAGGATGGTCCTCGTGATGAGGTTCTTATTCTCTGAAATGACAGCTTCCATACTTTTGGGAGGGGAGGTGGGCATCGCGGGTGTTTCTTCGATCGAGGCTGAGAGACCTGATGGTGGTTGCGTCTGCTGCAGTCCATGACGAGAGTTGGAATCGAGGAATGGGTTTGGTGTCGATACTCGCTTTTGTGGATCGGCGTTTACACCTGGAGTAGCACGCGCCCCGAGTCTGCTACCTGGACGGTGCAAGTTGGCGCCGATAGATACAGAGCGTGATCTACGTGCAGCTATTCGGTCAAGTGATGGAAGACTAGGTTTCTCGTCTTCGGGTTCTCGCTTCACGCGGAGAGCTTGGAGGTTTTGCGACGAGGACAATGGTCGCGATGTGGCCATTAATTGAGAGACGGCCTCCCCACCTCGTTGCCGTACGCGCCGGTGGTGTTGTGCTGCAGATTCAAAGAGTGTTGCGACTCGTTTCCGCTTTGGACTGGGTGAGCTGATATCTGGAAGGAACTCGGCCTGGGTGGAAACTTGCTCGCCGTCGGAGCTTTGTGGTGGAGATGGAAATGCTTGTGCTTGGGTGAGGAGCGAAGTTGAGAGAGGCGCAGCATAAATCCTGAGTTCATACGGTTTGTTTGGTGGGGTAATGGTTTGGCCATTGATCTCAGCTGGCGACGAATGTGGTGGTGTGGGCGGGCGTGCACACGATGTCGCTCTGGATAATACGCCATAGATCAAGAGATCCGACGTGACAACGCCGGTCTTCTTGACACTAGTGCCATCGACACTAATCAGAAGACCGACAGGGCATTGCAGTGACTGGTGGAGGTCTAGTTCGTCCTCGCTCAACCAGATAGCGCTGGTGAGCTTGTTCTGAAGCCATTGGGACGTGCCTACGTGGATTGTGTGTAACTCGAGGCTGGGGCCCGCTCGTGCGTGTAGTGGAATGAGCGACGGATTCACGAAGCTGCGCAGGCGGAGTTTCGAGTCTTTGGGTATATCGCATTGCCAGTGGGAGGTCGGATTGACCAAACGGATCCCTGGTAAGGTCAGCGAGGAGCGCAAGATATCAAGGCGTTTCGGTAGGGTTACCTTCCAGCTGGCGGTCTGAATCCAGGGCAACGGACCCTGACCAGATATTCATGTTCAACACTCCAACAAAAGAGCCGTTTCACATGTTCATTTTGCTGTTCTGTTGTCGAAGTGGGCGGTCCACAATTACGTCTATTGACACCCGCCGCGGGACGCGCTAGATCGCACGCGGTCACGTGAACTAGATCTATTCGATATTGCGACTAAAAAGGCAATCGAGTGTTAACGTTGATGGTATGCGAAGAGTCCAAATAAACCAGGAATATCTATATATACACTGTGTTAAACGTACACCCAGATCAGATTCTCATAGCCAATGAAATGCGAAAGCATTGAGCGTAATGAACGCTGGGAACTTTCCCAGCCACTTATCCGAAGCATATTCCGCATACAAGAAAATCAAGCTAGTCGCAAAGCAGATGTCATGATAAAAGCAAATCAGATGCCTAAGAACCCCCGAAAATAGACTAAAAGCCTGGGAACCAGCACCCAGCCGGTCACTCGCGATCAAAACTCCTCCTGCTCCTGGAAGAACATGGAGAAGCTAATAATTGTTCCGTAGATCAAGAGACCACCACAAATCGACATGATCATGGCCGGGAGACCGATTTCTCCGCTGTGAGCCAGGATGGCGGGGAGTGCTAGAGGGAGGGGCTGTCAGCAAATCTAGACTTGTACCAACGGTTAAACAGCCAAAGAGCAATCCAAGCCACTCAGAAAGGCCATTGTCCCTTTGTGTAGAGCACAGAACCAGCTGCGGGAGATAAGACGTGCGGGAGGGAAGGAACCGCAATGAGACGAAAACTCACCAATTCCAGTGAGGACAAGGAAACCCGTCATGAACCGTCCAAAGTCCATCGCCGAGTTACTTGAGCTGTCCATGAAATCATCTGGGTTCGCAATTCGTCCACAGACCCAATTGGGGAGCGGCGCAATGACATAGACGGCGACAACCAGCAGGGGCCAGTACTTGTGCCAGAGCGCGGAGGAGAGAATAACGAGAAGGAATCCGATTGCGAGCACCTAAAACGGGTCAGTATTTGAGTTCCAGTCCAGTGGTACGAGGTAAGCGGCATGGGGACCTACAAACGAAAGCGCGATGATGGTCTTGAGTCCAGCCGCCATGATTGCGGGGTCGCCGAAGCTGCGGGACAAGAAAGAGGGTGTTGGATAGGTAGCGATACAGTGTTCTGACGAGAGACTCAGTTGTAGCGCAGGGATAACAGCCCCAGAGGGATCGAGGGGAGGGAGCTCGGAGGTGTTGCGAGGAATGAGTGACGTTGGCGCCTGACGGTCACTGGGTGTGGCTGCCTCAGGCCGCAAGAGCTCATGCTTCACACCGCGTCACCTTGACCTGCCTGGTCCAGCTTCCCCATCTCTGCTACGGGCTCCCATCTTGATTGTCTGCTTTTTCATTTCTTTGCCTGACCGAGTCCCTTTTCCCTTCTATATCCCCCGGTCTCATTCGTCTCCACCTCCGCCATGTTCAGAAACAACTACGACAACGATGCCGTCACCTTGTAAGATCTCCCCCGACTCTGCCAGGAACAGCCAGATCCTAACTCGAGGGCCATTAGCTCCCCGCAAGGCCGGATCTTCCAGGTTGAATATGCACAGGAGGCCGTGAAGCAAGGATCCGTCGTCGTGGGATTGGTGAACAAGACACATGCCGTCCTGGTCGGCCTGAAGGTTCGCTCTACCCCCAGGACAACAAATCAGAACATTGAGCTAAAAGCGCATCTCAAATGCAGCGCAACGCAGAAGAACTCTCCTCCTACCAGAAAAAGATCATCGAGATCGACTCGCACATGGCCATCGCCATCGCAGGCCTGGCCTCCGACGCCCGCGTCCTCTCCAACTTCATGAAGCAGCAATCTCTCGGCTCCAAGATGACCTACGGCCGACCAATCCCTCTCGACCGCATCGTCACACAGATCGGTGACCGCGCCCAGACCAACACCCAGCAATACGGAAAACGGCCCTACGGTGTCGGCCTCCTCGTAGCCGGTGTCGACGAGGCCGGCCCTCACCTGTTCGAGTTCCAGCCTTCTGGTCTGACCCACGAGATGGTCGCCTGTGCCATCGGTGCCCGCTCGCAGATGGCCCGTACGTACCTCGAGCGTAATCTGGATAAGTTCCACGACTGTAGTCGTGACGAGCTGATCAATCACGGCTTGCGTGCGCTCAAGGAGAGCCTGAGCCAGGATAAGGAGCTTACGGTGGATAATACCTCGGTTGGTGTTGTTGGTTTGGCTGGTGAGGGAACTAAGGGCCGCATTGAGAGCTTCAAGCTGTATGAGGGCCAGGAGACGGTGCCGCTGTTGGAGGCATTGGAGCGCTCCGAACAGTCTGGCACAGCTGAGGACGAGAACATGGACGTGGATTCATAATTTTTTTTTTCCCCTGAAGTTTTAATGAGCATAGACATGAATTGTTGATGCTGTGCACTGCTTTCTAAACTACCTGATATTTATATCCGTACTCTTCGTATCTATATGATCACCTCAAACCAAACTCCAGCCTTGGATGTAAAAACCTCACTCCTCCCCCCAATTCAACAGCATCCGATCACTACTACACTGATAAGCCAAAAGCTTAGGCCAAACCTCCGTAGCATCCCGCGCCTCCGCCAGAATAGCCCCATTCTCCCTAGTGATGAACCCCTCCGACACAGCATTGCGCACCCACGACAACAACCCATCCCAATACCCATTCACATTCAACAACACAACTCCAACCCGATGGATCCCCAGCTGGTTCCACGTCGTCATCTCCATCACCTCCTCAATCGTCCCGAACCCGCCAGCGAGGGACACAAAGCCCGACCCGGGTCCGCCTTCAAGCACCTTCGTCGCCATCAGACGCTTGCGCGTGTGCATGTCTGGTACGATTGTCGTCATCCCGTACTCTGACTCCGGGATACCGTCTGATTCAATGTCGGAGACGACTCGTTCGGCGGCTTTGCCTTCGCTGGACGACCCGTTGCTGACATTATTGGCTGACTTGGTGGCGATTTTGACCAGGGCTTTTGGGATGATGCCGTGCACGGCTTCTGGGCCAGAGAGGGAGACGAGGGTTTTGGCAATTTCGCCCATTAGGCCGGTTGCGCCGCCGCCGTAGACTAGTTGGACATTGTTCTTATGGAATTCATAGGCCAGCGTTCGGGCTGCCTCGATGTGGACCGGGTCTTTGCCTGCTGTTGAGCCGCAGCTGGAGCCCCAAGCGGGATTGGTTAGCCTTGCTTCATATACACCTTTGGGTTTCGAGTGAAAGGTATGATATGGAGGGGTAGGAAGGTCGAGTTGGAGTTGTGCAGATCGCGGTGAGGGGAAGGATGACTCACAAGACGCAGACGACGGCGGGTTTGTCCTGGATCATGATGTAGCTTGGATGAAAGGTGGTTTCGTCTCAAGTATGTCAAGATTATATGGAGTAGAGGAAAGGAGAGATCTATAAGTAGCGAAGGGAAGAGTCATTGACGCCAAACCGCGGACGGTCTCCACTGCGATAAGAGATAAAGACGGATTGAGTCACGCCGGCCGCTTCGAGTATTTGGTTGGCTACGGTTAAGGCCTTCACTCGGTAATTGACTTCTTTCACTGCGGATATTGCATTAACAAACTGCAATGCTCGGTCTGTGTAACCGTCGAGACTCTCCGATCAAAATGATCTATCCACACCCAATATGCAATCCATGCTCTAGACTCCAGAAACTCCCGTATAAAACACACCCAAAAAAAAGCCCAATGACTATCTCAGAGAATGGGGTATCATAGTTGCGAATCTCCAGCTTAGCTTGCAATCCGATTCTTCTTCCGCTTCCCCTTATTCTCACCCGAGCTCGGCGGCGAATTGCTCTTGTCAGACGCTTTCCCCGGTGTGTCCACCCTAACCTGCGGTGTAGACGCATGTCCAGCGGGTCCAGGTGTATTAGTCGAGGCACCTAGGCCCGCTCTGGATGCAGGCTGAGCTGCACCGGTCACACGATCATTCTCGCCGGCGCGTGACATGATGAATGAGCCTGGCTCGCCCACAAGTGGATTCTCGTCCATGAATTCGTCTCCATACTGCGTGAACAGGTTGAATGCCTCGCCTAAGCTTCGGGTATCCTGGAAGCTGGAGCTTGTGGTGGCGTTGGAGATGCCTAGTCCTGTTTTATTGGATGTTTGTGTGTCGGCAGTGGTGGGAGGTGGAACGTCGGGCATGGGGGTATTTTCTTTGCTTTGTTGAGATGCCTGGGGGCCAGACTCCGTTGCGCGGGCCATCGGTGGCATGTATGTGTGTCCGTAGGACGGTGTAAAGGAGGGCAGAGTCGATGCGGTTTTCATCAGTCGGTTTAAGGATGTAACGGCCGATAGCTGCGTAGAAGAGGTCATTAGTGCTCTGCGAAATACCAGCGATAAGAGGAAAGCTTACAATTCGGTTTCCCACGACGCTGGCGACCGACGGTGCCATGTAGATGCAGTCGCCGACGACGAAGTAGGTCGAGATTACGCTCACCTCGTCGTCCATCCCGGTGCGCTTCCGTCGGTTCTGCTTCCGAATCACCCAGACGTTGGACGGCTCGTGCGCGAAGCGGGTGTCAGACTGTGCCGCAGCTTGTAAGGGGTCGTAGGCGACAATGAATTCCAGGCCTTGCATGGTCTTCAGGCGGGCTTCGAAAGCTTCGCGCGTCTCGACAAAGTGGCGGAAGGCCTCGTTGTAGTTGGCTTGGATGGCGAGCGAGGCGTTGTTCGAGGTGGGGTCAAAGAAAGGGGATTCGGCAAAATAGAAGAGAACTGGCAAGCTCGTTAGTCTGGAAATCGCGAGTCAATAGCAATGGACTCACTGTTGTTGGAGTGCAGGAAACCCCCCATCATCTGTACGTGCGGGGGAGACCGCCAGAGGATCTCCTCCATCGCATCTTGGCTGGCCATACCGGGATTCAGACGGAACCCTATTCAGACCAGCTGGAGCAGGATTGATCTGGATTCGGTGAGCAGAGAGTCGATTTGGGAAGAATCGAAGAAAAGGTTAAGGCCGCGGAGGAGAAAAGTGATGTTTTGCTTGTTTGCATCTATCTATCTTTGTATGGCTTCAAAATTCAGTACAAAATTCCCCCTACTCCAACGCTGAATGTTGAATGAAACTCTTCACTTCCAGCTCATTGTCCCGATGTTGAAGATACAATGAGCTGTTTTGCAGTGAGGATTTGCGTACATAATAAGAAATGAGTATCGGGTTACCGGCTGCTCCCTTCACCCTCGGATGGAGCGAAGACATTGCAGACGGTGCGCAGCTTCGTCAACATCTCCTGCCATTCACCCTCGGCTGTGCTCAGAGTGGTAACTGCGCCGCCAGCGCCAATCCTCCAGATCTGCTGTGGAGTTTGACGGTCGGTAAAGCGAGTGAAGGCCGTGCGAATAAGAACCGAGAAGCTGCCACCACCGCCCAGATCCAAGTAGCCCATCACTCCGGAGTAGATGCTACGCTTCCTGTCCTCAATAGTTCGAAGATGCATGCACGATCGTTCCTTGGGTGCGCCAGTCATGGACCCAGGGGGCAAGCACCGCTGAAGAGCCGTGATGCCGTGAACAGCCATATTGGAGGACTTCAACTGGGGCATATGTCGGACCGCGAATCCAGGTTGATCAGGATTGACAATACCCTTGACGTGGGTGATCATCTGGTATACTCGGCCGTGATCTTCAACCTCAAGCAGCTTCTCGACATGCACGCCGCCAGATCCACAGATGCCGTACAGATCGTGCCGAATGAGGTCCGCGATCATCAGGTTCTCGGCCATTTCCTTCGTTGAGCCCAGAATCTCTCGAGCCTTCTCCATCGTCATTTCGGGTGTCTTGCGGACTGTACCTTTCATCGGCTTCATCTCCAAAGTAGACTCTCTATCCCAATTGAGGAAGCACTCGGGACTGCTGCTGACAACCTTTGCATCTCCCAAGTCTGCGAACGCACTGAATGCGGCGGGGTTGTATTTTCTCAGTTTCTTGTATAGTTTCCAAGGGAATGTAATCCGGCCTTCTTCCGTTGGGGGAGTCGGCAGAGTGATGGATGTTTCAGAAGTGAGGCACAGCTCATATGATTCTCCGGCTTCCAATTCTGCCTTGCAGGAGTTAATTTGTCGTTTATAGTTGGCCTCCTCTGGGGATACAATTTTCCCTTCGCGGAGGATAGAATCCAAGAACCGAGTATCGGCTTCTTGGTTAGCCCCAGAGCTGCTCGGATGAGATTGAAGAAGCTTCAATGTCTCATCAAGCCAGCCCTCATCAGACTCGCGGGTGGATTGAATGAGAAGGTTGCCGGTATGATTGTCGATAACGATGCTCCTGTCACACCATAACAAGCTGACATCCGGAGGGTCTTCCGAAGAACAGGTCGATGAGCTGCCGGTGGAATATTCACATGAAGCAGAGACCTGGTCCGACCCCTTGGGATGAGGGAGACAGGCAAGGCCTAGTTCATAGGAGAAGTATCCGAGGAACCCCCCCAGAATGGAGCCTCGGGACTCCCAGAGTTGACCTTTTTCATGTCCATCAAGTATCGCAGAGCATCCCAGAGCTGAGGCACGGTGAGAGACTTCTCGACCGCTTTATGCTCACCATGTAGCTGAGAGAGACTCAGCTGCTGAGTTTCAACGCTGTATTCAAGCCTCCAGGAGCCGGGACTGGGGAGCGATATAATGCTATGGCGCCCATTAGACTGGAACAGCACCGTTGGCACCCCAGGCTTGTTAAAAACCTCACTGACATCCTCCGGGGTAAGATGGCTTCGCTCCAGAGAACAGTGCGCCGAAACAGCCGAAGTCGCGGAGCTCCATCTCAACATCTCGTAGGCAACATCCGGAAAAGCGCTCATATCATGATGAGGGGTGATGATGGTCTCAGAAAGAGTGCCGTATCCGCCACGGCCGACAACCTTGTTGAAGGTAAGAGCCATCCGCCACCAATTGTGAAGTAGTACCTTGCAAGCATCCTTCTCCGACTTGCACGATTCAGGGTGAAACTGCACTCCCCAAAATGGTTTCTGGCGGTGACGAACCGCCATCGGAACTCGGTTTTCCGAGCCAGAGTTTTCAAGAGATAGCCACGCCAAAAATTCCAGGCCCTCCGACAATAAGCGATGAGAATGACTCAACGTATCCAACTTGGCATAGAGTGAGTGATAAAGCGTCACTTCGACAGCAGGAAGACCCTCAAATATGTCCTTCGAGCTAGTCGATATATGTCGCACCTGGCCATGGAGTGGGTAGGGAAGGCGATCAATGGGAACGCCGTGATGCAGGCACAAGCTTTGAAACCCTAGACAGATTCCGAAAACCGGGAGCAGTTCGTTATCTTGAAGATTCCAGATATCGCGCATGATGCCGACATCTTTAGGCAAGTTGGGGTTTCCCGGACCCGGTCCTAGGACAACGGCTTCGTAGTGGCGTAGGAATTCGTGCATGTTGCCATCGGGCCACTCCGAGTCGATGGTCATCACTGTGACTTTGACACCGAGTGTCTCCTCCAGCATAGCGACGACATTGTAGGAGAATGAGTCGTATGCGTCGACGTAGAGGATGCTCTTCAGGGCATCAGATCCTGCCTTGCGTGACTGTGCGGGCTCCGATCCATCCCAACTACCTAATAGCGGCGCCATCGTGAAATTGAGTCACCAGAAAGGATCCCGACCGTTTCGAAGATAGCAAATGCGCAATGCAGCCGACCACGCGTCGTAAGATTCGGTGAACTTTTTTCTTTTTTAGGTTCTCGAGATTCCCGAGCTCATCCCAGGTGTCTTGGAGTGGCGATCGATAGCGACGTACTTTCCACGTTCCCAATCCCGCGGAGTAAGACAGACGGAGAAAATTAGTGCCGCATCGTATATCACTGGCCAGGGGAGTATATAGAGTTGAGACTGTGTTGTATCGCGCAGGCGAGGGAAATGAAAAAATTAAGGTTGGAGTGCAAGGGAAAAAGCGGGTACGGCCGGAAATCGGATGGAGCCACCCGGGTGGCGACGACTGTTTCTATTGTTCTAGATTTTCTAGACTGCATTTCTATCTACTGTAAAAGGCTTGGGTATTGAACATGGCCAATATGGTCGAGGAAACAAAAAATCATCACAGATGGACATAGATCACGCAACGGGAGGTGCTGGGACGGGCTGTAGAGTGGCAAGTTTGGCAGCAACCTTGGGGAAATACTGGGCCACGAAGCTTTCGGTGTAGTAGCTGTGCGCTGAGCTGTGGTCGCCAACAAGATTGTGCGCTAGCTCGTGGCACAGAATCACCCACCAGTAGACAATGGCGTCGGTGCGATCGGCGCTTGCACTCCGCTCGTGAAGCTGCTGGAAGTAGAAGTAGTTGCAGAAGATGCTGCCCGCTCGGTTGAAGGCAATGGTCTTGCCGCCCGGGTCGTAGAAAATGCTCAGGCTGTCTGCGCGCATTGAAAATATTGAACCGCAGTCCAGAACAATCGACGCGAAAAGATTGAAACCAGCCCGGTTGTTGGCCAGGAAGGACGATCGGTCGGGAATGGACTTGACGAACAAGACATTGACGCCACTGGGAAGAGTTGCAACAAACTCCAGGTCATGACTTGGTCGCTCGTCACAGTAGGACTTGCTTTCTTGGATTTGGTTCGTCTCGGGACGGCTGTAAACGTCCGATGATCCATGGGCGCGACAAGCTTGCACCGCAGAGAGGAGCTCCTGGTGTAATCGATGCGGGGAGTTGGCATTGACAGTCTGCTCCGGGCGAGGCTTTTGCGGATCGTTTGTAGAATAAGGAGGTGGGGGAGGTGCGGTGGAAGTCTCGGGAAGGAGAGAGCGAGACTGCTCGCCCGCAGTGGAGGAGTTCGATTGTTTCCCTTCCAGTCCAAACCGTTTACTCAAGTTGGCAAACAAGCCACGGGAAGCCCTTTCTGGCATGATCGGTTCGGACGGTGCGATGTGAGTCTCATCCACGGAATTTTTGCCATTAGGCGACTCAGGGAAGACACCAGGCATGAGTGACTGCGATTTCGACTCGGATCTTGTCTCGGGCCTTTCTTCTTTGGCTCGCTGGGCTTGGGTTTCCGCCCATGCAGCCTCCTTCTCCTGGAGTTCGCGTCTTTCCTCCTCCAACTGCTTCTGTCGCTTGTCCTCAGCCATTCGAGCCTCTTGAGCTTTTTGTTTGAGGATACGTTCCACATTGTAGCCTCGGGCGCGGAGCTCCAAGAGATCCGTTTTCAACAGCATCTCCAGCGTCAGAGTTGAATGAAGTTTAGGTCGCTTCAGAATAAGATGAACCAGAGATTGACTGATCTCATACAGATCGTATTTGCCTGGACAGATACACAGACCATAATTACTGGACAGGCGGGCGACGATGGCGTTTCGCTTCTGTGTGTGAGACACCCGCCGGCCCTTGAGAGATCGTGTAAGGCTGATGGAATTGACCACTTGCACGCTGAAACTGTGCTCGAGCCACCGGGTTCCATGCTGGATCGAGTCGGCAGGTTGATCATGCAAGAAAAGCCGTGCACGTTCCAAGATCACTTTGTGTAGTTTGATGCCCAAGGTCTGATCAACTGCCACACCTCCAAATCGCGCCTGCTCCTCAACCAAACTGCTCAATGGCACGGCACCGAGGGCGACGTAAAAGTTCTCCAGTACTTCCTCTTGCGGTGCAGCAAGGATATGCTCTTTGAAGAGATTGAAGCTCTGGAAATCATCCACAACGACAATCTCTTTTGCAGCTGAAAGACTCCACTCTCTAATATCGAGGTCATCCTCCAGGTCTGGAATCTCTTTTTCAGAGGACTTTATTTTGCCATCTTGACCTGATGATCGAGGTGGAATATCTCGACTGGCCAAAAGGAATCTCGCCCTCTTCATGTCGCTGAAAAGCTCCTTATCCTTTTTGAGTACTGAAAGATGCTCCGCCAAGGTTCTCAAAAGCATGAGATATTTGTCGGAGCTTTGGAATGCCGCCGAAATGCGAGCAGGCTCCTTCACCAGCATCCGAGCAATCTCCGTCTTGGTGGGCTCTCTCCTCGACCCAACAGCCAAAAGGAAAAAGTTCGCCTCCTGGCCGAAATCCACAAAATCAAAGATATCCTTGTAGTCTTCTCCGTCGCCCAGATAACAGAGCTTCGGTGAAACAAAGCGAGTCTGGGAACCTTTCTCTGTGTGACTTTTCTTGGCGATGGGAATGATTGGGGAACTACCAACCCGCTCAATGTCCTGTGGACTTAAATCCGAGGCTCTGCTCGCCAGATATTTGAAGATGGTCCTGGCATCCCCTTGTGTCGTTGGAGGTTGACGAATGAGAATTTGGATGCAATCCTTCATAGGAGGATGAGGCTTAACACCCAGTTTCGAAGCATGTCGATGGAGATCTCTCTTGAGGATCTTAAAGCCGAACAAATTTGCACCGTCGTCCGTGAAACAGTCTTTCGGCGCACTGAAAGTTTCGGACCCCTCGACCGGGAGGAAGGCCACCCCAACTGCACTAATATCGTATGCACCGTAGCTATTGTTATGATACTCGTTGATGTAGTATGACAATGCTTTATTCTTGAGAGCAAAGTCTTTCTGTGCGCCACTCTGTACCATAAGCCGAACAAGGTCCGATCCAGTTGGATAGCTCTTCAAGCCCATCATCGCGAGGAACTTCCCCTCGTTGCTGGCACTATTATAGATCCCAGGCCACTCGATTATGGGGAGGTCCAATGCCCGAAAGACATCTTTCGGCTCGTACAACTGGGAAATTTTGAAGCGACCGCTAGGCGGAAGCCGGTCACCTTTCCTATTTTCCGCAGTGCAGATTTCCGTTTCCTTGAGTCTCTGGACATCGTTCGACGGAATGTCTTCGCGCACAGATGTGAGATATCGTATCAGATCCACGTGGTTCCACTTCCTCGCAGGCGGACCCTTGGCGTCTCCCGACTCGGGGGCATTTATGAGGCGATCGAAGATCACGCCGAGCTCAACGGTCTTGCGAACGCCGAGCGCCATTAGCAGTTTCTCCTTTACACCGTTCAGACCATGAACGACGGGAAGATCGTCGAATAGCCGTACAGTGGCAAAATATGTTTGGGGAGGTTGCTTCATCCCGAGCTTTGTTGGTATCACAGTTTGTGGTTGTAGGGTATTGATAACGGTTTGCTTCGAGGATGAACTCAGGCTTTCCCACTGCTTTGACAGAACAGGTAGCACCTGCCCAGCAAAAGAAGCACTCTGTGTGATGTCTTGATCTGCGGAAAGAAGACTCCGGTCCCCAGCATTGTTGACTAGCCAGCGCAGCCACGGGACAACCTGCAACTCACCCCACCCCAGCGCTTCAAGCTCTTGTTTGCTCAAAGCTTTGGTAAAGCGGAAGGGCATCACTGCTGTCGGCACCGGCAAGTCAGCCGGAACGCGTTGAGGATTTAGGAAGCTGGTAATATCAGCAAATATGATGAGCCATGAAGGCTGTCCTTCCTTGTCCTCATCATTTGCGACTGCAACCCGAAGAAGGCTCTGAATCGAAAGTCGGTCGAGTTGTCCCATGACAGTTTTGCGACCCAGCCATGTGAGAAATTCAACAATCTGGTTCGGGCGTAACGTGCTTGCCTCTAGTTCACGCTTAATATCCGAAACTGTGATCTCCGTGACCAACCCAAATTCTGTCAGTCTCTGGACAAATTCCTTCGCGTTGAGTACGAATTCATCTGGCAAGGCAGGAATGGAGTCCATGAAGCTCAGATCTTTGGGGGCAATGCGGGTCTGGTGACTGGGAATCACACCACAAGTGGACAAGATCTCAATAGATGCATTTTTGTTGCACATCCAGAACGCATCTTCGATCGTTTGACCCAAAACAGACGATGGCGTGGATTCACGGAAAACGAACTGGTTGGCAGTATGGATAGCTTCCGGAAGGACATCCACGATGTCTTCTTTTCGAATTTTTGAGGCGCGTGATGGGCCTACTTTGGCGGCTAGTCTGGATTTGATGGTTGTCATTTCTGCAGACCAAGCAATCCGACAAACCACACCAACTGCTCGCAACATCTCCAGGTTCCATTTGCTGATGTAGCGGGTATTCAGATCAATGCTTTCTCGCTCGACTGTAGGGATCACAGACGGCGCAGATACATGGGCGTTTAGACCGGTAGTCTGTTGAGTAGGGAACCCGATGAAGACTCTTCCTGACTTGGTAGGGAGGATAGAAGCAAGAACCTCTGACTGGGATGCGGAAACTCCTGTCGCAATATTGGCATCGTATGATGGTGTCAAGATAGCAATCGTTGCTTTCTTGGGTGGCGGTTTTCGTGTCGCGCGTTCAAGTTCCTTGCTGAGAGAATGGCTGATCGAAGGGACTATAGATGCGGTGTTGATGTGCAAGAACACGGTTGCCACCTGCATGGAGGTCATATTACTCGGCTCCTCGGTGCGCTCCGTTTTCTGGACCTGTGATGGCTTCTCAGGTTGGCCTGTAAACTTGGAGAAGAAGCTCCGCAGAGAACTTGTTGTATCCCGGAGATTGTCGAGGCGAAATAAGCTTGCGTTAGGATTCCACTCCACAATCCGCATCCAAGCCGCATCAACTTGTGCAATCTCTTGAGTGACCCCAGTAACTTTCATCAAACCTTCTGTAGTCTTGGTTTCAATGTCCCTCGGGATGGGGACATTGACGCCCGGAGCTGTCTTCTTGCAGAGTCGCAAGAGACTCCAGTCATCTAACAACAACTCTATTTCTTCCAAGGCAACAAAAGTCAAGCTGCTCGATAAAAACTGACATAGTGACATCAGAGACGGGACGGGCGATGAATCGTTGCGATAATCCAACACAAAAGTCGTATCCTTGTTCGAGGTTTCACCCAGATCAAGCCTTCGAGTGAACAGACCATTGCCTTTCCAGTAGAAGGCCATGGCCTGACTCCCCGACGACACGAACGGCTCTTCGCAGTCATCGAAAACGCTGTAGAAACCAACACCAAACGCACCAATCTTTGTCTCGTCCGGGTTACCATCTGCGATGCGCTTTAACCGGGCCCAGTCTTTCTCACTGAATGGGAGACCGTTATTTGAAATTAAGAGGCGGCTCAGAGTATGGTTGGAAATAGTATGCTTGAGGAGTGCTGTTTGGTCTGTCGAGGACGGCGACGGTACTGTTGTGGACGGCAGAGTCTCGAATTTAATGGTTACTTTGGTCGCAGAAGCATCGGCAGCGTTTTGAATCATCTCTCGTAAGACAGTCCTATTTCCAGTCTATTAGCATCTGTCCGCGATCTTGAACACTCGAGAAAACCCACCATTTCCCCGAATACCTCGCAAGAACCTTGGAGATCAGTCCTCTGGTGTCCACCGTCACGGCTTCCTCGTCTGCGCCAGACCCCATGGTCCGCACCTTGAGCGCATTAAAGTCCATGTTCATAGCCATGTTGCTGTCTATTCCATGCAGCTCTATAGTGTGGCGTAAAGGTGTATCGGGGCCTGTAGAAATGCGGATGCCTATCGCATGGGCGTGAGGCGAGTATATCCGCTTCTGGGGGGGTACAAGTTTGGATATCAAACGACAGACAAGAAACAACTTAATCAAAGGACGCGAGAACGGATGGAAAACAAGACCGGAGGAATAAACACGGACGAGAGAGACACCGAGTCCTCGGGGACTGCGGAGGGCCTTATCGCGTGCTTATCGGCGGCTTAGATCAGCGGCCTTAGTAAGCTTTGTTTCTCATCGCTTCAGGAGCTTCGTGAATTGCATGTCCTGGGGCTTTTTTGCTCGTTCTCGCGGCCGGTCCTGTCTTTACCGTTCCTCGGAATATCTCCACTACTGTACTACCCGGGTGAATCTGGAAACTGACCGGTTGTCGTCGATGCGGGATATCGTCAAGTTGTGCTCCGGTCTCATGACAAGATGGGGGTCGACCCGTTGTCTCCCATTGCGCCTGTGCGCCTGAGGGCGCTTTTGCTGCCAATTGGAAAGATCAGGCGCTCGCGTTTCCTGAGCTTCGCCGCCAGACTTCAAGCTGAGAATGTGGTGCGGTTAGGGGACATCAGTCCGGATGCTCGGCCAAACCGAAGTACTTAATACCCCTGCTCTCAGCGGTGACAAGTCGCTGTGTCAAAGTGTGGGTGCGGTATACTGACTGCTTTATTCTACAGATATGTTCTCTCCGCTAGCGTTTCCCACCGGAATGATTCTCTATGATCTGTCCTTCTCCGTTCCCCCCACTTCGCACCTGGAGTTGTTCCCATTCGATATATACAGAGAGCCACTGGTGATTATTGCGATCGCTGATGGGACGGAACTGCCTCGAAGCTCCGATGAAAAGCAGAAGCACCCCACACCGGAGGGTCTTGATCAATTACTGGAGGAACTGGATGAGGCGAAGGAGAGGAACCCACGAGCACTGGTGAACCAACTTCTGGTCTTTGACTATGATGGCCTCGAGAAGCTCACGAACGGACCGGATAATGTACTTTGGATCCCTCGCCCGCAGGCCTCCAAAGCCACCACTATGAAGACGGTTCTGTGTGATATTACGTCGGTGTTGCTTTCGGAGCTGGACGAGTTTGCCAAAATCATTCAAAGCATACCGTCAATTGAATCACCTAAGGTCTCATCGTGGGGACCTCATCGCAATCCAGAACTACGACCTCGGCCGGTGGACCGCTTACTGAACCGCATGACACTACCAGCACATATGCCATCCAATCCCAATGGCGGTGCACCGGAAACCCCTCTGAGCTCAAATGCCAGCTCGCCAGCTCCGAGTGAGGAGACTCCGACAACATTTGATGAAATCACCCGATCGATTCATCTGTCCCGTACCAATTCTGGGGCCAGGAGCCCTTCGATAGCTTCGCCCAAAGAACATAGTCGAGATCGAATGTCTGTCAGCGGATTGAGTGCTACTGACAGGACTAAGAATCGCATCAAGGGCCGGGCTGGGGTAGTTATTGGCACCCTTTTCCTGCAGGCAGGAAGGTGGCCAGATGCCCTGAAGGAGCTGATAGAAGCGACGAACAACGCTCGAGCGGGTAGTGATTATATCTGGCATGGCAAAGCACTGGAGTCCATTCTTCTTTGCCTTCTGATGATGGGGTGGGCAGGCATGGATTTTACAATTCCTTCTGTCCTTTATCCTGTGGCCGACAAGTCTTCTAAATTGCAACGGGACTCTACTGCTTCTCCAGCCCCCGCCGGAAATCGCATTGTTTCCCTCCAAAATCTGGCCAACCTGTTGCCGGACCTTGCCAATACCATATTGAATCTCTATAATCGCGCCGCCAACATCACCGATGAACCGCTACCTCAACTGCTTTTTTCTGAGACTGTCATTCGACTATCCAGGCTCTTGGTTGCAGCTCGCATTCGAGACGGTGCTCTCGATGATAACGCTCTCAAACACATCGTGATGAACGAGCCCCTAATTCCTCTCCACCAACAGGAGCTCCCGCGCGGCACAGTCTTGCTTCGGAAGTCTGAAATCGCAAGCTTCTTGTTCCGAGCTCTTCCACTTGCCGCCAGCGCAGACCTGCCTGCTACCGATGCTGTGCCTATTATTGTTGGAGTCGTTTCCGTTCTTAATGCTTTGGATCTTCCGCGGAAGAAGGCCTTCCTCATGCGAGAGCTTCTCGCTGTCATGGTACCTAGTCTGGTACAAGCACGAAAGATTGGCGCCGCAGAGGTGGGCATTCACCCCGCCGCCGGCCTTGCGTCCCTTACTGATACCGCGTTTGATGTCAATGCTCTCGACGTGGGTCCGGGGAACACGGAAGCTAGTGTACGCCATCTTCTTGCTACAGTGGGCGAGATCTACGGAGCCCAACCCTCGGCATTTTACGAGTGGGAGAAGCGCCAGAGCTACTCATCTGCTCCTGGTGAATGTCCGGAGTACGACTCGGTTGCCGGTATCGCAGAACGGTCTTTTCGGCATGTCGTGTTGGATCGATATGGTGATCTCAACTTGAAGATTGATGTTCTAAAAGCGTGCATCAACTGCTGTGAAGCGCTTCCTGACTTTGATGGTGTACTTCGATTTACGGTTGAGCTTTTGCAAACCATCCGAGGCGATTTGATGCTGACCGAGCACAAGAAAATGCCGCCGTACCTGCCACCAGACGAGCAAGTGCGTCTCTTGAACAACATCAAGCGGACTGTTGGAGCCGCTAACCGGCTGGGAGCATCAAACATGGCTGCAGAGTATTGGGACGACTTTCTCGTGCGTGATGTCCAATTGCTTGCGTTGCCAGATCCCAGACGGCCCGTTCGCCGATCCAAGACCGAGCTAGACGCTGTCACCACGAAATCTCAGAAGTCGAAAAAAGACCCATTCCTTTACAATCCTTTTGCAAAGCCCAGCAGCAAGGCTTTGGAGATGCTCGCGGTGACTGATGAGGCTGCTTCATTCCGAATTACCCTCCAGAATCCGTATGAGTTTGAAATTGACATCGACCTTCTGCGGCTGGAAAGCGAAGGAGTCGCCTTTGAAGCTGTGGCGGAAAATATCATCCTTCCTCCGCTTTCTTTGCAGGATGTCATTCTCCTTGGAACCGCTCACGAGGAAGGAAACCTCAACATTACCGGATGCATTGTTCAAGTACAGAACTGCAGGATGCGCAGATTCCCTATTTTCAAGTCATTCTGGAAACCCGAGCCCGAGGTCAAGTTCAAACGTACAGGGTTGGCATCGAAGAGGCCTCTCAATGACCGTCCGGTGTCCTGGAGCTCAACCACGTCGAAAGATGGAAAGATTGAGGCTAAGAAGGGTCCTGAGACGGCGACATGCCAGGTCAAGGTCATCGGCAAACAGCCATCTCTTGTGATTGAGTCCATGTCACTATCACAGTCGGCTTTGATGGTTCTCGAAGGAGAAATTAAATCATTCACAATCACGCTTCAAAACACTTCCTCTTGCCCCGTGGATTTTGTCTTGTTTACCTTCCAAGACTCTACCACCAAGCAGCTTCAAACGGCTCTGAGGAACAAAGACTTGCTGCCGGTTGAGATTTATGAGTTGGAACTCAAGCTTGCCACTCAGCCGGCCCTGCGATGGCGCCGCGAGGGACCTGACACTAGCGACTGCTCGATTGCAGCCAAAGACAAGGCCACATTCACCGTCGATGTGCTGGGTAAGCCCGGCTTGCAAGACACGACGGTGCAGATCGACTACTCATGTCTGGGAGCTAAGCAGGCAGACCTTCCTGATGTATTCTACACTCGGCAATTGTTTGTTCCGCTGACAGTCACGGTCAACGCGAGCGTGGAAGTTGCTCGTTGTGATATTCTTCCATTCAGCGGCGATTTCGCTTGGAAGAATAACATCGATGCGCCGTCCGACGCACCCCAAGATCCGAATTCACCTCTGTCTACAACAGACCATGATCCGTTTTCTCAAGTACTTGCTCGTCTCGGCAATGGTGCCTATGGACCCGACCACTGTGTGGTTCTTCTCGATCTTCGCAATGCGTGGCCAAGCCCGCTGTCCGTGTGGCTACGAGTTAGTGAATATTCCATCACCGATATTTCATCTCCTCAGTCGCCTAAATCGCCCACCACCAATAACAATGGCCGCTACTCTGTCGACGGGAATCTCCAGCCAGGCCAGGTCTCACGCTTTGTCCTCGTGCTCCCCCGCGTGTACCTAGATAACCCACACGCAGCCATCCCAGTCGTGAACACAGGTACCAGACGCCAATTCGTCGTCAGCGCCAACAAGCTCTCCTTCGAAGCCGAAGCAGCCTCGCGAGAAGCCTTCTGGTTCCGCGAAGAACTTCTTAAACGCGTCCTGGGAGGTTGGAGCGAACCCACCTCAGGCCGCGAGGGAACAATCGATCTCCGAAACATCCGTCTGAATACCCGCATGGTTGAAGCCATGCGTCTGGAAGATGTCGAAATGACCTTCTCTCTCTCCTCGCCTGCTATCCCTGAGCAAGACTCTCCCATCGTCCAAACCGGCCGCTCTCGTTTCCGCGCTAAGACAGACGACCTCTTGACACTGTCCGTGAAGATCTGCAACCGCTCATCTCGCCCCATCCACCCTCTCCTCCGACTCCAACCTAGCTTGCGACACCAGCCTAGTAACATCGCGTTGGATCTCACCCGCCGATTAGCGTGGACTGGCATGCTACAGCAGTCCCTCCCAATCCTGCACAGTGGCGAGTCTACACAGGCTACCATCGGCGTGACGGTGCTATGTCGCGGAGAATACGAGATCGGAGCAAGCATCGAGGAAGTACGCCTGCTGCGCTCATTCGACGAGCACAAGGGAAGCGAAGACGAGGCTAGTCGCCATCACGACGGCATTAGGGATACCTTTGGTGCGGATGTGGTGCGGCGACGACGCATCTGGCATGCGAAGGAGAATTGTGTCATACATGCTCATGATTAATTGGCTGGAAGTGTCTCCAAGGCTCCTATGATCCTGTTTCTCTTCTGTTCTTTTATAGATCCTGTGGATTCTTGTCATGGTTTGCTTTTTCTCTGAGCCTAATATCATGGGTCATGTTGCATGGTGATCTTTTGTATACTTTTCTTCTGATACATAGTTCTAGCGTGGTACATATGAATGAATTGTTCTACGAGTTTCGAAAAGGACGTGAAGTATCTGTTTGATGATTGGATGTTCATGTGCACATCAAGTATTGTGCAGTGTAGATGGCTATGTGAGAGAATGAATCTAAGGATAACCATCTCGTTCCAAGTTCTTAATAATCTAATATAGGGACTTGTTTCCTAGATCTCGACTCATTATTTCCAATCCCAAGTGGAAGCGCTCGGAGAAGCTTGCAAAGAGTTGAACCTCTTCATAGGCAAAAGGTCAGACTCAATATGGCATGGAGCGCGACTCGAGATTCCGGACTCGAGCGAGAAGGACCTCTGATGAAATGGCGTGAGCCATTAAGTGGACTGAAGGCTGCGGGAAGCGCTTGCTGAGAGGTTTCAAAGCACATAGGGTGTAGGTATCAAAAGCATCTAGACCCATTGAGTTGTTGGATCGAGAGCGGTGTTCTGTATGGCCATCACCCTGTCACATCATCCCCGCCCTCTGGCTGTGTGGACGCGCGATCTCGACTCATCGCAGCCGGCTGCGATTCTCCCAGCGGGAAACTGAGATGCTTCCAATCCTCGATTTCCTCAATGATACACTTCAATCGATCCCGAATACTCTCAACAGCATAAGTGCCAAGAATAAGTCGCAACGGCGGATACGAGCAATGGCCGAGCTCCCAGACAAGATGAGCAGCCTTCACCGCAGACGCAGGCTGCTTATCTCCAAGCCACATAAGCATACGCCGCGCATGCGCAGCCGGAGATGTAGATGTATTATACGGCTCGCTAGGCGGCTTGACCAGAAAATGCCCGTACAGCGGCAGCGGCGAAGAGAGATTGTGTGCAGAATGGTTAGCAGTCATGGCAGAATGCGAGACCAGGTCCCCGATATCATCACGGCGCATATGACCCGGTTCAACCAGCGTGCCCTTGATATTGAAGCTGTCCACTTCGTACAGCATACTCTCCATCAACCCTTCAACTGCATATTTCGACGCACAGTAAGGCCCCAGGCCCGGCACGCCTAGCGCGCCCGAGGTCGAGCTGAAGATGAGATATCGGCCCGCACGCCGCTCGCGGAAATGTGGCAATGATAGCTGGATCATGTTCAATGTGCCCGTGAAGTTGGTCTCGAATTGGTTGCGGATGTCGAACTCGTCTTGATCCTCGCATGCCCCGATCACGCCGTACCCGGAGCAATTGGCGATTACGTCGATGCGGCCGAATCGTGCAATTGTCTGATCGATGACGCGTTTCACGGTCTCGCGGGCCCGCACGTCGCAGAGTAGGCCAAGGCAGTTCTCGTGCTCCTCTTCGAGCTCTTTCATGGCTTCCGGGCTGTTTTCATAGGTGCGTCCTACGGCGGCGACGAGGTCGTTGCGGAATAGGGCATTTTTGACGAGCGAGCGGCCCATGTGGCCTGTTGCGCCGAAGATCTGGTAAGAAAGAGGCGTTGTTAGGGGCAATGCTAGCTATAGGATGGGTTGCGCGAGCAGCGCAGGACGGAAGTGGGGGGGAGCACGTACCAGCCAGACGAGCGGCTTTGGGGGGTTCTGCGGGCCTGGAGGATCGGTAGTCGAAGGGAGATGCAATCGTGGCTCGCGAGAGGCGGCTGGAGAGGAGGGTCCTCCTCTTGGAGGAGAAGCCTGCTCCATCGTGTGGTTGAGGAGGTAAGAGTCAAATCCCCTCCGCATTTTGCTCCGGGGTCGACCCACTTAAGCAACACCAAATCCACCAAGTACGGAGTAAAACGACTTATCACCAAGTTCCAGACCAAGTTTCAGGCTCTTCCAAGCAATAAGCAACCTAAGCGGTCTATCCATTAGGGCAAGTCTCTCACCCTCTCACGGTACTTGGTGCTCTTCGAGTATTTGTGCGCTGGCATCGTTTCGCCCTCCCCAATAGAAGCTGTCCGGCACTTTTTGGTGGTGGGTTTATGCTCTATTATTAGCTTCGTAAAGGTTCTCATCCTACACAGAATTCACCAGACTTCAACACTTTGTCATAATGCCATTTCTAATATAGATTCCTAGTCGAATTACCGCCCAAGCTCCCGTCGCAGCCGTCCTGCAGCTGTCGAGGGACTCGGCTCCGGCCAGCTGCCGACAGCGTCGTCAACTTCTTCCAGGAAGGTCGTGCTATTATGAATAGTGGTGCCGCCAAGGACAACGCGTACACCCGGGGAGCTGGCGTTGACCTGCGCCACCATCTTGGCCTCCTCGTAGGTTACGCCGCCAACCATGAAGATGATTATATCTTGCGGCTTATCCCGAGTGTGTCCGCTTCCTTCCAGGAACGGATATTGCAGCTCCTTCAGGCGGCCCTTGATCAAATTCTGGAGTGTCACTTCCAGACGGGGTGAGTGCTGGGTATAGACATTTTCGACACCCTTGAGTCCCTTGAAACGGTCCCTGGCGCCGGAGAAGAATGAGGTTGATTCGAAGAGATCGGTGAATCCACCGGCAACGGGCGGAGCCTGGAGGGAGTTGTGGTAGGCGAGGAGTTTGGGGATGATATTGACTTTGTTCGAAGGAACATTACCTGCCGTCACCAGCAAGTCAAGGAGAATCGGCAGGGCGCTGTTCGATTGTTGCTCGTAGCGAAGTGCATATAGAGCCACCAAACGCAACTTATTCTCCGCAGGAACATTTGGCAGCGTGATGAGTCGTTGCAATGACTGATGGAATGAGTAAATTGATCAAACGTAGGGAGGGCTCCAACATACCTTCAAGTCATTGGCGTGGTTATCATTGCAGGCCAAGCTCTGCTCCAACTCACTCACATCCAGAAGAGTATCCTCGCCGACTCGCCGACTCAGCTCGCCCACAAGGGTGACATGTTTGCTGACGTTGCCCGAGAGCTTGCGGAACTCCGGATAATCCTCCACAAATCGCTTCATGTCGGCAATCGACTCGATATTCATGCTGCTTTGCGTCTTGGTTTGATACTGCTCCACATATTCCTTAATGTTCTGGCCTAGGTCACCGAAGTTCTGATACATGTTCTTCTTAAAGAACGGATCCTGATCCTGGGCCAGCACGATCTCCTTGAGCTCCGGTCTTATCTCTGGAACATCTTGCAAATCCACCCGTCCATTATTGATTCCGAGCAGTTCATGCACCATGGCCTGATATGTCCATTGCGTCAGCAGCGGGGTGATAGGGTCGTCGCGACGGTCCAGAACCAGGAGGATTGGTGGTGTATCCGTCCGGCGGAAATTAAACAGCTGCTCCTCCTGAGTGATATGGTATCGAACTTCGGTCGCGAGTTTCCGGGCCAAAAGACTGTTTTTCTCATAGCGAATCAAAGGGTTCTTCTTCAGCGACAGCAGTAGTGCCAGGACCCCCTCGGTAGCTCTTTGCAGCGAGTCGGGGTTCCATAGGTCTGGCGAATGACTCCATAGTCGGGACAGTGGGAATCCCATGCCCAAAGAGCAGAGGTCGGGGTTGATCACGAGGAAATCGGCGAATTGTTCCTGTACGGTATGAACGACCTCGTGACTGTCGGCCTCGGCAAGCCGCTCGAGGGATGACTTCCGGATCATGTTACTCAGGTAGATATGATATTCACCATATTTGGGTTCTCGGAGCTCGTCGACAAGAAGCTGAATCGAATTCGGGGATGGGCGCACGAAACACAGGCATCGCAGATGTCGCATCTTCTCGCGCGCGGAGTTGTCGAGGCGGTCAATGAGGTAGACTTCATGATTGAGGAGGGCAGACTGAGTGATGGCGGTCGAGACAATCGGAACCTGTAGAGGAAGGGATTAGCTATCGTCACCGATGATAAATTAAGGAAGCGCATTTCGCACTGTCTCACTGTCGAGTAACAGGATCTTCATCTTGCTTGACGATGACCCTGAAGCCGACTCGCCGGCCGTCACCATCTTGGAGACGTAGCCGGAGACGGCCGCGACGACATCCATGGTGATGAGGGCGCCCGGGCGCGGGCAAATAGAGACAGAGAGCTTGAGTGTTGGAACAAGATGGTGTTTTGTCCAATCGGGGGAGAAGGTGGAGAAGTGAAGTTGTTGAATGTTGGGCGCGTCCGCTTTCCACATGACAATACTTTTCCCGGTGATCGCTTGGCTGTTTCTTCTCCCTTCTTTTTCTTGTCTTCAGCTTGCATGCGGTGCTTTTTCTGATTCCAAGTCTTCTCTCTGGTTCGGCACCATGTTGCCCTACATAGATTCCTGTGCGTACCTCCTTTCCCCCTCATGGAGCTCCAAGATCTCGAACTGATCCCCACAGTGTTCCAATACCCAGCGCAGCTGACCGGCGCCTCTGTGGACGAGCGTACGTTCGACTCTCGATAACATAGCTTCGCAAGCTTCTAACCCTCCTTCCAGTCAAATTGATCACTTCATTCCTGCTCTCCTATCCGCTGGCTGGCTTGCTGAAGCGCATCCCCGACGCCCAACCGTGGAAAAAGAATGCGTTCATCATCGGTGCCTCGCTCTTCTACATCATCGGTCTTTTCGACCTCTGGGATGGACTGCGCACACTCCTCTACAGTGCTGCCGGTACCTATGCGATTGCATACTATGTAGATGGATCGTTGATGCCCTGGATCGGGTTCATTTTCTTGATGAGCCACATGTCCATCAGCCACATCTACCGCCAGATCCTCGACGATCCTCAGGTGGTCGACATCACGGGAGCACAGATGGTCCTCGTGATGAAGCTTACTTCATTCTGCTGGAACATCCATGACGGCCGCCTGCCCCAGGATCAGTTGTCCGATTCACAGAAGTACTCGGCCATCAACGAGTTCCCCAGCATCGCCAACTATGTGGGCTACGTCTTGTTCTTCCCGTCGCTGTTCGCTGGTCCATCCTTCGAGTATGTGGACTACCGTCGTTGGCTCGACACCAGTCTTTTTGAAATCCCGCCGGGTACGGATCCGTCCAAAGTTCCGCCGACCAAGAAGAAGCGCAAGATCCCTCGCAGCGGAACCCCAGCTCTCAAAAAAGCTATCGTGGGTCTGGGTTGGATCTTCCTCTTTCTCCAGCTGGGCTCGTGTTACACGACAGATCTCGTCCTGTCGGACTCTTTCATGGACTATGCCTTCCCGCGCCGCATCTGGATCGTGTACATGCTCGGCTTCACCACTCGCCTGAAGTATTACGGCGTCTGGTCCCTCACCGAGGGTGCCTGTATCCTATCCGGCATGGGATACAATGGCTTCGATGGAAAGTCCGGCAAGGTCTTCTGGAACCGTCTGGAGAACGTTGATCCCTGGAGTCTGGAGACTGCCCAGAACTCGCACGCTTACCTCGGAAGCTGGAACAAGAACACCAACCACTGGCTGCGCAACTACATCTACCTGCGCGTTACTCCCAAGGGCAAGAAGCCAGGTTTCCGCGCCAGTATGGCCACTTTCGCGACTAGCGCGCTCTGGCACGGTTTCTACCCAGGATACTACATGACCTTTGTCCTGGGCTCGTTCATTCAGACCGCTGCCAAGAGTATGTTTAGTTTTCCTGCAACCCCCTTTATTCCCTTTATCCGTGTACTAATGCCATCATCAGACTTCCGCCGCCACGTCCGCCCCTTTTTCCTCACTCCGGACGGCAGCAAACCTACGCCATACAAGCGGTACTACGACATCCTCAGCTGGCTCGCTACCCAGCTCACACTAGCCTTCACCACCCTCCCCTTTGTCCTGCTCAGCTTCGGTGACTCCATGACCGCGTGGGCCCACGTCTACTTCTACGGCATCGTCGTCACCTTCTCCTCAATCGTCTTCTTTGCATCCCCCGCAAAGGCCTACCTGGTCGGCCAGCTGAAGCGCCGCAGCCGGCCCCAAATGACTCGGTCTACCAGCGCAGATTCTATCCCGCCGACGACTCTGGGTCTGCCTAATGACCCCGAACAGGACTTCGACGAGGCTGTCCAGGAGATCATGTCGGAAATTGAGTCTCGTCGTCGCCGTGGAAGCGTTGTTACCATGCCTTCTGGCGAGGAGCTGAAGGTTGCTGTCGAGCAGAAGATTGGCCGGAAGCTGTAGGCGTTGTGGGGAATTGTATAGACATTGCAATGGTGTGTTAAGCCCTGCTTTTCGGTTCTTTTCGGTTCTTTTCGGTTCTTCTCATCTTCCCAGTACCAAGAAGGGAATGCATTTCAATATCGACAGTTGCTGTTTTGGTTAGGACATATAGTTCTGCGAGTAGATTAATGGCTGTCGCAGCAGCCCATAGTTAAAAATTTAGACTCCTATTATCTTTCATCACTTTCAGTCTCCACCTCAGCTCCCCAGACAATTATGAGAAACCGCTTTATCGAAGAGGAAACAAAGAGCCCTTCGGGATAGGCGGTTGGACTTTTATATTTCGATAACCAGCAGAGAGTATAGTGTATCTACTGATATCTGTCTCCGCTTCCCGAGCTGCCTCAAAGGATTATCGAGATTAAGGAATTATATTTATGGGAGGTAGCTCATGAGAATAAGATAATGTTGGTCTCCAGAGACCACTTATACCAATGGTTGATCGCTATAGTAATGAGCAAACAAGACCAAAGGAAGCGACAATTGTACAATGAAAGAATAAATACATCATGTCCTTTGCGACTGAATTTCCACCAGTTTCACAAAACTGTCCGAAGCACTTTGTGAAGATCTGCCAGTACTATCGACGCGATATGACACCGTTTTGGAAATGAAGCCCAAATTACCGGGATGGACAGCGGATATTGTCTTTGAGCGGGGATTCGAAGAGGTGTGCGCACCTCCGCTAGAGGAAGCATTTTCACTTTGACCAAGCATTCCCGGAATGTAGTGGACAATGAAAGCTCGAGTGGCAGGTAAACAAGCACAGATGATGGCGACCTGGCATTCAATGACGGACCAGTAGTTGAGTGGCTCCATTTCGACTGTGGAGAAGATGGTCAGTTATGGACACACGGAATAAAGGGAATGATGGAAATATTCCAGCCGGGTACTCACAGGTCGGGTTTTCGGTAGAGTCATTGCGTGAAAGAATAATTACGCGCACGATTCCGACGGCCGTCAATCTGCCAGCAGTGAGATTAGCATGACGAACGTAGAGATGCTCGACCGCAAGCCTTCTTTTGACTTACACCAGGCCCATTCCAAACATCACCGCGACCCCCAATTTTTTGCGGAAGGACAACGTCAGTTTTAACACTTCCCACATGGGCATCATCACCATGATAACGTCCACCGCAATATTGACGAATCCGTTGACGAAAGTTGAGGTGATAAAGTTGATACATTTTCCGGATTCCTCGTGTTCCCATCCGGTCCAGGCTAGGTGGACAGGGATACAATGGAAGCTGTCAACGAGTATCCATGAGATTGCAATAGCGGTATTGACCACGATCATGGTATAGGTGATATAGCGGAATATTGGGGTCTGGAAAATGCGGAGCAAGAAGAGGCAAACGGATATTTTCGCAAGGGATATCAGTGCCTTGTACACATGGATGAATGCATAGAAGCGCTGGCGGAAACCGGGTCAGCCTGTGTCTGTGTCTTCTTCTTGAGATGCAATACGGACGAACCTTATAAGCCTTTGTAATATCATCCTGCGGAACGATATCCCAAATATTCTTTCCGAAGCCATATTGGATCACTGGGCACGGTTAGAATGACGTCGACTATCCCTCCGGAGCTCTCGATCTTACTTGATACGTTCAAAGAATAGATTATGACAGCAAGTCCCTGTAAATCAATGAGCGGAAGGGCCAAACCGATACCCAGAAAAGAATGAACTTACGTATGCCACAATTATAGTATAATCATCAGCACCCCAACCGCAACCCAGATGCTTGGATTTGGCAGCCATTCTGATCGTGAAAAGGATGCTAGCAACTATAAATGGGATGAGGGTACCCGGATCTGCCGCAGGATACCGTTGCACGATTGGAATGTCGCATTCGCGAGAATTGAGGTATTGCGCCGCTGTAGAGTGTTAGATATCGAAGGAGTTCCGAAGCGAAATGATGGGGAACTTACTCAATGACTCCGGTGTCGTGCAATTCGCCGACCAGCAATCTTCAAGCTTCGCTTGATATACCTTGTCCGCACAGAGACATGGTGTGTTGTTCGTGGAGCACTGTGTGACCGAGTCGGCAAGTATTTGCTGTTTGCAATCAATCTGATCGTGGTTTAGATACCCGTATATGCGAAAGGGATGGACTTTTATTCATACAGCACATTGAGGAACAGCTTCTTCCCTCGCAACTAATTGCGAAGTGGCAAGCGGTGATGCCAGACCCGGCGATATTAGACCCAGTATCAGCAACAAGCGCATTGTCGCGATCGCAGTAGGGAAGGCCAGACATAGGTCGAGCGGCAGAGAGGCTCCGGTCAAGTCATAAATTCGTGGCAGACTGGACTTATACCCCCTCTGATCTGCTTTAGGGAATAGGGGGCGACAGCCTTGCTCCTCTCGAATAAAGTTTTTGACTCGAGGATGGTTCCCTCATCTACCTTCAGATCCGCCAGTCGTATTTTTGGGATCTGCATCGCTATTGGGAGTCAGGGACCCACCATACAAGACTCGTCGCCACTAAAGTTCCGATAAACCATGTATCTAACCTATCAGATCCACCGACGTATTGAAGGCTAATGACATAATCGGCCAAAGTCAATAACTGCGCGTATTTCCAATCACATGGGCGAATCTGGCCAAGGTTCAAATCCTAAAGCTATTTAGTCGGTGTAACCTCAATATGGCCGAGGTAGTACGGGGCTAAAGTATATCGGGTGAAATCTACACGTACACTGTACACCCAAGTCTAGCTCGAAGCCTAAACGGTCCTTGGATGATAGGTAGCAGAAGAAAGCACACTGACCTGCACGGACATCCGAAAGTGGTGGATCCAATGCGTTTTGTAGTCTGGGGGCGAGGCAAGCGATGTGGAGTTCGTTCTTGAAAAGCTGCCGGTTTGCCCCACGAGGACCCAGACTATGAGCTCCGAACATCGCCGCCAACTCCTGCATTACTCACCGGCTGAACTGCTGTTTCCGGATGTCAGCTCGTTATTGTAAAGTTCCTACTCGTTCTCGAGACCCTGATGACGGAAATGCCTACCCCAGTCGGTTTCCAACAACGTCGGTTTCCAACACCCGGATACCCGACGGATTATCCGCCCGTAGCCTCATACGCAGTAGCCTAGTCTATGCCTCGCAGTAACCTACCTGAATCTAGTCCATGCTTAGCCTCGCTCAACTCAATTGGGAGTTGATAGGTAACCTATGACGAATTGTCCAATAGGCCTGTCATGTATTCAATTGGTAGTACTGGAACTGATTATATGGAACTGATTCTATCAGATTGCAGCGGTGGTGGAGACGGTATCTGATTACCCAACATCTTTGCACCAGCTTAGAAATAAATCAAGGGCCGAGCTCGGGGCCGTGCCCAAGTGGACAAACGTGGGGTCTAGCGTTGACGGCTGAGCGGCTCCCTGAATCTAGTCCTATTCCAGACTAGTGATTCAGGGCTATCGTGTACCACGTAGATCACGGCTCGCTTGGACCATGTAGATCATGGCTCGATTCAAGTTACGCAGTGGCCACCCATATTAGGGGGTATTTTGTTTCATCTTCTGCATGGTAGCTCTTTTCAACGTTCCCCGTCTTTGTTACTCGTAAGCAAAGCTTTACTTTCATCTATATTACGTAAACATAAAGAGCAGTACGCATATGAATACACGAGTCAAGTCTAAACTCAAGTTTATCAAATAAATTCAAGGCAGGCTTTATGAATTACATATATCAATGCCAGGTCAAAAGTGTCACAGTCAAAGTGTCAAGAAAGAAATATAATACCGTCACCAAAAGACAGTCAAAGAAAGAAATAAAAATAAAAGGGGATATTATGTGTGGTGCGTATCGTATCATGTAGTCGTGTCAAAATATGCAAAGAAGCGAAGAAAATGACAAATTGCTCAGAGGTGCAAAGTGCCTCGAGCTGGGTGATGAGAATGTAACAAAATGAGATCTTGCAGGTCATGGGAATGAAACTGAACAGTCGCGTGGGGAATACAAGTCCCGGAATTCGGTTGAATGAAAGTTGAATGTCAATGAAGGCGTGAAAAGTTGGGAGAAAGGATTGTCCGAGTCGTGAGAGCGTAGGAAATTGGAATGAGAGGTGGAATGGGTCGGTCAGAGCAGGTATGTGAGACGGTTAGAAACCGGTTGTGGTGCCGATGACAGCCATTGTGATCTGGAGAATGTTAGACAGATGCTTCCTATACGAAGAATTGGCTTGACTTACGATTATAACGATGATCACAACTCCAAGGGAGATCATCCAGCGGTTCAGGTTCCTCCACCACCGAGCATTGTCGTACCGTCGCCGCTGCATGTCTACCAGCTGCGACTCAAGGGCCATCTCGACATCGTCATCGGATTCCAGCATTTCAGGGCCCACCTTGGGTTGGGGTGGGAGGGGAAGGAAAGAAGCGATCACCCAAGCAAGAGGGAAGATGAATCCCAAGACGAAAGAGTAGACCTGGATGTTTCTCCGTCCAAAGATGGGCTCAGTGGTAGAATCCATGGAGGGACATGTCCACGCACTAGCCGAATGCTGGATGGTGCGTCTGTCACGGTACAGGTGGGGAGACCAGCTGTGTCGTAGTCGGCGGCGAGGACCGCCGACAATATCATATTCCTCGGGCTCGGGGGTCGCGACCCAGTGAGCACGCGGGTCCCGTGGATCACTCTCGATGCGCCGCTGAACAAAACGAACGCGTTCAGGCGAACGAGGTCGCGGTGGAGCGGCCATTTGTGGTGATACCGATTGTTGTCGTGATACCGATTGTTGTGGTGACACCGGTTCTTGTGGTGACACCGGTCTTTGCGGTGCTTGAGGTCGCTCTGGTGAGCGCGGCCGCTGAATGTTGAGTGGCGTTGGCATTAAATTAAAAACACTCGAATTCCCCGTGCCCGGACGCGCCGAAGATGGCCGGCTCTGATCAAATATTGACAAAGCTGAGCTCAGGCCGAGGGCATCTGCGCAATAGTAGACCTTGGCCCAGGTGGGAATGATTTGGAACAGGTTGCTTGAGCTGGTACCAGGGCGCTTCATGCTCCGCATGCTGTTGCTGCGCTTTGACCCTGAGGAGAGGCTTTGCGGGAATGTAGGGCGAACTGGAAGATTGGTTAGGCTGTCCAGGTGCTCATCTTCGTCCGTGTCGTGGACGAGCCAGACGGATGAGGTAGTTTGGCTCCCGTTCAAAACAGCACGGGCTGGAGCAGTTGGTTCCGAAATCCCTGCACTGGAAGTCTCGCGAGGAGTGAACCCGTCGGGGAGTTCATCATCAGACCAGACAGATGACACCCTTGACAAGTGAGGGTTCCAGCGACCAGACACCGGGCCGGGAGTAAAGTCACGATCGCTTGACATAGACGATTCCGCTCGCGAACTTGCAGACGGAGCTCGAATTCGCGGATATTGGATAGGAATGCCGCTGTCGATAGCAGCTTGAATATCAGATACCGAACGCAGGCTGCGCGAGGACGATGTCGCAGAGCGTGACCGGCTTCCAGAAGGTCCATTAGACACAGAGCGGAAGGATGCCATGGACCGCAGAGGCGGGCTTGAATGGAAGGAGGGTGTGCTCCCATTGAAGTGTTCGGTTGACGAGGCCATATGGATCCACGGAGCAGCAACGGGGTGCCTCACCACCGTCCCGTACGAGGACAAGGAATTTGAGCGAGGGTCCGAATCAGAGTGGGACGTGCGAGGAGGGAGAAAGTTCACGCTGGAGTTATCCAGAGTAACGAAATTCGGACTGGAGGGGGCTCCAATCCGTTGAATATTAGGGCTCGAGTAGCCGATTGATTCCTCCGAGCTCGCAGACTTGGGTGATGTGGGTGGTTCAGACACCACAGCTTTGATAGTGGGCGTGGCGGTGGGCAACACGATCATCTCGTCATCCGAAAATTCGGCATCCGAACCCTCTGAACTATAGTCGGGTGTCTTGCCAGACGAGATCTCCGGTAGCGACGATTTACTGGACAATGGGTCGTCATCCCACATCTGCGGCGGTGAGTTGCCAGCATCGACGGTAGACGAAACATCCCAGCTGTCGCCAATGGACTGGGCCCGCACGCTGCTTCCCGCACCGAGGCTGAAGGAAGGTGAGGACCATGTCGACGTGGACGGACCTGGTGTATCTGCATAGCTGAAACCGATGTCTGAAATGTGCTCTTGCTGCTGTTGCTGTTGCTGTTGTTGCTGACCTTTGCCGGGAATTGGCAACAGAATTTGCTCTGGCTTGGTGGGGAACGGAGTCGTAGTATAGAAGTCGGCATCCTCCTGTTCGGTGACCATGCGCAGGGACCGGGTTGGCGACCTCTCATTAGTGTGTGCTAAAGTACGCTCTTGTAAAACTCTTCGCCTCCGCGGGGGAGGCGAGTGTGACTGGACGTGTGAAGGCATGTTGGCGAAATCAAATTAGAACATGGTCGAGGACGAAGGTAATAACAAAAAGAATGTGCACGTCAGGGTAAAAACCAAGCAAGCAAACAATATATGTGATGTCAATCGAAATTGGGGACTTGTTTTTGTTTTCCCAAATTGGATATTGAATCGATGTAAGGAATGCCTCGCCCTAGGGTCGAGTTGATCGGTATCCAAGAAGACTTCTGGATGACCGGAATGAGTGGTTCAAAAGAGCGTCAGGCGTAAGATATCGTCAGGAGGGGTCAATTAAAGATCGTTTCAAGCGTAAAAGGCCATTAAAAGAGCGTGAAGAAGCGTTAAAGGGACATGAAGCAGTTTCGAAAGAGCGACAAAAAGCAGACAACGACTGGGGAAGGACAGCACCGAGCACGAAACATGAGACATTCAAGACAAGGGGGGCGCCAGGAATTTTGTTGCCCAGCGGCGGTGAACGGCGATGCAGCAGCGCCTATCACCGTGTTCCGGGTTCTGGGTTCTGGACCCCCTGCAGGTTGATGCACGGCCCTGAGACACTCTCGGTTTTAATGGCCCGGGTGCGAGTGATACAGATACATAGATTCTCATTGCCGACCTCGTTCTCTTTTTCCCTACATGTCACCCGTAGAGAACCCATCCCTGGGGTGAGTCTGTGTGCGAATCCCCTCAGGTACGTACTTTTGCACCCTCCCCGTGGAGCCCATGCGTTGTCACTCCACGATGAACTTAGCGCCCTGTCGGACTCTTGACTTCATGGGGTGTCCGCCCTCATTCAAATATTGCAATTCTGCCCACCTGCTATTGACACTCGTGAAGTCGGAGATTTTGCTTCCACGATGCCCTCCCTGCGTGGTTTAATTGTCATGGATCCCAGGGGTGGCCTGCATATGATTCCTCAGACGAGGGCGATTTCTAAAATTGCGACGGTCCACGAGTGACGCTCGGTCCACCCGTTCGGAAAAACGTTGAAAACCAACCTGGGCATGGCTATAGCTGGTGATTGAATTCTGATCTTCAAAATGCCGAACTCTGAATTCATGGAGAAGCCGAGTAGATAGTGAAAACAATGGGTCGGCTCCATGGACCGGAGCCATTGACGGTACTGTACACCGTATTACCAACTGCGCCACCACCACCCTTATACAACGGCCCCGGTTCCTGTATGTATTGTCACGGGCAGTCTCGTCCCAACAAAGACGACCGTTTGGCAGTTGCGCCTTGATAAACCGGCCTTCCTCGAATCCATCGAGTATCAACTCTCTCCCGGTCTCAAGGTAGTCCTCATGGCTCCAGTTGACGGGATTCTGGCTCGCCTCAAGAGTCTATACGCCAAGCACCAAGGTACGTCGTTTGCTCCCCCTTGAACTCGTCAAATCTTGACAGGTCACTAACCCATCCCCAGACGAGCCGTCGCTGTCGGTGCACACCGTCGCCTTCCTTTCTGTAAATTAAAGCTACCCCGTAGAAAACTGACTTCACCACTAACGCGATCTATCTAGGTCGCCCTTACTTGCATCTATGTGGTGCCCTTTTATCTTTCTCCGGCCACGCGCCCCTCCCCCAGTCTGAGCCGCGATGCCCCGTCTGTCATTCGCGCGCGCATCCGCGTTGTCACGGGCTCTTGTATCGTCTGCTCACTCATCGTCTTGTGGATCGTCGTCGAAAAGGGTAATTCTTCCCTCGGCGCTGCGCTGTCCTTGTTGGGCTGGTGGCCTCTCGATCTGGATGATATTGCCCGATGTTTCCTACTCACCGTTATCCTCTTCATCGGCCCGCTCTTCGAGCGCGGTATCGTGGAGGGTGAATGGCGCACCTGGTTCCGCCATAGTAGCTTATCTGAATGTCTGAGCGGCTGGATCGGGTGGAGGAATTACGTCGCTGTATGTATTCCTGACCTCGTTGCGATTGGATTTTGATATTGACGTGTTTGTCAGGGCCCCGTCACTGAGGAGGTCATGTTCCGCTCGGCCATTGTTCCTCTGCACTTGTTGGCGCATATCTCGCCCAGCCATGTGGTCTTCGTCTCCCCGCTATACTTTGGCATCGCCCATGTCCACCATTTCTACGAGTTCCGCCTCACGCACCCGGACACCCCGGCTCTGGCGGCGCTGCTGCGCTCGCTCTTCCAGTTTGGCTATACCAGCATCTTCGGCTGGTACGCTACCTTCATCTACCTGCGAACGGGCTCCCTGCCGGCCGTCATTCTTGTTCATACCTTCTGCAACTGGTGCGGCCTGCCTCGCTTCTGGGGCTGCGTTGAGGCCGCCGAGCCGCAGGGTCCGCCCATGACCCGTGGCAAGGAGGACTCTGATGACGCGGATGCATCTTTCGACGACGGCAAGCTGAGCATCGGCTGGACCGTCGCGTATTACTTACTCCTGGTGGTCGGGGCGGTCGCTTTCTCCCAATGTCTGTGGCCCTTGACTAATTCCTACAATGCCTTGGTCACGTTCTCGTCGACATCGAAGACCAGCTCGAAATGATTTGCATGAGCTTCATGAGTCTGCTTTTTTTTGCCCCCTCTGTATCTATGCATGGTCGTATAGTTTTGATTGATACGTTTCTGTTTGGCGATGATAAATACTTTGCATGAACTGCAAGCTCTCATTGGATTGGGTATTGTGTACAATCATCACTACCTCGATGAACCCTCTTTTAGGGGGGTGGCTGGGGCCTTTGTATGTCTACGTCCGGTAGGCACTATTCCACTAATAAAAAGACTCGAGGCAATTTCACGAGTAAGATCAAATATTTATCTGTCGATTCGTAGGATCGAAGTAACTTGCAATTATATGGTGCAAACCGAGTTTGTGGTTGAAAAAGAGTTAATCGCCCGTTCCTGACCCAAAATATATCACAAACCCATTGCGTATATATAGACCTGTCAACTCCAACTAATGTATTCAATAACATTTAAACCGCGAAACTGAAACAAAACAATACTACCAAGTAAGTATAACCTACAATTGGGCCAAATAGATATACCTAAGTGCAATGCAAAGTCATCACGCAATACAGCCCAGGGCTTCTCTCGAGGTACAAATTCCCCCTCACCCCTCACCCCCACTCTCCACACCCCTCAGCCACCGTGCCGCAACCGGATCCAACCAAACAAACAAACCCAAATCCGCTAAGCTTCTGAGACATTCCCAATAAAGACAAAGATAAACATCCCCCTACCGGACCTGGGGAACTCAATTGAGTACCTGCGTCTTTTGTCCACGCGCACATCCCTACGCACACCCTTGCAGCGGGTTCCTGCCTGCCTAGCCCCTTCCAACCTCAGTAGACGGGACAGAGTAAGACACTCATTTCCCACATCAACAGTTGGGATTTGGCCATTGGGGCCGACTACCTCTCACTCCCTGACCCGGCTTATCCTGGGACCAGGGGAGACAGAGTCTCGTAAACTAAATTGGAATTCAGGTACAAAAAGGAACTCGAGTCCATGACGATGTAGTTTTCAATGTGTTAATGTAATGTACAGTTCTAGTTCTATTAGAATCATAATAAATACAAATTGGAGAATGGAGATGGGTTGGGTCAGAAAACCACATTCACCAATTTACCACCCTTGACAACGATGACCCGTCGTCTCTTTTCCCAGTCGTTTTTCTCGCGAAGCCACAGCTTGCCCTCGGCCGTCTCCAAGACCCGGCTGATGATCCAGTCCTGTTCCTCTTGGGAGGGGCCCTTGCCCTGGGGGGAGGTGGTGGTTGGAGACATCATGCGGGGAATGGTGACGGCGCAGCGCAGCTTTCCGTTGATTTGCACGGCTACTGTTTGACCGCCGCGGGCAGCGAGAACCTCGGCTTGCTCGGGGGTGAGGAGATTTGTCGGCCAGGGCGAGGATAAGATGGATCGAACGGAATCGGAGTCCTTGATTAAGGGCTCGTGCAGCACTTCCCACGACTCGGAGGCTAATGCGGGGGCGATGGGTGAAAGGAGGCGGAGAAGAGCGGAGACGCAGAGGTAGTATACAAGAGGTGAAGAGGGTGGAGCGGATGACAGGGCGTTGGTCAGTTTCGTCAGGTCCGAGATGACGGTATTTAAACCGTAGGGGTTGCTCTCGATGCAAGTTGTGACGGATGAGATGGTGTTGTGAGTAGCCAAGACTGCATCTGCGTCGGAGCCAGTCAATTCCTCCAAGGAAGATGGGAGAGAGACTGCATGGCCTGGAGAATCCAAGTCGGTCGCAGAGACTGCCAACGAGGACTCGGCCAGTTGCTGCTGGGCGTCTAGGACGAGCTTCCACAGCCGCCCGAACCACCGCTCAACACCAACAATCTTGGCCTCGTCCCACTCAAGCACTTCGCTGACAGGCGCAGAGAAGAGAACGTGTGCACGAGTAGCGTCGGCGCCGTATTTCGTTGCGCACTCGGTCGGGTCCACGCCGTTGTACTTGCTCTTCGACATCTTCTCATAAGATACATTGGGAGCGACTTGAGTTCCCGTAATTAATGGTTTATCGGGGCTGGTGAGATCCACTTCCGATGGGAGCAAGAATCGACCGGTGAGCGGCTCTGTAAATGTCTTGCCGTGCACCATGCCTTGGGACAGAAGGGTCTTGAAAGGCTCTGCCGGTGCAGCAGACTCATCAACATGCGCAATGGCCGGGAACAGCTCTGACTGAGACAGGAACTTGTAGATGAACCGAGCGTACAGCAGGTGAAGGATGGCATGTTCAACACCGCCAATGTATACGTTCACTGGTCGTGCGACAGACGGCGAGAATGGAGAATCTTTGTTTTTAGAATCTAAGAAGCGCAGGTAGTACCAGGATGAATCCACAAAGGTATCCATGGTATCTGTATCGCGGCGCGCTGGGCCACCACAGCTGGGGCAGTTGGTGTGAAGCCACTCTTCAGACGATTCAAGAGGGTTTCCCTTTTTGGCCTTCAGCCATTCGCCTTGGATCTTTGGCAATTTCACCGGAAGGTCCTTTGCAGGTACAGGAACAGGGCCACAATCACCACAGTGGATGATGGGAATGGGCGCACCCCAGTATCGTTGCCGGCTGATCAGCCAGTCTCGCAGTCGCCAAGTTTCCTTAAAGTCGGCTTGTCCCACTTGCTTGAGATCGGTGACAATCTGCTTCGCTGCCTCCTTAGAGTGTAGCCCTTGGTACTTCCAGCAATGCGAAGTGAGGACACCGTCTTGAGTAAAAGCCTTTGCATCTTGAGCAGGAACAAGCGTGTCGGATGTTGCATTTTCACCAATAACGAGAGAGATGGTCTCGGGCTTCACGTTCTCTTTGAAGAACATGATATCTCTCGCGTCGTGACCCGGAACACCCATGACTGCTCCTTCTCCGTAATCACTCAAGACATAAGGCGCCACAAAGATGGGTAGACTCCTCTGCACATGCGGGCTTTCATTGTCGATCTTTCGCAAAGGATGAGATGCCGTAATGCCATTGAGGCGGTAGCCTGCTTTCGAGTCCTCCGGGAGCGATGAAGCCTCGTCCAGGAACGAACGAAGTGCGCTATCCTTCTCTGCGGCCTTCAAAACGATGGGGTGGTTAAGCGAGAGCGCGAGGTATTCGACACCATACAAAGTGTCTGGACGTGTCGTGAACACATCCACGTTGACTTCGCCGTCCTGTCCGTCAATAGTCACAGGGAATGTAACCTTGGCACCTTCGGACCTTCCAATCCAATTCCGCTGCATAGACAACACACGGTCGGGCCAGCCGCCGGCAAGCGAGTCCAGATCCTTCAGCAGCATTTCCTTGAAATCCGTGATTCGGAAGAACCACTGTTTCAGATTCAACTTTTCCACTTTAGCCCCAGATCGCCACGAGAAGCCATTGGCATCGACCTGCTCATTCGCCAGTACGGTCTTGTCAACAGGATCATAATTGACTAGCGCTTCCGCCTGGTAAGCTAATCCTTTCTCATATAACATCAAGAAGATGCGCTGGGTATGCTCATAGAACTCCGGCGCACAAGTAGCCACTTCTCTATCCCAGTCGAATGAAGTAGAGATACTCCGCAACTGCTCTTTCATCTTGGCAATATTCTGCTCCGTCCACTCCGCTGGATCCACGCCGCGCTCTATCGCTGCGTTCTCCGCTGGTAGTCCGAATGCATCCCACCCCATCGGGTGCAGCACGTCATGCCCGCGCATCTTGTAGAATCGGGATAAAACATCGGAGATCGTATATACGCGCAGATGGCCCATGTGCAGCGTGCCGGAGGGGTATGGAAACATCGATAGGATATAGGACTTCGGCTTCGACTCGGTCCCTTGGTCGGTCGGACGGGGGGATTCGCCGTCTGTTTTCCATTTTGCCTGCCATTTCTTGTCTAATGCGGGGAGGTCAAGTCTTCGAGTGTTTGCGGCGGTCGTTGCGAGGCGGGTGAAGGCATTGGAGGGAAGAAGTGGTCGGAGGCCAGGACGCGCGCATAGCCGTGCTTGCGCGACGAAGGGCGTCAATCGAATACGTGAAAGGGTTTGCATGATGGCTGCTGTGTCATCATGCTAGCGCCGAGAGATTGCGACCAGCAGTTGCGGCGATAGCCTTGACTAGAGTGGTGTCTTGGCTGATCTTCTGCTCAAAACTTCCCCGGAGCCAGACAGCTTTAAGCCCGATTAGGACTAGCTCCAATCGTACCTTCAACGTAATTCACAGCCGAGTGACGCGCCCCCAAACACCATAGTAAATGCGAGATTTCAACTCCTTATATCTGGCAATGCACTTCAATTCGGGGGTTGATACAACAAAATGACTTGTTCTAAAGCATAGGTCTATTTAATGCAACTGTTCATACATATGCAATACACCCTGCACTACAACCGCAGAATCCCCCCATCCCGATCAATGCCACCACGGAAATGATCCGTAACTACTCTCCCTCCCAGAATCGTTTCTTCCACGATCCCCTGCACATGCTTAGGTTCGACACGACCGTACCAGATTCCTTTGCCCGCCAGCGGGTGAGGCTCTGCGTGGCCTCCCACCGTCATCTCTGGCGGGATATATACAATGACATTGCCAGCATACTTGTGCCCACCAATGTGACTGATCAACCCGATATTGGCATGGTCAGGCCCATCGAAAGTGCCGTCACTGCCTGCCGAGGAAAATCCCTGAGACTGTAGGACCCGCTGGAACTCGGCCTCAAGCACCGGGGCCATGACTCCGCAGCGCATGTCGCGGCCTCCGTGGCCGCAAATGAGGACTGTAGGCGAGTGTTTGATGTCGACGACTTCGAACTTTGATGCGAGCTCTGGGTCGCGGGTCATATCTGTGCTCTTGGATTTTGGCAGCGATGAGTGCATGTCGTGCAGGCGCTCCGGAAGAAGAAATCCGCGCACAAAGGTGGTGAGGTCTGTGGTATCTGCTAAGGGTAGGATTTCTACCGGTATCGAAGGAATGTATTTGAAGCTGGGGAAGAGGAACGCGGATGCTGTAGAGGAGTTGCTAACAGCGGGGGCAACGGAGGTATTCGTAATGAGAATGTTATTGAAGGGCTGTAGTTTGATAATTAATGATTAGCAACGGCTTTATGCAGCTAGTTTTGGGGGGAAAGGCTGCCACATACATCGAGATATGGACCACCGCGACCTAACAAGCGTTTGAGGCCTCGTACGAGATTGCCCCAGCCTGTGTTCTCTCCGTCGTCCTCGATACGACTCATCCAGTCCCTTTGTCCTGTGCAGACCACCACTTGTTGCGCGTAGGCGACCATGGTCCCGTTCAATGGGTGTTCATGATCGATCGGTAATCCCTCGGGCATGGTCGGTGTCGGGCAATCGCATGCAGATTCGGGGCATTTTTTGGTCACAGGAAATGGAGGAGGGATGTCTAGGCGTGCACGATGTCGACTGGCGTGTCTCGGGGTTGTGGACAGTACTCGAGTAAATCTTGGGCTCTGGTGTGCCCGTCCGCTCCAATCGCGGGCGAGCGACTGCGCCAGAATTGTTGATCGCACTCTCATCGGATGGAGTTTGGATTTCTCAGGTGAAAGGTAACTGGAATTGGAAAATAGAATACAATCAAAGAATGAAAGAAAAAGACGTAAAAGCAAGACTAAAAGCAGAGTCTGCGCGAGTTCAATGAGTATCTCCGAGGCGCGCTCGGAGCGGAGATTAGCAGATTATGAATCGCCGCCTTTCATTTGCCCGTCATCTCCGCTGGTTTGCTGCCGTACAAAACAGGCTCCCCATCAACACCCACCAGCTCACTCTCGACTCCCAAGGTCCTTATCACCATTGCAGTCCTCGGTATCTTATCCTTGTGCCATTTGTGCCATCTTTAGACCCGCAAACCTTCGGTGTGCCCTGGGTATTACCCGGCTACTATCGGATATTCGGTTGGCTGCTAGGACGCCATTGGCCGTTCTGCGATCGTCGCATGCATGTTTGCTGGCGGAGCTTTGATCTCCTCGACTTGTCAAATGACGAGCATCGCTCACACTGCCCTTGTCACTCGCAGCGTTATTGGTACGTAATTGGGCAACTTTCTCGAGGGTTGAAAGGCACGGCGGACCTAGAATGTGTAAATCAGGTAAGAGTAGCTAGAGTAGCTGTCTTCCATTCATGGAGTTGATACTCGCATGAAAATTCCAATCTCTCTGGACGTTAGTGAGCGACTTGGTCACCATTTGCCTCACGGCTGTGAGCCCCCAGTCCCGCTCGCTTTTGAACGACTCGCCTCTCTCCTCCGAATAGTGTTTGCGACGGTCGGGTGCCTTTCAATGGCCGATCCCGCAGCGCTCTATTTCTTCGAGTGTCCCCGCATGAATGCCCAAGCCCCAGGGGAGTCATTGGAGAGTATGCGCCTGTTATTGGGAATGAAGACAATCTTCAAATCACTCGCCTTCGTAGTCGCCGTCGCAGAGGTCATTGGAATGCCTTCGTGAACCCCCGATCAATGAACTCGATTCACGCCTGTTGAGCGCCCGGTCACATGTAACGCAGCTCCTCAGTTGAAGCAAACACGATTGTCCATGGTTGCGACTCGCCCGACAGCAATTGAGGAGCGCAAGGTGAGGGCGACGCGGAAGGAAGTTGTGCGGCTGAGCTCCCCTTTAGACCCATCACGAATTGCCCCTCGGTTGGTTTATGCATCCCGGCGAAGCGACCGGTAATACGAGGCTCGCGGCAGTGGATCCGTGAGGGCAGGTCTCCAACAACCTCCTCACGGGCGAAATAGGTGTCAATGGCGGGTCTCGGTAGTTGGAGAAGGGTAGGGCAGAAGTTCGGCAGAAAGATGGACATTACTCGGCGGACCCAAGGTTGACAGTCCGGGTTCTACGGCATCTTTAGTAACTCAGACAAAGTGACAGTGTCTCCAATCCGGATTCTTAGCTCCACGGCCGGAATCCCGGTGATGCCTTTTTTTTCTTATTTTGGGAGAGAATTACCCCTCATTACATCAGCAACCCCGCTGCGGGGACCTATCCCAATGCGGCAAGCGCCATCAAACCGAGTCTCGAAGGTTGTCGGACTGACGGGCTTTGTGGGCTGATCGGTGCGCTTCACGGATGTGGCTACGAGCTTCAACGAGAAACAGGCAGATTTTTTATAGCTGTGTGGCTATAGGCATGGTATCACCGGGGCAAATCAGATCGACGGGACCGTCACATAAAAAAAGAAGTTCCCCGCACGTTTATGAGAGTTCTGAGTAGAGAGGGAGCCGCGAGATATTAAGGTGATAGTCCGTGAGTAACTCGCTAGCGCCGAGGCTATGCGCCGTACCGTGCATGTACTACGCGGATCACCCTGCGGCCAATATTCGGACTCGGGCGCCGTGAACGGTCCAGCATGGCATCTTCCCCCCCCCTCGTGCGGAGAACATCACGATCATGAGTGGTGCGGTTCCCCATCCGCCGTCCGAGCCGGTCCATCCACTGGCCCGCCCCTTGCCGTCTCTGCAAGTTCTCGCTTTCTGAGGGGGAAGTACATCGTGTTTTGGGTTCTGGTGGCTCCAACCCACCTTTGCTATGGCAAATGGAGGGGCCATCGGAGAGAGGGGCAGTCTGTCTATATATAGTGGGTGTGACCAGGTTGACTCTCCTTTTTTTCTCTTTCTCTATTATCATCCCAACTTCATCCTTCCATCCCCGGAATTAATTTAAAATAAGGTGAGATTCAAAAGCGATCCGTGTCCCTTACATCACGCCTGAAATGGCGCGTACTCTTCCCCACTTTATTCCCCCGCTCCCGCCAACCCTAGAGCTGCCCTCTCCAAGACCGGTTCGGGGTCAATTGACTTCATCGACCGGGTATCCGGATTCCGTTGAAACTCATAAAGAAGCTTCCTCGCTAACCTTCTTCAAAAGTTTTTCACACTTCTCTGATCCTCTCCTGATCATCATTCAAAATGGTATTTATCTCTTCCCTTTCCCGTCAGTTGCGACGGCCCGCCACCAAGCTCTTTTCCTCCGGCCTTAAGCCTACAGCTACCACTGGCTCCTTTGCGCCGACCAGTGCCTTTACCAATGCTCGTACGCTGACCGCATCTACTAAACTTCAGGGCAAAGTTCTTCTTGTTCTGTACGACGTAAGTGGAAGATTTTCCTCGGTGATTTTATATCATGGCTAATATTGGCTACAGGGCCACGAGCACTCCAAGCAGCAACCCAAGCTGCTCGGTACCACCGAGAATGAGCTCGGCATCCGCAAGTGGCTTGAGGACCAGGGCCACACCCTGGTCACCACCTCTGACAAGGAGGGCGAGAACTCCACCTTCGACAAGGAGCTGGTCGACGCCGAGGTCATCATCACCACTCCCTTCCACCCCGGTTACCTCACCGCTGAGCGCCTCGCCAAGGCTAAGAAGCTGAAGCTCGCCGTCACTGCCGGTATTGGTTCCGACCACGTTGACCTGAACGCTGCCAACAAGACCAACGGCGGTATCACCGTCGCTGAGGTCACCGGCTCCAACGTCGTCTCCGTCGCTGAGCACGTTATCATGACCATCCTTACCCTGGTCCGCAACTTCGTCCCCGCTCACGATCAGATCCGCAACGGCGAATGGGACGTCGCTGCTGTCGCCAAGAACGAGTTCGACCTCGAGGGCAAGGTTGTCGGTACCGTCGCCGTCGGCCGTATTGGTGAGCGTGTTCTGCGCCGTCTGAAGCCCTTCGACTGCAAGGAGCTGCTTTACTACGACTACCAGCCTCTCTCCCCCGAGACCGAGAAGGAGATCGGCTGCCGCCGTGTCGAGAAACTCGAGGATATGCTTGCTCAGTGTGACGTTGTCACCATCAACTGCCCTCTCCACGAGCAGACCCGCGGTCTGTTCAACAAGGAGCTCATCTCGAAGATGAAGCCCGGTGCTTGGCTCGTCAACACTGCCCGTGGCGCTATTGTCGTCAAGGAGGACGTTGCCGAGGCCCTCAAGTCTGGTCACCTCCGCGGCTACGGTGGTGATGTCTGGTTCCCCCAGCCCGCTCCCAAGGATCACCCTCTCCGCTACGCCGAGCACCCCTGGGGCGGCGGTAACGCCATGGTTCCCCACATGTCGGGTACCTCCATCGACGCTCAGGTCCGCTACGCCGAGGGCACCAAGAACATCCTGGAGAGCTACTTCTCCGGCCGTGAGGACTACCGCCCTCAGGACCTGATCGTCCACAAGGGTGACTACGCCACCAAGGCCTACGGTCAGCGCAAGTAAATCTTGCCCGGAATTTAAAACCTCTCAAATTGGGCTCTTATGATTTTCCTTTGGGTTCTTTTTTCTGATTGTTCAACATACTCTCAATCCCACTTGCCCGGAAGGCATGGGTTTGGTACAAATGTCGCATCTACGATACCAATGAAATAAATATTCATCAGTGATTCCTTGTTTTGAGTAGTTGACTGCAGATGTAAGCGCAAAGATCATCGGAGTGGGGCCGCTGTCGATCTCAACGGAGGTTAGTACACAGTAGATCGCAAAATGAGTCCGGCCAGGTCTTGTGGATCCCAGATTTTGTGTAGCTTGGCTATTGCAAGATGCATACGTTACTCATGTTCCTGACATCCAATCTACTCGTAAGCGGCCAAATTATAAGGTTGTCCATATCGTGGTTTCGTATGTTATTCTATTTACTATGCCCGCGAAGCGGACGGTCATACCAACTTGCAGACACACCAGGGCCACTTGGATAGACATCAGTCTAAGCCGCAAACGGGTATACTGATGCCTGATACGAATCGCTTAACCACAAAAACGCCGACCATGAAAATAAACCGCAATCAGACACGGCGGAAACATCAATGTCGATTTCCCGCGTGTTCTCGCCCTTCAGGTTCATCGTCGTCACTGTCATCCATAAAGCCCTCTTCCAAGTCTCGACTCAGGCGGCTTTCGGCCTCCGCTGCGGTACTCCGACGGCGCTCAAGGGCCTCCCTTCGCGCAGCGTTCATGCCCATGCCGACCATCAGCTCGCCTTCATCTTCATCAATGCTGATGTTGTCGTGGTCTGCTAAGTGTGCACCTCGTCGCCATGATGATGGAAGGAAAAAGCGCATCAATGCATCGGCCATGCGATCACGGAGCGAGAGTGTATGTGCAGATATGGTGTGAAGAGGGAGATATTGGGAATACCGCTGATGGTACCGTCGGAAGAATGGGATGACCAAGAATGAGAAAACAAGGTAAACCGTCAGAGCAATCGAGGCTGGAATTAGGATTGTCTGGAAGGAGGTGTAGTCAGTTCATTGGTCCTCGATAAAAGTACGCCGTAGGGATGACGACGCCGTAACACAAGGGGTGAAAAAGGGCCTGCGCAAACCTTTGCAAAACTGCTGGAGGAGCCCATTGTGTATATCGCGCCTCAGGGACAATGTCGCCTCAGGGACAACGTATTGCTGAGATAGTAGTGGCAGAGGATGTCCGGTGGTCCCAAAGGAAGTGGACTGGGGATCTGTTTACTGCGGAGTATCGGAACACGGAGTAGATCACCTTCGGTTCGAAGATAGGTGCTCGGTGAGGAACGACTGAGAAACCACAATGTCTGCAGACTGAAACTATCAATCGCGCATCATCCTCGCTTCTCAAAACCGTCAAATAGTCAGACGGTCAAGGAAGACGCTTCCCCACGCGACTGCCTCATCCTGAATCACCTGATCTCACGTGCAGGCGGTCGGGGAGTTTCTCCGGCGCCCCCTAATCAGGCACTTGGTGACGCCCGTGCTTTCAGTTGATCGACCCTGGCGTCAGAACTCGCCGGCACTTGCATGCTGCAACTATTTTCGGATCACCCTTTCATTCTTTTCTTTGTGTGGTATCCGCTCTCTGCTGTGCGTGGCCCTCAACGCGCTTCCGCCGTAGCCTAAAGCGGGTATACTAACTAGGGAGGGACATTACAGATCTTCAGACTATTGTGAATGTCCTCTTTTTCGACCACCGGATCCCTAGCGATCACCCCCACCCTGGCCTGCGATCTTCGTTAATTCCTCTCGTCCGTTCTTTGTGTGTGTGCGAGGAAGCGCCCTTTATGCTGCTCCCTGCCACTTCTCAGTGATCCTCCGCCAATATGCCCGCAAATGCAGACAAGTCCAGGCAATCCTCGGCTGGGAAATCGTTTTTTGGGAGGAAACTGTACAAGGACAGGCCGAATGATGAGCGCTATGATGGATACGGTGGCTCCTACGACAGCTTAGCCCCGCCAGGAAGTGCCGCTGGCTCTCGCTCTTCGCGCTATTCGAAACGGTCCTCAATCCAATCCGTTGACATGACCCATGATCTCGACCCCGGAAGTCTCGCTCCGACAGCAGGTGTAATTACGTCCATTCCGTTCGAGAGTCTTCCCTCAGACACGAGAAACCCGATCCCCATCGAGAGCATGTCCCGTCCCGACTCCTCCCGCCAGGAGCCCTCGCCCAACCATATCGGCAAGACTGGCGGCGATTTTCATCAATATCCTACCTGGACGTCGACTTCCGCGCCAAACGGATCTGGCTCACATCCCTCAGGGCCCCGCCCGCCCCCGCATGCCACGAATATGACCATGACGAGCAGCGCATCGGGAGACCGCGGTACGAGGTATCAACAATGGGGACGTCCGGGAAGCTCAGCAGCAAATCCTGGCATGAGCCATAACTCGATTGACTCCTCTTCGAATTCTCGCACGTCGCTCGACCAAACCAGTCTTTATTCATCCCACTCTTCCAATACCCGTGGCTCGAATTATTTTTCCTCCTCGGATGGCTCCGCTCGTACCCTCACACCCTCCCATTCCGGCGACCGCAATACCGCTTTCCACTCCAGTGGAAGTTCTTCGCGCTTGTCAAATGCACAAGCTGCATGGCAAGCCTCCCAGCATAATATACCAGCAGCCGTGCCTCGCCCGCCCGACAACTACCTGACTCGACCCAGAGATGATCGCATTGTTGATCAATTATTTCTGGAGCTTATGCAGAAGCGAGGATGGCAGAATCTTCCAGAACAGGCCAAACGGCAAATGCTGTCCTATCCTGCTTCTAAGAAGTGGACCCTGGTTCATCAGGATCGACTGACAGAGCTGCAGGGTGAACAGAAGAGAAGACAGAATGCCCGGCAAACCCATGGTCATGATGGTCTCTCGGGTCTGCTCGAGCGCGCCGATGAGGAGGGAAGCCCGGAGTGGTATGTAAAGAAGGTCATGGATGACACAATTACTTCCAAGCAGCTCGCCAGTTTGAGCGTCAGCTTGCGGACACAACCGATCAGGTATGATTTGCACAAAGCACTTTGTTGTAAACATCTCTAACATTAATTCAGCTGGGTGAAAGCGTTTGTTGAAGCTCAGGGTCAAGTTGCCCTGACCAATGTTCTCAACAAAATCAATCGACAAAAAGCCTCCGGTCCCGTCCCTGCTCCACCGACGGGCGACAAAGATCTGGATCGCGAGTATGACATTGCCAAATGTTTGAAAGGTCTTATGAACAACAAGTATGGTGCGGATGATGCCCTTGAGCACCAAGGAGTTCTCGTCGCCCTTGTCAACTCGCTATCATCGCCTCGTCTCAATACTCGAAAACTTGTCAGCGAAGTCCTCACCTTCCTATGTCACTGGGCCGAGGGTCAAGGCCACCAGAAGGTCTTGCAGGCCATGGACAGGGTCAAGAACGACCACAGTGAAACTGGCCGCTTCGATGCTTGGATGCGTATTGTCGAGGTTACCATTGATGGCCGTGGAAAGATGGGAAGTTTGGTCGGCGCCAGCGAAGAGTACCGCAGTGGAGGCATTGGCATGGAAAACCTTCTCATGGAGTATGCCGTCTCAACAATGATCCTCATCAACATGCTAGTCGATGGTGCAGAGACCGACCTGCAACTGCGATGCCATATCCGAGCTCAATTTATCTCATGCGGTGTCAAACGTCTTCTGACGAAGATGGAGGGCTTCCAGTATGAGGTGATCGACAAGCAGATCGAGCGCTTCCGTGAAAACGAGGCTATCGATTATGAGGATCTTCTCCAACGGGAGGGCAGCAGTATGAAGGACAGCGTCGAGGGCGAAGTCAAGGATATGAGCGACCCACTCCAAATCGCAGATGCAATTGCGACCAGGATCAATGGAACTAGGGCTCACGACTACTTCCTCTCAGCCATGCAGCATATGCTGTTGATTCGTGAGAATGGCGGCGAAGAGGGTCTACGAATGTTCCAGCTCGTAGACGCCATGATGAGCTATGTGGCCATGGACCGGAGGCTTCCCGATCTGGATCTTCGACAGGGCTTGGGTTTCACCGTGCAAAGTCTGTTGGATCGGCTTCATACAGATGCCGAGGCAAGGCGGGTGTACGACGAGGCTTTAGAAGCTCGTCAAATCGCAGAAGCGGCCATTGCCGAGCGTGATGAGATGAAAGCTCAGGTAGAGCTCGGCGCAGAGGGCCTTGTTAAGAAGCTTCAGAAGCAGATTGACGAGCAGGCCGGCATCATTGAGCTGCAAACCCGGACCAACGAATCTTTCAAGGCCGAGGTTGCAGAAGTTCAAAGACTGCGCGCCCAAGAGTTGCAGCGCAATGAGTTGGAGACGCGCGAGTTGTACCTTATGCTTCGGGATGCCCAGGATATTGCTGCATCCAACGCCCGGAAGAATGCCGCCCCCGATTCAGATCCATCGCAAATGCCTGGCATTATGGATCGCGAGCGGCTCATGGAGCGCCTGGAGCGCCAACTCGAGAGAACTAAGACCCAGTTCAAGCTCGAAGGCAAGGTTTGGGGTCAACATGGTCCATCCGATCGGCTCCGTGAGCTGCGCGAGAAAATGGATGGCGAAGAAGATGATGATGATTCCAGCGAGGAGTTCACCGAGGAAACTCGTCGCAACATTAGCTCCACTTCTCTGGGATCCGTCTATAGGAAGCGCAGCCATATGCCTGAAATGGATCGGGGTCCTGATCCCGAGAGGCTCGAGACTATGGATGAAAATGACGAGGTGGTTTTTGAAAAGCCTCGTATAGTGGACTTGCGACCTCGCATGAACCCTGCTCAGGCCACTGGATTGCTCGGCGAGCTGGCCTCGAGGGTTCCAAAGTATGATGAAGGCCCTGAGGGCTCTGGCACTGCACCTGAAGCGACGGAAGCCGCGCCAGAGGATGTCAGTGCTGCCGTAGCCGAAGCCGAGGCCGTGGCCAAGGAAGAGGCAGCCAAGAAGGCTATGCCTCCGCCTCCAGCGCCCCCTGGTGGTGCCAAAATCATACCACCACCTCCCCCTCCCCCAGGTGGCAGTACGGTGCCCCCTCCTCCACCTCCTCCCGGTGGTATCAAGACCCCTCCTCCGCCGCCGCCAGGGGGTGCCACGGTCCCCGGCCCCCCGCCGCCGCCTCCCCCTCCTGGAGGCAAAGCCGGTGTTCCTCCCCCTCCCCCGCCCCCGGGCGCGGGAGGTATTGGTGCTCCTCCACCACCGCCTCCAGCTCCTGGGGTCAAGGGTGGATTTGCGCCTCCCCCTCCCCCGCCTCCCAGTGCTCCATTGGGCGCTGGTTGGAGGCCCACCTACATGATGGACGATGCAGTTCCCTCCACAACCCACTTGCCGTCCATTAGACCCAAGAAGAAGCTTAAGGCTTTGCATTGGGACAAGGTTGATACTCCCCAGGTGACGGTCTGGGCCGCCCACGCCCCAACCCAGCAGGAGAAAGAACAAAAATACACCGATCTAGCCAAGAAAGGTGTATTGGACGAGGTTGAGCGTCTGTTCATGGCTAAAGAGCATAAGATCTTCGGGACTAGCACGGCCGCCAAGCAACGCAAGGACAAGAAACAGATCATCTCCAACGACCTGTCCAAGAACTTCCAGATCGCCCTCGCCAAATTCTCCCAGTTCCCAGCTGATGATGTTGTGCGAATGGTCATTCACTGTGACCGGGAAATCCTGGATAACATGGTTGTCATGGACTTCTTGCAAAGAGATGAAATGTGCACCATTCCCGAAAACGTTGGCAAGTTGATGGCTCCGTACAGTCGAGACTGGACAGTTCCTGGTGCTGCCAGTTCCGAGCGTGAGCAAGATCCTGCCGAGCTCACTCGCGAGGATCAAATCTACCTGTCCACTGCCTTTGAGCTGAACCACTACTGGAAGGCAAGAATGAGAGCGCTTGCGCTGACCCGCTCCTTTGAGCACGAGTACGAGTACATCTCATCTAGGTTGCAAGAAGTCGTCAAAGTCAGCGAGTCCCTGCGGGATTCCGTCTCTTTGATGAACGTCCTCGGTCTGATTTTGGATATTGGTAACTTCATGAACGATGCCAATAAGCAAGCCCAGGGCTTCAAGCTTAGCTCGCTCGCCCGCCTGGGTATGGTCAAGGATGACAAGAACGAGACTACCTTTGCCGATTTGGTCGAGCGTATCGTTCGCAACCAATACCCCGAGTGGGAAGGATTCGCCGATGAGATTGCAGGCGTCGTTGGCCTGCAGAAGATCAACGTGGATCAGCTGCGCACCGATTCCGTGAAGTATATCAGCAACATTAAGAATGTGCAGTCCAGCTTGGATGCTGGTAACCTGAGTGACCCGAAGAAATTCCATCCTCAGGATCGTGTCAGCCAGGTTGTTCAGCGAAGCATGAAGGATGCTCGTCGGAAGGCCGAGCAGTTGCAGTTGTACCTAGATGAGATGGTCAAGTCGTACGACGAAATCATGATGTTCTACGGCGAAGACAACACAGACGAGAACGCCCGGCGGGACTTCTTCGCGAAGTTGTCTTCATTCTTGGTGGAGTGGAAGGTTGGTTTATTCATGCTCGTTTTTGTGATCGAGATTGCTAACCATATGATCAACAGAAATCGCGAGAGAAGAACATTGGACTGGAAGAGTCTAGGAAGCGTACTGAGGCATCCCTGGCTCGCAAGCGGGTTAACGTTAACCTTGCCAATGGCAGTCCTACTGCGGAGGCACCTAGCTCACCTGCTTCAAGTGGTGCAATGGACTCCTTACTGGAGAAGCTTCGTGCAGCCGCACCCCAAGCCAAGGATCAACGAGACCGCCGTCGCCGTGCTCGTCTGAAGGAACGCTACCAGGTTCGCGTGGCCTCTGGCCAGAAGCCGCCTGAAGCTGAAAGCGAAGAGGGCGAAGAGGGCGCTGAAAAGCCAGCCGATGGCGATGACAAGCCCGACGAGAATGGTCTTTTGAGTCCTCCGATCCCCGAAGAGGGAGGAGAAAGCGCTACGGAGAACCAAGTGTCTGAAGGCGAGGACGTTGCTGACCGTGCAGCCAGCATGCTCCTCGGCCTACGGAGTAACTCTGATGGCGGTGGCGATCGTTTCAGACGCAGAAGAGAAAGCGCCGACGAAGAGCGCCGCAATCGTCGCATGAGACGCCGCAATGGTGCAAGCGGAAGCAAAGATAGCGCTGATGGCGGCCTACCAACCGTCCAAGAACCGCGGTCTCCATCGCGGACCGACTCCGTTGGCACAGAGAATGCCCTGCCGAGCCCGCCCCAGGAAGAATCACAACCATCGGAGCCGCCATCTATCATTGTGTCAGAGCAGCATGATGCTCCTGAATCTGAGGCCGGTTCATCTCCCAATCAACCGATTGAACTTTCGGATTGAGTTCAGGTCCCCATAATCTAATGTCTAGATTCCCTGATGCCGTCTCGGAATCTTTCCTTTTCTTTCTTTGTCTGCATCACAAACCTATCACCCTCGACTGTATAATACCCTTTTTTTTCTCCCTGCCCGCTCCTTGAACGCCATTCCCTTTCACTCGTCTGTGATGAGCATGGTGTGATGATACCATCGTCTTTTGTTTTGCCTTCCATGTGCAATTTCTCTTGGTTTGTCTGTCGAGGGCACATTCGCATACTCACCCGGCTGCTGCGCTGAGTGCGGTCTCTCTCATTGTACATAATTCTCCTTTACTCCTTCATGCCCTTTTGGTCATGATATCATGTCTGTGTCAAAAGCTTTGTCAATTGCATCTCCTGGATGTCTGATCTTCTATTTTTGGTTCCTCGAACTTATTTGTGGATGCACAGATCTGCGTATATATCCTGTTTACTTAGAGGAGATTTGATAATTAGACTATGATACAATTGGGCTGGAATTCAGGGACTTGAAGTTGTAGAACGAGGACCTGTGGTTTTCCACGTAACTGGTTAGTTACCATCTTCTTTATGTCATCAAGGGAGGAGCCAGAACACATGCCCGTTTCCTCCAATTCGAAGCCTCACTGTCCTTTGTGCTCCCAAGCTCTGGCTAGTTTCACTCTCCAGGGCCCTTCATCTGTGCTCTTTTACAGATGATCATAAAATCATGATTCTACAAGCCGTATCTCTAAGATTCCTTTTTCCGCAACGGCATCATTATTGCAGGACATGACGATTCCCGAAGACGTCCAGCGAGCCTCGGTGATTGCTCGTTGTGCGGATCCGTTGCCTGGCAGCATCATCAGCCAATATGGGAAGCGTGTTATCAGAATATCTGATCATGAAGTGGTTAAGTGGGGTCCAGATATAACGAAAGAAGAAGCCGAGAATCAAAGGATGGCCTATGAACTTCTAGACCAACGTATTGTTCGTGTCCCTCGGGTGTTTTATTTCTTTTCCGATGAACGCGACTGCGGCTATATTGTGATGGAGTTTGTAGATGGGAGGATCATCGATCCACTGGAAGACCCAGCAGCTATCAAAAAGTTTGCAAGCGTGCTCAACTATTTCGCGACATTTCGGCGTGCCACTCCTGGACCCCTCTGTGGAGGGGTTTCTCGCGGGCTTCTCTTTCCGGAGACCGAAGATCTGGTTTTCGACAGTCTTGATGGGATGGAGAAGTGGTTCAATAGCCGGCTTTTCGCACACAACCCGAAGCTGACATTCCAAGGCTGCCAGTTCGTTCTCTGCCATTTGGACATAGCGCCTCGAAATATTCTATGGCAGGAAGATGGCTCTCTGTGTCTCGTTGATTGGGCATCTGCCGGCTACTATCCATGGTTGTTTGAGTTTTGTATGCAGTGGATTATTGAAGGGAAAGACGGCAATTTCAACTCTCTTCTTTTGAACTCAATGGGTCCTCTCCTGGATCAAGAGATGCTGCAGAAGGAGCCACTTCTGTGTGCGTGGAGCGATATCCAAAAGCATCCGTTGTACGTGCACGAGCTTCCAATTTCTTGCTGATTGAAACTCACTCCCCTCCCAGCCAGTCCAAAGAGATGAAGGCCAGCCAAAGACCATTGAAAGACTTACCGGGGCATATCCCTGTGCCTCCTCCTCCAATGCCAGCATACCCACCAAACTGGATTAAGCAGGTTGACGCGAATGGCTGTAGACAACCTTGGGAGTGGGTCACGTGCCCCTTATCGTTATCATTATCGTGAATTGCGACAGCTCGTTCAACATTTGCAACTCGCGACAAACACGATAATAATTGCGCATGCGAACCTTTAGATCTCGAGTCTTACGTTGGGCTCCTGTCCACACACCATGGAATCCAACAAGAGCGGCTGATCTGCATGACTTGCCCTTTAAACGTCATGCACCAATTGCCGCAACGCCGCTGCTGCGGAGGAATCCAGGTCACATTCGGGGCTTCTGCTCGTCTGTTCCCTCGCGGTTTATGCTAGACGCAGATTCCACAATTTATGCTCTGTCTACAGCACCGGGTAGAGCAGCCATTGCCGTCGTGCGGGTATCTGGTCCGGCATGCGTTTCGGTACGTCCTCACAGAGCTTCGGCTGCGTCGCGTGAACGTAAACTAATGGCATGGCCATACATTTAGATCTACAAAGCATTATGCCCTCAAACTCCGCTCCCGAAACCGCGCTTCGCTACACTGCGCACCCTTTATGATCCAGCACAACCAGCCTCCGCTAGCAGCGTCCTGGATGCCGGTGCCCTCGTGCTCTACTTTCCCGGACCGAAAACTGTCACTGGCGAAGATGTGCTAGAACTTCATATCCACGGAGGACCGGCAATCGTCAAGGCCGTGTTAGCCGCCATCTCAAAAACACCCCACCCCGACACGGTAGTCCGGTACGCGGAACCGGGCGAATTCACGCGTCGCGCCTTTATGAACGATCGACTTGGTCTCCCGCAGATCGAAGCTCTAGGCGATACATTATCCGCCGATACGGAACAACAACGTCGACTGGCTGTGCGCGGTGCAAGCGATGCACTGTTGAAACGTTACGAGCTCTGGCGGCAGCAGCTACTATATGCGCGCGGCGAGCTGGAAGCACTGATTGATTTCTCCGAGGATCAGCACTTTGACGAGTCGACTGAAGAGCTGGTTTCTTCGGTTGCGGCTCAGGTGCGAGACTTGCAGGTGCAGATTGGGTTTCATATCCAGAATGCTTCCAGGGGTGAATTGCTCCGCAATGGTATCAAGGTTGCGCTCCTAGGTGCCCCTAATGCCGGGAAAAGCTCCTTGCTTAATCGCATTGTTGGGAAAGAGGCTGCTATCGTGAGTACTGAGGAGGGCACGACGCGGGATATTGTCGATGTTGGGATTGATCTGGGTGGGTGGTTCTGTAAGCTTGGCGATATGGCTGGAATCCGCGCAGAGGCTGGAACTACGCCCGGGACAATTGTGGGTGCTGTTGAGAAGGAGGGTATTCGTCGGGCGAGGGCCAGGGCTTTGGAGTCGGATGTCGTGGTTGTTGTTCTCTCGCTGGAAAACACGTCCCAAGGTGTTCGTCTTTTCGTGGAACCCGAGGTTCTTGACGCGGTCAATGACTGTGTCAAGGCCGATAAATGCCTGGTCATTGCTATCAACAAATGCGACAAGCTCTCAAACGAGAAAGACGAACTTCCGGCTCTGACCGATTCTATTCGTGACGTCTTCCCTGCCGTGCCCACAGATCGAGTCTTCGCCATCTCTTGCAGTGAAGCACAACGCGGATCATCGCCCTCCGTGTCCGATCCTGGTCATCTACAAGCGTTCCTACGCGGGCTGATCTCGACCTTTGAGCAGATCGCGTCCCCGCTGGGCATGGATGGGGAACAAGGCCAATATGATACATCGTATTGGGAAGATTCACTGGGCGTAACTCATCGCCAAAGCTCGAATTTACAAAGATGCCTCCATCACCTCGACGACTTCCTTTCCCAGTCCACGCCCTCCGAGAGCCCCTCCGAGAACGATTTCGCCTCCATTGACGGCGAGATTGATATCGTCACGGCCGCTGAGCATCTCCGCTTTGCAGCAGATATGCTGGCCAAGATCACCGGCAAGGGTGAAAGTGGAGATGTCGAAGATGTGTTGGGTGTTGTCTTTGAGAAGTGAGTGTCCCTTTTTTTGGTGCGATTCCGTGGATGGCGAATTGACTTTGATCATATAGATTTTGCGTCGGGAAATGAACCACCCAATGATTCTGTTCTACCCGTGCATTCATGTTGATTTTATCCACACATTGTGATGATTGCCGACGTGGTCGTATTCGAGCCGGCCATTCTCGAGGAGTGCCATTTAAATAAATGATGATGCGGTTCATCGCTGTACGAGACAGCGAGCTCAGGGGCATCAGCTGGATGTCTTGGTCGTCTCATCTGTCTTGCTGGCAGGCGAATTATAACCTCCACGACCCATTGTGAGAGGCGTTGTATAGATAGCGGGGTGCTTCAGAAGAGATCTGTATAGATAGCGAGATTTTTTGGAAAGTCGATGTTCAAGAAATGGATATTAGATATCGACAATGTATAATACTATGAGAGTGAGGCTTGAAAGGATATATAGATCACGGACACGTTGCATAGCCCGTATTTATATCAGCCTGCCGAACCAGTGTCCGCCCCGGTCCAAGTTCCCAGCCATGAATCATCCTGGTATGCGGAATCTTCCACACTCTTCCTCATTCGGGCTATCCTCTAGACGAACCCCTGAATGACTGAGGAATTGGGGGCCGCATGTCTGACTCACGGCCGATTCATAGCTCCGGGTTCAGCTTCAATCCGTTCATCATCCCGCTGGGGATAGAAAAATACGCGACTGTGACTGGTTTTGGTACGCCTGGCTACCCGGGTAAGTGATAGCGTGATGTCTTGATAGTGCAGAAATGCTACGGTGTCGTTGATGACTCTATACACCCCGGTAAATGGGGGCCGTCTTCAGCTGACGATACGCGCTTCTTGCGGGTTTGAAGTTGAAACATGCCTCTAACGGTTTCGGGCGGGGTGTGGCGCAGGTTTTGATTATTAATTTTCGCAGGATTTGTGCAGAACTGGGACGACTAGTTTACTACGAGATGTATTCATTGGCTGTCGCGGATTGTATGAGTCTTAAGGCTGGAAAGTGTGTCAGATTCTAAGAATAGCGTTGCCAAGCGACCGAACGTTCTGTTCTACGCGTGTCTCTAGGTTGGTGTATTAGTTATTTGCGTGACCTGCACATGAGTATATCGCGACACTATTAATAGAAATAAGGAACCCACGTTGCGCCCTTGCAGTATTGTCGGGTGTTCATGTCTTAGTAATCCTGCTGGTCGTGTTTATTTTCTGGAGCTGACATGAGTTGATTGGTGGGTACTGCATGAGGTTCAGTACTTCCACTCGAGCCACTTAGCTACGACGCCATGAGATGGTGGGGGCCGCATGGGTTCTATGAATAGACCCTGCTCAACCATGTGGTATTTGCGCCTCTCTTTTGAACTACTGTATGCCTACCTTGCATGAGAGTTCGCGTTACCTTGCCTTTAGTCTGCCTCTATTGGAGAGTAGCTACTTTTAAACTTGGTGCTCCCGGCTACATAAGCCCCCCTCATTTTGGACCCCAGACCGAATTTAGATCCCGATAAAAGGCACCATCAGGCTATTTTTATTCAAGGTGGACAGCGCAGAGCCTTAACCTGAATAGGAATTTTGTAAACATCGTATAGACTGTCAGGAGCATCAGAATGCAATGGGTCACACTAATCGCCTCGGTTATCTAATCATGGTGATTTTATTGCTAGAGATGACACAAGAAGGCTTCAGGCATGACAAGAAGGCTAATTATAGGCAAGCTAAGAAGTGCAGAGAGCAATTGGACCGCATGATTCTCGGAACCTTCATCGGTGAATAGCTTCACTTCGAGTTGACTCGTCCAATTCCTCCCCCGACGAGACATTCGGGACTGACCGCTATCTTGCATGGTTCCCCCCCCGCCCCGTGTGAATGTAGCTCACCATCCTCCCCTTCCCTCTTCTCTTGACGCTTACATCCATCTTCTCTGCGCCAGAGGTCCTGGACCCGGGTGCTCAAATATCATGACGCTCGTGTTTGGTCGCTACGTCCTGTTTGACAGCGACGGAGAGTACAATTGTCAAATCTGCTACAGAGGGTTCTCCAGGTCAGCAATCCTCGCCCACTGCCGAAACACCGGCAACCATGAATGGTGTGAGAGATGCGAGCGTGTCTTCAAGACAAAGCACGCAAAACTGGATCATCTCAGGGTCTCCCCAAACCATAACATCTGCATCTTCTGTAACCTGCGTCCGGACTTTCCCGATTACGAGGACTTGAGGGAGCACTACGTCGAAGCCCACTTTATGTGTCGCCTGTGCAATATCGTCCAGCATACAGAGTTTGACCTTGGTCAGCATATCATTTATGAGCATTTTGGCTGCGATATCTGCCTCCGTTCCTTTGAAAGCGATGACAATCTTCAACATGTAAGACTCCTCCCTCCCCTTCCAAGAAGGAGCCTCGAATAACACACATGTCAACATTATAGCACATGAAGGTTCATGAAGAGAAGAATCTAGAGTGCCCCAATTGTGATAAAAGGGTTGCTAGGCTGTCTTATCTTCTGCTGCACCTTGAGCGGAGCAGCTGCACTTCGGTCCGAAAGGTCAAGGGACTGGCCTTCCAATTCGACGATGAGGGTTACTACAGCTTTCTCACCCATAACCGGTCATTTTACTGTGAGAACTGCGATAGCAAATTTCGCTACCTGTCAAGTCTGTACCAGCACGTCGAAGACTCCACCGATTGTTCGCATTTGTTGGAGCAATACGGTTCAGATCTCAATGACCTTGCAAATTACATATTCAGTCACGTCTAGTGATTGAGGTATTTGCATCGCTCCCCGAGAGATGTCTTGGGGAACTGCGCGGAGCCCGACGCTCAAGCGTACAGATGAGGATGAGGTAAATCGACAGACATATGTCCGGAGCATCCCATTTTTGATAAGAAAAAGGGTGCAGTTGCGTAGTAGACACATTATTTTTGCAAGGAGGAAAAGCAAGTCGGAGGTGATATTCAAGTGTGCATTATCGTTAATCATAATTACAAGGCCAAATCATTAATAGCAGCATCATCAACCAAGCTTAATTCCCTCACGATGGTCTAGACTTGCGGGTATCTCAGGGGTTTGCCCCTCAGGTGCCGTATAAACAGAAGATATAGAGTCCGTGTCGGAACTATCATCGTCTTGTGTCTCTAAATCTTGAGAGCTGGTCCTAGGTACCGCGTACTGTTGCGATGGAAGTGATCGGGGGATCTGTGCTTCTTCGATAGGCTGATCCAAGTTCACAAGAGACGGCCCCATAGAACTTTGATTTCCTGTGCGGTATGGCAACGCTTGCGATGACTGTACGGGCGGAAACGGAGATGGTGGCAATGAGATTGGCGTGTATGTTGCGTGGACCCGCGGCAAATCGTGGGCTTGAGGCCTGGCTGGGCTTCTTGTTCTGCGCTGTTGGGACTGTGGTCTGGGTGTTCCGTGAGTCTCTTTTGATAAAGCCGCAATCCGGTCGCTAGTTAGAGGCAGCGTTGGTTCGTTGGTTGGTCCCACTTCTGTCGTGCCAGTGCTTGAGATGTCACGAGCAAATGCGACCTGGCTGGATGGCTGTACATTCTCTGGGCTTATAGACCGGGTGCTCAACGAGTCATAGGGCAGGCTCCCTAGGAGCTCTTGAGGGGTCGAGCTGTCTGCTTCAAAAATAGTTGAACTAGGGAAAGGGGGGTAAAAAACCGGTGGCGTATATGGTCTTGTAATTGAATGTCGTGGACTCAACGACTGAGGCACTGAGGAATGCATGGATACTTGGGCCGGCGTATTGGCTGCAGGCGGAGGAAGATGTTGGGCAGGCGTACGAGAAGAATGTGGATAGGATGATGGTGCCGAAGGTGAAATATGCGTTGAATTAGCAGATCTGAAGGCCTGCCCGAGAAGCTGCAGCACTTGATGTCTCTTTTCTTCGGAGACGCTGGGAGAAAATCCAATCGTTTGGGGCATGTTCATGATATCGGGGATTCCTGCCTCGGAGATGTTACTGCGCGACAATAGAAGGTGCAAGACTTCTGGATGGCCATGGTATGCTGCGTAGCGGACTGGTTGCCATCCTGCCTCGTCTTTCTTGAGAGGCGACGCACCCCGGTTTAACAAAAGAGAGAACACGTTCAAGTGGCCTCCCATCGCAGCCAAACAAAGTGGGGAGTCCTCTCGAAGACCAGTCTCAAACTTCATTGAAAGTGGAGATCCTCGATCCAGCAACCTTTGAACAGTAGCTGTGTGTCCGTAGCGACTTGCTACACAGAGGGCTCGATCACCGATGCCATTCCGAGCATCTAAAGAAGCTCCTTTGTCACATAGCAAGTCCAGCATGTGTATTGATCCTTTGGATGCGACGATGTGTAAAGGTCGTTGCTGATGCTGAGATTCTGACGCTTCGACATTGGCACCTGATAGAAGCAGGAGGTTCGCGATTTCAAAGCTGTCTGCCATACAAGCATAGTGAAGTGCAGTGAGTCCCGCTTTGCAAGGTCTGTCGAGGGGGATCCCTTTGCGTTGTAGGATATCCACCACAGCAAACTGGGACTGCATGACTGCCAAGTGCAGGGCTGTCCTGCCCATTTTGTTGACCGTATCCAGTGATCCTTTCTTCTTCTCGCTGAGTATTCTGACGGTTTCTCCATGGCCATTATAAGCTGCCCAATGAAGTGCTGTCATGCCTGTATCATCGGTGCTTCGAATAGAGGCGTTTCGTTTCAAGAGAAGATCAATTGCCTCTGACCTCCCCTCTTCGGCTGCACATATCAATGGTGTCTTTCTGTCACTGCCAAGTGCTTCGATGTTCGCTTTGCGGTCCAAAAGAATCCCTATGGCGTGCAGGTGACCAGCCCTGCACGCATAGTGCAAAGCCGTCATCATGGTTCCATCTTTGGCTTCCACATCAGCACCGTAACGAACCAGAAGCTCCACAATTTCGCCATCACCTCGTTTGGCAGCTGCATGAAGAGCAGTCAGCTGCTTGTCCGCTCGGGCGTTCACCTGGGCGTGATAGTTGAGCAAAATAAGTAGTGCATCTGCCTGGCCATAATCTGCAGCAATGCGCAATGCAGTCTTGCCCCGAGGGGTTTGAACCTCCATAAGATCACTCTCGACCACCAAAAGCTCCAAGGACCCGCAGTGACCACGAGAGGCGGCTAGGTGCAATGCTGTCCAGCCGGACGCGTCAGTCACCGCAACCTGGACATTACTCCGGAGCAGCAGATCAACAACATCGTCGTTGCCACAATGTGCGGCCACCAGGAGGGCATTCTTACCCCAGGTAGTATCTCGTGCCTCAAGATCACTACCTTGTATAATGAGCCGCTCTATATCCTCTCGAGTGCCGGTTTGGGCGGCTCTGACAATTTCCGGCACGAGAATTGCATCTTTGGAGGTGAGGTCGATGCTGGTATTGAAATCGGCTTCTACCTGCCGCCGTCTTCTCCCTGAGCCTGGGCTCTTAGACAAGTTTGGAGATGTTCCTGGAGACACGCTCAAAGTCGAGTTACTCCATGTGCTGGGACGTCCAATAAAAGTTTTAATCCTACTAAGCCTGGATTTAGACCGGTGCAATGGTAGAGATGGGACTTTGGAGTCAGTGACACGTCTTTGGAGTCCACCCAGATTTGGACGACGCGAAACATCACTTGTAGACATGCTCTTGCTGTGGATTGGGTGATGCACTGGCCCAGATGGGCTATTAGGGAGAATAAAATCGCCTTTTTGCGGTGGAGGGATTTCCAGCGATGAAATAGTCAAGTTGCTGGTTGCTGGAGTGTTGCTCCAGCCATTGTTGGTAACTGGGCTCCTATTACTGCTAGGGATCGAAGGTGGAGTCTCAACTGTCCCGAAGGTAGCCACTCGTTGGCCCAGGGCCCATTGATACACAGGAGACTCTTCCAATGTCTGGTTGAAGTCAACAGAGTTGTCACTGGTCGATTGGCGGCTGCTCTGCGAGACACTGATCGCATACGACGACCCGCGAGTTGACAGGAGAGTGGCGGTATCATCAGCAACTCTATGGATGATTCGACGAGTGGACTGTGTTCTGAGCAATTGTATTTGCTCCGTGAATGAACGACTGTAAAAGTTAGTGCTGATGCGCAATTGCTACGTTTACGCCGATCTCACCATTGACAGACTTGCAGCAGAAGCTGCAGGGCATTGACTTGGGCATGGAGCTTCTCTTGATGCCCTTTCATGGTCTCTTCATTCCATACAATTCGCATTCGAGCACGGAATCCGGTGAAGCTATCCTGCTTGATGCCCTGCACCAAGCGCGATACATCATAAGAGACAACCCCCATGACGACCTCGCAGCCTTTCATTGCTACTGCCAGGTCTCGTTTATACTCGTCCGATGATGGTCCCTTGGTGCTATTGGTGAGCGTCCAATCCTTCAGGCCGGTCAGGGCTGTACTGATGCAACTCAGCTCCTGGATCAGCGATTGAATCGTGAGGTCGGCATCCTTGAACCTCCCGTATAGCTGCTTCAGGTCATACACCGTAGAAGCGATGGCCTGCAACACCTGAACACCTGAAGAGACAACGCCGAGGGCAGTTATCGGATCCATGGTTCTGTACGGGAGCGGGACCATCCACGGATTTAATCCCGGAAGACGCTGCTGTATATGGGGCACATAGCGGGGGTGCATCTCCGCTAGCTTGGGGGCGGAGCTGAGGCGGTGCACTTCAGCTCAACCTACCCCTGATGGCGTCGCTGCATTGTTGTTCCTCGTTTTATAACGGTTATTATGATGTGTTGAACCACGGGTTGAAACATGCTATCCGCTTCAGAGTGTTTTGCTATTGTGGGTTGACTTGCAAGGATGGTATTGTCAACCCTCCACTCCGTTCCAGCCACTTCGATCTGATTACAATGCAAATGAATTCAATTCTTTTGTACAAGTTCTATCCATATAACTTCAAACCACTTTTCAGCTTAACAGGATGCGTCTATATAAATCAAAGCTCGGGTATCACGTCAAAAACGCCGCATTCCGGGGCAAACCAAGACTCAATCTCAGACAGACTTAAGCTTTTAAGCCTCGATCGCGTTCTTGACCCACTTCTCCAGGCCACCCTTGGCGATGATCTCCTGCACGTTGGGAGGGAGCTCGCCGACCTTGTGAGTCCACTTGGCTCCATTCTCACCCTCCTGCACTTCGATCTGGCTGCGGCGCACGTCCCAGGTCAGGGTCCAGCCAGTACGGCGGGTAAGGGCCTTGTCGTTGCCGAATGTCTCGCGCAGACGGCTGACCAGACGGGGAATCTCGAGACCCATCAGGGCGTTGTTGATCGAGTTCCGAGAGAAGATGTTGCCGAAGCTGCCGGCCACAACCAGCGGGATCTGCTTGGCCAGAATGGCAGTTGCGGCTTGCTCCCGCGAACTTCCGCAGCCGAAGTTGTAACCAGTCACCAGGATGTCGCCGGCCTTGGCGAGTGTCGAGAACTCGGTGTCGTAGTTGGACATACAAACCTGGGCCATGGTCTCCACGGGGACGTTGTCCTGGTAGGTATACTTGCCGGGATAGATACCGTCGGTATTGATGTTGTCGCCGTCACAGAAGACAATCTCGCCGGAGACCCGCTCGGGGAATCCGGGGTACACATCAGTCAGGGCATCATCGATAGGAGCCTCTTCAGCTGCGGCCTCGGCCGAAGGCGCAGGGGCGAACTTCTTCTCGCCGTCAGCCACAAGGTCATCGATCTGGCCGATGACCTTCTCCAGGGCCTCCTCCATAGTGAGCATCCGGTCCTCTTCCCGGATACCATCACCCTCCCCGCGAACCACGCCGTTCCAGCCTTCGGGGGATTTGTACCAGCCAGGGCCGGAGAGCTTTCCGCTCAGAGCACTGGCTGCCACAACTTCGGGGCTGCCCAGGTAAGCCTTGGCGTCGGTGCTACCCATGCGACCCTTGAAGTTACGGTTGGAAGCACTGATACCAACCTCGCCAGGCTCGAGCAGACCGGTACCGAGACCAATGCAGGGACCGCAGCCAGCCGGAAGAGTAGTAGCCCCGGCATCAAGCAGAACCTGCCAGTCACCAGCCTCCTCAGCAGCGATCTGCTCTGGAATAGACGCAGCAGCGATGTAAAACTGAACGCCGTCCGCAATCTTGGGAATCTGGCCATCGTTCTTCTCCGCGGCCTCCTTGAATACGCGAGCCGCGGCAGCAATGTCCGAGGCACGCGAGTTGGTGCAAGAAACCAGGTAGGCCTTGTTGACCGGAATGTTGGCAGCCTCCAACTCACTAAGAGGAGTAGCCACCTTGACCGAGTTGGGGCCGGACACGTAAGGAGTGAGCGAAGAAAGGTCCAAGAAAAGCTCCTTGGCGTACTTAGCACCCTTGTCCGCAGTGAGAGGGTTGGCGAACAGCTGCTCCAAGACAGGGTGAGTAAAACGCTCTGCGGCCTTGGTCTTGAAAGGTCCGTCAGCGAGGCCCATGGCAGCAGTGGTAGCCTTCGCCTTCAACCAGCCCTTGAGCACGCCGTCAATTGGGAACAGTCCGGACAGAGCACCCCATTCGGTGGTCATGTTGGCAATGGTCAAACGGTCATCCACGGGCAGACTCCACATTGTCTCCTCGGAACCGGTGAATTCGATGGCGTGGTTCAGGACCTCGTCCTGGCCGAACAGACCGCAGAGAGCAACGATCACATCCTTACCAGTGACACCGGGGGGCAGAACTCCGGTCAGGGTGACCTTCGCCACTGGGGGGATCTGCCACCAAGTCTTACCAGTCGCCCAGATACTGGCACCGTCGGTACGCACAATGGGAGTACCCAGACAGCCGACACCGCCGTACATATTGCTGTGGCTGTCTGAGGCCACGACCAAGGTACCGGGCCAGGCGAAGCCTTCCTCGACCATGATCTGGTGACCAATTCCTCGGCCGGCGGGATAGAACTCGACCCCGTGCAGCTTGGCAAAACTCTCGATTTGCTGGTACTTCTGCAGGTTCTTTTCGGACTTGTTCTGCACATCGTGGTCGAGGGTCATGACGATCTGGTTGGGGTCATGCAGCTTAGAGGCGCCAATGGACATGAACTTCAGTGCCACAGGCCATGAGTTGTCGTGAGTCATGCATCGGTGCGGAGATATGGTGACATAGTCGCCGGACTTGACAAACTTGTCCTTCGCGAGGCCGACGGAGTACTGCTGCACAATCTTCTCGGTGAGGGTTTGGGGCGTGGCCTTGGAGGCCTGCAGGGACGAGAAGAGGGCGGCGGCGGCAGGATCATCCAGCTGGGAGTGGAACGCCTGGTTGAAGAAGACGCGCGAAGTAGCGAAAGTTCGGCGCAGGGATCGGGGGACAGGGCTGCGCAAGGCCCAGCGCCGGCCAGAGCTAGCGGACGGCGTCAATCGAGACTGCATTGGGAGTTATGGTCAGTTCCGGAGCGCAGTTGTGGAATGCATGAACACTTACAGTCATGGTGCCCACCGACTCAAGACCAAATATAATACAAAAGACCTCGGAATTCAAACAGAAGAAAATGGCCCCGACTTTCGGCAAATGAGCAGCCGTATTTACGGAGATGACTCATGGCGCTCATCATTGGCCCGTGGCTTCAAAGAGTGCAAACATGTATCACGTGCTTGCGATGGATCCGCCGATGTCGGAGTCATTCCCTGGAGTATGAGAGCAACTCATGCATTTTACGACCATGGCAGCTTCCTTGGAGATATCGAACGGTTGTTTCAAATGTATCTTTCATATTTGATGTCATGATGGCATTCTTCGAGGTCTTCAAGCTCTGAAATCGACTCTAGGGATGTCGTATCCGCCCGCATCTTGTAGATCATCCCCGCCATCATGAGCCCGTGAAAAGATGATCACCGTACAGCTCATTCTGCTGGAAGGATGAATCTATTCGATATAACATGCAGTGGAGATCTATATTGGTATGTTTTGTCAGCAATTAAATTGATTCAACTCATAGTTAGTAGCCTCAATGGTCGACACATAGAGTTGACTCATACCCCGCCATTGCCGCCAAAATCCGTCGAAACCAATGCATTGGCCAGCAGAGAATACCCCGGTGAATAGATTAGGATGAATATTTAAACCGGATATTTCAAGTTCGAAAAAAATAGTAAAGCGACTTAAGAGCAGTAGTGACTCCAACAAGGTTGATCCACCAAGGTGCGGTCCACCCGAGATCTTTTTTTGTCCCGCTACTTCTTCCTTTCCTCTCTATACTCGAGATACCCCAAGTTCCCTATCCAGCACAACGTCAAAATGCCCAGTCGACAAGAAGTCTCCTACTTTGGAGCTGGTCCAGCTCCCCTCCCGACTCCAGTCGTCGAGGCCGGCGCGAAGGCCTTCGTTAACTACAATGACTGCGGTCTCGGTCTCGGCGAGATCTCCCACCGTTCGCCCACCGCAAACAAGATCCTCGATGACACAAAGGCCAACCTCTCCACCCTCCTCGACATCCCCGATAACTATGAGATCCTGTTTATGCAGGCCGGTGGCAGTGGCGGGTTTAGCGCTGTTGTGCAGAACCTCGTCCCTGTCTGGATTGAGCGGAGGCGCCGCAGAGCTGAGGCGGATGTGCAGAAGGCTAATCCCGGTGCGGAGAAAGCTCAAGTGGACGAATTGGTTTTCCAGAGACTGCAGAAGGAGGTGGACGAGGAGTTGAAGCTTGATTACCTCGTGACTGGATCCTGGTCGCTCAAGGCTTCGCAGGAGGCTGCTAAACTCGTCGGTTCGAAATACGTGAATATTGCTCTGGATGCTCGGAAGGGTAATGAGGGCAAGTTCGGCAAGATTCCCGTGGAGGATACTTGGTCATTGACCCCGACCAAGCGTGAGGGTGGCAAGGGCTCTGCCTTTGTCTACTACTGCGACAACGAGACCGTGGATGGTGTTGAGTTCCAGAGCTTCCCCAAGTCTCTGGAGTCACAGGGTCAGGACGAGGAGGATGAGCGCCTTGTTGTGGCCGATATGAGCTCTAACTTCATCAGCCGGAAGGTTGATGTCAGCAAATATGCCGTGATCTTCGTATGTTATATCGGACGTTTAATGATTGAGCACCCGACTGACAATATTTACAGGGCGGCGCACAGAAGAATATCGGTGTCACTGGTGTCACCATTGCCATCGTTCGCAAGGACCTTCTTCCCCCTCATACCGCTACTCCTCCCGCTCCGCTTCTGCACCGGTTGAACATTGGTGGTCTCCCGGGCCCCATTATGCTTGACTATGCCACCATGGCCAAGAACAACTCCCTCTACAACACCCTCCCCATCTTCAACCTCTGGATTGCGGGCCAGGTCATGGCCGATCTTATTTCTACCTTCGGTGCCCAGAAGGTCAGCGGTCAAGAGGAGATTGCCAATAAGAAGTCCGATCTCATCTATGGAGCTTTGGACAAGTACCCCCAGGTGTACCGGGTTGTGCCTGACAAGAGCGTCCGTAGCCGCATGAACATCTGCTTCCGCGTTAACGGCGGAGATGATGCGAAGGAGAAGGAGTTCCTGGCAGGTGCTGAGAAGCGCCTCCTCCAGGGTCTCAAGGGCCACCGCAGCGTTGGGGGTATGCGCGCCAGCAACTACAACGCAGTTCCCCTGGAGAACGTGCAAAAGCTGGTAAAGTACCTCGAGGACTTTGCCACCGGACAGTGAACTGCCGTGGCGGCTGTTGTATTATCGACGTATGTGTGAATTCAACCTGGGGCATTTCTTGCCAAAGATCATTGGGTGAATGAATGGGACGCTCAGAGGTCCAGGGCAGTTGCGACTATTCAACATAACTCCCCAAGATATGCTATATGCTGAGAAAAGAAATTTATGATACAACGACCAGAAAATAATCAGAGTTTCCACACGCCCCAGTCCTTAAGATCGAGTTCCTTGATGACTCCCATCAGGGGACCTTGGAGCTCCCGCCCTTGCGCCCATAACTTCGGGCCGGCCATGTAGCTGATGAAACCTGCCGGGCCCGATACCATTATCAGTTTGCTCTTGCGCGAACCGTCAGAAGGGCGCGTGGACTCGATGAACTTGGAGATATCCTGCTTTCCAATGAACCTGTTCTGCTCATCCAAGTAGTAATCCACCGTAATTTGCCCTGGGTATTGCGATTTGAGCGCTTCTAGCTCCTTTACAATGAGAGAAGTGGCCTGCTTCGGAGAAACTGCCGGAACCGCCTGCGTGCTGGAGGAAGCAGAGTCGGAAGAGCTAAACCACCCCGAGAACCAGGATCGATGCAGTGGAGCTTTGGGCGTGTCACTCACGCCACCAATACAGTCTTCTCTCAATCGACTGGCCCATAAAATATGTATCCTCGGTCGGTGTTCACTAGTTGTGCGACTCAGGAGAGAGTATCCTGCCTGCAAGGCCGGCGCAATCCCCGTTCCGCCAGCAATGAACAGTACATCATTTGTCTCCTGGGGGATTGCACACTCAATTTGCGGCCCTCTCATTTCAATATCCGCACCTATATTCAAGCGGTGCAGGTATCGCGAGACCTCTCCAAACGGATCTTTTCGTATGAAGAATCGCAGGTAGCCCTCGTTCTCCTCGTCCACACTTAATGATGTAGCTGCCGTCGTCGGCAAAGGTGTATAATCACGGCCAATCTGCAGCTGGGGCTGCTTGAACATCACACTCCATACTCCGGTTCGCCAGGCGTCTTCGTACACATCGTAGTTGCTATCGCTGGGGTATCGTGGGCGAAGAGTGAACAGGCTGCTCGTCGCGGACACGGGCTCTCTGGATACAAGGCTGTACTTGGTGAATGTGTCTGGGTTCAAAGTTCCTGAATGAGGGCCCTGCGATCGAATGTATGCGCCGGCGCCTGCGGCCGCGGCGCTCACGAGGGCAAATCCTAGCCAGCGGTTCTTCGCGAACTTAGGGGATGCGGAAGTTGATGCATAGCGGCGAGATGGGGTGGCAGCCCTTATAGCAGGCCGGACCCTGCAGCACAAGGAGATAGAGGGGTTCATGGGGCGTAGGTTTGCATCGTCAAAGGGTCAAAGAGAAGGAAAGCGGCGGGGAATTTGGAGGCGACGGAAAGCCGATTGGGCACCCGATCGACAAAATAAAATGGCACCCCTTGGCAAACAACCTTGACTTTCTCCACCCTTTTCATTTCTTTCAGATCTGGGATGGGAAATGGAGAGTCCTGTCGGCGTCTCTTGACCAGTTCATAGTTCAATCCAGCTCTGAATCTCTCTTGATCGGACCTCGACCTTACCCCCGACCCCGATCTCGACCTCGATTGCCCGAATGTCGAGTATGCCATTCTCCCACGAGCCCAGAAATGGCAACCTCGCTGCTCCGCGAGACTCATTAGAGCTCGCCTCTCTCGCGTCCTCGTCGCCAGCCTCCGTCGGTGGCTCCTCGCGCTCCTCCTCACCCGACGGCATCTCGTCCTCGCGCAAGCTCTCCCTCGAAGACGAAGATCCTCTAGCTGGCGAGGATGGAGATGTCTACCTCCAAAGCGGCCGTCCACGAGGATATAGCACCTACTCAATATCCTCCGCATTCGATTTTGGCCGCAACCTCTTTCCATTGTCGCAAACACAAGCCGCCGGGTATGCGCCCCTAGGAACCCCGTCTGCACTCGACCGACAAGGAGATGGTTCGCTGGAGCGGAATAAGACCCTGACGTATTTGAATGGCCTGTCGCTCATTGTGGGATTGATTATTGGGTCGGGCATTTTCTCCTCCCCCAGTCAGGTCAACGCCAACGCGGGGTCCCCTGGTGCCTCGCTCATTGTTTGGGCTGTGGCGGGTGTACTGGCATGGACTGGAGCAGCTAGCTATGCAGAATTGGGAGGAGCAATTCCTTTGAATGGAGGAGCTCAGGTCTATCTATCCAAGATCTTCGGCGAATTAATGGGCTTTCTGTTCACATGGAGCGCAGTGCTGGTATTGAAGCCCGGCTCTGCAGCTATCATTTCGATCATCTTTGGAGAATACATCGTGCGAGCGTTCGTCGGTGCCGACGTGGAAAATGTCAGCCCGTGGATCAACAAGGGTGTTGCATTCGGAGGACTTTTCACCGTGACCCTATTCAACTGCATCTCTACCAAGATTGCCACCCGCATCGGTGATCTCTTCATGTTCTTCAAATTCGTCGCGCTGGTTGGTGTCACCGTCACGGGTATCGTGGTGGCTGTGACAGGCGTTTCGTCCAAAGGAAAAGCCAACACAGAATGGAAGACCACCGGCTGGTTCGAGGGCACCAATACCGAAATCTCCGACTTTGCAGTGGCGCTGTACGCGGGGCTGTGGGCCTTTGATGGATGGGACAATGTAAGGAATTGGTTGATGATGTTGGGATGAGACTATACTAATCTGTTTCTAGACTAACTATGTGACGGGCGAATTCAAGAACCCAAGTCGCGACCTGCCACGCGTGATTCACACTGCGATGCCACTGGTCATTCTGTCCTATCTCATGGCCAACGTCTCGTATTTCCTCGTTCTGCCCCATTCTACCATCGAAGCCAGCAATACTATCGCCGTTCAGTTCGGTAGAATGGTGTTTGGCCCAGCGGGTGCCGTCATTCTAGCGCTCGTGGTCGGTGCTAGCTGTTTCGGAGCCTTGAATGCTACCACCTTTACCAGTGGCCGACTTATCTATGCAGCCGGCAAGGAAGGCTACCTCCCATCTTTATTCGGCCGCATCGGTTTCTCCAGCTCTTCGTCCCCGACTCCCCCAGCAGGCAGCCGTCTCCGCCGACGCTCATGGGCCCGCAAATCCCTTTCTCGTTTCTTTGGCGATGAATCCGGACTTGGATACACCCCTATAAATGCCATGGCCTTGAATGCCGCGTTGACCACTGTCTATATCGTCGTAGGCGAGTTCGGCACTCTGGTCACGTTCTACGGCGTGGCCGGTTACACCTTTTACTTCCTTACCGTTCTCGGTCTGATTGTCCTGCGCATCCGCGAGCCGCATCTAGAACGCCCCTACCGCACATGGATCACCACCCCGATCATCTTCTGCTGCGTAAGTCTGTTTCTCCTGAGTCGTGCCATCATCGCCGAGCCTCTCCAGACCCTGATCGTGGTCGCCTTTATCATTACCGGTGTGCCGGTATACTACTGGCGTATCTACCAACGGGACGGGAAGAACGCCGTTACAGGATGGAAGTTTTGGAAGTGGCACGCTCGTTAGTAGACTTCGCGCTGCTGGCACTGTTTTTAATGACTTGATACCCATGCATATAACCCGGGTGTATGGTGAGAGGTGATGCGCTTTTTTATGTCTTTCGCCTTCCTGGTATTTTGCCCGCGAATGGCACACGATGTGATGACGGTGGCCTCGGGCAACTGCATTTGGATCCTCTTCTTCCCGCTCCTGGGCTGTTTTATTATCTTTGATCTCGAATGATCCGTGCAGGTGTCTCATAGTGAATCTCAATAATTATTAATCTTGCATATTCGTCCTGTTGATTAAACTACTAGCTAACAGACATTCAGCTAGACATGAAGAAAAAGTAAAGATCTTCATACTGAGACTATGTACTGGACCGTGAAGGTTCATTCACAGGTCCATATCTTTACCTCGGGTGTTCTCTGATTCCCCGGTCCTCGCCTCTATCGAAGTCCGGTAAGACCTCCACTTCCACGCAGGCACCTTGGCGGCATACATTTCATCAATCTCCGCGAATGTACGGCCGCGAGTTTCCGGCATCAAGAAATACACGAAGACGATGATACCAGCCATGCATCCAGCAAAGACCAGATAGGTCTTTGCGCCAAGGTTCGCTGCATCCGCCGATGTCAACTGCGGCACGACGAGGGTTGTGATAACAGCAGTGATCTCTTGACAAGCGATAGTATAGGACATGGTATGGTGACGGAGCTTCGGAGTAGCCATCTCGGAGGGCATCAAGTTTGACAATGAAAAGAACGAGGAGGCCCAGAAGAAGTTGAACACGAATGACAGTGCTGCGATGGCGAGGACAGCGCGTTTGTTGCCTTTGTCAAACGCTAGACCGCCAGCCACAGCATCTATGATGAACAGAATGCTCATACCAACGAAGGCCGTTGGGCGTCGACCAGCACGGTCAATGACGAATGGGGCTGCAATGGTACCAGCCAACGTGCAGCAGGATGAAATAATCGTAAGAGTAAAGGCATCTGCAACTCCCAATTCCGTAAGGAAGATAGTTGTGTAGGTGGTCGACAAAATGACGCCGGAAATTTGATTGAGAGAAAAGAAGGAGCCGGCAACCAGTGTACGTCTGAGATGCTCTCGCTTGAATATATGCCAGAACTTCGTCTCGGATCGGATCTCACGGTTGTTCTTTTCACACAAGGCCATGAGCCGGAGTTCATCCTCGACTTGCTCGTCGCTGAAACCGCGGAGTTTGCGAAGGTTGAGCCGGGCTTGTTCCATATTTCCTTTTGATACTAGCCATTCGGGGCTTTCGGGAAGTGGTATTGTCATGGCACACAGGATAATAGGAACGGCAGATTGCACGGCCAAGGGGATCTGGAAGGATAAGTGGCCACCGATCTTTTCGGTACCCCACACTATGACGGTGCCAACTACTCCGGCCGTGAGGTTCAAGATATTAATTGAACTGACACTTCTGCCTCTCATAGAAGCAGGAACAACCTTGCATGATGATCAGTCTCGCAGCTCTGTGAACCCGAATGAAATAGTCTTACCTCGGAGAGATAGAGAGGGGTCGTGGCAGTGGCAATCCCAAAAGCGACGGCGTTGATGGATCTTCCACCCACGAAGGCCCCCAGATTAGGTGCAAACACTTGAAGAAGCCCACCGCCAACGGACAGCATATACGCGGCCACCAGAGGCCACTTGCGGCCGAAGTGGAAGTTCAACGGAGAAGCTAGCAAACCACCGAGCGCGGCGCCCACCAAAGGGAGAGAAATGACCAGGTTCTGGTTGCGAGCCGTGAGGATATATTTGCCCGTCGCTGGATTCGGCCCTTGAAACTTCTCGACCTGGTGCAAGTCAACATCTCCATGCTCGGTGACCATGCGGAGGAACTTACAAATGGCGTCAGTGCCGCAACAGGAGAGATGAGTTTATCGTCATAGCCAAACATGAATGACGACGCGCCGAATACGACGCAGACCAGAACGAGCAGCGCATTGACAGCGCCTTTCTCCGAATAGACGACATGTTCGACCTCGGCCGAGCCGCACTCTTTGTCAGTAGTCATGGCTCTGAACGAAGAAGCCCAGCTTGATAGCAGAGAGAATGGTCTCGAGTATCGAGACCCCGTGGCGTTATGTACCGGGTTCATTCCATGCCTGTGCCCTCTGTACCCTTCATGCCATCGAGAGAATCAGTTTCCCCATGGAGAAAAGAAGCTGGAGAAGCTGCAGGTCGGTTTCCCCAGATTTTCCACCTTGCCACGGTTCGGGCTATCGCTTGACTAAGACGCATGGTTTCTCCGAAGTTTCCCAGAGCAGCACAACCCGAATAGCTCTAGAACGTCGTGAAAGCGCCCCCCGGAGCATTTATGCATCAGACCTAGATTTGCAGCTGCAGCTCCTCCGTCTCTTCAGGGTCGACGTTTCGCCGAATATTCTCCGCCGAGATGTTGCATGCTCCCGAGCACGCCTCCGATTAAGTCCCGGGAGAATTTCAGACTCCTGCAGCTCTCTGCTGCGATATCACTGTTGGATATATGAATCTGCAACTTGCCCTTTCGATCAGAATGCGTCACATGGGGCAGTCGTTTTCTCCGAGCAGTCAAGCTCAAAGCACTAAAGGAAATTAATCGGTCGCATTCCACTTTCCTAATCTTTTTTGGATGATATCGGATTATATCGGACTATTTAAGAGTCTATCGATGATTGCTGCTTCACTATCCTCGCATTTTTCGTCTAAAACATCGCGCCACGAATATGTCTGTTCTTATCAGCGGAGTCGATGTCCCTGGACATCCTCCCCGCGACAAACACTCCCTGCAAAGTTATGAAGCCAACAAACTTGATGGCAAGCAAACATCCAGAATAGCCCTTTCGAAGCCGTCTTTTCATCTAAATGCGCCTAGCGGGTGGCAGAATGATCCTTGTGGTGCTGGTTACGATTCTTTCACCGGACTATACCATCTCTTCTTCCAGTGGAATCCATATGGCAACGACTGGGGCAACATGTCCTGGTGTCATGCCACCTCTTCCGATCTGGTCTCTTGGAGTACATCACCCATCCCGGCTATGACGCCGTCGGCGGAGTATGACCGCTGCGGTGTATTCACCGGTTGTATGTGCCCGACTGATATCCACGGGAATCCGGGGGCTCTCACTGTCGCCTATACATCAGTGAGCCATCTTCCTATTCATTATACTTTGCCGTATACCAGAGGAAGCGAGTCGCTCAGTTTAGCCACCTCCAAAGATGGTGGCATGACATGGCAACGAGAGGACTGCAACCCTATTCTTCCTGGACCGCCTCAACATCTCCAGGTGACTGGATGGAGAGACCCATACATTACGACTTGGGATCGAGGCGAGGCATCGCAAAACCAGCATTCAAATCTATATGGTTTTATCTCTGGTGGGATTTCCGACCAAACACCGACCATCTTTGTCTATTCTGTCAACCCCCAAGACCTTCGGCAATGGCAGTACACCGGCCTCTTGACCAACGTTGGTCTCAACTTCCGTCCGTCGCGCTGGTCGGGCGACTTCGGTGTCAATTGGGAAGTGACCAATTTGATGACCTTGACGAATGACTCTGGCGATTCCAGGGATTTCGTCGTGATGGGAGTCGAGGGATGTCTGCGCCCGGAAGGCTCAGATCGCGTCGCCGGTGAAGCTCGTCATAGACGGGACCCTAGGGGTCAGCTGTGGATGTCTGTAAAAGCGTCCGGAGAACAGAAAACTACCGAAAACGTCTTGACAGAATACGCCTTCGCCGGTGTTTTCGACCACGGATGCTTGTATGCTGCCAATGGCTTCTGGGATCCTCAAACTTCTCGGAATATTATATACGGTTGGATCACTGAGGAAGATCTGCCTGATGGCCCTCGCCATCGCCAGGGATGGAGCGGTATGATCTCTCTGCCGCGGGTGGTGAATATGATGACTCTGCGCAATGTTAAGAAGGCACGCAGCTCGCCACTGCACTCGATCACATCCATCGAGAAGATCCCAGAACATGACGGAAACGATTTTACCATTCACACTCTGCGTATCACACCAGACCCACGACTTGGTCGTCTTCGACATGGGGCCACAAAGAGCAATTTGACACAATTATCCCTGCATCCATCTTCCTTTTTGTCCTCCGAGTCTTGCTTGCCCCTGACAACAGCTCGCTGGGAACTGACAAGCGAGTTCTCGGTTAGCCAAGCGTGTGAACGTGTGGGCATTGAAATTGCTCATACTGCTGGTATGTTCTTGTTCAACAACTTTCCTCCAAATACCACAATTAACCTGTCCCTAGACTTCGAACATCGCACTACACTTGCATGGCACCCACGCTCTGAAACAATAACCATCCACCGACCCTCTGTCGAGAACCCCGACATCAACCATGGACACGAGACTGCACCGCATACGCTATTCACATGCGTGAATGAGCAAGGCGAAGAGACTGAAGAGAACTTAAGAGTACACGCATTTTTCGACAAGAGCGTGCTAGAAGTCTTCGTAAATGAGAGGACGGTTATTACAACTCGGATTTACCATCCATCCAATCGCTGCTCTGGATTACGCTTCTTTGCAGAGCCAGCCGAAGGACAATCTGATCAACCGCCAACGACCCTTCTGAAGGCTGATGTCTGGGATGGGCTTGATGCGAACTAAAAGATGCCGAGCTAGAGTTATATTCATTTCAGATATATTTGTACATTTCGTTTCATACTGGCATCATTTATTCACACACGATGGGGCCAAAGTCATTGCTGGGACCAACTCCCCGGAATTCGTAGTGAGCGGAGGTGGGTTTTGTACTTCTCCAAGAATGGATGATTGCCTCCTCGGAAGCTGCTCAGCAACAGCACGAAGTCTTCAGCGAGGCTCTGTGGAGTGGAGGTTGCAGATGTTGTTTCAGAAAAGTTGCCCAGAGGTGTCATTCCTGTCCCGAAGGGCGGACTGATGTTACAGAGAATATCGGTTGCCGTAACAGCGATATCGTACATCTTTTCAGTCTGCGCATTTGGTTAGCTATGTAACACGGGCCGAAGCAGGCGAGCTCGACTTACATGTCCTATCCCATGAGCCTCCAAGGAGCTTAGTCGTAATGACCGACAAAGCTGAAGTGTTGATTCTGCAATGGACACCGCGTAGCCGAAAGTTAGCTCGGGCCGCTCGGAATGGGTTCTGAGGAGACCGTGATTCAGGCATGAGAGCCATACGCGGTTCTGAAGCCATTTCTGGGTGACGAAGACGTCTGCGGCCTGCGTTTCTCGCAAGCCAATCGAGAGCAGGGCATTGTTGTCATTCCGGTCCTCTTTCGCTCGCTCAAACCAGTCGTATCCCTTGTACCGTTCAGCTTGGCTGATCCGGTCAAGGCTAGCATGCATCGATAATGCCTTGGCTTCAGTGAATGTTTGGCAAAAGCCGTTGGTGAGGTCGCAGCGTCGATTCCAGCAACAGATGAAGTCTTCGTCGATGGCGTCGAATAATTCCATCAATCGCGCCAATCCCATCATGCCTTCGGCATCATTCTCGTTGTGGACGATGATGCCGGAGACAAGACTATGCGTTGCATTGTGGAGAAAGTCGTGCACGGAACGCATGCTGAAACCTGGCTTCCCCGAGAATGTCACCGGGTGTAACCGCTGAAGTGCATAGGCTCTGCTTGTCATTAGCGCAAATTATCTACCACCGGGGATTTTGTCACTGTACCTTTCTGTGATTGATAAGACGAGATATGTGCGCAGACGCTGGCCTTTCTCATCGCTAGATAAATCCTGATATAAATTGGGATCATTTAGCCCCAATGTAGACGCAAGGTCCAGGGCTTCCCGCAAGCGAAGCCATGCAGCATTGTGCTGGTTACTTCCAAATAGACAACCAAATAGGAAGAAGCTTGTTAAGACGGCTTCTATAGTGGGATGTTCACCGAAGTCGGAGCAGCTCCGCATTCTGGTGGCCTCGTCCATCATCAACCGTGCTTGTGTAGCACGCGATGAGGTTGTCGCACGTTCGTTGATTTCGATTGGCTGCGTTAAAGAAAATGCACATAGTGAGAGTATCATTGATCCGAATTGGGGATTTTTGCGATGCTCTTGACACAACATCCGTGTGAACAAGGACGACCGACTCAGCAACGGGAGAGTCGGGTGTAGTCGGTCAAAATAGACGTCGATCCAGGGTACCATGTTCGCTTCATTGATTGAAGTTGGCCAGAATTCATCGCCTCCGTCATGGCTTCCGGACTGCATCGACCCCACCGCTGGCGAGAAGGGTATTCCGTGCTCTTCCTGCTGGGGCATATGCATGGCTAACACATCAGGCACTGGTTGAATAATAGACGGCAAAGAAGATTTGAGATAGATGTTGCTTCCAGGGAATTCGAATACGGGGACCTGGGCGCCCAGATGGTCGGGAAGCCAATATTCCACATCGGGGCGGTCGGTCCAGCCCACCGCGCCGATGCTGGTAGAGTCCAAGGACGGTGTCTCGTTTCCCCAAGCATCTACTAATGTAGGCGAAGGACCGGCCCCGGCTGGTCCATTCATGGGCATCGTGACTTCCCCGTGAGGAGGTGCCCAGGATGTTCCCGCCATAGGAACGGACTGGCCCGCCTCCGTTGTTGGAACGTGATATTGAAAAGCATCTTGTTTCGATAGCGAAGATTCTGATGAGCTTCTGGGGATGATAGGAGTTTGTTGCTGTCGGATTTGCGACACGCGACTGGAACACGGTTAGCGCATCTCTCTCAAAGGCCGGTGTCGCGACCATTCCTCCATTACTTACTGCCCGGTTGGCCCGCGCTTTTTCTGCGGCTGAAGGAATGTGCAGTCAAACCCCATCGACTGACAGGCCTTGCATGGTTGCGACAAGCTGCACTGTAGGGAGAATTAGCGCCCGCGATCCTGCGCGACTGGGGGGAGAAGTTACTTTGATCTTGCGGAACTTGCACTGGTCGCATGCTCTCTTCGCGATCGCCCCAGGCGCAGTCTTATTTCGTGTGCGAATTGCACCAGTCGGGCTTGCACCGGTCGACGACCCTGAGCTCGTGAGATCCATTAGGATGCCTCTCCATCCAGCTAGCTCATAGGAAGATGGGGGTGAGGGTGGCTTGAGGTTGAGGATCCCCCGATCCACTTCCGCCGGCTGAGAGAAACCCCGCCCAGCACCGCGCACGGGAGGGTTCGAGAGAGAAGCTTTGACTTAAACTCTCGAGCGCCGGGCTGCCAGAGCGAATACAACTTCATATATCTTCAGATGGCCGTGTGACATGATCTTTGGGCTCACGGCTCCCAGTATGCGCGGAAATGAATTACTCCAGATGTAGCTCTCTTGTACCGTACCCCACTTTTGGGCTGAGCTCTTGATAACGGGTCGTCTTCCGAGGCCGAGCCGCTTGGGATTCGGCCGTATTTAAATCTATAGTATCCCCGCGTCGAAGTGGACTAAGACAGAGTCGTCATGGGTAGCACGCAGCAGTCGTGGGAGCGTATCGTCGCCCAGAAACGCGCAGCCAGAGACCAGCTGCTCGCCCCGTACTTGGTTGACGATGAAGAACAACGACAGCCCCGAGTGCATCGGGTGGACGAGCGCAGTCGGTTGAAGGACCCTGAGATGCAGATAATCACCGACATTGACGGCATCGAGGAACTGTCTCGGTCTCTTCGGAAAGGGGAGTTCACGGCCGAGCAGGTCACCAAGGCGTATATCAAACGGTAAGAGTGAAGAGACCATTGAGTGAAGCATCGCTAAACCTTGTGTAGGGCAGTGGTGGCACATCAGCTGGTTAGTGACTCCCTGTATTCGCCATGGCAGAAAGTAACGAAGATAGACCAACTGTTTGAGTGAAGTGGTCTTCGAGGATGCCCTAGAACAGGCCAGGAAGCTAGATGTCCATTTCGACGCAGCGAGAGAGCCCAAAGGTCCTCTGCATGGAGTCCCCATCACCCTCAAGGACCAATTCAATCTCACGGGCGTCGACACTACGCTGGGTTACGTGGGCAGGTCCTTTGCTCCCGCAGATGAAGACGCGGTCCTCGTCCAACTGCTGAAGAGCATGGGTGCCATCGTTATCGCGAAAACAAACTTGCCTCAGAGTATCATGGTTTGTCTCCATCCCAACGCTCATGCACAGTCGCTAAACTAGTGAACAGTGGGCAGAAACCGAGAATCCTCTCTGGGGACTCACGACAAACCCGAGAAATCCTGATTTTTCGCCCGGCGGTTCCACTGGAGGTGAGGGGAGTTTGCTAGCACTGCATGGCTCCCTGCTTGGCTTTGGCACTGATATTGGCGGGAGTGTGCGCATTCCTCAGAGTATAATGGGTTTGTATGGCCTCAAGCCGAGTGTAAGTATCAGCAGGTTCTCTCCTAATTCTCTCCAACTTGCATACTAATTCAATATGCAGAGCTCTCGATACCCTTACCAGGGCGTTCCCGTATCCACCGAAGGACAGGAACATGTTCCTTCTTCAATTGGACCGATGACTCGTGATCTGGCGTCTCTTCGCTATATCACTCAACTCATCGCAGATTCCCGACCTTGGGACTTGGATCCTCGCTGTGTTCCTCTTCCCTGGAATGAGCCTGCTTTTCAAGACATTCAGAGCCGCCCGATGGTTATCGGGCTCATTATAGATGACGGCGTGGTTAAAGTCCACCCGCCCATTGCTCGAGCCTTGCAGGAGCTCTCGGCGGCATTGAAAGCGCAAGGACACGACATCGTGACCTGGGACACATCGGACCACGCTGCGTGTATGGAGATCATGGACCTCTTCTACACTGTCGACGGCGGCGAAGACATCCGTCGCGACGTCACTGTTGCGGGCGAGCCATATATTCCTCATGTCGAGGCTTTGGTTAATCGGGGCAAACCTATTTCGGTATGGGAATACTGGCAGTTCAACAAACGCAAGCTTGCCGCGCAAAAGAAATATCTCGATAAGTGGAATGCCGTCCGGTCTTCTTCTGGAAAGCCCGTTGATGTCTTGCTAAGCCCGACTTTGCCGCACACGAGTATTCCTCATCGTATGTTCCGCTGGGTGGGATATACAAAGATCTGGAACTTCCTGGACTATACGGCCCTGACCTTTCCGGTGGATCAGGTACGGGCTGGTCGGGATACGTTGACTGGCCAGCCTTATACACCGAGAAATCCGCTAGATGAGTGGAATTGGAACCTTTATGATGCAGAAAAGATGGATGGGTATCCTGTGAACCTGCAGATTATCGGGAAGAAGCTTGAAGAGGAGAAAGTGCTCGGGGCTGCTACCATCATTGAGAAGATTTGGAAGAGCCGTGTCAGAGATATTTAGATCGGTGAATGTCTAATAAATGGCTAGTAATTTTGTTGTATTGTTGATTTAACGTATCTCATAATTGGTGGACCTAGCTTCCAAATCTCTTCGACTCGGTCCACTCGAACCAGAAACCAACGCCGTGGAAATATGCTGTGGGAAATCATGTCGCGGAATTAAGCTTTGACAGGCTCGAAAAGCTCAGGCTTCATGTTGATCTTGCAGAGCTTCGCCACGCAGCCGCTAAGCTGGAGCAGTGACTGCACACCATCCAGGATACGCATGTGGGTGAAGCCAATCTCGCGGATGAACTCCAACTTGGAGTGCTCCGAAAGTGTCGGGATGGTTTTGGTGACTCGAAACATAGTGCTGATGATGTCGTGAGAAGAATATCCCAGGGTCCTGTAGACGAGTTAGAGAGATCCACAGTATCAGCCCAAGGATTGTCGACTGACCATAACTCGTTAAGTGTCTCCAGCGCAGCATCCACCTTGCCTTCCCAGCAAGCCTTGATCATCGCCTGGATCTTGACAGGATGGGGGCTGTCGACGACACGGAACACATTGTCTCCACTGACGAAGCCGAATCCAGACCAGGTACTCTGCAGGTTGTTGAGGGCCTGGCGCATGTCACCCTCGGCACTGAAGACCAAGGCGGCAATCCCATCTTCCGAGTGCTCGACCTTCTCGGCTTCGCAGACCTGCATCAGTCGCTTCACGACCTGGGCGTCGGTCAATCGTGCATATCGAAGAATGGCGCAACGTGATTGAAGAGGCTCAATGATCTTGTTCGATTGATTGCAGGCAAAGGCGAATCGAGTAGTGGTCGAGTAGATTTCCATCGTACGACGCAGCGCCTGCTGGGCACCCGGAGTCATGCTGCATCAATGTCAGCAAATATGAGCAATCTAGAGAGTTCAGAAGTAACCCACCTGTCGGCTTCATCGAGGATAACAAGCTTGTGTCGGCCTTGGGGCAAAGTGACCTTCTTCTGAGCGAAACCCTTGATCCGGTTGCGAACGACATCGATACCTGAATTGCGACATCAGTATTCTGTTCCACGCTATAGAAATGGCACTGGTAGACCGACCTCTCTCGTCACTTGCATTCAGCTCCAGAACTGCCTCCTTATACGCATCACCCAGCAACTGCCGTGCCAGACAGAGAACCGAAGTGGTCTTTCCAATACCCGGCATGCCGGAAATGATAACGTGAGGCATGTTTCCATCCTTGGCAATAATCTTTAAGCGCTCGATCGTCTCGGTGTTGCCAACGATGTCATCGAGGAAAACGGGGCGGTATTTCTCAACCCTATAGTGGTCACAAAAAGTCAGTGGACAGAGCGCTTGCATCGTGGAAAAGACCCTACCAAGGCAGCTCGTAGTCTGCGGGGCCTGTGGTGGAGGCTTTGGCGCCATTGCGCTCAGCGCTCGCGGAAGACTCGCCCTGGGCCATGATGAATGTGTGGTGTCGTGGGGAAAGGTGCGGTGATGAAGAGACGCGAAAGGTGAACGCGTCCCGCGATAAACGGCTTATCGCTTGGCCTGTGCACTCAGCTTCTTTGTGCACGTAGTAACATGTAGTAAGAGTGGTTGAAGAATAATATAGCTAGAGCAAAGGAAATATTGAATTGACTAAATTTTATACTCGTTCATTTATGGAATCTCAATTTCTTCGTCGCTGGTTGAAAACATAGTCACTTCTGCGGCTGGCATTCCTTTCCTTTACCTCAACTCCTTAATCCACAGCTATTCTTACAGCCAAGTCATTGGCAGCCGTTCCTTATCACTGTTCGATCCTGAACTGCCATAGCCGACGAGTCCGTCCATTCCCTGAACACAATACTCCCCAGCTCAGCTCCCACCACTCCCCGCGGCGACGAGACCCGCCTACGCGACAAGAGAGAAAATCCTGGGAGACACCGCATCTCCGGCGTTCGCATTAGAACACAAGAACCCCATCTTTCCTCACAATGGGCCCAGCCTCCGTTCGCCGCAATCTCTTCCACCAGAACCTCAGCCGCCGTCCTGCCTCCGCCGGCCCGCCCAATGGCAACGTGCCTCAAGGGAACAACGCGCTCTCCAACCGCCCTTCGCACCGGATGAAGCCGACAAGCTCGGACTCATCCTCGTCGCGCAGCATCAAATTGTCGGAAAATAAGGAGATCGTCGTGCGGGACAAGAATGGTGGTTACAAACTCGACGTCCCGTCATTGCCGCATGCTTTAGTTGGCGAAGACGGGGAGGAACTGGGAGATCTCGATGCAGAGGAATCGGGGGAGACGGCATTTGACTCTTCGGAGCTTAGCGGGCGTGAGAAAGAGAGTATGTCGATTTCTAAATCTGGCGTATACGGCGAACTACAGCTCACAATGACCTAGAATTCGATGCTGCTCTGGTAGAGATGATGATCCGTCATCGAAACAGAGCGACCAGTGGCGAACCCGATGGTAAGCTGCAGTTCTCACATATTACTCTAGGGTATCGACTCGTGCTGATTTGCAACAGAGATCTTGGACATCGTTCACCAGAGCTTACGCAAAAAAGTAGCTTCTTTGGGAGATGACAATTGGATGTTTGAGCCAGAAAAGGACCTGCGATTTTGAACGGATTCTATGATGCGCTTTCATGTATTCATTTCATTACATGGTCTTCTCATTTGGGTATGTCCACTACCAAGCAACTCGTCTTTGGTCAGGAAAAAATGGACCTATAGGTCCTAATCGAGCTCCATGTTTGATGGAGGTGCCTCGACCGTCTTTGCCCGGGACTGTGGCCCCCTTCTCCCCCCGGCGTTGTCTTGTCCGCCACCACCGAAGAACATGTTACCCATCATGTCCAAGAGAGGGTTCCCTTGCTTGGGAATCTTGATGGCGAAGTACTGTTCACCAATCTGGGCCAGAGCGTCGTCCCAAATGCCCACATCCCTGATCTGTGGCGCATATTGCGCGGTGAGCTGTCGGAACAAATCGGCACTACCCCGCTGGATAGTCAAGAGCAACATGTTGAGGAAGTTGAGCAACGGCAGGACGGGGAAGACCCGGATGTCGGAGCTGGCGCTGCTCACATCTTGCACACCGAGAGACGGGTTTGCGGCCGACAACCGAGAGGTGAAAATGAGCAGGGCCTTGTTGGCGCTGCGAAGGTTGCCGGTCAGGAGGTATGGGAGAACTGCGCGCGATGCATAGATGGCTGCAGTGTGGGGCTCGTCGTGAGTGTACCACTCATACTCGAGTTTCGCCAGAGTCTCCGCCGACTCAGACGTTCCCAGGATGAGGTGCTTCTCGGCATCGTACGGCTCATTCTCTGCGTATCAATAGTCAGATAGTGCACATGAACAGGACCAATATCTAATCACGAACCTTCCGCGTAAACTGAACCAACAGCGTGGTGCAGCTCCGGATCTCCTCGCTCCAGCGGTCCGTAACGCGCACTCCATCCAATCATTTCCTGAATATATCTCTTCCTCGTGGGCTCGTCCGACGGGAACTCGCGCAAAAGCTCGATCAAACGCTCTGCAAGCCGGCCATGTTAGTTGAAATCCATTCCAGCAAATATCCCCCCGCTATAAACAGGCAACCAGGAACCCAAAACTCACTCTTCCTAGCGCGGCCCTCTGTATCATCATTGCCACCGGCGATTTCCCACTCTGCCTTGTTGTAGACCTCCGTTACCAGCATAATTGCCAAGTCTCCGCCACTGGCCGAGGCACCCTGCTGGGAACCGGCCTTCAGCAGAGCCGTGGCACCGCCAGCTAGGAGTTCGGCCGCCGCATCGTAGTTGGATTGCTTGATATAGCGCACAGCAATGGTGCGGAGCTGCTGATGAGCTTCATAGTAAGCGCCATCCGCGATCCTGGGAAGATAGTCGCCGTCAGCATGGTATTTCGTCAGGAACGAAGCAGAGTGCGGGGCCTCACTTTTCGCGCTGCCGGGCGATTGTCTTTTCAATCCGAGAAGTCATTGTCGAGCTGTAGCTTCCAACCAGATTAATAGCAATGGGTAGGAAGTCGATTCAAAGGGCCCAAGCTCGAAGGATGCGGCGATGGAGCGGGAGGGCGATTCGCGGGGAGTGCAGGTTGAAAGGTTGGGTGTGGGGACGCGGAAGCTCAACTGCCCTTACATTTTTCCCTCCAGTTCTCGACTCCGTCTTTTCTGGCGTTGCGCTATTCTATTTCTGATGTTCTGATATTCTAGTCCTTTTACACTACGGGAGCTTACGTGCAGCTTTCATCCACCCCCGGACCCCCTTGCGACGTATTAAAAGCGGAGTTCCGTTTGCGACTGGGCCAACTGGCCGTATCTTTGTATCAAGGGCTGACAGCCACGCTTTGCGCGTTCGTCATTGCAACGGAATAGCTATCAGACAGTCATCTCCAGCTATGAGCCGAGCACGTTTCGATATTCAACCCGTCGACCGCTTCGGCGGTTCGGGTACAACCATCCGACGACCCCGAGTAAGTGATCCTATGCATGGCGGTGGAACAGAGTCGTTGATGAATCACTAGGAAATTGCATGCTTCTCCTATGATCAAAATCGCCAATTCTCGCTGGGGGATTCATCAATCTCGTACTATTACCCGCCGGATCTGCCAGCGGACTTGAACATCGGCTTCAATACGTTTCAGAAACTGAATGATTCTGCCGACGAGCATCTTGATGCGCTCCTAGACACTATTACTGCACTTGAGAAAGAGACAGAAAAGAAATGCGAGGCTGATATCATCACCTGGCGAGGGATGATGACCAAGGTGGGCATCACGTGTCACAATATCGAGGCTGGACGTTGTTCTGACCCGTATAAACAGATTCTAACTGCTCCATTTGATATGATGAACGGGTACACAATCCCAATGACTCCTTTTCATGGCTTATTACTTACGCTATTTGGTGACCCAGCTTCGAAATGAACGCGACATGCTTCCAGGTAGGTCTCGTTCTATGATCCTCAAATCCAGACCAATCTGACTGACTTGACAGGGTACAATGTAATGATATTCATACGGAATCTGATCATGCATGATGCTTATACATTGCAGATTCATTGAGGAGAACAACGAATACAAGAATCGACAGAAAGAGGTCCAGCGTAACCAAAGAATGCCGCCTGGCATGGCATCGCAGGAGCAGATGATGTATTGGGGTGCGCTCAATTCCTGACCTCATTGATCAACGGTTGCTTACCCTCAAAGTTAGGTTATAAATTTGAGGTGTTGTCCGTCCTACGGCAACCATGGGACTCAACAACGCGTGCGGAAATTGAAAACCGCCAAAATGAAGTTGTCAACAATAGTGCACAATACTGTTCCGTGGTCAAGACTGGCATTGGACATACACGCATGGTCCTTGGGGGTGAGGTTGATGCTGGTGGGTTCATTAGTCCAAAGAAATGCAAGCGCCGTGCTGATTCGACTTAACAGTGTGGGACTGCAAACCAGACCGAAAGGAAGACACAATCCACTGGGTCGAGTTGAAGACATCGGCTGAGATCCGCAACGATCGCGATATGCTGAAGTATGAAAGGAAGTTGCTCAAGTTCTGGGCGCAATCCTTCTTGCTCGGTGTACCAACCATCATCGTTGGCTTCCGTGATCAGGAGGGTATTGTCCATCGCTTGGAAGAACTGGACACTGCCAGTATCCCTGGGAAGGTCAAGAAGGTCGGAAGAGGCTCATGGGACGGAAACATCTGCATCAATTTTACTGCTGCTTTCTTTGATTGTAAGGAAACCTTTCTCTCCACGCTGATTTATGCTAACACTCTGCAGGGCTGAAGCAAACCATCCAGGAAGATGGGATATGGAGGATACGGAAACAAGAGAAGTCACCGGTCATCGAGGTGTTCAAGGTTGAAGATTCAGGCCATGGTGATATACTTTCTTCTGCCTTTACATCCTGGCGGTCGTCAATGGCCTGAGATCTATTGCGTTTGTATTACCACCATGAATATCCCATGTTTTATCAACAGCATTTTAATTTACATGCTCAATGTTTCCTATTTATTTATTATGTTGTGGTAGGTCAGGGATCAGTCCCGGAATCCGAAGCCTTTTGAGCTTCTAATTCCCGTTTTCGGAAATAAGCGTCTCGTTCAGCCTTCCTTGCTGCAGATTTGGCTGCTCGTTTATGGCCGTAACCTTTCAGATGGATGTTCCACTGTTCTTCGCCGGCCATCGTCTTGTTGCACATGTCGCAGGTAAAGCACTGCATATCGGAATTCGGCTGTGAACGCCCTTGCTCCTCTTTAGCGCCGAGAACGGTATTCGCTAGCTTCGAGAGTGATTTGGGATCAGGCGTCGGTCTATCTTCAAACATTGACTGTACGATATCCTCGGATGGTTTCGCAATGCACTCATCCCAGCCCTTGACACTGCTGCTATCCAAAAGGTAGAGGCGGCGCGTCATATCGGCATCTGAGAGAGCTCGCCATAACTTGTTCCGAATCCATTTCACTTGAGAAGATCCATATTGGCGTGTAGCTGTTCTGATGGAATCGATACAGCGCTTTTTGAGATTCTCGAGCTCCTCCTCGTTCAGTTTTGCTTCCTGGACAGCCGCAAAGTACGGCGCCAGCTCCTTGAAGCCGATAGACACCCAAACACCACGCGTTTGGTCGACTTCTATGCCCTGCGATTGTTTTGTCTGGAGATAATCTGACATAGTCTCAGCCTCGGCCATCAAGCCTTGCTCGATCATGCCGTCGACACGCGCGTCCAGACGCGCATTGAGAATCTCCTTTTCCGCGTGAACCCAAAAGATCAGTGTATTCTCGAACCGCAGTAGCCCTTCATCTTTCATTACTGCCTCGTTCTTCAGAAGCTTCTGTTCCGCGTATATTTCCGATGCTCGTCTCCCTGTTTGGAAGTAGATTTCTAATGAGCGCCGAATCTTCCGTGCATCCTTCGGGTGCCATCGCTCAGCCATGACCGGATCTACCTCGCGAAGTTTCTCCATTAAGACTTCAGGAGACGACTCGAGGATTGGCCATTTGTCCGAGGTCGACGGTAGCTCTTGAAAGGGCTCCGGTCCGTCTTCGTCATCTGAGCCTTCCCCAACCAGTTGGTCCTTGAACAAGACGGCCTGCGTATAGTAATGTGTGCCTCCGACCAGAATGGGCAGTTTCCCACGAGATCGAATATCGTCGATGAGCCGGAGAGCTTCCTTCTTGAATCGGCCAATGCGCCAGGCCTCCGCTTCTAGGTCGACACAGCTCAGCAAGTGGTGGGGGATGCCGTTTCGCTCTTCGACGGGGATCTGGTTCGTGATGATGGGCAGGCCGCGGTACATCTGCATCGCATCGCCATTGATGATTTCACCGTTGAATCGGGAGGCCAAGTCCACAGCGAGCTGTCTGTAGTCATTAGCCTTCGCATTCAAGCATGCGCGGGGTACCCAATCACCTTGGACTTGCCCGTTCCCGTTGCGCCGACGACGGCTATGAGAGGATTCATGATTGCTCGAGCAGAGCGAATCGTTCGAAGAGCAGAGAGCATAACGCACTCGGCGTTTTGTAGGAGAAGGGAAGAAGGAGGTCTTTTTTTTATCGTTTATCGCTATCGTGCATTACATCATCCGCGCCGAAGCCCACGCTAGCCGCGTGAGTTTAGTTCACTGTTCCTTTCGTGACTCACTTCTTCCCTCAAAGCTTTGTGTCTCCTTTTTGCAACCCGTTGCTCGTAAGAGGTCTCAATATGGCGCAGTCTACCACTCCCCCGAATCCGTCCATTGCGGTGCAAAACCTCTCCTATAAATTCCAAGATGGCTCCGCGGGGCTGGAGAATGTGCAGCTGGATCTCCCATCGGGCAGCCGGACCCTGCTGATTGGCGGTAATTCCCAAGAAACCCCATCACATTGAACCGACTGCTAACAATCATCCAGCTAATGGAGCCGGCAAGACCACATTGCTCCGTCTGCTCTCGGGCAAGCGTCTAGCCCCCACTAACACCATCTCGGTGGGCGGCAAGGACCCTTTCAAGGATTCGCTGGAAGGTGTCACCTATCTGGGCGTAGAATGGGTGCTGAACAGTATCGTCCGCACCGACATCGACGTGCCCACGCTGCTTGCCTCCGTGGGTGGAAACGCCTTCCCGGAGCGGCGGGACGAGCTGGTGGAGATCTTGGATATCGACCTCAGCTGGCGAATGCATGCCGTTTCTGATGGCGAGCGCCGTCGTGTGCAGCTCGCTATGGGCTTGCTGCGACCCTGGCAGGTACTCCTTCTGGACGAGATTACCGTGGATTTGGACCTGCTCTCCCGCAGCAATTTCCTCGACTTTCTGAAGCGGGAAACGGAGACTCGGTCCTGCACCATCGTCTATGCGACTCACATCCTGGACAACCTCGCTCAGTGGCCCACCCATCTTGCCCATATGCATCTAGGTAAGGTCAAGACGTGGGGCTCCGTGGAGAGCTACTACGATCAAGTGCCACAGTGGACGTCAGAGAACAGTCGACTTGGAGAGCTTGTTCTCAAATGGCTCAAGGAAGACCTGGAAGCCCGTGGACCCCGCAGACATGACGCCCGTTCTAGTCAAGGCAGAACGTACCAGTCTCTCGAAGGCATCGGTGGTTACGGGCTGGAGAAGAGCAGCTAATCGATGGGTTTCTGATTTGTATTAATGGGTATGATCTTGTTTCATCTTTTGATGCACTAAAGCGAAGATATTTTTAACACAGTGCCATTCAACAATCATCGGGTTCAACCAACTGGCATGGAGGGGTGTTTTGGCGGCATTCAGATCTACAGGATGGATCTATTCAACATTGGAGTTTTTCAACCATGACTCATAGAAGGCTTACGGATTATATATATGTTTCAACAATTTGAGGTATCATTTGTGAAGGCATTCGTTTTTGTTTCTTTTAAAGTCAAGATATTTGAAAAAAAAAAAAAAGATGCTACTTTCCGCTTCAGAGAATCCCCTCATTCGACACTAGCAGGATCACATATCAGGGTAGAACCCGGTTGCCTTGGAAGATTGTCTTTTTGCTCAAATCAATGCCACGGGCAATGCGCTCCAAGTACTTCGAAGTCTCTCAGCAAAATTAATGGAAGCGTCCGTGTTTGATTCTCCAGGAATGAAGCACCGAGTGAAATATTGAGATTGATGCCCTTTCACGATTACGTCTGCTCCAGAGCAGCAACAAGCTTTTTCCATGATTCCATTCCTCGCTTCGCGTTCTCATCTGGTCGTCTTGATGCTTCCTCTCTCATCCTCCAGTCAAAAATCTCCATTGAAACCACGCCTTTCCAGCTCTTCCTATTTAGCCAAGCATTTCCAATTTCCTGCATGGGAAAATATCCCCCAAGCTCCGTCTCGAGAGGAAATAGGCGCATGTTTCGAGACCAAGTCAAAGCTGAGGGGAGATCCGCCTGATAGAAACGATGCTCCGGTCTCAACGGGGGCACAAATCTTTCTCCGTCGGAAAGCTGCACGTAAAAGATCCTTTCCATTGGGCAGGTCTGTACGAATCGATCAAGGGAGGCTTGCAATGCACTATCCCCGTCTTCACGTATCCCTCGTTCGGTAGTGCAATCCCCCCATACTCGCGCGGCGATGTGAAAGGAATCCAAGCAGAGACCAAAGTTTGGCCGGTCCACATCTTGCACCAGTCGGAGCGACTCTTCCCAGGTATCGATGTAACTTCCCCATGCCACTGCCTCGTAGGCGATGCTGATAGAATGAGAAGCTGCCAGTTCACTGAGTTGGCGCATCTCCTTCACCATCTGACTCCAATCTTCTGAGCTGTTGGCAGTGTCGAATTGAGATGGCACTTGAAGATATTTTGCTCCCAGGCATGCGGCAATCTCGGTCCAGTGTCGAGCAGAATCAAGTCGGTCAGTGAGCGGCGAGTGGTGGCCTTCGAAGTTCTTGAATGGGTTCAGAGCCAGGACTTCCAATTTGGCAGATAAACACAATTCGCCAATAGAGTGAGCAGCCGCAATCGTGGTCAAAGGAGGAGCTTGAGAGGCTCCATAGACCACTATCTCTTGGTAAATGATCTCAACCGCGAAGAAGCCATTCGATGCAGCTGCTTGGATCTTCTCGGGGAGAGTGTGTGAGGGGTGAAGCCCCAGGGACGAAGTGGTGATCGCCAGGTGATTCTTGAACATGATGGGAGGTATGACGCAGAAGAAGGAAAAGAAGAAAAAGCAGCAGCAAGGGTGGCCTTCCATCTATATGTTCATGATCCCTCGGCTTTCTACCAACCCTCAGACCTTGGGCTTACAACGAATGTACCAAAAGCGATTAATGAGACAGCCGGCGATGTACATCTTTGACTATGCACTTACCGTTGTTTTGAAAATCTTCAGAAAAAGGGATATGGGAGGAAGATTGCTACAGGGAGGCCAAGGAGATAGTGTAGGTGGTCTGTAGGCCTACCTACTTCAAAAGTGTTCACCTTCCTGGCGTGGACAGCGGCCACCGGGCAAAAAAGGCACGCCAAGGTGAATTACTTTTAAAATGATACCTGAAAATGGAAGGAAAACATGTCCAGAAAGACCTTTACCTAGGCAACGAAATAGATGCCTAGGAAGAGATATTTGAGATGGTGTAAATACGCGTGGAAGTGTCTTCACTTCCCACAGCCAGTTCGAGTCGGTCCTCCTCGGCGAGCACCGGCCGCCATGACAACTGGGTAATTGCTCTCGATGGGGCTATGAGCCGGTCGATACTCACAACATGTTTGGCTTCAAGACTATCACTGGCGATTCGGTGGATGGAGATGGCTCCGTTATCCTCGCCCGCTGCGAGGATGAAGGAGTTCTTGTATGGCGAAGGCGAGAATGCAATGGCAGAAACCGCGGATGTCAGGGCCACGGTTGTTTTGCAGACAAAGGAATTATCTTCGGCTTTTTGCCAGATCTTGACCGATTTATCACGTCCTGCAGTGGCAAAAACAGGCTCTATAGTGGCTGGTGCTGGCGCCCAAGCCGCACCCAAAATCATTCGAGAGTGACCCTTGGGATTTGAGGCGTAGTAGGTGAACGTAGTCGGATCCTGATCAATTCGTGCGAACACTGCCCATTGACGGTCTCGGCCGACGCTGAGAAGATATCGGTCATCATCGGAGAATGACAGGTCCGTGATGGTCAACGAGTGTGCGGTGAGGGAGGGCCTGATCTCGTGCCAGTCCGTTGTATCGTACAAGCGAATGACGGCGTGGTCGATAGATGTTGCTTTGCAGGCAGTGGCAATGAGCTTGTGGTCATGGCTGACTGCAACAGCAGAGATCTCATAACCGTGACCGTAGAGCTTCTCGTGCTCCGGCCACAATGTGTATCGCGCTAGCTGGTCTTCAAGCGGCGGGGTATCAGCCAATAAAGAATTTGCAGGCACAGAGGGTGCGCTGGATTCCGCCTGTTCTCCTTCTTCTTCTTCCACGGGAGCCTCATCTCCATGAGCTTTGTTCGAAAGACCCAAAACAGGGATCTCAGCGGTATCTGGAAGCTCGCCTCTGACCGTTTGTTTGAAACCTGTCAGCTTCTCGAGCAATTCCACGATCTGCTTAGGCTCATTGAATACTCGCAACAATTTTTCCTCTGCGCCAGAAACAAATTGCAATGGGCCCAGTGTATCGATGCAGTTCAGGTCATATCCATGAATCTGGGGGCGTGAAAATTCGTGCCACGAGCGCTTATTGTCCCGCTGCCATTGAGCGTGAAGACGTGTAGTCTGGTCGGCGCTAGTAGAAAGCAGATAACCGCCGCTAGGCTCCCATTGTACTCCATTGACTGGACGCACATGCCCTGTGACGCCAAACCTCTGTACCCAGATGTCTGCATCGGCGTCGTGCTGCCACATTCTCCAGCTGCCTGTCCGGCTCAGGCTGACCACTTTCTTGCCATCCGGTGCCCAGAGTCCAATCCAGAAGCCACCAGCACTACCAGTGGCCGTAGTCGATCCCTTCTGCACACTGATCTCTCCCATTCTCTCCATTGACATCCAGACACCGGATACCGGGTCTTGTTCCCAGATCGTGATCGTGTTGTCAGCAGAGGCTGATAGAAGCTGTGACCGTGCTGGGTCGGGGTTCCACATGGCGGTGTAAATCCAGTCTTCGTTTCCAAACAGCAAGGCTTCAAAAGTGATAGAGAATTTAGAGCCAGCCGCTTCAAATTCATGGGCTTTATTCGATAATGTTGGTTCCATACCACCCAGAAGAGGATCCTCATCATCAATTGGCGAGGCATTCTTTACTTCGCCTCGGTGCAGTCGCCATAGACGAATGTACTTGTCCTGACTGGCCGAAGCAAGCAAGATGTCGTTTGTGCTGCTCTGTGTGTCTTGCGTGAACGAGAGAGACCGAACCCAAGCCTCGTGACCAGAAAGCACTGCGCGACGTTGGAAAGTTGGCTGGTCGACAGAGGTCTCTGCAACATAAATCTGCACTGTAGTCGTAGTCCCCGCAACAGCCAAGACCAACGGCTTTCCCTGCTCGCCCTCGAGCACGCGCAGAGCTAGAGATAACGGGAAAAAACGAGGCTTCAATGTGATTGTTTCAAGTATCTCGCACTTCAATCCGCCCTGCGCATTGATTCTCCAGGTACGCACTGTTCCGTCGGCAGCTCCAGTCGCAACAATGTCTGACCCGTCGGCCACAGCTAGTGCATTCACCGACCCTGTATGGCCCTCGAGCGTGAAGGCATGTTTGTAATTGCGCGAGTCGTCGGGATCTTGTTGCCATACACGAATTGTTCGATCGACGGAGCCGGTAAGAAGGAATCTCGTTCCTGAGGAGGGGCATGTGTAAAATCTGACTATGCTGACTTTGTCGGAGTGGCCTACAAGCAGAGCATACACCCCACGATGAGAGGGTTCCTTCGAATAATGTCAGCTGCAAAATCTCGTCGGTGATCAGGTTCTAGTGAAAACCAACCAGAGGCTCCCACAAGGCGACATTATTGTCTGCACCGTAGGCCAGTACACCTGACTGGACATCCCAATCCGCCGCACCCGGGTGCCTGTTTCCTCCTACACTGATATAGTCAGTCGAAACAGACGTCATATTTCGCAAGCACTCCAAAATCCCGGGGTTGAGTGTGCCGTTGTCGGCAATGGCGAAAAGAAAGAGCTGTCGCAAAAGACAATTGTGGAAGGGCTTATCGATAAGCGCGCACACTACAGCCGCCGATAGTCGCCTTAGCTCAGAACTCGGATTTTGCAGGCAGTAAGTTTTCGCACTGCCTAATTTTTAAGTTGATACTTGCAACTTTGATTTGCTATATTTCACTAATTTTAACTAAAACAGACAAGTATTAGTGCAATTTTAGCATGGCAAACATTGCATCTCCCCCTAATTCACTTTAGATATGTCTCTAGATACCTCTTGGAACGTTTTTTATGGATCTTTTCAAACATCTCTCTAGATTTCTCCGAGTTGTCAGCGTGGGCGGAAACCAGGGCGGTGAAATTTAATGTACGGGAAGTCAGTTTTGAGATAAGCCTACTACCGACTTCTGTAGCGCACACCCCTCCGCCTTCAATCTTAACTTGAACCTTCACCCCGACAAAACTCCTGCGGAAAAGACAAGCAGACAAAGCCCTTTTATTGAACGTCTTCCTACCAGACCCTTCGAATTATGACCAAGTCTGCAAATGGGGGAGCCGCCCTCTCCATCACGGTAGAGTTCACGTATCGTCACCTCTATGTCCCGAGATTGTTCAGTCAGAGTCCTAACTTGTTCTTTCTTGTAGCGGCGGCCTTGAATTATTATTTTCCAACGAGCGCAAGCACAATATCACGTTACCAGCTCAAATGGACGATGGGAGCCAACCAAATATCGCATACCTGGTCCGGTATCTGGTCGACAATGTGATGAAAGACCAGCGGCAGGAAATGTTTATCATGGAGGATAATGTGTACGTGGACTACAATGTCTGGATCAAACAAAAGCTGACAACTTGGAAAGCCGACCAGGTATTCTTGTGCTGATCAACGACGCCGATTGGGAACTTGAAGGCGAGGAGAAGTACGAACTTCAACAAGGAGATAATATTGTCTTTGTCTCGACGCTGCACGGAGGCTAGTCGATTGATTGGCCTATCTATTGTCAAAGCTATGGAGAAATATTTCGATGTCGTTAAGCACGCGGGTGCCGGTAACTATCGGCAAACCGAAGAGAAAGCACGTTCTAGACAACGTCTTCGACGTGTTGCTGTGAGATCCTCTCGGGCTCGCGAGGGGTCCGAACCCCGCTTGGAGTCCGGAATCCACTCCGAGGCGTCGCGGGGCCTTCAAGAGGGCTGCCTAGCCCTTGCATCGGGGAGACCCCTCCACTTGGGGGCACAGGAATCTTCAAGTCCTCAGGCGAGTCGGGGATGATCTCTTCTGGGAGACCGGGGATGTGAATACGCGAGGCCTCATTCTGGTAGCTCTCAGGGATTATCTGGACAAATATCAATTAGCCTATTAATCCCGAATCTATGCAGATTGCACCACAAGTATCATACCTCAATGATCTCATCCCGAGGAAATTGCAAGAACGGAATATCGGCGGCGTTACAAGCCATCAGGTAGCCATACAAGACCCTCAGGACACTTTCGTGGGCAATAATGAGCAGGTCGGTCTGCTCTCTTTCCAATTCCAGGATAATTGGTTCGAGGCGAACAGCGAGATCGTGATAGGACTATCAAGAACTTAGTTAGTAATGGGTTTCAGCCCCCGTCACAAGAGATCCATTACCTCTGCCCGGGGATACCGGTGGTGGTAAGGGTCAAGCTCATGCTTTGCAACCTCGTCGGGCCACTCGGCTCTAATCCGGCGCTCCGACATCTTCTCACAAACGCCGGGGTTGAGTTGGCTCATCTGAGACCGCTGTCGAACCTTGTATCCTTTTTCGTAGAGGTATTTGGCAGTTTCAACCGTTCGACGTCTCGTCGAAGTCCAGACCTTAAGTGATCGCAGTTCGTAGCCTGTCTCGCCTCGGTCAATCATAGCCTGTTTCTCTGATTCTCGATGGGCCAGCAGTCGCTCGGTCATCTTTTTGGCGTAATCTTCCCCTTGCTCAGACAGAGACGCATCAGCTTTGTAGGAATCGGCCTCCAGTGAAACACCGGCCTGGATGGCTGGTCAGTTCACTAGGTTCTCGCGGTGCAGAGAACAAAGTATCCTTACCCGCACAAAGTAGGTTCGTCTTGATTTGATATGAAGGTTCAGAAGGTAGAACACGATGCGGTTAGAGAGGTAGCCAAAGCTTCGGTTATTGACAATAAGTCGCTCGCCCGCGTTGATCATCTACACAGTGAGTATATGAGACTAGATAAGGCCGCCAAGGGTGCATACCTTGATGTAGTTTAAGTCCTTTTCGTCCATAGTTTGGAACTGGGGAATGCGGGAGGAGATGCGCGTTAAGTAATGTTGGACCGCATCTTCTGGCTTCCATGAGACATACTATGACAATGTCAGCTTCTCATGGCACTCAAGACAAGCATAGAGCATTCGTTGCCCTTACATCGGGGGACGAGATCTTGACCCTGCGAACGTTCTCTTCGATGATGCGTTCATCATCGCACCAGGATTCGATGAAGAGAGTCTGGGATTGCTTGCATTAGCTTCCTGAAGGATGTGACATGAAAATCCCAATATACCTCGATGTCATGCTTCGCAAATTCCTTCGCAAGAGAACGCCGCCCCGAGGCCAAGGGGTTCACAGCGTCGTAGATCGCAATCTGGCCCTTTTCATGATTCAAGAAATGATAAATATCCTCACGGCACTTTCTCACAATCTTTTGGCGGAGTAGGACAGATGATGCGGTTGCTTGATAATCTATCAGCACCGCCAATCCGGACGCCGTGGCAGTGCACTTACCGTTCACGTAAAAGTAATCATCGGGCATGTCCTCACCAAAGGGAATAGTAGCACGCCGGTAATCACCCAGATGGAAAATCCTGGTCTTGACTCCAAGCCTACCTCGCTTGTTAGCATTGGGTTCATGGCACGGCATTCGTGTGGGTGAAACGTATGACATACCATCGAAGGTACCGGGCTAAGGCTACAGAAATATGTCTATTTTGTATGACTTATATTAGTATGGGAAATGCAAAAGACTCTCGTGGTCAAGATAGACATACGTTTTGCCTCTTGCAGGCAACCCCACGGTGATAATCACGATTCGTCCCGAGTGAAAAAGGCGGCCAGATTCCGTGCTGTACAGCTGAGCCGGCGCTAGATCGGCCTTTTCCGGCAGGTCGTGAATAGCATCGACAAAAATGGAAGACTTGCGCCGAAATTGCGGCGAGTTGGCCACGATCTCTGCGGTTCTGATTGACGTCAGTTCCAAGTCCAGGGGCGGGACAGCTCTTCAAGCCGTTGCTTCCGGGCGACAGATCATGAGGGTGTAATTGGATTGGACCATCTCCAGGTATAAAGCCAGATATGTGACTTTGGTGACCCGGCAAGGAGTTGGGGGAGCCGGCTTACAGTAAGGTGTCCATGGTCGCGGGGGATGGTGGGACAGCAATGACGAAAGAGATCGATCCTCGGAATAGTTCAAAACGAGAGCTATACTGTCATCCCAGGTCTAGCACGACAACAGAAAGAAGATCCCGCCGACGGGCGAAGTCCTAGGTGGAAAGGGAAGTTGGAGGGAGACGAAAGCAGCGAAGCACTGGAGGCGGTATAGGCGATAACGGTGAATAGATATCGAGACGGGTGCCTCAAGGTGGATCCTTCCAGTAAATAAGGAAATGCACACACGTATGAAGTATTCGATCACTTTGGTTTCTTCTGAACAAACTCGGCAGTAGTTTCAATTTGAACCAATTACTCCCTTCTCAAACAAGTCGTTCAGTTCGGGTTGACTTCACCTACACTCAAACGCGTCCGAGAAGCTCCGGGTCTGCTTACCTAACATCCCGGCGGACGGGAAACACCAAAGACGCCGAGCGACTTTTTCACTGGAAAGCCTTCCAGCTCCGCTTCCTTCAAATCAACCCCCGACTCCCCGAGCGGATCATATACAGCCCTTCTTGCAATTTGACACGGTCTGCGACGCTTATTCGTCCCAGATTCCCCCGGGCTGGTCTCACCCTTACTTTCCCTTCTCCATTGTCCTTTTTCCGCGACGAACCTGTTGGCCGGCATCGCGTGACGACACCTTGCACCTTCGATAATTCGAATCCAAAACATCCAAAATGTCCGATCTCACATCATCCTTTTCCTTCCTCACGGAAAATCCCGCCGCCGCGGCGATCAAGGATGCATACACCTCGTTCTCCGAGCGGAGGGCGTTGCTCAACCTGCCCAACCCGGGCACCGTGGATAACATCGCGAGAGAGGTGCAGAAGGAGGTTCTGCTGTCCAACTTCATGTTCAGCGGTCTTCGCGCAGACCTGACCAAGGTCTTCGGCATGACCCCTCTCTTCCGTGTGTCGCATGCGTTCTCCATGGGCTCGTCCGGCAACCTGCCCCCGTACGCCTTCTCCGCCATGTACGGAAGCCCCAAGGTAAGCCTTCACAGTTCTTTCGAATCGATCTTGTTTCTCTCATCGGATTCAATTGCTTACTGAGATTCCGCTTTGCAATAGGTCTTCATGCAAGGTAACTTCGGAAGCGATGGCACCCTCTCTGCCGTCTACAACCACCGCTGGACCCAGGCTCTGGTCACCAAGGCCAACGCTCAGATTATGCCTGGGGCCACTCAGGGCCTGCTCCAGCTCGACAATGACTACACTGGCGATGATTTCTCTGCTTCCCTGAAGGCCTTCAACCCCTCCTGCCTCGAGGGCGGTCTGACCGGTATCTTTGTCGGTAGCTACCTCCAGTCCATCACTCCCAGCCTCGCTCTCGGTTTCGAGGCCATCTGGCAACGCCAGGGCCTGAACGCTCGTCCCGAAACTGCTCTGTCCTACTGCGCCAAGTACAAAGGAGACGACTGGATCGGTACCGCCCAGCTGCAGGCCCAGGGCACCTTTGCTGCCACCTACTGGCGCAAGCTGTCCGAGCGCGTCGAGGCCGGTGTCGACATGAACCTCCAATTTGCTCCCAACGCCGCCGCCATGATGATGGGTGGCCCCAGCCGCGATGGCACCACCGCTATCGGTGCCAAGTACGACTTCCGCGCCTCCACCTTCCGCGCCCAGGTCGACAGCGCCGGCAAGGTCAGCTGCCTTCTCGAGAAGCGCATCGCCATGCCCATCTCTCTGACTTTCGCTGGTGAGATTGACCAGGCTAAGGTATGATAAAGCCCCCTTTATGTTATCCGGTGATGTCTCGTGTAATCTGATACTGACTCGTGATCGTTGTACAGCAAACCGCCAAGGTCGGCCTTGCCGTCTCCCTTGAGATCGCCGGTGAGGAGTTGATGGAGCAGCAGGAGAAGGCCGACCCTGCCAGCATGGTCCCTCCTCCTTTCTAAGCTCCTGGCCCCGTCGCGAGTCCAACATCTCGAGTCCGATGCATATGACCCCCATCTCTCGAGCTAATCACCTTTCAACACCTCTGTTTTAGTAGTTCTTCGCTCCTCAATGATTGGAACGACGTGGCATTTCACTTCACTTCCCTTCCCTTCACTTCCCTCTCGGTTTATCCATTCGAAAACGGGTTGCTGGTGCAGGCGGCAGTTGTTTGGCGCCATGGAGATTCCAATATTTTTCCTGTATAGATTCACACTCCGTTTCCTTTGATCACCACCTCCACCTCCACACGATGCGCGCATCTCCGGCTATATTCGGTCCGTGATCCTGCGTTTTGTTTATCTTCCAAACTGGTTTTCCTTTCATGGCCATGTGTGTGGTCCGGATATGGCGAGGGTTTGTCAGGGGAGCTCTGGTTATGTTTTCGCATCATAGACGGACCAATGTAAAACAGACTTTGACCTTGATCGCATTTGTACTTTGTAAGGATATTGGGTACGCGGGATGGGTGAGCGGATATCTTTTCCGGCCTCTCGTAGACAACGTAAATATCATATCAGATGTACGCGATCTAATCTAGCACCTCGATCTGCAACCGTTTCCATCCGTACTTATTTCCCCATCGAAGGCTGCAGAATCACCTGACCCCATTACCCCCAGGCGGAGGCCGGTATTTAATCGGCGCGCGAGGCAACCGAAAAGAGGTACACGGTGGGCCTCGAGTGGGCTGCTGGAGAACCGCGCCCGCCAACGAAGCGTCAGAATACTCTGGAGTGCAGATGTGGGCATGGCCTCATGTAGCCTCTATATCGCATGGGAAGCAAACCGTTCCAACTTCGCCCCCACCCAACCAACCCTTCGTCCAAGTTGGTCGGTGAATACCGTCCAGTGCCTTACGGGTCCACCGGGGCTGAACTGTGTACAAAGGGTACACTACTATAATACTACAGTATTACATAGCCCGTCAACATTTACCGCGGTCAGATCAACAGGTCAACGGGTCAACGGGTCAACGGGTCAACATGTCAACAATTTATCGCTATACTCCGTACCGTTGGGGTAAAAGGTGAGCCACAAAAGGGCGGCTGGCACCGCACGCCGTGACTCTCCCACGCCTGACATCATCCATTGACCCAATTCCGTCGACCTGCATTGGCATCAAATGCGATGTGCTGCGGGGACCGAATAATGAACGGGAGCTTGGAGCAGGTCTCAACATTTACAGTTTGAGGGCGGGGGCCCGAGACCCTCCCCCCTCGGAGCCACGTCCAATCGTCGCCGATTCTTCGTCGTCTACGCGGTAATTCTCGTTTCCTCGAAATTGAATGTGGGTAGTGTCCACCCGTATCTGAAGCCCGTTGGGCTGGTTTCAAGTCGGCAATTTTTGGGTTGGAAATTGTGTGGTTTCAGTTCGAATCTCATTTGTCTACCGTCCCGAATATTAGGGCTCACTACCGCTCCCCGACCGGCACGGTCGTGTAGTACCAGTCGGGACCTCTCCTGGGTCGGGTAAATCCCTCTGCCGAAAAAAAAAAGAAAAGAAGAAAAAAAGAGGTCAAAAATGGGAGACGGCTACGGTATCTCAGGTCTTCATTATTCATTGTTTATACTGCAACCAAGGGGGGGGGGGAAGGGAAAGCGTGACGGGAGGGTTGGGCCGGGCTCCACGTCTAAGAAACAAATGCCCAACATGCCAATCGGTAATATGCTTGGGCTGCATATCGGAGCAGGTATGATTTGGATCGTCATTGAGATGGCAGATCGCCCGTTCCGACTCAATGGGAGGCACAACGGTCAATGGAGAATGAAACAATTCGGCTCCCAACCTCGGGCACGCAGCCAATGAGCCGCGCGGGATTCATGTTTCGCATGTTTCTCATGTTTCGCATATTTCCGTGCATTCCTCGCCAACACGAGAAGGGGAAATTATCTCGCGGTTCGACCTCCGTGGGGAACGGCGAGGTTATGAGATATCAAACCCACGTGTCTGACATCGAAGGGACATGGAATGTCGTGCCTTGCTTTCTACTCGGGCATTCCCCTTAATTTTACATGATCGTGCAGGATGCATAGTCGACCTCACTGTCAGGAACGGTCGTGGGTCTAAGCGAGGCATGTACAGTGGGAAGAGTCCACCCGTGAACCAGGAGGAGGAGATTACATAGAATCCAAGGCAGAATCTCGGGCCCGAAGACCCGGACCTGCCAGATTCTGGTCGAGAATCACGTCACTAAGAATTGGGATGACAGCGTTGGGGGGCTGTCCGCATGACAGACGTGTGGCGAGTCCGGTCTGGTGATGTCGATCTACGGCTGTGGTACAGTTTGCGCACAACCCTCGGAGAGGAGGGGCGCTAAGGTACAGTAGGTAACTAAGAATAATCATCGAGTCGGAGAGGCGGTCACGATACGGCGTATCTTGGGGAAACGGCGAGCAGGTCGGATGTATTTACGCCGTCATACAAGGCCCGCCGTGCAGCCCTTGGCCGTCGATAGCTTCGTAGCTTCTCAACGTCGACCTTTTCAGCCAGGTGCATCAGGCCGCAGCTCCCAGCTCCCAGCTTCCAACCCTCAAGTCGAGGCCGAGGAAAAGAACAGAGCTCGCAGACCGACCTCAACGTCCGGCCCGAGTTTAGCCTCATTGGCCGATCTTTCTCTCGAAAGCTGCGATCTGTGAGAAATGACCACGATCAGGGGCAAAGCGTCAGGAACCACATTCCCGAGCCCCTTTGAACGGAAAAAGCAAAAAATAAGAACGAAGGTCAAGCCTCGTTCCACTTTTGTGCCCACTGCGATCTGGGGGGGCTAGATCTCGAGTGGACGTCAAGAATCCCGGATGCAGCACGGGACCACGGCTGGAATCCCAATCGCTCGGAGCTGGGGGGCTGAGAAAAGACTTGACCCTGGCTGCACATGCCAAGGGAAACCTTGCACCTGGGATCGACGAGCCGGTATCTCGCATGGCCTGGAGTCAATACACTGACCTTGACAAGAGGGAGCTAGGAGAGAGCTGGGAGCTGGGAGCTGGGAGCTGGGAGCTGGGAGCTGGGAGCCGGATAGAAACCATAAAAAGGCATGGAAGGCCACGGAGCACGCGGTGGCCCAAGCTTCCCAAGTCAGCTGGACTCGATGACATCGTGGTCACGAGGGGATCACGAGGGAACCAATGACTGCGGTTCCTGGGAAAAATCACGGTTGGTCACCCGACGTTGACGGGACTCGCGGAAGAAACCAGAGTCTCGATCTATCTCTATCTCCTTCGCTTTCGGTCTGGCTGCTGGTATCCCGCGTATATTGATATTGATATATTTAGATATAGATATATTTTCTGAACGTACCCGGCCCCGTTCGTCGCGGAGATTCCGTACACCGCTGGCATGTATTGGTGAATACGCCAATCCCGGTCCGATGATATCACACTCCGCCCGTAAAGTAACCGTACCGTATTCGTTATCCACTCGTCACGGCTGTTTCGAGAGGCAAAAAAGAACCTTGGAATTGAATGAGGGTTTTGAGGAGAGGGAGGGGGGGGAGGAGGGGGAAATAGAAGAAAGACGGGGGACAAGGGAAATCGAGAGATCAGATCCAGGACTGAAAAAGAAGATGGTCTCTATAAAGCTGCATGGCATTTTCATGATTTGATTTCCCATCGTTTCCCATTGGGAGTCGGGTTGCCTTTTTTCCCGCCCCTCTCTTTTTTTTTCGCGTGCCTTTCCACACGACATCCCATACCCATATTTCCATTTCCCCCGTTTCCCCCGTAAGACACCCGCAAAGGGGAGGTTTCCTGGTTCCCATCAACGTCACCTCCGGCTCGCCCTGAGAACCAACCCGCCCAGTTTTACTTACTTTACTGAACCTTGCCCGCCTTTGATTTCCTCCTTATTGGTTCACTACTTTCCTTTGCTCTATTCGCCCACTTTCTTCCCTTTCCCTTCCCCTACTACCTCCGTACTCTCGACCTTCCTTCCTGGAGCATTCTTGGCACTTCTGCCGTTTCTTCTGAACTCGCCCCATCGGACCTTCCGCCCTCCCCCCTCCCCTCCCCTCCCCTCCTCCGATCCGAAGCTACTCCACCGCATTTATCGACTACCCTCTGCCCAAAACGGATTCTCTCTCTTTACACCTTTAGTATCAACTCCCTCCCTCCCACCATGTCACAGAGTCGGCCGGGGCTGTTCCCGAGTTTGCGCATGGGTGGTAAGAAACCCCCCCCTCTCCGTCCGCCAATTGTCGTGTCCCACTAACCCTACCCCTCCCGCGCAGAGGTCATCCGTGAAAAGGTCCAAGATGGCCTGACCGGCGAGCACAAGGAGATCTCGTACACCCAGTGCAAGATAGTTGGCAATGGGTCCTTCGGCGTGGTGTTTCAGACCAAGATGGCCCCCAGCGGCGAGGACGCCGCCATCAAGAGAGTCCTCCAGGACAAGCGTTTCAAGGTGAGAAGAGGCGGCTTCACCGGCAAGTGGTGATACTAACCTACCTCGTCTCCCCGTAGAACCGTGAGCTTCAGATCATGCGGATCGTGCGCCATCCCAACATCGTCGAGCTGAAGGCCTTCTACTACTCCAACGGCGACAGGGTAAGGTGTAACGAGTTCCCGCTGCGTACCTCCCCGACTGACTCCGTCCTCGTGACTTGCAGAAAGATGAAGTGTACCTCAACCTGGTACTCGAGTACGTCCCGGAAACCGTGTATCGCGCATCTCGCTATTTCAACAAGTTGAAGACGACGATGCCCATGCTGGAGGTCAAGCTCTACATCTACCAGTTGTTCCGGTCGCTCGCCTACATCCACTCACAAGGCATCTGCCACCGCGACATCAAGCCTCAGAATCTTCTCCTGGACCCCAATACCGGCATCTTGAAGCTTTGCGATTTCGGCTCCGCCAAGATTCTCATCGAAAATGAACCTAATGTCTCCTACATTTGCTCCCGCTACTACCGGGCCCCGGAGTTGATCTTCGGTGCCACCAACTACACAACAAAGATCGGTACGTTCCTCTCCCTGAAACCTGTCCGAATCAACGGACTAACCCGATGCTAGATGTGTGGTCGACCGGTTGCGTGATGGCCGAGCTGATGCTGGGGCAACCCCTCTTCCCTGGTGAATCCGGCATTGACCAGCTGGTGGAGATCATCAAGGTGCTTGGCACCCCGACTCGGGAGCAGATTCGCACGATGAACCCCAATTACATGGAGCACAAGTTCCCTCAGATCAAGCCGCATCCCTTCAACAAGGTTTGTATCCTCTCTGGCCGCCCCACGAAATCGCCGGTGCCTCTCATGCTAATACCCGACCAGGTCTTCCGCAAGGCTCCCCCGGAGGCCATTGATCTCATCTCTGCCCTTCTGGAGTACACCCCTACTCAGCGGTTGTCGGCGATCGAGGCTATGTGCCACCCATTCTTCGATGAACTTCGGGATCCCAACACCCGGTTACCCGACTCTCGTCATCACAACAACCCCTCCAAGGATATGCCCCAGCTCTTCGACTTCTCGCGGCATGGTAAGTCAATGCGGGCGAATTCTCGCCGTATTCTGAATGCTGACCTGACCCCCTCTCTCTAGAACTTTCGATCGCTCCTCAACTGAACGACCAGCTGGTTCCCCCTCACGCTCGCCCGGCTCTCGAGGCCCAGGGTCTCGATATCAACAACTTCAAGCCCCTCTCCAAGGAGGAGATGATGGCTCACCTCGATTGAGCGGACGACTGCCGCCTCAGCGAGGAACATTGTCTGTTCGTAGTGCGTTCCGCACGGTGCTGAGAATTCGATGACCTACCGACCCCGAGGATGTTTTGGTGTTAAGAGTGGGCTCTGAATGGGAGCACGGGCTCTGCTGTGTTATGCCTTTTTGAACCAGCGGGGCATTGGCGGAACTGCATCGGGGCTATAAGGGGGGAAGAATGGGCAAACGTGGTCAACATTCTTTCTCACGGAGAACCGGATTCGAGTGGGGAGAGGCTGATGATTGTCACGCAACGGTGGGAGGTCATAGCCTGGAGTTTATTATTTTGAGGTGTCTGCGACAACTCTTGGGAGGAAAAAGTGATACCCTTTCTGTGCAAGTCTGCCTTTTCCGGGACTGAAGACTGCATGGCTTCATCGGTCGAGGGGGAGAAACCTGCAGAGCAAGCCGATCTCGACTCGGGACATCTGAAATGCATCACCGTCCGAGAGGCTTTCCTTTCCATCTTCGAGGGGTCTGGAGCCACGCGGTTCTCCCTGTCGTTGACTTCCTTCGACCTGCAGCGCTAGAAACCCTGTTCTTTTCTCTTTTTTTTTTTTTTTTTTCTCTTTCGTCCCCTGTGCGTCATTTTGCTTTTCGTCCTGTCTTTTTTTTCAATGTCATTGTCCTGGTTCATCGGGGCTCGGCTGGTTCCTGGTCTTCTTCCCGACTTGCCGGCGATGAGCTACATATCCCAATTCTGAAGCAGACGGTTTCTTTGTTCTTTTGTTTCTGACTTGTAGATGCATGTGTCTCGTATTGTAGGTCGTGATTTTTTTGAAATTGGATTCTGGAGACGAGAGCTGAGTGGTCGGGGCTACCTTCTCTCTACGATGGAATATATACTCTCGGAATTGTCTCTCCAACTGTCCCAGTGAATTGATCTCGCGTACATCGATGGGTTTAGACATGAGGAAAAAATTGTCTAGAAGACGTGAACCAAGTATGCTTAGAAAGAAGTTCAAGTCATTGACTCCACGGTATCAAGATACGCAATTGAACATGCCTCCCCCTACAAATTGCTAACAATTGAGCAAGTCAAACCAAAAAGGTGCTGACTGCTACGAATCCAACAATCCCGTACAAAGTCAAAACGGTCGCAGGGGCCCGGGTCGGAAATTCCACCCTTCCGAGCTGCCAGGCCCCTTCAAGCTCCGGTTCTCTTGGACTTCACTTCGACCTTCCCCCGTGCAACCTCCCATTGTCAATCCAACCTTTGATGCGCAATGGCTGACTACGAGCGCCGGAATTCTAACTACCGTGGAGGTGGCGGGCGCAAGCGGCGCTACCGAGGTGAGAACTACGTTGTGAACTTCCGATGCGTGCGCGCGTAGCTGACCAGCCAATTTGCAGATGACGAGGACTACGATCGCCGCCCTCAACGACGCAGATACGAGGAGCCTCTATTTGTTCAGGTTCGCCGCCAGCTCCTGACGCTTGCCGAATCGGTACGACCCTCCCTTCTACGCGCATTCTGTTCCCGTGGACATTGGGTTTGGAGACTAATGCTGAAGGATGACACTGTAGGCTGCTCGGCGAGTCGAGGATGATATCGTGGGAATCGCGAAGACGGTGGCGGAGAATTACGAAGATGAAGAGCTGCGCGACACCTTCATCAACATTTCCCTTGACCTGTGCGTGTGGATCTTGATTCTTTCGCCTCCGAGGCGCAGACTGACAATTGACCCCATTGCAGTGTTCTTGAGCAGCCGATGAAAATCCCATTTGTCGCCGCAGCGACTTTGGCCGCGCAAAACCTGAAGCCGGAGCTTGGGGCGGAAATGTTGAGCAAGGCGAGCATTGCGTTGCAAAGATACATCGATTCGGGATCATGGCGCGAGACCAAGCTTCTCCTTCGCTTTTTGGGTGGATTGCAGTCGGCATTTGAAGGCGATGGCATTTTCCCGCTTTTGGAGGAGCTGTTCGCTCGTGCGGTCGATCTTCAAACCACGTCCTCGGAAGATGTAAGTGATGCGCCTTGGTTTGACCGCAGCTTCGCTCTAACGCAATTGAACATAGTTGCTCGGACTGGAGCTCGTCAAGATCATTCTGTTCACGATTCCCTACGTGATGTCCTCGCCTGCCACCGGTTTCGAGTCCCAGGCAAACGCACTCCTTGAGAAAACGGACATCATTGCGTCTACTCCACACGCCCTGGTCGACTTGGTGAACACATTTAGTCCTGATGAGAACAAAGAAGCGGCTGGACCCAGTGTGATCAGCTTGCTCCAAGGCCAGCTTCAGGCTGAAGCCGGCAAGGGCTGGGAGCTGAAGTGTCTTCCGCGCCCATGGAAGGACGTTCAAGAACGGGAACCTGACGAGCAGAAGCCTTTCGACGTAGTTACCAAGGTTCCTTTCCCGCAAATCACCGTCCCGAACCCTGTCCCGAACGGCGCTCGGCCTCTCTTCCCGGAGGTTTACATCTCCGTGTACGCCAACCAAGAGGTGGATACCGTGCCTCCCACCTCAGACATCTCTTCCTCACTCTTGAGAGAGGCGTTGGTGGACACTATCAACCTTCTTGATTTCAACCGTGTCGCCACAGCCAAGTACCTGATCGATGTTGACTGCTACTACACGCCCGGCATCTTCGTTAAGCGCGCAACGCCGTTTGACCGCATGCGGGAAATGGCTGGTGAGCTGCAGGCGTGGAAGCCGGAAGACGTCGCGGTGGATGCCGTGTTTTCACAACTATATCAGTTGCCAACACCGGAGCACAAGCTTGTGTATTTCCATTCTGTTCTGACCGAATGCTGCAAGATCGCCCCGGCGGCTATCGCCCCTAGCTTGGGCCGTGCCATCCGATTCTTGTATAATAACCTGGAGACCATGGACCTGGAGCTGAGCAATCGCTTCTTGGATTGGTTCGCCCACCACTTGAGCAACTTCGGCTTCACATGGAAATGGAGCGAATGGTAAGTTGCAATCTGTTGCAGCGGAACGTGATGTTGCGGACTCTGACCACCTTGCAGGGTTGACGATCTTGAACTCCCTGCCATCCACCCGAAGATGGCATTTATACACGGCGCTCTGGATAAAGAGATTCGTCTCAGCTTTGCCCAGCGCATCAAGGGTACTCTCCTGGAGCCCTATATCCCGTTGATCACGGAGGGCAAGGAAAAGGACACCCCTGAGTTCAAGTATATGTCGGATAGTAAGTTGAGCGTTTGCCAGTCTTGCGCATCTCTTCGGTACTAATTAGATCTGCAGCCACCCCGTACTCCAAGGAAGGACAGGAACTCATGCAGCTTATCCGAAAGAAGGCGACTGACGAGGAAATTGAGCCAGTCATCGCAGCTATCGAGGAGCAGGCCCAAGGCTTGGGAGTGGAAGATCCCAAGGTTCCCTCAACCGATGCTCTTGTGACATCAATTTGCTTCGTGGGATCCAAGTCGCTCTCGCACGTTCTGTCCTGCATTGAACGGAACAAGGACCGACTGCTCGCCATTGGATCAGCCTCCCAGCAAGCCCGTTGCCAGATCATCACCTCCGTCATGGAGTACTGGGCGGACCAGCCGGGTATTGCCATCAATATCATTGACAAGCTACTTAACTACACCATCCTTAGCCCCCTCTCCGTCCTCGAGTGGGCCCTGATTGAGTCCATGGCCGCTGGCACCATCCTTTCCAAGTCCTACATCTTCGAAATGATCTCCGCCACCGTCGGCAAGGTCACCAACCGCATGCGCCAGATCGTTGCAGCCCGCACGCAGCCGGGTCTGTATGAGCCGCAGCTGAGCGTCCTGGACGAGACCCTTGCTCGCGAGCGGGCCGATATGCAGGCCCTTTTCAAATTTATTGAGGATTCCATCGTCTCCGTCGCCGCTGGCAGCAACGACGAAATGATGGAGCGTGGTGATGGCAGCGGTGATTTGCCGGAAGACGCTATCATTCGCCAATGGGGCCGTCGCTGGCTCCGAGTCTTCCGACGGAAGGCGGCCGTCGAGGAAGCATTCATCAACGACGCGCTTGCTAATGCCACCCCCGTTGGAACGACCGCTCCGGCCGAGACTGAAGCTGCTGATGCAGACATTAAGATTGCTGATGCCGATGATCAATAGAAGGGGTGGATGGACGGAAGCATTTAGGAGGACAGCCTTTTCCTCATGGGGTATCTTCCCGGTTTCTTTTGAGCCCTTGTGGCACTGCTTGATCTACTCATGGGATGTGGTGGGGCGGGTTTCGATTTGTCCTACTTTTAAATGTACACTACCGATTTTCTGAGCGCGGCGTACCTCTCAGGCCATAAAAATTCAAGAAAAAAAAAGGGGGGTTCCTAGTGAGTCGTTAGTCCCGTTCGCCGTAACCTGCTGGGTTTGAACTCGAAGCTCATACTGGGGGACATAGTTTGACATTTAAAGAGATGTTAACAAAGATATCTTGGAATAAATGCTAACATGTCTAAGAAAACGCTCAAAGAACAGGTCTAAAAAAAATGCACAGGAAGAGATTCGGAGGGAATAATATGTAGGCCTGCTTTACGATATCTCCTTGATTCGCCTGTAGATGGCGTATTTGTGTAGTTATTGTAATTAGGGCAGCCACGGCAAGCCCAAAAAAATAAAAAAGACGAAATGATTATTATCCACGGTTGAGAAGGAACGGTTTGCCCGAGACCCTTTTGTTGAAAATCATCATACAATCATCCCCCCACACTGAAGTGCTCCTCCAAGCCAGGTAGAATACAACCAAGAGAAGAAAACAAAATCAAACCCTTGTGACTTCATAGGAATACGTAAACCCCGTAAAAACACTTGCTGGAAACCCGATCTCGTTTTCCAAGTTTTATATATCACTCCACATAGTTTATAGGAATCATGGAGGCCGTCATGGCCCCCTTCGTTCCATGTAGTACGGTCCGGATTCATCCCCGTCACTGCTTGATCCACCCGTGTACATTGACACACTATCTTCGTAACTGCCCCGGCGGGAGTGGATATCCTCCTCTGACTCTAGAGAAGCCATCCGTCGCATGTGGTCGCCCGCCGCGGCAGAACGTTGTACAGCGCCGATACGCCGGTCCTTGCCTCGTCCCTTGATGCCCTTGTTGCTATTCTTGTATAGATTGGCGAAATATACCCACATATCTTGTTCCTCTGCGTTGGCAGGTCCGATCTCTTCAGAGAAACGTTTCGTTAACAGTCCGAGGGTTCTGGCGTGGAACTTATTCTGGTGCGACTAAACGAGAAACGAGATGTTTCAGTACTCTGTATATTGGCCTGGTAGACTGGTTGTCTCATACCTTGAGGTTACCCAGCTGGGTAAAATGCTTGCCACAGTCGTCTAGGCGGCATTTGAAGGGCTTCGTATTCATGTGGGTAATGATATGGGCGCGAACGTTGCCGCGCTGGGCGAAGCGCTTGTGGCAGATCTCACAGGAGAAAGGTTTTTCGCCCGTGTGACGGCGTTGATGAGTCTGTGCAGTGGGTGAGCTTCGTCCGGTCCAAGTGCCATAGCATGGGAGCGTTTCCGGATCCTGCTTACCTTCAGGTTGCCTAGCTGCGAGAAGCGCTGCCCACACCCGGGTTCCTCGCAGAACTGTTCGTTCTGTCAGCACACGTCTCACTTCGTTTCATCCATACTACTCACAAATGGCTTGTCCCCTGTATGTGCTCGTGTATGGATATCCAGATGTGTCTTTTGAGCAAAGCTCTTGCCACAATCTGGCACATGGCAAGTATATTTGCGCTTCCTGCCAGATCGAGACAACTGACCTTCGTTGGTCATCATGCAACGTGGCGGGGTCACGGGATAGCTATGATATCCTGGAGAAGGGAGGTGTTGGAGGGGAGGTAGGGACTGTTGCACGGGCGACGAGCCTGGTCGGGCCTGAATGGCCTTCATCAGGACATCGACTCCCGTGGAGAAGTCGGACTCGACGTCTTGTTCCTTACCCGGAGAGTCCGTGGACACCGTTGGACCTCCATAGCGTGGGCTAGCAGCGTGTTCAACCTTGACGACTTGGCTGATGGCATTTTTGGCCGGACGAATGTCCGGAAGAGACTGCGACTGCTCGGGTACCAAGCGTGCAGGAGAGCTCAGCGGCTGCCCCACGAGGTAGTGGTACGGCGTGGGCTGGGTTAAGGAACCATAGTTGTATGCGGCGGACGTTGGTGCCTGGTATGGCAGTGAGAAGGATGGTGTATTGGGATGCGAATAGTAAGGGTATAGGGGTGCATCCATGGGCCGACGATGAGCAAAAGCGCCCACAGGGTGACCATGGAAGTCGAAGGGCACCGGCTCTGCAGACTCCATTGCCGTTCTTTTGAACCCGAGGCTGGAAGCTGAGTCTCAACCTGAATCCCGGGAATCCCACCTGTATGGGATGACTTCCTGGAATGATTTTGGTTCTGGCCGTAAGAGTCAGGTTGCTTTTGAGGGGATATCAAAGTGGGCGTGATTCCAGGGCCGGGGTTCTATATAGTAGGAGTATAATTGAGATTGGGATTGACTAGTGGTGATCACCCGCCCCCAAGATGTATACCGTCATGTAATTCAGGTATCCGTATGACATTTCCCAGGGGAGACGAGTTCGAGGCCGAAGGTGCATGGACGATCAGGGATTCAGGGATCATGGATGAGGCGACCTGAAATCCCCACTCGCATGGACGCATCATCTTTTTCAGTGTCACAGCCTTCACTTCACCGGTTTGGATACTAGTGTGTTATTAGTGATTGAAAATGACAGGGGGTGCGGGGGAAAAGGGAATTTCGGTGTGAGTAGTACAGAGAGATGGGAATACCAGCAGCCGCGACTGGCGACCTGAATTTCTCGCACTTCTGGACTTTCTCCTGCTCTTTCCAACCTCGCCCATCTACTCTTTACTCTCTTATTCCCCTTTCCCCTCATTTCTTCATTTCTCTCCTTCATTCTTCTTCATTCTTTCATTCTCTCATCCCCCCCCCTCCCTCTTTGTTCACAAAAACAAATAATCGGGTGCATCACCTCGAGGGCGGGCCGGGCCTTGGGGCTTTCAAAGTGGACTGATCTGCAGTCGAGTAAGCCGACGCTGATTGGGGCTCACCCAGATGCGCCCGCCCGATAGTCGCCAATAGCGTCCGATCTTCGCCCATCGAATATCCATGCTAGCCGCCCATGGCCCCGGAAATTCTGGCCGATCGGGTTTCAGCTCGATCTCCCGATCCTCACCGTGCATGGGCTGGTGTCTTGCTCATTGCGCTTCCCGGCCTCGCTCCCTGCACGTCGTGCAGTCAGGAGGCGTCGACCGATCCATGTTCCTGCAGGGATCGGGACTGGGCGCGAACTCTTGCCTCAATGGGAGACTGACTTGAGCGTAACGAGCGTGGCAGCATGCGAACCAGATGTGCCAAATGTGCCAGATGTGCCAAATGTGTACCTGCGGAGAGGGGATCCACTGGTCCCGACAAATCCCATGGGATCGCCTGTCACTCCGTATTATACGGGGTTACATACTGATCGACTCATGGCTGGGCCCCTTTAATGGTCCCAAAACTCGACAGGTCACGAGCCTTGGTCCCACCACGACAACATAAGAGGCTTTGTGGCGATTCAGACGGACAGGGGTACCTTTGCCGGGTCCCCAGAACACCGGTCCCCTGTGCTACGTGAAAACTTGGGTCCTCCTTTACCTATGGACAGTTGCATTTGGGGTGCGAAAGTGCATTATTCAAGATGGAACAGAAAGAAACCGACAAATTCGAACATAGCAGCCCAACCCGGCGGCAAATGAATCCAAAGCAATAGAAGGGAGAATGAAAAAAAAAAAAAACAACGCATTGCGCCAAGGCATCCCGCACCCTTTTACCGAGGAGCGTAGTTCGAGTATCTTAAAAAGCGGGTCAGTTGCCTGTCAAAAGAGTGTTAGGAAATCCAATCTTACCTCCAGATCCGTGCACGCATGTCTCCACTGCCGGTTGCGAAAAGATTGCCGGTGGGAGCGGGGGCAACCGAGATAACTGTTCCGCGGAGAATTAGCAAATGCTGATCAGTGCGTCGACCATTGATCGGCGGACACTCACCGGAATTCTTGTGGCCCTGCAGCATCATCTGGGCGTTGCCGGTAACCGGATCCCAGAATTGGACACCGCGGTCCTTTGAACCACTCATCACCCATTGGCCATCGGGGGTCAGGCACACGCTGAGCACAAAGTCCTGAAGCCATGTCAGTAACATTACAATTGCTTGGTGTCGGAGTTGAAAACAAACCTTGTGGCCCTCGAATGTTCGAACGCACTTGCCGCCCTTGACGCCGCTATGGGGGTGCATGCCCCGCGGGACAGTGAGCTCCCACAGCTTGATGGTCTTGTCGAGACTGCCGCTGACTAGGTCGCGGCCGTTGGGCGCAAAGGCAACTGAGTATACGCTGTCCTTGTGGCCGTCCGGGTTCTCCAAGCGCTCCACCAAGTATCCGGTGGTGGTATCCCACACGCGTACGCTCTTGTCAAGCGATCCGGCCGCAACGTAGTGACCATCGGGAGACATGGCCACCGTGGTGACGCCGTCTTCGATACTGAGGGTATAGACGAGCTTGCCGTCCAAGATATCCCAGAGACGTACGGTCTTGTCGCCACTACCCGAGGCAATGTAACGACCGTTGCCGGCAAAGTCTAGGGAGTAGATATCTTGCTCGTGGCCGGTGAAGATGTGCTTGATAGTGCGATTGGCGATATCCCAGACCTAAATTCCGTCGCAGCAATTCGTTAATGGTCATTCTCCTACCGGAGCAGCGGTCTGGGGGACCGAACTTACCCGAATCTGCTTGTCCTCCGCGCCGGTAGCCAGGTACTTGCCGTCGGGGCTGAAGCAGACGCTGCGGATGTACAGATCGCCGTCCTTGTCGACATTCTCATCCTGCAGCGTCGCGACGGTCTGACCAGTGCTCACATCGAAGATCTGCGCAGAGCGATTACATCCCGTTGCGAGATACTTGCCGTCACGGCTGAAACGAACACAGCATACAACGCTGTCGTGGCTGAGGTGGTGCACCAACTCGACATCCAGCACGCGCTGCACCTCTGGGTTGAACACGGCGTACCAATCCTGGCCCTCACGCTTCTGAGACGCGGGTAGGTCCTCGGGGTTCCAATTGGCAAGCATGTTACCGATGCGCTCCGTGCGAACGAGGGAAGACTGGTTCGGCGGCGTGGGGCGAGGGATCTGAGGCGAGGCACGGGGATCCGGATAGGCGAGCTGAGTCTGCTGAGGAGTGGCAGGGCCCGGGGCGGCACGACGGCCCTTACCAGGGCCTGGGGATGCGGTAGGAGGGGGCGGGGGACCGTAGCCTAAGGGACGAAGAATCAACGTGTCAGCAAATCGGCGGCGGTTCCCAACTCAAACGCACATACCGTTCACAGCAGCACCAGGCGGATATCCCCCAAAAGAGCTCTGCGGGGGTTGTGGCGCACCGGGCTGGGTGGCCGGGGCAGGCTGTTGAAGGGTATGCTGGGAATGCTGCTGATCCTGGGAGGGGGGGAGGGGCAAGACCGGGACCACTACCTCCTTGGTTGGCCATGATGCCACCGAATAAGTTGCTGGGGCCGTGGCCTAGAGAAGGCGGTTGCGCCTGAGGGCCCGTGTGCTGCGCGGGCGCGATGTGAGAGGCGACGGGTTGAACACCACGCGACTCGAGCTCGTGTCGCAACATGCGGATCTCGGTTTCGTAGCTATAATGAGCGAAACGTGTTAGATTGAGATGACATCGAGGAAAGAGGGGGGAAGTTCACGTACTCCTGCTTCATCTTGATCTGGGTCTGCTCCAGCTGATACACCTTCTGGCGGATCATCTCCATCTCCTGGAGCTGCCCGGTTACTGCGTGATCTGTCAGTTAGATAACATTTCAGCGAGGTTCGCGACCCAGTGAGCCGCAGCCATAGATGGACTGGCGACACTTGAACGGTAGGGGGAGTCTCCCCATTGTGTGAGGAGGCAGGAAGAAAGATGGGCAGGGCATCGACCGGAGAGACATACACTGGTGCTCATATTCACCGGTACTCCGCGTTTGGGTCTCGAACTCCTGGCGCAGTTGATCCAGCAACTCCGTCAGGCGGGAGTTGGGGGCGGGCACCATCCCGCGATGTGTGTTGTACATTGCGATTCGATGATTCAGATGATGATTTCAAAGATTGGCAGTAGACGCTGTAAAGACGGCAGCTTCGGGAAGATCAAAAATCGGTCAAAGTCGAGACAGCGACAGCTCGCGACAGAGGATCGCAGCTTAGCTAGGGACTCAAATGACAACTTGAAGCGGCGATGCTGCTTGGTGGAAAACACCACGCAGCTAGCCACAGCAATGAAGCCGAATGAGTGTAATGATTAGGGCGGGGGGTGGAGGCTCAAAGTCGAGATGGGGAGAAGGAAGAGGCTGGCTGACGGGAGCGGGAAGGTTGGGGGGGGGGAATTGGCGGCTGCCGTTAACGCGGGAAGCGAGGAAGTAGGCGAGAAGCGCAGGGGGGTTTGGTGCCTCAGGGTGGATTCAGTCGGGAGAAGTGGATGATGATGACTGATGATGACTGGAAGGAGCAAGGTACTCCCGTTTGCAGGGACCCGGGCCCAGATCGCCTTTGAAGAGCCTTTTTCCCATGAGACTTGGATCTACGCTAGGGGCCGGCGGTTGGGGTACCCCTGAGTACGGTGGGTGCAGCCCTGCGGCCTTGTTGCCCGGTAATTGGGGTGTCGATATTGATGCCTGGAATGTCGGGCATCCAGCCCCTGGATTACGGAGACAACGTTACTGTTGGGTACTTCGGCTCCGAAAGTCTATGTATGATACGAGGGTACGAGGATAAGCAATTGCGCATATGCAGGTACCAAAAAAATTAATCTTCAACATCCTAAAACACACTCTAAATAGTAACAATCCCTGTGTCTCTCGAGCAGTAATATTCGGCTTATTAAGAACGCGCGCCATCTCAACGGCAGCGGCCGTTCCGCGCTGGTGTGATGCGGGCAGAATTTATTATTCGCCGAGATCTTTTGCCCCTTCCACTTCCACCTCCCCGTTCTCCCCTACATCCCCCCCCTCTTCCTACTCCCTACGGTCCCCGTGTACTTCAACATGGATATCGTTCTCGAATTCTGGGACACCTTTGTTGGTGATCGTCTCTACTCGACTCTCCTCCCCGCTTCGCTCTCCGCGTCCGCCTCCTTTCCGGCCTTCGTGAATGCCGCCAATAGTTCTCTGGCCCTCTTCGGTGCCACTGAACCCTTTGTCTACGAGCCTGCAACTCAGCTGATTCATCTGGAACCCTCCCAATATGCCTATCTCAGTGCCTGGCCGAGAAACAACATCTATAGGCAATTCACCAGCTTTTTCCTGATAACTTGGTATGCGCGACATCCCACGCCACTCGAACCCTAAAATACTTAACTAACCCGCAATCGTTGAAGGATTTTCGGTCTGCTCGTCTATTTCGTCATGGCCACTCTATCGTACGTCTTCATCTGGGACAAGACGACTTACAACCATCCCAAGTTCCTCAAGAACCAGATTTCCATGGAAATGAAGCAGGCCATGGGCGCCATGCCCCCGATGGCTCTTTTGACCGCGCCTTTCTTCGTGCTGGAGGTTCGAGGCTATGCCAAGCTGTACGATGCCGTCGCCGATGAGCCCTTCAAGTACTACAGCATCCTGCAATTCCCTCTCTTCATCCTCTTCACCGATTTCTTCATCTACTGGATCCACCGCGGGCTGCACCACCCCCGCGTCTACAAGACTCTGCACAAGCCGCACCACAAGTGGATCATGCCGAGTCCCTTCGCCTCTCACGCCTTCCACCCCTTGGACGGCTGGTCCCAGAGTGTGCCGTATCACGTCTTCCCCTTCATCTTCCCCCTGCAGAAGCTGGCCTACGTCTTCCTGTTCGGCTTCATCAACCTCTGGACCGTCTTCATCCATGATGGTGAGTACGTGGCCAACAGCCCCGTCGTCAATGGCGCCGCTTGCCACACCATGCACCACCTGTACTTCAACTACAACTACGGGCAGTTCACTACGCTGTGGGACCGCATGGGCGGAAGCTACCGCAAGCCTAATGAAGAGCTCTTTCGCCGGGAAACCAAGATGGGTGAGAAGGAATGGTCTCGTCAGGCCAAGGAGATGGAGGAAATCCTCAAGACCGTGGAGGGTGACGATGACCGCAGCTATATGACTGCAGCAGAGAAGAAGAACTCATGAGAGACGCACCGGCACCTTCGGGCAAGCCATTTGGAGAATGCCGACAATTGCATACGACGAAATCGCCGAATCAGGTATACGGCGAGCGTCAGGCCCCGTCTCTTTCTCTCAATCCCTTTTCAACGACCTCGCGTTGACCCCAATTTGGGAAACCCCCAAATTTTCAAGTACATTAATATTGCGCCGTGCACATCCCCATATTTGTTTTAATACTCAAAAAAGAGACTCGGCCCTCTTTGGGCTCGCGGTCCGACTTCTGTACATATATATTTCTCGCCATGGCGATCAGAATGCATTTTGATGACATTGGAATAATTCTATCAGTCTAAACATCATTGTCGATCTTCTACTATGTACTTGAACACCGAATTTCTCACAGCTTCTCGGCGGATTTCCGGCCTTGGTCGGGCAGGAACCAATCCATGTACTTGCGCTGCAAGGCCGGGGTAACTTTGGTCATGGAGTGAGCCAGCTCTTTGCCACCGCGACAGTGCTTCTCGATCGCATCCTGTGCGTGCCCCTGAACGTCGTATCCGTAGACATCCAGCACCGTCTGAGGATCTCCATAGAGATTGCTGCTGCGTACAAAGTACTTGCCCGCCAACTCCGCGGCCATTGCAGCATCTCGTCCTTCCTGCAACGGGCCGTCCGGCAACTGCCAGATAGCTCCATTGATAAATGACACCTGCTGCTTCTCGTACGCCTTGGGCATACGCTCGGTTTCGTATATGCCAACCGCTTCCCGCAGGCTCAGCTTTCCTTGAACAACGCCTTCCACACATTTGCCCAGGAACGCTCCGTCCTCCATGGAAGTAGCCGCTCCCTGCGCCATGTGGTTGACCATGGAGTGCGCCGCATCGCCCATGATAACCACGTTCTTCTGAGGCGATGACCAGGACTCCAGAGGTCCAGTCACCATGAGTGGCCAGCGGGACTGGGTTCAGAGGTTTATCAGTCATTGAGTGCTAAACTGTATCTCGGGAATCTCTTACCACTTCCGGTATCATATCCACGATGCGCTTGATCCGAGGATCGTAGTCCTTATACTCCTCCCGCAGCTCCTCAATCGGAATGTCCGGTTGAGTAGCTCGCAGCTTTTCGGGGCGATGATGCGATAGGACCAGATTAAACACCTTGCCCGCACAGATTGGATAGGTAATGATATACGAGTTGGGTGCCATCCACACCTCCATCGTAAGCTTCTCGATGAGCTCCTTTGCAATGGGATCTTGGCGAATTTGATCGTAGGGTACAACCGCACGGTATGCGCAATTTTTTGTCGGTGGCTCCGGACGAACACCCGGGAACAGCGTCTGCCGGACAACGCTGTTCACTCCGTCCGCTCCGATGCAGAGATCAAACTTATATGTAGCTCCTTGGTGAGTGGTCACGGTCACCTGGTCTGCCTGGTGGTCTATTTCGGTGACTCGCGAGTTGACCTTGATGACAGCCCCGGCTTTGGAAGCGACGGTAACTAGGCCCTCATGAAGATGAGCCCGATGAACCACCCACCAGGGTCGCTTCAAGTCTCGCTCAATAGTCGGAATCTCGGTGTATCCCACCGGGGTTCCATCTTTGCGGCGCATATTCAGCTCCTCAAACTGGACCAGGTTGTCACCGATAACCTTATCCACGCCCCATCTTTGAAGGAGCACGGAGACGTTGGGGGTCATTTGGATACCCGCGCCAATCTATAAGCATAAGCGAGGTGATTTCATCAACAGTCCGGGCTACATACTTCTCCCAGTTCTTCGGCAGCCTCCAACACGGTCACCCGAGCACCGGCGTGGCAAATTGCAATGGCTGCCGCCAGGCCACCGATCCCTGCACCGACGATACCGACATGGACTTGAGAGCTCTGTTCAATAGTTAGTGTCCTGGGTCATAGACTGGGTTGGGGTTGGAATTGGGGTTGGAGTTGGGGCCGGGCCTGCGTGAAGGACTTTACCATGGTTGAAAGAAAAGAAACGATAATCTGCAAAACAACTTGCTCGATACTTGTGAATTGCCCATACCATCATCCATCATGAGCTTTTAAGTATAACCTCAGCGGGGCCCCACAAATTCATCGGGGAGATCGGAGATAGGCCATCGGGGAAATCGGGAAGTCGGGAGCCTCAAGATTGGGCTTCGGGTTTCCTTGGGGCAGCACTTTGCGGGGAAGCGGCATTTTGAACGCTCACGGCTACAGACATCGGTTGCCGAACGGGACGTGACGTGGGGAAGTCAGAACGTGCAAGTGGATATGGGTCTGTATCTCCCCGCCTTTTTCTCCCTTCTCCTAAGTGCGCGTCATGTCAGCGCATCCTCCAAAACGCCGGCGGGCTGTCCTGGCCTGCAACTCCTGCCGTCACCGTAAATCCCGAGTACGTCTCCCAACCTGTTGCAAAGTACGAAATTAACGAGCCGCAGTGTGACGGAGGCCGACCCTGCACCCAGTGCAAAGACCTCGGGTGCGAGTGTCTCTACCAGGATGTTGGCCCATCATGCAATCTTACAGTCGAGAAAAGGTATCAATCCGCTTTTCCCATAAACCAGACGACTCTAACCTTCGGACCTGCAGCTATTTGGCTCGGTTGGAACATCGCATTCAGGACATAGAAGCATCTGTCCGCAGATTGGAAAACAACCAGAGTAATGGCTCCAGCTCGGGCCCTTCAGAGCCCATTCAATCGTCCAATTCGAGGGAAGACACTCGTCCTCCTTCAAACAATGGAGTCATGCTGCCCACGCCCCCTAAATCGGATGTTCCGGTACGCTCTAATCATGTCGCTCAAGACAGAACTGAGTTCGGTGAGATCGATGTATCTGAAAATCCGATTGACGGAATGGGTGCTATCAACTTCACCGATGAGGAGGACTGCGGCTTCTTCGGTAAACTCCCAGATATCCGAAGCAGATCCAAGTGCCAGCGAGAACATGACTGACGTTGGTCTAGGGCCGTCGTCCAATATCGCGTTTCTGCGCCATATTTCCCGTGCCATTGCGCGAGGAAATGCGCACGTTCCCGGGGTGATCTCACTATCGTCTCCCAGCAATACTGGTGGAGGCATGTTGAACGTCTCGAGATCTCGTCCTTCGGATGATTTACGAAGTAAAACGCAAGGATCCAATAGGAATGAGGTCAATATTTTTGCTCTTCCCTCGGAAGATCGTACCTGGAGCTTGATTCAGGTCTATTTTGAGAAAACCGGCCAGCTGCTGCCCTTTATTCATGAAGCGTCATTCTGCGAGACGTATTTTCGGATGCGAGACGATAACTTCAAGAGAGTGCGGCGGATATGGCTTGGCTTGCTCAATATTGTACTCGCGATTGCCACTAGCCTTCACACGGAAGGTGATTTGCCCGCGGGAAGAAGAATCGACGAGTCCGATATCTACTTCCAAAGAGCCAATGGGCTGTGTGACCGGGATTCCAAGCGCAACGCGACCTTGGAGATGGGTATCAATCTCTGCCTCATTTGAACCATATCAGCTTTCACTGACTGTGTTGAGAATAGTTCAATATCTCTTGGTTTTAGGTCAGTATCTCCAGGGAACCCAAAAGTCGGTACAAGCATGGACCACCCACGGACTGGCTATCTCGGCTGCTTTCCAGCTTGGGTTACATTCTCCCGAGGCCAACCGGCGCTTCTCTCCCTTGGAGAGTGAAATTCGAAAGAGGACCTGGTATGGGTGTATTTTGCTTGATAGGTTAGTGACAGCATTGGTTGACATACGGGCTTTTCATGTGTTGATAATGGATCAGAACGCTAAGCATGACCTTTGGCCGGCCCTGTACCATTCCAGAATCGTACGTGAGACTGGAAATGCCTCTCCAAGACATGCAGGTGCTCAGCAGCACACCCAAATCGGAATCTTATCCCCAACTCGACGGTTGGTTCTTTACTGCTGCAATGTTAGCTGACACGGTCGATTCGGTTTTCACGTTGCAGATATGCTAACCCATGTTCAGTAAATTGTATGTCGTCATGTTCAACGTTCTTGACAACTGTTACTGTCAAAATCTGGGACTTGAACACCCACTCACTACGGCAAATGCTATCCCTCAAATCCTTGAAGGCGAGCACCAGCTTGAGAAATGGCGTTTTCAAATTGTGCCCGCGCTCGGAATCCGACTCTGGCATGAGCCTTTGCTTGCCGATGATTTAGCACAGATGGATCAGGAGTCGACTATCCGGCACCGATTCGGTATTGTGCTATCCGTGCGATATCACAACTTGCGGATACTCTTGTACCGCAAGTTCCTAGAGGGCTATTTGGATGCATATGGTGCCGACGAGTCCGCTTCCCAAGATAATAAGCTCATTCAACAAATGGGCTTCACGGGTGTGCAGAACTGCATTGAATCCGCTCAGTCCATTATCTCCACCGTGCACACTATCACATCGGCGACTGGTTGGCGTAGAGGACTGCTCGGTGCCTGGAATTATTCTCTGTATTACAGTATGTGCATTGACTGCATCCTCCACGTGGACGTTTTACTAATATCCCATTCCAGCTTTCAACGCCGGGCTCGTCATATTTGGGGCTCTTCTAGTCGCTTCGAAGGAGCGCAGGTATAACCCAGAGCAATGGAGCTCGGTAGAGTCATCCCAGCCCTACCTCGATTTGGCCGCAGAGGCTCTGCGCCGCTTGGACTCGGGTAACCGCGTGATCGAGCGCTGTATCGAGTACCTATCACAGCTATCGATGATCCTCAAAGCAAGCAGTAAGCCCAGCCTTCAATACCTTGTTCCCGTGTGCAATGACCGCGATGCTGATCCAGAAGCTGAAGCAGTAAACGAACCGAGCAATGCTCTTATTGGACCCGCTCCGCAGGTCTCGGCGTACTCTACAGAGTTTGCATCGCCACAGGCTGCGGATAACGCCATGTGGTCCAATATGGACCTCGGTGAATTCATGATGGACGACGATCTCGACCTTTTGGGCCGAATGTTCAATTTCAGCCATGCATATGATTCAGGGATGTAGTTGCCTTGGTGGATATTTGGTTTTCCCCTTACAGGATGATTTCAAACTTTGAGGCAAGATTCATCTGATAGGGGGTCTATTTCCAGCAAAAACAGGTCTTTTTTTAAAATCTTAGGTGGCTTCTTGTATATAACATCTAGCTCGAACATACCCCGCGGGGAATATGAACATTTTCTGCCCCGAACATTCCATCTACATCACCTCGCCCACCTTTTGATGATGACACATCGTGATCCATCGTAGGGGTGGAAGCCATTGGCAGCTAGATCTCGCTCGGTGCTTGGCCAAATCTCTGCACTCGAGTGATCGGAGTGGCTTGATGTCATGGCAGTGTACATCTCAACCACTCTGCCGGCCTGCGTCATATCTCCACATTCGAGCACGGTAACTTTGGCCTGCAGCTTGATTGAAAGAGTGAGAATGCGGCGATAGAAAATATCCTCGGGTCTGTCTTGGGCATCCTCCGTGGAACCGGTAGCAGGCGGTACCAGTGCTAGTCGCGGCTCGAAGAGCCGAACACTGCGCGCCGTGGTCCCGTCACGAAACTCCGAGGCGGAGATGTAGGGTGGATTGGAGATCAGCAAGTCACATCTGGTTGCCGACGGTTCGCTCAATGCCCCAGATTGTGAAAAATATTTAGGTAAGACTTCCTCCACGGCAGGGATCGAGCTATCACTCCGTCCCAGTACATCGGCACGTTGGAAGTGGATGTCGGTGGATGCTCGACGAGACAGCAAGCCCTTGTCTACATTGTGATCGAGGTTCTTCTGCGCCAAGTTGAGCGCTATAGGACTGAGATCCACCCCCAAGACGATCATATCCTTGAAATGAGAAGCCAGGAGCGCATGGAGAAGAAGCGCTATACAGCCCGTGCCAGTGCAGAGATCGAGGACCCGGAGAGATCGAGTCCCGGGAGACCCTGGTTCCTCTTGGGCCAGAGCCTGGCGGATCAACCTGGCCGCTTCGACTGTATAAGACTCGGTTTCGGGTCTAAATGCGTCAATAAAACGCGCGGTATTTGGCGCGGGAAAGGTCTGACCTTGGGATTAACACGCCTCGTCGACAGAGAATTTCCAGGTCACCAAAGGGCTGGTCGCCCAGGATGTACTGCAGAGGAAACCCTCGAGAGCGCCAGAGACACATGGATCTCAAGCGCGCCCTCCACCCTGGCCACGATCCTCGCAACCGCCCGGGCAACCGGCTATCGCGCAGGGCGCGTTCACGGAGCCACCGGAGCTCATTGCGAGCCGAGTCGAGCGAACGGCATTCTTTAAGGAGTAGTGGGAGAAGAGGATTCCTACGATAGGCCTTGACGAGTACGGACACGGGAATCCTCGGCATCGCGTGGCAGACAAGACAGGATCAAAGATCCGAAGATCGCGGGAGTGACGCCAAGCACGGCGATCACCCGAAGTTGCGGACTTTGGTTTCAAACGTGCATTCGATGTCAGTTTGGTGCCCCTTGAGATGCATCGGATGGCATATTTCAGCAATGTATGTTTTGTATTTCGTGACACATAAAAGATCGTTATCAACAGAGAATAAGAATAAAATGTAAAACCCAGATATATTCCCAAATCAACGCCAATACACCGCAGTAACATGCAAATGTTCTATCAATACGAATGTCTCCTACAGCGCCAGGAGGTATCCAGCACCGACTAGACCCAGAGCCAGGTGCTTGGGCATGCCGGTCGCCCGGGCCTCCGCCGCATTCTTGGTGGTTGGGGCAGTGGTGAAGATGTTACTACTGCCTGTAGGTCCGCCAATGCGCGCTCCAGAGCCGCCCACGGCCACGGTGGTTACAGGGTTGGAAACAGCTGTAGCACCCGGCACGGAATCATCACCAGTTCCGATTTCCAGGACGTTATTACTCGTCGAGTTGAAGTTGGTATTGGCCAGGGAAATCTCGTTGTTGGCGAGATCGTAGACCACGTAGGCACTGCGTAGGAAGGTGTCACCCAGAACCGGGGTGCTGCCGTCCGCGGGCACGATGCCAAAGACACAGGCGCGATCTCCATTACGGAAATACACGTCACCCGCGTCTATGACCAACTCGCTGGAAGCAACATGGATGGTCGGGGATGAGAACGTGTAGGAGACGTTGACATTCTGCTCCGCCAGGCTGCAGGGAACGTATCCAACCCCGCTCGATGAGTCGTAGGTAACATCCAGATCATTAAAGATGTCTTCGACGAGTTCATCGGGGAGGTAAGTCAAGGAGCTCCCCGAATCAAGCAGGGCCGCTGCGGGGAGGGCACTGGACGAGTATTTTTTGATGCCTGATGAGTTGGAGAGAGAGAGCCCGGTCAGGGCAATGACGAATTCCGAGTAGATGCCGCCGGCTTTCTGGATCGGCAGTGTCTCCAGCGTGCCGTGATACTTGTCACTATTCACGCCACCGAACAGAATCGAGCCGGTGTTGGCATCCAAGTCGTTGAGCCACAGGCTGTAGGCATTGGACTGAATCAGGCCATTCTGCACCATTGCCTTGGGCAGGTTGGCATAGGCATCCTGCCCATTCCGGCCCACTTGGACTTCATTTGCGGTATATCCAATACCCAGAACTCCCTCTGTACACACGCGAATGTCAGTCTGGTCCGATTGTATGTGTAGAGTGGGTTCACGATGCACGAAACCAAGGTTCACTCACGGGCGGAGGTGGACACGTAGCCCACGCCGAACTGGAAGTCCTTGATCGTGGTACCTGCGATGTGAAGTGTGTCGGTAACGTAGTCGCCGCTGGAACCGGAACTGTCGGCATAGGAAATGTTGAAGTCGGAGGAGACAAATGAGTAAGTCGAAGAGGAACTGGCGTCGTAGGTGCCGGATACGCTGCAGACGTCTTGTTGGGATTCGCAGAGTGTGGAATTCGGCGCATTGGTCCACAAGTCACTGCTACCGGTATCCAGGACTAAACGGAAGTTCTGCTTGGGGGTTCCCAGAGAGACGTTGCAGAAATAGAGGGTTTCCTGACGGCTGTGAGCGAGATGGGGAGGGCAGGGGAGGGAATTGGCTGGAGACACACCTCGTTATCCAGCTTCTGGCTGACGGTCTTGTCGCGCTTCCTCCTCATGCGGTCTCTCGCCACCGGATCGGCAACATCCTTTCGCTGGATATCCAAGGTCACCACCGATGGATTATCCCGCTGGTGAAGAGTCAGGCGGCCCAGCGCAGGAAGCGCGAGAGTCGCCAAAAGAAGCAATGAATTCTTCATTCTTCGCAGGAATTCCCCCGTCAAGAATTTGCGATCGGCCGCCCTTTTTTTTAATAATTTTTATATGTACCTTGCCGATCTCGTTTGGCGCCGAGATCAAGCTTCGGGGCTCGGGAATGTGACAGTCAGGGGCGGGGAGTCCACGCGGGTACGAATGGAATAAAATGTGCGAGAGGATGGAGAGATCAGGATCCGCGGGTCAGTAGTATAAGTAGCCGTATGCCCCCACTGCATTTTCGGGCCAGCCGGGAAGAAGGAAATTCAGATCCATCCAGACGGCCAGTCAGCGGATCCTCGGTGGATCTGTCCAACTCGAGGAAAACAAGACGCGGCAGAAGCTTGAGGCCGGATGAGGCGCTGTCCGGGGACCCACCCCCTTGTCGTCACCGTTATGTTCTCTCCGTATGTAGAAGATACATATCGGTAGAATACGAGAGTACGAGAAGTACGAGAACGAGATTCCGGTATCCAATGATTTTGTCTCTCGGAATTTCGGTCTGTCCCGGTAATAACTGCGATGAACCAAAGAGAGTCAAATCAAAGAGATTGTTGCATACGTATGCCGCGTGCGTGAGTTGGGAGATGACGCGGATGGATGACGCTTCACCGTGGCGCCAGGCCGTTTCAGGCTTAGAGTTGTCCAGCCACTTTACCCCGACGGTGGCGGTATTCCAGGACTCTGAACTATATCAAAACTATGGAATTGATCTGGAGAAGGGTTCTCATGGATGCAGGAAATACATAATGTCCAATTTCACTTTTGCCTACTGGTGGATGCGTCGAGGGGAGAAGAGCCGTGTACGGACCCTTCCATGGATGACGTGACTTATCTCCGGCACTAGCTCAGGCTGCCACGTTCATACAATGGCCATTCTAAAACACCGGTGGCAAGTGAATCATGCTAACGGTGTTGCATTGTCCATTGCTGGGACCCGGGTGGTACATCTCTGCTGTATGCTTGGGTTTCGGTGTTACCTATGTAGTGTTCAGGTACCCGGTACTTATGTATCGCACCGATGACTCCACGGAAATATCCATCTGTATACTGTACATATGAACCGCAAATTGACACTCGTGATGACCGGAGTAGGATTCCCTCTGTCCATGGAAATACACCTATAATACAAGAAGCTCATCAAGGCCTCTTCCCACCCGAGGCTATCGTACACGCCCTGTCCTGGTACCTCAGTACTGCGTCACGCTTACATGCCCATCGCTTCTCGAACTTGTTGCATAGTCACACTAGCATTGGCCTGCGCAGCCTCAGCTCCCTGCTGGGCAACCGAGTCCAGGTAGCCGCTCTTGTCCTCCATGATCGAAATGTACCGCTCCCGAATTCCCTGCAGGTGATCGGCGATCCGACTGGCAACGTGTTCCTTCAACGCTCGGAGGCTCGCAGTGCGATATTCAGAGGCAATGCTCTCGCAGGACACCCCCTCGAAATGACTCAGGATCTCTATCAAGTTGGACACCCCTGGACGGCGCAACGGATCGTAGGTGATAGTCGGTTCCGAGTCTGTAAGGGCGACCTTTACCTTTTTATGAATCACACTGGGCGGATCGGTAAGAATGATCCTGGACCGTTCATCGGCATGGGACTTGGACATCTTGGAAGTCGGTTCCTTCAAAGACATCACCCGCTTCGCAGGAGCTGATAGTGTCAGTTACAGGTGTCCACATGGAGCCACGGTAGATTCTTACAGATCAAGGCCTCCGGAACGGGGAAAATCGGCCCGTAGAGGTGGTTGAAGCTATTGGCAGTATATCGAGAGAATTCAAGATGCTGCCGTTGATCTTCGCCAACCGGGACATGGGTAGCTCTGATAGGCATTAGCGGGAGTTCTGTCTAGGCCGCGTGGTCACTGCACCTGTGCACAAGGATATCCGCAGCCTGGAGGACGGGATAGGAGAAGAGACCGAGCCGTAGTTGAGCCCGCGCCTCCGAATCTTCGAGAGTTGCATCCTCGGGCAGCTGAAGCTTGCTCTGACGGCGGAGCCCGTTAGTTGTTGGGTCCGTCCCGATCAAATGGATCGAGCTTGTATCGAGCTTACCTTCCACTGGGTCATTCGTGAAAGATATCCCATCGAGGCCACCGTGCTGAGAATCCACATCAGCTCCGCATGTGCCGGCACCTAACATTCGTTAGCTGGATATTCTGATTTGACTGAACTACCGGGGCTGGCGCAATTGATGCGACGTACTGCAGACTGATAAAAGATGGTAGACTTTTTAGGATCGAGGCCCACGGCCAGTAGCGTAGCAAATGCCTCCCTTCTCCATTGTCTTAACTGAGCTGCATCTTGCGGTATAGTCAATGCGTGAAGGTCCACGATGGAGAAGAACAGCTTGGTTCCCGGCTTCGCATTATCCTGCAGCTTCACCCATTCGTGGAGAGCACCCAGATAATTGCCCAGATGTGGAATCCCGGTCGGTTGAATACCAGAAAAGATGACGGGCTCCCCGACAGCCGGCGTCGTACTCGAGCTGGCGGAGCGATGCCAATTGCTCGGTCGGATTGAAGGAATCGGCCGGACACGGCGAAGACTCCCCGCAGATGATGCCGCAGTACGGCCATGGTGACAGACCGTAGCACCCATCCTGAGCAGACTTCAAATGGGAGAAAGTGAATTGGGCCCACGATCAGTTCTTGGAATCCCGCGCCTCCGCGCAAAAACACCGCTGCATCACGTGACATTACGAAAGGTCGCAAGACGCGGGCTCGTGGATCTATAAAAGACCGAATGAAAACAGATACATTTGAGAATGGGATCTTCTTTATCATATGACGGCTAGAGAAGAACTATCATTCTTCCTCAAAAGTTGGATATGATCACAGTAAAATACATAGGGCCAGTGGTGGGCCACGCAAAGCCGCGGAAGACGATAATACAAAATTATGTGACGCCCAAGTGTCCCCCCCTTAAATAAATGCAAAGCTCGACGGTCCACCCCCAGTGGTATTTAGAGGTTCTTGCGCTCGGCAAACCGGTCGCTGTCCAAAACGTCGAATATGCTCCGGTCGGCGGAGTTGTCATGTCGCTGTCCAAATTGTTCAAGGTGTGGACGGAGTGTCTTCTCAACTTCCGGAAGAGATGCATCCATGGATTTGGCAACGTCTGTGGCCTGGTCAGTACGGGAACGAGGCGATTGGCCTTAACATGGGGAACTATACCGAGACTGTCATGCTCCCAAACATTCGCCTTCATACCGACTCCGTAAAATGCGTGTTTCCGAAGGAAAGCAAGCCATGCCTGTACCGCCTGCGGGTTGCCGTCCTTGATCTGAATCAGCCGACGGAGGGTGATCCGCTCAAAGTTTTCCTGGCTCTTCTTGTGCACAAAGTTGCTTCGCGGGACGGTCCAGCGTTCGACGATGCGAGGAAGAGGCACGGGACCGGAAGCGGGAAGGTTAAGATAATAGGCGGCGCGGATGGCGAAGTCGGCGAAGAATTCCACATTTTGAACGCTGTACGATCGCAATTGAAGGTCGCACACGGGGAGGCCGTACTCCGCCTTCCTCCGAAGCGGTCGCGAATAGATCGCCTGCACGCTTCGGGGTAGTCGAGTATCCTCACCAAGGGCTCTTAACCGCTGAGACCTGAGACAAGATGAGCCAAACGTTCTCCATTTTCCATCATGAGATTTCTCTGCATGTAATGCATATCACTGACCATTCTTTCACACGGGGTTCGGAAGGCTGCTCGGCATCTGGCGACCTGAATTGAATCCATTCTCGTTAATCACCACAATCAAAGGTATGATCTCGAATCCACCAATATCTTACCCAGTTGCAAGAGCTGGGGCAGGCCCAGCCTGGGTAGTTGTCGCCGGCTCTGGAGATGGCGCATTCGGTAGGCTCGGTGATGATAGCGAGCGAACAGGCACGGGCACCTATTCGAAGAACCCGGTTAGCGTAGCTTTGGCATGTTACAAAGCACGGAGCATACCCTCAGGCGCTTGCCAACCCCAATGGCGGAGCGCGTTGTGTATGAGAACATCGTAGGTGGGCGTTTGGAGGTCTGTTTGGTGCGGGTTTTTTTCATCGGGGTTGAAGATGCGGGCTGACCGCCTTAGGAGCCCTTGGCTCTCTACACGGTGTTCGCAATGGGACTCACAACCCACGGTTCACGTTCCCTATAGACAAGGTTCTAGGTAATTGAAGGCCGGTATTCATATACTGCCCGCTAACAGGGTCATTTCCGAGTCAGAATTCTCGTTGAAGTATAAATATCTCGCTAGTCAGCATCCAATTGTGGCCACTTTCTTGAGGCCACCGTCGTTAATCGGTAGAAAAGAGCATATTTTTCAAGGACCAGAAAGTCGAATGAGATGGGAATATACAATGAATCGATTTATAGACTGAGAAGCATTGATATACGGGTTGGTCCTGTCTGAGCACTCCAACCAATAGGACCACTCTACACCTCCGCAGTATCAGAAGATTCTCGAGATCCACACTTCTGTCCTCTCCCAAATTTTCCACAGGATCATCTTACCCGATTTCAGAAGATATGGCTGAATCAGACAAATCCTCCTTTGAGCAGGCGAACGAGGCCGTTTCGTACTTGAAAAGCCGCCTGCCTGAGAGTCTGCAAACCCCGCAAGTTGCCATTGTATGTGGTTCCGGACTGGGCGGATTAGCAGACACCATTCAGACAGAATCCAGAGTGGAATACGACTACTCGTCGATCCCTCACTTCCCTCGACCGACAGGTGAGCCCGGTACCCAAGATAGACCGCCGAGTCGTGTCACTGACATCCACAGTTGCCGGGCATGCTGGGAAGCTGGTATTTGGCTTCCTCGGTCAGCGGATCCCCGCAGTGCTGATGGTCGGCCGAGCTCAGTGAGTACCTGTCACACTTTCAAGAATCTCACGACTGACGTGAGCAAAGCTACTACGAGGGCCATTCCATGGACCGGGTTACATTTCCCATCCGCGTGTTCAAGCAGTTGGGGGTGGGCACCGTTGTGCGTGAGTGTTTTTACACCGACATCCCTACAAGCCCCCGAGAACAATTTATGTAATACGTGACAGTGACAAATGCAGCCGGGGGCCTGAATTCTGAATACGGCGTGGGGGATATCGTCTTGCTGAATGATGCAAGTTGTTCTTTTCTCGTTCTGGAACTAGAGCGCTAACCGTTTGCCTAGCACATCTTCCTGGCGGGTCTAGCAGGTGTTCACCCTCTGAGGGGACCCAACGCGGAAGAATTTGGTGTTCGCTTCCCACCGTTGTCGGATGCATACGACCTCGACCTTCGACGCCGCGTATACCAAGCTTGGAAGGAAGTCATCCCTTCCAAGAGTACCAGGAAGTTACATGAGGGTGTCTACGCTTTCGTTGGAGGGCCCACGTAAGGACACTGCACCCTCTTCATGTACGTTCCCTCTGGCTGACCTCGCCTAGGTATGAAACAAGGGCCGAAAGTCGGATGCTTCGAATGTTGGGTGCCGATGTCGTCGGCATGTCGACCGTTCCAGAGATTGTGGTGGCTCGACACTGTGGCCTTCGTGTGTTGGCCTTCAGTCTAGTCACAAACAACGCCGTGCTGGCGCCGGTGCCTCGTGGAGATGAACACGAGCTTCAGGATAAAGCTGCAGGAGAGCTGAGTGCGATCCTGGAAGAAGGCAAAGCGGGCCATGAAGAGGTCCTTGAGGCTGGCCGTGCGTCCGCTCTAGACATGCAGGCAAGTGCTACCCGCAAACCCATATCGAGACACCATACTGACTCTGTTGACAGGGATTGGTGGTGCAAACTCTTGTGAATGCCTTTGGCCAGTAACAGACCGCAGCTTTGAAGATCAAGAATGAAAGCTGGCAACCCCTGGAGACCACTAACAGCTGATCGTTCCCGGGCCTTCTTTTTGAGCAGGCGGATACCGTGATCACTTAGTTTTCCGGTTCCGCTTTGCCCGTAGGTTATTGTAAAAGGCTTTCTTTCCACTCTGCTTTGTGCTCTGGATGTCACGATACTTGGATTCGAAGCGTCGTGACTCTCGCTCCACGGCCATTGTCTCCTCGACAAAGGTCTTCTTGCGATCTTTCTTTGCAATGCGGCCGCTGAAGAACTCTGTCGGACCCTGGATGATAGTTCCCACCTGAGAGAACTCCGGCGGTTTGGCTTTGCCGTTTTCCTTCTTGTAGTGTCTCTTGGGGTCAAGCACATAACGCATACGGAGGAGTTGCAGGTCCCTCTTGAGTTCGGTAGTCAACTCAGTCTTGGGGAGGTCAAACCAGTCCGGTCCAGCGGTAGGTTTCTCCTAGAAAGCGTCGACATGTCAGTGGATCAGGCTCGCAAACCGTGGACAGCAAGAAATCAATGATGATGTAGTATGCTCAGAGTAACTATGAAAAATAAAAGCTCTCACTGGTGCAGCACAGGCCAAGACGGACTGATTACGCCGCATCAAGCGCTCACGCGTTGGGAAAAATTTTCCTCATGGCAAAAGAGAAGGACGAAAAGACATGAAGTGAAAAACTCACCTTTTTCGGGTTCTTTGCACCAAGAGAGCGGATCGAATTAGATAGCTCCTTCTGCTTTGGGTCTATGAGCTGGGCCGAATCGACAGTGGCAATCTCATCACCCTGACGAACATACGGCTCCAAAGTGGTCCCCGAAGATAATTTGGGAATCCTCGAAGAATGTGAGCCATGGTACAGTCAGAAGCGTAGTGATTTTCACACACCTTAAGGAAGAGGCGTCGGGGTCCCCGGTGGATGAGACAACAGGACCGCGCAGACGTCCTTCTGCCTCCAGCAGGAGCTGTTGAATCTGGTCGTCTGTCAGGTCCACCTCATCCTGAGGCTGGACACTGGGCCCGGTATGAGCTATAACAACCATCCCTGCAGATCAGGGTGGGAGGTATTGTGGAATTGAGAAGAGCTGGAGGAGAGTGGGTTTTATAAGTTTTTTTTCTGTTGTTGCTTTCTCGGAGCGGACTAACTTGTTCGGGGGGAAATCTCGGGTCAGGTGGGGTCCTCGTGACCGTGATACTGCTAAGTACCAGGTACATGATATATCGCGATGGCTGCTAATAAAGTAAAGTACCTGTACTTACAGATTACCGCGTTCAGCTTCCTCCACCCCCATCCATAGGGATGACGTTACGAGATTTGGACGGAATATACGGAGCTAAATAATAAAAAGATGTAATTGAAATACGCCCACAAAACCACAGAGCGGGGAGGAAACATCCCGGCAAAGGGCGGCATTCGCACGAGGGGTTTGGCCGGAACCGTCAGACAGCTGAGAGGCACCTCCATGCTTGGCACGCTCCGACGCGCTTCCTCCGCCCAACACTTCCAGTTCGGCTCTCCAGTCTCCGATTCGTCGTCCCTGCGATCAACCCCTCTTCTCTTATTACCGCGAGGTGTCCGATCTTCGGTCGCGTTGCATTCGTGTCGCACCTCCAGAGCTTTCCCCCGAGCCTAATCGACTTTCATCTCAACATCGCTTCGCGCGAGACCCGACCATCCGTCATGGAGCCAGCTCCTCAGGGAACCGGGCAGCAACAGGGCCGGCAGCAGCAGCAGCAGCCTGTGTACGATATCAGGAATGGGGGCCACTATGGTAAGTTGCAGCCCTTTGTCCCCTCCCTCATGATGAAATCATCTTCGCGCAGCAGCCAGATCAAAGCCCCCATGCTGGCGGGCGCGTGTCGAATGGCTGATTTCGTCGTCGCATTTCATTTTAAGCATTCATTGACACATCATCAGGCGCAAGCGCGGCGGTATGCTAAAATGATGACCCGAGCCATCTCCGAATCCACCGGTGATCGCATAAGATATTGGCCGAACCATGGCTAACTGCAAGTGAACCCAATCAGCTCTCTGCGCAAGGATATGCCCCAGTCGCTGAACTCTACACTGGTACCTGGGCCAATGTCAGTACCCAGCGCGCCCTATTCTATATAACTTACCATTAACATGAACCAGGTAAACCAAGGTCTCCAAGGCACGGCCCGCGATATCCTGACGACCTATTGGCAGCACGTCATCAACCATCTGGAATCGGACAATCATGACTATAAGATCCATCAGTTGCCGCTTGCCCGTATCAAGAAGGTGATGAAGGCGGACCCGGAGGTTAAGATGATCTCTGCGGAGGCTCCGATTTTGTTCGCCAAGGGTTGTGATATCTTCATCACCGAGCTGACGATGCGCGCTTGGATTCATGCCGAAGATAACAAGCGCCGTACCCTGCAGCGTTCTGACATTGCTGCGGCTCTCTCAAAGTCGGACATGTTCGACTTCCTGATCGATATCGTCCCCCGCGAAGAAGCGACATCCCATGCTAAGCGATCGAGCCAGGCTGCTGGAGCGGCTCCAGGGCCTTCCGCTACGCCTGGCCAGATGCCACCCACCCAACATGGAGTTCAGCCACACATGGGCCCTGCGGATTACGGCTCCCTTGGACAGCATGGTCTCCCTCAGGACCAGGAATACCGCCCTCAGCCCGCCATGTACCCAGGGACAGTTCAATCAGACCCGACGGCCTCGTATGGCCAGCCTCCATCCCAGATGTTCGAGGGGATGTATGCCTACCCGCACCTTCCACCTCAGCAGGTACGTTCTACTACCCCTTTGACTGTCAATTTTCAAAACTAACTCTGGACAGTGAGGGACTTCTACAAGTACAATTGGTCTTTTATTGGGGTGATTAACGAATTTCCGCGTGTTTTAAGGCGCATCCAGGGACTTTAGGTTATATAGTCTCTTCCTTTTCTTCTTTTCTTACCAAGGGATGTTTTATGCAAAGCCCAGGCAAAGCTGATACAACTGGGGGTTCCTCTATCTTTCCTTTCCTTTTTTTTTTTTTTTTTTAATTCTCGACCGGGTTTGATTGCCTTCGTAATTGTTTCTGGGCATGATAGGATTCACATATGTCTTTCTGTACCTAGGTTCCAAGGATGTTCAATAATCTACTGAACTGGACCCTCCCATCGCCGGAAGAGCTCGCCTCTCCAGAAGATTTTACGTCTTCTTGAATCGTGAGGACAATGTCGCAAATTTATCGACCTTGGTCGGTGCTTGGACCGTGCGAGTAAGCCTGAGATCAAGTTAGCAAAAAGTCCAAGGCGATAAGGCAATCATAGAGCGCCATACTTTTCAAGCAGCAATGGACCCTGCATGGCGTCAACACGGCCATACTTCTTGTTCCGGGTGGAGACATCGTAAAATTCATCCGCGTTATCGGCCTGCATGAGTTGTACTGTTTGTTGCAACTCATCAAGGTTTTCGCGCAGAATAGGGACATTCAAACTGTCCACGAATTGCGCAAGGTATTCCACATCCTTTGCCAATGCAGTCACTCCGTGAGGGTTGATGCTCTTCACCTCCGGTGCGAGCGGTTGAGCCTGGGTAATCACTTAGTTGGATTCTTCGAATGACGCAGGAGGCTTTATCAGTAGAGGCTTACCAGGATCATGTTTGCGGCGTGGCTGAGAGCATCAAAGTAGATCAACTCTTTGATCTCAGTCGGCAGCCCAAGCAAAGTAGAGTTCATGATGTTGGACAGGAATCGAGTCAGGGTTTGCATGTAATTGCTAGGCTCGGTGGGAGGGTTGAGCCCCATCCACTCGTATTCTGCCGTCTCGATGAGGTCGTCGATTTTGGAGTTGACGACTTCGAAAATGCGCTTTTCGGCGGCTTTCTTATTATTTCGGAACTTCTCAGTGGCCTTTAGAGCAATCGAGGTACCCGTGGAATTTTGCGACCTTGCAGCCGCCAGAAGTAACTCCAGCTCTCGACAAGCCAGCTCAAAATGTTCTAAATTGATGAGAATCTGCACAATCTGGCCCAAGTACTGCGAGGAAAGTCGCTCAACCAGCGTGTCGCATACTTTCCGCGAAAGAAGGTCATCCAGTGCCTACAAAATTAGCAATGTGAGCGTTGAGAGCGACCATACAAAGCACACGTACATCCTTTAATGTGTCATCGATCACATCGGAATGGGAGAAGTCATCATTCGCGAAGAAGTAAAACTGGTTTAAGAAATTCCGAATGTCGATGCAACACAGCGGATACATCCTCGAGAATGGTAAGATGCAGGGGAAGCTGTAGTATCAATCAGTCTGACTGAAGACCACATGGAACGAAATGGAATAGAACGTACACTTGCTCCTCATGTGGCTTTTCGGGGCTATACCAGCTCACGTTGAGTACCTTTTCATACTCTTCCAAGGTCTGTATTGGCATGGGCATGTAATCATCCGTTGATACGATCTAAAGCTGTTAGTCTTATAGGGTATCATTGGTATGCCGTGGAATACTGTACTTCTTGGAAATCATCGCTAAATCTCCTCTTCAAGAGCTCGGCGTACTTTTCGAAAAGCTTCAATAGGAAGTCATCAAACACACCGACCGGGAAATTCCATGTCTGTCCCACAAATCAGCTCTTGGTATCTTCTGGTTATAATGAGGCTAACACACATTCATTGTCTGCATGAACAAAGCAATCAAATTCTTGATTTTGAGGATACTCTCGGCGTTGTCCACTTCGTGCAAGGCTTTGGATATCACACCGACTGCGGCTTGACACATGGAGTCCCAGAGTTCGTCAATCTAAAAAGTTCGAGTCAGATGTTCATCTGGAGATTCAAGCGAGGTGAAAGGAAGGGGAATCAAACATACGTCAACGGATGATCTCAGGTCCGGGACCCGTTTCATAGTTGCTCGTTCGACAATCGCAAACCCTGCCATTTCCTCGAGCAAATTATGCAAGCTTGCGCCGTCTTCATCGATGAGAGTGATAGAAGATGGAAGTAAGAGATCTTTTTGCCGACGACGAGTGTTGGCATACTCAATCCGGAACTTGTCCATTTGCCCCAGTGACTGGTGAATGTGCAGGCATTCAAACAGCGGTGTAAAGTCCACTTGGAGATCTTCGTTATGTAGGAGGTCGTACTCCTCGTCTTCGTCCGCTACAAGTTCAATTGCAGAGTTGAGATTGAAGTGCTCAAGGTACGGAATCTTCTCCGCTCTTTGCTTCAAGCGTGATTTCCGCTGATCGGTGTGGAAGAGTGCAATCTCCCCAAGATACTGCGACATCTCCCGGATGCGATACAGCCAGGTGTTTAGATCGGACATGACCGCCTCGGCGATCGCACGCTGAGTGGCCGGCACCGAGCGCTGAATCATCACCGCAATCTTGTACTGGGTGACCCCTTTCAGATGAACATTTTGCAACTCCTCCAGTGCACGCAGTGCAGCATAGTGATTCTTCTTCGCCAGCAAGTCGTGGACTTGATTGGCCAGGCGCAACACCTCCAGGCAGTCTCGAATGGCGCGCGATGTCTCGTCGATATTCTGTCGGTGGCCGCGCGAATCCACCAGGGCCTTCTTCTGCTCAGCGAGCCGTTCGGTGCTCGTTTGGATGGACTGGTTGAGGTCCAAGATCTCGGCCGTCAAGCTAACTGTCCCTTCCCGGATTCGAAGCAGGGAGTTGACCGACGACACGAACTCCTGGTGATTGGTATTACATATGCTCTCAATTTCGGCCTCCTTGTCGGTCGCAAACCGAGAGAGTGACTGCAGCAACTGTGGCGTACGATTGCCGACACTGTAATCGCGAATGGAGGGGATGAGCTGATCTAGGTAGTCGGTGTCGGAGGGCGAGATGATGATCTATTGGAAGTCAGCAAGTTCTCGGTGCAGATCCCCTAGGCTTCCTACCTGGTTTAGGACGTGAGGTTCTGCCATAGGAGACATGGAGGGCATAACGAGTTTGAACTTGAATAGCAGACGACCAAGTTGAAGACGCGGGTGTCGCGGAGTTCCTGGAGAAAGCACCGAAGGGGACTAGCGTCGCGCACAGGCCATATCGACATCGAACTATGAACAGACGTTCGACTTCAACTTCCTAGCTCCCAACTTCCTCTCCAACCACTTTTCTTATGTCTGTTGCCGGAGAAATGGAGAGAATGGCTGGATACTCTATTTCACAGGACCGTACAGTGACTTTGTCCTTTTGTGTCCCTCCGTTCTACCTAAACACTGCTAACCATACGTCCTAGGCCACTTCCATGCTCCCTAGTCAAAACACAGTATCTCTGAACTACAGTGAATGGAGCTTCAATGGAATAATTTACAAGATACCTCTGCAGTGGATTCACAGATGGCCCTCCCCACGGGCTACCGCGAGGCTGTTTAGCAACAACGCCATACATTCCACTACATACTCCTCTCCCCGTTCACAAGAGCTTCAATAAAAGCCAAAGGCATCAGGCACTTGGGCTATATCCTGGCCATGTGAAAAGCTCCTAGGATTTCATTGGCCGGATCAAATGGTTAGTTCCCTGACAGCCGCCAGATCGGGCGTGGTCACACGTCGCCGGCGACTCATCGCGTTACGTCGCCATGGATGAGTCGCCATGATCCCACAACTGTGCTCTCTCTCTGGTTTTTTTGTTTCCTTTCCACCTTCTTCCTCTCTCCATCCTCTTCCTTACGATCAGATATTCGCCTCTTTCATCCTGTCTTTTTGTGACGGTTCTTTCACACTTCTTTGCAACCGTTTCGCTAAAAGAAAACCGCATTCTTCAAGACCCATACATCAATCATGACCAATGCCCAGTCCGGGGGCAAGTTGCCCTCGTCTGGCTCTGGGCCCATGACCTCCCCCAGCTCCCAGCTGGCGGCTTTTTCACCTTTCCAGCCGGACCTGGGGCCTCAGCCCGACTCAAGTCCTTTGGCCTCCCGTGCTCTGGACTACCGAAACAGGTATGATCACTGAATGTAAGGCTTCATGTACCAACTGACGATTTGCAGGGACCCATTCAGAGAATGGAATCTCGTGGCTCAAGCCGGACAGCAGCCCCCGCACTCCGGTACAGCTATGGACGCCTTGATTCCTCCAGGACTCACGGGCCAGCCCATGTATCGAACCTCGTCAGATGCTACTTATGGTGTCCTATCAGGTAGATCTACTAGTCCTGACCGCCATGGGAACTTGATGAGTCCGACTTACTCACCCGCTCAATCTCGCACCATTGGAAGGACTCCAGCTTCACGGACGCATGGTCGCCGGTTCCTGGTTCGAAATGTCTCTACCGATATCGAAGGGTTGGATCTGATCAAACAGTTTCCCAAAGAGGCGGGTGCCCCCCAATTAACATCAATTTTCAAGGCTGACCGACCCTCAGGAATATCCAAGCATGATCGGCCCCCATATGAACGACCTCAACATCAAAGGTCGTTTCTACATTGGGTTCTCGGACATTCGCGAGGCAAAGTGCTTCGTCACTAAGGTTGAGAGTAAGTTCTTCGGCTGGGAGCTTATTCCTGTTTCTCCGGAGGTGTTCAACCGAGAGACGCGAGTCAACCTTCCTGTGCCCCTCAATTTTGATGATTCCGTGTTGGTCACTCTCTATTGCGGAAGTCGTTCCAGCGTGAGTCCAGCGAATGTTGTGAATAAAGTCAAGCCGATACTCGATCTCGTGGGAGATGTGCACTCCATCCAGGAAGTCCATTTTGGGCACCCATCGCGGGGAGCTCGCTTGACCGTACATGAGCTGATCGCCCGTTACTTCAATTCAAACAACGCTATGAATGCTATTCGTATGCTCAACGCCATCAGAACCGAGGTAGTCATTCATACCTCTCCACTGTCAATTTGTATTGTTGAGCTGAACTAACCGTCTTTCCACAGGACTTCGTCATGGAGGTAATCCCATACCATCCAGAAATGGAAAACCAAGCACCTCGCCACTGGGCTTCATCAAACAAATCCCGACGTTATGATCAGCCCATTCAGCCCGGGACTCCAGCACGGCGGGTGTACATGTCACCCGGTGGTGATCCTGATGGTTCGCCGATCCCTATTCCTGACCGTGGGTTGGTGAGCAATGTCCATACGATCGATCTGGGTCAGATCCACTACCAACAAGATACTCGTACGACGGTGGGTGCACACATGACCTCTGGTACTCTATAGATTTTTGAAGACTGACATGTTTCTTCTCAAAAAGATCATGCTGCGCAACATTCCAAGCGTCATGACTTGGGTAGGATGCTCGTTTCGATCTGAATGGATATCCAGAAACTAACCAGTCATTCAGATGGAGCTGAAGAGAATCATTGATCATACCAGCGCGAACCGCTACGACTTCATGTATTTGCGAATGGGTAAGCACTGATGATTCCTAGCCTGCCTTGGAATGTGTGGCTAAGCATTTACATTGCCTTTCAGACTTCGAAAACAACCAGAAGTGAGTAGCCAGCAGCAGCATTGCCTCTCTAGGAACAAGATATTGACCAGGGGTTTTATTCCAGCGTCGGTTACGCCTTCGTCAATTTCGCCACGGTAAGTGCCGATCCTATCGCTTTCCCGGGAAAGAAAATCACTGACCCTTTCTAGCCCATGGATATACATTCGGTGGGTATTCTAATGTTTTGTATGTATAGAAACTATTAACAGTTTCATAGTTTGTTGATGCCCGTGAGGGTTGTACCTGGTATGGACCCTGAGAGTTCTTCTCCGCAAAGACATCGCGCTGACCCTGAATCTCTAGGCCAGGATTCCTTCGCTATGATGACAAGATCGCCGAGATGTCGTATGCAAGTTCGTCAACACGCTTTCTCACCTATTTTGAGATACCCCTGCTGAACATGTTGAATAGCTGTGCAAGGCAAGGATGCGCTCGTGGAAAAGTTCCGGAATAGCCCTGTGATCCTCAACTCTGCAGACAATCGCCCTAAGGTAATCTTCCCGTATAATCCAATCCATCCAAATACTGACTTGAAGATAGCTTTTCCATATGGATGGCCCCTTTGTTGGCCATGAAGCCACGTTCCCGCCCGTCAGCAACTTCTACATCCTGTCCAAGGGTGTCGATCGCACCCAGAAGAATGGTAAGCCTCCTCTCGCTGTACTTTGGCAGCCTCTCGACTGATATTTGCAGGTCTTTACCGATCTGGACCTCGCACGGATCCACACATAGGATCTCGATACTATCGCTACCCAGACCGCGCTGAAACCCCACAGCGGGCTATGCCTGACCGGGATCGCGGATCCCCAATTCGAGCGCCTCGTTGTGTCTTCGACCTGGGTGCTGCCTCTCGCACCGCTCTGCAGCAATGGAATTCCACCCCGCGTGAACCCCGGTCGGGTTAAACGAACGTGGATGAGGATGTGATGAAAATGCGATTGTTTCTTCACTGCCCCTCATAAATCAAGGCGGTATCTTTATGTGACACCCGATTTGATCAACTTCTTTCTACCTTTCCTACGACTTCTCCTTCCAGTTGCTCCTGCTTGTCTAGTTTGAGAGCGGCCGAGTGCCTCTGGACTGTTGGCTGCTCCTCGGGCGCATTTTGCCCGGGTACCATTCTGGCTCAGGCGATTGACACATATTCCTGCTTTGCTCATTCCATTTCCATTTCCCTCTGTCTGTTTTAGTTTGAGAGCGGCTGAGAGCCTCTTGAGGCGTCCAACCTCTGGACTATTGGCTGCTCCCCGGGCGACTTTTGCCAGGGTACCATTCTAACACTAGCGGTTGGAAAACCCGTTTTGTACCCATTTCTGCCAGAAGTCATCACTTATGACATTCCATTGAATTCCATTGAACTTCATTGTTTGAATGTAGAATGTAGATGTAGTATAAAGAGCGGCCCGAGGATTGTTTACTGGAATCGGCATGTGGGGGCCCGCGGTCAAAACTTCGCTCCCCATCTTCTTCACCTTCTCTCCTCCCGGCGTCATGGACAACCAGGAAATTCTGGCAGTCCACTCGGTACTGCATTTGATCTATCATCGCAATAAGAACCAACACCAGGGTGCCAAGTGGTGGAAATGGCTGTCGATGCTGAAGCGCACCACCTGGGATCTGGGGTCGATGGACCCGACCAAAGCGGCAAGCTCTTATCGGCAGCATCTGGCGTCGCATCTGATTCCGAGATGTTATCTGTATGTCGTTTCTAGTAGACTCGCTCTATTAAGTCTCCAGCCCATACTGCGCAGACCCGTGCTGACCTGTGCAGAGCATTTTCCACCGTGGTCGCCGATACCCAGTTCGCTACACTTGGTATAGTATTACTGGCCGCTCTGGCACGTCTTGCCAAGGCAACGGGCGTGGACTCTAAAATGGCTGCTCAGGCGCAGCCAAAGATTAAAAAGATCACTCCCGTTGTGTCGACGGCAGATGACCGCGGTGAGCGCGTCAGCCGCAATGAGTGCGATGCATTGTCTGGCCCGGCCAAGGCCCCCGTCTCAAAGACAACGGCGAAGCCAACCGACGACAAATCTAGCGCGAAGCGTACGACGAAATCTAGCAAACGGAAGAAAAATGCCATAGACGATCTATTCAGCGGTCTGATGTGAATAGTCGTCTCTGACGCTACACGACACACGGTGCCAATACGGTTCAGACGTATTATGAAACATGGCAGCAAATTGTGTTATTTGAGTCCTGAGAAGCCTCATTTCCGAGCTGGAAGATACGAGAGACCGATCCCTCCCAGCATGTTTACCGCAACGTGATTCGCTGTCGCCCATGCGATGGTATAGAGATACTTGGGCGAAAATACGGTCCAAATGAAAAGATGGGTCCTCAGGGCTGTACAAGCAGCCATCACAGAAACCAGTGACGCTGCTATATGAAATGTCGACAACGCAGCAGGACTGTGAACTCCCGAGTCTCGTTGCGGCCTGAGCAGGTTGCTCATGGAAGCCCACCAAATGGGGCCTGCCCAGTTACTCACAAATGTCAGAACCCCCACCAGGATCACGCTATAGCTCCCAATGCCGTTATAGGCACTCGACAAATCTACCGAAGAAATTGCGTTCGAGCCTCCAAACGCAAAGAAAGTCATGTACTGCAGTATAAGTGTCGTCACGGTCACTTGAATACCCTCGAGACTCATCGCAGAAAGAATCATGGCTTGCACGCGGAATACAAGGAACAGTGGAATGTTGGTGGCTCTGGACTGCATCATCAGAAACAGATTGAGAGCTTCATGAAAGAGGGTGCTCGGGGCTGGCGATGGAAGTTAGTCGGACTTCAATTCAGGGAAGGCAGGTGAAAGCTTACTTCGCGCGTTCCCTGACCGTTTCTGAATGAAGAATGCCAATAATACATAACAGGCTAGACCACCAAATACAAGTCTTGCTTGCCAAACCAAAGAAAAACTGTCTGGCCATGTCCCCACAGCCCTTGATATAAAGGAGTCAATAAGGAGTTCGGGAGAATCAGCGGCTGCGAAGTTCACTTTGAACATGAAGGCCAGTGCTGTAAGCACCAAGGCGCTTAGACGGAGCAACGCCACGGATGGCAGACTCTTGAAAAGATGACGACCAGCATCGACATACGTCAGAATCACCAAGCCCCAAAAGACGGCAGGATGGCCGGGAAAGAATTTGCGGGCGATGTCTGGTTCTGCAGCGAACTTTTGGCCGGTTTGATTCCATCGTCTGAGAAATCGTTGGGAGATCGCGAGCCCAAGAGTGGCTAGAGCAGCATAGCGAGCTGGAGGCGAACCGGCGGTGCTTCGAGAGCTGAGCCGAGATGCTTCAAATCTGATATGGAGGTAGAACATCCATCCGGACCAGATCCAGTACCAGAACTGCTGCTCCTCTTCGACATAGCTGCTTGCAAACATCATGCTGCCATAGCCGATGATCATAAATACCAAGAACACCCCAGTGTGTGCGGAACGCGTGCATTCGTGGAATACGGTCCGCGAAACCAACAAGACCGCAATGGCTGTGACCATTAAGCCTAGACAGAGTCTGGAAACATCGTAGTTACTAGCAGTGCTGCTCATTACGTCCTGTGCGACCCGCGAGAATCGCATCAAAGCTGGACCGATCATCGAGAAGGCCTCATCCGCCGAGATATTACTTGAACGAAGCTGCTGGACTTGTGCCCAGGCGCACTGCGCGCCTTCAATGCCGGAGTCTGCACCCGATGCACAACTTGATGCAATTGTGTCGTCGTCAAAAGCAGAGTTCGGGAACGTAGCTTTTATCGTGTTCAGTAATTGTTGAGCATTGCGCCCCAAGATATGTAGTTTTTGAGCTCCTACAGCCGAGTCAGTCTATGTTGATCCGTTATCCATAGAGCATGAATACACACCGGAATCCCACATATCAAGAAACTCTGGGATAAAAACGCCCAGGCTGTTCAAAGGAATCGGCATGCCGAGAAGGCCCGCTAGGGTTGGAGTAATATCTGCTTGCTCGACCGTCTGATAGTACTGGAGGTCATCCAACTGTTCAATGGGGCTTTGCAATTGAGCTCCCAGGGCCTGCAATTTGGGAGATATGAAAAGCAGTGCCGGGGATGTTTCCCCGGCGGATGAGCCGCCGTGATTTCCAGCATCGTTCATACCATGATCACCACACAAAACGAAAAGAGTGGATTGAAGGTGCGACTTTTGCTGCATCGCTGTATAGATTTCGTTCACCACTGCATCCATCTCTTGGTGTTTTGATGCCATAAAGGGACTAGCCAAATGTCAGGTGCTATTCAAAAACTAGACCCGGAGCAGGTAGGTTACCTTTTCGGACCTGATTTGTGACCAATATGGTCCAGGCCCAGATAATGCATGATCATAGCTGACCAGTCACTTCGAGCAAGTTCATGAGGCACATGCCGAGTCACATTGCGGTCAACTTCTATGAAGTCCTGAGAGAAAAAGTTTAGCTTCAATATAAAAGGCCGTGTATGTGCTCTGAAGAATCACTGACCGATACAAAAAAGCTCGTCGTTCCATCTGCTCGATCGAACATCCCTGGGAAAAGTTTAAGCCACGTATCATCCCCGTACATGACAAGCTGATCTCCTCTGGCCTTTAATTGCGCGAGCCATGTGTCTTGATACGCAAGAGTTGATGATGTATCTGACTCGGCAATGTTCAGAATAACGTCCAAGAACGAAGGGACCGACCCCGTGGTCATCGCTTTCAATCGGGGCATCGTCACCGTGGGCGAGCTTGCATGGGCAGTAAAAGGCAGTGCAGCCCCCTCTCGAATCAGGCTGCTGAACGGTCAATTGCTAGCTCTATGCCTAAGGGGAATTTGTCTAACCTTTGGGTAAACAAGAATCCGGATTCATTCGAGTAAACAAAGTCACTTCGTCTTTCTTCAGCGATATTCCATATAACGGACGGGTGCGGGTGTCATTTCCTACCTGCGCAGTGCATCCACCACCATGAAGATGACTTTGTCAAAGACCGGAGACGTGGCATTTCGGTCAATTTCGTTGAATGTTGCTAGACCGGGCAGGAGAGGCTTATAGGGGAAGAATCCGGAGGAAAAGATAAGAATGCCCACTGGCAACAGGAGGTTGGCGAACAGAGTCGCCCAACCGCATTGAAGGATGACCATGATGCTCCCTGCGACGTCTTTCTACGCGGGCGACGCCGAGGAGATGCGGAACGCGTCTTGATAGAAGCTACCAAGGTGTTTATCCACCACACCGCCTTCCCTAAGGTTCCTTTATCGGAACTTGACGTCCCGCCACTTGCGCATGTCCGGGTTTCTAAGGTTTATGTGTGATTGTATGCAATTGATATAGGTGTAAACAATTACTGATTTGCGAGAAATTTGTGTCCAGACTCCCAACGCCGTAGTTTCTTCTTTTCATCCGTGCATCGTTCGGCCCCGTCTATTGATTGTCGTCTTCCAACCTTTACTTTCTCTTCGAGCCCTTGTTCGCCTTGGAGTGTGACTGAAACACTATCGAGGAGCGAGTCTTTCGGTTCTGCTTCTGCACACGCGCGGGCTTCTTTTGGCTCTTGGAGATTTTGGTATCGACGTCCATCTCTGGGAAGAAGAAAAAGTCAGGCTACTTATCGATTCACGGAGGCAAAAGCTCGAAGGAGCCGGTTGGACCTACCTTCACCGGCCGCCGTAGCTTTATCGTCGCTGTGGTTTTGATCGGCTATAGTCACGGGCCATTCGTCAGAATCGAGATCCTGTCGCAAGATAGCAGCACACATACCATCATCTGTTCCCATTTCCCTTTCCGACTTCACGGGGGGCTGGGGCTTCGGCTGCGAGGCAAGTTCCTGGAGTTTGGCGGCAAGTCGTTCGGTTCGCGCGTCGACGACCGGGCCAGCGATCTTCTTGCGAAGATTGGCCCGGTTGCGCTTAGAGACACTGGCTCGAATACTTTTTGCCATGACGTGTAGTGGAAGATCTTGGATAGGGCAGAGGGGGTGAGAGAAAAGAGAAGGGCGAGGTACCGACTTCAATAATTTCCCCGAGTTTTTTTTTTCTCATTTATCGCGATAGGCCCGTCTTATGTCATCCACAGAAAGCCCGCAGCGCCTCAACCTCGACTCTCCCAGGACCCTTGACTTTTCCCTCGGCCTAGAGGAAGTGAGGTAGGACTGGGATGCATCTATACGGATTCGCTGCTGGCTTGGCTGTGTCGCATTCTGCCTGAGTTGCCGGTGCTCTTCTTGGGCCTTTTCACCGATTCGGAGTGACCGCGCGAGATGGCGTCTTCCGGCCAATCCTCAGAGATTGCCCATCTCGTTGCTCTCATAAAGACTCTCACCAATCCACAGCTCAAGGACCTTTTGCGAAATGAGGGTCTTGCGGTTTCCGGAGTCAAAATATCTCTACAGCTCCGCATCATCGACTGTTCGTTTTCTCCCTCTTGACATCTTCCCCGTTTCATTGTCGATCTTCTGCCCTCTCCTCCTTCGTTTGCGACATTCTCCTCCAGTCTCTTGATGAATTCACCCAAAATTGTCCTTTAGAGGGGGTATTGACCTTTGCCGCGAAATAGATCTTGAACGCCTGGCCAACTCAGAAGGAAACGGTGCCCGCTACAATGCCCTGAAGCAACTCATTTTTCACACAGCGGTTCCAGGTACTTCAAGTTTTCAGGCAAACGCCAGTTTCCAGCTCCATCCCCCGACTGTGTCCCACCCTGCGCCCTCGCAGGCTCGATCTACACCTTTGGGGGCATCGATGTCACCCCATTCACATACCGGTTTGTCCAGGCGCCATCCAATATTTTTGGCTGCTGCTAATTCACTGCACAGGTCATATCACGTTTAAAGATAGCCCGTTTTTTACTATCGTGACACACCTCACCCCGATTGTGGAATGTAAAGGTATACTACACCCCATAGGGCTTTCAGTCAAGTCACATAGTCTAATACGGATCAGTCCGCGAGCAAACAAGGGATAGCGTCGAACTCAAGGTTGTTCTCTCTGTGTCTACGGCCACTGACCTGCAGACGGATCCAAACCTTCGGGTGATGGTGTATTGTGCAGCCGACTCTGGCCTCAAACAATACACCAAGTCCGACATTGCATTTCCACATCAAGTGGAGCTTAAGGCAAATCTCGATGAAGTCAAGGCCAACCTTCGGGGCTTGAAGAATAGACCGGGTACCACGCAGCCCGCCGATGTAACGAACTACATACGCAAAAAACCCGGCTACACCAACAATATCGTCATGACTTATGCGCTTACTCAAAAGGCAAGTCTTTCTGGCTCACCCATGGCACATTGGAGGTTATGTGCTGTGACCCTGCTGCTAGTGATGTTGCCGCTGACTCTCACTACAGAAATTCTTCGCCGTCGCCAACCTTGTCAGACAGCACCCAGTGGAAGACCTGGTGGCAGAGTTGAAATCCCGTAAACTCATTTCCAAAGAACAGGTGCTTCGAGAGAGTAAGGATACGAATTTTACTATCTGGAGAAACACGTCAAGTTAACTGAACCCACTCACAGTGAAAAACCGCGCTGAGGACTCTGACATTGTTGCCACGTCAAGTATCATGTCCCTCAAATGTCCGCTATCAACTCTACGGATCCAAGTTCCTTGTCGCTCGGTGGTCTGCACTCATAATCAGTGCTTTGATGCATCGTCGTTTCTCGAGTTGCAAAAGCAGGCGCCAACGTGGACCTGTCCAGTATGCTCCAAGTCGACCAGTTTCGAGTCACTGCAGATTGACCAGTAAGTCCCGAATCATGGATGGCATCCCCTGCCGAGATGCCTTCGTTTTTTCTCTGTTTTTTGTCTAACCTGTATAGGTATGTCGATGACATTCTGCGCGCAACTTCTCCGGACGTGGAACAGGTCGTCATTGAGCCTGATGGAGCATGGTCGAGTCCGACCGATGCGGATGCCGCCAAGCCGGGCGGAGTGACCCCAGCAACAGATGACGATGACTTGATCGAGATCACCGAGCCCGGCATTAGTCCTGTGAAGCAAGAGCCCATGCCTGCGAGCGTCATGCTTGAGCGAACTCCAGCCCAATCCCAATCCCAATCCCGAGAGACATCAACTCCGTCTTCTGCAGTCCGGATACCGAGTAAGAAACGATCTGCTGCTCAGGTCATTGACCTCACGGGCAGCGATGATGAAGACGATGAATCACCGGTTCCCCCGTCTAAGCGCCCCGCCCTAAGCTTCAATGTTCGAGGGGATCCTCACCAGCCGGTTACCAGCAGTCCTCTCCATAGCAGGACCTACCCACCGTCGTATTAGTCGTGCTGGATCTCGATGTGAGCTAGGGTGTACTCCGGTCCCTGCTTGACTTTGTTTTACATGCATCTTGCCGTGGTGTTTATGGCGTGGCCTTTCATCTCCGAATTGCATCTGGGTTTTGGGCGGATATGTTTTGTGTTTTTTTTGGGGGGTTTTTTTTACGGTGCACTGGACAGGTCTCCTCTAGAAATATCCAATCTTTCTTCCACCGTTTCCCTCTCTTCCTGCTTTATTTTATTTCCTGTATATTGTATGTCATGCCCATGAGAGGGTTGAGAGGTGCATTGATACACCGTGTCGTAGCTCAAGCCGTGGCTTGCATGTGGGGGAAACCTCTCTTCCCGCCTTCAACTCCCCTCCCCAAGTCTTGGCAAACAACTTCTCCCATCAACTCCCCTCACCCGGTGCCCACCATGTCATTCGATGCGTCTGCCGCGTTAAGCATTTCCGACCCAGATGCGCGCGCCGTCAGCTCCTCCTGCTTCGACTTTCTGCTCATCGAGCTGGTACCAATGGCCGAGCGCCTCGCCAAAGAGCTGGCGATGAACGAGAACGAACCAGAAGATGAGGAGGTCAGGGAGACTACGTACTTTCGACTTGAGTCTCTAGGCTACCGAGTAGGACAGGGTCTTGCTGAAAGGTGAGAAGCTCAATGCTCGTTCGCCGCCATCCCCCATTGGCAACGCTCCAGCTCACCGCATCCTGTCACCATCCAGATTCGCCCGAGATCGGCCTCGATTCACGGACAATCTCGACATTATCAAGTTTCTATGCAAGGACCTATGGACAGTGCTATTTAGAAAACAGGTGGACAATTTGAAAACCAACCATCGGGTACGTGGGCGACATGGGAACGGAATGTTCATCCCAGCTGCTGCCTCGACGCGACAGGGACACTAATGTGGATTCAAATAGGGAGTATATGTTCTAACTGACAGTGCATTTCGGCCATTTGGAAGAATGAGTATGGCGGTGCGGGGTGAGGCGATATCGATGGCACAAGCGGTAGGCAAACCTCGGTCTCTTCCACCATGAGACATATAGCTAATAGTTTTGATTCCAGTACCTGTGGTTTCCTTGCGGTATCATTCGTGGGGCTCTAGCGAACTTAGGTATCAATACAACGGTACAGGCGGAGACATCGGATCTTCCAGGGGCAACTTTCCAGATCAAAACTGTCCAGGCCCGGCCTTGAGTGTGTCTACGATTTCCAGGCCGGCCTGCACTCCATTCGCCGCTGGTTGACTGTTTCCCATGACATCCTCCAGTTGGACCGAAGATAAGGGCAAGTTACCTACACTGCGTTCGCGGTCCCTCAAAATAAAGAACGGTTCATTCCGCGAGGTCGACTATACAGGACACTGTCGGACTACGAGGGACATGCTGGTGCGAACGGACTTCTGATGGTATTCTTTGCATGCCCGACCTCCACTATCTTGCGTGCTGCCACCAAACCAATACAGCAACCGAGAACCAAGCCCTATCATGTCTGTTCGTCGTTCATAATCTCATGATTTCACGCTTAAAGCCTATCTTTCCGGGATGATCATAATTAGCAAGGTTCTGACCATGGAGTCCAACATGCAGGGCGCCAGGGTTCAGTCGGCGAGTACATGTGGCACGATAGCATCCACCAGGGCATGTGCCAGGCTGGGCCTTTTCTGGGGAAAGGGGAGTATTACTTTGGTGGGGGGTTCTTGACAAACTCGACGCCCTTCTCAATGTTGCCCTTGAGACCCTTGATGCAAGCCTCCAGGAGCTTCTGCTCCTGATCGGTCACGCCGCCAAGGATGTTAATGGCCTTCTCCGCGCCGTTGGGCTATAAAGACAGTGTCAGTTTTGCCTCCCGGGTCAATCAATCGATGCGTTGAGAAAGACTTACGCCGAGCTCCACGGGAGTAGAGAAGAAGTCAACACCAGTAGCCTTGGCGATCTCATCGCCGCCCGGGACACCGGGCAGGTAGACGAAAGTAGGCTCGACGATGCCCTTCTCGCCCTTGGCAGCCTTAATCACGGCCTTGGCGAATCTGTAGCAGAGTCAGTGACAAAGTTCTGTAATGAATATGGGCAAACGCGACCTGAAACCGGCATATGCCATGGACAGAGTAGCAGATCCAGCACCATCCTTGGCCTTGACGACCTCGTCACCACCAAACTGGACGCCTGCGTAATGTCAGTCAGCATAACTTCTTCGGATAATGTTCATGAAGGTTGACGTACGGTTGACGAGAGCATCATATCGGTCAGCGGGGATCTGGAAGTTGGGAGAGACCTTGCTGAACAGAGGGACGATGGTCTCGCCGGAGTGGCCACCGATGACGGGAATAGTAGCCTCAGAGGGGTCCTTTTGGCCCGAAAACTCCTGGGTGAAGGTTTCGGCACGAACGACATCCAGGGTGGTCACACCGAACAGACGCTTGGGGTCGAAAACGCCAGCGGCCTTGAGGACCTCGGCAGCAATGGGGACGGTGGAGTTGACGGGGTTGGAAATGACGAGGGTGAAAGCCTTGGGGCTGAACTCGGCAATGCCCTTGGCCAGGTCGCGCACGATACCGGCGTTGATCTTGAAGAGGTCGTCACGGGTCATGCCAGGCTTGCCTATATGCCAGGTAGTTAGCTGGGAACATTCTGGCAAGGATGGTCAAATAGACACTAACGGGGAATGCCGGCCGGGATGACAACGATGTCAGCGCCGGTCAGCGCATGCTTCAGGCCATCATCCTTGGGGAGGTAGCCGGAGATTTTCTGCATCATGGTCAGAACGACTCGTGCAGGTCAAGGCACGCAGCCGGATTATTTAAACCTACGGCAACCGAAGAGATGTGAGAAAGGTCGGCAGCGACACCGGGCGTGTTCACAACATCGTACAGGGCGAGCTCGTCAACCAGAGGGCAAGCCTTCAGCAGAAGGGAGAGAGGCTATTGGAAACCATTAGCCGAAGCTTAAGAGGAATGGAGGGGAAGGTTGAGAGAGCTGACCTGGCCGATGCCACCAGAGGCGCCGAGAACAACTTGAATGGATTAGCTAGATGAACAATTACAATGGGAAAGTACTTACCAGCTTTGACCATGATGTAGGATTTAACGAGGAAAGGATGTGTAGAGAAGAGATGAGGGGAAGGAGAAAAGAGGGAGAGTGGGAGGTTTTAATAATAGAGGCCCCTGCTCAAGCATGGAGGGGCAACCCCGGAGTTGCCCAAGGGAGGGAAAGGTTTCCCCAATATGACGAGCGACGGGTCCGTTTGTTTCGGTGTCCGCAATAATCTATAGTACATGTTTTCTACGTATGTACCGGTAGTACTCAGTTCACATGTGTGGAGCAAATCTTTCCTCTGATTCCTCCGGTCATTCTCGTCTCCTGTGATTCGCAACTGTGCTTCTCCCTTCCGCCGGGTCCTTCCCCCTCTCCGTCCACTTGTCGGGAAAAGGCGGGATACTCTGGGTGATTCCACGGCAAACGACACTTGTTTCTCGTGCTTGCCCCCCGGCTTCTACTTTGGGTTCAGGTCCGAGGCTGCTTGGGCTCTCGGCCCGACTATCGGCGCAATTGGATCACGTCCTATACACAGGCTGATGGCTTTTTCGTCCAGTGGATCATTCATTCCTTTTAGAAGTGCAGTTTTCTTCCAAAGACCCGGTTGTCCCGGAGTATAATCGCTAGATTACATGGACACCTCGTCCTTTTTATCCAGCACGGCGCGGTCTCACGTTTGTTTCGAAGATCGACAGGTTCGCCGTTCATCCACCCTTCTCCGCCATCACGTCTCTAGGCATTTACTCAGAGTCCTTCTCGGCAGCCTGGCGGGCCTTGGCGCCACGGGGCTTCTGGGCAGGGGCGTCCTTCTTGGGCTGCTGCGAGCGGCGGAGGGCGCTCACACGGGCAACAGCCTCCTCACGGAGATCGGCACGGTAGCCGTTCTGGGCGGTCTTGTTGGCAACACCCTTGTAGAGCCTGTTACATCCTCCGGTCAGCACTGCCTGTTTCTCTGCCGTCGTGTTTCAACCGAAGTATCTGGTGGTCGGCTTTCTTACTTGCGGGTTGCGGTCTTGGGGCCGTAGTTGACGGTGACCTGGTTCTTGCCGGGCTGCTGAGGGTTGCTGGGCTTCTTGGTGGTCACGGTGATGTCACCGTTCTCGGCACCCTGAATGCCGACGGCCTGATAGAGGAAAGCTGGTTAGGATTTCGCGAGTTCAATGGAGGGGAGCCTCGTGCGGAACGCGCGCGGCGTAGGAATTATCAGTACCTTGGTGTTGGCGTAACCGGCATACTAAAAGTTTCTGTCAGTCGTCGGCTCGGAACGAGAGGGGCAAGCAATTGTAGAATTGTACCTTGAACGAGTGCTTGTTCACCAGGTTCAGAGGGTCCCGGGAGAACTGGGAGCCACCGCCGGCGTTACGGCGAACCAGATAAGAATTCTGGTTGCCTATACCAAGTCAGCCACGAACCGAAGGGGGCAAAATTTCCGGAGATACGTACGGGTGATCAGCCAGATCAGGTCGTTAGAGACGTTTGTGCGTTCGGCGGCCATTGTGACGGTTTGGACTCGAAATGTTGCAATCGCCGTCTCGAAAGTGTGTGTGAGTCGAATTGAATGATCTCTCGCTAAGCGGGCCGCTTTGGGTTTAGTTTCGAATATTTTTGGTGCCTGATTCTGCCTGATGCCGCCTCGTTCTTGCCTCTTTGCTGCCTGTCGGGTCAGGCAGAAAGGCCTTCCCCGAGATGACGACGCCGGTGAGAGCTTCCTAAGTTTGGCCCCCTCTGCGGATTCTTTTGTTGGCCCTGTCTGAACTTGGGATCCTCACGACTTCCAGTTCCAAAAGGGGGCTCTGACAGCCCTGATACTGCCCACAATGACCTACACTCTCTTCTACGCTCTCTTATTCTCAGTCATCATCTGCGGAACGGGTAAGTCTACCGTCCCTTGTTCCCCCGGATTTACCGGAGTACGATCTAACGCTCATCCAGGACTCTATCTCACTCGATCCCGATGGATCCCATTGCTACCGGTACCGGACTACATCTATCATCGACTCCCGTCCAGCTTCACGGCCGATCTGGAAGCTGGCCTGAGCTCATCGCAGTTCGATATTGCCGCGAACGTCGCGGACGGTGATACCAGAGGCGGCCTCGACCAGCGAGCCAAGCAGGAAGTACACAGAATTATGAAGAATCGAAGGGTCAATTTCGATGAAGCCAGACGGATTTATACCGAACAACGATTCGCAAAGAATAATATCGGCCCAGACGGTCGACCTCGAGACCCCAAGTTTGTTTCGTTTTCATGAGCGTCCATTTGCCACTTTTTGCCGGTCCTTTCTATTTGCTTTTTGACTACAATCTTTCCCGGTTTTTTTTTTCCTTCGTTATTTTCCCATGCCGAGCCCAGTGTATTCCTCCGGCTTTCCTTCTATGCTACCTTGGGCGTTGAGGCGTACGCAGAAACCATCCTTAAATACGGAAGTTGAAGTTGCTATTGCATACGTCATTGCTATTTGATTAAGTTTTATATCGCTTGAGTATTAACCGGTGCACCTGCCGGCATCGTCAGGATATGCAAGGGTTCCCCCCGCTTGTCTGAATCTAAAGGCGTGGCGGAACTCGCCCAGACTCCAGACCAATGCGTAATACATGATCGCGTGTTTCTACCTGCGGTCTGGATTCAGAGGCACAATCTGCTTTGCTACCGCAAATTCATAGTAGTCCAGGTCTGGCAATCCCTTTTCCACCAGGGACAAGCTCCAGACTCTCATTCACTCCCGATCACAAGCCATCGCTGGGTCATTCGAAGCCGCTCTGGATGTTTGATCCCAAAGGCCCTTCAAAGATTGTTATTCAGCGACCGTTTCCATAGCCCGGTTGTTGAAAGCCAGGAGGTAGTGACGGGGGTGCTCCGGGGGCGCCCACTGGAGGCCCAAACCCGGGAGGCCCAAACCCTGGTGAGGGCGCAGCTTGAGGCGCATAAGGTGGCTGCTGGCCAGCTCCGTTGAACCCTGGTGGAAGGAAGGTCTGGGGACCGCCGTAGCCAGCTTGAGACGGCGGTGGCCGCGCCGGTAACCCTGGCGGCGGGGTCGCGAGTGACGGGCCAGGAGGAACAAGCCGACCCTGAGGAGGTGGCACATTTTGGTAGGGCATCGGTGCTGGCATTCCTCTGCCCATGCTTAAATCGGGTGCCTGGGGGCCAGTGCTCACTGGCCGAGAAATATCGCCGTTTGGTATCGCCGGAGTCGCAGAAGAGCCCGGTCCAGCACCGGCGAACGACGGGGGTGGTATCTGCTGCATTGGTGGCTGAACATTGTGTTTCCGAGCCTGTGCCGCCAACATTCGCTCGGCCTCATCGCCGTGTCTCTCTCCTTTGCCATCCTTTTTGTATGCGTACTGCACGGAGACTTGTTTATTCATGAGATATTGACCATTCATATTGGCGATGGCCGCATCAGATGATTCGAAATCAGCGAAGGAAACGAACCCGTATCCCTTGGATAGATTATTGTCGTCGCGCGCAATCTATGATCTGTTAGTTCCGATTGATATGAGTTTCCCGGGCGGGGAGAGTTGGATATGGGTGTCTGACCTTGGGAAGGTTGACCAAATTGCCGAAGCGGCTGAACGTATCGTAGAGAACTTGTTCGGCGACCATGGGATCCAGATTTCCGACAAAGAGCTCTGCACCGATTTCCACGGATTTCTGCTTGTCCGCCGATGCCTTGTTCACACGGATTGGTTTGCCGAACAGACGAATCCCATTCATGATCCTCGAGGCATATTCGGCATCTTCCTCGCTGATAAATTCCACAAATCCATACCCTTGGTGTAACTGCGTGACTCGGTCTTTGGGCAGGTGGACGTTGACGATGCGGCCTGCCTGCAGCATCAGTTCCCATACCAAGCTGTCCGAGGCGCGCTCGTCGAGATTTCCGATGTACACTGTGGCCTCCTTGTCTTGCTCCCTGTACGTGGATTAGCGCTGGAGGACTCTGGTATTGTGTACAAAGGTAGATCTTACCAATGCCTTGCGCCGGACATGGTGCCGACGAGTCAAAGAGAAAGTGCTGGAAAAGGGGGGTGAAGACCAGGCAAGAGGAAGCGAAAAGGCCGCAAGGACTTGTAGTAGCGCTCCGTAGCAGACGAGTGGACGAGTGGAAATGGAAGGTTGGTGGGTTTTTGAAGGAGCTCGAGCTGTCGCGGTGATCATGGGGTTTTCGACTCCCGAAAACTCTTGAACCGCCTTTCGACTCCCGACATCTTTCCACCCACTCCAACCTCTCCGCCTTACCTACGCGCCCCCTCCTTCCTGTTCTTAGTCGCAGACCGTTTACTTCCTTCATCATTTTCTGCTTAGACGAGCACCGCCAGTCTCCCAAAATGGTCCAATTCTCCGAGGAGACCAAGGTTGGTCCGCCATGTTGTCGACGTCCATTCCCTTTCAGAAGGCTTACTCTTCCTCTTCTTTTCTCAGGAACGCGTTTCCAAGGTCATTGATATCTCCAGAGTCGCCATTCACTAGTGAGCATTCCCTCCATTCGCACCAGCGACCACGCTAACCTCATCGCGACCCTCCAGCGGCTACTTGCCTCTCATCGTTTACCTAGGTGTGTCCGGCTCGGGTTGAAGAACAAAACCTACACTGCTTTGTCTGAGTCTCGGGACAATCGCTGACGCGAACGAAACAGGCTACACCTACAGCGAGCCGAAGCCGTCTCTGTTCAAGTATGTCTCCCCCGGGCCGATTCCGAGCACCCTGTGCTGACCTCTCGATCAGGTTGTTCTCGCCTCTTGCTTGAAGATCTTATTGGAGTATCAAAATGAAAGAAATGGGGCAAATCCGAGAGACCGGGGAAGATTCCCGGGTTCTTCGATCTTGGCCAGCAGCGGGAAGTCTTCGCATGATGCCCCGAGACATTTGATACGTGTCTCCGTCTCCCGTTGAAGGCGGATCGTTCTGTGACCTGGGGCAGTTCACCATATGTATTTTTAAATCAATCATGATTGTTATCAGTTTCGACTTCAATAAGCATTTTTGTAGCTTCAGCATGTTCATTTCAAGTCCTAATATCCGTGGCGCGTATTCAGCCGGAAGCCGGAAAGTCTCCCGCGCGGCAGAAAAGAACGCACTCTTCTTTGCACCTCTCCTTCCAACCACCCTGCAACCTCATTTCCAAGGTTTCATGACTGGCCAGCATGGCTCGTCTTCATCCCTTGTGGAGACCGTAGCAGGATTCACCGCGGGAATCGCTACCACCCTCTCCCTCCATCCACTCGACCTTGTCAAGACAAGACTCCAGGGTACGACACGCGTTCCCGTATTCCAAGCATGATCCTAACTCTCCGAATCATCCAGTCGACCGAACATCCTCGTCCCGAGTTGGTAATTCATTGCGCATCGCCCATCAGGTCTTCAAAACGGAAGGGGGCTTAGCTGCCTTCTACCGGGGTCTGGCTCCGAATCTTATCGGGAACTCGACAAGCTGGGCCTTGTACTTCCTGTGCTACAGCAGTTTCAAAGATGCCATTTCCGCGTATCGAGGGCAGGAAGGATGGATGCTCACATCATCTGATTACTTTCTTGCGTCGGGCAGTGCAGGTGCGCTCTCCTACGGCCAACCTAGTACCCACCTCTAACCTGCTGATTCCCAGGTGCTCTAACATCCATTTTCACGAATCCAATCTGGGTGATAAAGACCCGCATGCTGTCCACTGGATCTCAGGCGCCGGGTGCGTACTCTTCCTTCGCCGCTGGGGCAAGGCAAATTTATCACACGGAGGGTTTACCAGGCTTCTATCGCGGGCTTGTGCCCGCTCTCTTTGGAGTCAGCCAGGGTGCTCTTCAGTTCATGGCATACGAGCGATTGAAGGTTTTCCGGTCTAGGTCTGGACGTGATACGCCCTTGGGGGATATCAGTACTGGCACGGGACGAAAGCTTGGAAATTTCGACTTTTTGGCTCTTTCGACTCTATCCAAAGTATTTTCAGGCTGCGTCACATATCCTTATCAAGTTGTCAGGTCGCGTTTACAGACTTACGATTCACACCTATTTTACCGCGGTCCTATCGATGCTGTTGTCCGGATCTGGGCTCAGGAGGGGCTCGCGGGATTCTACAAAGGTCTTGGTCCGAATCTATTCCGAGTGTTACCGAGCACTTGGGTGACCTTTTTGGTATACGAGAATTCCAAGGTTTACCTATCCAAGTTGACAGTCAATACATAAAATGTCCCTCGTTTTCCCAGTGGCAATGCCTTTCTGTCTATATGATAAGTCTACTATTCCTTACACAAAACATGGAAAGTTTCTGCAGTGGGGAGGGAAGTACTAAATTGCATCTTCTCGTATGCAGTAGGAATTGTTTTGTCAGGTCGTTGCGAAAATCAAATTTAAAACTCAGAGAGGAGCATTGGCCACTCTTGGGCTTTCGATTAGTTTAAATTGCTCGCTGTCTGCTATTTTATAGATAGACTGTAGACTATTCTACCCTATAGTAGGGTAGACTCCTATTAATCGTCTATAAACTTATAATAACTCATCGAGTATACATTTATTGAGATCTAAACTAGCATACTATTAGGACTAGAGTTAGACTAGGTAAGGGACTAGATAGAACTATAAGTATATAGATAAGAACTTTAATCCTATAATTATAACTAAACTAATCCTTAACGTAATCGGTAAGCGAGTGACGCATGTAAGCGAGCGACGCACCCCAAAACACCATAGTAAAAGCGATAAATTACAACTCTATATTTCCGCAACAGCAGCTTCTCATAGAGACTTCCTTTAAATATATGTCCTTTATAATGAGTCTAGGGGTATTTGAAGGTCTCGGAGGGTTTTAAGTCGTGTTGAGTCGATGATCTATATTTCAAGCTCAGAAAGCTAAATTACAGTGTATTTTATGTAAACGTAGTGAAATGATAATTAAATTATCCCAGACTCCCAAATTAGGCTATCTGTGCTCTAAATTAGTGAATTACTGAAAGCTAAATAGAATAAGCTTGTGGTTGTTGAAATATTGCGTTCTTAAATATCGCATTTAATATGGTGTTTTGGGGTGCGTCGCTCGCTTACATGCGTCACTCGCTTACCGAATACGTTAAGAAAGAGAGCTTATTAATTATAAGAGAGTGCCTCTTATTCCTTTATATAATTATATAGCGTTCGCTTTTATATAGGTTTATAGGAAAACCCTTTTATATAGCTTCTAATATACCTAATTAGATATCTAAGTTACTTTATATTATTTAAGGCTAGAATAACTATCCTCCCTATCTAAAGGGTCGTTTATAACCCTTTAAGGGTTAAGATAGAATAACTAAGATATATTATTATTATAATTTTAATAGAGAGAAGTATAGTTAAGGATTGAGAACAACTCCCCCTAACCAGATTCGTTTTCTCGCGATATCTCGCCAACCAGGGCCTCGGAGGCTCTGAGAACCAGTTCAAATTACTCAGCACGTCGTTGGCATCAGTTTAATCCTGGTTTCATCTGGCTTCGACCATGCTGGCGACTACTAGACCCAATATAGGTGTTTTGCATCCCGACCGGGAGCAAAATCTTTAACCACGGAACGCACAAACCGCAGCTAAGGGCCCTGCCAATCAAAGCCCAAACCACCAATCTGCTTCCAACCAACGCCCGAATCAGCGGCAGAGCTCCGCGGCTATCTCTTCTATAGCCAGTATAGAGGAGATCGCTTATATCGCCCATAAAACACGCGAATATGCCGACGCTAACCTCGAGATCGACAATATCGTACGTGGCTTCCTCCTCTCCATCGAAGACTACACCCTTCAGGCTTCCCGCAGGGATAATCAGCAGGGGATAGCGCAGGTGATGCGAGCGTTGAAAACCATCGCAGATAGCACCGACGTCCTGAACCAGCGAGTGTAGCTTATCGAGAAATCTAACACGGAGATCTCTAAAATAACGTCCGAAATCTCCTTATCTTAGCAGTCGTCTACTGCCCTCTAGCGTAGCTTCCGCACCTAGTCCTAGCAGCGCTTAGTTATTACGTCTAGCTAACCAACGTGGCCTTAGAGGGTTCGTCCTCGGTGGGCATATCTCCTATTAAGCTACAGGAGGACCGTTAGGTGGTGGTCAAGGTCCGGGACGAGGGCTTACGGGCTAAGTTCCGCTCAGCGTTAGAGCGCGAGATCGTTTAAGCTACTAATAACGAAAGGGCCAAGGTGGCGATGCGGAAGGATAGCGCGGCTCTTATAGGTGTCCGCCTCACCGCTGCCCGTAAGCTTCCGTCCGGCGATATAGCGATTATCGCTAAAACTACGGCGGGCTTAGAGGTGCTACGGAAGTACCTAGGATAGGCGAGAGCTTTCGGAAGGGAGGCGTTTATCTAGATACTATCTTAGGGAGTGATCGTCTATAGGGTTCTAGTGAAGGACATCGACTTCTCGGACCCTATGAAGGCTATAGAGACCGCTTAGGCCCTAATCGACTAGAATCTATAATAGCGCGAAAATAAGGACGAGGGGAATAAGGTGAAGATCTCTTACCTAAGCTAGTTAATACGACTAAACCCCCACTAGACTAAGAGCCCCCTAATCGTTAAATTCTCCTCTCCGGTCACGGCTAATCGAGCTATCGCGTTAGGAACTATCCTAGGGTATCGCTGCTACTAGACCACGCGCTTCTATAGAGAGGGGAGATCTAAGTTCTATAGGAAGTGTCAAAAACTAGGATACGTTTAGGGCCACTATACCTCCTAAATATATATTTATAGCGTCTACGCTAGAGAGCACCCTTCCTAGGAGTGCCCTTCTACGCATGGCGCTGTAGTGATAATCCTCTATATAAATTGTAAGGGGTCCTATCGCCCTACTAATAAGGACTACGAGGTCTTTTAATAGGAGATTAAATAGTAATATATTCTTAGTAGGGTGCTAGGAAGTCCTTAAAGCTTTTTCTGTATCTTGTGCGCCACTTATCGTCCTAGTCCTTAGTTTAGAAGAATTTAAACTTATTTTCTAGCGCTAGTATAGTGTATACTATATAAAGATCACCACGGATAGTATCTATTATAGAGTAATAGTAGTTTAGCTTTGCCTAACTAGTATATAGCGCTTAAAGTATAGTTTTCTTCTATTACGCCTTCTTTCTTGCTAGCTAAGAGATCGACTACTTAAGATGCTTAAAGAGGGGGGGTATATATCCTAAAGATATAATAGGAAGTTATATCCTTAGTCTTTAAGAGCTTAGTGGTAAACTCGTAGAAAGGTTACGTAATCTAAAGAAGATAGTTAACCTAGCGCCACTCTTTATTATTTAGTTAAAGATCACTTCGATCCTATTTATTATAGAAGGGTATAAAGATTAACTAAAGTCTTTTTATACGTCGAAGCATTAGGTATATAGAGTTCTAGTGGGTTTTTATATCCTAGATTAGAATAAGTTTTATAGTATCTAGCTAGAGTGTGAAGAAGGTCTCCTAGCGCTAAGGGCTTACATTAATAAATATAGCAAGGTTACGAACCTATTTTAGATATTAGTACTATATTATAGTGAAGGGAAAGTTAGGTGAAAGCATCTTACCTTACTTAGAGTAGTAGTAATATCTCCTTTCTTTATATTTACCTAGGTAGACTAAGATCGCTACTCTATCCACTAAGTATTAGTGGTGTTATTAATCGGAATCGCTTTTATATATCTAAGTATATTATTTAAACTTAATTAAATAATATAAGCAAGATATAGAACCCTAATTAGCGTAGTATCCTCTAGGAGTGACTTCTATAATTTAGCTATTAAAGTATTATTATTTGAAGTATTATTAATAGTCACTATAAGTACTCAGTTCTAGATTTAATATTTCTATAGAATACCTAAGAGAACTACGCTTAGGTTAGCACTAGAGTGCTTTCTATAAATTAGTTTAAACCTAAGAAGGACCTTATAACCCTACTAATCCTTAGTAATAAAGTAGCCACTTATAGCTATAAATACCTAAGAGAATAGGGAGGTCTAGTAGTTAAGTGTAATTAAAAGCTTTATATTATTAGGAAGCTTTTAGAGGATATCTTGCTATCTTAGCTAAATAGAGCTTTATAGCTAACGACGAATAGTCTTTATAAAGGGAATATCTAGTATTAATAGAGCGGATTAGGCAAGTTAAATAAGGCTAAAGAACTTAGGATATTTAATAAGCTAAAATAAAAGATAAGTAATAGTAAGAAAGATAAGAAGCTTTTCTTCCTAAGGCTCTTAGATAAAGCTTTTCTTATTCGCTATTATTAAACCCTAGGGGAGAGTAAGATAAAATCAAAATTAGGAGATAATCACTTACCTTTAATTATATAAACTTTATTAAGCTAGATTTCTATACGCTATTATTAGAAGATCTTAGATAGCTAGCGCTTTTAATATATCTTAGTATTATAGAGGTTCTATACTAAGTTATTCCCCCTAGCTTAAAAGAATAGGGATACTTAAGAATCTAACTATAGTATTTATATATAACCTTTAGTGCACTATTAGAGGTATTAGCTATTTAATGAAATTGCTTCTAGATATCTAAGAGGTAGACTAAGTCCTATCGTATCTTACTTAACTTCCTATAGCTAGTCTCGAGCCACTAGTTCACCTATTTAGAATACATTTCTATATTATAGAGAGTAAAGCCTTTCTTTCGACTAGGACTAATAAGATTAAGAGAGGGAGGTATCGTAGGAGGAAGAGGAGGTAGTCAAAGAAACTTAATATTAAAGAAATTAAATATCTACTAACTACTTAAAGGATTAGGTGTAAATAACTACGCGTTCTTAGGAGTAAGATAAGTAATATTATTAATATCACTTTTATAGATAGATAAAGAGAAAACCTTAGAATTCTAACTCTAAGATATAGCTATAAGGCAAAAAAACGATAAGGGGAAAGTGAGGATAATATAAGTAGAATATACTTAAAATCTTTAGGACGCTAGTCGTCTATAGACCTATAAAATAATAATTAATTAAGGATATTAATATATCGGAAACTAGGCTCGCTAAGCCTAGTTAATACTATATAATTAGTTAATGCTTACTTATTTTAAAGGGTTAAGCCTAGAAAGCCAGTAAAAGCCTATAGAAAGCCTATAGAAGCCTATAAAAGCCTATAAAAGCCTATCTAGAGCCTAATTAATCTTAATATCGAACTATATAGAACCCAAACTATAAAGGATCGAAGTAGAAACTATAGTATACCTTATACGATTCGA